TAATTATATTTATAAGTTAATTTAATATATATTACTATAAACTATAATACTACTAAGTAGTTAGCATTCTAAGCTAATATTAATTATTATAAAACTAGTAATAGAAAATAAAATACTAGGAGCTACTATTATAATAAATATAATAAGGCTTTTAATTAATTTATTTTTCTACTCTTTTTAGTAAATAGAGTTTATTATAATATATAATATATCTTTAAGTATAATAAGGTAATAAAAGTCTTAATTAAACTTTATAACTATTCTTAGTTTTATTTTCTTATTAATTATAATTAGTTCTAAGGAAGTATTTATTATTTATATAAATAATAATAATATATTAGTAAGATAAGAGAGAATACCTCTTTTAAAGCCTAGATTTAATTAATATTTTAATTTAAAAAATAAGTTTTATTTTAAAAGCCTTTTAGTAAAAAAGATTAAAATATTTATAAAAGAATAAGAAAATATTATAATAAGTTTATAGAAATAAATTATTTATTTAATAAAATTAGGTAATTACTTAATAATATTAAAATTAATATTAATATCTTAATATAAATTAATAATAAAAGATTACTTTATAGGATATATTATTATATTTTTAAATATAATAATATTTTAATTAATAAAAAGATTAGCTTTAAGATTATCTATAAAATAGATCTTTATAATTAATTTTATAATAGTAAAGGTATTATTAAAGAATATCTCTTTAAACAATAATAAAACAATAATAAATTTAAAACTTTAATATAATATATTATTAACTCTTTAAATAGGTATTAATAAGCTAAGTTTAGAAACTTTAATATTTAATATTACTTTTAAAAGTTTACCTTTATTTATAAAGGTTATAGTATAACTAATATTAAAATAACTAGAAAAAGTACTATTATTATTAATATTAATATTAATAGTAGTATAGTAATATTTAATAAAGCTATATTTTAATAAAGTTAAAGTTTATTTATTAATAAACTAAATAATAGTTTTAATATTTTTTTTTTTTTAATAAAGGGCAATAAATAAATTAATTATCTTATTTTAAATAATAATATATTTACTACCTTTAAGATATTATAATATAAAGTAACCTTCTTATTAGTAATAATAATAAAGAGCATTCTATTCTATAGATTATTTATAATATTTCTAGTAATTATAAGTTATAATTAGATTTATAAAATAATTATCTTAATTACCTTTATAAGTATTACTATGTTAACTATTAAAGTCTTTATTTTTATCTAGTTTTACTAAAAGCTCTTATAATCCTTAGTTCTTATTAAAGTTATTTAATAAATTAGGTTAAATGTTTTTTTATCTTTAATATAAACTTTATTATAATAAGCTTTAACTTATAAGTACTATAGAGATTAGGGATAATTATTATTATAATAATTACTATAGTTATTATAAAAATAATTTTAGCTAAACTATAAGTAATTAGGATTATTTTAGCTAAAGTACTTAGTATTATTAAAAGTACTTAGACTAGGCTAAAAACTTAATTTATTACCTTTTATTATAAAGAGGTATTAAGGAAGGGGAGTTATAATTTATTACTAAGTACTTAAAAGCGAATTTCCTATTTTTAACTAATATATGTTAAGAATAATATTCCTATAATATTAATTTTAATTTAAATAAGCTAAGTATATTCTACTACTAGCTAAGGATAAGGTATATAATATAATATTTATTAGAATTAAGGCTAGTTAACTTATAAGAAAGTATAATACTTTTTATATTTCTAATTAATTAATAGCCTATTATAATAGCTAGGTAACTTTTAATTTTAATAAGTAAACTTAAACTCTATTATCTCTATTAAAAGGCTAAGATTAAGGCTAAAGAAGCTATAATATTTACTATATAGTTTAATTAAACTTCTTAATAATATTAATATTAAAGTCTTTAATATAGTTATAACTTAAATTATAGAAATTATAAAGCTAGAAAGTAAATATAATTCTTTTTTAATTAAATTAAAATAGAAATAATATAAATATTAATAATACTAGCTTAAATAAAGATTAATATTAAGGACTTTATTTCTAAAAATAGGAATAAAGGTTATATTAATAAAGTAAGATTAACTAAGTAAGTTAATAAGGCACTAATAATAAATAACTATTTATAGAAAAAGTATTTAAATAATTAAGTAATTATCAACTAAGCTAGAAGTAAGATTAATATAAGTATAATAAATAAATAGCCTCTTACTAATAATTTATATTAATTTATATTATAAAAATAATAATAAATAAGAGTAATATAATAAGTAAATACTTATAATAAATTAATAATTAATAAAGGGAAGCTAGTAAGCTTACTACTCTAGTAGAGAACTAGTAAATTAATTAAAGGGGTTAATAGTCCTTAGTAAAGGTAGTTTTTTAATATAAACTAGGTATTACTACTATTAATATAAAAGTAAGTACTAGAGTGTAGTTATAGAAAAGACATTCCTTAATTATATAGTAATTAGTATAATAATTATAAGGAATTTCTCTTACCTTATATATAAAATTATATACTTATACTAAGACTCTTATTTCCTATTTCCTATATTTATATTAATATTAAAAGAATTAATAAAATTATAAAAAGCTATTAAATATATATTAGAACTTAAATAATTATATAAAGATATTATAAACTCTTTAGAAAAAGTATAAATTAAAATAGAAAAATAAGAAAATAAATATAGAATAAATAAATCTTAACTAAAAAAGGAAAATAAAGTATAGCTTTATATAAAAAATTTTAAAATAAAAAGACTAAATAAGAAGCTAAATTATTTATAAATTAACTTATTTAAAATATAAAGATAAAAAAGTCTTATTAATTATAAATTAAAATTACTAAATAATATTAAAATATATTTAATATTCTATACATTATTTTTTAAAAAAGTAAGAAATATTAAACTAACTTTAATATTATTTAAATATAAACTTAAAAATTTTTTTTTAAAGTTAAAGAAATACTAAAGAAATAATATAATTAATATTTTATTAAATAAAAAAACTATTTAAAAAAAGAAAATATATAGAAACTAAAAAAATATTTATTACTTAACTATATAGGGAAGCTTTAGCGCTTCTATTATTAATAATAATAGGAATAAATAAAGCTTCTACTTATTTATTAAATTAATTAAAAAAAATCTATAAATTTTTAAAAAAAAGAGATTATTAATTATTGAATTTAATTTAAAAGTTAAAGTTAATAAATATATATTATTAGATTACTATTCTTACTTTTCTTTATATTATTTATTTTCTTTTATCTTTAAAATATTTTTTATATTAAAATTACTTAATTACTTTACTTTTTTTAAAATAAAATAATTTTATTTTATAAATATATAATAACTTAGAATAAATAGCTAGCTCTTATTTATCTTAGTTATTAAAAATATTATATTATTTATTTATCTTTTTCTTAAGAAGAGTTAAATTATATTTTTAATTATATTTATTATATTTAATATAATACCTAAACTAATTATTTAATTTTTATATACTTAGAAATATAATTCTTATAGTAATATATAATAATATAACAACTATAATATTTCCTTTTCTTAGAAGTATAATAATAATATTAAATACTATTATTAAAGAATTATATAATAAAGGAAATTAGTAACTAAGGATAATTATATTAAGAAGAGAAATAATATTACAACTTTATATAATAAGTATAATAAGATAATTATTATAGGATAGAAACTATAACTATACTAGATTATAAAAAAATAACTAAGAAAAAGTAAAAATAGCTAGAATACTTAAATATACTTAAGTACTAAGAATATTAAATAAGTTAAATAAAATTATATATATAAAATTTTTTATTCCTTTTTTTAAATAAATTTCTTTATATTTAATATAAGTTTTATTCCTTATTATAAAGTTTAAGATAATTATAACTTAATTCTATTTTACTATCTTATTTTTACTTATCTTCTAGAAAAACTAATTTATATATTTAAGGTTAAATTAATTAATACTACTTACTAGTTTAAATACTAGGGTTATAATAAAAAGCTAAAATATTAAAATAAAAACTAATTAATTAATTATAAATATTAATACTAACTTATTTATTTAAAATATAATAATTTAAAATAATAATTAAATTATAAAAATATTAATTTTAAAAATAAGTAATATTAACTTTACTTTTTTTAAAATAAAGATTACTAGGGTATTCTTAATTAAAAGATATTTTTATTATTATAATAAAAGTACTTTTTCTTAATTTAATAATAAAGAGAATTAATTAAAAGTAAATAGTCTTTAGTAGTAAAGCTAATAATATAGTTAATTAATATTTTTAATTAATAATAAATTTTAATAAATAAAAACCTTTTAAATTTTTTTAACTAGAATATAAAAAACTAGTAAAGAATTATAAAACTAAGCTAGTTTAATAAACTAGATTATAAAAATTATATAATATCTTATAAAGAATATTTTAATACTAAGTAAATATTATTATTAATTATTAAACTAATAAAATAAAAGATTAAAATATAATTATATTAATTAAAAATAGAAATTACTTCTATATATAATAGCTTAAATATAAGATACTATCCTATATATATTAAGATAAAGTCCTACTCTTATTAAGTATTAATTCTAATAATATCTTAAGCTAATTAACTTAATAATAAGCTTTTTTAAAGACTTTTTCTAGAAAATCTTACCCCTTTACTAAGAATCTCTAAGGTAATTTATAGTTAATTATTAAAGATAATTTAAATAAAAATTATATTAAACTTTGTTTAAAAGTTTTCTTAAATAAGTTTTATATTTCTATATAGGTTTTTTAAAGTATTTTATATAAATAGTTTCTACTTTTAAATATTATTAATATTATTAATTTATAAATATTAATAGGTTTTCTTTATAATTAATTTAATAATAATATTTCTCTTAATACTTATTAAATATTTTAAGAAGGCTATAGATGTAATAATAGGCTTAAAATATTCTTTGTGTTAACCTCTTATAATTCACCGTTAGTTGGCTCTCGCGTGGCGAAGCCGGCATTTCGTAAGGCGATAAATCATAAGCTGGATCCTTTACGGTGGGCATCTCTAATGGTGGATGATGATCGGTCGACAGCTCCGGCTTTTCAAACATGGAGCCCTTCTCTCGCTCACCGGCTTGAGCCTTCGCTACTCCATGTATCTTGGAAACTCGCTCCAAAAGGCATCTTTTATTGCGTCGCCTTCTTACAAGGAAACCCAGGGCCGCCGTCATGAGGGCAAGACCTACCAAGCCGCCTATGACAGCCCCACCAATCGTCCCTTTCGGCGTACGATGTAAAGATGTCGTACCATGAGAAGGAGTTGCACTGGGGATGACAATTGGGCTGTCGTTGCACTTTTGGGGACCAAGAGCAACTAAATCCTGCGTCGCGTTTGGCTGTGCTTGCCAGAGCGTAAATTCTTGACGATCATTGTCGGCTAGGACGTAGGCGGAGCTAAGAAACGGCTTGCCGAAACGAGGTATGTCGTTTTGATTAACGCCTTGGAGGCTGAGGATTAAGACTTCGCGATTTGTCGAGTTCTTGACGTACTGCTGGCCGTAACTGTTAATGTCATATTCGGGAATGATGAATTGGTGATTTGGTATTCGAATTTTCTAGATTCGGATAGATAGTGATGGTCAGATCGCCGTCATAACTACCGAAAGTTTTAGAAGACGAATTGGGTAGCACAAGCGGATACTCACGCTCCTGTAGCCGTAATGAGCATGCTGTAGAAATTCAGTAATGAATAGGATCGATCGACATAAGTGGAACCAGACACGTTGAGGAAGCTGGACCATACATCCTCAGGTAAAGACATATATGTTGCAGCAGGCTCTATACAAGCCTTCAAAGCTGATCCCTGGGAGGTGCCCAGAATGCTTGGAGACGAACCATTCTTCAAGTTCATCTTGATATCCGTGATAGTCATTACTAGACCTTGCTGGCAGTTTGGTGCGGATTGCATCGAAGTAGTCACGTTGGGACCTGTGAATTTCGCCTTATCGTAGCCACCAAAAACTAAGCTACCTTCGGTTTGTTGGTCGGTCTCCGCACCGGCCCAGCCTAGGAACAAAGACCAAGTTTTTGATGTAATAGCGCTCGCATGCTCTAACGCATTCATAATGGTGGAATTGATTCCCACACCAAGGGGATGTAGGCCCTTGCCATTCGAGATTTCGCCATCCCCTCGGTCTATTCCAACTGGGAACGTGTTGAGATTCAAGATATCACTCAGTTTGAAGATGTCAGTACCCGAACTGTCGTGGGCACTTTTATCAGTATCGCTAAACCCGTAGAGACCGGGGGCCGTAAGGTTTTGGTAAGGCTCCCAAGTCGATGAGCTGCGTTCATCGAAGAGCCCACCGAAGCGGACCGAGCACAATTCTCTGGATGCATTACTATCGCAAGCAGCTGCAGTATCATAGAGGTAAGTATTATTATTACTAGCAAGCATTAGCTATGGTGTTGCAGCCAGACGCTTCCGGAGGTGACGACAAACGGAGAGACCTCGAAGGCAAGAGGTTGTGGAGGCGTTCCGACCGAGACGTCTACACCTCGCACCAGAGCACCATTACCCAAAGTGATGTTTCGAATAAGAATTCGTACTGGAATTCCGGCATTTGTGACACAAGCGGGTTGCTCCGGACTCCAAAAAGTGCCTATGCAATTTGCGAGCTCGAGGGAATACAGGAAAAGTACCAAAAATCGTCGCTCAGTGCTAAACGACAGCATTGTGGGACAGAATGATATTGAGGCCTTCCTTGTTCGAGGTAGAGAAAATCAAGGGAGGCGAACAAAAATCAGACAACACGCCAGGGAGTAGTTGAGCATATCGGGCAAATATAATCAGCAGGACTCATAATCGTCTCCCATGCGATGCCTGCTTGCTTGACTGGGGATAATGAAACATGTTGCCATAGCTGGAACACCACTTGCTTGATACGCAGCACCAAAAGCGAGCTCCTCCTCGAACTGCGCGGATACAGATCATTGCACAGCTCGACTTGATGAGACTGCAGCAGGGCAAGGCCTTGTTGGTCCTACCAATTGGAAAGCTTCCCAGCCATCTTTGGAACGCGATGGTGCAGCAGAAGTACATCAGGAACGATGCGTGTCAGGAAATGGAAGGGGACTGGCTGAGGCTGAGATACGAGTAACCGCGATTGGACGACGAGCTTAGTTAACAATGTTTACGCCATGTTTTATTATAAAACCGCTGTTTCGGCCGACGCCGCAAACGCTAAGGCAGGCTGTAGCCGCCTAGGGAGTCGGGACTTCCTCAATTACGGAGTAGACCCATCCTTGGCCTTCCCATTAGGCTATTACAACAAGGGGCCTCAAAATAGTGGCAATGTGCTGCCCTGCACCAACCTTCGCAGCGCGTCAGACAATTTTAGTGCTCAGCCATCATTATCGAAGAAGAAGACACAATCTGTGATATACATATTTATATGCCAAACGGTCCTGCTCTCCGTGGCTGTAACCGTGCTAATGTCTTCAGCAGCACAAGAGTGAGGGCTGTTGTCGTATCCTCCTGGACTACACCCCGTCGTGGCTCTTTGCCACGATGATTCGACTTGGCACCCACCATGCAGGACGGCATCCGGTTCGAACATTAGGGGCAGTCTCCGTCTGCGTCCTATATTTGTCTGTTGTCTTCCAAGTATTCCCACGCTCTCCAGCGCCTACTGTACCCCTACTGGAGGACCCCATACCTCATAAGATTTGGCAAATATTCTTCGGTTACTCCAGTATCGATGACCTGCGCAGTCTCGTCCAATCTTGGCCGACCATGAACCAAGACTACGACTATAAACTCGTGAGCAGCGAAGGCGCGGATCACTTTGTCCGCAAGTATTATTCAAATCGCCCGGATATTCTGACCCTATTTCTCAACCTTAAATTCCCCGTCCTTCGCTCGGATCTCCTGCGCTACCTCATCCTTGAATCGGAGGGAGGTGTGTACAGCGATCTTGACACTGCTGCTCTCAAGCCTTTCAACGAGTGGATTCCGTCACACATGAAAGAGAAGGTCCGTGCTGTCGTCGGCATCGAGTACGATCAAGGGGATGATGAGCCATATGTTGGCATGAACGAGCCGCTTCAGTTCTGCCAATGGACGATGGCTTCCAGCCCTGGCCATCCAATAATGAAAAAGGTCGTCTCTTCTGTCGTTAGATCGCTACAAGAATTGGCATTGAAGAATCAAACTACCATTGAGGCCTTGAGTCCCTCCGACGGCGAGGTCATCACAGTGACTGGTCCCAAGGTCTGGACAGATGCGGTCTTTCAGAGTTTATCTGAAGCAATGGCTTCAAGCATGAGCCACGTCAACATCACAGGTATGAGGGAGCCAACATTATTCGGTGATATCCTCATACTCCCGATCGACGGTTTTGGCTCTGGTCAACCACATTCTGGCTCGTGGAGAGGAGAAGGGAATGCTCCCACAGCTACGGTGAGGCATATGTGGAAGGGCTCCTGGAAACACGGATGGTCGAACTGATCGAGAGTGCTTGACCGACGCACTCAAAGGATAGTTCCGAAATCATTGGCGCACAGGAAGTGTTGCAGAAGGAGCAAGGAAGTACGTTGTCATAGCTGGGCCCCGCAACCGGGTGAAACGGTATTACGAGTCGGCAGCAGTCGAGAAAGCCCATCGGATTTGCTCCGCCGAACCTTGAACAAAAGGCATTCGGCCGCATCCGTTAGTGATGCTGGCTATCAGTCACCAGCCAAGACAACATCCTCTGCTATCATCAAGCTTGCTCTCAGGCCTCGAAAGTCGCCTCAAAATACCACAGTCGAGCATAACAGTCAAGGGAAGCATTGGCGTTGGCACCAGTAACAGCCTTGAGTTGGTCATTATTATCTCAGCAACCGCTTCGCCACTAGGGAAGGGGAGATGGACGGTCGTTAGCAGAGGACGATCGCTTAAATGGCCAAGAGTCATGTAGACACGAGAGAAGTCCAATATATTAAAAGGAGCGACTGTCGTCAAAAGACTTGAACTTATTACCTGATAGTATCAGCAGGGTATCATAGATGTATGTACACTTCACTTTGCAGCTTACTTCTATATTCAGTAAGATACTTATCTATTTGGCGTACTAGTATCTAGCCTTTAATTAACCATGGAATATTACTTCAAGGAAGAAGAGTTAAAGCGGCGCCCAGCCTTGGGCCTTCTTCCCACAGAGGACTACAAGGACTAGCTAGGAGAGCTTTGATGAGAAAAGAGACCCCATGCATCATTTGTATCCTTGTGTTCACTCGAATTGGAATGCAGGACGACGTCCTGATTGTGTCCCCAGGACGCCCTACACACTTTACAGGATTGATCGAAACATCCTCTCTTAAGCGTTAATAAATGGGTATACTGCGAACGTCAGTGGACAACATCGTCCCATGCTCTGCCGTGGACCTCGCCCAACTCTTGGTCTGTCATTATTTTCCCAGTCGTAACTAGTCAGAATTTAGTAAATGAAGCAGCCCGTACGCGGCGGTATAGAGACTTACAATAACCCGCGTGAATTTTTGCGTCGATTTCTACTTGGCTATCTTCTGGAATCAATTCGTCAGGTAAAGGAATCCTCTCGTTTATTGGGATTCCTTGTTCAACAATTGCGTCGTGTTTCATGCTGTACCGATTGTGTCAGTCAAACCTCTTAGACAGGGTTGACAAGATAACGTAATACTTTGACATGCTTAGCATTTTGTCGATTTTGCTGATACCCAGCCAGTGAAGTATATCAGGCATTAAGGATTGAAATCGCATATCCTTCACCCCAGCAACATCTTCTGTCCGTTTGAAATATTCGCTTGCACCTAGGTGCATCTAATGAGCCAAGCGCTCAAACGGCATTTCTGCGACTTACGATCCGTGCCCCTCTTCCGAGCATTGTAAACAAGGTATTTTGTGACTTCACCCAGAGCGCGGCCTTCCTTGCGAAAGTATATTACTACACCGCTGCCTCCACGCTGGGCCTCTTTCACAGCTTCTTCAACTCCAAAGATCAAGTAGGGCCGACACGTACATATGTCACTGCCAAATACGTCGCTACCATTGCATTCATCGTGGATTCGGAGGGCAAGTTTCGAATGATGGTTAGACATGTTTGACGGATCTCCGAAACAATAGACTGTTAAACCCCCAATCGGAGGTAGGAATACCTTGATGTCGCCTCGAGTGATCAGCTCAGGGAAACTGCCCCCGGTGTTCTCGAAGAGAGCCCGGCGAAGTATGCCTTCATCTAGACAAGGATAAGCTCGCGACTCAAGTCACATGTCGCTTCTTGAGCCATATAAGCCATCGAAAGATGGTCGAGAGATGAGCTCGCTTCTCTCTTTTACGCATAGCAGGATTCGGACTTCTTCCACCTGCGACAAGTTTTCACTTGGCATTTACTGAAACAGTCGAAAAGCATATCGATATAACGAAGGATGACTCACCAATCCCGAATCGTTCTGCGACTCCAGGTAGGTACCATACTGGCTCGACTGCGAACTTGGTGACAGCTAGCTCTCCTTTTTCACTGAGGCAGATCTTGCCATCTGGGACCAAACGCCCTGACTTCACGCTGTTCTCAAGCTCAGGCAATATCATATGCGCTTTGGTAATTGCAATGGTTGGTCTGATATCGACTCGCTCTTTCAGCGACAGATTTGAGTATAGTTTGGGTGCTAGGTGCCCCCAGGGATCCATCGAGACAATCTTCCTCGGATCTGACCATTGCTGGAAGGGACCTATATCAACCGCAGGCTCAGTGTTCGTAAAATCTGGCTTATGATTCACATCTAAACTTTTACTGGCCACTGCGAGCGCGTAGTAAATCGCATAGGATCCCCCATGGGCTCCGATAGCGTTGCGACGCCTGAATGTACTCTTACCCCTCGAGACAACTACGGGCCCGCGTTGGCGAGGATCAACATGACCCCAAGACATCTGCATAGGGTCCATGCCAGGCTGCCCAGGATATGTCGTGAGAATAATCTTCGAGCTGAAGGCATTGGAAGAATGCTTGTGGGGCGACATCTTCCTCTCATTCACTTCACCTTGACTGGATCCTGAGCTTCCAGGGCGCGAAGACTTATCGGGCGAAATTTCATTTTCTTGATTACCAGACATGAGCGCAACCGTTGAGTTGGTAATTGCTGCCAATCACTGCTCCGGTATAACCTCGAGGACTTTCTGTAAGCCTGTGGGAAATCTAAGTGAATCTCGAAAACCTATACAGAGAAAAGAGATAAACAGGCGCGGTAAATCACATAGGCTCGATTGCACAAATTGCGAGACTTCATCTTGGCCTATGCTGGCATACTCTTTGATGGAAGTAGTTTTGGGCTGTTGAATGGTTATACATACAACCAAAGCCGCATCTGGATCTTTGAAATCAGGAATGAATATGATGCTTCGACTCTGCAAATGGCTAATATTACCTGGTAGAAGGCTGGGCCGACGTCACGGTTAGACTAGGGCTGCAGGGGGCCGACAGCCCTAATTCCGGATCTAGCGTATTCTCGCTAAGCCGGCGCTAATATAGAAGGATTACCGCAGCCCACTACTCAAAATTCATGTAATCAGCAAATTGTGAACATGGCTGTTGGCAAGTACGAAACCCTTTCAAAGTCCACGAGACTCATCAGCTTATTGGATTCGCTGCATCATGTGAAGCTGACGGAAAATATAGGAACAAACGCCTATCCAAGGGTAAGAAGGGCTTGAAAAAACGAACCCAGGACCCTTTCACGCGAAAGGACTGGTATTCAGTGAAGGTAATGACAAATGATACCAATTGTAATCACCTTGCTGAGAGAAAGCATAGGCCCCGTCAACGTTTCAAGTCCGAGAGTATGTCACCTCCTTGGAAATTGTGATCGCTGCGCCGCTGACTGCAATAGTGTTGGGAAAACCTTGGTGAACAGGACAACAGGTCTGAAGAATGCGAACGATGCATTGAAAGGGAGGATTTTCGAAATATCACTGGCCGATCTACAAAAGGATGAGGACCATGCGTTCCGAAAGGTAAAACTAAGGGTGGACGAGGTCCAGGGCAAAAACTGCTTAACGAACTTTCACGGACTTGATTTTACTTCAGACAAGCTGCGGTCATTGGTGAGGAAGTGGCAAACCCTTATTGAAGCCAACGTAGTAGTCAAAACAACAGACGACTACCTCCTGCGCCTTTTCGCCATTGCCTTCACCAAGCGAAGACCCAACCAAGTGAAAAAGACAACATACGCGCGGTCTTCACAGATCAGAGCTATACGCAAAAAAATGATGGAAATAATACAGCGTGAAGCTTCCAGCTGCACGCTCTCACAGCTGACCACCAAGTTGATACCGGAAGTCATTGGTCGGGAGATCGAAAAGGCGACCCAGGGCATATACCCACTACAGAATGTTCGTAGCTCATCTTCATTTGATCCGGCAACTGGCTTGTTTGTTCCTCGTGTAGTCTGCTTACTTGAGTAGGTCCACATTCGCAAGGTAAAGCTTCTAAAATCACCGAAATTCGATCTTGGTGCTTTGTTGAATCTACACGGCGAATCGACGACAGATGAGCAGGGACAGAAAGTCGAGCGGGAATTCAAAGAGCAGGTTCTAGAAAATGTGTAGGAAGCTTTGGAATGGTGGGGCCTAGCCATAGTTGATTGCAGCATTCAAGCTTTCTGAGCTGCACTGGCTTGTGCGTTGGGCCGAAGAGTGTGCAAATAACTCGAGCATTTCTTACGTCTCTTAGCCGAACGACGAACATTAAATCATTACTCGTTATAGGGCAGAGATCCCGCGACGCCGGCTTTAGTTTGTAAAGCTCTTGTACCGCCTTTTCCTCAAAAGACCCTTGCGCAGAGAAACATTCAATGCCTCCTCACGCCTCCCCACAATCAACACTTGAAAGAAACTCACGAACAACTAATCAATCAGCAAGAATGCATACAAATCATCTTCTTGGACAATTCTTACCTCGTAAAAAAGCTTCCGGTTTCTCTGTTATGACCCAATGTCCGCTGTCGATATCTTGCACTCTAAAACTTGGAAAGAACCGTCCTATCAGAGGAAGAGCCTCGTCTGGAACATAGCTACTCTTCGATCCCCTGATAATCAAAGTTGGGCCGTCGAAATGCGCCTCCTCAGGACACTTGAAAGGAAAATCTCCCATCTGATCGAGAGCCAATCCTATTATCTTGATAGGTATTCTCAATCTCAGGTCGTCTTCTTCGGAGCGCACTAGATTTGTTAACAGGAACTGACGGATTGGGAGTGCCTGTCGAGTCGTTTAGCAGAGTTGGCAGATGTGAAGGGCAGGAGCAAACCTTGCCTCCTCATATTTTTGGAGTATTATGTCCGCTTCTACCTGATTTCTGGGCCGTTCCTGTTCAATTTCGCGTAGACCTTGAACATATTGGTGGAAATCGCTCTTCAGATTGGCGTCGATTGGGGCATTGTCAACAGGAACAACAGCACGGAGAAGACTTGGAGAGCGAAGAGCGACCGTCATGGCCACTTTGGCGCCCCTGTAGATGGTCAGCATCCTGTGTCGTGCTCGCGTCCTCTTTTCCAACCCACATAGAATGGCCAATCAATGCTGTGTTTGACAATCTGTGATCTTGCAAAAACTCTTCCACATCATCTGCCATGGTCGAATATGTGTGTAAAGCATCGTGAGGGGAGTTTCCGTGGTTACGTAAATCCTGTGACCGTCAAGTATAAGCTGCATATGGCTGGCTGCACGAAGTCACGAACGAGAGCATAGACACTGGCCCTCAGGTCACGAGCTAGCACCCTAAATGCCTCAGTGCGACTGACACCGCGGTAATTAGGGATAGCTTACTTACTGATGCTCCGATGATTTCGGGCGGAGCCAAAGAGACCGTGGAGAATGACGACGGGGGGTCTGGAGACCCCCCACCTGGGGGCTCATACAAGTGGTGCGCTAAAGTCAAAGGACGCTTGCTTTGTGTTGAACCGTTCGAGCGCCACGAGTAGAAGACCCCGCGAAACATTGAGTCACCAGCGAACGTGGAACCCGCGTTCTTGCGGCGTCTTTTTTCCTTATAGTGCCTTTAGTAACGATGAAGGCCACTCCTCGGCCACTAGTCCTCGATTAGTTAGCGCTAATCTGCCGCGCAACCTTAATATAACCGGCTGGGGCGCAAGAGTTTACCTATCCCTTCACCAGATCGCAAGCATAGAAATGACACATTGAGATGGTAGATTCCTAAAGCTCTTGGGGCCTTTTGTGCTAGTATGTGCTGACATTTCCTTCAAGGGGAAACGGAAGAAATCATCGAGGAAACCTCAAGGTCCTAAAAAGGTTCCTCCATCACAAGCCTTACATCGCGCAAAAGCTCATACTACCTCTACAGAAGGAACCCTTACCAACGAATTTCCCATGTCTCTTTTGCAACCACGAGAAATCCGTGTCAGTAAAAATCGACAAGAAAGGCGGTGTTGGTGAACTCTCTTGTAAGGTTTGCGGACAGCAATTTCAAACGGGAATCAATTGTTCGTAGCTTGCATTGAAGTCCCGGAGCTACCGCTAAACTGCACAAGATCTCTCACAAGCGGTTGATGTGTATTCAGATTGGATTGACGCTTGTGATGCTGTTGCAAAAGAAACGAACAACGCCCAAACTGTCGATGACGGTTTCAACTCATACTCCGATTTGGCCGCAGGCAATGAGCGACGGAATTCGGAGATGAATATTGATCGTCACCTGGTCTCTGCCGTAGACGGTAATGAATATGGTGGAGACTTCATTGACGATGACTAGACTCTTCCATTGCAGCCACAGCAAAGGCTCGGCAGGCGCTTCATTTCTGTTGGGCATTGAGACGCCGTGACGCTAATTGGCATGAAGCTTCGCCCAAGGGATAGTTGAAATATGTAGACTAGATGCAGAGAATAGGAGTGATCGTACGCTCTGAATGGTCATCAACCATGACAAAATTGGAAACATTTGCTCCCCCGGTCTGAGTACACGTGTGACTGCTTTGCTTCGATCATATCTTAAGGATCTAGCCTCACCATCAGAGCGTGTAAAAGCGGTCTCCAAAATCGCCTAATCCGGGCACTATGTATCTAAGGTTTCGTCAACGCAATCCTGCGAAAGAAAGATAGATGCGTACTCACTTCTTACCGTTCAAACCCTGGTCAACAAAAGATGTGACAACTCGCAATCTAGGAAAGTGCTGCGCGAAACGTGAGATACCTTCGGGGCTCGCAATAACATTCAAAAAGAATATCCGATCCTCTGGAACCCCTTTCGATTTCAAGACCTCCACTGCCATGATTGCTGATCCTCCTAGAATCCATCTTAAGACGATAGCATGATTTTACAGGTCGTTATCTTACCTGTTGCAAACATTGGGTCAAGCAAGAGAACCCATCGATTTGCGATATCCTCGGGTAACTTCTCATAAAATAATCTCGGCTTCGTAGTCTCTTCGTCCCTTTGAATCAATATCTTTCCAATACGCACAGACCGACAGCAGTCCCGGAGGCCTTGCTCCATGGCCTCCCCCGCTCGCATAACGGAGACTCCACAAATCTTTCCTTGAAATTTGACGCCAGCATACTGTTTTCCTACGGGGGTCGTGATTGTGTGTTCCACAACAGGTAAATGATTTAGTCCTTCTTCGACAAGCAGCCGAATGATGCGATTGGAATAAAACACGAAATCAGCCCTCTCAGTATTGCGGTCCCGAATGATGCTGACGATGGCTTGTTAGAAACCTCTCGCGGTCGGAAGTCAGAAATACATACGTAAGTAATGCAATCAATTGTGGAGTCTGCGGTAGAATATGGACATTATCGTACGTGATTTCTGTAGAGATGGTGGCAGTGGGCTTTTGTGCTTTGGGGCGGTACGAGGGGCCTAACGGTTGTGCTGGAGCGACGATCTCTATTGCTGAAGCCATACATGAAGTGGATGACGTTGATACGCATCGATGTCCTCTGATGAGCAGATAGTCGTTGGTGAAATGGTAGACGCGAGGTGGAACTTGCTGCTTTAGTTATCTGGCACCTTAACTGCGACGACGTGAATGTTTAGACAACCAATGGCCTGCAGAGACACTTGATACCATCTCGAAGTCAAGCCGAGAGCCTAGTGCAAAGGCAGGAAAGCCGTAGTAATGACTGTTTGACTTGGGGGTAAGAGTCGACATCAGTGACAGCCCTAGTGATTGGATGATAACATGAGGTGAGGCACGCCAAGCGCGGCCCGCCGACCGAGAGCGTCCTCAATGACGAGAGAGAGGAAGAGTGAATATCAATCTCCTTTACCAGCAGGTCTGGGAAAAGCCAGAAGCAGCGTTCGACCATACGTACTTTCTGGTCGTGACTGCAACCACTCATCCATCACGTTGCAAGAATGTATTCCCTTTGCCGATAATTGCGTCGTGCGACTTTCCGGATCGTTCTACCTTGAAGGCGTTATGTTCTTCCCATCAAGACTCAATTCTTGCTCGATGATCTAAGATCGGTAGCTCTGTACATGGCTGCTGTTACTCAGAGGCACAAGGCCGCAAAGTACGGCAAAGCGCATCGCAAGGCCTTGGTGGACGCCGCTTTCGGGGGTTTAGATGAACTTTCACAGACACCGTGGGATACTGCGTGCTACTCTAACATACAGCGCACCGACCAAGAAGCTACGCCCCAAAACAATGCAGCGATCCCCAATCATCCGTTGCGATCCTCGAACCACCACCACCACCATACTAGTCGTAGCTCCTCTACGTCCTCTCAATCTCGCGAAGACGAATTGTACGGATCTCCACCGTCAGATGACGAAGTTCAAAAGAAACAAAGTGTCGCAATTAGGAAACGGCGGAAGCTGTCGCCACCTGCTGAAGCAAAGCAGAACGCTCCTCTGCGCTTTGATGACGCTGGAAAGCAGAAAGCGAAGGCCAAACAGATGCTTCAGAAAGGAAAGGCTCACCTTTCAGCACCTGTTGCAAGCGCTGAAACTTCCCTGCCCAGCACTACAGGACAGAAGACTATCAGCGAGGGACAAAGACGTTCGAAGAATGTGCCGATCGCTAGGAAGCCTACACAGAAGAAGCTCAACTCTCTATCTGAAACTGTTCAAAAGAGATACAAAGTAGTCGCCGCCCCCAAAATTACTTCAAAGCAGGCGCGGTACAGTATCCGACCACGAGAAGGATCTTCTTCTACATCGAACGAACGGTTACGAGATTCTGCTGCACCACAGACTCCTCCTCCAGGTCTCGGAGATCCGCCCGTCACGCCACCAAGGTCAAGCCCCATCCCGCATGGGTATTCTACGACCCCACGCCAGCAAGATCTCTGGGATCGATTGCTTGCCTCAGAAAGCCAGTATGCCAGTCCCAGTCAGCTTAGTATGTCGGGTTTCGACATCTCGGATGGGGCAAAGGCCTCTGCGCAATCTTGCCCTAAATCTTCTGGCCCGCCAAGTTATAAACAGTGCACCTCTACAAGGCTGATCGATGCCTTGAAAAGCCCACAAAAGCGGTCAAGATCTCAAGATTCAGATTCCAGCACCGACTCACAATTCTCCGCCAAAAGCACGGCGAGCAACTTCCGGCCCCTGATTGCAGAAGAACAGATTCCAGGTGTTACCGATACTGTCAACTTCGAGCTAGCCGGTGGCGCAAACAACCATGTCAATGGAATGGGCGAACATGATTTGTACCTTGGCGAAACGTCGATTGCTCAACCAATCGTCCCGTCTCGTGGGCTGAAAGTTACCTACGCACAACAAAGGTCATATCTGACTGATCAGACAGAAAGTCAGAAAGTGAGTTTTGACTTCTCGCCCCAAATAGCAGTGCCGAGACCTCAGCAACCTCAAAAGTACGCCCCCACAGGGACCGCATCTAGATCCAATTCAATCGATGAATATGAGTTTGAGCTAGACGAGCCTCAAAATCCACAGGTCGGAGCTATGAGAAGCATTCATGAGCTACGGGAAGCTGGTGGTAGTGTACGATCGGTGGGTGAATTGGAGGCCCTCCTCGATGAACTTGATGGGAGTCAAGACCAGGTTACTGTTACGCGAAGGATACTCATCGCGTTCGCGACTAAATTTGAGGAGCCGTCGAATTCCCGCCTCTTCGTAGACAAAGGCTTTGAGCTGCGCCTATTTTCGAAGGCTGTCGATATCCGCGATACAATAGTGATGTCACTACATGCAATGTCGATGCTGCGACTTCTTTTGAATTGCAACTCTCCGACGCTTAGAGTTTTTCTGACTGACAAGAAGATAATGCCTTTCCTTATGCAACTTCTCACATCTGATCAGAACCTAGTTGTCCTAGCCAAACAACGAGAGACGAATCTGTCAAAGCTCGCACAGCAAGAATATGTTGCACTATGTAACAGACTACTGGCGCCTGTGCTATGGAGGAAAGGCCGTCCAACCCTCGTCTCCTGCCGATTGCTTTCTTTACAATGCCTCGAGCACCTCTACAGTCTGCAAATAGACCAAAACCCCTTCGCTCAGCCATTGACAGCAGAAAACGCCCAGCAGCTAATAGAGACCTCAATTCCCAAGCAATCCGATCTTTGGGCTTCTAATCAAACACAACGCGTTAGCGTCCATCTTTCAGTATCTATTCTCGAAACCTACATTATCGGAGGTGGTGCAGCGATTCAGGCCCTACAAACACCTGAGATTCTGGATCGTATCGTACAGGTTTTGCCTAGCATATCGGCATATCATAAGGACTCTGAAGCGCTCCAGGTCCAAACACTTCGCTTGTATCTCAACATGACAAATAACGTGCCTGGAATCTCAGAAGCTTTTGCGCACCCAGATGTTGTGACAACCATTTTCGATTTCGTAACATCATACTTTACACAAGCGGGTGAGGAGGACGCCGAGAACAAGTTAGCCAAGTTGGACAAAGGCATCCTCTCATTGGGGTGTCTAACAAACATCGCAGAAGTCTCAGAGGGAATGAGATGCCAATTCCTCCGGCGGACGGGAGAGCAACCTGCAATGTTAGATGCGCTCATGCAGCTCTTCCTGACCAACAATCGCAAAGCTTCCGAGGTGAGAGCGGTCCTGAGAGCACGAAGCCAAAAGCTGATTATCGCAGGTTTACTCGCAAGAAGAAAGCATTAGCAATGTTGCCTTTGGATACGTCTCAGTCCTGATCTGCTATCTCTGCCTGAGTGAGCCCGTGAGGGTTCAAGTGCCCTCATTGCTGCCCGAGAAATCCCTCCAAACTGTCTTTGAAGCAGTCGCAGAGTTCCTCGAATACCATCGCATGATCGATGACAAGACCGGAAATAATCAGAATACAGATGGCCGAATAGGCTTCGTAGAGCGTGTACAGGGGGTCTTGAACGATCTCGGGTCGCGATGAACATCAATGCCACATAGTGAATGTGGCACTGAGGCGGATGCTTGTGCTGTTGGGTGGATTATATGTTAGCGATACGTATGTATAAACTTCATGAGATTTGTGAATGTGTTGTTACGGCTCCGAAGGACGAGCGAGGATGGCAGTCGGGTGCCGACTACGAGATAGGTATTCGGACACGTGGTAGTTGCAGGATAAACCCTTGTAATTATTGTAGGGTCTGTGCTGCAGGTGCGGCAGTAGCAAGCCATGACATGCGCTCTTGAGCGATCTCAATTTATACTCGATTGAAACATGACTTGCGATATGAGATATCAATGCGTTTACTCGATCCTCTGCGCAGGCAAGGAGATAGAAAAGTCATGAGTGCCGCAGCGCCAGCAACAGATGCTTCATTGAAAAATCGATGGTGATCGGTGTCAGGCACTCGATATTTGCGTTGGGTGTCAAGGTGACATCTAGGACGAAAAAGCTGGGTATCGATGTCTATGACTACCTGGCGCGTCATTATCGGGCGGTGTGATCCTCTCTCAACACTGAGATTAAATACCCGCCATGTCTCGATGCTCTCCTTCGCACGGCTGTTGCTCAACTTAGGCTCAGCGAACGATCCCGAGGAAAAGCTCTTTTGCTGCAGCAATGCCAGCTCCAAAGCAGAGGAAGCTCGCTGTTGTTGGGAGCCGGGCGGTCGGTAAGTCGCAGGTGCTCGCCCCTGCTCTCTATCCTGGGCTGAAGTGGCTCCCTAACAGCGAATTTGCAGGCAAATCATCTCTCAGCGTACGCTTCTGCGCAGAACGGTTTGTGGATAGTTATTACCCAACGATCGAGAATACCTTCAGCAAGATCATCAAATACAAGGGACATGATTTCGCGACAGAAATCGTAGACACTGCAGGAACGGTAAGCGTCTGATCCCCCGTGGGTGCCACGGCCTTGCAAGTCCGTTCCTGAGCTTCCACGCCCACCAGAGGCGCGGCTTCTTGCAGCGATCGCCGATTGGACTAATGCGATCACGGTCAATTTAGGATGAGTACAGCATCCTCTCGTCCAAGCACTTCATTGGCATACATGGCTACATGCTCGTCTACTCGATCGCTTCTCGACAATCGTTCGAGCAAGTCAAGATACTACGGGACAAGATATTGGACCATTTGGTTCGTCTGGTCTTGAACCCTTTCGCCACAGGCCTAAAGTTCACTGACCAAGTACTTGCAGGGTACCGAGACCGCTCCAATGGCTATCGTGGCGAATAAATTGGATCTCAAGCCTGGACAACGGCAGGTGAGCCTAAAAGAAGGGCAGGAATTGGCGGCAGAGTTCAAGTGTAGCTTCACGGAGGCGAGTGCAAGATCAAACATCAATGTCAGCACTGCATTCGAACACGTGATCGGGGAGATCGAGAAATCCCAAAACCCCGAGCAGCCTGCTGGGGGATCTAAGTGTTCTGTGATGTAGACGGAGTCACGCCGAGTAGGAAGCGCAGGTATAGAGAGAGGATAGCGCATGTGGTCGTTCGAATATAGATCGGCATCGGTTTTACCATGCCATGATAGACAGATAGAAGGGCTCGGAGTTGGAGTTCGATTGTTATGGGCATGGGAAGAACAGCAATTTGCTGGTGATAGAATTTCGGTCAGTTCAGGTCTGAAGATATCAAGTCTCAGCTTTTCTCAACTTCAATTACAATATGCCAATCGCTATGAAAGGAACTATAGCTTCTGGCCTTGGTTTGAATAAAAGTTCAGTAGACCCTCCAAGAATGATCTGGGTTAGATCCGCAAACGCTGGTGGCCCCACCTGAACGCGGGAACGCGGGCCCTAGAAATAAGGGTAAATATGAGTGTGCCTAAATACTGACCTAGCAGCATGACGGAGGTCGTTCATACAACAACTTCGTTGTATGTAGGAAGAAATCGGATCTCGACTCTATCAACATGCTTGACGTCTTCGACTTTTTGGAAGATAAAGGTGGTGATACAAAGAAGCTGAAAGAAAGTCAGCGGCGGCGGTATGCGCCTGAAGTGGCCGTGGAGGAGATCCAGGCTTTGTATGAGGATGACAAAACAAGTACGTGCTTGATCAATTCTTGGTAGAATCCTGGTCTAAGCGATGTATTCTACAGCGAAATATGCAGCAGCACAGACGAAACAGAAAATTAACGCTCTACAGAGAGCCATTGGGGCTAAAATGAAAGTGAGTTGAACACGCTTAAAGCACAGCCTTGATTCATAGCTGACGAGTCTTTTCATCAGGCCCGAGAGAATGCAGACGGCTTGCTCCACCAAAAGAGTGAACTAGAGAAGGAACTGAAGGTCCACGAAAACCAAGTAGGACCAAAAGAAGCTGCACTCCAGAAAAAGCTGAACACGGTCGGGAACTACGTGCATGAAGATGTACCTATCGGCAAAAACGAGGTATAACTAAAGCTCCTGCTTTACACGTTAATGCTGATACGCCTGGCTCTAGGATAAAAACCAGAAGATACGAGCATGGACGCCGAAAGGAACACATCTGGAGGGGAGAGAGTGTCTATCGCACCATGAAGTTCTCACCAGGATAGACGGATATGATCCAGAACGGGGACAAAAGATTGTTGGACATCGGGGCTATTGCCTTACTGGCTATGGCGTCTTTCTCAACGACGCTCTGTCAAACTATGGAAAACAATTTTTACATAAGAGGGGTTACAAAGCCATCCAACCCCCTACTTTATGTTTCGGGATCAAATGGCGAAGACTGCGCAACTAGAACAATTCGACGAGGAACTCTACAAGGTCGTTGAGGACGAAAATAATAAGGACAGCGACAAATACCTCATTGCGACTTCAGAGCAGCCAATCTCAGCACTACATGCTGGTGAATGGATGCAAGCAAAAGACCTCGACCCACCTATCAAGTCAGTCCACTTCTGAATAACGATGATGAGCGTTGTGTTGACGCCAATAGGTATGCGGGATTCAGCACTTGCTTTAGGAAAGAGGCTGGCGCCCACGGAAAGGATGCCTGGGGTATCTTTAGGGTCCATCAATTCGAGAAGGTCTAGACAGCCTCACCAGTATGCAAAGACTCACAGCTAACCATTCACTTAGATCGAGCAATTTCTTTTTACGAAGCCTGAAGAATCATGGCAGGCATTCCACGACATGATGGCAATCTCCGAAGAATTCTATCAATCGTTGGGGCTCCCTTATCAGATCGTGGCAATAGTTTCTGGAGCACTTAACAATGCAGCGTCCATGAAGTACGATCTAGAAGCCTGGTTTCCTTTCCAGTCGGAGTTCAAGGAGCTTGTATCCTGTTCGAATTGCACAGATTATCAAGCACGCGCTCTTGACATCCGATACGGACCTAAGCAGATAACAGAAGCGCGAAAAAAGTACGTTCACGCACTCAACGCAACGTTATGTGCGACCGAGCGTGCACTATGTTGTATCCTAGAGAATTACCAAACTGAGGATGGCCTTCGAGTGCCAGAGGTGTTACGTAAGTGGATGCCCGATGAGATTGACTTCATTCCATTCACAAAAGAGCTTCCGAAAGATTCGACTTCTTTGAAGGCGAAGGGAAAAGCACTAGGTGCAAAACCAAATGTCCCCGTCTCCGTTGAGGGCACGGTGGATAAGCTGAAGAAGATGCAGGTAGACTCGTAGCAATAAGACGCTTGCAAAGACACGAAGGGCGATATGTAGATGGTGTCATCCTTCCACATCTCATTTGAGCACAGTCGTGTTAAGCATAATGAGCCAAAGCCTCGTCAACGTTTCATAACGGCCGTGAGATCTCCATATTTGCAAATCATACATAGTCTCTTGGCAATACCACAGGCCTTACCGACCGCAACTGTTGGCACAACGTATTATGCTCATAGAGAATAATACAGATGGGATGCATAGCAAAACGATGTCTTATGTTGCAAGCCATCGTGCTCTGTATTTGTCGGCCACACCTGCACCAGTCCTTGGGAATGCGCATCTACAACGGACTTGATTAGGATGCGAGAAGTGCCACCAGTACCTGCATTGCTTGAATTTACGCCATTGGCATTCATTTGTTCACATCGTATACGCACAAATAATGTCGAAAACGAAATTATTATACTGTCCGTTCTGCAATTTTGTGGAAAGCGATCCTAATTTCCTTCAACAACATGTGAATCTGATACATCCAGAGGACGATGATGCGCCGTATCTCGTCCATGACCCGCCGGCACCGAGGTGCCAGTCTTTGTCCAGGGCAACAACAGCATTGGAAGGCGCTTCCGACTGGGTTGCTTGTGACTGTGGAGAAGTCGTACTCTTGATCGAGTACAACGCGCATTTAGACTTACACGAAGAGGAGAATGCATATTTTGATGGTATATCTACCAGAGCAGAATTAGCTAATGACACGATGGCCGACTCTCATACAATGTCATCACCCAGAGGTGCCTCCTTTCGATCTTCTTTTCCGTTGTCAAAGCCTCTTCATAACCCTACCAACCAATATAGCTCATCTCAGTATCCAGAAATTGTGAAATATGGTGAACCCTCATTTCTTGGACGTCAGAAATCGTGCAATCCCCCCAAAGCGGGTCAATCGTCGATCATGGGACCTTTGAAAACGTCAACAGCGAATATAGCTCGGCTAGGTGTCAGTATATTTGTTGCTGTATTTGAAGCGACTCGTTAAGAACTTTGTGCAGGCCGCGGAACTTGGTCCATACTACAACGAAGTCCAAATGCCCCCCCGCCTCCGGCAATTGTTAGAGAAGGGAGCTAAAATGACCATCACCAACCAGATCACTCGTGATGGGCGGCTGCTTCGTATTGAGAATGTAGCAAACGAAATGCGGGGCATCGTACCAGTCCTGGCCAAACTGTGTGCTCAGGATGCACTTGTAACGAGAGCCTATCTTTGTCATCCAGATGTAACCAACATCTTCAAGATGTCAAAAGAGGGCGGTTTCTGTGGGTTTGTAGCATTTCCCCTAGGATTGATCCCCCTAGCTTATGGTGAAAAGCTATCGAAACATTCAAATGATGATGTCTTACATCCAGAAGACACAGTCTGAGGGATACGAACGACTTCGCGGGAGGTTGCCGTCGATCTTCGAGTTGCAAGATATGATTGAGCATGCATGGGACCAAGGCTTCAATCGGAGAGGTCGTGACGAGACGGGGGGCATCCGTGGTACAAGAAAGTATATCGGAACACCCGAGGCAAGTGTCAGTGAGCTGAAGATATATTAGCAACAATGACGAGTTTTGCAGGCACAGGCATTGTTTCTAAGCCTTGACATTCGGTTTGCTTCTGCATAGAGCCGAAGAAGCGAGATGCATGCACTTCTGACTACGATCTAGCTGCGACACGAAATCCTTCATGACCCATCATCTGCGGTCGAAGGACCCCGGTAAGCCAGCGTGGCTGCAGCTTGTAGAGGCAATCGAACGGTATTTCCTAAGTGACGATCCAAATCTCCTAGAGACAGTGTGTCGGACTTCTTTGCCACCGATATACTTTCAGCATCGAGGTATCATGAGTTGACTCTCCCCTCTGAGCCGTAAACTGATCTGAGACAGGACATTCAATGACGATTGTCGGGGTTGAGCGGCGCAAGGACGGACAAAGTAACGTCTTGGTCCTTGACCCAATGTACAGACCATCGATAGGCATAAAAAGCTTGACAGATGCCCACTTTCGTGTTGCTCAACCGGCTAAATTGCTTAAGGCGTATCGAAGGGACGATGTATATTTACACAGGTTTGATGTTTTCGAGATATTAACGTGAGTGCCCTTTCTTTTTCCATAGGTTGGCAGAAGCAGACTCTTACCATATCAGGTTGACCGCACGTGTTGCGCCCAAAACTGGCTGGCACGGCTCATAGTTGTTTTTTTTTTTAATTTGTTGATGGGCCTAGCCGTAGTATGAGAAGAAGTGACTTACGAGGTTATGGCTGGCAGCGTCTGTTGGGAATTTACTTCAAGGCGACGCTACTAGCTAGCAAAGCGGCTACAAGCGTGGCGCATGAAAGCAATGGAACATATTGATCTCAATCAGAGAAATTTCTCCGGGCTATTTTCACTCTATACTTCCCTGCGGGCTGACTGATTGGGGAATCAGATGTTGGTCTTGGTTCGTGCCAGGCTTTCGATCGATCAGGAGAAATATCCCAAAAGGTAAGGATACCTGCAACGCTCGATAAAACACTGCTTTTTACGATTTCTCGAGTTGTGCTGTGAGGTGGACCAATAGGACTATAGGCAAATGCAGAATTACCATCATCGCTCTTGGTAAGCGGACCTTCTCCAATAACATACATTCCAGCCTTCATCAGTGTATCGCTGGATTCAGGTCCCGCTGTCTTTTGAGAGTTCCTGTATGGTAAGGAGAAAGCTTCCACTACCTGTGCAATTTGTAACGACAAAAAGTAATCATCAGCGACATCGTCGAAAACTTTGTTCAAAGCTGGGCATGAGGTGGCGAGTCCCGGTCCATAAATATTGATTAAAGGCTGTGCTGAGATTGCTCCAACCCTAGGTCCAGGAATCATTTTAACGTGAGGTGTACACTCATGTCTAATCCAATCCAATAGATCCGAGGTGTTCAATATGTGGATGAGCATCCAACTTACTAAGGCGGTATATGTGACATTAAGGCTAACAAATGATTAGCGATCTAGAGGGTGGTCGTGCCAGCAATTTTCTCAACCTACTCCCATATGAATTCTAGATCAGCGGCAACACGCAGAGATTTTGGCACCCCTTGGTTACGCCAAAAGGCACTTCTCGCTTTCACAACGGGACTAACATCACTGAGATCTCGCCACTGACTCGGCAGTGGCTCACTGCTGGCTTCGGCATGGAGAGCATCATAGAAAGAGCTTATGACTTTTGTGAGCGTTCTCCGCGCAATATATGCCTTAGTCAGAGGCGGAATGGGAAGCCAAGGTGATACACGAATGAGCAGATATTTCCATCCGTGCTCAAAATCCGAAATGTCCTTCAACGCAGAAGGACATGTGTCTGAGAAATCACTCCCAACCAATGACGTTAGATGAATAGCTCCAGTGAAGCTCCTCAGTAATGCCAAAAGATCAATCTCAACAGCGGGACGTAACCTCATGCCATATGTCTGCTCCGTGAGGGTTGCATTCGCCAAGCGTTCCCACTCATACTGGTCAATGGCGCTTTCACTAAACGAGACCAGATCTGGCAGGTGGCTTTCTAAAGAGGCGTTGATGCGTAACGTGAGATCGGAGGCGAGTTCTTCATTTCCGTAGTAAGAAGGCGCCTGGTTAACTTTCATGAAAGATTCCCAAAGTTTCGCGTCAGCACCGTACACATTGGCTAGCATATGCCAATGGAGAGTGTTCTGATTGAGGGATGACGCTTGTCGCTCGAATACTTTTTTGCTAAGGTCTGGCTTGAGAATAATAGCACACCTTTGTCCAAGTACCTGGATAGTGACAAGGCTCTGGACGGCTGAAGTCATCTTAGCCCGACGGAAAAAGCCTTGCCAGTTATACCAGAGGTGGAAGAAATGACCGAAATAAGGGAGCCAGTAAGGGATAATGAAAGAGTCTTTGGATGGACTCGCTGACGCGCCCAGTGAGCCTTTTCTGTTCACGATAACGACGGAAGCACTGCAAGCTAGAACAAGTAGGGCAATTAGTAGCGAGACCTTCAATTGTGCGTAGGACTCGGTCATAGACCAGTCTTCCGCTTCAGACATCTGGCAAGTGCTTCTACAGGGCGTCGAGCTTGAGATCAATCAGAGAGCGAATGATAGAGCATCTATATACTCTTTAAACAAGGACAGCAAATGACTTCGGGACATTCATCTCATTCGTACGTCAGTGCAGCACGTAGATATGGTTTTCGAGCCTCATCCCTTTGATCTTCAGGGGCAGCCGGGGGTTCGGCGCGTCCCGCCTAGCAATCTGTTACACCTTACACACATATGCAAAATTACCTAGAAAAACGCGCGCCTTTTTCCGCGCGAGGGATAAAACCATCAAAAACTTTTTCACGTCTACCTCTATCAATATTAATCTGAACCTTATGATTAAAGACTTTTTTTGAAAGCGCTTGAAAAGAGCTTTTTAGTAAAATAAAAATTTTGAAATTTAGATAAATACTTAGAAAGTTATAAAATTAAGTATTTTTTTTACAATTCTTATATTATAAGCTTTAGCTTAGGAAAATTACTTTTTTTTAATATTATTCTATAAGTATATATTTAAATAGAATAATTTTTAATTTTTATAAAAAACTAAACTCTTATAATATTAGGAAGTATATAGATTACTATATTTTAAAGCTTACTAATTATATAGCTTATTAATTTATAGTTCTTAAGCCCTAAAAAGTAGAGAGCTTTATTAAAAGACAAAAAAGACTCCTTATATCTTTATAAATAATTGACCAAAACTTACAACTAAAATCTCATTTTAAAGCTCTTTTCACGCGCTTTTAAATAAGTCTTTAATTATAAGTTTTAGATTAATATTGATGGAGGGAGAAGTAAAAGGATTTTTGGCGGTTCTGTACCATGCGCGCCAAAATCGCAAGCGTTTCTTCTAGGTAACTTTGCATATAGGGGTAAGGTACCCTCGGTACCTTACTTGATGTTCCATTTCTATGGGCATCGAGAGATGTATTTTAAATTGCCAGTCATATTCTTTCTACCGCAATGTCGAGGACTCGCCCCAACATAATTATCACCGGCACCCCTGCCGTTGGCAAGACCAGCCATTGTGAGCTGCTAGCAGAGAACAGTGGCTTACAGCACCTCCCGGTCAACCAGATTGTGAAGGAGAAACGTTGTCACGAGGGTTGGAACGACGAATACAAGAGCTGGATAGTGGATGAGGACAAGGTTGTTCTATCTACCGTGCCATTGTGATTCAACATTGTAGTAACCTGTCACTAACAGCTTCTTGACACCCTCGAAGAAGACCACGCCGTTTCTGCCCAGGGCGGCTTCCTCATCGACTGGCACGCCTGCGATCTCTTCCCCGAGTCCTGGATCGATCTCGTCGTGGTGCTGCGCACTGACTCACAGAAGCTTTACGATAGATTGAAGGCTAGAGGTTATGGAGAGAAAAAGCTACAGGAGAACCTGGACAGTGAGATCATGGGGATTCTGAGCGAGGAAGCTATAGAGGGGTTTGAGGGGAAAATCGTAGTTGAATTGAAAAGTGACACAGAAGGGGACGTGACGGCGAACGTGGGGAGGGTGGAGGAGTGGATCAGGGATTGGAGCAAAGAGAGAGCGAAGGGAGATCGGCTAGAGAATGATCAAGAGAATATTGGGTGAGAGAAAGTAGTTGGTGGAAGAGTAATGGATTGAATGAGGCTATGTCTGCGTTTGCAACCAGGCTTTGAGTTTGGCGAGAGCCAGAGCCCGATGGGACAAGCCATTCTTCTTATCCTTGGCCATTTCGGCATATGTCTCGCCTTGATATTCGAAAATGGGGTCCCAACCTGCCGGGATCAGTTGAGGAGCCTTCAAAGCTATAACTTAAAGGGTGTGGTGACACACCGAAGTTGGTTGATCCACGGGCCGGAACAATCCTTCCCTTGTTGGTGGTCAGCGACCTGGGAAAGATCGAGTCAGGGACGGGCACCGAACATGGACTCTCCCTTGGAAAATAATGGGCTCACACTTTGGCCCCTCACAGTAGGCAAATGTACAGACAGCTTCGGCGCTTTTGTCTGGATATGCAAGAAGCATGTTGTTAAGACCTTCATGGCCGAGTGCTTGGAGGAACCATTTGCTGAAAGAGCCCGTGAGTCAAATGAAAGCTTGAGTTTTGCTGGAGTGGGCTTTCAAGTTTCATACATGTAGGGTCCCGGCAAGTCCTTGAGGGCTTTGAAACATAGACAAGTATCTTCCGTCAAAACGGGGCCTCCCACCTGTATTGGAATTAAATCAGTAGAATGCAATGCTTGCCGTGTTCTGCCTTCTACCTCGTCTGCGGCTCTACGGCATTTGTCCTTTGAAATATCCTCTATAGTACCTTGCGTCTCTACAAGAACTAGTGATTGGCTTTTCAGAGGTACCACGTCGCCAAGAATGGATTGCACTTCCGCCAATTTGTTTTTGTTGCCTGTGATGAAGTGCAGTTCCTTGATCACCATCGTGCAATTTCCTGAATAGTGTAAAATGGTAGAATCTCGTCCTGTAGCTAACCTCACTTGGCCTCGGTAGCGCTTCCGGAAAAGGGTCTGAGTAAAATGGGAACAATCGTGCGTAAGCATCAGGTTCGCAAGCCAACGGAATCAAATCCATTCAATGCTGATGTGATGTACACAAATCGCTTACTATACATATATGACCCTGTAAAACCCAAGATTGAATGAAGATCGCCACTCCAACGACCGCAAGGCATCATGTCCAACGCACGGAGATACTCCTTTTTCCAAATTTGCCGGACGTTCAGTATTTACTGGCAATCCCTGGATTATGAGCACTTCAGGTTTCAACTCTCCAAAACAATTCCAACAGTCCATCTACGCCGCCGTCAAGACCTTGATGGTAATACGACTGTCTCAAACCACCATCCACGACCTTCGACTGAATAAGTCTATGTTGAGCCTTTCCTTCATTTGGGGATAACTTCGGCCTTGTTGGCCCTAATGAATGGTCGAGGCCGGCGTTGTTGGATGCTTCATGAGTAGCAACATCGTCCATTGTGTGCTCCATGCGATCAAGTCTTATATCTTTGAGAAAGTCCTTACGATAGCGTGATATTGAGTAGCCGTTGGTAAGAATTATATCGTCGTTAAATCGCCACCTTTGCAGAAAGCACTCCTGACAAATATCTGCAATCTGGTGCGCGAGCGGCAAATCATAAATATCTTTCGACGTGGACGTAGGCTTCCAATTATGGAGAGAGGTGGGCAAGCGCCCACTCTCGAAGAAGCCGGAGAGGTCTCCAGTAAGATTGAGCGGATACAGACTGCGCTCATAAGCCAATTTTATCTCCGAGAGTTCGTTTATGCATTCCATTATCTTCCGTTGTTCGATACTGTTTTGCGTCACTTGAGTGCAATGTTCGTAACTGTTCGCCATCGTTTGCGCCAAAGGCATAGAGATGAAAACACCCGCACCAATATGACCTGCTAATCCGTAGTGCATGACATCCCTGAAGCCTTCAGGAAGACCGCCTATGTAATGTTTCTCTTCTGGGTTCCGCCGCGAGAGTATTGATACCAAAGCAGAGACGGAAGGAAAGAACGTGTCGTCATCAATCAAGCCCATCCATTGCGCGTTGTTGCGGTTTTCATACAAAGTCTTGACGAGTGAAAGGGAATCCACACGCGAGCTGCTGCTAAAGTCGGAGGCTTCAAGGATTCGCACGTTCATGCCAAGCTCTTGCATATGGGAATGTAGGTGCGCTACTTTGTCTGCTTCTGCGGAAGAGGTTCTATGTGTGCCATTGTGCTCTTCTTCAGTCAAGATAGCAAGCAATTGACCATCTAGTTTTGAGAGCCAGCGCCGGAGTTGTGGGATTGCTATCTCGAGGTTAGGCAGGGTAGTAAGAAGGCCGAAGAGGATGTTGGAAGCGTTGTTGCTGCGACTCGAAGTAGGTACCTCAAGAAGTAGAGGAGATTTACAATGTTTCAATGCGACAGCGGCGTTATCGATGATGTCTATGCTCTGTACACGAGGAAACAATTTTTGGTGGATCCTGGTGATGCTGTCTCTTTTCGCATTGGGAGTAGGCCTCACAAGAATGTCACGTCGAGCATAGGCGATGGGATACGTGATATCAAGCTCATTAAGCCAGTCAATATTTTCTGGGCAGTAGGTCCGCGAATGTCCTTTGAGACGTTGAATCCATTCTGACGATGTGTCTCTTGAGCCAGGAAAGATGTGGAAGATGAGGATGGCAGAAAATAATAACAATACCGCAGTGCCTATTGCCAGGCTCTTGCGACCGAGAAGCATCGTACGCAAAATGCGAAGCACGTGTAATCGTTGATATACATGGTCGCGCATGGAAAGACTGCATACATTGTTCTTTGCGCCTTATTCGAGAGTGTTGCGGCTCATGGTGATTGAGAATTAGGTTCAGGCGATACGAAGCTGGATCCTGTTCCTGTCGTAAGCTTTGATGGCTGCGTTAAGTCGTCAGGAATTTTTGACGATCCTGCATCCTTGTTTGTCGTGCGAGAAAACCTAAGTAAGCGTTCTTATTCACTTCAGATGTACAAAATGAGGCTGTCCTATCCGAACGGAAGAAGCGGAATTAATTGCCTCCTAAGTCCTAAGTCGTGCTAGTCCCCAGGCTAGGCAAGCTAGCGCGATGATAGCACCTCAGGGTTAGGGTTATAGAGACGAGGAAGTAGTTACGGCGGCTGTCAAGATGGTCAGGAAGAGGAAAGCGAGACTTCTTTCTTCGACTCGACCAAAAGCGATCGAGCAGTGCCCAAAGCTTTCTAGTCCTGGTAGACGCTTCGTGGTTAAGCAACATCATTTGCTTCGCAAACAGATGAGAAGAGCGGTGACCCATGGCGACATTCAAACAATTGATGAAATCAAAGCTCAGTCAGGCGCAGATGGAGCTTTACGTTCATACCAATCGGCGAGTATTCAGGGCCAGTCCGCTGAACGTGGGGGTGACTCGAGCAAGATACTTGTCGAGTGGTTCAAAGGGATGGAAGTCTCCACCAGCGCAAGTGCTGAAGCTCACGGAAGACTCAAATTGTTGGAAGTTGGAGCTCTCAGAACTGATAACGCGTGCGCACGAAGCAAGATATTCGACGTGGAAAGACTAGATCTACATTCTCAACATCGCTTGATCAAGAAACAAGACTTTATGAAAAGACCTATACCAACTCCAAATATGCTTCATGAAATGGGGTTTGATGTTGTCAGTCTTAGCCTAGTTCTCAATTTCACTGAAGATGCCAAAGAGAGGGGCACGATGCTGAAACGTGCCACCAGCTTTCTGAGAGAGCCGAATGACAATGCTAGCGAGTATGGTGCAACTCTTCCGTGCCTCTTTCTGGTACTTCCCGCTGCCTGTGTGACTAATTCTAGGTATCTGGATTCAGTCCAGCTGGAGAAGATAATGCAGGTTCTAGGTTACAGCAAAGTAAGGGAAAAGATCAGTGCCAAACTTGTCTATTATCTCTGGAAATACGAGAGCATTGATGTGCCGGCAACAGATATTCACAAGAAGCGGGAGGTAAGATCCGGAGGTTCGAGAAATAATTTTGCTATCCTTCTGCTGTAGTGGACGCATTCCTCTTTCGCCCCGAGTGGAAGGCATGATATGCTCTACATCTTCAACTTTGAGACGTCATTCTTTGATTTCATCCTTGCGAAAACTTCCAGGGATTTCCGGCATCCAATCCTCTCGCCTCCGTCAGAAGAATTCAACCTTGGGTGGAAAAACACCAGGATTATCTAAACATGATATAGCGAAAATGTCTGCACATGGTGAATGCAACGATCCTCGGGAAGGAGAACCTTGTTACTCCTTGCCCAACCTCTAGGATGCCGCTTCCGCATTGGGCACAGAATTCTCGGTGAAGCAACGTACCGCTACCATTGTCGGCCTAATGGATGGCGGGCTTCTTGCTCTCCTCGGTGTACTTGAAGGCCAAAATGGGAACTTTGGTTGTCAAGCCAAAAGCGCCCTCCAAAAATTTCCGAACTACCATCAGCTCGATACTACCGTTGACCTGATCTGGTACGCGGACTTCATTGTTGTTGCAATGGCAGAGTGATGTACGAGCATCTTGGCGATACAGCAATGGTATTACTTGAGCTCTACTCAGTAGCAGCCGCGGTGATGCACCATGTTTGCGATGATGCGAGCTTTGGCACGTTCGGAACGTCATCAGGGAGCTCTCTGAAGCCAAGGTTGCGTCATGACGCTTGTCGTTAGTGGGTCTGAGCGAGCGTCAGTCCTGGGCAGAGTACGATCCATTGCCTTTACTATTTCACCTTTCAAAGTCTACCCCCCGAAGTGGTTACGTTGCTGCCATGATATTGCCCTACTCAGTTGTTTGAAGTCTGGCGCTTTCCGTGATAGCTGTTCGGAAGTATGCTGCCGGCGGATAGCTTTCCCCAGACTCCCGCATTGGTGGCATGTGAGCATCCGAGGCCCAAGCCTGTCCGTCCCTAAGGTACCTTACCTTACTGACGTTTTAGCGGCATCTTCCCGGCGTTGATAGGCGCGATTGGTAGCTTGACCCTTACCAAGGCGCGGTAATTGCTCCCTTATCAGGTCGGCCAGGAACTCGCCGGTGCCTTTCCCACCCTTCTGATAGTGACCTTCCTATTTGGCCCTGGAAACGGATCCTGCATTCACGGAATTGCCTGTACCAACGCAGGATCTGCCCTTGACAGATCGGCCATGGCCGAATCATATAAGACCCTGTCTGCCTTGCTCAGGTACCCGTTAATCCATCTTTCTGGGCTCACCCATATCAGAGCAAAATGCATTGTGTCTGCATTGTCCAACAGCTGCTGGCGGTAGTAACTCTGCTCCCTATCGTCATTGCTAAGCCTGTTCGTGAGAATGTACGTCGGTGGGGTACGAAGATTGCTCCCAAGGTCTTCATCATCTCAATGGTACATACCCTTGCTCCCTCGGCCGTGGGAGCTACTGAGCTGATCTTGATCAAGTTTGATCCTGAGGCCGAGGTCTGGTACGGCATCGGCGAGTTCAATGTACTAGAGCAAAACATTACTGTACCTGGACTATCTCCATTGTATCAAGATGTACATTGTACTGGCAACCATGACGTCTGTCAAATCACGATCGGCGAGAGCGGTGTGTAGCTCCTTGGTCCAGGAAATGAAGGTCACTTTGCTAAACGTTATTCCCAAGAAATTAATGCTGCCACGAGCGTTACTGCTTTAACATTCTCGTCTCTTTTCGATCTCACTAAAACCTACTTCTTGGTTGCGGGCATCGCTGGTATCAACCCTAAGGAGGCCACACTTGGCTCAGTAACTTTTGCGAAGTATGCAGTTCAGGTTGCGCTGCAGTACGAATTTGATGCCCGATCCATACCAGATAATTTTACCACCGGGTAAGTGAAAGGGCATCATTTGTCCAAAGCCACCATTGATATTCTTAGTTACGTACCATTGGGGAGCGAAAACCCCACACAGTACCCACAAAGCATTTATGGCACCGAGGTTTTCGAGGTGAACGAGGACCTGCAGCAGCTGGCGGTCGGCTTTGCAAAGGCCGCTGCACTCAATGATTCTGACGACGCGAAAGCTTACCGAGCAAATTACGCACAGACCAATGCGTATGAAGCTGGCAGTCAGGTGCCCAGTGTGGTCGCCTGCGATGTTGCGACTTCAGACGTGTATTACAGCGGTACCTTGCTCAGCGAGGCTTTCGAGAACACCACCAAACACTTCACTAATGGCAGTGGGACATATTGCTCTACGGCGCAGGAAGATAACGCTACGCTTGAAGCTCTTCTCCGCGGAGACATCTTCAACGTGACGGATTACAGCCGCATTATCGTTATGCGGACGGCATCGGACTTCGATCGACCCTACGCTGGTGAACCTGACACGGTCAATCTCTTCTACGCGGAGCAAGGAGGTTTTGAGCCGGCGATTGCAAATATTTATCTGGCAGGTATCAAGGTCGTAGAAGGCATTCTCAACGGCTGGGGCAGTACATTTGAGAAGGGTATTCCCGCCAGTAATTACCTCGGGGATATCTTTGGCTCCTTAGGAGGATCGCCCGACTTCGGTCCCGGATCGATGTTTAACAACAATCCAGTCACGAAGAGGAGCGAGTGGAAACGCACTGTCAAGAAGAGCAAGCGTGGCAATGCCGTCGGACGTGATTCTACAAGCTAAGAGCATGGTGCATAGGTAAGGATCATGATCGGTGGTACTAACGCCCAAGGAACGACCTGCAAATCGGCGGCTATAAGTGGGGCGGGCGAGTCATGCTCGATCTGAATGTTCTTAAGCTTTCCTATAGAGTGCTGGAATGATCTACCCCACCCGCTGCCAGTCTCAGGTCCCAAACGGCTGAGGTGCTACTCTCTGTGGGGGTTGTGGTCTTAAGATGACCAATATGGCGTCTGCCTCTGTTGTATATTTTCATGCGCCTGACTGGGACTGTTTCTAAAATTTTCATTCGATGTTGAAGCGCTCACTTCAAGTATGCTGCTAACAGGCAGGCGCTCTTTTCCTTTTTGCAAGACTGACTTCATTTTAGAAACCAGCGCGCCATGGTCTAAATTAAGTCGTTGCTGTGTAAGCAAAGTCTTGCTTTCTTGCATTGTTCCCTTTTCGACGTACTAGCGGGGTCATATGACGAGAGAATCTTAGATTTTGCTTCACGTGCGCCACTGCAGATATTTGTTCATGGTAACATACGGCAGGTTCGTCGTTTCTGGCCTTTAGTCGCTCCCTTGATCCTTTGAAAATCATCCCTATTGCGCTTCAAATATGCTCAATCAGCTCCCTGTATGAAGTACTAGATGCCATGGAACGCTCTCCCCGACAAAACCTTCCGAACTTCGTGCAGATAGACTGTGGCAAGCAACATGTTCATCACGCGTGGTCCGCCTCATCACCCCATTCTCAGATCAGGCGGAATCTCAGCCCACCGATTCCGCTTTATCCACAGCCCTCCTAGAAACGTCCTACTGGTGCGGTCTTGGTGCCCGTGCTTCAAGTGATATGGTGAGATGGCAATAAGTGCTGAATCGGACAGCGGTTTAAAACGGACTCTGGAATCAAGCGGCTGTTGGACGAGGGGCTTGAAGAGAGTGAGGGTTGTGAATGCGAGGAAAAGGGGAAGAGGATGGTGAACATGCATTGTATGGTTCAACAGCGCGGTGACGAGCAGGCTTAGGACGTCTACAGCTTGAATGATTCTTGCTCTAGTGTCAGAAAGTTTGAGGTGGAGTATATATATATCAGCAGAGATGGCGTGAGGTCTTCTCCCCACGCTAATAATCCATCACGTGCTGAATTCGGTCGAGTCTCACGGCGTTCACGCAGGCGAGTCGTTCGGAGAGCGAGTCAGGCATCAAGCCCATCCTGGAGCATGCGGGTTGAAACCATTAGCACACACCCATTTAGAATGACCTAATGTGATGCAATGACCCACCTTAGTAGCAAACAGTTTGTGTAGTCATGTGGTGAGAAACATGTTAAGCTTGCATGGGTCTCTTGAACATGCGTGTGCAAAATTGGAGTGGGAAGATGAGAATGGAATACTGCCGATTAGTTCTCCATACGCCGCATATGTGAAGCATTGCCTGTTCCTTAAGCGCTACCATGAATGAACATTTAAGTGACACAAACAGGAACGGCTCACGATGCTTGGCATTGCTTGATCATCGAGCCAATCGAAATCCTTAATGAGATTGGAGGCTAGAAGAAAAGTCAAGAAAACACCGCGGCGCCTCCACAGTCAAATCGTCGATAGACCCTGGCCCTTGATTTGGGAGTTCGAGTACGAGTGGTAAAGAGAACAAAGAATGTATGAGGCAGATAAGGCAGAAAGAAAAACGCTCAGTGACACGGACTCGGGAGGCAGAGCTCGAAATATCTAAATTCTAAAGACAATGAAAATGCCGGGAGGGGGAGAAATAATTCTTTCTGTAAATCTGCAATGGCTTCAGAAATAAAACCTTCCTACATGAACATTAAATGCCTAACCATACGCAATCTCATACATTCAGTCCATCCATCCATTGCCGTACATGCTTTGGCAAGAATACCCAAACGGTCCCAATAGTCGCCAAGAATGAACAAACAAGGACAAGCATCCAATCAAATGCTTTTTCGGTCTTGCTTAGCTGTTCCCCGAAAAGCTTCAGATGGAATGCTGCCGGAAGAACAATGCAAATGCTGAACGCCATCGCTGAGCCCATGAGTCCCATTACAACGTCGAAAGATGGAACTAGAATTGCTAGTAAAACAATGAGTACAATGATTGAGAACCTGATGATAGCGCGGAAAAAATTGTGGACGTATTTTGACGTCAAAGGTAGCTCGGAGGTTGTTCGGTGAGTTGAAAGTGAAAAATAGTCCTCGAAGATGACCACAATAGGGCGGGCACTGTGGTGTAGACATCAACATAAGTTCTAGTGAGATCAGAGTGATCTCAGCTACTTACTTCAATGGCACTTTCGTGATGGGGATGATCGCGATAAAGACAACGATGCAGATAGAAATTGCGTGCGGGTAGTCACTGATCCGGAGAATGTTGGACGTCACCTCGTCTAGAATATGTCTTCCGAACATAAGGTAGCCGGCCACTGCTATAGCAACATCTATTAGATACGTGAATATGTACGTGACATTGACAGCCTTTGGGTATCTGGCAGGATGCCGCATGTCTCGGTAGATACTAGGGAATACACTGTGGCCGCCCTGCACAATAATTCTGGGGTCAGCCGTACTCTTCAAGGAGGGTAGTAGAAGGATGACAGCACGTCTCTAATGCTCAAGCCCCAAAGACATGCCTGACCAATCCCCTCATGAGCGCGACAGAGACAATGATTGGAAATGACGAACCCATGGAGACATCAGGATACCGAGACTTAGAGGCAGGTCAGACCAGCGTACGGGAAATAGAGTCATAGAAGATGTTGCGGGTTCTCGTAGCGAGCCAGGTGAGTGGGGCTTAGTAAAGCCATCGAAAAATATTAGAGTCACGATACCAAGGCAGCTTAAGATTCCCAGAACGCTAGTGAAGCTGAGGAATCGTAGGGGTACGAAGCTTAATGGCAACAGTATCAAACCGCAAACAACCTTCCACCCAACTATTTGCCATCCAGGTATGAGAGCATTGAGGCTGTCTGCGAAGAGTACCACCAAAGCCACACAAGCAGCTAACAACTCAACGGAAAAGAGCAAGCCCACGGCGATCCGGGCTTTTGATCCGAATGCCTTCCATGCTATGTCTGAAAAGGTAACCAGGGAATGATCCAGATCCAGGCATTTAGCCAGGAGGCGGGCGGTGTGTCTTGTTACAAGCGCAGCAAGCATGAGAAAGATCATTCCAATGAGCCAACCGGATTGCTTGAGACCAAGGGGTAGACTCAGAAGGCCGACGCCTATCAAGACGTTGACAGAATTGAAGACTGTTTGCGGTAGGGTAGACTGGCCCACCACAATCTGGATTCTTTTACCGTCTTTGTGTTCTAGGATTTTTATGAGAAGGGGTTCCTGCTCTTGCTCTAACATTTTACTTTCATCCTCAGGCTGATCGTAGTGATTTATTAGAGACCGACGAATCAAGGACTCATTTGAACGTGAAGGAAGAGACCCGTACACCCCTCCGTGGCTCGACGAGAAGGGGGATATCAGATGAGGTGTTCGCTCTAGAAAATTGTTACTCCTGAGGGAAGAATGGCTGACTGAGAGCGGCGTGTTCGTCTCGTCCCCTTGCTTGAGGGGTGCGGATGCCTCGTCAATGGCGGACTCGGAAACATTGCCTTGTTGTTGCTCTAGCTGCTGCCGTAGCAACGATCTCGACTCCGCGGGTGAAGGGAGTTTTCCTGATCTCTTGGACCCCAGTGACTCCTCCTCGTCTTCAGATACAACGAATGATGGTTTCCTCTGCGGTATCTCCGCAAACCCAGCCGCTCGTGACCAAGACCGCGCAAAATTTTCAAAGCTGTTGACTCCTCCCGCATGGGTCAAGGAGTTGAATCTCGTCGAAATGGAGGATCTTGAGCTGAGAACTTGTCAGTAGCCTGCAAGGTGTATGAAAGTCCAAAGCACAACGCACGTTTGACGCCGCAGCCCATCTGCAGACTGTGCACCACCGTGGCTCGGTCTCTCAGGGTTCAAGAAGTCATGCGGGCCTGCTCCCGTTGGGGTAGTATCAAATTGTACGTGACTTCCCATCGAGCCCGTTGATCCTTGTCGAGGGGACCGTCCATATTCATACTCCTCCCAGTTAGTTGGAATCCCTGGGCGTGGTTTCGCCATGGTAGCTTGCACTATCGGGCTTGGCTCCTGATGGACAGGACGGATCTTCCTGAAGCCATACCAAAGATTCCAGGTAGTAAACAGCAAACAGCCCGGGATCAAGAGAGCCAAACTGAATCTGGAGCGACAGAGAAAGAGAAAACCCGGTGATGCTCTACAGCCTCAAAGACTGAAGCGAGCGACGGCGCAAACACCAACGAGTCCGATCGGACAATTCTTGCTTTGATATGGGGAGAGTCATTGTCGAGCGAGATGTCAATGTCATTGATGGTGTGAAAGTTCCACGCATCTGAATGGTGTATAAGCTAGGAGAAAGCCCCCCTTCCCCTCTCCTACACTTTCTGCGGGTTGATAAGCTTCCAGCCAATCATGGCGGTAGACGGCTGAAGCTTTGGCTTGACACCCTTTCGTGTGCGCGCAAGCTAGAAAAGGCACAAAACTGCTGTGACTTCCTTCATGTAAAATCCAATTGTGGTCTACAGAGAGGGGAGTAGTCAAGATTGTCGATGAGTCTTGAGAATCCCCTCCCCGAGTTCCTCTTACCTAAGCGGCTTTTGGGCCTCACTAGCTCCAAACGTCATTTTGCCCGGCGTCAAAAGTTTGGTGGGGGTGATTGGGAGACGAGGGAGAGTCACCGAGAAAGCATTCATATATTACTCGCGCTCTCGTTCTGCGGTGTATGACTCACTCCGGTCCTCCCAACTACCAGGAGCACGAAGTAGCACATCATGGACTCAGCAGCCGACGATCACGGTCTTGACATCGATCCCCCCATCGTAGAGCTTGCAAGGCGTGTCTCTTCCAGCCTCGACCTGTCGTCTTCGCCTCAAAGTACATTTCAATCACATTCCTGGTCAAGAACTGGGGGCTTCTCAAGAGCTTCCACCATGGCTTCCATCAAGCAGCTCAAGCCTTTTAATACAGAAGATATCAAGATCTTGCTCCTTGAAAACGTGAATACGACCGGGGTGGATTTATTGAAGGAACAAGGCTACCAAGTTACGACGATGAAATCTTCGCTCGGTGAAGACGACCTAATCGAGAAGATACGGTGGGGTAACGCAACAGGCCTTCGTTCCTCCTATGCTCTCAACTGACCTGTGTTGTGTAGCGATGTTCACGTCATAGGCATTCGATCGAAGACGAGGCTCACACCGAGAGTCCTCCGTGAAGCAAAGAACTTGATCGTTGTTGGCTGTTTCTGTATTGGTACAAACCAGGTTGATTTAAAAGCAGCGGCTGAACACGGCATCGCGGTCTTCAACTCGCCTTTCAGCAACTCTCGAAGTGTTGCGGAGCTTGTAATTGGAGAGATCATCGCACTTGCAAGACAGCTTGGTGACCGCTCGAACGAGCTTCATAGAGGTCAATGGAACAAAGTCAGCGCTGGGTGCTGGGAGATACGAGGCAAGACATTGGGCATAATTGGATATGGTCACATTGGAAGTCAGCTTTCTGTACTTGCCGAAGCGATGGGCATGACGGTCATCTATTATGATGCCATCAATCTCATGTCGCTTGGGAAAGCCAAGCAGGTCTCGACGCTATCGGAACTTCTCAAAGAGGCGGACTTCGTAACGTGTCACGTTCCCGAACTTGAAGAAACCAAGAACATGATCGGTCAAGAGCAATTTAACGAAATGAAGAAGGGAAGCTATCTGATAAATGCCAGCCGGGGCCTTGTCGTTGATATACCCGCGCTGATTGACGCAATGCGAGCTGGCCAAATTGCTGGTGCTGCACTAGATGTCTATCCTTCCGAGCCAGGAGGGAATGGTGACTACTTTGTGAATGACCTGAATTCTTGGGCTGAAGACCTCAGAAGTCTGAAGAATCTCATACTCACGCCACACATTGGAGGAAGCACAGAAGAAGCCCAAAGCGCGATTGGTATCGAGGTAGCACAGGCCTTAATCAGGTACATCAACGAAGGCGCCACGCTAGGCGCCGTCAACCTGCCTGAGGTTGGCCTTCGTTCTCTTACAATTGATGAGCCCGATCACTGCCGAGTAATCTATATACATCGCAATGTGCCGGGTGTCCTTCGGACCGTGAACGAAATCTTGTCGGCACACAATGTCGACAAACAAATAACAGACAGCACCGGTGATGTTGCATACCTGATGGCAGATATCAGTAAAGTGAACAGCACTATTATTAAAGATCTTTATCAGAGATTGGAGAGTGTCAATTCCCGCATCAGGACGCGAGTCCTGTACTGAGAGCTTTGGTTTGCTTCAACGTTATTTGGACCTACCGGAGGTTACTGGTATCACTGACGCCTGAGTCTAGATGATGAGTGAGTGAGTGAATGCAAAGACGCCTTCAACCCTTCAAAAAAGTAATCATCTGGGATTTGACCATATTTACACTATTAAGACTATTCAACGAGTTTTATGATGGCGATGATGCATGGATGAGGCCTATGCACAGCGAGAGTGGGTCCTCAAGTCTCAAGAGTCATCGATATAAATATCATCCTCGTAATCTTTATATAGGAGTCTTCAAATTGTCTCTGTAAACTTGTCAAAAATTGCAAATCACTTGCATTTGATCTGAAAGTTTTTAGAAGTAGAGTGAATTACCCCCGGTCGGAACCACTCCCGCCATTTGGTGCCCCTTTGGCCTAGTGCCACTTTTTCCCAAACGGCCGCTACAAACCTCCTGGCTGCCCTGAGGACGATAACAATCGACTATCCATTTCGCATTCCTATGCTTTACACGAAAATGGCTCAATGTCCCTTATCACTGCAGCGTTGCCTCCACTGAACGCTTTCCCGCAACCTCCCACCCAAACCACCTCCACGTTGCTGTCGACTCGGTCGTCTTTTAGCAGGCTGGCGGAGGAACACAGTCCACACGTCGTCCCATGGCACATAGTTACGATGTGGGGACAAGGGCATGGCAGCCCGATCCTACAGAGGGTTGGGTGGCCTCTGAAGTGGAATCGAAGAAAGTTCAGGGGGACAAGGTGACCCTATTGTTCCAGCTCGCAAATGGCGAGGTGAGATTTTTGGATCATCCCCTGGCGCTCGTGATCTTCTTTGAGGCTGATGAACCTGCAATTCAATAGTCGAAAAGCATTCAAACTACCTTGGCCGCCCTACAGGAGGACAGCAATGCAAATCTTCCCCCTCTCATGAATCCCGCTATACTCGAAGCTAGCGACGATCTGACGAACCTATCACATCTTAATGAGCCAGCGGGCATGTTTCATTAATTGCTAGTGAGATTCGAAAGCTGACATCTAGACAGTGTTGCAAGCCATACGGCTTCGCTATTCACAGAAAGAAATTTATACATATAGCGGCATAGTCCTAATCGCTACGAATCCGTTCGCACGAGTCGACTCCCTCTACGTACCTGGAATGGTGCAAGTATATGCTGGGAAGCAAAGAACATCTCAAGCACCGCATCTATTCGCTATTGCCGAAGAGGCTTTCACGTATGGTTCCTTCCGCTTCTGCGGTCCCAGAACGCTGACACAAATTCAGAGATATGCTACGAGACAATAAAAATCAGACAATAGTTGTCTCTGGCGAGTCAGGAGCAGGAAAGACTGTTAGCGCGAAATACATAATGAGATACTTTGCAACAAGAGAATCTCCAGACCAACCCGGAAAGCGCGCGAAGGGAATAGCGGACACAATGAGCGAGACAGAAGAGCAAATATTAGCAACTAATCCGGTAATGGAAGCTTTCGGTAATGCAAAAACCACCAGAAACGACAACTCCTCTCGATTTGGGAAATATATTGAAATATTGTTCGACAACAAGACGGAGATTATTGGTGCTCGCATACGTACATATCTTCTTGAACGGTCAAGACTGGTCTTTCAACCCTTGAAGGAGAGAAACTATCATATCTTCCATCAACTAGTGGCTGGTGCCACAGACGCAGAAAGGCAACATTGGGGTTTGTTGCCGGTAGAACATTTTGACTACCTGAATCAGGGTGGCGCTCCCGTGATAGAGGGTTTCGATGATAAAACGGAATTTGATGCTACGAGGAAATCTCTGAGCACTATTGGTGTCACGGAAGATCGACAGGCGCAAATCTTTGCACTTCTGAGTGCTCTGCTTCATTTGGGCAATGTCAAGATTACCGCTACAAGAACGGACTCCGTCTTGTCCTCAAGCGAGTCATCACTGGTGAAAGCATGCCAGATGCTTGGCGTTGCTGCCGAAGACTTTTCCAAGTGGACCGTTAAGAAGCAACTGATTACACGAGGTGAGAGGATCATGTCGAATTTGACTCAACAACAAGCCCTAGTCGTTCGGGACTCTGTCGCCAAATTCATTTACTCCAGCCTGTTTGACTGGCTTGTTGATAGCATCAACTCAAGCTTAGCAACTGAAGAAGTATACAGCCGTGCAGAGACGTTCATTGGCGTGCTTGACATATACGGTTTTGAGCATTTCGCTAAGAATTCTTTCGAGCAATTTTGTATTAATTACGCAAACGAGAAACTCCAGCAAGAGTTCAATCAGCACGTCTTCAAACTCGAGCAAGAAGAGTATGTGAAGGAGGAGATCGACTGGACTTTTATAGATTTCTCCGATAACCAACCGTGTATTGACCTGATTGAAGCCAAGCTTGGAGTACTCTCCTTACTCGATGAGGAGTCACGTCTACCGATGGGATCCGACGACCAATTTGTGACCAAGCTTCATCATAACTTCGCTAACGATAAATCGAAGTTCTACAAAAAGCCTCGATTTGGCAAGTCCGCTTTCACAGTTTGCCATTATGCAATCGACGTGACATATGAATCCGATGGCTTCATCGAAAAGAACCGAGACACAGTTCCGGACGAGCAGATGGAAGTCTTAAGATCCACATCAAACTTCTTCCTCAAAGAGGTTCTTGACGTTGCGTCAGCTGTCCGGGAGAAGGATACTGCTTCAGTGGCCAATACCAAAGCGGCTTCCGCAGCACCTACGAAGCGCTCGGGAGTAGCAGCGAACAGAAAGCCAACGCTTGGAGGTATCTTTAAATCCTCCCTCATTGAACTAATGAGCACCATAAATTCTACGAATGTCCATTACATTCGCTGCATCAAACCCAACGAAGGCAAAGAATCTTGGAAGTTCGAAGGCCCTATGGTACTGAGTCAACTCAGAGCTTGCGGTGTTCTTGAGACAGTACGAATCAGCTGTGCGGGATATCCCACGCGATGGACTTACGAAGACTTTGCTTTGCGCTATTACATGCTCGTGCCTTCCCAGGGCTGGACATCGCAAGTCAAAGAGATGGCAAATGCTATCCTGAAAAAGGCTCTTGGCCAAGGCGCTCAGAGAGGATTAGACAAGTATCAATTAGGGCTAACTAAGATATTTTTCCGAGCGGGTATGTTGGCTTTTCTAGAAGGTTTGCGGACGAGCAGGTTGAACGAATGTGCCATAATGATTCAGAAAAATCTCAAATGCAAGTATCAGCGGAGGAAATACCTCGAAGCGCGAGGCTCAATACTTCTCCTCCAAGCTTTGGCACGAGGTTATCGAGCTCGACAAATTGCCGAGGAAGACCGCCAGACTAAGGCTGCAACCAGTGTACAAAGGTTGTGGCGTGGTTTCAAGGTTCGCAGAGATTACATATCAGTCATACGGAATGTTATTATGGTCGAAGCTGTCATGAAAGGGTTTTTGTGTCGCAGGAGTCTCATGGAAAGGAGAGTTGGCGACGCTGCTATAGTGATCCAGAGATCTTGGCGTCAACGAAGGCAACTACGCGACTGGAGACAATACCGCCGAAAGATCGTCATCATACAAAATCTATGGCGTGGCAAGCAGGCTCGTCATGGATACAAGAAGATGCGTGAAGAGGCTAGAGACTTGAAACAAATATCGTACAAGCTCGAGAACAAGGTTGTTGAACTCACGCAAGCATTGGGTTCAATGAAAAGAGAAAATAAATCTCTAGTCGAACGATGTGAAGGCTATGAAAACCAACTGAAGTCATTCCGATCACGCAACACGGCGCTCGAATCCCGTGCCCAGGAGCTGCAAGCTGAAGCAAATCAAGCTGGGAGGTCGGCCGCTCGTCTTGTAGCAATGGAAGAAGATATGAAGAAATTGCAACAGACTCTGGATGAGTCAACTGCGAACACTAAGCGGTTACAAGACGAGGGGAGAAGTCTCAAAGATTCCCTCAAGACTACCAACTTAGATCTTGACAAAGCTAGACAGGATGGGATAAATCATGAGAGCGAAAAAGTGTCTCTTCGGCAGCAGCTTGCTGATCTTCAAGATCAATTGGAATTCGCTAAGAGAGCAATGCCCCTTAATGGTGACATACCAAATGGACACGCGATTCAGCCTCAAGCGAGCGGCCTCATCAACTTGGTGAGCTCGAAGAAGCCAAAACGTCGGAGCGCTGGCCCAGAAAGAATTGATCCGGATCGCTTCAGCTCCACCTATAACCCTCGCCCCAGTTCTATGGCTATCACGGGCGTTAACACCCATCGGCAGAATAATTCAGGATCTACATTCAGCCCCGTGCTTGATCAGGTGGAGGACGAGCTCGAGAACATCCTCTCTGACGAGGATGCTTTGAACGAAGAAGTCACCATTGGCCTCATCAGGAACCTCAAGATTCCGGCACCAAGTTCCACACCCACTCCTACCGACAAAGAGGTTCTGTTCCCAGCTTATCTTATTAATCTAGTTACATCCGAGATGTGGAACAATGGGTTCGTGAAAGAGTCTGAGCGATTTTTAGCAAGTATCATGCAGTCAGTGCAACAGGAAGTAACGCAGCATGACGGTGATGATGCCATCAACCCAGGCGCTTTCTGGCTATCGAACGTGCATGAAATGCTGTCATTTGTGTTCCTTGCTGAAGATTGGTACGAGGCGCAAAAGACCGACAATTACGAGTATGACCGGTTACTCGAAATCGTCAAGCATGATCTGGAGAGCCTTGAATTCAACATCTATCATACCTGGATGAAAGTATTGAAGAAGAAACTTCAGAAGATGATCGTACCGGCGATCATAGAATCACAATCACTCCCAGGTTTTGTCACCAACGAGAGCAACAGGTTCCTGGGAAAGCTTCTCCAGAGTAGTAACACTCCTGCATACAGCATGGACAATCTGCTCAGTCTTCTTAACAACGTCTTTAAAGCCATGAAAGCTTATTACCTGGAAGACTCCATCATCACACAGTGCTTGACTGAGCTTCTAAAACTTGTTGGTGTCACTGCATTCAACGATCTACTAATGCGGCGTAATTTCTTGTCATGGAAACGCGGTCTTCAGATCAACTATAACATCACTCGAATCGAGGAATGGTGTAAAAGTCATGACATGCCAGAAGGTACCTTACAGCTTGAACATCTCATGGTAAGTAGACGACGCTATTGGTGTAAGACTTCGTTCGCTCACAATTCTCTAGCAAGCAACTAAGTTATTGCAACTGAAAAAGGCCACCTTAAACGACATCGAGATCATTCAGGACATTTGTTGGATGTAGGTTGAGGCTGCTTGTGATCATAATTCTTCTGCTAATCATAAATGATAGGCTCTCACCAAATCAGATACAAAAGCTATTGAATCAGTATTTAGTCGCTGACTACGAGCAACCCATCAATGGTGATATTATGAAAGCGGTTGCGTCTCGAGTCACGGAAAAAGGCGATGTACTTCTTCTCACTGCTGTTGACATGGAGGATAGTGGCCCATACGAGATTGCCGAACCAAGAGTAATTACTGCTTTGGAGACATATACTCCTTCCTGGCTTCAGACGCCGCGCTTGAAGCGATTGGCAGAAATCGTCTCGGCCCAAGCTGTTGCCCAGCAAGAGAAACTAGGTTTGGATCTGCCGGAACGAACGAATGGAGAGAATGGAGACGCATATCCAGAACCTAACAATCTTGATGATCCAACGCCTCCCTACCAATCTATCGATGGGCTGGAGCGTGGATGAGTTGCTGAAACGACGTTGTTGTATTCTTAAGGACACTGGCGGCATTGGATTTACGAGCGGATGAGCCACTGCTTCGCATATGTGCATTTTGGCCTTCTTGATTGCGAATGGAAATGGTTGGCAACATTGATTTTCCATACCATAATTACTTGAAAACAGAAGCGATGGCGATGGCGCCTGGGTCTACGAAGCTCTATGGGTTGTTTTGTAGCATCGGCGTCTGAAAATATGGCGGCGATGCTGCTAGGACAGCGATACCGCTTTGACGAAGCATGTACAAGACAGGGCATATAATTATGTAGATTTCTGACATGACTTGTTAACTTTCTTTATCGAGTCTTAACAGTCCCCCCAGGAAATATGGCTGTTCGACAATGGCCCCTGCAAAAAGCTTAGCCTAAGGGCATGAGTCTTGGCGCTCGTGGCCCACAAATATGCAATCAATTCGTGAGAACTTTTGGTGACGATCGACGAGCCTTCAAAAACCACAGCAATGGCGCCCAAAGCGGCTACGAAGAAGGGTGAGTCTTCATCTTTTTCGTTGACTTCATGTAGAGCCGCCTCAGCCTCGTGTTTTGAGGATTCCAAAGTTGTGACAATAGCAGCTCTAAGGATGGAGGCCGCACATACGCAGGTTTCCCATAACGTAGACTGATATTCTTTCATTATAGCGCCTATCGGAGGCAAACATAATAAAGCGGCCTCAGCATCCAAAGCCGCCCTTAAGGGCGTAAGCTCCTACCCTTTAAGCACCTCTCCATCTACCTCGCTCCTCCCCGTGACCAAACCCAGATTAATTTCTCCAGGTTCATGCAAACAAAGCACGCAAAATCCGATTTACAACCACCTTTCACCGTCCAAAGACCCTTCGTCATGCCCGCGATCCTAAATATCCTCGAAAATCCATCCCACACGAGCCGCGACTTGACCACCACAAAGTTCTCATTCACCCGCTAAATACGGAGAGCGCGATGAAAAAGATTGAGGAGAATAACACATTGGTATTCATTGTGGATGTCAAGGCAAATAAGCGGCAGATCAAGACGGCGCTGAAGAGTCTCTATGATATCGATGTTGTGAAGATTAATACGCTAGTGAGGTACGTCGTCGCTCCTTTTCTCGTGTGCATTGGATGGCAAGGGAAGGGAGAAAAGCAACTGGCAAGGAAGACTTAGGTGCTGACGAGGATTCGACTTCAGGCCGGACGGAACAAAGAAAGCATATGCGAGGTTGACGACCGACGTGGATGCGCTGGATGTTGCTGCTACGAAGCTGAATATCGTGTGAAGGATTGTAAGCGACATATTCCGAGAGACGCAGATCGTCAATTAGACACAAGTCTTGCGAGCGCTGGCTGTGTCTATCCTTTCAACTGAAATTGTCCATTGCTGCCATCCTCAGGCCGCTTTGGGGTTGAGCGTTCTGTCACCCTTCCACCACATCCTCCTGTCGCAGCTGGATACGCGGATTTCCTGCGCCTCCGCCGCAAATTCCACGCACATCTTATACCAGCTTCTGCATCTGTAATTTACAGACCTTAGCTTGTTCACGCCTACACAACGTATGTACAGCCTGCTTTTCTCTCCCTAATCAAGAAAGATCCTCACATCTTCCCCTGCAACCTCTGCAAATGCCCAATCACAGTTTCGTTTGCATCCATAAATCTTTGCACGCAATTCTCCGTACATGACGTTTCGGTCTTGTCTAACTGTCCGGTTTTGATGCTGCCTGTAATGCACTTTTTCCAGCAGAGATCTGTAAGGTTGTGGATGTCTGGCCGTTGTGAGCGTTAGCAAGGTGCTATGGTACTGAGAATGGTGGAAAGAGGTTAAGAGAGATGGGAGTAACTCGGGCAAACGATGGTGAGCGTACTTTCTTGCATCTTCGCTTTCTCGAACTCATGTGTAAGAGTTTGCGACAGCTCTTTCTTCTCGAAATCACTGAGCTGGGAGATGTCGACCTGGGGAGAGCCCTGACCAAATGATGAGTCCATTTTGTGCTGATACGTAATAGTGAACGGGGATTCTGCGTCAGAAAATGATGCGTGATGCCAAGCTTTTCCTGATGAAGCCATTCGGTATGAACGCAACCTGGTCGTGCTCGTACGTACAGCGGGCGAGATTTAGCATCCTAATTTACTATCATATGAAAGTGAATACTCTTCCTGCGTACATGTTGAAAGATTGTGAAAGATTGTGGATCCTTGGATTACGTGAATACTTCTTAAAAATTGTCCTTCTCTCAAGTACGCTTTGCATTGCGATCCCATTAGTCCGAAAAACGGCGTTCTTTCATGACTTATGTTATCAGATACCAATTGCTTTGCCCCGTCTGTAACATTCTTTTGTCATCCACTTCCCTGTGACTATCTCGGATATGACATCGTATTTTGGGAGACTTCGTGTGAACGCAAGGAACGACCCGAACGTACTATATTAGACTCGACTGCGGAGTTTGAGCGGTCTATCAATGGATCGTATTTTAATGCCGATCAATATTGAGAACCAAGCGCCATGGACCATGTGAAAAGATGCGCGAAGACAATGATGAAATCAATTTTGCCATGAGCCTATGTGCTTATACCATTCTGTTACATGGCCTAAAGCTTTTAGTGCGGTCTCAATTTCCGATTCAGTTCCATCAGCAGACACTTCAAATTCGAACTCTACAAGAAAAATGTAATGCCATGGTCTCTGACGACTCGGTCTACTATTGATACTGGTAAGATTCAGATTATGTTGTTTGAAAATATCGAGTGCCTTGGCCAGTGATCCAGGTGATTCATGGTTGATGCTGAAAGATAAAAGTGCTTTGCACCTGTCGTCTTTAACAAAACGGTCATTGGGAGGGTGCAATCTACTATTCTTAAGGATGAGAAAGCGAGTCGAGTTGTCTTTTTGATCTTGAATGTTCGTGGCGAAAAGGTCTAGGTCGTATACCTCAGATGCTAATTTGCTTGATATAGCGACTGCGGTATTCGAGTCGCTCTTGGCCACCATTGAGGCTGCTTCAGAAGTCGAAGCTACCTCATGATGATCTGCTTTTTTCAGATTTTCCGAGAGATAGGATTGACACTGACCGAAGGCTTGAGGGTGACTATACACATCAGTAATGTGGCGCAGATTCCGGGACGAGTCTCGCATAGGAACCAGTTCAGTCGATGAATGTGAGGGCCTTTGGCCAGCTGCTGGGCTGGGACTGGAATTGTGACCGAGGAGACAGTGATTGATATCCATATAGACCTCGCTCAAGACACCAATATCCTGGTATTCGAGGGTCCTGTCGACGAGACAATCGAGCGTTGTATCGACCGGACCGTTTGAGGAGTTCTCAAACGGGACCACACCACAGCTAGCCACTGACGTTTGGACTGCTTTGAAAACCCCTTCGGCCTGTTGTCAGCACGAAGGGCGTGACTCGATTTGGAGAACAAACCGGGTATAGTTCTTTTCGATTTCAAATCATATTGATCAGTCGCAAAACGCTTGAGAGCTGCCTAGTCAGCAGTCAATGGCAGTTTATATAATGGTCATATTCAAGCGATGCCCTTACTTGGTGTGTATGGGACGCTGGCGGGCCAAGAAAAGCTACGCATTGGGGTTTGGAGGGGGTTGACATGCTGCAATCGCAAGAACAATGCGTGCGAACGATCGTGGGCGTTCAATAGGGCTCAGTCTATTTTGAACTTGCAGGCAAATTCTGGAGATTGTGTGAATCGCTCGTATAGACTGTAGATCAAGCTCAAAGGGGAAAGTCAGAAAAGGGTCAATTATAGTTCCCACATCGGTGGCCTGTCACGACATTAGCCTGCTGTAGGTACTGCAGGGCAGCGCAGGGTACCTGAGGCGCATTGCTGAGGCGAGTCAATCATGATTGTAGGATTAGTCTGCATATGTGTATAGGGGGAGAAACAATAGGCGACCGGTTCAGCGAGCTACGAGAGCTACGAGACCCGAACGCGCCAGGGCACGGAAGCTTGTTCTCATTGATTTTTGGCTGGTCCCTTGATTAGCTGATTAATACACCAGATCGTTGCTGATTAGCCTGAATTAGTTGATGATTTCTCCCTGCTGGATTTTTGGCTTTACGCGGTGCGGACAAAAGCAGGGGCGATAAATTTAGACCCGCGAGAAGGGGCTTCCTTTCATCTTATTCCTGCTGCCATCATCGTCACCGTCGTCACAGTGCTCAGTGCTCACCGGACCCATCGCTTACAATCATCCACAATAACTCTTCACCAATTTATCACTTACTCGCCTTTACTTGATGCTGCATTCCCAAAGTCTGCCGCATGATCTTCAACGCGCCATTGTTTAGAGCAGCTGGATGCTCCCTTACCCCGTCTTCCGCGGCGCAAATACAATACAATCACGCTCAATATGCCTTTGTAAGACTTGTGACTTTCTATCCGAGGCGCGAACATCTGCTGACACACTTGGTTGGCAGTTTTGGAGGTGCGATCAAATCCTTCTGGCATGCGATGACCTCAAATGACCGCCATGCTTCTCATAACTCTCCTTATCGTACCGGACAGCACGTGCCTCTAAATCAAAGTCGACATGCTCCCCTGACCTCCGTCGCAACGAGTGCCATGGAATCACGCCCTGAACTCAATTCCCATTACAACGAAGACTCATCGGCGCAGTTTACGCCCGCACTACAAAACGGCAGCATCCCCGCGCCTGGAACTCCCGGTGCAGGCAACATTGCTCTGCCAGCGTCTCCATATTCTCCTGGAATGCGCTCCAATATGGCGCTACAAAGGAGGCAGTCGAATGAGCCAAATCCTTTTGACAATGTGAGTGCGGGGGAGATACAGATGCAGAGTTTTCAAGAAGGTCTTCCCCCACCGCCGCCCGCACAACATTCATGGAAAAAGATCAATCGCTGGGCGGAGGAGAACTACGAGGAGCTTCATGATCAATTATCAGAAGGAGCTACACAAAATGATGTCAACGAATTGGAACATGAGCTTGATATTTCGCTACCTGTGGAAGTAAGAGAGTCGCTACAGACACATGACGGTCAGGAAAGAGGAGGTCGGCCAACAGGCATCATTTTCGGCTGCATGTTGCTGGACTGCGAGGAGATTGTTCAGGAGTGGCAGAATTGGAAAGTAGTGAACGAAGCGTACCTCTCTCCTCCATCCAGTAGTCACGGAATGCCACTACCAAAAGCATTTGCGGGCCCGTCCTCGTCATCCTTCAATTCATTGTCCCAACAACAATCCGCGAATCCACTTTGGCGACAGCAGCTAGTCGAACGTCAGGATTCGCAACCGCCTAGAGCAGTACAGAAAGCTTATGCTCATCCCGGATGGATTCCGCTTGCGAGGGACTGGGGTGGGAACAATCTTGCTGTGGACCTCGCACCAGGCGCTGCTGGCACGTGGGGCCAAGTCATTATCTTCGGTCGCGATTACGATTGCAAGTATGTGGTCGCCCGGTCATGGTCTGCTTTCTTGGCTATGGTGGCAGACGACCTACAGAGTGGCAGATGGTTTGTCGAGGAAGAGACTCAGGAGCTTAAGCTTAGAGAATTCAAGACTACCAATGTGGAACCCGGATACCTCGACATTCTAAGGTGGAGGATGGACCAAAAATACGGTAGACGAAACAATCGACGAAGGGGTCCCGGACCCGGTTCGCCCAGACATTCAAATGCCAGTGGGTCTCCCTACGGTAGCCCTACAGATGAACGAGGTCGTTCGCCCCAACGGTTTCCCACTCGAGGGCCTCAAGGCTCGGTCACGAGTCCAACCCAGGTTGGAAAGCCAAGTCCATTAGGAATCGTCAGTGAAGAAAACAATCTGCCTAAGCTGGACACGGACGTCAGATCGAAGAAGGAATTCACGCGTCAAGATAGCAACCTGATGGAATTGAATACACCCACAATCGATGATGCCCAGAAACATAAGTCCTTTGTCGATAAAATCCCATCGGATACCTTGAGCAATGCTACAAATGGCTCAAAACGTCCGGCATCCAAAATCACTGGTCTTGGGGTTGACGGTGTTGATGACATGAAGAGCGTCGACATATGATGTAGGTCCAACTTAGTAACAGGGCGTCCACGGAAATAGTATCCATTGGCAAAGTGCTTGTCACCGGATTTGTCATCCACGAACATGCTCTACGATTGTCGAGCGTTTACGGCCGGCGTTCTTTGCGAGACTCAAGAGATTCATTGGGGCTTCTCAAACAGGAAGGTCGATTTTTGAATACATGTGACAAAGCGTGAGCTGGTCACTTTGTACTATTATTACGTACACATGGCTTTCAACGAAAGCATGCATTCTGACTGTAACGGTTATAGTGGCTCAAGCTCCAAAAGCTTGAGCGGGATTAGAAAGAATACCAATTGCAACATCTCTATCAAAGTCCCCATATTGTGCTTGCTGATTACACCCTCACTGACTCGACGGGCTAGTCAGTCGCCACATCTTGCGACTGTCTGTGATGGTAAATCATGTAGCCAGTGTTATCCCTTATGCTTAAGGGCGTGGTGGGTAGTGATTTGATGTCGTGTCTCACCGGGCAAGCTCGGAGCACGTTATCTATTTTCCCATTTGACTTTGGTCTTTGGGTGGAAGCGTCTCGAGCGACACCGCCTCCCGAGCAATTCAATCCCAGTCATCGTCATCTTCATCCCCACCCACATTTCTCCCTGACTGCTTTCTCTCTCCGTGTCCTCCGCTTCCCATACCTAGTCCTTCGACCTCCGTCTTTCTCTCCAATACCCCCACATCGACGAACTTCTCCTCCAGCACTTCAGTCCTGAAATCATCACCCCCACCGAGGCCTTCAAATCCCACGACCCTCTCCGCGCTCACACCACCTACAAATCCAATCACACACGGCAGCACTCTCACCCCCAGCCTGCCCACCAGAAACGGCGCGTCCTCAACCTCCACCCTCAAGAACCTTGCCTCTAGATGCTTCTCTGCCAGCTTTCCTAGATGCCCATCCATGATCCTGCACCTATTGAAATCATCCTTGTAGAAATGAACGATACATTTGTCGTATGTGGGAGAAGTGGTGATCTCGAGAAGGGACTTCTCGGTCGTGATGCGGCAATAGGTGCCGAAGCCCTCTGTGCGGAGGGATTTTTGGTGGGAGAGAGCGGAGGAGAGGGCCTGGATGCGCTTTTCGCGTAGGGCGGAGAGAGTAGGATCGTTCTCGGAGGTAGCTTCGAGAGAAGCGATGAGGGCGTCTTCGTCGTCTGAAGATGCTGACATGGTGATAGTAGGGTGGAAACAGACACAGTGGGGGAGGTGGTAGTTTGAATGCGGCCGAGGGGCACGTTGATGTCGCGGAAAGGAGTTTTGGGCATTGTGTTCGGAGGGCTGCCGTAAAAGCCTCCGCTCCCAAATACGGGTTGGCGTAAGACCTGACTTCAATCAAGACTGAAGGAATGCAATTTTCGGCAAAAGGCATCGAACGTATGGGCCCGTATAGCTGCTGCGATCTGCTTTGTTGACTTACATAAGGACCTGTGTTGACTTTAAACTTTCATAGCTCTGTTTTGTCTAATTTTTTGGTACTGATGTTTGACTTTCCTGGATTCCTGGTACACTTTCAATGAACAATGTCTCGTTGGGCGGCCGTAACTTCTTCTCTGATCCTTTCAACACCAAGTCAACTTATTTTCTATGTCCTTTCGATCATACATCTCAGTTCCTCTGATATAAACAAAGCTTCCCCTTTTTGTACCCTATGTCATACCAACTTACTTGACCGTATTACTAAAATTTGGATCCGACGCATGCCAAAATGTCAGTTGGTGGTGAATTGAGCTGAAGCGAAGTCTGAACTTCAGTAAGACTTTGAATTTTTGCCCTCTTTGTCATGCCTCACTTTCAACATCTTCCCATATGTTCCTCATACCTTGATACACGTTACCAGCCTCACCTACTGTCACGTATGATCATTGATTTGTTTTTCCTGTGACAAGACACTGGACGTCGCTTCATTGCTTTCTGAACATTGTCATTTGGTTTTATCAACAATCATTTCCGGTTTACAATCGCGACTATTCAGCTCCACTCCTGCCCCTAAGCAGATACTGGATTTGACAGTGGCTTTGTATCATGAACGCGAAAGCAAAACCAGGTGCTCTTACTGATCCTGAGCTTCTGGAAAAAATTGACAAGCTTTTCGAACTAAATGTTGGCGAATATGTCCATCTTCCTCAGGTATATGTCTCTCAAATCATGACAAAGGACCAAGTCTGACTGTGACTTAGCTCTTGGTTGTTGGGGACCAATCGAGGTAAGTGGAGTAGCTATCTTGATAGACTATCAACACTAAGCCTAGTAATAGTGGGAAGAGTTTCGTTCTTGAGGGGTTGACTAAAATTCCGTTCCCACGAGACAGTACATTGTGTACGAGATTTGCGACTCAAATCACATTCAGGAGAGCTTCGGAAGACAACATACTTATGTCGGCGATCCCAGGTCAAGACGCATCAGCCGATCATGCGGAAAAGATAAGATCTTGGAAGGTGGATGGACTACAATCACTTGACCGCGAAACTTTCCTTACAATATTACAGCAGGTAAGGAATCGGAGTGCAGTCGTTGATCGCTGCACAAAATTATGAAAGGCAGCCACTGAAGAGAACGCAGGCTGAAGAGATTATGGACCTGCATGAAAGCCTTGGAAGTGGCGCAAAGAGGAGCTTCTCAAACGACATTCTCAAGATTGAGGTATCAGGTCCAAAGGAAGAGCATTTCAGCGTGATAGATGTACCGGGAATATTTAAGCGAGCTACTTCTGGAGTCACAACAAAGGAGGACATTGCTATGGTGGATAAAATGGTGGACGGATACATGGAAAATCAACGCTCAATAATTCTCGCTGTGGTTCCAGCTAATGTCGACGCTGCAACACAAGACATCTTACAACGGGCTGAGGAATGTGATCTAGACGGGCGGCGGACCTTAGGCATCTTAACCAAGCCCGACCTGGTCGATCCAGGTGCAGAGCAGAATATCATGGACATCATCGAGGGGACGAAACAGCGTTTGAAGCTTGGGTGGTGTCTAGTCAAAAATCCCGGTCAAGCCGACTTAGCGAAAGACGACGAGAACTTCGATAGGCACGGCTCCGAGAAAGATTTTTTCAGTACTCGGGAACCATGGTCAAGACTTCCTCGGGATCGGGTTGGGGTGGCCGCATTGCGTACTCGTCTGATGCAGATATTGGGTGAAATGATACACCGGGAGTTCCCCCAGGTTTGTTCTTTAAACTGTCGCAGTATACGTATAAGTTGACGATGAAACAGGTGCGCACGGAGCTGACACGAAGGCTGGGTTCCTGTAAGACGCAGCTCTCTGATCTTGGTCCTCCACGTGTGACGTAAACAGAGCAGTACAAGTATCTGACTAGCCTCGCGTCTAAATATCAGCAAGTTTTGCAGCACGCACTGTCTGCGCATGATCCTGACGACAGTTTGGTCACCTTTTCCGATGAATTACGGCTCATCACGCACTTTGTTAATCGCAATATGGTATTTGCAGATGACATGGCAGCCTGTGGCCAGTCTCTCTTATTCAAAGATGACAAGCCTGAAGTCAGTAATGAGCATGGCAGCAAGATAAACGGACCACAGACTACGCCTGGTGTCATTCAGACACGCCGATGTAAGCGGAAGTTCGATGATCTTGATGACATTCTAAGCCCAGACCGACGTATATCGGAGCCAGATGGGACTAAGAGTATTGATGCATGGCTCGCCGAGGTTCACTACTGCACAAGAGGATTGGAGCTCGGCACTTTCGACTACAAACTTCTAGCCAAAGTATTCCGCCACCAATCCGCGAATTGGGAGAATATAGCATTCGGCTATATTAGCGATATCATTGCTACAGTCCACAGCTTCATCAATGACTTGTTGCAGAAACTTTGCCATGATGATGATAGAATTAGGAAGGGGATTCTAACCACATTAAAGGAGGAGCTTGTCAAGAGATATAAGGATGCTATTCATCACACGGAATCATTGCTGAAAAGTGAGCGAAAGGGTTCTCCAATCACCATGGATCCTTTCTTTTCGGAGCACCTCGATAAAAGGTGAATTGAGACCTGTTCGAAGAAGAGATCAAGCTGACAGCTGTAAAGTCGTCAAGATAGATATCGTGAGCAAATCGAGAAAAATGCTTTCTGGTCTAACAGTCACAACGGCAATGTCGTCAAGATTGACTCACTAGTTCAAATAGCAGCACCAAAAACGAGCAATACAGAGCACGCGATTGCCGACCTCCACGATATCTTGAAGTCATACTACATGGTAGCTCTAAAGCGTTTTGTAGACTCTGTTGTCAAGCAGGCTGCAGATCTTTACTTGATTACAGGAGAGGATACACCTTCCAAGCTATTCTCTTGCAGCTTCGTCGGCGAGCTATCTCCAGACGAAGTAGATGCGATTGCTGGTGAAGAGTCAGCAACGCAGCGGAAACGGTGCAAGTTGAAACGCGACATGGAGAACCTGCAGAAAGGATATGACGTCTTGAAGTGAGGCGATATATCTTGGCTTGAAGAGGTGAAAAAGCGTTGAAACTTGAGAGGCAAAACGTCCACTGATCGGACAAGGGTGGCTTTTGCATGAACATTTTTGATCGTCGTATCTATATTTGTGACTGTTTGCAACGGACTGAAAGGGGTTGGAGATAATATATAATGAGGAAAGTGGTGACGAGCAATTTTTGTGAATAAAGAGGTCCGGATTTTCGCATCAGGGTGTGCTTTACATAACGCCATAATATCACTTACGAGATCTAGCCAGAAGTATGCTACAATAACGCAATCCAACTAATGAACGACGTTGCAACAAAACTGCATATGAAATCCTTATTTTTTAGCGTGTCTCGCGGTTGGCGCGTCTGGGGCTGCACCCTTGGCAGCTTCTCTACCATGAACAGCTTGGCCAAAACTCATTATCTGTTCAGTCGTGACCTAAATGGCGGACGAGCTCCTCAAACAGGCGCAGGATCTCTTCGAAGGCCAAATTGTAGGCTCCTTCTCTTCAACATCAATGCGACCTCCCGTAAACCATCTGATGCTAATCTTCGCAGGACTTCGAAGGCCAGAAGAAAGTCGAGCTCCTATCTACCACCCTACTCATAGTCTCTGGCGTGCGTTTCATCCCTCCACCTTCTGAAGTCCCCCTTTAATGTCCGCTGCTCCCGAATCCTGGCAACTAATAGTAAGAGAACAGGTCATAGCGTTCGCATCTGGCCTCATTCTCCAAAACATCCATGTCACCCTCTGGGTTGGACTCGCAGGCACTGCCCTCACTTTCTTGGTCGTCGTACCACCGTATCCATTCTACAACAGCGCACCGCTGAATTGGTTGCCCGGTGGGGGCGTGGCGAGCAGCTTGTATGAATCGGGAGGAGGTGGAGGGGTGGAGGTTGATGGGCGGACAGTGAGGTAGCACGACAGCGGGATTGGGGGGATATACATTGGGATGAGTGGTCAGGTTTGAAGACGAAGGGAAGAAGTCGAGGAGTGAAATGACATATGGCATGATTTCCTCTATCTGTGCTATGCTTGATTCATGAAGATCGTTTTGATCATGACCTCTTCGAATCATCCTTCTGATGATATTCTCCCCTGTACCAGACCCTCGTGTCGTCCCATTTTGCTCATTGCGAGCAGATGACGCTGGCCTGTCGTCACATCTTCTAAGCAAATACATTTTCATCCGAAATCAGATCTCATCCGTATCACGACAACTTGCGTCTACCGGCCATATCGCTGAAATTCCCAATCACGGTTGTCGAGTGGACAGACTTGACGTGTCTTCAGCCAGCGCGAGATGCAGTGAAAATGAAAGGCGTGCTATACGAAGGCAAAGTGTTAGTGAAATCCAAGCCCAGTACAACGTTGAAGAAAGAGAATGGCACGTACATTGCAGATTCCCCAAGCGACCGTACACTCTTCACTTGCCGCGGATGCCTGATTTGCTTGACATTCTATGCCTTTGCTTCCGTCAGCGACTTCCAGTAACAGAGTATGAGTCATTACTCACATAGGTCCATGATGTGGTTTCGGCAAATAGCGCAGTTGTCCACCACGATATCCCATGCCCATAGAGCTACTGCATTCCACTGAAGACGTCAGATCATGTAATATGTGGATGGTTGGCATGATGCATACCTTTTTCACCTCAAATCTCTTCTTGCCTTCTGCGCTCATATCTGCCCCACCTGACTTTGCAACCTTGGTTCCTGCTGCTTTTGCCTTTGCCGGAGCTGAGGGGCCCGCTGCGTCTGTCATTTCGACGTCTGCCATTTTGTAAAACTCAAGATTTTAGGGAGCTTTATAGTGGAGTATAAGCCTGAAGAATGGTGGGAAAGGCACGATTAGTCGGGTTGTAACAAAGTCTTATGTGGTCTTGAGGTGTTTCTTAGTCCACTTCTGGGTTTGTTCCTCGTGACCTACGCCCCTTGTCTTCGTTCTGGGTGAGTTCGAACAATGCAGCTCCTCCCGATAGATGAGTGCTGTTTTGGCTTGTAAGTTTGAAGGATGAAGACTGGTGAGAGCTTCAATGTTCACGTCAAGGGAGCAATGACACCATCTTCAAGGCTGCCGAAGACGTACAAGATCTCGGGTAGAGTTCCGCGATAAGATTAGCAACCTCAGTTTCAGCGCCAGAGATCTGGCACCTCACCGTAGGGCTTCGCATTATGGATCTGCCTGTAAGAAGAAGAGCTTGATGTTTCTTTATTGCAAGCTCTTTAATTCCTCCGCTTTGAGCACCCTACATTCTCTCCCGATTGCTTTTATAAGCTAAGATGTTCAGAAATAACTATGACAACGATGCGGTGACATTGTAAGAGAACATCTCCGCCCCATGGTAATAGAAGCTCCTAATTGATCCTTTGACAGCTCCCCACAAGGCCGCATTTTCCAAGTTGAATATGCCTCGGAAGCTGTGAAGCAAGGCTCCGTCGTGGTCGGCATAGCTAGTAAAACTCACATCGTCCTCACCGCCCTAAAGGTCCGTAACGCTTCATAGGCTCAATGTTTAAGCTGGGAGAAACCTCACTAACGAGCTACACAGAGAAACGCAGAAGAACTTTCCTCCTACCAAAGAAAGATTATCCCATTAGATACACATTTCGGACTCGCCCTCGCCGGTCTCGCCTCTGATGCCCGCGTCCTCTCCAATTTCATGAAGCGCCAAGCTATGGCCTCGAAAATGACTTATGGCCGCCCCATTCCTCTCGAACGTATCGTCGAACAAATCGGTGACCGCGCTCAGACGTCTACGCAAGTGTATACGAAGCGACCGTATGGTGTCGGGCTATTGATTGCGGGTGTTGATGAGACAGGCCCGCATCTCTTCGAGTTCCAGCCGAGTGGGATGACGCAGGAGATGGTGGCTTGTGCAATAGGTGCGAGGAGTCAGATGGCGAGAACCTATTTGGAGCGGCATTTGGCGGAATTCGAGGGGGCGGGAAGGGAAGAATTGATTAAGCATGGACTCAGGGCGTTGAAGGAGAGTTTGAGTCAGGATAAGGAATTGACAGTGGACAATACCAGTGTCGGAGTTACGGGGCTAGTGACGAGCGAGGGGGGACAGAAGAAGCTGGAGGGATTCAAGCTGTACGATGGGTCAGAGGTTGGGCCACTGTTGGAGGCGGCGATGGAGGGCGAGGGCAACCCGACAGAACAACAGGAACAGGGGGGTGGGGAGACCATGGAGGTAGATACGTAGAAGAAAGGTGAATGGAATGGAGAATTGTTCAATTTGGTCCGTCCGTGATATAAATGCTAAATGTCTATGTGCACCACAGCTATGCATTCGTATTACCTGTCGCAGTGTTTGCCAGCACAAGATGCTAATCTGCTCCTCAGCGCCGGTGATGATGCTTTTCTCGAAAGACGTCCCGCAGAGTTTCCTTATCGAAGCCTCCGATCTGCTCCAGCAATGCGCGGAAATCTGCTTTAGTTCAACCAACAATGTCGTTTCCCACAGCAAGGGCAACTCCCACCATGCTTCCGTTCCCATTCATCCTCCAATTCGTCACTCGTCGTCATCTCGCCCTCGCCCGAGCCATCACCAGTCCTGATCTTCATCCCCGTCCTGACCGAGCTCCAATCCTCTAGTTCCTTAGCTTCATGATTGACGCGTTTAATCCGCGCTTCGATCTCGTCCATCCACTGGTCAAGTCGGAAATTAATGTCGCTGTCCGGATCGGGGTCTAACTCGGCAGCATAATTTCCGAGCTTGATCCAGAATTGCACCATCCGCTCACTGACCTCGTTGTGGTGAGTGTAAGCTTTCTCACCTCTCTCGTCACAAGCTTTCTTGACATCCTTGGCAGCGTTCACTTTGTCAAAGACAACGCCACACCGAGCGGTCGCTGCGCGGCCGACTTTGTTCATGGCGGCGAGTAAGCTTGTGGCGTGAAGTAATTGATATGCACATGTTGCATAGCTCAATAATTCTACGTCATCCATTTCCCGGCGTTTGTGGTGTGCCCGGATCTCGGGGTTCATCGATGTTAAACGGCGGGATAGTCGCTTGACGTATCGATCGTGGGCCTTGCACGTCTCTGAGCGAACTGACAATCGGTCGGAATGCTCATTCCGGCGTCGCATCAATGGCACGAGGGTGCTCTCCGAAGCAATGAACGCAGCTTTCGCTTTTTTGGCAGCTAAAATGCTTGCGTCGTGTGCACGAGACAGACTGGCGTATTCTCCAACGAGCGACTCGTAGCTTAGCTTTGATGACGTGGACGGCATTGTGGAGTTAGGTTGTGTGGTGTTAGATTAGAAGCGTTTATCGTACGACCAGAACAGAGGTCGCAGCCGGGATAATTAGAAGACAAAGGAGAAAGGCTGAAGCATGAAACGATTTGAATAGTGTTCAATCAGTTGAAGGATTGTTAATGAAGTTAATGTGTCAGGCGTAAGGAAGAGTGAAGGGGATGTGTGTGAGAAGGTTCAGTTACAACACCTGCACGGTGAATACCATCGGTAACAGAAATCGGAACGAGTAGATGCTGGCGGCCGCACTGATCTGTTGTTACTTGATGGGAGGTTAGATGCAAAGGACCGTGCAGGCATAGGTCGACGCGTTGCGGCGATGGGGTAATTCACGTCGACGAGAAAAATGTTCAATAAGGTAAGTCTCATCTCGGTCACTTCCGCTTCTTGGCGGAGCCGCTCCCTCTTTCTGCCCCCGTAGTCCCTGCAAGCTCTGACTTACCCAAATTCTTACCGTTCGCCTCCTTCTCATCAATTGTACTACCCTTTGCACTTGGGGGAGCTGTCAATGCTTTGTCCGCCAATTTGTCTTCGACCGTCTCGTCGTCGCCACCCTGGCCAAATTCATTGACTCGCCCGTAGTCAACCTTGTACGCATAGCTCTGGTACAGATAGAAGAAGAAAATCACATCGTCTCGCAACGTGGCAAGACGATGTAAGGTAGGCATCTTGATGGTGAATGCAAACAAGTCGTCGATGAATGTATTCAGAAATTTGTATGTCATCGCTCGAGCTGGCATGTGTGCGACGCTCTGAAACATGGTGTCAGCAAGGAGACTTGGTGTACTGGCATGGGAGTGCGTACCTTTAACCGATAGTTGATATACAAGCTCGGCACCATCATGAGAAAGCCGTAAGCGTACACGCTCCCGACCAGAGTCGTAATCACAAAGCTATACCAACTTCGGTGGGTGTCATAAATTACACTGTACACTGCATAGGCTCCCAAGAGTGGAACGGCAATCATGTAAAGGTATCTGAAGGCAATCTCGTCATACTCCTTTGTCTTCTCCTCTGTTTCTGACAATTTGTGCTTGTCTTCAAATGCCACCGTGTACGGAAGCCATGAATTGGGTGCCGAAGGTCTCACGCGAACATTGACAGTCTTTGTGATCTTCCAAGCCTCAATGAGAATGCTCATGCCTTGGCCAAGAAGAATCATCCAGGATGTCCCTTCACTATTGTCCATCAAATAAAGGAAAATAATGGTTTGCATAAAGACGTTGGCCAAGATGGTGCGCACTGAGATGCCGACATTATCCTTCTTCTTCCGCCAATGGGAGACGTCGCTTTTGAAGGCCAACATCTCGAAGACCATGTGAAGCACCGTAACTATTCCGGTGGTGGCTAGTAGGTAGATATTCGTATCCAAGAGAACCCTTTTGAATTCCTCGAATTCGCTTCCATCTCCTCCGGCTGGCATCAGTCCTTCGGACGCTTTTTTTGGTTTTCTTTCATTCCAAGATCCATGCTGGCATACAGTGACATCTTCCAGTTCTTCATTTGATTCAGGGTGATGTGCAATGGTACCTCTTTGACGGTGGAGTTAAGCTCAGTCATGTGATCCCTCAATTGCCAGAACGTATTGAAGAACAGGATAGGGTAATACCAGCCGTTTTGACCAGACGTATCTCTCGCACCCGAGCTCTCGAGATGAATCTGCTGTCGGACCGCAGGGTGCATACTGCTGTAGGACTGCGTGCCGGAATCGGGAATGATAGCGACCGTAAGGTTGGGGTGATAGAATGAACCTCGTCGTGGAGTATCCAACGCTTCCTCCACGCCGCTCGTACTGTTTTGAGAGCCAGCAAGCAGGTTCTTCGTTTTTCTCACCTTCTTTTTCGGCAAGATTTCGTTCAACGGTCGAGCAAAATAGTGAGCTTGAGAGGGATCATAGCCGCGAGACTCCGGATCCAAGTCTTTGCCGTTTAATGCCATATAGACATGCATCCACCAGGTTCCATTGTCCTGAACTTCACGCGGAACTTGCAGGGTGGTGTCGATCTGGCGGCTATCCTCAAAATCACCCAAAGAGATATTTTTCTCATTCAGAACTAGGTCTTTTCGGGAGGCTATACTCAGCGAGCCGACCACTACCGAGGACGAGATGTATATGGCGACATCTAAGCTGCTGTTTACCGGCCATATTGGTGCGATTACTTGAGGAGTCGGATTGTAATTTTCTGGAAACTCCGAGGGCCGGTCTTCCCAGGCTGGTACTGTGGACGGGACTGCAACTTTGACTGGTTGTGCACCTTGTTCCACTGTCTTATTTCCACCTTTTCCAAAGAATTGGGTGAATAAGAATTGTACGAAGAAAAAGATAGCGACAGATTGGAGACCGGTCTGAAGTTTCGCCTATATCAACGTCAGTGAAGGGTTGCCACAAGAGCATGTGAGTCACACTGAAAGGCCGTTATCTTGCTCGCCACCTCTTCCTTGTAGGTTCTGTTCTGGCATCTTGGGGCGATTGACTTCAATGCAAGGGCTGGAAAATCCGTCATGCGTTTTTCATATGCCGTCCTCTCCGAAATGCACGATGCCACTAGCCTTCGTTGACCCGACGTCATTTATACGCAAAAGTCAACCTACTTTGTGGTAAATACATCACAATACTTCCGACTTTCCTTGCTCTGAAATCGCGTCAACCTCGCTGCCGTATTATGTCCCAACGAAATTCACTGTGCGGCCATGACTTGACCATTGCTACGCCTTCTACATAGTCTGTTCGCCCTTCTTCCGCCGCAGCACACTTCTTCAAAGCCGCAAACACTTTACCCTACGATGTCTAGTGCTGAGGTTGATGATGGAGGATCTTTAGCACATATAACATCTATATCTCGCCCTCACAGCCCTTCGAAAGATTCCCCGCCTGTAGTCTGCGTCTTCTGTGGCTCTTCTCCTGGCACAAACCCTCAGCACATCGCAGCCGCAAAGTCCCTAGGTGAAGCTCTTCACGCACATGGGATCAATTTAGTCTATGGTGGTGGAACTACAGGCCTGATGGGTGAGGTAGCGCGGACTGTCGTCGCGCTTTCCGGTCCAGGAGCCGTTCACGGTGTCATTCCAGACGCACTTATTCAATTCGAGCAACAGGGCCGGCCGGAGCACAAGGATGTCCTTACAAAAGAAAGTGGGACCTCAGCACTTGACGAGAAGATCTACGGTAGAACGACAGTTGTGCCGGATATGCACACAAGAAAGCAATTAATGGCAAAGAAGGTCATTGAAGGGGGCCCGGGCAGCGGTTTTGTCGCTTTGAGTGGCGGGTTCGGAACAATGGAAGAACTGATGGAAGTCACGACATGGAATCTATTAAGAATACACGACAAGCCTGTTGTCATGTTGAACGTGGACGGGTACTACGACGGACTTATCACCTGGGTCAAGCGAGCGGTGACTGATGGTTTCGTCGCGCCGGGAAATGCAGGGATCCTTGTGGAAGCGCTGAGCGTCGATGAATGTTTGCAAGCATTGAGGGAATATAAGGTCTGTGAGGGACGATTAAAGCTGGATTGGACTCAAAAATGAAATGACAGATTGGGAAATGAAGGTTGCACGTGCCTCAATTGTATGAGGTGGAAAGGCGTCTCTGGTAAATGAAGCATTAGATTTGATCCCAGCAGCTAGACAGCTGATAGTTTCATCAGGACATATATATATATATATATCTACGCCACAGCTAGACGACACGAACACCAAACCGGAAGACCGGCTTCTTCGCATCATTCCAACACCATCCGTCGCATTGCTTGCAAATCAGAGGGCCAAGGCCGTCTTTTGCAACATTCATCGTCTTTTCGATCTTCAAGCTCCCATAATATTCACGACCCCATCTCTCTTCTTCTTGCAAAATGTGCTTAATTGCTGCCTCTGTGATGTTCGCCCTCCGCTTGACGACCTGTAATTCCTCATTGTAGTCTTTCAGGTTGACGTACACGTTGCGCCAACGTACAACTTCATCCCTCTTCATCTTCAAATCTTTGGAAGACTGACCTTTCTTAGCGGCCGCGGCCTCGAGTTGCTTGAGCTCGAGGTGTTCGCGATAGGCAGCCCCTACGGCTCCAGTTAATTGGGGTAGGGCACTGACCTTGCGTCCATTGAACGTATTCAGGACTTTGTTGTAAAGCTTTTTGCGCATGGGCATCTGTCCATGAACAGCGTGCTTCTGATCGACGAATTCCACTAGGTCATCGGTAAGTATCTCAGCAGTCTTCCGGAAGTTGTGCTCAGCCTTATGCATCGTCTTTTCGGCTACCTCGAGATCGCCTGCGACGGCGAGGCATTGTTCGGCAATGACAGTGTGGACCTTTTCGATCTCGTGAAGCGGCTCCCAGTAACTTTCCAAGGTCTGCTCGTGCTCACACAAGCAGCCGGATTCGATGTACTTCTTGTGGGCTTTGTGGAAGCTCGGAGCCCATAGCTTCAGCATCTTCGTATTGGTGGCCTGTACGCTCTTTATATAGGAGACGTGCAATGGCGAGACGTGACAGAATTCGAGACGGTTCTTTTGATTGGACGACGCCTGCTTGAAGAAGAACATGATTGATTAATTTTGGCGGAATGAGATGATGGGTGCAAATGGTTATTCAGGGGAAAAAGGCCAACATTCACTCTTAACATGATACAGGCAAACAATACCGAGGGATCTTAATCAAAATAGTCAACCAAAAACAATCAATGAACAAAGACGGAAGCCGAGTTCTTTATCACAAGTTTGGAACAAAGCCTGTATCGCTTTCTGATTCCTTGTCGATCTTCTGTGGCGTATAGGTATACTTGAGAGAAAGAGTCGGCAAGAACGCCAGAGTGTATGTAAATGAAGATTCCTTCAAGTGCTGCGCACGAACACTGGAAAGTATTTGTCTTCTTAATCAGTCGTTCTGGGGGTTTTGGTATCACGATTCAAGCAATGATTCACACACAATGCTTTTGTTCTCGGATAACGCAACAAACAATGCCTATATCTTCCATACAGGAGCTTAAGAACGGAGATCTGCTGAGTTACATGTTTCATCGAGAGTCGCGAGTGCTGTAATCCACTGAGCCTGCCAACAATGCCAGCTACAGAGACCATGGGTACGCGATCGAAGAGTAAGATCATCTCGGAGTCAGGATATGAGATAAAGCTTCCTGCAAGCATCTACACCTTGAACGGCACGAAACCTCGCGGGCTAGCTCACATTGAAGAGCTTCTTGATTCAGTGGGCCCAATCATCGAGGGTCTGAAACTAATTGAAAACAACGCAAAAATCATGGAATGTGAGTGCCTGCTTTCCAAGCTCGAGGAAGCAATCTCAACATACTCCGGCGAACTCAATGCGCTTTCCCAGTGGAATACGGACCGCCAGCGCGTGGACCGAGCAGCGGATGAGCATTGGCAACGTGTTGCTGCGCTGTTGAGCCCCCACCTAAAGCTGAAACGGGAGCTCAGATTACATATAAAGATTATTGAGAATGTGCTTGAGAAGCAGGGAGAGCACTTGGATGTCCTGAAACACCTTTCAGGAGATGTGGGCATTCTGAATAACCTCGGGGCAACACTCAGTTCTGTTCTAGGAAATTTCATCGGCGGCGGCGGCGACGACCAGGAATTTCAATGTTTTGCGTGCGGCAAAGGATGCGCTTCAGATGACGATGAGATGCTGACGGACAAGGATGATTCCTCTCCATCGACCTCGGGGAATAACGTTGCGAACAATGAAGGAGAGCAAGAGAAGCCAGGCACGCCAGCGACCGATGCTAACGCGTCAAGTAGTAAGATCGTTACGCTCAAGCTTCAACAGCGGTCGGTTTCCTCAGAGGGGGAAGCAGGATTACCTACTGACCAGACAGGCTGGATTCATTCAGAGACAGTTGACGAGATGCAGACAAAGCTCACCAATGGTAAACCCATTCCTCCCAAGCCTCGGCAACCATCACTTCGAAGGATCAAGGGATCTATGTCTCTAAATTTATCAATTCCTCGAAGTGCATCTGTTCTTCGTGCAACATCCATCTCTCGACAGGAATTGCCAGAGTAAGAGTGTGGCGACATCATTGCTGCTCAAGAGCTGACTCTTCATCAAGCAGCATTTCAGAAAATCGGGCTCTAGACCTGAGCGCTGTAAAGATTGCAGTCTGGTTCGAACTACGATTCAGCGGAGTGAGGTAGAGATTGAGCGCGGTTCTTGTGCCATTTGTCTCCCTATGCCTTATCTTAAATAGTTACTTACTTTTTTTGAATGAAATTGACGCATTTGTAGCCTCTTTTCATCCTGAAGGAATCTTTCGGGTGACTAGACTTCTTGTGATACGTGTTGCCGACAGCAGACATCTATGAAAGCATGCTTTACAACGCTTGTCAACAGATATCAGTCGAAATAGGAAACCTTTTCGAGGCTCGATGAGTTCGCAGAGAGACATTGAAAGAAGTGTTTTACTTAGAAGTTGGTGGTAGAGTGAGAACATCTGATAAATGCCGCCTCACATTGTCGCCTTTCGAAGTAGGTACGATCTGTGTTATGTTCATTCATTGAGATCGTATATTCCTTACTTGTGCATTGTTCGTGTGAATGCCTCTTATTGTCTCACATCATTCTTTCAAAGTGTACTTCTATATTCTTCTCAGAACGCGAGCGTCTCTCGTCCCCGACAAACATCATGGCAACAACCAATTTGGTCACGCTGAGGCAGCTCTGCGAGAATATCCTAACAGATCTGAACACCGCGAAGAAGACAGCAGATCCTGGCAAGCCTGTAAATACTGACAGGCATATGAATCTAAACGGCTTGGAGGGGTCAGCGCGAAGTGTGCCAGATACTCAAAGCCGTCACGATTTAGAGTGTTGGAAGTCCGGAGATGCTATTTGCGACACAATTTTCAATATAGCACAGACTATGATTTCGTCATCGAACGGCGTTATTGACGCAATGCACATATGTGGCGACGCCGAGCAAGAAGTCAGGGCTTGTCTGAAAAGGCACAAGCATAATCGCGTCAAAAGACTACACGAACTTCAAGATGCCATCCCGGTTCACAGGCGATACATTACATTCCTGGCGCAATCGCTGGATCCAGCAATAAATGGTGGTCTCCCTGAGCTTCAAGGCTGGGAAACACCGCCGACTACTGCAGAAGCCGACCGTGACCCGCTCCTCCATCTTCGTTTTCTCATGGGGAGGATGACTCTGCAGCTAATGGAAAAGGAAGCTGCCAGACTTTCCAAACCGCCAGCGCCAGGCAGGCGACCGCCCAAGCAACTGCGTCTGAAATATACGTCGTTTTATAAGGTTGATGCCATTTGGAAATACAAAATGGAGCTCCACCGCCGTCTTCACAGCGTCTGCATTGATTTAGTATCTAAAATTGAGAATTTCGGCGCTTCAACGGTCACAAACGACATTATGCAAGCCGTCGGAAACCTGAAGAGCTCCTTGAGCGTGTTGGAGAAGCCATTTATGGAGCTCAAAATCGAACTTCACGGCACCTTTGTCCTTCAAGCGAAAGCTAAGACGCCTCACAAAGCTGCAGGCCCCTTTGAGATCGACATTTTTGAAGGCGATATAGTTGAGATTGCCCGATGGTGTGCTCAGAATTCTGTTGAGTGGTGGAATATTCGAAAAGCGGACGGTCAAGAAGGGCTAGCGCCATCATCCTGCTTGAGGATGTTGTCTACTGACGAGGAAGTCACGGCTGAAGTGAGCCGCCTTTCGGGCCATCTTGATTCGCCGAAGGAGGAGGAGAAGAAGAAGAAGAAGAAGAAGCAGCGTCCGGCTTCCCTTGCGAACATGTCAAAGATATCTTTGCCCACGCAGGAGGACCGAGCGATGGGGTAGTAAAGCTCTCATGCGGTTACGCAACTTCTTGATTGCCCCAAACTCGGGCGGCTTCAATATCCACTGAGCATATTTTGACGTAGAAAACAACATAAGCAAGGCTTTGGATTAAATGGTAATTGATCTTCCTGGTGGGTAGGATGTTGGAATTGGAGTCTCAATATTCTGATTCTTGCAGAACCATCTGTGAGGCTGGAGGCTCATCAGCAATGTTTGAGGGAGGGATATGGCGCTTCAACGCACCTCAGCAAGTGACCCAGTCCATAAGGCAGCTCATAATCACTTAGAGCAACTTAAATTAAGACGCAACACTAGAAAAACCGCCACCATACTAAGACTATCATAAGTATTCCAAGAGCTCCAAATGGTCCGTACTGCTTTAGTAAGAGCTCCCAATTGATTCTGACCGCAGCGCGCTTGTACTTCTTACTATCTTCGCGTAATCTTTGGGACATGTCTCCCATTTTCTCCAGGCTATCTCCACGATACAATAGATCCTCGATATTCTTTGTCATGACCTTCGTAACGTCTTTAAGCTCGTCATTCAATTTATCGAGATTTGCTGAAGCGCGGCTGTCCTGGTATGTTTTCTTCGTCTTTTGTATGAAAGTGTCGAATTCGACGAAAGCGTACGGCCGGCATGATGGCGAGAGATATTGTTGAGACGAGTACGTCGTTGTGAATTCAGTAGCTAGATCCTGTAGGTACGTAAAGGCTAGCTTGCGAGGGTAGGATCTATCGCAGATCGTGATGAAGCAGATTTGGTCCTGTACGAGGTAGCTGTTCATGGCAATCGATCAGATGTTCGGTATGTCTTTGGAGCACATGCTTGGGAAGAGCTTACTGTATGGTAAATCTGTCGGCTTCAATGCTCGCTCGAGACTCCGAGTTGCGGTTTAATCGCCTCACTATCATCTTGACGTTTTGTTTCGTCTGTGAAAGTTCTGATTCTGTCTGCGGCCTCATTAGCATTTAGAATTATGACACTAATAGATACTGACCATCTCATCGTCCACAGATGCCGCAAGCATCAAACCTACATTCCAGTCAGAAGCAATCAAGAAAAGATACGAGATACTTGCCGTCGATACGGCATATTTGCGTTGACTTGACCATTGGCTCTGGTAAGAGTAATTGACGATTCTTATGGCTGTGACATGCGTTGTTGATTCGGGGATACGACACTTGCGAAGTAACGGATACCTAGTTACAAGCAGAAGTGAATACCGCAACAAAGGGAGCTGTCGTGTCAAATATGGCCTTAACGCGCGTTTGGCGCGAACGTCAGAAAAGGTGTTCAGTGTAGACAGCCGCATCACTTGACACACATGAACACCTTCAAAATGTGAGCAATCCCTTTTTGGATGTGCAACATCCAGCTCAAAAATTACTGAATGCCTCAACCGCTCTACAGAGCGGGCCCCCAACACCATGGCTGGCAAAAAGCGCGCTGGGAAGAAGTCACTCGGGGAACCGCCAGCTAAACGACCTGCAAGAGGTGCAAGGAAGAATGACGACCCCATCTGGAGCACCACCAACCCAAAGTCTTCTTTAGTCAATGAAGACCTCCACGTTCGTCCTCTATCCCTAAACTACATGCTCCTAACTAAGGAATCAAGGGCAAATTCGCTGATCCGAAGGCCTATGAAAATTGGACAAAAGGAGATTGGGAAGAAGCAAGGGCAAATTGCCTGCCTGAGGATGCACCCGTAGCTGAAGATGGATATTCTGTACCTATGCAATATTTCAAATATGATCTGAATTGGCGACGCTTTGTTAGGGAGTTCCAAGAGGATTTGGGGGCTGGACGTTATGATCCTCAATGGCTGAAGGAAGCTACGCAAGCAATGGAGGAACGATCTCAAGGAAGATTTGATAGGTGGAAGGCTAATGAATACGAAGAATTTTGGGGTCAGAAACAAAGGACGCCTTGGAGAGACTTGGCCGGCGAGTCAGCAAACATTAAATTGGAGGAGCTTGCCAAACACAACTTTGTGAGACAAGGTGACATCTTCAGCTATGCAAGAGTCTTTGGAAGAGGTAAAGACAGAATTTTGATCGAGAAGGATATAAGAATAGCGAAGATTGAAGGATCTCTCATGACTGTAGCGGTCCCACCGGGACAGCTAAAATATGCACGACATCTTCTAGCCCCCCACCGAACACCTACAAAGGTACTACAAAAACCTTCCCTCCCGACTGAGAAGCAGGTATCACTGGACGAAACGGACACAACAAATCACACGCCTTTGAAGGATTTGCCAAGTCACTCGATCCAAGCAAAACGGGAACATGAGCAGAGCACTCATTCCAATGCCCGTGAGCATAGTACTGGCAATGGAGAAGCCTATCCTTCGCCTGAGAAAGAGGCTTCTTATCCAGATGCCTTCCACGATGCCCCAGAACCAACATCACCGCCGCCATCGGCGACCGAACCTCAAATACAGCTTGATACTATGCGTCGAACAGAAATTGAAAAGGCTACAGCTGCAGGAAATGATTTGCAAGAACCGGCATCCCCTCCATCACCGTTCCAATCGCCGGTGGAAGACGCCATCCTTACGCCCATCTCCACTCTTGCTGAATTGGAGAAACGCATCATTGAAATTGACGGGCGCGTTGATAAGTCAACCAGGATTGTTAATTCTTGGAAAGCTATGCGTGGAAAGAGGAATAACCAGGATCTGGGCTCTCTTTTTGAGATGCGAGAGGAATTCTATGTGCGGCAGAGCCCGAAAATCGTCAAGACGCCCCAAACGACGAGGAGTGGAAGGGACAGCAAGAAGAAGGTGCGTTATGGCGAATGATGATTCAATGGACGAAGACGCATAATGTTCCTCCTTAAGCATGCATTCGCAAAGTGCATTTGGACGAAGCATTAGCGAGGGAGCGGGTGAGCATAATGAGTGACATGGTTGAAGAGATATGCACGATCTTGACACAATTGAATGATCACCTCCATGTGCCATTTGAATCATAATCCAAGCCCATATCTTGAGATGATCCTTGAAAATTAGAGCGCGAGCGTTCCTCTGAGAAATGCGCAGTTAAAATTGAAAATACGTAGTGCCTCCCCTGCGGTAGGATTTGCCGGAAAATCCAATTTAGGGTGAACCTTGAAGTCTTCCATGAGTACATCTGATATCTTATCAATCTTGCCATTTTCAAACCCCGAGTAACGGTGTCACATGAAAAGATTCATTATCCTTGCTTTTGCCACATCCACCTGCTGCAAAGATGTTTGACCCTACACCACATTGTAAATCAGAGTTTTATTGTTGGAGCAAATCTTCCTTGATCATGCCATCTCAACTTGTATTCCCTGTTTCCATACCATCCAGAACCACGAGGGGAAAGTGGGGATAATGGAGGCCCACTCCCACCGAGTCCTCTATATCGATGCTTATGACTCTTTTTCTAATAATATTGTTGCACTGCTTCAAACCAAGTTAAATGTAGATGTCACCGTCATCAAAATCGACACTGCGATAGACCATTTAGAAGAATTCCTGGCACCTTTTTCTGGCATTATTCTTGGACCTGGGCCCGGAACACCTCACAAACCCGAGGATATTGGACTGCACACCAGAATTTGGGGGCTAGATGCAAACAGGCTTGTGCCAATCCTGGGTATTTGTCTAGGATTTCAGAGCCTTGTTTTCGCTTTTGGAGGAGCAATCCACCGACTTCCACGACCGCGCCATGGCATAGTCCGAAAAGTGAGACATAGGGGCGAAGCTATCTTCGACAATCTGCCTCCCCAAGTTGACGTTGTGCAGTACCATTCTCTGCATGCAAGTCTTGATTCAGCAGAGGCAGAGAACGGCGAGTTAATTCCGTTGGCTTGGGACTTGAAGGCCGACAACACAGCGACTGAGGAATGGACTGACAATCTGAATCCGGATGCAATTCTTATGGCTGTGAAACACAAGCATCGACCTTACTACGGCGTCCAGTTCCACCCGGAGTCCATCTGTTCAAGTGATCAAGCTCAGCGGATCATTCTCAATTGGTGGCAACAGGCATACAGCTGGCGTAAAGATCTGACAACTCATTGTGCAAGGCCAACTTTGCCGACCACGGCAGGAGATGTGGAGAGCAGCGTCGATGACTACCCTAGTGGTTGTTCCGAGAGGTCTGGTATCAAAGTAAAAGAAGAGAGCCCGCTAGTTCACACAAAAGTCTTGCCATTGTCTAACATCACAATATCGAGAATAAGTTCTGTGCTTGGCCTTGTGGATGATGAAATTGTCGTCCTCGACTCGGAAAACCATCAGCGTCCGGATCTTGGCTGTTTCAGCATCATAGGTCTTGTGACCCCATATACTCCGCGTTTTGAGTACCAGGCTGGCTCTGATCATATTCGCCGGATCCAGGATGGCAAGGTTGAGCGCATTGACCTTGTGAGAAGCCATCGTCGTGACGTTCTTAGTTTCTTAAAATCATACGTTCAGGCTCTCTCTTTCACAAGCAAACACGAAGAGATCCCTTTCTGGGGAGGTCTAGTTGGCTACATCAGCTATGAGGCAGGTCTGGAAACCATTGGGGCTTATGGTGGAGCCGATCGCCAAGACCAAAACAGTTCGGATCTTAGCTTTGCATTCATCGAGCGTAGCATTGTCATCTCACATCTGACCGAGAAATTGTATATCCAGTCCCTACTTTCCGCCGACAACTGGGTGAATGACGTTGCTTATGTTCTTACTAATACTCCACCACCATCACCTGGTCCCGAAACATCACTCTATCTAGATGCTCATATCTCGATACCTGATGAAGCTGGCTATAAATCTGCCATTCGCGAATGTCAATCCTTCATTGGCCAGGGTGAATCATACGAGCTTTGCTTCACCGGTCGTACCACCGTCACTACAGCTCCACAAAGCAATCCTTGGGCATTGTATAGCCGTCTAAGGCAGCTCAATCCTGCACCTTTTGCAGCTTACATCCGGATCGGAGGCTTGACATTGCTTTCTAGTTCCCCAGAGCGCTTCTTGTCCTGGACAAGACCTCAAGCGCATTCTGAAAGCGGCGGGAATGAATCAGTATGTCAATTCAGGCCTATCAAAGGAACACTCAACCGTCAACCTGATCCAAATCAGCCTCCCCTAACGTTTGCGCAAGCTGAGCGCCTTCTAGCAACCCCTAAAGAGATTGCCGAGAATCTTATGATTGTCGACCTAATCCGCCACGATGTTCATGGCGTAGCCGGAGCGAATAACGTATTCGTGCCGAAGTTGATGGTCGTTGAGGAATACGAAACGCTCTTTCAACTCGTCAGTGTAATCGAAGGCACTCTTCGCGTTCCTCGAGGTGTTAGCCAATTCGATACGCACATCAGCCCCAAGGAACCGTCACCTGTCATTCAGAACAAAGGAAAGTCAGGAATCGATGTCCTTGCTGCCTCGCTTCCGCCCGGATCTATGACCGGGGCCCCCAAGCTACGGTCTTGTCAATTGCTCAAATTTCTGGAAGCCCGGCCTCGTGGGATCTATTCAGGCGTGGTAGGCTACCTGGACGTTGGGGGCGGAGGTGATTTCAGCGTTGTCATTAGGAGCGCTTTCCGGTGGGATGATCCTCACTCCGAGCGAGATACCTGGACCATCGGTGCGGGAGGCGCAATCACTACATTGAGTACTGAAGAAGGAGAATATGAGGAGATGATGGCAAAGCTAAAGAGCACCTTACGCCTATTCGAGCACGACAAGACGACCTACGGGACGGTTGCTTGAGAGTTTGCTTAGGCCCCCGCGCCGAAATGCCGATATCGATGAGTTAAATGGCGAAGCCTACTACACGCACCGTATCGTCAGAGATTGTTCTCGCTATTTGAGGACTTGGTAAGCTTTGACGAGAAGTTGCAAGCTTGAATGACACTAGTTGCATCGTTACGCCTAGAGGAGAGTGCTCTCATATCAAGTACTTGCTTTCAATAGCCTTCTCAACCTCAAACCGATATTTTAAAAACCAAAAACAATAGAGCCCACAGCATTAGTGCAATAATGTGTGACTTTCTCTTTGAAGCAGCATCAAAACCCATCTCTCAGGGTAGACAAGCGGTCGAGGAGAAAGCTAAATTGAAGTCACGTGTTTTCGTGACTCACCCGCGATGCCCCTTTTCCTTCCTTTCCCTACCCAATAAATGTCGCTGTGCACAATTTTTCCCACGGGAAAAAGATCTTACAAGGAGGTTAAGGAAAGGCCTGCTACGGTGAAAATTGAGCCTCAATCTTCAAGATGTAGTGAACTGTTCCTGCCGCCATCTCATTGGTGAACATAATGCTCGTGCCCACTCCTGAAGGCGGCTCAATTGGTCAACCCTATTCGAGAATAGGCTTCTGGTATGCTAGCAACTAGAAGAATTCAAAGATTCAGTTCAAAAGGAGAGTCGCTCATAGCTAAGAACGAATGCTTGCTCCGACGAGGACTCGAAACCGAGCTTCAGAATGACAACTGCAACATCCCAGCCGCCCTATTCGTTTGATCACGAAGACCATGCACACTCCCGAAGGCAGCCTAATTAGAGTGTACTGTTACGCTTTGGTCCTGGTATGCTAGACATTGCACCACCAGAGCTTCTTGATTGTTGGAAGAACGAAAAAAGTCAATATGTAGAATGTGGAGACCTTGTCATGTTGTTCGAGCAAGCAAGTTCGCGCTCGACAGAGATGGAATAGCTGGGGCACATAATTGTGAAAAGGCACCTTCAAAGCATTCGTGAGCACTTAAGAAGACCATGAATTGCAGACCTAGCTCCTGATCCAACAAAACTCGTTACAGGCTGCTATACAGAGAGTCGTGTAGTAGATAGGGATTTTGAACCTTTTAATGGTCATCGAAAGTGCAAACTAATGATTGTAATGCCAACATGTCGCCCACGCCCTCCCGATCGAAAATTTTAGAAAGACCTATTCTCCATGCTCTAATTATATCCCAGCCTGGCTTTTCCCATACTCCTCGGGGGAAGGAGAGTAGCAACTGTGCTCGGAAACTCCCTGCCCTCCATGGATTTATTGCTATTTCCGGGGACATGAGGCCGGAGGGAACTCAGTGTTGCAATTTAGCTATGAAATAGCTTCCTTGATCACTTTAAAACCAGGTCAAAATGGCTGATGCGATTTCATGGACAATTCTCCCAGGACGAGGACCGTATGTTTCGTGGTGAAAAGTTAGCTATAAATCACAGCATACATAAAGTACAGGCCAGTGAACAAAGACACTCAGCGTGCTTTTACCATGTTGCACATCACATCGAATGTTTGGTGACTGCGACCTAAAAGACGCGAGAAAGAGTATTTGCGTGGCAAACGCGAGTTTGGCTCGAGGGTCAAAGACTCTGCGTTGGTTAGGTATTTTGGAATCGAGATCGCTTCGGCATTGCTTTGTGAGTCATTATGACATCCTACCAGAGACTATTGTTGCATTTGTATGGTCTTCACAAACGTCGATCAAGTGAATGAGGCCAGAGTCCAGTGAAGACTAGTTCCGTGTAACGTCAAGACGAACAACCTCAGCCGTGTTCGTTTTCTTTTTGATTCTCCAGATGGTAGTCTTCAACATCCTCCATCTTGATATCCTCATCTCCATCCCCATCTGCATCCGCGTCCTCTTCTCCCTCACCGTCTTCCAGGGCCCTGTCTTTCATATCTTTACCCCTTTTCGTAGAATCTCTTCTTCCTTCTTTGGCCTCGCCATCTCCTTCTCCAAAATTTAGCCCTCTCCAATCTTCGATCTCTTCAGTCAAACCTCTCATGCGTTCTCTCACGGACTCAACCGCAAATGCACCTAGTAGGAGCCTAAGGGGAGGGTACCTACATTGTCCTAGCTGCCATACTAGTTCCGCAGCTTTAACAGCGCTTGTTGGCTGCTTCTCACCTAGCCACTGCAGAACTCTTTTTGCATGATGCGCAGGGCTAGTTGGAGACGCATAGGCCGAGGACGATGGGGGCTGAAGAATCGAAAAATGTCCAAACGGTGGAGGATCAGCACTAGATTTCTCTTTCGAACTCCTTTTCTTCGCACTGGGTACCAATTCTACCCCAGCATTGTCCGAAATTCCAATGCCATTGACGACCCCTCCAGTGTCATCTCGCCTGACATGTCCAGGCTCGACCAATGTAGCTCTGATGTCAAAATTTGACGTCTCATAAAGTAAGCTCTCCACCAGCCCCTCGACAGCATACTTCGTAGCACAATAAGGTCCTAGCCCCGGAACCCCCAGCGCCCCACTCGTAGAGCTGAAAATCAGATATCTTCCTCCATAATCATCATCTCCATCTCCATCAGCTCCCGCACCCTGTCTGTGATGTTCATTGAGCCCTGGAGACTGAGGGGCGTCCCTCTCTTTTTGTCCTCTTCCTCGGAAGTAAGGCAGACTCGATTGAACGATGTTCATAACCCCCCAGAAGTTCACCTCAAACTGATTCCTGATTTCCCATTCGTCTTGGTCTTCGCAAGCCCCAATGACACCATATCCTGCGCAATTGGCCACTATATCGTATCTACCCCAATGCTCTAGGCTCCTCTGGAAGATGACATCGACACTGGAGCGTACGCGCACATCGCAGAGCAGAAACAGGCAACTATTTCCACTGTCGATCTTGACTTTCTCTTGGGAATGATCTTCACTCTTGGTGATGTTGGGCGTTGGAGTGAACGGCTGAGTCAGGGTGGAGAAGGATGGTAGATTTGAGGAGATGGCAGCATAGCTTGGTTGGTACGGCCGAATTGCCTTATTTAGGGAGTCTAACGTATCTTCATTCGTTTTGCCCACTGCAGTCGCCAAGTCACCATGCGCGAGAACGGCTCTGACGATAGAGCGACCGATGTGGCCGCTTGCTCCAAAGACCTTGTCGGTAGGTATTAGCTTGAGACGTTGAAAAGCGTAGAAGGATATTCATTAATGACTTAGTCGAACTGGAGTACATACGACCCAGACGCGTTGTTGAGGGGGATTCTGCTCTGACGGGGGATCGCAGCTCAATGGGAGCGTGAGCTTCGAATCTTGGGAGGCGTGTGCAGTGATTGGAGATAAAGCTTTTAGAGGCATTTTAGAGCTGGCGTAGTTGGTGCTGGAACCCTGCTACAGGGCATTGGGCGCGCATCATTCTATAAGATAGGTGGGTGGGCGAGGATGGCAAGAGCGCTGTCGAGAACTCACGGCCCCTGGCGTCATTGTAGAGCATAAATGCGAGCTACGTTTCTCGAGTCGAGACTAACTGCCTTGTGCCATCGCGCAGATTGGAAATCCCCCACCCATTATATTATGTCTGACATAAACATCATCCATATGTACACAAGTCATCTATGTCTCTATGCATTGGTACCAGCACATGCCTCCTCCCATCCGTCCACGAAAAGCCGAAATGACTATGTGCAAACGGTATTCGGTGCTGGAGCCACTCTGAAGCCAATGACAGAATCCTATCCTTTTTGTTTCCGTATTTGCTTGGTCATTGAAGACTACAGGCTATTTTAAGCTGTCCTCAAATTTGTAACGCCGTTCGCTTATGAAAAGAAAACAGAGTCCGATGTGCGTGAAGTGATCGCGTTGTACGTTTCATGATCTGTGTTCGTATTTAGACATCAAATAAAGTAAAAAGCAATGGAAAAACCGAGACTGCCGCTCTCGGAGCTGAACAGGGTATCTGTGTATATGTGTAATCATTCATGTCGATGTAGGCGTAAAAGCGCCAGGAGATTCACCACTCGATTTCCGTGAGGTAAGACGAGTATCTACCGAATTTGGGTGGGTGCTTGGCTGTGAACTGCTCTGCGGTGATTGAGATTCCTCAGACACAAGGGGAGGAGTCGGGGCAGCTGATGTATTTAGAGATGACGGGAATAGGCCGGCAGTTTGATGGTGCGGAGCTTGTCTCATGTAGAGAAGCTTTTCAACTGAAGTGATCTGCTTGCCGGGATACATGATCTTCTTAAGCAGGGCAACTTGTAGCTTTACAGGCTCCGCAAAATCGCTCCATGCTTGGCTCTGGAGCTGGGTGAGCAGCTTTTCTACAACGTTGGTCAGCAAGTCTCAAGAAGATCCATGCGACCTTTACTCACGAACTACATAATTCCCGTACTGATCCCGGATCAGGGTCTGGACAGGACTTTCACCTCTTTCATTTGTGGCGGTGAGCTTTTGGACGATCCGTGATCTTTCTTCGGGGGAGCCAAATTGAATGCTAGTCTCAACCACATTACTTGCGAATTTGTGTTTGGAGAAGTTGACCAGGTTGTTGATGACAATGTCGATGACTCTTCCACGGTCCTCGGGTCGGCCATGCTCGATCACGTGTTGCGTGACATAGTTGCCATACTGGTCGCTGATCAAGGTAAGAGCGCATAAATGCAACTCTTTTAAAACAACAGCCTTGGTAGATTCATCGCAATGCTCCAGCATACGCTGTATGACGCGACAGCCATACGGATGTGTTGCATTCTCTCCCACTTTGCCTGAAAAGGCGTTGAGAATAAATTGAATGTGCTCAGCAGGCACTCGTTCGATGGCTTTTTGTATGACGTGGTTGCCATTCTGGTCCCTAACACAGGGCATAACTTCATGTTCCAATTCTTTCATGAGTGTTGCTTGTTGATCGACGAGAACGTGCTCGAGAGCCTAAGAATGTTTAGCAATAACTTTGTAGATAAGGAATAGACATGATCACCTTCTGTACAACGCGGCAGCCATACATTCCTGTTGAAAGATGGTAGACGCGACCTTTCATTTTGCTTGCAAGCGTCTTTTTCTGCGCTTGATTACCATGCTCAAAGAATTTTTGGATCACGTAGTTACCAAACACATCAGTCATGAGTTGAAAAGCATTGGGAATGATCTCTCGAAAGACTTGGTCCTTTTCGTCGCTATTGGCAGTCTCCAGCTTCTGCTGGATGAAACGAGAGCCATGCTGGTCGCCGCTAAACTCGACGATATTGTCGTAGATATCCTGTCATATTGTCAGCACTACTAATCAGGCCCGGTCTAAAACAAATACCTTGAGTTCATATCTTTTGTTCGTTTTACTATTATTCCTGAAGTCTTCTAAGAGCTGGCTGCGCTCCGGCTGCGAAGGATCGCGTTCTCTAGCGGGCCCACGAGGTACATTAGAACTCGTCAAGACATTCGGTGCTGGCTGCACCGGATAATACGTGTTTAGCTGATTCATATGGAATGACTGCTGAGCATTGACATCGTAGGGATATGCAGACGGATTTCGCATGGGATTGGGAAAGCTTTGCTGCTGTTGTAAATTGCGTAACCTTTGATTGAGAATGGCAGGTTGAGCGGCCGAATGTCCAGAGTGGCTATTGCGGCCCAAACTACTTTGCTGACTGAATGTAGGTGGTGTTCCGGTGGAGGGATAAAACGGGCTGTGATGGCTAAGATGAGGATCGCTCTCTCCTGGCGAATGGGAAAGTTGGCCATTGAGATTAGCACGGTAGGTGTTCTGTTGAGAGAAAGCAGACGTGCTCCCTGTTGGTGAAAGTTGGTCGCTGTTCACCATGTCGTAGCTTGGCATGGTGGCTCGAAGACTAGGGAAATGATCTGAAGTCGAATTCGGAGAATGTTGCGAAGACGCATATGACGGTCTCCTTTGGTTAGCTACGCTCATCTGATCAAATTGACTTGTCAACTTCTCAAGGCGACTAATATTCTGTTGTTCCGTCAGGCCATGTCCCAGAGATCCGCCGTTCAGGGGCGAAGGGTGATTTGCCAGAGCATTGAGGCGTTGAGCATTCACATTTGCGCCATATCTCGTGAATTGCAGACTCTGAGCATCGTGGCGACGTGACGTAACTTGTTCAATGTCGCCTCGAGAAGGAGGAAGGCTACCATTTCGGGAGCCGACACTGCTATTATACCCAGAGAGATTTGAGCTCCTAGGGGTACGATCAGGTATGGCATAGCTGGGCTCTGCCATACCGTAAGAATTTTTGTTGCCCGTAAAATGTAATTCGTCGTCACTGTCTTGCCGAGACCACTGCGCATGGCTGTTAGAGCGCACCATATCTGACATAACGAAATCTTGGCTCGTTGGATCGAGAAACTTCTGAGACGATCTATGGGAGAGAGTGGTGGTGGAGAGACTGTTGGGAAAGTATGGATCAGGACCACCATTTTCGGCAAATACAGGGTGAGCATGATGAGTGCTTTTCTGTCGCCTCTCCGGCGAAGCCCGTGAGTGGGAGGTTTGTACCGAAGCGAAGTCCGGAGACGTTCCATCCATCGATTTCCAGGGCGCATGGCGGCTGATGGGATTGTCTAATTCAGAGGACGGAAGTAAAGATCTTGAGCCAGTGATTGTGCCTCGACTTGAGGTTTCAAAAGGGTCAGCTAGTGGTCAAATGTCAGCAGAAGCCCGTGTTTGCGCATGGCGAGAGCAAACCTTGTGGTCGATTAGTATCTTGCGCGCCAACTTTCGTGCTGCCTCCAAAACTATTGTTACCCCAAATGTTCGAAGTCCAGGTATTCGAACCATTTCCGAGACCGCCTCCGAGCCCTTTGTTGCCGGCCCGACCCTGTTCGCTGTGCTGTGTTCCAGATGCCATGCCGAATCCGCCGACGTGCGTTCGAGTCTGATAGCGGACGTTAGCTTTCGTAGAATCTCGGGTAGATGAGCTGCAGTTCTTACGGCAGAAGTCATGCTTGGGATTCGAAATATAGGCAGTCAATGACTCAAGATATATATGAGACAATATTTCCAAGGTATTCAAGATGATGTGAGGGTGCGCGGAGGGTATATACGAAGGTAATGGTATGTAAGCTAGTATTAATGTATTACTGATTCCACCGTTAGCGAAGAGCTGTTCCTGCGCAGACAGGTAGGCGACGGCGGATACATACACAATAAGCTAGGTTGATGTGGACAGGCAGGTCTCCACATACGGGAGGATGGCCTTGTATATAACGAGGGCAGGCCAAGGCGTAATGAAGTATGTGACGCAAGGTTCTGGCAAGGCATCGACTCCTTGAGAAAGTGTGGGTTTCCTGGGGGAATTGTTCAATTAAGCAGGCAGCCGATCGATAATCAATCGGAGAGAAAGCGGCGAAGGTTCCCCGCATAAAGCGAGCAATAAGTACGGCGGCTTGTCCCCCACATCGAGAACACTGGAATGGCGTTGGCTGTTTTCTTTGTTGTCTTGTTTGTGCTGAGGTGCGGGGAGACGGTGCAAGGGGTCCGCTGCAATGGCGTCTGGAATGTTGCTGGGTGAAATCACATTGGCACTCGATAAGGGCCAAGTTCCTCTATTGAGTCCAATCAGGAGGCCGATCGAGCTGCATTCGCACGAGAGGAGGGAGAAGTAGCATCTGACGTTGAAGTGGGAGGAACAAAGAAAATGATAATTCGTAAAGTTCCTTACAGCGGGATGCGCAAATCGCAGATGGGCTTAGAATTAGGTGGAGAGACTAATAAGGGATGGCCCGGGATTTTCAGCGGAAGCCACTTTGATGGTTCGCCCTTAAGTCCCTAAGCAAATGACATGGTAAGGTACGAACGCCTCGGGGGCAAAACGGCTTTCGTTCAATATTCCGTAGTAAAAAGACTCTCGCAGGGAGAGCAATTGATAAAGCATGGTCGATAGCACAGCGACATCGGTTCGAATGGGCACGAATCAGACAAGGCCGGATACGGGGCGGTGCCGCTGGCAAAAGCTGATAGACATATGCACATCTATCGCAGACAGATGAGATGCATGGATGCAGAGATGCTCTGGACGATAGGGAGAGGCAGCTGCTGTAGCCTGTAGAAGCGACTGAGAGTTGACTGGTACGACCGTTGTTGCCAACTGGCTAGCTCAGCCTTAAATCGAGGGTCAAGGGACCCTGGAGGCGATCTTCAAAGGAGACACCGGAGGAGTCAGTAGTACATGGTCAGATAGTATTGTTGTGCCCCGCCAGCGCACCTGGACAAGCATGAATTAGATCACCCAAAATCCGGGGTTCGGATGCGATGCGATGCGTTCGGAAAATATCCAGATGCTGCCTCTTGTGGGGAAGATTTGGTACGGGAGAACGAGATAAAGGATTGCCACTGCGGATATTCCACCTTTTTCGCCTCTTTCCGCAATGGCCTCATGCGAGAACGACCGAATCAGCAAGTTCGTGCACGCTTCAGGTAATATTGAGTCGAAAGCTTAGAGTGCGCTTCAAAGAGATGCCGGTGCCATGGTTTGAAGCTTTGTCATGCGCATATCCTCTGCCAGCCGAGACATCTGTGTTGTCAATTGATAATTGACTCGAGCAGCATCGCAATTCGAATCTCGATATGTCCGAGAGAATTGGAGACTTGCCCCGTAAGAGTTTGGCTCCCCTGATCCTGCAAGTAATCTTTTGATCGAACATCAGCCCAAGAAACACCGATGATGATTGGCCGTCATTTGATTATCGTCGCCCGCCTCTTGGCAAGCCGATGTCGTTATTGGCGCTTAGGGGTTTAGGAGGAAATTGCTGGATGAATTGCTCTCTCTATGAATCTGTCGCCATCTCAACACCAACATCTTCAGTTGCTCCTTTTTCCTTCTCTCTCGTCTTCTTCAACTTAGGGGTAGCAGCTTCACTCCTTTAGCTGCGCCTTTACCTGTTCCTTCCTTCCTGGGTTCTATTTTCACCCCTTTGTTGACTCGCCCTTCACCTATTGTCTGTCAACCATTGACCGCCAGCAACACCCAATGATACCGCAAAATCTCTCCTCGACGTTGCTCTCCACCTAAGATCATCCTTTTCGCCAGCTGGAAAACCTGCCAGTAACTCGTTTTCGCCTCTACACTCTTTAGACTGGGCGTTCGCCCATTACATTCCTTACCAGCGCCACGGAGCCACGGCTTCTTGACCCACAAAAATGCCAGCTCTTCAGCACCTCCGCCCCCGCTCTGGAAGCTCAGACATGAAAGCCACCGTGACTCCCGCCATCATGAAACTCCTAATCGCCCTCGTCGTTCTCCTAGCCTTCAGTTTCCTTTGCGTCGGTATCCTATTGCTCCTCCGCTCTCGCCGTAACAGCCAGAAACCCCTACAAGGCGAGGAGAAATTGCCTCAACGATCAAGTTCAAGGATCTCCCACCGTCGTCACGGTGCCAACACTGCCCCGATCGATACCTATCGCAGCGAAAAGGAAATGTTAGTCGAGAAGGACGAGTCTGCCACTCCCGACAGTCCTGTGCCGGAGATTCGAATTACTTTTCCCGACGAGGTAGATGAGAAGGATGGACGGACCAGTTCTGGGAGGGTTGTTAAGGTGACAATGAGTGAGAAGGGAGGAGTAGGGCTGGAACCTTACCAGGAGGAACAGTTGCCACCCTATGAGCCGTCTGAAGGAAGATTGCAATCTGTGGATTTAGAGCGGATAGGAGGGTTGAAGGAGAAAGAGGCGAAGGCTTGACCCACAAACCGGACCGCTACTGTAATCGATCCCCATAATTTCGCCATTCTCCTGAAGGCAGGTGTCGCTTCTGCGCCATGGCCTGAGAGACATTCATCCATTCGTCGACAGGAGCTGATCGATCATATATGCAACAATATCCAATGACAAGACTCTCAACACATGACAGCTGATACAACCATATCGTGACCAAGAGAATGATATGGCCCCAATATAGACGCAAACATCCGGGTCTGTATCTTAGACTTAATGTATGTATTTAATTAGAGATATCATGACCTTTTCCGACAAGTCAAGTTGCATCTCAGACATCACTATTTCACGCAAACGCCGCTCATGCGGCAAAACCTCAACCCTGTACGAATACCCTCACACCTTTTCACGTCACCAAAATTATGAGGTTCAAAGCCTCCATCAGAAATGTTCATACCTTCACTCGTACGCAGCCCATGCCGCATTCTCATTTGTAGACCACTCAGACTGTTCTCAAGGGTTGACGGCATCCCTCTCTTCGTTGGGCAGGGATGTTTGGCTGCAGCTTAATGACAACCAATTGCGCTTCACGGTTGTTCCTGAGCAAGGAAGCCAAGTATGGGCGTAAGCTCTCCCACTCGCTGTCACAGCTACAACAGATTCTGACATGAGTCCAGCATTCTCGCGATTGTAACACCTACCACAGGACTTCTGTGCCGAAGTACTAAGACGAGCGCAGGACGCAATCTTCGAGACCTACACCGTCCAATCCGCCTCCACAGACAATGTCATCAATCTACGGGTGCCCCTCTCCCACCTCCACCGTGCGCTCCGCTCCGCACTGTCCGCAACCAGTGCCTCCATCCGCCTCACGAAGAAAGACAACATCCCCCTCCTAAGCCTGACCATCACGACCTCCAACTTCGCCACCGCACGCGCCCTGAACAATATTACCACTACCACCATCGACCCTCCCTCTCAATCGCTCGACCCTACTAACGACAACCAAAACAATGCCAACCCTGCTCCCAATCCACGACCAGACGCCCCTACCGACGACGACAGCCTCCAAACCAATGCCCCGACCTCCTTCGACAGAGAAACCACCATAACACAGGAAATCCCCATCATGGTCCTCCCGGCAGCAGAAGTATCCCACCTCCACGAGCCCGTGTGCCCACAACCCGACATCCACATCCTTCTCCCCCCACTTGCACAGATAAAATCCGTCTCAGAGCGCTTCACAAAACTCGCCCTCTCCTCCCACCAACTCACCACGCACTCGGCCTCTTCCTCCCGCCGGGGAGGAGCAACCCAAGGCCCCTCCACCGCCGACGCCCCATCCTCAGCATCCCGCCTAACGCTCTCAGCAAACGCAAACGGCGAGTTTAAGATCGCCGTCGAAACGCCCAGCCTGAAGATTGAGAGTAAATGGCAGAACCTCACGAACCCAGAGCTCGACCCGGCGCAGATTGAGGGAGGGGAAGACGGCGTAGCGGGGCACGCGAGCACGGTGATGAAAGAGAGGGCGGCCCGGGGGGAAGATTCGTGGGCGAGCGTGAGGGTGGAGGGGAGGGACTGGGGGCGCGTTCTGAGTATTGGACGGATGGGCGGGGGGAGTAGGGTCGTGGCGTGTTTTTGTGATGGGCATGCGCTGGTGCTTTATGTGTATTTGGAGGATCAGGAGGCCTTTGGGGGCGGGGGTGTTGGGGAGGCGGAAGGGGGGAGTGTTTTGACGGTGAGTAAGCGTTGGGTGAGGGAGATGGGGCTGTTGCTGACCATGAAGCAGTATTATATTGCTAGCTACAGCGCTTGATCGCCTGGGCTGTGCGGATGATGGACCTGGCTCGCAGTCTGAAGTTGGAAAGGGGGCACGTGCTCATACCGGAAGAACAATTCTTGAAAGAAATACAATATCAACATCAAATTTCATCTGGACTTCGCATGCAATTTTGCACCCTCTGAACTCACTACTTTCATCAAACGCCAAACCAATCCAAGCACCTCAAAACCCAGGGGTATCATTCGCAATCCTAGTATGCCATTGCACCTTCCTTCAACGCCTTCCCCAGTGCCTCCACCTCAACTGGGACCCGAAGCCGTCCTGCCCGCCTTCCTAAGAAAAACCTTGCTCGTAGACCCCGCCCTACCCAACCAACCCAACCCTTTCTTTTCCGCAATGGCAATCTCCTCGTTCGACTTCTCAGTTCGTCCCCAAACGGTGGCTTGCTCCAGCATATCATCGACCCAAGCCTGATGACTCGGTTCGATCGCAACGTCTTTGCCCTTGGGACCCGCAAGCCCTAGACCGTGCGGTGGACAAGGCGAAGGCGCGTCACCAGCGTCAGCCCATGAAGACCGTGACGAAGGGCGGCTCTTTGGCGTTCCTGGTGCTGGTGATGGGGTCATCGCATTCTGCTGACTCATCTGTCCATTGTAGTCTGAAATGGAGCGCTGTGTGCTTCCGTGGTGAAGGGCGTACTCTTTCAGGTATTCGCCGAGGTCGGCCCAGCCGCCGCCGACTCGGACCATGACTCGCTCGCCAGACTCACCCACGAGGCGTACATAGAGCTTGACCGGCGTGGATTCCTTTACACCTGGTTGTTGAAGATGGTATACTTTAATTCCAGAGTCGTCACATCCTTTGTCATGACCTGAGCTCGCAGGAGCGAGCGTGAGCGCAGGGGCAGATGTAGGCGTCTTTGGACGGGACTTAGGTGTGACGGAGCGCTTCAAAAGCCCTTTCTGATTTGGAGTATGTAGAGCCGTAGATGGTGGGGGCGTTTTTGCCCCACTGGACTTCAACCGGATGTCAGCTGGTATGCTGTGTAAAATTGTACTAATGCGAGCTTCGAGCTTGTCCTTGGGTCTTGGTGGGCTTAATTCCGTCGGAGTGGGCGGTCTGTTGACTTCAGGCTTTGCCAGTCGTGTTTTTTGAAGCTTCAAAGGCATTGAAGCAGTTGAGAAGTCTTCATATGTCTCAAAGCGGCTCCGTGGTCTTGCTGATGAAATCGAGTTGCCATTTTCGTCCCTTGGTAAGCCGGCATAGAGCTTTGTAGAATCTCTACTAATTCTCCTGTCCCGGACAGACTTTGTGTGTGCCAATGGGGTAGATGAGGCCACGCCGCTTGAAAAATATGAGTCATCATTGTCTTCGAATTTCATCCTACGAGGCGATAATGGAGTCGTCACTCTTATTGGGGAACCTGGATTGGCAGCGATGGACGCGTTCATAATTTCAGGGCTTGATGTACCAGAGGAAGCGCCAGAAATCAACGATCCTTGGGAAGACGGAGATTCCTCATGACCCGGATCTTGGAAGGCTGGATCTCGTGGGGTTGGCACCATCCCTATTGGGTCGAACCGTCCATTTGGAAAGGAGTCAATCCCACGACTCAATTCTGGCGCAGACACGACGCCTAGGAGTTCCTCTCCCTCGTCAAATTGAGACGCTGCACCCTGACCGTCCTGCAGAGACGGTGGAATATCTTTCGATGGCACCGGGTCTCCTACATCCTGAGTGGTATCATCATTTCTGGTCTGGCCGCCGATTGGTGTTTCCTTCAGCCCATCATTGTTGGAAAGCCCAGGTGTAGGAGGCACACTGTCGGCGCCATCGAAGAGGCGGCTTGTCGTGAGCTCCGACTTGGCCCGTGTGCTTGTCTCTAAGTCCGATTCCTGTGAGGACTCTGTCTCTCGCACCGGTGTGCGGGGTTTTTGCTCCGCGGTGTTGGCTTCCTGCTCTATCCCACCAATGCTCCGTTCCGGAGTATGCTCGTTCTGCTCGGGTGCGTCCGCTATTGGTTCGGGCGTGCTCGTTTCTAGGGTTGTCACGCTAGCCTTTGATTCTCTTAGGTTCCTCTCCGGTGCCTCCAAGACAGGGTTGTCATCAATTGGATTACTCTTCTGTTCAGTAGGAATCGGATGCTGGAACGAGGCCGCCAACTCATTGTTGAGCACCAATTCCTCAGCTTTCACAACCCATGAGCTGTAATCATTCTCGACTTTGTCCACGGCATCAATCCAGTCATCGGGAAGAGTATCCTGACTTCCCTCCAGAACGTCCAGCATACCGTCAATATTAGTCCCCAAGTGTGTCGTCTGATCTTGCAGGATGGCTTGAATTTCCATGAAAGCCCTTCGGTTGAAGTCTGGCTTTGCAATTGGCAAGTCTGCGTTATTTTGTCCAATTGCTAAGCAAGCTGAGACGATGGATTCTTGACAACCATGCAACTCATTCAGGAATGGGGGAGAGCGTCTCAGTACTATCAAGCGAAGAGACCAAGTGTTGAGGAGACTGTGTAGCTGGGCAAGTGGGGGTAAGCTCTGCACGATGGTTGCCGTGATGATGGCTGTGAAATCTTCAAGCTTTTCGTAGTCTCTCGTAGTGGCTTCGGGTCGAACATGAACTTGACGGACATGCTCCTTCAACTCTTCGACTTGCATTGTCTTCATGTCATCGCGGATGATTTCTACGCGGGATGTATAACCTTGTATGATTTTCTCGTCCCGTGGTCTCTCGAACCCATTGAGCTGAGGATCGTTCCCCTTCTTCCACGGCCATTCGAGAAGCTCATCTCGCCATTCACGAATCTTCTTGCCAGCAAGAGCGGCGCGAATGCCCCAGGCCCTTTCAGACTCTGTCACATTGGCTACGCTAGCTTCAACAAAAGATCGGCTTCTATCTCTGGCTTTGGAAACCGCACTCGTGGATATCAGGGCGTCTAGGGTGGAGGATGGAGACAGGTCGGAAAGTAATGGATCGACCTCATCGTTTGTGAATTGTTGGCGTCGCGAGTGGGCGCGGGTAATAGGGGGCGCGTTAGGGCGTTGTAGGTCGGTTTCACTGATACCCGGAGCCATGATGGAGGAATCAAGTTAGTACATGCATTGGAAGCAACTTTGGGTGGTCTGCATCGTATCATGAGTATATATCGACTTGAAAGGACCCTACGATCGTGCCAGGGGTGTTATACCGGGGAAACATAGGGCTTTGATTGGGTTCCGGTAAGACAAAGCGAAGAAGCGGCAAAGTGTGAGCAAAGAAGTGGTTAACACGACACTCTGAACGATGACGAGAACAATGAAGCTTCCATCCGGTTTTTGCGGAGCAATCAGTGGATGATGGGTCGATTGCCAATTTAGGCACTTGGTTGGCTGCGCTAATGCAAGGGGGACAGATCGTCCGCTGCGAGAGATAGAACTACCCCCAGATCTACCCAGGGCTTTTTTTTGGTAAAGAGCTATACCGGCCCTTCCAGAACGAGCCGATCAGTCGTGCATTGTTCACTTTGTTTGTATCTCTGAATGGCCAGTGTGACGAGTCCTCCTACTTTCTGACTCAGCCAGACATTGAAGGCTCTGACTGTAGAACTATTCTGTCGATGTTGACCCCTACTGCTATCGCGTATCCACACAACGGCCTCATACTTTAGCAAGATTGCACCCCGATAGGTAAGGCGTAAACCAGCACCGAGCTTTTCCAGCGTTGCGAACGCACATATAGGCGAGATCTAGGGATTCGTCTGCATAATCTGGCAGCTCTGGGACTCTATGCGAGAGGACATTCCCCGCATGTTCATTGTAAGTCATTTTGCAGAATATCGGAGGGGGAATCCACATTTCTCGCAGAGAAGATTGATGTATGCTGGTCGCAATGGGCATTCCGTCGTGGTCTGCTATGCTTGCAGGCATTGCCATCAGCACCGTCTTGACCGCAAGCTGGTGACAGAGATCAACAGATCGGCACGCTTGACCCACCATGAGCATGCATGAGATTGGTCATCCTATGCTTAGACCTCACTCTCGACTTTTCCCTTTGCAGAATTTCACCACTTCTCCTTCAAGTCCTCTTTCTTTCCTATTCGAAGAATTCCTCCGCACACTCTGAGTATGGCCCTACCGCCGTCAGACCCCGCTTCCCACCCCGACTTTCCCATTCACGGCTCCTGCGCCTGTTCACACATCCCTTACACTGTGCATGCTCCACCACTAAACGTTCAGTGCTGCCATTGTATTGAATGCCAACGCGAGACCGGTTCCGCTTTCGCCACCAATGCCCAAATTGAATCCGAGCTTTTGACTCATGATGGGCCGGAGCCTGAGATTATCAACACGCCTACCCCCTCCGGCGCCGGCCAACTCATCGCTCGCTGTCCGGTCTGCAAGGTTGCCCTTTGGTCAAACTATTTCCCCAGCGGGACCGGAATGCGTTTTCTCAGAGTAGGGACACTGGATGCTAGAGCACAGAAGATTGTGGGCGGACCAAGAGCGCATATCTTTCTGGAAGAAAAGTCTCCATGGATTGATGTGACGGGGTTTGGGGAAGGAGTAAAGCAGTATCAGGGATATTATGATGATAAGGCGGAATTCTGGGGGGAGGATGGGTTGAGGCGACTGAAGATCTTCGAGGAGAAAGAGAAAAAGAAGCGGGATGATTAGAAAGCGAGATAAGAGGTAACCGACGTGGATTCGTGAGACTAGTCGTTGGTGTTCTCCAGACTTGATCGAGCCGCTTGTGTATTTCTACTCTGTCCCTGAAAACAAAATGCAGCCATGGAGATTTCGAATGACTATAATCAATGTCAGTGTTGAAATTTCGGTAGCCAAAGCTTGGAATAAGTCGTGCTTCGAGTCATGATATCGGCAATACTAAACACTAAGATAATATTCTATCAATACCTTCAACAATGTTGATGGTACATTTATATAGAAGGAATTGGTCTCGTAGGGAGATATCTCGGCAAACCCGTTACCTGACGATTATATGGTGCTCGAGCCTTATTCATAACAGGGCTTTAGTGTCAGGAGATAATGGCTTGTAACACCCTGTGGTTGTAGGTCGTGACACGCTGATTTCGTCCACTCAACACGCTTGCTATCCAATTATTTTCTTTTACTAGATTCCTTCAAAGTGTTGAGACACGCTTACTCAATTCGCGCACAACAAGTTACATAACGGCCTACGATTATATTGTCACGTTGCATCATGGAGCGAGCACTAGAGAACGGAAGGGACCATGCTCATAGTGAGGTACAGTCAAGTCCACTGTTCAGGCTTCCCCCGGAGTTGCGACTCATCATTTACAAATTGCTCGCTGGTTCTATGCCACTGCCCAACCGAGGAGTCTCTGGGAGAACTTACTCCTGCAGTCCAGTGCACGTACTCCGCATATGCAAGGCGATTACTCAGGAGGCTATCCATATCATTTTCCACCTTCACGTCTTCACATTCAAATTATACTCGGTCCTGAATCTCAATAGCGGGCGTATTCCAAGGCTTCAGCCATACCACTTGCGCAATCTTCGCATACTGGAACTCTCGATCGTTGGATTGAAAATCGATACCATTTCGATGCACAAGTTGAGCGACCTCATTGAAGGGCTGTATCAACCAAAATCAGCACGAATAACACTGGAGCCCGGAAATACTATTATCTGGTTATACGGAGAGACCCTGAAGACCAATTTTTCCAGAATCTTGGGCCGCACGTTCATCAAATTTGAGGATCTAACGATTTCTTATCTGGACAAAGACCGATGGGGCCCCTCAATGCCAGGCAGATTGATGGAAGAGCTTGACTCGATACTGAGCAGCACTTATGGGCCATGTCATTGGCGGAAAGACGTTGATCGGACAGGCCGAAAAGTCAAGACATTGATAACGCTAGAGTATCATCCAGCCAAGGCTCAGGAGTGACTTGATGATGCTTAAGGCTTGGATAGCCTGGAGGGTTCTTGACGAGGAGAATGTCTGTGCTGAGAATGTTTCGGTAGGAAAGGGACAAATTTGAAAAGCGTGAAATAAAACAAGCGAAGACATTGCCTTCCTGCTACGGGCGTAACAATAAGTTCGATACTTCAACATGTGAAAAGGCTCAACAGCAAAAACTTGACCAAAAACAATTTCACCTTTCTTGGTCTGAAGAGATTAATGTCGCTCCGTGCACAAGGTTAGCCTGCACTGACATTTCCGAAGTCGCTTGAGCGTCCATTGACTTGCAAACATCGTCTAGACATCCCTTGAATGTGAAATATCATCTTGCATTCAATCAGACCCAGCTCATCATTGTGGTAGAGGTCCGTACGTGCTCCTACACCTTCAGTCAGCACTCCATGTCCATCCCATTGCCGTTTCTGACGAATAATGAGAAAGTAGTGGCTCACATAAAGGCCACAGCCCCCGCGACCATTCCAATCCAAACACCCCAAGTTGCCCCTTTTCCCACCATACCCCAAAATCTTCCCTTCTCCCACCTCCCCCTGGCCAACCTTCTCCAAACCATCCTCTTCCTAGCCCGCTGAATATCCGAGCTGTTCTTCACATGCGCCCAACACACCATACCCGTCGCCCAAATCATGACCTCGACAACGCAGAATGCACAGCTACACAAGACACCGATATAGGCCCAGTCGATATCCAGCAAGAGTGACAGGCCAATAGTGTAGAGGATATTGCCGAGACTTAGGATGAAGATCAGAGCGATCAGGAGGCGGAAGGAAAGCAGATTGTAATAATCCTGTTCGTGCGGTGGGGATGGGGGTGGAGGCGTGCGCCGTGGGGATGCATGCGGGGAGAAAGTCATCCTGCTTTGGAGGCGGGCGCTCGTGGGAGTCATGTTTGACGCTGTGGTTGGGGTTGTTGCCACTGCGGTAGACGCTGATGCTGATGCTGACGAGCGGCCGGTCACAGTGGTGATCCCCTCTTTGGCTTCGTCGGTATTGCCACCAGCTTCGAGGTCCCTGCGTGTACGGCACCGCCTGAGGTCGGATAGCGGAATGGTGTCGGCGACAGAACTACAGTTTCTGGTGGCGTCATTATAAAGGGTGACCTTTTTGAATTCTCTCCTATGTTCTGTTGATGGATAAGCCCGTTTCTGTGCGTTTTAATGTGGCCAAAAGAATTGGACGAACCGAAGAATGCTTCTCCAGTGTGTAGAATTGGCAGAAACAGGAGGATGACCTCGAAGACTTGAGCGAAGGTCCAATCATTGTCATCCTCATGATGTGGGATCTGTTCGTAAATTGCAGTCTGCCAGCGTATCTTCCACAAATTCTGCGTTCGACCAAGAAAGAGGTGGACACTACCCCAGAGAAGCGCGGTCAGAAGCCAGATTATCTGATTCGGTGTCAATGGTATCTGTGCAGCAAGAAGGCTAAACGGACAGCACATACTTCCCATAGCATAGACTCATAAGCGTCTAGAGACGCCCTTCCAGTCACGAGGCAGATTTCCAGCGCTACATATGGTACGAACCACAATTTGGAAGCGCCTGGGTCCGTGATATGGCAATGTATTACATCTAGCCTCCTCTTAAGGACACTGCCCGGTTTCTCTCGCATCCAGCGGCGCATGAAACTGGATGCCGAAGCAGAAAGCTTCAAAATCCGCGTCACGTAGCCGAAGAACAGGATCAAGACCGATATCAGCATTGTCAAGCCTGAATTATTTAGCAAAGAAAAGTTGCCTTGATGGCCTAGTCTGTGATAATGGCAAAGGGCAGGTACGCCGCCAATAAAGTGACCAGCATTGTCCACCATCCAGTATGTATCGCCTGTGGGTATAAGGGCAACACTAAGCATGACGGCCATGAGAACCATAAAAGTAGCACGCCACATCCGAATAGGTGGATGGTCCCGGAAATATTGCCTCAAAATCGTGACAGTGGTCAGATGGACATGACTGGAAAACCATGCCAAATAGACGGCGATCTGCCAGTAGTAGCTTTCAAGACCGTAGTATAGCTGGGGAAAGATGCTGCCCAGAAGGGCAAGACCCATCACCAGTTGCGTGTCGCTGTAGATGAACATAGCCTTCCGCAAGAATGGCTCCCATTTTCGGCTTCCCTTGCTTTTCTGCCTTCTCCACACAGTTTTGACGCACCAATGGTCGACCCTATTGCTGAAAGGAGGCTCTACGTAGTCGCAGAAGTAGTAGGTGATCACCAGGATAAAGGTGATGTAGGCTGCGGCCGAGAACCCGATACTGATCTGTGCTATGCTGTCAATCGAGACAGATCAATGGAGACGATGGACCCCCATTGCAAGACTAGCTGGACAAAACAGAACGATCATCTGTACTCACCCCAACGCCGGCAATATCAGAGTTGGCGCTTTCGGAGGGCAATTGATCCTGCCCCCCTTGATAGACCCAGCCCACCTCGGCAACATTGCTACAGTCAACAGAAGGATGTCCCATGATGGCTCTTCAATGACGAAGTTGCACGAAGTCTAACGCGTCGTTGCTTTGAGCTGGGGTTCTTGTAGAGTTCCAGCAACTGGGTTCATGGCTTGTGACAGTCCGGGTACGACCAATGATAGGGGGATGAAAGAGCAACATCTCCACCTTTCTCCACAATGTATTCACGTCAACAAATTTACGGTCGGATGATGCTGCATTGATCTTTCCCTTGGGAAATACTCGGACATCATGTGACTGCGCAAAGGCTTCAGAATTTTTCAGAACGAGATGCGCTGAGATCAGAAGAAATGCGAAACGATACGAAAGAATGGCAGCTGCAAGTAGCTTGTATAGCCGGAACATATCGGTCCTTTGTACGTCTAGCAAGCATGGGTCCTTTGCGGGCGAAGGAAACGGATAGTCTTCACATATCCAGTAGTTTTCAACAGCATGCGACAGAAATTGGAAAGACATCAGTGGTGTTGAGCTCCATTGATCATTGAACAGAAAACCCATGAGACTTAGCGATGCACTTGATCAGACTAGGTTGACATTGAAAGGTTGCCACAAGTCGAGGCTGAAATAGCAAAATGGTCATGGGCACGAACGATCTTTATTACCCCCGCCTTCTATAAATTGGTACCAACGTCCCCGCAATTTCGGCACCGACGAGGCCTGAAACAGGCGCGTCTCTGGGCAGGCTTAGAATACAGGGAGATCATCATTCAAAGTCCCTATCGACCTTCCATCCTCCCTCTTTCCACTACATTCGTCAATACACAGACAATGGATGACAGCATAACTCCCCTCGCCTCCCTCTCCCTAACCCATGTCTACTATGCACGTACCCGTTTCCCCCACTTCAACAACCTCGACACCACTAACCTCACTTCCAGAATCCAGACGACTACCTTTCCCTCATCTGCGCCTGGCTCGCCCTCGTCCCCCAAGCTCTCTGCATAATATACGTGACCCTAATCTGGGCCTCGCGCGAAATCGAGATCCTCCTCATGTTCGCCGGACAAATGGGCTGTGAAGCGTTGAATTTCGGGTTGAAGAGGCTTATAAAGGAGGAACGACCGAGACGTATGTCTTCCTCCCCCTCAATCGCCCCGCCCTTTCTACCGCGCTCGCTCTCCAGAAAATGGGAACATATGTCTGTGAGGGAATCAGCAAAGCTGACGTGAATCGCGCAACAGAAATGAACGGCAAAGGCTACGGCATGCCCTCCTCCCACGCGCAATTCGTCTCCTTCTTCTCCCTCACCCTCACCCTCTTCCTTCTGCTGCGGCATCAGCCTACGCCACCGAGTCAGTACAGCACGCACCACCCTCTCCCCTTCTATCAGCGCGTGCTACTTGCGCTTGCGACGGTGGTGATAGCGGCCGAGGTGGCTGCTAGTCGTGTTTATTTGAGCTATCATACGCCTACGCAGGTCGGTGTGGGCATTACGGCTGGGATGGTCAGTGCTGCCGGGTGGTATTTGTTTACGTGGTGGTTGAGACGGGAGAGATGGATCGAGTGGGGATTGGAGACGAGGTTAGCGAAGATGGGGAGATGGAGGGATTTGGTAGTTGAGGAAGACTTGGTAGAGGGAGGTTGGAGGAGATGGACGGAGAAGAGGCAAATGGCTGGGATGAATGGGGCTGTTATTGGGGAGGGAAAAAAGGATCGGTGACAATTAGCGACATTGCGTCAATGATTGCTTTTTGAGCTTTGATACTATCGATACCCCACCACATGTTCAGCGTCAATTCGTCAATTACTATTTTTGTTTTGTACACCATCGAGTCGGCCGTTCGTTCATTAATTAGTGTGTCGAATGCAGCTCAGCATACAAGAACCTCCTCGTCCTTGATGGGCCGCGAAATTTCATAAGCCAGAATTGTATGGTCAGTATAATACATAAGGAGCCGGAATTTGCGCTCTATCTCGTTGTGGTCTTTGGATGAAGCTTCTGTGGACGGAGAGTACGGCCTCTGAAAGTGTCCTTGCACAGGACTGACGGCAATGCCGAGCAAGGGAGCGACATGGGGTCTTTTGCCCTGCCTTTCTTCTGAATCAAAGGGTAGGATTGCCTCAACCTTGAAGCCATAGTCTTGTCTTTCAGGCCAGAAAGTCATGGTATACAGACCGACACGTCCTACCTGATTGCCAATGGCAACAAGTCCAAGTTCTGGAATTTGGGAAACCATGTTCAGACGCTCCATTGGCCTATTAGCGACAAATTCACTTGGAATCGCTTGCATGAGTGACTTCTCACACAATAGCCGACCATTACTAGGCTTTGCGCCTCGGTCCATAAAGCGGCCGTCAGTCAGAAAAACATCTGATTCCGTAGTGCATAAGAAGTTGCAAGGCGAATGCTTAGAAATTTCTGACGGAGGTGCTATTGGAATGTACTCCGCCTGTCTGGAGATAACTCTGTCAGAATCTGAAAGTGCCGCGATTTCGCCGACCACATGGCTTGCACTGACTTCGGCGGGCTCGAGGTCGATTCCAATAGCCTCACTCAAGTCGTCCTGGTCGACTTCCTGGCTCTCCTGCTCCCCATCCTCTTCTTCCTCGCCCGAATCTTCACCGTAATCGTCGAGATTCACCATACTAGATGATTCTGCTTGTGACTGTAGGACAGCACCAAGAACATCTTCTATGTCCGTGTTGGGATTTATTTGCTGGCTTAGTGCGGGTTTAGGATAGTATGGATGCCACTGCGAGTTGTCTGGCACGTTTGAAATGCATTTTGAATTATTAAGACCCCATTCATCTGCTGTCATTTTTATTACTGGCTTACATCCATAAGTTTCAACGTCTGAGTGGGAGACGCGAGCAGTCTGGGGATCCAAACAGGCAACTCCCCAGCCTTGACTTTCTGCTCAAGGTCAGATTAATGTGTCAGCTGTGAGTAGAATGATTGACACCTACGATGCCTGAGTTGCAAGTACCTTTTACTATCCCATACATCCCATGCATAGGTCTTCCGGTTGATGTCCGTGCTCGCTAAAACCACTTTTCCCGACGGATCCGTTGGATTATTGTAAAAGGCGATCGCGGGGATGTTGGTACTGTGCCCACGCAGACTCCATGCGTAGTTATTCTCGGTACGGCGGAAGCGGCAGTCTCCATTCTCTGGCACTTTCCACTCAGTAGACAAGGGACCTTTGCAGGGAGAGATGCCACAACAAAGGAATGCTGCCCTTCCGTGTCCGTAATCGTGAGAACTCGCGACTCCTCTCAGCGTCTCTTTCATTTTGCAAGGAACCAAGAATTGATCAGGTCGAGAAGTCAATGCAAATGCGAAGATCACTATCTCGTGAGAATTTGAACTAATAGCAATCAATCGTGAGGTCCTGTGGACATCGATACCCCAGACACTGGCGCCAACATTCTCATGAAAGAAGGCGAAAAGGACCAATTCCATCGGTGAGGGATGGCTAGATGGTTGGCAAAGAACTTTGAGAATGTCACGGATACGGTAGGCAATGACATCGCCACCATCACAAGCCAGGATGAGAATCTCTTCTTCACCAAGAGCCCGAACCATAAGATGATTGACACCTTGAGGCTTGCCAGGGTTGATATAGCCTCTCAGTCTCGGGCGTGATTTGGGCAGCTCGAAGTAGCCAACAGCCTCGCCAAGACCACCAACGATCTGATCCGGATATCGCGGCTGATAAACGTAAATACGATCGAGGTATGCAACCAAATACAGATTGTGATGTTGTGAGAGAGCGGTCACATTGTTTCTCCACGTGCCAAGAGGCACTTTCTGCGCTTCATCCTCGTCCGGAAATCTGGTCGCTCCAGGCTGATGAGAACATAAAATTACCTTCAAGTTTTGAGGCATCTTGTCATGCCCCCGGCGTGGACAATGGATTTGACTTGCTCATCACGAATGGTCAAAAGATACTGGGCATATTTAAGCACATGAATCAGTTAAGTGAATCAGATACGAAAGCTGACCGATCTAAGGAGTCCCCCAAAGTAAATGTGACAGAATTGTTATGCGGGAAGCTACAACCGCCCGGCTTATCGATAGCAAAAGCCAACCTCACATGACGTCAGACCTTGGAATAGAGTATCAAAGTTGCCTTTGAAATTGGCCATTGCAACTTCGTTGCGCAGCACGATCCTGTAGAAATCCTTCATTCAACTTCCACGGCCATAAGCATGTCTGAAGCTTCAAAGGAGCGTGATATCGTAATCATCGGTTGCATGCCTTCTAATGCTATTCCTACGCGATAGCTGACTTGAGCACATCTCAGGTGGCGGGATTATTGGGTGTACAAGCGCGTACTTTCTTACGAGACACCCCGCTTACAACCCTTCGATCCATCGCGTGACCATTGTTGAAGCGTCGCAGATTGCAGGAGGTGCATCGGGAAAGGCAGGCGGGCTTCTTGGGCTATGGGCTTACCCTTCTAGTATTGTTCCACTAAGCTTCAGATTACACGCTCAGCTCTCTGCGGAGCATGGAGGTGAGACTCGATGGGGATACCGTAGAATCCACTGTGGCTCTTTGGAAGCCCGAGGGAGACAGTACGAACCCGTAAATACTAGAGACAAAGCCGGAGATCGCGAAGCAGTCTCTTTGCAAAAACGAGCCAAACCAGGGCTCCAGAACCCGGTCGCGGCCGGATTACCAGAAGATCTGAACTGGGTTGCTGCTGAAGCCTCTCCGAGCTACGGCGAGATGGGTACACCAGATGACACAGCCCAGGTCCACCCCTATGAGTTTACCACCTCGATGGCTCAGCTCGCCGAAGAGAAAGGAGCAAGAATCTTGTTTGGCTCCGTTACAGGGATTGACAGATCAAACGGAAAGGTTCAATCGGTGACTTACGACGATAAGAAAACGCCGCAATCGCACACAATACCGGCGACAGATGTCGTTATAGCAGCTGGGCCATGGTCACAGAATCTGTACCCACCTGCACCTATCGAGGCGTTAAGGGCTCATAGTGTCACTATACAACCTTCCAATCCGATATCAGGATACGCTTTGTTCACAAGCATCAATCTTCCACCCAATTTTGGGCAGACTGACACTCACGTCAAAGCACGACGACCCCACAAAAAGGTGGTGGCGCCAGAGATATATGCAAGACCCAAGAATGAAGCGTACGCGTGTGGCGAAGGTGATACCTTGATACCTTTACCTAAAACGACTGCCGATGTAGAGACAGACCAAGCACGCTGCCAAGATATCATCGACTACGTTTCGTCGATATCAGACGAATTGCGAGACGGTGAAGTGACTGCAAGGCAAGCTTGCTACCTACCGTTGGGTGGACCTTTGATAGGCGAGACCGGCGTCAAGGGCCTTTTATTTGCCGCCGGGCATACGTGCTGGGGTACAGTTGATTCTAGACAGCTGAGAAACCTGTAAGATTACTTACATGCCGACAGGTATTCAAAACGGTCCCGGAACTGGCAAGCTGATATCAGAGATGATTTTCGATGGAAGAGCAAAGAGTGCAAATATTAAAGGTCTTGATCCTCGGTCGGCCATGTAATTGATGAATTTTGTAAAAGCGCAGCACCCACTGGTCAGCTGATTTCCAGGATGCTTGTGAGTGGAATGGTAACGATCGCGAGTAGCAAGGGGTTGCTATCTTTGGGTAGCCCTTGAAATGTCAGAAAACAGTAATGATGGAGGTTGAATTAAAGGGGGTATGCAAGCCCTACCGAGCCGCGCTAGTGTTCTCTCGGACACGTGCGTCATTGTGCATTCTGCTGTGGCGGAGACCCCACTAGGCAGCTCTCAAGGCTCACAACAAGCAGCAGTCCTGCACACTGTAATCTTCCTAAAATTCGACCTATTGCTAATTACCCTTGAGGCTCCATGCAAGGCTTGCTCGCGATTTCCCTTGCAATTCGGTCTGGTACGGGCTTTTCTCGAGAACACAGCGCATGACCGGTACAACGTTTAGTAATGGCCGCCTCAGCCGCCCAGTTTACCCCACCGGAGTCTCCTGCCTCGCCGTCCGCGTCATTCTATGACTTAAGTGACGATGAAGAGGGTGAATACAACACAATCATGCACAGTAGTTCTGGAAAGGGAGTCAAGCTCCTATTCTCGAAGAGCAAGGTATCAAAGACCTGTCTAATGGCAAATACCCCAATGTTGAAACTCTATTCAGGTCTACGTGCATCCTACACCAACTTCGAAAGACAATATTGCTGGCTTTGTAGCTCTCATTCAGCAGAAAACACCAGAGTTTGAGACCCTCACTCGTACCACCTCTTCCGCATCCTCGCAAAGTGCAAAGGCATCCTCCTATCTCCTCGCGTGGTTGCCAGAATCTTCTCTTGGAAGCGCGCATGACTCTTACATCAAAGTAGAACTCTCAGATGGTGACTCTCCGCCGAAACAGACACATCTCGTTCCTCAACCGCCAACCTCCGCATCACACATCAACCCTATCGGCTCGTACGCTTTTGCAGTTCCAGTCAGTGAGATATATTCTCTTCTGATCAGGCCACCAAATTTAGGATGGTGGTTTGGCAGCCTGGTGATCAATACTCGGGCAGGCGACAGTTATCCTGCCTTATTCTTCCATGACGATGAGTGTCAGTCCACAATATTGCAGAGGAAGAAAAAGGCGAGAGATAGCTTTGATCCATTCAGTGATGATGGAGGCACTTTCTGGGGTGGTGATGAAGTGTTGAGATGGATCAAGAGATATGTTCCTGTCGAGCGGTCTGGTGCAGACCCCTCCGTCTATCTGATTGATCCGAGTGCTGAAGACAAGTTGGCCTTCGGAAGCAAGACTTTCACTCCGCTAGGCAGTCCTACGCTTTCTGGTCAGAACAAAGCCGCCGCATCAAATTCGAATAAGGACGCTGGAATGGATCCTGTCACGAAAGCGCTAAAGCAAGCAAGGTGGAGTTTTCTTGAAAAGATGAGCCAAGTCACAAACTTCACGAAAAGAACAGCATTCGACCTAGCCGACAGTCCCAAGGTTCCCCCTCAAGTACGCCGTCTCATGAAAAATCCAGAAGTACAGACGCTTCAAGATGAATTTGATAGCGCGCGAGTCTATCTCGCGCGTTGGGCAATGGGTATTGCAGAACAAAGCGATAGAGAGAGGAAGCAGCGCATTTTCACGGCCCAGGACATACTTGAAAAAGAGGACACCGATGTCGGAGAATTTGAGCTGCTTGACAGGGAAGTGTCCAGCATGTCGCTTTCGGAAAAACGAAAGCCTGTGGACCTGGAGGAATGGCGTAAATTCTTCGACCCGCGGACTGGTCGATTAAATGTTACAGTGGATGAGGTCAAGGAAAGGATCTTCCTTGGTGGACTGGAACCATCTGATGGAGTCCGAAAAGAAGCCTGGCTATTCCTCTTGGGTGTCTATGGATGGGACAGCTCAGCAGACGAGAGAAAAGCAGTAATTAACAGCAAGTATGACGAGTTCGTCCGTCTCAAGGGAGCTTGGTGGGAACGATTAGTGGACGGCACAGGTAGCGCTGAAACAAATGAATGGTGGAGGGAACAGAAAGGCAGAATAGGTAAGTTTGTTGTTCTCGCACTGGTTTCTGAAAAGCATTTTAGTCTGACTTGACCCATTTCTTGGGATCCGGCATGTAGAAAAAGATGTTCACCGCACAGACCGACATATACCTTTGTTCGAAGGTGAAGACATCCCGCACCCAGACCCTGATTCTCCTTTTGCAGAGACTGGCACGAATGTCCACCTGGAGCAGATGAAGGATATGCTTCTGACGTACAACGAGTACAACCCGGATTTGGGCTACGTTCAAGGCATGAGTGACTTACTGGCGCCTATCTACGCTGTGGAACAGGACGATGCTGTTGCCTTTTGGGGCTTCGTTGGTTTCATGGAGAGAATGGAAAGGAACTTTCTCCGAGATCAATCTGGTATGAGAACTCAACTGCTGACCCTGGACCATCTCCTCCAATTGATGGATCCCGCTCTCTACCTTCATCTTCAGTCAGCGGACTCGACGAACTTTTTTTTCTTCTTCCGCATGCTCTTGGTGTGGTACAAACGCGAGTTCGAATGGGCTGATGTACTTCGCTTGTGGGAGTCTTTATGGACCGACTATCTTAGCAGCAATTTCCACATATTCATTGCACTTGCTATTTTAGAAAAGCATAGATCCGTCATCATGGCTCACCTTAAGCATTTTGATGAGGTGCTGAAATACGGTAGGGGCATTTGCTGTCTTCGTTGAAAAACAACTGACATTTTCCAGTCAATGAGCTCTCTAATACGATTGAGCTTCAATCAACTCTACTATGTGCGGAAGCACTCTTCCGCCGCTTTCAACGCACGGTTGAGGCCATCGACAAGAAGCACAACTTTCCAGCACCACCCGTACGACAGCGAAAACCCGCTGCTACCACTTCTCGATCCCAAAATGCAAGTTCCTCATCAGCAGTGGATTCTCGCCCGTCTTCATCTCCGAAAACCATTGCACGTAAGTCTTCGACAGAAGAGATGCCAAAGGAACGCGTCATCAGTCCTGAGTTACGGCTTCTGCTTAGTCGGAAGGTTGAAAAGCTTGATAAGAAAGATGTCGCCGATCACGGAGGTGGTGTCGGTGCATGAGAGGTTGTTCAAGTATGCAAACGAATGATCTTTAGTGATATGCATAGTATTGGGTTGGCTTGGCTTGTCCTACCTCTACCTCGCTGCTTTCTCATCTGCTTGATTGGGTCCACGAAGAATTACTTCTCGCTGCAACCTCGTGTGATAACCTCACATGGTACAAACAAAAGACGCGACTCTCGCCACTCTAGTCTCGACCTCGTCACACCCTTGACAGCTTCCATGTGCAGTGCCTGAGATATCCCCCTGCTTCAATGCTCCGGCCCCTTACATGAGCTTTCCCACGGAACGGTCTTCTGCGAATTCCAAGACGAAAAGACGCGCCCAACGTATACACGACAATACGGTGACGGAACCTGGACAGTTTTAAGAAAGATGCTCATTCGCAAGGTACAACCACTGCGGGTAGTCCGGAAGTCCAATGACCCACTTCTTGACATCCTCAGGTTCATTGCGGATCAATGGTCGTCGGAGACCGTCTACTTCTCTGTCTCCTATCGTGACTGAGGTCACTCGGTACATGAACGGACAAATGGACACCATCTACCGACCGTAGCCTTCGGCACACCATGGCAATCGCTGGCTATGCAAACAGGTCTCATGAAAAGTGCTGTCCCGCACTCTCTATGGTCGGCTGTGATTACAACTGATTTAGAGGGTCTTACAGAGAGCATGGCATTGCACGACTAAGGCTATAAAAGGTGTACTGTGTCCGTAACAAATGCGAATTTGATATTACCTCAACACAGATATTCTTAACGTATGGTATAAAAGACAAGTTCTTCAAATCCTTGAGGGGCATGGCCCTCGACCCTCGACTTATTCAAAATTTACTAAGAAAGCAAAGAGTCTTTTACATCTGTTGCCAACATCGCCTGGCTTAGGCACTATCAAGACCCAGGGATTTCTGCCCAGTGAAAAGGCCACTAGGCAGCTTCAGGCCTTCGAAGTTGTCACTGTAAATGGTAAGGACCAGGAAAATGAAAATCGACAGCAACAAATTTCCTTCTGAAAGCTAGCAAGTCTCTATATTTCTAAGCAGACCAAACAGCTGCCCTCGTACTGCAAGTCGTCCCGCAAGTCACGTCTGAAGAATAATGTCTCAACGTGGGCCACCACGATGACTTCTCAAAATGCTGGGCTGTCGCGTTCGATCGCTGAAAACAAGACTCTTAACCTCGACAGTCTACTCATGTCTATGCCACGGCGCGTCCTCCGGCAAATAGCTTCTTACCTTGCCTCATCGGGCTACCTGGAAATATTCAGACTCAACAAACGTCTGTCATTGCAGCTCGAGAATATCCTATTTCAATGCGGGACCTACCAGATTCATAGTGGACCCGCAAATTACGTGAATCATGCTCCAGCATTGACAGCCGAGCAGCTGCGCAGGGTCAAGTATTTCAGCTTCGATGTTTTCCATGTAGCACCTCAGAGGCTTCTGCAACGACCTGGCGACGAAGTCCCCGACCCACAACACACAACTGGTGGCCTTCTTTATACTGGCGAGTTCAGCAATGTCACCATTTACGGACTACCTGGATGCAATTACCACCTGTCACCCATTTTACTGAATAGTATTTCCCGTTTCATGAGATTCAGGAAGTTGGTTTTCAGTATTCGCTGTGTTGACCCAAATGAGCCTCCAAAGGATTCCACTTTCAATTAGTACAACCACAGTCAAAACGCACCATACAATGATCTTTATGATGCTGCCAAAGCCTTGCAATTCATTCTCGGACCTTTTTACATCACGAATGATGGGGCAGTATTCTACCCATACAACTACGGTCTCACAGAAACAGTGGCTATTCATGAACATCGAGACCGATATCAGAATCCACAAAAACTATTCCACTTCATCCCGCCTCGCCTGCAGCCACATCCCAACAGGCGTGTCCTGCTCGCTCGTGGCCCCGCACAAATCGATAGATCGACTCCGAGAACAGGACAGCAGATAGCTGCAACTGCGTCCTCAACAGCAGCTCCAGCCCCTCAGCGCACAAGTGCAACCCCGCCAATGGCACGCCTCCAGCTTTCACCACCAGTCCTCCACTCGCACAACACCAGGGCCTCCATCAAAGCACGAGCAACGGCGGCCAAGCAGCCAAACCGACTTCAACCGCTACCTGCTCCTACTTCTTCACGACGCGATCGTGAAAGAGCCAGCGACTCGCGCCGTCGTAAACGAGACGAGTCGGAGTCTGATAATGACCTGGGTGTGATCAAAGATGGCAGGAATAACGGCAAGAAAGCAGCTGGTAAAGAGAGGAACAGCAAGAAATGATTTGCGATAGGTCGTACTGATCATTTTCGCAGCTGCTTTCTAAGAAGAGCAGAGCTGTAGATGATGGAGATGAAGGCTTTAAGAGAGATTGAAACTTTTGATTGGAAATGCAGAATTGGATTACTGACTATGGTGGTACTTCTTGCGGATGACCATGGTGATTGATTGCTTTGTACAAGTACGGTTTGGGTTGGGTGTAACCTGCAGATTTCTCAGAGCTTTGAGATAGAGGATTGATATTCGGGATGAAGAGTTGAAAGGTGCTTCACTAGAGGCATTTGTCAGACTTTCGGAATTATGCTGTAAGATAGTGATAGTGAGCGTGCCTATCAATTCGTATTCAAACGAAACGTTCAAATGCAAATCCTGTAAATGTAATCTCTTGAATCCGTCTGCGCAAAAGGTGAATGCCGACCGCCTCGGAATAGGTTGGGAATGTTGTGGACCTCTAGGAAGTCTTATGTCCGATGTTCTACATACTTTTCTATCGAATATTCTGTTGGATTGTAATAATACATTATCTAGCACCCTATCCAAATCTCAAGCCAGCAATATAGCTTATCATCTATCAATATTTGTTTGTGGTCGACGCCTCGGCGTATAATCCAAAGTCTTGGTGAGGTTTCTTGTCAGTCCTCAAGCTCCTCTGCCTCATCGCCACTCATTTCATCACTATCCCATTCATCCTCCATATCCGCCCTGGCCATGGCAAGAAACCTGCCAAGTACAGCACGATCACGTTCTCGAAATCTGTGATCCGCTCCGAGACCTCTAGGCCTTGCTGGCCGGCCATCGTCAGCAAGCAGTCGTGGGGGTCTAGCGGCGTCGTCCAGAGGAAAGAATGCCCGTCCATCATTCGGGTCCATGTCAGCATCAAGTCGATCGGCCTCATCGTCTTCATCGTCGCTCCATTCGTCTTCACCCATTACCGCATGCCTATCCCCCTGATTTGCGCCTCCTGCGAAACCCTGCCCAATCTCGCCATCATCTCCTTCCTCCAGTTCCCAAAGTCTCATGTAGCACCCACTCTTTCGACTATTGAAATGCGTATACGGATTTTCTTTCTCAATCCAACTTCCACAGAGATAACAGAAATGTGTCTCGCATCTACCGCATATCATATGATTGCATCCATGCGTCTTCTGCGCCCTCGCATCGCAAGTAGGGCACGCTTGTGTGTGCAAAAGCATGTAGTCTTCACTCGCTTTTTCTTCGGCCGTAATTTCGAATTGGTTGCGTGGGAAGCAGATGACGTATTCGCCGTGCCAGGAGGCTTTGCAGACGAGGCAGAAGGCGAAGTCGCAGTCTGTGCAGATGGCGAGGCGCTCGGCAGGCGCAGGAAGAGGGGGTGGAGTGGAAGCTGGGTCGTCTTTTCGACGGCGCATGTTTTCGAGCGCCTTAGGTGAGAGGGAGTTGGTAGAGGGACCTTGGCACCATGTGCGTGGGCAGTATATGGTGTTCGGGTTGGATTCGAGAACACGTTTGCGTTTGAGGGTGATGTAGCGCTGGATATTGTCCTGGGAGATGCCGAGTTGCAGGAGTTCAGATGGTTCGAGAGTTCGGTCAGCCGGTGCTTTGGGGGGTTCGGAAGGAGGCTCGGGATGTTCAGGACACTTGGGTGCTATACACCGGACACTACTGACGTCGCCTTCGCTGATACAGGAGTTGAAAAAGTCTTGAAGGCACCCGAGACAAAAAACGTGGGAGCAAAGAGTTAGGCGATGGCAGACGGTGCCTTTCTTAGGTTCTGTGTTCAAGTTAGAAGTGTTTCTCCACCAAGTAACTTTACCATACCTAAGCATACACTGCATTCGAATGTCTCCTTTTCGAATTTTGCTCGCTTTGCTTTTAGGTCATAGTCTAGAAGTACTACTTGCAAGTCAGGCGATACTTCTAGAGTTTCACCAACGCCAAAGGCGGCTTCTGCAGCTTCTCGTACGTGATCAATGTAGGTATACAGGACCTGATCCCGACCGACGTCTTCCCAAAGCGTGCAGCAAGCTTTTTCCAAGAGATGAGTTCTGTTTTCGGCAAGCCAAGCGTCCTGCGAGACAATGTGCGCAACGGGAGGCTGTTTAGACGGGTAGTCTGGTGGCAGGGAGAGCTCAATACTCAGGGGCGGAAGGTAGGACAACAGGTGTATGCCTCGTGAGTGGCTATCCTTGTCGATAATTCCACCCTCTTCAGATACAGAGATGCCGTTTGCAAGGTTTGGAGGCTGAATTCGGAGTGGCTTGAGTGGTTCGACCTGAATCTGTAGACTTGCTTTCCTATCATGCATGCGAAGACCCGAAGAAGGATAAATCGTCAACTCAGGGTAGATAGCAGCAAGAGACGAGAGCTCGATTGTCCTCTCGTCATCATCTTCTTGTGTGTCACCGTCCGCCATGGTAGCAGAGACGACTTAAGGCCTGCATGGAGAAGGCCTTGAAGATACTAGCGGGAGCGTGAATAGTGGTGTGTTGGCTTGGTCGGATGACAAATCCGGATGTGTAGTCGAGAGTATCGGACTTTGCTGTTTGAGGTAGAGGTAAAGTGAAGTTTACATGGTGGCACTCAACCCATTCGGGGTATCGATTAGCTTTAGGGCAGTAAGATCGTTTTGCAGGAATACTCCAGATGCCACGACACACACTCACCCCTTCTCTACTAAAATACATAGAACCTCGGTGCTCAAGCTTCGTACCCAGCGAACGCTTGATCTTCATAATCGGCAGTCGATACTACCTAATCATCTTCGCTGTCGAAACACCTCCGTCGACCGGGATATAAGTCAAGTACAGTTCCCATCTACCGCGGTTCATTGTGGGAGCGTTCACGTTCTTTGAGACGATGATTTGCGAAGAAGGACGTCTCATGCCCTAGAAGAAAGCTACGGAAAGAAGCATGCGATCATATTCGTTCATCAAAAGAAGCTGTTGTTGCTAAGTCCCGGTCTGAGTCGAATTTCGCTATTGTTGTCGATCGCCCTCGATTGGTGTCAATCAAAAGGTGGGACAAGTAAATGATCGAGGTGCATCTCCTGCTTTTCAGCCTTTCTGGTGTCCCTTGTGGCTATAGCTTTCACGTATCTTCTAATTCAAAGAGAGGGACCGCAGATCACCTCGCGATCCGTGCCTGTCGATCGTTGCCTATGTCGTCCACTTTCGCGAGCGAAGGTGGCTTTTGTGGCTGTATTCGTCACCCTTTTCCAGCATAGCCGTTGCACTTGAATATATATTGGCCTGAGCGTTGCCGTTTATCATCAGTCTTTTTGTTCACCTCCCTCTTGAGAATACGTTGCGTACCAAATTCAGATACAACCCAGATTTCCACTCTTTGCTCGTCCGCAATGGCTCTTAGTAGAGGATTATCTAAAGCCATTGGCTTAGGAACCGAGGCATACGCTCATCATAAGGAGACGAAAGAAGCGGAAAAGAGTGCGAAGCTCTCATCCACTGGAAACATTGCTGGGCAGTTGTCCAACACGCAGCAACATGATGCTCTGGCGCCGCCAGCTACTGCGAACCCCAATACCAGCAATGGTCCGGATATTTCAGATGACGAGGACTCCCATGATGAGGATGAGATCGACTGGATTCGTGACGAGACACAAGACCAGCTAGGCAACGAACCACACGGAACCGAAAATGCAAATGATCAGTCTGTTGATGCTCTGGTCGCGGAATTCGCGCAGAGACACCCACCGCCACCATACACACTTCAGTCCGCTACTTTGGCAAACCCAGTCATTATCCCCCAAACGAGGCCCGGGACGAAGTTCAGAGGCTTCGTACGCGCATATGCTCCAGCGCTGCAAGGTTGTGGGATCGATGAGTCTACGTTCATGGACTTTCACGAGAACATGCACAAAGCTGTCAACAAACAAGGCTGGTTCCATGTATCCAACATTGCCGTCGGGCTGTCCGTGCTTTCGTACACGGTCGCTGTTGCGCCAAGCGTAGTCGTTCATGCGACTGCTGTTGTGGTACATACAAGTATTGAGGCTGCGCGACGCATGTGGATGGCCAAACAAACAAACTCCTACCTTGACCAGATGAACGAGAAGCTTTTCAAACCGCGCGGTCTTTACGCCATGATCATGGCTTACAAGCCTACGTCGTCAGAGGCCAGCCAGCTTGTCGATGTCAACACCCATGTTGCGAGCTCGGTAGCACAACGCGACGGGCACCACAAAAGCAGTTTCAAGACTTCAAGTGGTAAGACGCATGGAGAAGCCCAGATGCCGGATGCTGCACCGCTCGTCTTCCCCAAATTGGAGAAGGCGGGTGACGAGGAAAAGAAGAATGCCTTCAAGCGGTCTGCAGATTTTATGAGCAGCTACGGCGATAAGCGGGCACAGGCAGAATTTGTACGAACCAATTTCCGCCTCTCTTTCGTCCTACATTGCTTCCACTAATTTCATCAATAGCATGCCAAAAATCCCGATTCTCAACTCAATGTGCAGCCTAAACCGGAGTTCTCTTCGATCTTCGCAGACCCCAATCACCCTGTCAATAAGGGTTTGTTGCCGTTGCTTCGCGGCGGCTCGGCAAATCCCTTGGCCAGAAGGGGCCAAAGGAGAGGGCTGAAGTCAGCGAGGGCCGGGCTCATGGGCCACGGTGATAGAAATTGGGGTGACAAGAGCGAAATGGCAGGGAAGACAGGGATTGAGGGGCCTACGGGCATGCTAGGCAGCGTGAAGAGAAAAATGCATGAGGTAAGCCTTGAAAACGTCTTAGTCAATTTTGTGGGAGGCTTCAGCTGACATTCAGTGGTTAGGACGTCTTGTATCTCATGGTTGTTCCTATGCCTTCAGAGGAAGAATTGAAGGCTGCTGCACAACTAATGGAAGAGGCAAAGAAGGCTGGCTACAAATGATTTTGAAAGCAATTCTGCTGCATTCATAGATTCAATTTCTATAGCAGAATCATTACGTACCTGAGCTATTCATGGACATGTCCCAACAAGAGCCATGTCTGTTTGTCTTCTAGCGCTCACAAAGTCCCATTTACTCTAGCACGACTTCAATCACACTCTCGGCATCGGAAGTTTCCGTCCAGATTCTGTCAATCCTCAATCCTGCCTCCTCTATCAATTTCCTCCAATGACTCTCAGTACGTTCGCAAGCCGCTAGGGTAGCCATCATGATCATGTCCACCTGGGTTGCCACAATCTCAGCGCCCTGATCAGGCACGACCATCTCGTTGAGCAAGATTTTGGAATAGCCGGGTTTCATCGCCTTTGCCACTTGGCTAAGAATTTCTATGCATTTGTCGTCAGGCCAGTCATGGAGAATGTTGCGTAGATAGTAGCATCGAGCCCCTTGCACGACGTACCTGTCAGCATGCAGGAAATAATGCGCACAGCAATTGCACTTCTGGGGAAGAATAATTACCTTTCACGGTCTGCTCGGTGAAGAAATCATGTGCCATCGCGATTAGGCCTGGAACGGGCAGTGCCTGGGCGATGGTGTCAGGGAGGTCCTGAAGAATGACCTTTCCTGGAAGCTGTGGATAGTGGGACTTTATGGCTTGGATCTCATGTCCTCGAGCACCGCCCATGTCAACAAACAGAACAGCTTCATCATCGACGCTGCTCGTGATTCCACGAGCGATTTGTTGCTCAAAAGGGAAAAAATCCAGCCAGTTCGCACGACCATCACGTTGGGCAGTCATCCACGAATTGAAGTATCCGAGTTTTTCGGGATGTTTGGGAAACCATTCAAACAAGGCTTCGGTCGTGGGGAAGGCATCTTGGAACGGGCATTTTCTTGGATCGCTGGGATTTCGATAATTTGTTCTTGCGAGAAACGCAGGTGTGGCCATGACTGCGGGGCCAACAGTGTCGTAGGTGTGTTTGATACCGGCCTCCAGGCCGGGGACGGTCAGATTGCGCGTGATATTCGTTGCAAAGTAGAGATCTTTGCCCGCTTCGCCGATCGCATACATGGACACCAGGTAGCGGAGTATTCGCTGAAGGAGACCATGATCTGCACCTACTCTCTTGGCGAGCTCAATGCTGCTGAGGGAAACAGGGCTGTCGGCGAGAATGCGAAAGAGGTTCAATTGGTTGCCGATACGGACGACAGTAGTACGCACGGGCTATCGATTCACAATCTATCGTCAGCGAAGCCCAGGATGAAGCAGGGACTTGGTGGCTACGCAGCAGAGACCAGACAAAGGCGTACATAGTAAGCAATGCGTTGTGTTGTATCACCTGGGGTTTCGAGGCCAATGCTCAGTCTCTCAGCTGCATTCTTCAGTTGCAGACGGTCATAGGAGCCCTTTGAATCGTATTCAGACAAAAGCTCTCTGATTGTACCGAGAACCGCCTCTGCTTCTGACTTGTCGTTTGAAGTTTTTGGCAGTGAACCCATCGGGAGACAGAGCGGAGAAAAGATAGAGAACCTGAAAAGTAGCGAGACCCGCAATATCTTTTGTATTATCTGACATATTTAAAGTGGGAAAGGCGCAAAAGGTGGCCATTCAGGTGGCTGTGGGGGAAAGGAGTTATGTTTTCGACTTTTCGGAAACTTGCTGTTCATCCTCCAAGCCAAAGCTCGAAGGAAGCGCCCTAGTTCCTAGCCGCAGCTCAAGTTTGACGTATGCAAGGATACTGCACAAGAGTTTGTAGCCTTACTGACCTATATAGGGTACGATACCGACCGTGATAGTTCCATAGTACGTTGCTCCAAGTCTCTGACATGCATTGTCGTGAATATCTCAAGCTTGGTCTTCGAATGACCACTCATCACACTGTGTCCAAAAACGTGGTACCGTACGACAGCACATTCGTCCACCGCAGCCCAAGTTAGCCTTAATCATCTATGCCGGATGCTCTTGTCGCTCGAGGACCGCGAACATCTTTCAACGGTATCTCAGTTCGTTGACGATTTGCTCTCTCCATAGTGGCCCAGATTATGGTATCTTAGCCGAGCTCGGGGCTTGGTGAGTAGTGTCCAAAAGCCAATTCCAAGCTCCGTGTCAAAGTAGAACTAACATCTTCTATCAGGAATTGTATTTGGACATGAGACCGTGCGCCACTGCATAGTTGAGATAGATCGACTTTGCCGCAGTCCGGCACCTCTTTAGCTTCGGTCACAAATCAACTAGTTTAGCAAGAGCCGATTCCTTCGTTCGTCTCCAACCCCCGTTATGAGTCTTGATTTGGCGTCATCTGGTATGTAGGCGCCTCAGCTGCGCGAGCTTGGATCCACGTTTCAAACATGATCAATGCTGTGCCATGAGCTTGCCTCAACGCCCAAGATATGCAGACATCAGATCCTTCGATGCAACACTGCTTGCAGTAGAGCTAGTCAGGATGTTGGCATGCTTGCACAAGTACACAGACATGAGATCATGGCATCTCAGCCTGAGCAATTGATATAGGCTGTGCATTTAGCGCTGGAACGGAGTAACGAACCGTTTCTCACTTCTTTGTCTACATGATGCTGTGTCTTCTTAGGCAGCTTGCTGAAAGTGCTCAACAACAAGATCGCATCCTGCTTCAGTGATCACTCAGCTGAGACACTGTCCTGTGTTGTTGCTTTGGCCCCTTTCGACATTCAGAACATTCGTCGAATCCACATGGCGAGCCAATTGAGAGTCCCAGCAAACGGTGACCATGATCGTGCTGGTGAACTCAACGCAGTGGCCTGGACATGGTGTGCTGTTGCATGCGTTTTCGTTACTCTGCGGATGTATAGTCGTGTGCACATAATGCATAGCTTATGGTGGGACGACTGGCTCATTCTCGTTACTCTCGTACGTGCTTGTCCTTCAGTCGCTTCCTCACTCACTGATAGACCACGTATCAGGTCCTAGCTATGATCTCCACAGGTCTTTGGACATGGCTGGGTGCACTTGGGGGTTGCCGTCACCTGTACTATCTACAGCAGGATCCAGCACAAGCGATTAAGGCACTTAGGATCAGCTGGATTGCTCAACCGTTCATAATCATGGCGCTCGGGACCGGCAAGGCATCAGTCGCCTTCTTGATCCTCCGAATCATGGGCAAGAGCTTCTGGCGACGCGCGTTTCTGATTTATGGCGCCATGATCGCAAGCTTCGTCTTCTGTTCACTTGCTATTATCCTAACCTTCGCTCAATGCCGGCCAGTCGAAGCTTTGTGGAATCCAAGTTTAGTTGAGATGGGCAAGGCTAGATGCTGGCCTCCAGCTAGACAGGCAGATTTTTCGGTTTTCGCGGGATGTAAGTATCGCATTGCTTCATCCCATATCTGGTCTGATAGTATGAATAGCATGGCTCGCCTTCATGGACCTCGCAATGGCAATAATACCAATCACGATTATATGGAAGCTACAAATTAGTCTGCAGCGAAAAGTTGCCATCTGCTGTCTCATGGGCTGTGGTGTCTTGTAAGTATTCTCTTTGTCATCAATAAGAAATGCTGCTGAAATGAACGGTAGTGCGTGCATTAGCGGCGCAATCAAGACATCAAAATTACTCCAGCTGACTGCGCGCTCTGACCTTACTTGTACGCATCTCTCCTCAATAAGGGCGTTTGAAATTTCTATGCTAACAATCGAATCAGATATCACCGTATCTCTGTGGATCTGGAATGCGTGGGTCATTCCTGATAAAGAAAATTTCTCATTCATACCGCTTACTTTGGATCAGGAATGAATGCTACAGTGTGATAATTGCAGCGTGCATCCCAACATTCCCACCAATATACCGTGTTGCGTCTCTACGTGTTAAAGAGAGTATTTACGGCCAAAAGACATCTTCAGAAGACTCCAGCCGAGATAGATATAGCCCATTCAAGCGGAAAGTGCTTACGGATAGCGATTCAACGACTGTAATCGGACGACCAGTACCGCATGAGGTGTGGCTGGAATTGGGGCCTGACCAGCGATTCTCAGCTAAGGATAACAATATCAGACGGACTGTGGATGTGGATGTATCATCTTATGCGCAGGATGGGAAGGGTCGACTGGTCTCAGGCAGAGTTTCACCCGAAGATACTGTTTAACTTCGGATACACTATTCAAACATCATTTGTTGCAAGCAAAGGTATTCTGTACGACGATGCTGTGTCAATTGCAACCCCGTCGAGCAAACAATTCCTTCTCGCAGAAGACTGACGATCGAATTAGAAATTGGCAAATTTGATTGGTGTCATACACGAACGATAATTAGTTAGATAAAGGACAAATTTTCTGAATCAACATTCGAGCGACAGATCGATCTTTGAAATCATAAAAACGTCTAGTGAGCAGTAGCGCATACAGCTGAGAACATGTTTCAATGCATGAGGGTTGTCAGACAGCTAGTATCAAGGCAGCAAGATTGTTTGGCATCATGTCCTCAGCTGGGTCTGGGCATACCGAAATGTCGGCCTCGAACAAGCTGCCAACAAGTCCGCCCCTACACGAGGACTCCACATCGACAAGCCGAAGTCTTTCCCTCCCAGATTCAAGACCCCTCTGCTGCAGCCGTCCTGTCATCCCTCCAGACAAAATCTCATGTCCCTCAAACATTGACCGAAAAAATCATTCAACGCTATGCTGTTGGACTGCCAGAAGAAGGCAAGGCTGTCAAAGCAGGCGATTATGTCAGTATCCAACCTCATCATTGCATGACGCACGACAACAGCTGGCCTGTCGCCACCAAGTTTATGTCGATCGGGGCGTCAAAACTGCATAATCCTCGTCAAATTGTCATGACATTGGACCATGACGTGCAGAACAAGAGCGAAACAAATCTCAAGAAATATCGGCTCATTGAGGAGTTTGCAAAGAAGCAAGGCGCAGACTTCTATCCCGCGGGAAGGGGAATAGGCCACCAGATCATGGTAGAAGAGGGTTACGCCTGGCCAGGCACTCTGGTCGTCGCGTCCGACAGGTACTATCCATAGAAACGCACTTAAAAAGGGAAATAATCTAAGACTAGAGAAGCCACAGCAATATGTATGGTGGGTTATCATGCCTAGGAACTCCTGTGGTGAGGACAGACGCAGCGTCTATCTGGGCTACGGGCCGGACGTGGTATGAAAATCTGGAGTGCAGACCGTAAGCCAAACTCTGACTCCGGTTACTAGGTGGCAAATTCCGCCCATAGCGAAGATTACATTTACAGGTGCCCTGCCACAAGGCGTAACAGCGAAGGACGTCATCATCGCCTTATGCGGGACGTTCAATAAAGACGAGGTGCTCAATCATGCCATTGAATTTGTAGGTGAAGAGGAGACTATGCGCAGTCTATCCGTTGACGCGCGCCTTACCATCGCGAATATGACGACTGAGCATGGAGCGTTATCAGGACTGTTTCAAATGGATACCACACTGGAGAAGTGGTTGAGATCTAAAGCTACCGAGGCCTCACTGTATGACAGTGCAAGCCTGAGTGATGCTCTAACTCCCAAACGATTCACCCATTCACGCCTAGACGAGCTTTTCAGGAGCCCCATATCGGCGGATAAAGGAGCTAAGTATGCCAAGTACCTGCATCTCAATCTCTCGACATTAGCTCCTTATATTTCTGGGCCAAATTCCGTCAAAATTGCTACGCCTTTGGAGGAGCTCGAAGCAGAGAAAATCAAGATAGATAAGGCGTACCTTGTCTCTTGTACTAACTCACGAGCTTCAGACCTTGCAGCAGCGGCGAGAGTTTTCAAAGATGCCGTCAAAGCTAATGGTGGCAAAGGTGTGGCCATACCAGATCATGTAAAGTTTTTTATCGCTGCTGCATCGATGCCCGAGCAGCTTGCCGCAGAGGAAGCCGGAGACTGGCAAGCGATGCTTGATGCTGGAGCCACAGCTTTACCAGCTGGCTGCGGTCCGTGCATCGGTCTTGGAGCTGGTCTTCTTGAACCCGGTGAAGTTGGTATTTCAGCTTCTAACCGGAATTTTAAAGGCTGGTTCCTTCTTGAATCTGGTGACATTGCATCTAATTGTTTCTAGGTCGAATGGGTTCAACAGACGCAAAGGCATACCTTGGCAGTCCTGAAGTGGTTGCTGCTAGTGCTCTGCAAGGCAAACTCATGGGACCAGGTTGGTATCGGAAACCCGAGAATTGGGCTGGCGTTGTTATGGGCGAAGGGGATGGGATTCGTGAAGCAGATAGAATGATCACCGCTGAAGAGAGCCTGGAGAAGATCATTGGGCAGCTGGATAATGCAATCGAGGAGGCCGAGACTAATTTCGGCGGTGCGGATAGTATCTCAGCAGGCTCCGAGGAGGCGTTTACTGAGATTCTTCCTGGTTTCCCAGAAACAGTAGAGGGCGAGATCGTCTTCTGTGATGCAGACAACATCAATACAGATGCTATTTATCCTGGCAAGTACACTTATCAAGACGATATTACGCCCAAGAAGATGGCAGAGGTTTGCATGGAGAATTACGATCCTACCTTTGGGGCTATTACAAAAGCTGGTGACATTTTAGTTTCTGGCTTCAATTTTGGCACAGGTTCTTCTCGTGAACAGGCCGCTTCCTCCTTGGTCGCTAAACAAATTCCTTTGGTGGTGGCTGGGAGTTTTGGTAATATTTTTTCGAGAAATAGCATCAACAATGCTTTGATGGGTATAGAGACGCCACGACTCATCCATAGGTTGAGAAAAGTCTTCTCTGGTAATGTGGCGTCTATTACCCAGCAAAAGATGCAGGAGCCGTTGCAAAACAAGGATTCCCTCGACTCCCCACCGCCTGCACCTCAGGCAACGCCAAAGCAGGAGAACACACTTACGAGGCGGACAGGTTGGAAGCTTACCTGGGATGTGAGGAGGAGCAAGATCACCGTTCAGGAGGGGCAGAGTGGTGATAGATGGACCGAGAAAATTGGGGAGTTGCCACCGAATGTACAAGAGATCATTGCAAGAGGTGGTCTGGAAAAATGGGTACGGAACGAAATCAAAAGCAGCGGGTGAGAGTTTGAACGATTGAGGAGTGGAATTGAGACATTACGTAGGTCTACACGATCGGGTCTGCCTACAGAAGGGACAAAGACAAGATGCTATAATATTATATCAGGAATACTCGGCTTGGTGATTGCGATCAGTTTCCTATTGAGGTTTACACACCAACCGCTATCTAAGAAGAGAAATGGGGAATAATACGCAACCCTTAGCGCAGGCTGTCGATACGAAGCGCGATTACCTTGTTACGACGAAATTTGGATGAACGTAGGCGAGTGTAACTTATTCTGGCCGGTGTTCTACGAAAACGCCGAATTGCAAAGCTTACGAGCGCAATTGTAGATGCTATGAATGGACAGCAATGGTGCAGCAACCGAAATCAGCAACCACTGGAGGAACGGGTTTCCTGCATGCCTGCCTTGCGATGGGTCCCAATCTAGCAGGACACTCTTGTCCTCTAACGAAAGGGGAACGTTGTTCATTTCGGCACGCTCGAGACTTAACTCTGATAAACGACTATGCGCGGACTTCGTTGAAGGTTATGCCATCCTTAAACAGGAAATTCGGACTCCATGCCAAGCAATCGGGATTGAAAGCTAGACCTCCTGTCTGAATGTGGTCAAGCCTACTGCAGTATCGTCGTCGTGGCATGGTGACGGTGGCAGGATTACCGCTTTGAGCCACGCGCGAAAACGTTTTGATATACGGCTTTTCAAGGACCGCGCGGGCAAGTATGGAAATTGTCTCAAAGATCGCTTTTGTTGCCTCCTTCTCTGCTACAATGTTAGTATATCTGTACATAGCCTGAGAAGGAGGTGGGCTCGTTGTTGACGATAAAAGGTCTGGTCAATAATTTCCGTCAATATATAACAGTCGTATCCACGCCATACGTGTATGATGAGTAAGAAATAGATGACTATGGCAGAAAGGGAATGCCAAGCTGGAATAGCCAGGCTAGGACTCGCTTGGTCAGAAACTATCTAGAAATTGCTGACAAAACAACAGTTTCATGCGTACGAAACAATTGAGAATCAGATATACAGGGATATCAAAACTTCTAAGCACTTCTAATTTGAAGATCTATGTATTTTCTTTGTCATAACGATCGAGCTGAACATTCAAGCTTACCTCTCGGTCTATTAGCTGGAACAAGCTGTAACTCACACTTTATGACTTTTCAGAACACATCTTTGGCTTTCGACACCTGGGTTCAGCTCCAAACGTTGAAGAGTTGTCTGCCTATCGCTTTGATCGGCCGAATTATATATTGAAAGCAACATTCTTCTCGAACGCGACTTCGTTTGTCGGTCAATTTGATTCTGATCTTGGATAGCTCCAGGTTTGGCCGAGTCGACCATCCCCAAGAGCGCATGAAAATTGCTTTTTTAACAAGGGAAGTTGCACTGTAAAGCTCGACCTGCTGGATCCTTCCCATGAAATTAGCCGCACGCACTAATGATCCAGACAAACAAACACCAGCTCGTGCTTGACATCGTACAAATGTTCCCACTTTGTAGGACCTGCAATCCTTCTCATAATACCAGTTGTTGCCGTACTCGAAATTTAAACCTTCAATGCCGCCGCTCGATATCCAATCGGCCCAGGCTTTCAATTCGGTATCATATGCTGTCCGATAGTCGCCATAGAAACCCGGACTTGCTGGTCCAAGCTTGCCAGATGAAAGTATGGAGGCACAGTCGCCGTTGACTATGTCTGTGTCGTCGTTTTCATCGAAAGTCGCACCACTTGTGCCCGCTGTTGGAAAGGCGAGAAGACTGGCGCTGGCCAGGAACGCACACATGTGTTCTCCAGGTGGTTTGCAACCTTCAACGGCAAAGACGGATTGGGAGAAGATGGTGGCGCTTGCAAGAATGATGGCGATGGACGGAAGCATAATGAAGGAAGCTTTGATAATCTGTAGGTGGGAGGTGATTTAGGGAAAGACTGGTGGTAAAGCCAAAGCAGTTTTCGCACGCCTGAACTACAATCTTATCGCAAAGCAAAGCTCTAGACTGATCTGGCCCGGAATTCGTCATAAGGGTATATGATGGGGTGCTGCTTCAGGAAAAAGAGGAGGGTGAAATATTCACAACTTATATGCTGCCAGTTTTGAACTGTAGCCGGATCGGCGATGTGGCTGTACCATGTGAATGGCCGGGGATCACGGGCGTTCAGCTTGGTCGCGAAGGCTTGCGAGAATGATGACTGTGTTCGTTAATGACATATTTTGATATGACATTGATTGATCGATAAATGTAAGGCTCATCCTTGAAACCATGGATACTATTCTTTCAGCCTCGTGGATGTTTCACGAAGCGAAATCGGCTGAGGCTAATGTGTCCGCAATACATTATGGTGGAAGTAAATCAGGATGACGATCTCTGTAGCCAACACGAAAGTTATACGATAGTAGTGAAGCCTTGCAGTGCGTCTGCATCGCGATAACTTCTCAACACTGGAGCAGAGCCTTTCAGTTATGTCTAGTGATCATTCGACAAGTCACACTCCTAGACCTCGACCGAGACGAGGTTGAGCCAGATTCAAGCTATACATTTAAGCTTTTGTCCTTCTGTTTCGTTTAGATGTAGATTCCTGGGTGCCTCGAGCGGGATTTCACATGCCATAGTGGCACGCTACTGAAGGCTTGTGGTCTGTACTCAAGACCCATAGGCCAGTTTCATTTTGAGACAGTCTCCCGTGCCGTACTTTACCTTGACGACGTCAGAGCCTGGTAGAGTATAGACAGCTCGGACGCGACAGTCAATTGTCTCAAAGCTAATGAATTGAACATCTTGTGGGCTGGATCTTGAGTGCTAGCTATGCACAACAGAGCAGTGATGGATTAGTCGATGGATCAATTAAGTATCTATGTGGTCAGGCTTAGGTCAATGACTATTCTCATCGCCAACAAGAGCATTGACAAGTCATCAATACTCCAATTACCAGTGTATAACCAAGCGGAAAGACCAGAACTAAATGTCATGGACAAGCAAATAGGGGCCTTCAGGGGCTCGGAGCTAAGCGGATATAACAACGATAAGATAGCTAGCTATGTGGACTTGACATCTGACACCAACTTCTAAACACAGAGATCGCATGCGAGAGCCGTAGCAATTAATGAGGCGGAGGCGGAGGCTCTGAAACGTTATTAAGAGGACTCTGCTCATCTTTGCGCCCGCTTGAAACATGTGTTGAATTCGAGAGCAAGCCCCACACGTGCTCAAACATGGACTTTTCAGCGCCAGCATCTGAGGATTTGGCAGAGCCAGATGCCATTATTGTGAGAGCAGATGAGGTCGACGAAGCAGGCGCAGACATATCGACCATCTCTCCAACCGAGACCTCCTCAGAATCCGACTTCAATGCTCGCATCGAGAATCGACGAGCTCAAGATGCCCAGCCAACTGGCAGCCCCAAGATCCTTGCCAATGCGGTACCCTCCCCCACGCGACCTCTTCCGCGACCCATCTTGAGGAGAGAAGGAAGTGTCCCTTTGCCACCGAAGCAGCCGCCACCACCGGCACCCAATAGGCAAGACCCAGATGAGAAGCCTGCAGATTCTCTGAGTCTACAACAACTGAAAAAGCTCATGGGAGATCTCCCAAAATTGGAGCCAGCTGCTTATGCATACGAATATGAAGAGACTCGAGGCCTAGAGGAGGAGGTGCAAGAATGGTTCATCTATACAGAAGAAGAGAGATTGATTTTGCTAAAGGAGAAGGAAGTGTTTGAAGATCGATGGCACGAGTGGGTTGCGGACGATTTCGAAATCGAGCAAGCAAATCCAAGCTGGATAGATGTGGGAGATTCGGAGAGAATGCAATTTGTGAAGATTGTTGTGGAAGATTTGGAGTCTGACGACGTTGCTTCACGAGTCAAAAGCCTAGGGTGTCTCTCCTACATCGCGTTGGGAGCATGGGACGAAACGAAGCGAGTCCAACTTGTCAATCCACCTCGACGGGTGTCGCAAAACAACGAAGATTCTGCTACGGTGCCGAGACCAACTTCTGAGATTCAGATGGATTGGATCTTTCAGGGAACAGCAATGCTCTCACAGCAGGACATTATTCAGCGTCTGATAAGCTCTTTGGAGGCGCTCTGGCATAGTGAATTGTCAGTCAGTCGTGACCTTGTTTCTCAAAGTGGCTCCTCCTTGGGGGGGCTTGCTGATAGTAGGGCAGAGAAGCTGGCCCACGGCCTGAAATGTCAGAAGCAGCTTATGCTGAAATGAGAATGATGAGACAACTCGAATGTAACCATGTTCTAACAACTCTTTACCTTATCATTGAGACCGGTCGGTGTACGGAGGAGCTGAGCGCCCAAGCTAAGAGGAGAGACGCATTTGGTATGTGTCCCATATATCTGAGATCTGGCGTTTATGTTTGACTCTACAATCCCAGCGAACGTGAAACCCGGCATGCTGTTTCTTCTGACCAGGATGATTGCAACTACGCGTTGGGAGGACTCAGTTGAGGCGTCTTGTATATCACGTCATAAGGTTTGCCGCATAGTGCTCATTGATGAGGGCAGAACTGCTAATTCAGCCAGTTACTCTTACTTTTATGGAAATCTTTCTTATTTCTACTTGGCCAAAATAAAGATGTGAAAGATTGTAAGCGTGTCCTTCGCGAAGAATCTCATGAGCTTCAAGATGTCCACGACGAGAAATTCATAACAGCCTCTCCTCTCGACTACCACTTATTTCGCCAGGAGATCACCTCAAAATATCCTGCATACAGCCCGCCGCCGCCTCTAGTACCTATTGAGCCAGACAATAATACTATCTTACCACCCCTGCCGAATCATCCAAGTCGACAAGCTAGCCAAGACAATCTAAACGCCTACTCCGGTAATACTACGAGCGGCTCCATCTTCAACCAGCCAGTCCATATCGCTACCCCGGCGCCATCTCCCCCACCTTCTCCAGCAGGGCCCGGCGGTAAAGGTGGCAAGAAACAAAACTACCAGACCAACCAAAATTTTCCTTTCCTTTACCCGCCTCTTGACGAGACGAGTAATACGTTAGGGGGCAAAGGTTCTGTGGAAACACAAGACAAATTAGTGGGTAGGAGATGGCACGGCTCCGATGTCCCGGCCTCGATCTTGGAAGCAGGCCAGCTATTTGCCAGCAGAATGAGAATGTCACGGTCATTGCGGCAGCTATGGGATGCCAGGGAGAGGTATATCAAGGAAGAACGTGGGTGGGGAAATCCTGATGCCCCACAAGTCTCGAATCACAAAATAGAAAAGTTCGACCATGAACCTTTCTTTGATTCTACTGATGAGCATCATGAAGAAGGTGACTTACAAGAGGATCATCATTCGCCAATGAGAAACTCCGCTACTGTCAATGACGAATCCAATATTAATGCAGATGAGGTTCGAAATGATGGTGTACGCAAACGTCTGAATGCTGTTAATGATTACTACGTACGTATTTTGTACTCTAGGCAATATTTGCGGCTAACAAGAGGTGCTAGACGAGTGCATTACCAGATCTTCAATCCTTGGTCCTCGTGCTTGTCATGAAAGAGCTGTTGAATTCTGTTTCAGATCTTCACGCTGGGACCGGGTTGCCCAGCCACAACAATAGTGCGGAAGACGCAGGTGATAATTCGGATAAGCGAAAGACCAATCCCAACTCTTCTGCGAACCTCAATGCTCTGATTAATGAGCACGGGTTGGAGAGAGAAGAAGATGTTGATCCTACTGTTGAGACGCTAAACGACGTGCGCATGAGAGAGATTTCGACGAAAGCTGTCTCGGGGATATTGTTGATCCTGTTGAAATGGTTCAAAATCTCTCGTGAGTGCTTTGAATTATCCTGTGAAGGACTAAGCTAAAGTCATTGAGACGTTCTAAAATTCGAATACCTCACTCAGCTTCTTCTAGACGCAAGCTACCTTCCTTTGGTGCTCAAATATTTTGGCTTCCAGGATGTTGACAAGGCAGTGGAACAGAAGAATGACCGTGAAGACTTGGAGTAAGGGAATCCTCCAATCGATTCACTATACAAAACCCTGACATTCTAGTTTCTTCGCTTTTTGCCACCACCATTCGAAACACCCACCTGCTTCACCTCCTCAGCCAGCCCTCTCGCCATCTGACTCCGATTCTGACGATGCTGCACCGCCGCCAATAAGAAAACACCGTCGATCTCCAACGTCGCAATCCCCCTCAGCAAGTCCACCTCCATCAATCAATAGCCGGCGACCTGAAGTTGACGAACTAGGCTTCCCCACTGCAGGTTCTACCATTCCCCAGACGCCACTTACGAACTATGCTCCCCGCTTCTTTTTGACAAACATCAATTTGCTACGTATCCTGCAGAAAATAACAAAACGCAAGGCCCATCGTGCTCTCCTTCTAGTCCAATGCAAATCCAGCACCATCCTTCGAAAATCGTTAAAGATCCCGCAACCTGATCTACGCCTCTATACTTTGAAGCTCTTCAAGAGCCAGGTCCCGTACTGTGGCCGCAAATGGCGGCAGACCAACATGCGCGTCATCACCGCTATCTATCTGCACTGCCGGCCCGAGTTAAGGGATGAGTGGCTTTGCGGTGGAGATGTCGACGGCGTCGTGGAGGAGGCAGTACCGGTTGAGCAAGCTGGCCGAAGTCTTGTTCATTGGTGGCACCTCAGAGCATTTAGGGAAATGATGGAAGGGAAAAGTGCCGGCAAGGATGCAGACGAAGGGCAGGAATATGATTTTTTTGCTAGGGAGCTAGAGAAGATGGGGTGGGATTTTGAGGCCGTGGAGGAGGAGCAAGGGGTTGAGGGGCCCGGAGATGTGAATGGACCTGGTGGTGGTGAGGTCGATGGAGGCCTCATGAGGGCGGAAGGGTGGTCTTGAAGGGCTACTGGCACCCCAATAGATTAACAACAACTGCCTCTCGTGCCCAGACAGAATCCTAAGATGCCAGATTAGCCGATTGGGCCGGCTAAAGTTTCCGAATATCTTGGACGTCAGCTATGATCAATCTGCAACTCGATCCTTGATCCTGTTTGTAAACATATCAGACGGAAATGAATGCCCCGTATTCCACACTCTACACTGCGTCAAGCAGCTGCGCTTCATCCTCACCTCCCTGCTCTGCTTCGACCTTGTCGAAATCTTGATTCCGCGAAAAATGAACTGCGCTGGCTGCGTGAACATGCCTTGAGCGTGAGCAAAAGGGGCAATGGACATGATGAGTCGGCATGGGTGTCACATTATCGGCTTATGTGCGAAGAGAGAGCTAGAGGCAAACCTCTGCAATACATCGTTGGAAATCAGCCATTTGGGGATTTGGAGATACTCTGTCAACCCGGTGTCCTAATACCGAGGTGGATCTTCCCAAGGCGATGCACTTCCAATCCTGTCGTACATGGGTGCTGATTCCATTGTCACTTCCTTCAAGGCCTGAGACAGAATCGATCACAAGCCATCTAGCCAGCGTTCTTTCCTGGCCCGACCACCAGAGACCCAAATTGCGCTTGCTCGATCTTTGTAGTGGTACTGGCTGCATTTCCCTCCTGCTACATGCTATCCTCGCTTCGCGCGGGGTAAGCTCGCAGGTCATTGGTGTTGATGCCGCTCCGCTGGCCGTGAAATTGGCTAGGAGAAATTTGCAACATAATCATGGGAACGGACTCCTGACACAGGATGCGCATGACGACATAGCTTTCTTGAACGCTGACATCTTTGAGGATGACTTCATGACAAAGACAGAGGAATATTATGATGTCCTGGTCTCAAATCCGCCCTACATTTCTCTTCAAGCCTTCGCGACGACGACCTCACGGTCTGTCCGCAACTTTGAGCCGAGAGCTGCTCTGGTGCCATCAAGACAGTCCAGCACAACAGCACATCAAGATGGAGGCGATATATTCTACCCAAGATTATTGTCTATTGCTCATGAGATTCAAGCAAAAATATTGTTGGTAGAAGTTGCCGACCTGGAGCAGGCAAAGCGGGTTGCTGGCTTGGTCGTTGAAAATCCCCGATGGCATGGCTGCGAAATTTGGAGAGATTGGCCTGCCCAATCGTCTCATGCAAACGTTCACGAGGTGGTGATAAGAGGCAGAACGCTTAATCTTCGAGGGGACGGGAACGGACGAGCCGTCTTCGCCTGGACTCAGGATGGTCAGGATTTATTGAAGACCAGGAGATAAACCTTTACAGTGCTTCACCATCACTCATCGACACGGCGCTCTTGCTATGTCGCTATACTGCTGGCAATTTTGTGCTTCGATTGCTAGAGTTGACCTTAGGGGAGCCGAGCAACCTCAATTCTGAACATGCGTAAGGTTTTTCATAACTGCTTTATGTCTCTCTTGAGATTTATGATTATGGTGGGCAAGATCAGTGAATCCAATGCGGTGGTTTTCACAACTTTTTCGCCCAAGTCGATGCCATTAACTGTTCACCCCTCCTTCCTAATCCACCTCACCACCAAGACTAAACCCTTCCAGCGTCTCATTAGCTACACTTCCCCCGTCTTTCTCGCCGTCGGCCAACTCGATCTGCCAAACTAAAGTATAATCCTCACCCCATTGGGTCCCTCCAACTTCTACCTTGCCTCCACCAGCGCCAGGCCCTGTACACTTCTTCGCTAACCTCCCCCCAACCCAGCTGACATACTCGGGGTTTGCAGGCGGATTCATCCCATCCTCACTCCTATAATCGAGCGTGAATTTGCAATCATATTCCACAATAATCCATGGACATGAGATCTCTGTTGCCATTTTGAAGTGTCGACGGTGGGTTAGGGTATAGCCGTCTAGGGCGGTAAAACGGTACTTAAATCTCTCCGCGGCGTCGCGACAGGTACGATAATCTAGAGAAGATCCGCGGACTGGGTCAGTGCAATGGTAGTCGCCTGGTGGGGGGTAAGGGAGTGTAAGGTTTGTAGTGGGCAGGGACGTGGTAAAGCTGGGATCTGGGGGGAGAGCATTGACAACGCAGCATATTATCACTAGGACTGTGGATGTGATTTGGAGATACGGTGAAAGATGCATCTTGCTGACGTGGATGCAAGGCCTTCAGTCATTCTCCGTGGTCATATCTCCTTTGCTTGGACTGCTTATCTTTAGCGACATATGCGCAACATTGGGCCATGGCGAACATTGTGTGGGCGTAGGCTTAGGATGTTTTGAACTCAAAGTTTCAAGCATCTGTGCGTTCTCGCGATGGCAATCAGTACGTGATGCTATGTTACGCGTTGTCGGGATCCAGGCGGGTTCTTTTTGTTTACATGAAATGCGAGACATTCTGGCCTCATGGCTCCAGAGGTGAAAGGCAACGGTAGACGAGCGAATTGAAGAAGAGACGGAATCAGGCATGTGAGCAAGTATGGAAGTTGTTGATTGAATTGACAATTATCTGTAGAAGAACATGGGGTTTGAAAGCTGCCTCGCTCACCTGGACATTGTCGTTCGACGGGCGCCTAATTCTCATCCTTCAAAGCGAGTATCCCTCGGTCTTGTCATTCAGACAATGGAGTTGGCCAGCATCTAAGATCGTCAGAAAGGGGAAGGTTAGGGGCACTCACCCGTCAGCCCAAACTCTCTCGAGCCTCCGATGAAGCCTCAAAAGGTCCTCTTTCACTCCCTCAAAATGCCTCAAGTCTTCTTCCCACATTTTGATAACGGCATCAATTCTTTTGGCTGTTATCGGTTTGTCTTCCCCACGTGCCTTTGCTTCCTCAAAGTGTCTGGCGTCGGCGATCCACTTCTTCAATTCCGCTATCGTCTCGACGGCGTCTTGAGTTATCTCATCTTCGTGTTTCCGAAAACAATCCGGGCAATTGGATGGGTAGTCAATATGGACCGTGTGGAGAAGGTCCATGTTGTCGTTGCAGATTTGTGATTCGGGATCAGAACATGATTCTACGACGTCCATCTTGCGCCAATGCAGACACGCTTTGTGAACGTGGGCGATGATGAGACACATGGTGAGATAGACGAGCGGAGTATCTGTTGTCTGCACTTACACGCCATCATACCAGAAGTTCTGCTCAGCTTATAAGATGCAACAGCGGATAAGGACTTGTGCAACAATGGATAATGATCAAAGCCATCACTAGCAATGCGGTATTGTTCGAAAGGGAGAAGCTTCCTTGTAGACAAAGGGCTACGTGCGCATGGACGCCATTGACGGGGATGCCTCATCTCAGCCAATCTATCAGCAGCAATGGCTAGTCTACGTCCGATTACATATCGCGATACTATTCGAGAGCCCATCCATGACCGCATCAAAAACCTTGTGCCTAAGCCGAGGCGATGATAAAATGAAACGTAAATGGACCGCTGGTGATGTCCAAAAGAATGGGGAGGACTGGCTGGAAAACCAAGTGATAAAAACCCTTGAGTAACGATGGAGGAGCGATCTCTTCAGATTGACTTCAGCATTGTGGAGCATGTACATCCCTTCGGAAAAAGGACTGGCTGGCACCGCTGACCCTTATGTTGTGGCCACGGATGGCCAACAGCCACCCGGACTAGTCTCACACTCAACATCAGATGCATTCTTCCACCATATCTCTGTCATCTCCCGCCGAGTTTGCTTTGTGGCTTACATCTACCAGCGCGCGGTAGCAAAAGGCCCACTGCGTACTCATGGCGGATCATGACGAACATATAATTGCAGCTACTCCTCCGAGCACCCCCTTCACCTTAGAGCTCACGCGTCGCCTTACGAAAGTGAAGATGTCGCAGAAGAATGAATGGCATCATAAGCTCTCCGACTGCAAGCCTACAGGCCTCTGTAAGCTGAATACGAACCACCAAAGGTGGGATGTATAAGCTGATCATGTTCTTTACCAGGCTTAGAAGCATACTTCTGCCCGTGTTTCGTCTTTGCTAAGACACAGGCACTTCGAGAAAACCCTCAGGACTCAGATCCTAAGAGCGAGCATGATGATGTCAGTGTTCTGGTTGCGAAGCTCTTGGATATACCGATAGACTGACGCAAGCGCTGCAGTGCTTGCTATGGTGCCTTGTCAGCCACTTCACAGGTGCTGCAAGCGTCCTACAAGGCATCAACCGCACCGAGATCCGAAAGCAATATAACATCAGGGGCGACAAGAAAACAGACTGGGTCACGTCTTGGTGCTATTCTTCATGTGGATTAGTGCAAGAAAGAAAAGAAGTGGAATTCCAAAAACAACAAAGGAGCAGGCTTGAATGGGGAATATCAGGCGCCGGCACCTATGCAATACCCTGACAACCCGATAGATGACATTCCAAAACCTATCCTTCCAAAACCTATCCTCCCAGAATCTGACATGACAAAATCTGAAAATTCGAAACCTGAGCCTTCACAGGAACAGAAAGATCCTGAGAAATTATAAGCTTTGAGATGGCAGACAAAAGTTTAAAAATATTTTCTTCTTCGAATAATACCCACTTGGATAGATAGACACCATTGATTTCGTTCATCTAATGCAGAGCTTCATTAGGAACACATCAGAGCTTTCTTCGAGCCTACAGAGAAACATAGATAAAAAGTCCCTACTCGCAGGCTATCGTCATTCCTATCTCATCATGTCGTAGTTTTCATTATTGACAGCCTTTTCAACTCAAGTCACGGACTCTTCTGGTCAGGACAAAGCGAACGCTTGAACAATTCACGTCACGCTTCCTTTCAGATTTCAAGTTCATTGTTTGGTTAGATGAGCATACATCTTCGGCTTTACCATTCTTTACTTTTCCATAGGCTTTTCCATCGTGAGTTTGTCCACTTTGAGAATGTCGAAAGGGCCTGACTAAGTCATAGGGATTGAAGAGAAAGCAAGTCTTCAAGTCTAGTTATAGGATCTTAATCGCTCCTGTTTACCAACATTTCAAAGCCGCAACAGTGTCCTAAACCGCTATAACCAAAGGACTTGATGCTGCATGCAGAGATACATCACAAGGGTTCATAGGCTTCGTTACCGTTGAAGAACAGAAGCCGAGTCCTGTCTGGTCCCTTTCTATTCCCCGTTGTCGCAAGCAGACCACAAAATCATCCATCCGCCCAGACACCCTGCTGGTCTCGAAACGCTTTGATACTAGCCAATTTGTCCTTCTTGAGCTTGGCAACGTCTCGTTTCAGGTCCTCAGGCGTGTCAGAAGTCTCCATTGTCCCTTCTTTCATCGCACCTTCCAAATTCTCTATCGTTGTTTCCAAAATATGGATGGTCTGGTCGTATTTCTCGGAGGTTCGATTCTCGATCGCTCGGAAGCAGCGTACACACCAGGAGGGTGCATCTATGTATACATAGTCGGTCATTCGAAATTCAAGGCATACGCTTGTGCCGGGGTGGCTGCACTGTGTTTATCGGTCAGCATTGTCTGTTCGACTTTGGAGATTTGGGAACAAAGGGGTCCTTCTTGAACAGATGGATTTTTCAGAAGGATCTAAACAGTCGGAAAAAACTTCACTTACCATCCTTTTTTTCTCTATCACACACTTACGCATGTGGTTGCAGCTAGTATGTACGTGGTGAACGTGGTGGCACATCTTCGAGATCGTAAGAGTGTTTTTGGGAGGGAGTTGGAGATTGTGGATTGTAAATTGGTCAGAGGAAGAAGCTGAGAGTCTTCTATTGATATACCCATGTTAAACAATGGCGCTCGACATGACCTTGTGTGATAAGCAAACATTTCGTCAACGTGATCCTCCGACATACCGCTCACTTCACGTCAGTAACGAAGGCATTGCGACTGAAGCGTGACATCATCTGTTGTGGATGGAGGCATGTGAAAAGATTGATGAGTTTGACACAAGTATGAACTTTTGATGGAGAGAACATCTCATTTCAGAGGTTGCGGGACGCAGGGGTGAGGATGTCGTAAGATAATTTTCCCAACACTCAGATTTATTATTTCTACTGTCATCTTGTGCACCCAAGCATGTCATATTTAGGCCAGACCTCAAGTGATATAAGTCAGAGGAGGATGGAGAAGCAAGCAAAATGCCTTGTCAAATCCGTTGATGAGCTTCGGTATGTATGAGCGACGTTTATGGTTTGTGAGATAGTAATTTCTAGTGTGTGGGTATGTCGTTGAACGATGTAAGAATATTGAAGTTAAATGTTTATGAATGAATTTCCACCTTTCTCCAGACCTGTTGGGTAGAGAAGACTTTTTGTGGGGAATTATAAAGTTTTTCCAAGCAGAGGTCGTCCGATAGCCTGTATGTCTTGATTCATCATCCTTCTACCAATTTCAAGGGTTTTGATCTCTGCCAACATCTCGAAATATCGAAGACAGTGTCGAAGATGAAGAATTTAGTTGTTCAGATGTGTTTCTTCAAGTAGACAATGCCTTCCGAACAACATCCTTTTTGCATCAAAAATCGACGGTTTTTCTCCTTCATATGGAGCATTATCTGGAATGCCTGTTCTGTAAGATCAATAGAGAGCCTACGGAGCCGCTATTGTATAGTCGAGTCATACCAGTAGATTGCTGACAGTCGCACTGGTAGTTATCACCGACATAATAAGTTTAATCTCATCGGAGACGGCGCCATCGCAAAGGCAGAGAGAAACGCTTTGATTGAGTTCGAAGTGTCTGTAAAATGGTCCAAATGATGACAGTGTGTCCGAAAGAGGACGGATTGGGCTGTATGGGTATTGTACCCATAGACTGAAATCGGTTTTGCCATAGAAGATTGGTAGTGCTTCGTCGTAGATGGTCCTACAAATTCTCAAAAATTGTGCAGGAATCCATCTGTAGTGCCACTTGATCGATACATGAGCTCAAACAAGCTCGTGAAGAGCGAGTGAACTTACAGGGACTGTGGCACCAACCAGAGGGAATGTTTCACCAGTACGAATCATATATGATCAGCCGAATGTCGACTGGAAAATTTAGTAATCCACGGCTCTTGCTCTGATCGGCAACAGTAGCTCTTGTCTCAGACGGAGTTAGACCCATGATGAATTCAATAAGGTGCGTCTTGTAGACACGGTTCGTCTGTGGACAAGACAGGAAGGTCGATCGTGTCATAGACACAAGAAGGAATGGTGACCCTAGGTACCTGATTTGGAAAATTAGTTACCAACCCAACGTAGAGCGATTGGTAGGTGTCTTTTGGGGCATTAGTCGGTGATAAGAGTCGTCGGAGACTGTGACCGCGGACGCCTAGCGAGCATTCATAAAGCGAAAGAATATACGCGAGCAGCCATGTGCCTTGCAATCCTTGATAAGGCACGAATAACGATATGCAAACAGACCTTCGTCTTCACGGGGGGCTATAAATATCTTCATTTTGAAAACGCGGTATCAAAAAAGTCACGTTAATCATAAAGAGAGGGTAAAGACTGATTACACAAACCCGATCAAAGATTCCATTAAACAATGTCACTCCACAGTTGATCTCATGGGTTATCTCTCACATAATTTCATCGCCTTGTGAAAACATTAGAGCCGATACTTTGCGTCAATACGTGCTTACATTCTTCCGTCAACATTCGATCATTCTTATCTCTCTGTCCTAGGTCCTTACACAGTTTTCAGGCAACGGTGATCCTCTCCTTCATAACTGAAGATTCTGTGATATTTGATGAAACAACGAAAAGTCTGATAATGATGTCGTCCCAAACATCGATGACATTGATGACCAACCATCCATAGACAAAGCTGTACTGCCGAAGGTTCTGACAAGGGGAGGTAGCATTCGTTCATAGTTCGTTGCGCCTGCATCTTGCACAGGCGAGCATTTGACATCCGTCACACTCAAAAATGTATTCAGCGAGCCAATTCTCACAAATCTCACATTCATTTCCTCGGTCGATACGGGTCCAACCTTCGTCGTGAGTGCAATCAACATCATCCGCCTCGGACTCCTCGGCATCGGATTCCTCCTCCGCAAGCACCGCTGCAGCATTTTCAAGAGCTTGCACTGTATCACGGTCGATGAGCAGATTTGCCTCGCTCCATTGTGGGCATTCGCAAGTCTTCCAGACTGCTCCACAAGCATAGCTGTTTCGGTCAGCAGAGTATTAGCTTGAAGGCTGCTCAAGAATAGAGCATTACCAGAATTCTGCTTTGCAGATACATCTGTCATTCAAGTCAGCATTGATTTTAATTGACGTCAAAGATCTCATACCTCATGTGATTACAGCCGTGGTGGAGAGAAACCATTGCTCGACAATTAGGACAACGCTGCCATTTTTGATCTTTGGCCATATCGAGTACTTCCTGAATTGCGGCGTCATCAGGACAATTGCCCAAATGATCATCCTTCTTGCAGACCACGCATGTGAACAAGTTACAGGTGGGACACTTCGCTGTGTTACATGTAATTGATGCTGGTGGGATGAATGTGCCGCATTCTGTTTGAGAGCAATATGTCTTGTCCATGGTCTCATATTCAATACTTTTCGACTCGTACGTGCGCAAGATTTCGTCTGTCAGGTAAGCTCTGACAGTGTCGAGGGGGATTGGCTGTTGGCAACATTGAGGGGGGTACAGCGACTCATCGGTAGTCGAAAGCTGGAAAAGGGTTGACAGACAGATATAGCAGTAGTGATCTCCGCATGGGGTTTCGTGAGCCCCGCTGGCGGGCACATTCGTATTGCAGGCGACGCAGGAACGTTTATGAGATCGCATGACGTATATCTGTGGAGTGTCCAAGGCGGGAGACACTGCTTCGACAACCTTATCGCTTTCGATGTCTCCAAAAATCTTGTCAAAGGTTGTATCGTCGTATTCTTCAATTGGTTCATCTTCGGCGATGCTCTTACCACTGTCGACATCTTTTACTACATCATCGCATTCCGAAGCCGTCTCGTCTCCTCTAAGATCATCACTATTGTCGTCATTCACAGGGGAGTCGTCATATTCAGAAGTCGTTTCGTCTTTCGCAATGTTTTCCTTATTGTCGACGTCGGTGACTGCATCATCGAAGTCTTGCTCGACGTTCTCGTCACCTTTGCCCGAAACGTAAACTTCTGCTAATTTAGGTGGTTTGAGCGCATCCTACTCAATATCAATGTCAGCTCTGTCTGTAAAGTTAGGCCATGGAGGCTCTCCAGCTACACGAACCGCTAAAGCTCGGTCGAAGGTAGCACGACGTTCCTCCGCGGTGTGTCGATAAAGTACAATAGCATCGAAGACGACGGCCTGGGTGAGACTTTGACACATGCGTTGATCCGAAAGCTTTGTGCGGCTCTCACGAAGCTCTCTCTGGTAGGTTAGCAATGCAAATTCAGCATCATACTCAACATCCTCGATCCCTTTCCCTTTGTTTTCCGACGCGAGGTATTCGATGTCCTCTTCTTGGATCTGTAGAATCAAGGCTGCGGTCGCTCCGTCCATACCGTCTAGCCCATGCTTCAAGCGGGACATGGGGTCCATTCTTCTCGCTCCCCCACCGTGGCAGTCGCTACTGCTTAAATAATCTATGCAATCTAAGATAATGCTAAAGTAGAGTGCAGTCGTTCCTTGTGAAACATTAGTGGATTGACTTTAGGTGGGGTCAAGAATGTCAGGTTTGACTCATCAGCGGGTTGTGAAGATTTATGGAGTGAAGTGTTGTGAAGTGTTGTAAAGTGAATGAGCAGAATTTGACCCCAAATTTGATCAAAGCTCCATCCTGATAATCGTGACCCATAAAGTACCACATTGCAAGTAGCAAAGAGAGCGCGACCATGGCTCACAGCAGTATACTGATAACAAGTGACGGAAGGATTATACTGCTAGCTAGCATGCCACTTGACCGAATCACAAGCCTCACATAACATTCAATTTGTCACTAACGGCTCATGGAAGTCCAGAAAAGAGGTGTAAACTAATGGTCGAAGACTGGCAGGGGCTTCAGCAATCTGTAGATAATTCCTTGAGGTATTCTAGTAGCTCCTGCTGAGGAATACCCAGCCTCAACGACATTTTTTTTAAAGAACGAAAAGCTTTGCTCGAGGCCGAGAAAGAAATTTCGATTTTTAAAAAAAATTCTCGAAGGACAGTTCAGGAATCTTTCCCTTGGTAGGATGAGAAGTGAAAGTCGAAACCTCAGACCGGAGAACTTTCTTCGCCATTTCTTCAGAATATAATCCCGATGAATTTATATGTAAGGGATGTCTAGAATTGTTCGACATTTTCAGAAGAGCAAAATTCATGATTGCGTGCATCTGCCAGAGATATAGAAATGAAAACTCATCAGACCTATAACATGACCCTTCTTCAAATTCCTGCCACTTTGAAGCTTCTCATATGCCTTCTGGCCTTGGACGTTTGTGTTGATCCATCATTATTGGTGTTTGCTGTAGACGCAGAAGAGGTCATGTTCTCACTTCCACCACCCGTAGCCACGCCCATAGCCGCAAGACTCTTTGGTTCACTTCTTTTGACATCCATGCTCTCGCCACTGCCCGCAGTCATATTAGGATACAGGAGTATATCGCCTGGCATCTCAGCGCCACCAGCAACCGGAATTGGATCTAGGAGCGATGGGTCATCCTTCTTGGCGGCAATGTTTGGTGGTGCACCGGTAGTGATCGACGGAGCCTTTGAGGCTGGGACGAACTCGGTCCAATACGGCTGAAAGGTGCGTTTTCCATTGTCTGTGGATGGATCATCACCGTCATAATTGGTGTATAAGTAGTTGCCTGCATAAGGTGGCCACGGATCAGTAGTGTCTTTGGCCCCAGGGGACGCCGACACGCCAACGAGGTACTGTGAACAGTTCTTAGGATTGTTGGTCACACAGTCAGTGATTGCCCCCGAGTCTGCGTCGCTCTCAGACGAGATGACGATGTCGAAAGACGAAGAATAGTCGGGGATCATGTAGTCTTTGAGATACCAATCCGTCAGTCAAGACATTCGCATGCGAACATAGGCAGATAACTTGTTATGGACGTGTACAGACCTGTTTGAGGTTTCTCTGCAGTAGCCCAAAAGTAGGCGAAGACTGTAGATATCATCAGTATACAGACTCGTCGAGGTTGAAATCTCGTGGAGCTCACTGAAGTTGTACGTTCCCTCCGGAAGGTACTCGCCAGTAGGATCTACAAGCTTGAGCGGTAGCCATGCATTTCCCGGATCTTGTGCACCCGAGGTCGGCTGTTCCCAAATGTGAGCGTATTTATTGGCAGGTGCTGAGAAGACAACACGATCAAACGTAAGCTGGTTGGCTGTAGTAAGCTGCGTGCCCGAAGGACCAGCTAGGAAGACCTTGTAATGGCCTGAGGGACGTTGGTCGTATTCATGCACGTGCTGGTTGGTCTGGACCTGCACCAGAACGCTGCTCTGGGGCTTAACCTTGGCTGGTGGATGGCTTTCTTCGTAGACAGGGTTCTCTTGTACCCTACCAAACAATGAGAGAAGTGTCAGTGTTCGCTAGACTCAATCATACCAGTTGCAGACTCGATGGTTGGTCACGGCTGCATGATCATGAAGAGGCCACTATTAAGCACACGAGTGAGTAAATATTCAATGGCTGGAGATTGTGGTATGTAGATTGTTATTTTTCTTCCGCTCCCGAAGCTGCACTCCTGAAAACAAAATACTGGCACTGCTGAGTGTCTTGAAGCCAAAAACATGACTTACGATTCCTTGCCAGGGCCAGGCCTGCTCATTATACTGATCCCACTCCTCGGTTCCATTGGCTGGATAACCACGAGGAAAGCCTTTGCATTCACCAGTCATATCGATCTCCCAGCGATTCCTGGTACCGAGGAGATCATCCATTCGTGGATATGAATTCTTCACGACCATCAGTAAGCCATTCATCTAAAGATGAAAGCACCTACGCTGCATCGAACATAGTTGTGGGCGAGCACAGGAGCCGAGGCCAATACGAACACACTCAGAAAGCACAGAGAATACAGCATGGCGACAGAGTCTTCTATTCGAAAGGAATGACGGAATCAATATGTAAAGAAAGCGACAATTGGTGCAAAGAATCAAAGAATGTGTTCCAGCACAGCTGGAAAGAATCTAGAAAAGCGAATGAATGGCCACGCCGAATCGATAATCGCTTACTGGACAGGCATATATCTACTTCTGTTTATACTTTAATCGTCCCATGATAGTTGAGTCTCAAATAGAAACGTCAACTAAGCTTGTCTGATCACCTTGCTGTTCCTGCCAAGCAGCCAGATGCGAGATTAAGTCCAACATGAACGCTCTCTCCACTGGCCAGGAGTCATTTGAACCCTGGACATCAACATGTAAAGCGGGGGATCTGAAATATGGGCAAGATTGAGGGCCTTTATCGATAGGGTGAAACAATGCGGTGGGCATTGCAATAGGTGCGCCTTCTCAATGCGGACCGGCCTGCCGTCTGCCAAGCTCATGGTGTCTCGACTACCCAAGGACCGAGCTGCCCTCGTGCCGCTCAAGGCACACAATGATCTGGGCATTTGGTATCTTTGATTCATCGTGAGACATCGGAAAGTTTCGCCTGGGCGGCTGCAAAGTGGGCGACATCAAACGGAGTTTAATGATGATGGCCTCTTGGACGGCCATTTCCAGATCGCATCCTTATTGTCAGCCCATTTCTGTATTTGGAGTAGATGAACGGAGAAAGAAGAATTTGAATCTAAATATTGAATCCCTGCTTACGTAAGATTCACGTCGAATCCCGAGCGCCGAGAAATATAAAGCGCCTTCTTGAGTATTTGCTGCTCTTCTATCGTCATGGTAGCCCTACCTGCAAGAGGATGAACCCATTCTCTTCACGATGCTTGCCCTTCAGACGCCAAAATTGGTCACGACTTCAATCCAACGTCACATCCAGCGTTCATCGGCCAATAGCTAGCCGCCATGAGCCATCTCCCTTCCCGACCGTACCAAAGTGTCCGGACCCTGTATGTCCCTGTGCAGAAACGCCTGAAGGCTTGAAAATTACGAGAGATGGACCAATGGCTATACCTACGTATTCGCGTCATGTTGTATTACAGACAGGACGAAGCGATTGGGCCTCTAAGATAGAGGATGAGGAGGCTACGTTCATTGGACACAACAGCTCGAGCAAGAAGCCCGCCAATCTTGCAAAGGTCCTGAAAAGCCTTGTGGGACCTGGTGGCAAATATCATGTTGTCAGCTTTGCCCCTTCTGGTTGAGGTCGTCCTCAAAAGCCCATATTTTTCGGCCCAGCTGAACGATTGCTAACGAGCACTGGTCCAAAACTTCAGCCAGGTAAAAATATCCTGATCACGAATAGCAATTCCCCTGAGCCAGATAGGAAGAGAAATGGCGTATACGTATTCCCACATTGCGTCTTTGTGCCGTACTTGAACAATATCCAGGACGCTCATGAGTTGTTCGTCAGGCAGTTCCTGCTAGATCCTAAAGATATACCCGCTGGGAAGGTCAAGCTCTACAACGAGCCCACCAAAGTGACGGTTAAGCAGAGTCTTTTCTACAAAACCATTTCGTCAAGGCCAACACTCTTTATCTGCAGCCATAACACACGCGACTCACGATGTGGCATTCTCGGCCCGCTGCTTCTCGAGGAATTTGATACTTATATCGAGAATAGACTGAAGACTCTGGGACGTATGAATCAGGGACCAGAGCCTCCAACTCGTCTGTCGATGATCAGGATGCATGCGAAGCCTCTTATTAGAACAGCTTTGATCAGTCACATAGGAGGCCATGCCTGGGCAGGCAACGTGATCATCTACTTTCCTAAGACATACAGAAGATCTGTGGAGGACAAAGGGTACCATCCTTTGGCTGGGAAGGGAATCTGGTATGGCAGAGTAGAGCCTAAGCATGTTGAAGGCATCATGGAGCAAACAGTTGAAGGAGGCTATGTCATAGAGGAGCTCCTTCGAGGAGTACATCATGAACCCCATTTGGTTGTGAATAACGGTTTACCTCCTGTGGCTAGCGAACAATAAACACATCTATGCCGATAGAACGTTTCAATTGAATACTACAATTTACTCACGTCCCAGCCATCTGCGTTGATTTTGAAGAGAAGGCCTCCGAGCGGCCCAGACACTTGTCTTCCCCCAGACCACTGCTTGGGTCCTGCGAAATATTCGACAAAGCCGTCAGGACCCGATAGAAGAATCAGTCTCTTCTTCGTGTTGCCTCCGTCTAGTCCATCATACAGGCTTTCTGGTGTCTTTTTAAGAAGAGACCTCAGAAGCGGCTCCGTAACATAAGAGCCTTCTTCGTCTACGAAGTAGTCCACGCGGACTCTCCCGTCCGATTTCTTAACGAAATCTTCGACTTGCTCAACCAGCTGCGTCTGGACTACAGTCCGCGGCGCCTTATCTCCTAGGTCGACCTGCTTCTGCTTCACACCCGCATCATTAGTGACCGCTCCTCTGATTCTCGCCCACAGATTTCGCCGGAATTGTTGAACATCCTCTGGTTCCAATCCAGTTTTCGAGTCTTCCCTCCTTCGGTTTGCCCAAAGGATCCTCATCCTTGGCAGTTCATCCTTCGCCATGTCCCTCGCCTTGAAGAGGCAATGCGCGACCTGCAGCGCCGGCGCAATCCCTGTTCCACCCGCTAAGAAAATGATCTCCTCAATATCATCTGGCACAACGTATTCCAAATATGGGCCACGCATGTGCACAATGGTACCAGGATTAATTTGATGCAAAAACCTACTGACCTCCCCATTGGGCTCCTCGCGGACGAACAGTCGCATTAGCTCCATTGGACTTCCATCTGAGGGCGGTAACGGAGTGTAGTTTCGTTTGATCTGCAGTTCCGGTTGAATGATTTCAACGCTCCAGCAGCCGGTTCGCCAGGCTGCATTGATGAATTCGCCATTTTGGCCAGCTGGGTAGGAGATTAAATTTAAGACCGCGCTGGTCGGCGAGACTTTGTCTCGCGTTTCCAGAAGAAAAGGGCTGAAGTTCTTGGGGTTAAGTATCCGGCTTCTCGCTGGGTTGGTTTGCCAGATGTAGAGACGGTAGCCTCCAAAACCAAGGAGTACATAAAAGGCCAGTTTTCCGGGGCTTAGCCAGCGGCGGATACCATTGCGAGCAATTTGCTGCTCACCCGCATCGACATCATCACCTTGATGAGATAGATTCGATGATTGAAATGGATTCGTATCAGCCTTCTGGTCGATTGTTCGGTATGCTGGGTGTCTGCGAGCGTATGTTCGCGCATACGCGGGTTGATTACGTAAAACGGTACAACGAGAGCATACACGCAACGTGCTCTGCATCGATTGAAGGGAAGGGGATGATTGAGTCGAATGCTACATCAAGATCTAATATGCAAAGAAATCTACGACGTCAAATCAAACCCTTAGCCTCCTATATTTCAGCCTCCCTAGGCCGAAAACGGTAATCTTTGGCGGTGACACTAGTGAAACCTTATGTGTGGGGAAAAAGGACAATATCGAGTCCCTGAACGCCCATCATGCTGCACAATGACTTGCTTACAATCTTCACAATAATGGCAAGAACTTGACCTTGACCGTTGAGATCCTTGTGGACGCAACCACTATGCCACACCGAATAGCTCAATAACCATCCGCTTCTCCCTTTCAAAGATGGCACGCCCTCACTACACCACCCTCGCCCCTCCACGCGACTCCCTCGAGCTCGGCTCCCTCGCCTCCTCCTCTCCTACCCATGCCGATGGAAATTCCTCCCGCTCGTCCTCTCCATCCGGCATCTCCTCATCTCGCAAGCTATCCCTTTCGAACGACGACCCTCTCCACCCAGTCCACTCCAATGGCACCGCCCGCCCCTCTCCCCATTCGCGTTCCTACTCCGTCTCCTCCGCCTTCGACTTCGCTTCGAACCTCTTCCCTCTCTCCTCGACCGCCGCAGGCTACTCTGTCCTCGGCTCACAGCACGCAGGTGGGCCGACGGACTTAGGGGGTGCGGGGGCGAGCTTAGAGAAGCATAAGAGTTTGACGTATCTCAATGGGCTGAGTCTGGTCGTAGGGCTGATCATTGGGAGTGGGATCTTTTCCTCACCGGCGCAGGTCAATATAAATGCGGGCTCATATGGAGCGAGTCTGGTGGTGTGGGCAATCGCTGGCGTTCTGGCTTGGACCGGGGCCGCGAGCTTTGCGGAATTGGGGGGCGCCATACCCCTTAATGGGGGAATGCAGATCTATCTATCAAAGATCTATGGAGAGCTCACTGGCTTTCTGTTTACGTGGTGCGCAGTCTTTGTCCTAAGGCCAGGCTCTTCTGCTATCATTGCCATTATATTTGGAGAATACATAGTGCGAGCAGTGGTGGGAGCAGATGCAGATGACGTGAGTGCGTGGGTCAACAAGGGAGTGGCCTTTCTGGGCCTCGTGATGGTGACATTGATGAATTGCGTCTCTACGAAACTCGGAACAAGGGTTGGGGACTTTCTCATGTTCTTCAAATTCATCGCGCTACTAGCTATCACGGCAACGGGCATTGTGGTAGCCGTCACAGGCTTCACCTTCCACGGTAAACCCAACGATGACTGGAAGACTGTCGGCTGGTTCGAGGGCACCTCGACAGACCCTAGCTCCTGGGCCGTCGCCCTCTACGCCGGCCTCTGGGCCTTCGACGGCTGGGATAACTCCAATTACGTCGTTGGTGAATTCCTGCATCCCCACCGCGACCTACCTCGCGTCATTCACACCGCCATGCCGCTCGTCCTCACCTTCTACCTCGCCGCTAGCGTCGCCTATATCTTCGTCCTTCCCCAGGCTGTCATCATATCCAGCAACACCATCGCCGTGAAATTCGGCTCTGTGGTCTTCGGTCCCATCGGCTCTCTAGTCCTCGCCTTGACAGTCGGCGGCTCCTGCTTCGGCTCTCTCAACGCCACTACATTCACCTCTGGCCGTCTCGTCTATGCTGCTGGCAAAGAGGGCTTTCTCCCTGCCATCCTTGGCCACATCGGCATGCCCGGCGCCGGCCAAAACGACCCCATAAATCGCTTCCAGCGCCGCTCCTGGCTCTCGAAGACCCTAACCCGCTTGATTGGTGACGACGAAGGTAGTCTCGGGTTCACGCCCATAAACGCCCTGCTCGCCAACGCCATCCTAACGACCTTCTACATCATCATCGGCGAATTCGGCACCCTGATCACCTTCTCCGGCGTCGCGGCATACGCATTCTACTTCATCACCGTGTTGGGTCTCATAATATTAAGGGTCAGAGAACCGTACCTGGAACGTCCGTATAAGTGCTGGATCACCACGCCGATCATCTTCTGCTGTGTCAGTATCTTTTTGTTGAGTAGAGCGGTGTTTGCGAAGCCGAGACAGGTGGTCATTGTGGTTGCGTTTGTGGCCGCGGGGGTGCCAGTGTACTTTTGGAGGGTGAAGCCGAAGGGGAAAAGGAGAGGAGATGAGGGGCATGGGTGGAAGTTTTGGAGACGGTGGAGGAGGGGATGATGCATTGAGAGAGTTTTGGGTTTGAAGCAGTATCATAGCGTACATAGATTGTTATAATCATGTTGATAAAAAATGAGGACCAACGAATTCTGGCTACCGCGTATCGGCCCATTCTTCGATGCTCTACCTCAGGAGATTTCTGCCATTTCCTCTGTCTCAGAATCTTAGTTTTCATCTGTCTGCAATTATGAGGTTGTAGATCTTAATCATCCTAGCATGACTCTACCTAGGCATTTAGCGTGCAACATTTATCCCTGATTTCCTGTCTGACTCGTCTTCTAACTCTTCCAATGACCAAAGCACCATTTGTATCAAGAAGTTCCTTTGAGCCCTGGCTCTTTTGATGAGCAGAAGGACTATTTCGCTATTCAACGCGTCCTGAATTGCGAAAGAATGTCTTCTTCATACAAGGGCTTGCATCTGAAAGTTTTGTAGAGCAGATCTCTTTTACCGCTGTTATTGGCATCCTCCGGGTCCACCTCATTGGATTCTGTCGCGTCTTTTAGTGGAACGTCGTTCTCTGCCATGCTGCGTTCGAGGGCTCTGAGAAATGGCCATTGGACTTTGTTATACGCATGAAAGTAAACATGAGGCACATTCTTGAGGGCACGGAGAGAGTTCAGCGAATCTGTTGTTGGTCGTTGCAAAGGCCAGACCTTCCATTTTCGCTGGTTTTTCATAGTAGCGACACCTTCCTGATCGAACTCGAGTGCTAATGATTCCACCAGGAGATATTCCAACTGATGATTTGCCGAGAGTGCAAGTTGTACAGCGGATATCATGCTGTTCAAGCAATGATATTCTTTCACCAACTCATATTTGTCCAAAGGATTTGGTGATCCACGAGATGGAATAACGTGGAGCTTTCTGATCCGCCTAAAATCTATAGTGCGTGAGGCTCTCATACGGTCCTTGAAACTACGGTCGCTAATAGGTTGCTGAGCCTTGACCCAGCCAGACCAATATAACTCAAAGATGCTTTCGTAATAGAAGACGTACAGAGCCTCCTTCCGGATTTGACGGTTGACTTCCAGGATGCCTTGAAATTTCTTAGAGACCCTGAAGGCAGAGTCTGTTTGCTTGACATGCCAGCGCTCGATCTTCCCGTTAGAAGGCGAGACGAGCAAGTTGCGATAGATCTTGTGACGTAGTTCGATTGGTAGATCTAGGAAGGGGAAATGTCCTCCATTCAACGGACGCAAAGAAAAGTCCCCTGTACGACTGATCGTTGACATTACGCTCGAATTATTCTGGCGCTCTCAAGCTTGTGAGATGTATGATCAGCGATGTCCAATTTTGAGAAGAGTCAAATAGGACACTTACGATACTGGCAAAGGTTCCACTTGCGTTACATATTGATTTGAGAAATCTCGCAGGATTGCAGCAGTTCAGAGGTATGATCGAAGGTGCCAATTGTTTGCGCAGCTGATGAGAGGACTTGGATCCACAACTCAGCAACTGTCATTCTGAACAGTGTTGCCAAGAAGTGGCAAACCCTCAACACGTCCATTTGTGAATGCACTTCATTCACCGAAGCGTATTCGACGCCAAGCAAGGCACGCCCAACTCAACCAATTCAATTCTCATTTTCCAAAGGCGTCGTACTGTACGCTCTACAATACCTTTACTACCTCCTGCGCTCATCATACCGCTCCCTAGAATCATGTCTTCTTCGCCGATGTTCAGGCGAATAGCTGCGAAATCGCCCCCGGTCTTCAGGATGTATGTGCCTCCTCTGTGCTTCGTAGCTTCTTGATCGATCCCTATGGTCTCTTCTAGATCTACCGTCCCTCGACCTATTCCTGCGGCTGTATCTCTCATCCTCATCTTCACGCCTGCTGTGACGGCGTTCTCGACTCTTGTCCCGACTTCTACTTCTTCGATGCCGTCTCTCTACATCTCTGTGCCTGGGTTTGCTTCGTCTCCTCTTCTCAGTCCTCCTTTCTTGACCGTTTGACGGGGCCTGTGTAGCGTTGCTCTGCTCGAATCCTACGCCTTCCAGCATCTCCGTGTCCCCTCCACCTTTTCCTTTGCGTAGACCCTCGAAAGCGCCGAAGCCTATCCCCTTTGCACTCTCTGGCTCGTCTCCCTCAGCAGTCTCCCGGATGGCCTTCTCCACTTCCTTCTTTCCAAGCGGTGTCTCATTTGGGTTGCCCCTCGGTATGGGCTCGTAGCCCAGTGCTGCGCTCAGAGCATCTTGCTCTGCCTCCTTGATCCGGCGGATCTCCTCTTTACGTGCTTCAGCGGCGGTCTGTGCGGCGGGAGATTGGTCGCTTTTGGCATACCAGTTCAGATCTCGACCTTTCTGCCAGCGGCCAACGGCTGGTGTGCTTCATTAGCTACGAAATGCTGGAAGGAGTGATGTAAAGGGAGGGGACGGGGCGGGAGCTTACGAGCCATGAGACTATGCCCCAGGTAATTCTCTCGCTGGGCATCATCTTTGACATCTTCCCACTTGAAATCTGCGCGACCACCACTTTAAGCTTAGTTAGTAGAGAACTTGGTGTAAGTGAGATGTATCATACCGACTGCCTTCTTTTCGGACACCCGCAACAAGATCCATCGCTGTTATTTGAGGGTAGAACAGGAAGGCTAAAATGAGTTGCGTATTTCCATGAATTAAGGCCGCGCCACTAGTGTAGTTATTACTCTCGAAAGTCTTGCGAATTCTTGGCATTTACAATTGCGCCCCCCACCAGCAAGATAAAACTTTGGATCTTGATTCCTCTGCTAATATTGATCTGATTTTAATAATTATTGATTTATTACAAAGGGAACAACTTAAACTCTTAGATATATAAGTTTTAGCTATTTTTCTTAGACAGAAAAAAAGTTATAAAAAGTATTGATTTTTGGAGTTCAAAAAGCTTTGAACTTAAGAATCTTCTCAAAAACTAAGATTTTTTGACTTAGTCAATATTACTTCAAAATTGATAATTAGTAATTTTTTGAAAAGGTCTTTGAAAGCGCATTCTAAAGAATCAAAAATCATCAATTTTGAAGAGATATTGAATACGTTATTAAGACTTGAAGTTGGGGTTGGTCTGGGAATCTGGCGGGGGGCGCAATTGTAAATGCCAAGAATTCGCAAGACTTTCGAGAGTAATAAAGCGCCAAGCCCCCTGGAAATGCGGTCAGTTTTTCCCCAAAGAGGATTTCTTTGTCTCTCCTATCGAGGCTTGGATTCGCTCTCAATAGGCCAGGATGGGCTTGATCTTTATCACTGCTAGTGAGACGGTAACCCATGGATGATCATTAGTCATGGAAGATTGGCATCAAATAAGCTGGGAAAAGAAAACGTCAGGTCAAATGAAATCTGTTGTGCCTCCCCTGAGTCATTACGGCGTGATTTTGCGTCGCTGCTATCCGCCATCTGATCGTGCATGACTCTTGTTCTCGAAGTTTCTCCTTGAGATGGACAGAACCTCGTAAGGTCGCACAAATCTGTTTTGGATGATATAAATTTTCTCGAAGCTTGCGTTATTTCGGGTTCTGCCTGCAGTTCTCATCAAAAGACGCCGACGGCATGAATTGCAGTAATTTGAAATGATATATCTTGAGCTGACATCCTGAAGGCTATCTGGAGAAACTGCATTTGGCCATTTAAAATGCCTTCTCACGCCATATCATTCAGGGTATGTGCCATGGAAGAGCGGCTCTTGACTCAACAGAAGTTTTTTACTTATTGATATTATGGTTCATGACAGGAATATTGAGTGTATAATCCTGGGCGATGACTAAACAGCTAGGCCGACCGCGTCCTCTCGTGGTATTTCACCTCCTCTAACATCAGTCCTTCTCCCGTCACCAATCGCTTGAATCAAATCTACCTCGCTCCCGAAAGTGACACCAAAGGTGCTAGTCTTCTGAATCGTCGTCGCGCTCTTCACCGCTGTGTAGTCCTCCATATCCATAGCATACGGATCCGGGCTGGGGTAAGAACGCTTTCTCTCTGACGGCCAAGACGTACTGTTCTTGGTGGTCTGGCGATTGGTGCCATGCCTTCTGAAGCACGTTCGATCTCTTATCAACCTTCCCAAGGGTAAGAGCGTTGGCAAACAGGCAAGCACGATGCTGACTCCTTCTTCCGATATGGCAAGATAGGTGTGTATGGTTTCGACGTAGGTGAAGTCACCGCTATCGTTGCGCACTGTCGATACCACCACACGTGCTATGGAGCAGACTCCTGCTACCATTCCGCATGACATTAGGAGCCAGATGACCGCTTTCTTCCGGGCGTTGATAGAGCTATTCAGAAGAAACGTAATGGGAAAAAAGGCAAGTGCAAAGTCGATGAAGGCGTTGATAGCTGGTCGATGACATTAGTCTTAGAGGATATTCTCAATTAGGAGGACGACATACCTCCTTGGGCGACTCCAATCTTCAGACTTATGTTGCCATGGCACTTCCCAGGAATGCTGTGTCTCCAGTCTTTGGCGATCGGTGAACACTGGCCAGTGCAATAACCTGCCCCTATGAAACCAATGATGGTAGCAAGTGCCATCATTGAGTACAGGAAGGCCGTCTTTCGGACTGTCCTTGTCTGACCGAGTATACGAAGGAACAAGGCGGCGACCGAGATTTTGCTAAAGATGAGACTTATGTAGAAGGTGACTGTTGCAACCAGATTCCACTTGATTGAAGTAGCGAGGTTGGACTCGGAAATGAACGTGACTGAATGGAGTTTTTCAGCTGAACGTTGATACAGCCAAAAATGGACGCCAGGAATCACTTACTGTGGCGCCCCCAGCCATGCTCAATGGCGATACACCAGGAAGTTGTCGAAACGATAGCCAAGGCCTATGATTCTTGTCAACTCAAAAATAGGATTGAAATGAACCGCTAAGCCTAACGTACAATGGCCAGTACAATTGAAGCATCATCCCAGCCCGGACTCTTTAGGATGCACAATCTCACAGAAAGACGCAGTCCCACTGTGATGGTGGCAATTGCCGTGAAAGCAATCAGGGTTCCTAACAGAGGTGGGCCCTTGTTGTCCTGCGGGCTTCCCGAAATATGGAGACCCGCGACGCTCGGGTTGCTCATTGCGCAGACTGAAGGTAAGCCCAGGAGCTGCTTGTTTCGCCGCGACAAGATCTGAACCAAGGTGGAGCTTTTCGAAGTGGAAGCGCATAAGAGTGGCGACGGCTGTGAAATAAGGTCTAGAAACATAAGCAGAGCAGAACGAATCTTCGACGGCAAGGCTGAGTGCCCGTTGAGTCAGTCCACCTCCGCCAACACATCATTGCTGCAAGAGATATGGTGCTTATTCCGCATGAGTGACCTGCATGAAAGAGGCGGTGATGTGGCTCGGGACGCTTGACAAAGCCAACCATAAATATCCATGCCACAAGGTACGTATCTCAGAGAGCCGTAGAGCGTGAAGCTGCTGTGCTTCCTCTGGTCGATAAAGGGTATGATCGGCGCTCATGCAGCAGGACTTTCGCCCAAAAGGAGGGACAGCTACTAATCAGCCTTCAGCGTGCAGCGTGCAACTCCAAGCGATTGTGATTAGTATCTACCCCTCACGAATTATTTTTATGCCTTGCGCCCACTGCAGCGCGGGATGGCCGTCAGAAGATACCAAGATGGGCGCACCCACCCACCCACGATACTACTGTGTTTCATCGACAGAGGGTCCATCTGGCTTTGTTTCCAGATCCAGTCTTTCAATCGTCTTCGCATCGGTCACTTTGTCTGTGTGGCTAGAATCTCCGACGCCGCGATTGCTGACAGAATATGCACCGCGAGATCCTACCGGTGACCTCATACTGCATGCCAAGACTGGCTCTACCTGCCATACGATCCCTCTGTGGATTATTCATGAGTCAAGGGCTTGAATAGAATCCGAGATTGTCCAAGGAGACACAATACCAAGATTTCATACTGTAGGCTGGATCAGTATCAACAGGCCGGAAGCAGGACGAGCTGCTTGACACTGTGCTGGAGTGGTACGAGGCGTCAGGTCCTAACCAGCAGGACCCGAGACTTGCATCCAGAAAATCAAATGCAGGACCTTCGCAGTTGAAAAGTCAGGATCTTATTGCGAATTCAAGTTGCATTGAGTACCGAATTGATCTGCTCGGCACTTCTATGCTATCATGGTAGTGGTCCAGCCTCGCTATATTTTCGTGCATCCAATGACAGCCGAAGCCGATAGCAAGGGTGCGAATTGCTGAAGATTCAAATTGTCAAATACTCGTCGTATCATCCATTGGTCAAGTGCAGCAGCTCTTTACCTGCGAGGAGCTTCTGGCATCATGCAGCAGGCAGATGAACACCGCTATGCTCTGGCACCTTCTGCGGAGCCTTAGCCGGCAATTGGTCGCGCAGTGATGATACACGTCCTTGCGAGTCTTCAGCAGCCGATGCCTCGGCCAGCTTATGGCTACTTTGTGTGCGAATAAACCTTACATACTTCCAGTCGTCGCAAGAGACTTGAAAGCCGAGAGACGATGAATCAGCCAAGCACAAGATGATGTCAAAATGCTCGTCCAATATGCGAAGTGGAAGACGTGTTACAAGGCTCTCTTGAAGTGTTTTCATGACATACAAAAATTGACAATCGATGGTGATGAGAGAGTTTCTGAGAGTGGCGATAAATTGGCGATGGCCCAAATATTGATTTTCGGCTCTGCCGGAGGGCAGTATGCCTCAACCATCTATGCGAATTAGTGATAGACGTTCGTGATGAATTGGTGTTTGCCGAAAGCTTCATATTGGACGACGTCATGGCTCTCCCAGCTATCCAATCCGTCGCGATTCGTGGGATGGAACCCACTTTCCAGAGAAAACGTGGGACAAGACTCAGATCTGCCGTGAGCCAGGTGAAATGCGAAGAGTACCATGTGTACGTGGAAAGCCTGACGACCATAACGCAGCAAGTTCCCTTTGTGACTAGGTTGAGCCTGAGATATATTCACCATCGTATGAGACCAATGGAACTAGCAAGAATCAGCCAAACACTTCAAAATCATCTGGGAAAACGGCTCACGCACTCAAGGATTACGTTTGACAGATCTTGGACACGCCTCTCACATTTATGGATGGGCCTGATGCATGGGTACAGGAAGCTTGAGTATCTGCAAATCGGTGGCTCTAGTATTCATCGCTCCATCTCGAGGCCGTATGAATCGACATGGCTATCTCCAGTACATATGCTTCCCAAATTGCTTCGACAGCTCTGCATCACTGGCTCCATTCCACTAGAGGAAGCCCTTGCTGAAAATGCACAGTAACCAAATGGCGAAACGACCGTCGCTATCGAAGATTGTGTCTTCCAACAACAAACTTGTTACCGATGAGGATCATGTTATCTGCGCGAAAGCAGGCGTTCCTGTGGAATTTGCTGATAAAGACTTTATCTGTTATGAAGATCTAGCCTTGGATTGTTAACTAAAGAAGAGGTATTACAGGACTGATAGAAGGGTACACCATGCTTAGCCTAAATGGGCCTAGCGCATAACATTCTCACGTAAGCGCAATCAAGATGCAAATTGCGTCCAGGATCTGTTCTGGGGGTGACCCTGCGGTGTGTGTATGGAGGTAAAATTTAGGCAACCCACACAAACAAAACCGACGAATACCTGCATCAGCTGCTCGGCGTCATCTTAACGACACCTCTCAAGTCCGATTATATTCGTATCGATTGATGAGGTGCTTGACATGACTACTACAGACGAGTTCAATGGGATATCCCCATTATTCTCCCTCCTGCAATTAGACATCTACTTCCCCATTGCCTCCCGGATCTGCGACTTCCTACCCATCGTAGACATCATACAGCTGACCAGGACCTGCAAAGCCCTTTCTTCGCTTTATCGCGATCTGATACCCCACAAATGGAATATAGATCGCTTTTTGAGCCGGCATCTCAAGGACCCAAAAGCCTTCCGATCGATGCTTGGTCAGTGCGATGCGTTGCTCTCCGGCGAATCTATATTGGATTTCTATCTGAGTCGTCCATGGACTGACGCAAATTTGTGCATATATGTCGAGCGCGGAGATAACACTCGAAAAATGATGAAATACTTACGTACGATGGAGGAAGGCTCGCTGACATGTCTGTCGAGCATTGACCGGCAGAATGGGTTGACGGTTCGCGGGCTGTATGCGGATTGACAGTTGGATCTAATGGATATATAGGAGATCAAATACACACGAAACTCTAGTGGTGTTATGGACATCTTCTCGCTATGCGTTATGTCGACGCAGGATTTACCAATCAGAAGATTGCTGAAACAGGAGACAAATACTGCCGCCTTGAACATTGTCAGTTGGAACAAAGCATACTCGATTTATCCATCGCAGACCTTCAAAGATGGCGAGGCATACTTTTTTGGCGTCCAAAGCGTGCATCCTGAACTGTCTGTTTGGGCAGGAGTGTACGAGAAGCGAGGCTTGAACTTTTGCCATCGCAAAGTTCTCATGGAGCACGCAACGAACGACGCAATGAAGTCTTCAAGACGTGTGGCTGATAGACAGTCTTGGATCATATCACTTTCTACAGCAGAGATCAAAACTTCCTCGACACCTGATTATGGGTTAGAGTATGCTCATTTCACAGTACATCGTTCATATGAAGGTGAAGGCCTTGCCATGCTTGGGAGTAAAGAATTCCTTTTCAGCGAATATTATGTCGATTCATGTACAAAAAGGGCATCCTCCTTGAAATATAGACACACTTGTGGACACAGCTGGGGCAAGTTCCTACAGCGAATAATGAGTTACAGTTCCATCGATGAAATAAACAAGCTATCCAGCGATGTCCGACCTAGCAATCTTACTGAGCTAATGCAACGGCCGGAAGAGATGCATGAGCACCTCGACACGAAGCAGTTCTCAACATGGACGTATTATGACGATGAGATTCCTGCACTTTTCCATGAGTGGCAAGAGAATCCTATCGAGATTCTGAGATAGGCTGCCAACCCTGCATACCAAGTATTCCAGACATCCGAGTTTGCTTTCGATTTCCACCGGCGTTGGAGCACATAATCGGTGTCATTTGAATAGTCTAGTCTCCTCATCTTAGCTGCAGCAGTACATGTAAGTGGGTTTGTCTTCTTTGGCCTCGACTCAGAGCAAGATCTCTTTTTGGTAGCCTCTAGGCGGATCAGAGGCATTTCACATGTAGAGGTCTTCTAAAGAGACTATATGATCGTTCCCGTATCCTTGCATCCGGAAACTGCAAATGAGCAAAGCAGACGAAATTTTGGTGTCTACAGCAATTGCTATGAGGACAATGTATTTCCCTAGAAATACTTCTAGAGGATACCTCTTAAAATACCGAGAAAGGCTTCAGCTCTGCCTCATCTGGCATCGTCGCTTGGGCTATGTTGCTATCACCATCTACTGTAAGCTTAGGATGGATCTTTGACATTGAATGAGATACTTTCGCTGTTTAAGAACTTATATTCTTGAGAAAACCCTCAACAGAGCTTATCGTATGTGATTCAATGTGTCAAAGCAAAGAACACATACCGAACGTGGCGTTCGAGCACAATCGACGTCTTTTCCACTATGTAAATTTTCTGCACTCTACTTTTTTTTAATCATACAGCTAGAAACCTCTCTCCCCATTTTCAATCGATATCAGGAGTAAAAGGGGAGCGTCAAGAGCTTCCTTTTCTTATGTCCACCAATCTGCTGGCCCATATCACAAGTGACAGCGATAGCCTCTCCTAAAGACAGATCCGCGACCGCAAACTGCGGTGCCACAACAACCATAGCATCAATGAGACTTCCGAGAAACTCGCAGTCGAATTTGGAGTCTTTCGCAACCTCGAACATCCAACCGGCGTCCAGATACATCGTTGCTGATCCTATGTCCTTCGAGACTCTCGCGAACTCACCATAATATTGCACCCCGGCAAAGGAAGACGCGCTGCACCAATGTCTTGTCTCGGGGAGTGCCTCTGGAGTGAAAGCTCTGGGGAGATTTGATGGGGCCAAGGAGTTGTACGCTGTTGCCAGTGCATTCAAGCCACGCCTGAGTTTTCCAGGCCTCGATACGACTTTGTCGTCGTCATAGCAATTGGAGCCGGTAGCAGATTGCATGGCTGTCAAGGCAGCCGCATCGATCATCGCTTTTCGGATCGTTGTGTCGTTGTACGAGGAAGCGGATACCTTGACTTCGAGTCTGCCGTTTTTATTCTCCTCGTTGCTCTTCTCGTCTCTGTATTCGATGTTTTCGACGAAGACGCTATCAGTCTTGCAGGCCGTGACACTGGGTAGGGTTGGCGAGGGGCAGAGCTTCTCAAGCGCGGATGATATGGAGGTCGAGAGGGCACTATCCGTCAAAGTGCCAACATGGGCGGGCGAGGTGCCTACTTGGACAGACGCTTGCGCCACTTGCTTCACACAGTTGGGTATAGGAGTGCAATCATCCTCGTTGTAGGCATACCTGGTGCATACTTGGCACCTTTTCTTATCCGTTGTGGCAGGACCCAAGGGATTTTTCGCAGTCGTCGGACCCCCCGTAGGCAGCGTACTCCAGGCGCAGCTACTCTCGGGGGCCACGTTTTCTTTCAAGGTTGTTAGAGGGTATCCGTCCTTCCCATCGCACTCACAGCTTCCGTCAGGCTTCTCTGGAGGCATTGGGCCCATATATGTGCAAGATGGTGTTGGAGAAGGCTTTGCCCCCAAAGTCAAATGCGGTATCATTCCGAATAGGCCTCCTATTCCTCCTCCTCCTCCTCCTCCTCCTCCTCCATCATCAGGAGTTTGGCAAGAATCTGCATCCCTTTTTCGGTTCGGATTGCCGTGAGCGTCATAATTCTGGGAAAAGACCGCAGTGTTGTCGTGAATGAAAACATCGAGAGTTGCGCCAGCACCATTGGGTCTTGGTGTCCAACGAACTACGGCCTTACCTTTGGGTTGTCCCGGAAAGTCTGAAGTCATGGTACCTGGCTTCGTGTAGGGTCTATAAATAACATCACAGGCGGGGATTCCAAGACCTCCGTCTTCCTCTTTCTTTGAGAGATGGGTGGTGAGCAATTTCGTTCCAGCTCCAAACCTATACGCCTCGGGAGCAATTATCCACGCATGCCTATGTTCACTTTCATCAACCCAAGCTTGGAGTTCCTCAATTCGGTCTATGATGTGTTGTTGTGTTTTCTGGGCTGATCCCAAGGTCTCGTCATTCATCTCGATCCTCCCTTTAGCCTCCAGATAGTGTCCCATTAGTACGTTTTTGCCATCAACTATGATTACGACTGTACAGCCATAATACTGTTTCGTCGAGATCAATTTCGGCACCGTGGGATCCAATGTATAGGGCTCTTGCCCATCAACCGGAACAAGTTGGGTCTGAGGAATACTAGACCAAAGCGCTGCGAGATCAACATTCACGCGCTTCACAAGCTCGTTGGTGGTCGGAGTGGGCTCAGGTAGATTGTGTCTTCACATCTAGAATCAGCCAATCATGCTCGAGCCCATTTTGAGGAATTACCTGATAGTTGGACCGGCGGCAACTTCCAGTATGAGCGAGATAAAGCATAGTAGGAAGGTCCAATAACCGGTCCTGTGTCCGAGCTTGGTCATTTTTTGTTGACTAAGGTACGCTTCGAGGAGTCAAGGCTTCGGTGGCTTCGCCAGTGTTGAAGTAAGGAAAGGGTTCTCAAGAGCACTGAGTGGCCAGGATGTGTACAAATGATGAAATTGCTCTGTCTTGCAGTGAGTGCATGAGAGCAATGACAAACCTGAGATTTTATACTTGCGTACAGATACTGAACTTCACGACTCTTCATCCAACCACTATACACAGCCTGCTGACCTAGACGGTGAAACGGGCAAGCCGTACGTTGTGAACCTCTATGCTCATCAGACTTGTTTCATCTTCTCCAATCCTTTCATGGCTGTGATGAGTTGGCAAGAACTACGAGAGCTGTGACTAGGCATGACATTGGAGAGAGGAAGGCATATTGAACAACAAAATCCATCTCCAGTAAGCAACCAACTTCTGGATCTCAAAGATGGTTTCATTTGCCGCTGAACGAGAAAGAAACGATTACCGCAACGATCTTTCTAAGGAACATATGGCCTCAAGAAAGCAAGGTGGGCTAACTGCTCAGCCACCCAGGTAGCTGTAAGCGTGTTCTCCGCAACTCACGTAGGTCCAGACTCGGTGGTGACTACCGTCAAGGCACAACACGAGAAGCATGTCATTAAAGAGCATGGGACAATCTTCCGCATTGTCCTGAGGCACTATGATATGTAAATCATGAAACAGACCCTGTCGTGTCGGCTGAGCATACGGCAGAGACAAAGAGTTCCAATCATCTCTATTTTCATGACCCGACAGCACTACCGTCTCTGATGCTGCTCGACTGCACAAGGGCCGGAACGTAACTCGCTGGCTCCAAGTGTCGGGCACTGTAGTCTCAAAGCGAAGGATGTAGGCATACACTACATCAACTCAACTCACAACGAAAGGGCGAGAATTAGAAGTAAGCAATGTTGGTATGGCTCGATGTTCTGGTGCTTGCGAGCGACGTCGACAGGGTTGAGCCTCTGACTTCCACGTGGGACTTCAAGCTTTGCCAAGGAGCCAAGCCCGTCTTTGCCGTCCCGTTCATCTAGCGGCTCGCTTAGCTCTTCTTCCTCTGACTTTTAACTGGGTAGAAAGGGGATTAAGTAAGCACTACCGTCTGGCTTGTCCCTTTGTGGCGGCTGACAGTTGACAGCTGACATCTAAATGAAGAACTCGGCTCTTGTGCCGTGAAGGAATCTACCTACGCCATGAAGAAACATACTACTGTCTGCAAGAGCGGGAGAACTGGAGACTAAGCTCCCTCACGATCATGTCGGAAATTGGCCAGGGTCTATGATATTGTTTCAGTGACTCTGAGCCTCCACCAACGGGTTTTGAGTGTATCCCATGCTAATACCATTCATCACTTTTTGGATGGGCTACCTCTATCGATCGTTGTATTCACTTCTTCTGATTCTAAGTATTGTCGACCGTCATTGGTGTCGGGGCATCGTGGGCAACGCCTCAGTTCGATTTGAAAAGACGGATTGTTTACTTTTGTAGACGGTCTCATTCGCGTTTCTGACTAGCTATCTCATTGCACTGAAAGAACGCATAACTAGGAATGATTCTTATATCGCAGCTTCCGACTGAGATTCTCGAGTCGATAGCTTCTCTGTTGAACCCTGCAAACTTATGCAACCTACGATCAGCAAACAAGGCCGTTTGCAAGAAAGTCAGTGCATCATTTGGCAAGGCCTGCTTCGCGACTTTATCTACAGACTTGTCCAGCCAAAGTCTGGAAAAGTTGGACCGAGTTGCTGCAACCGACCATCTAAGACTCCACGTGCAGACTTTGTTTCTCAGCTACGGCCACCAGAGTGAATTTGGAAATGGATTGAAATGGTCTCGGCATCAAGAAGGATACCTGGAAAAGGTTCAGCCGAGTAGTCAGCCCCTGGAAGATCTTCTCATCAACAAGCTGCCAAACTGTCATTCGGTATACATAAACAGCTTCCAGGACTCCGGAGATCTCACAGGAGAGCTCTCTGTCACAGACGTTGTCTGTATAATCCTCAGCATCATAGCTCGAAGCGGCCTCAGAATAAAATCTTTCACTATCGATCTGTGTGGCCAGCACCCTTGGAACACGTCTCGAGGCTCTGGCCATCTGTACGCGGGTCGATTACCACCGTACCTTGATTGGCAAACCTCTACCTTTGCAGAAGCTTGGGCCTGCCTCGAGGAGCTTCACTTTCATCAGGACCTTGATCCGCAGATTACGTCTTTCACGAGAGAGCTCATTCAGCTGGCGTCTGGGCTCAAGGTATTGTCTTTAACAGGCTCTTATGACGATCATTCAACTATTCATCCGATTCTCCGTCTCAAACGGCCAAATTTGCAAAAGCTGTATCTTCGTAGCGCCTACATACCTCAGCGACTTTTACTCAGCTTTCTGGAAACCAGTAAAAGTACGCTTCGATTACTTTCTCTGGCAATGGTTTACATGGAAGAAAATGGGGTGTGGCCAGCAGTGTTCCGTACCTTGCGCAATGATTTCCCCAGCCTCACGGCGATTTCACTCTTCTACATAAAAGAGCGATACACAGAAGGGGAGGAAGACTTCCACACGACCGTGATGGTGTTTCCCACGTTCTTTCAACGTCTTCTCTCTTCCAGTATACCTGTCCAACCATTTGACTTTACTGTCAAGAAAGCAGGTCTTGTCGGGTTTGACTACACAGGTCCGCACATGGCAAGAGTCCTACAACTTCTCGAAGAGTGCGTAGAGCCTCTGCATGAGAAATCGCAAGCGGTACGAGAGGCCCATGGCCGGTATCCGCTCCCTTGATCAGTGCCTTTTCATATCTCACTTTTCTTAGTCTGAGATATGAAATCTACGATAGAGGGTATTCGATTAGGAAGCACATAGCTTTGCAAAGCAAGCGGGTGCAAATGGGGTGGTAGAATGTGCCCCCGCGAAAGTGGACAGCCCGGCTCATGATGCCTCTGGTAATATGCAGTATAGGCGGGGATGTCGCTGTTCGGCGGCCCCAACAACTTTCGACGTGTATTCAGGTGGTCGAAACCGTAGAGTCGTGAAACGTGTTCTTTTCTTGGGTACTATGTAACCCTTCTTTCGCCTAGGCAAAAAACAAAACATGAATATTCGAAGAGGACACGGCCTTATGAACGTCTGACACATCCCAGTCAGCCGAGACGTCTCTCGAGGTTCTTCCAATTGCTTGGAGAGCTACTGACTTCTCCTAAATTAACGTGCAGCCGAGGCATCAACTAATGCCTCCTATATGTTTCTATACCCGTGTAGATAGGCCAATTGCTTAAAGCACTCTTCTCGGCAGTGTGGCCAATAGTTTAGGGGACCGTCAGCAGTTTAAGCAAACCAACTGTTAGCGATTTAGTTTGAAGCTCGAAACTAGATGGTTCAACCAAACGTTTGAGTATGAAGAATATCTTAGTTTCCTTTGCAAAGAGCAAAAGCTTTATAAAGTATATAAAGTTGCCCATTTTCAAGTGCATTAAGGGTATTTAAGGATCTCTTAATTCTTAGCAGCCTAATAACTGACTTCATTCAGTCGTTAGCAATCCATTTTGACCCTCAAACCATCTATTTAACTATTTATTTAGTCATCAATAGGGCAATTTGAGCATAAAACTGTACCGTTTAAACAGTTGGCCACACTGCTCCTCGGTGCGCCTACAGAGCTTGAGTTCAGATTGAGCCTGTTTTGATCTGTGCAATAGTCAGCCTCATCCCAGTACAGAGGAGCGGAATGCACATACCTCGGTTGTAGACGTTTTCTGCTTCTGTCATAGCGGCGGTTGCAATCAGTATGCTAATCACAACAATGCATATCAATATCTACATCCATAGGCCCCTTGAGAACCCGCAGGCCATTGCGACTTATGGAAGAATCCCAATTGCTCCCAGCACCATGATTGTATCTGGACCCAAGGGGCGTTGCGTGGCCTTCATGACTTGGGCTTAGATTGGCGATATGAGGGCCGGCAGGATGCTGGCGGTCAGGATGACTTGCGCGTCGTTGAAGATGTATAAAGCGACATGTTTATTGGCGTCAGCAAGCCTGTTGAACAAGTTGGCTAAATGATTGTGGTTCGGCGTGACAGGGTAATGAGAGTGATCTACCGTATCATCCTCCAAGGTCCCTGATTCGACACTAGAGGCGGAATTGTTGGGGGGAGTATTATGATAAGCCGGTAGAGCCTCCATATCAAAGTCTTGCCAGCCCATCTTGACTATCATGAAGACGTGATGTTGACGGGAAGGTGCGTTCGGCTATGAATTGTGGACCGGGTGAAATACGGAAATAAATTTAATCCGTCACCTGACCTCTCGGATATTATACGCCATGGCGTATTTGCGCTGGAGTGGCTCTTTGCCTTGTGACGAGAGCTCAAGGAAATGACTGAAACCAACATACAGAGAGCCTTGTAGGATTGCATTCTGGTTGCCTTCTGCGGAAGATTTGGGTGATGGCCCTCACAGACTAGGTGGCCGATGTGTTGTTGGTTTTTCTTTTTGCATCTGGAGTGTAAGATATGTAGACATTGTATATATCCCAGTGAAGGGTCAATTCTAAATCTTTTCTTATCATGTCGCGCCACAGTATAGTATCGTGCCCTCGTTTCAAAGAGTCGTAAGAAGTCAGGCGGATTGTTCATTGCCGACATTTGTGTCAAAGAACGGTGATTGCGCTGGGAGCGTCCCAGGCGTTATCTCAATCCATCGAAATTGGGAATAGAATCATCAGTTTTACGAGACGCCAGAGTTGGCTCTCTTGATCATCGTCAGATTTCACGTTAGGAAGGTTTCTGAAGCAAGGGCAACATTCCATCAGCTGTTGCGTACTTTCTCACCAGATCGTCAACAAGATGAATGTGGGAACGCCTTTTTGGGAAATGGAGCGTAGCACGCCTAGTCGTCCATTTCATGTAACTCTCGAGATTGGAGCTGGTACTGGGTGAATAAAGACATGAAAACATGAAGCCAACAACAGTTTACTGGGCGAGGTTATCATTTTGACAGCGGTGCCTTTCATCGTAACTCGAGGGTTTCAGCTGGTATCCGTCTTGCATTCTGGTAAGCGATAGCTTCATTATCCATCATCCCGTGGACGTAGCACTCTCCTACGAGCACGTAATAATGATCACTGATATGAACGTCGTCATTTCCGTTGATGTTATTGTTGACATTGTTGTTGTCCTTTACAGCATTTCTCACGTCGCGCTTCTGCAATCCAATCTTGGATAGACCCATCTTCGCCATATACTGCTTATGGTAATGCGCTGCTGAGGTCTTGTCAACATGGGACAATCCACGATCAGATTGTAGCTGCCGTAGTGCCTTCTTTGTCACTTCTCGCTGCTTCCGACGATCTTGGCGCACTTCTCGAAGGCGAGAAACTGCCCTTTCAGCTTCCATTTTCCTGTATTGCACTTCCTCTCGCCTTTCCTTTGCTATCTGGTCTTGCGATTTTTCTATTTTCCGCAGGACTACTGGTATAGTGCATCCGTAGAGGATGCATATCAGGTCTCCTGACCTCGCATCCTTGTGGACTAGGCCCAGTTTTGAGGGAAACCTTGGGTTGGAAGTGTCTCCCTTGGTATGCATGAGTCTTCGGTTCCATATCACCTCTTGAACTCTCCGCAGGAATTGGGCTACAATCGAGCACCGCCCATTATAAATTATATCCGCCGTGTCAAGTGCCCCAGCATGCATACCTTTCTTTAGAGCCTCTTTAAACGCTGTGGTATAGAAGCCAGGAGGATTTCTGCCCTCAGGTCCTCTATTGGCTACTATAGTCCGCCACAACTCTTCCGGTGGATCGTGGCTTTCTTCATTCTCATATTCAACAGCTTCAAGCCAAGTCTCAGGTAGGTTTCCGCCACGAGCAATTTCCTCGACCCGGTCAATTTCATCCAGCTTGAACCCTTCAACATACATACTGTAATGTTGAGAGCGTTTTGCAAAGCGTAGCTTGTTTAAGTCCAGTTCTTTCGTCTCGGCAGCAGTGTAATTTCTTTGTCCGGCTGTTGGTAAGCCGACCAATGGGTCGCCGTTAATTCGTCCAATCTTCTCTCCTGTCGGAGTCTCGTGAACCTTGAAAGCAGCGTCTTTTACACTGCGAATCCAGGATGGAAGCTGTTCAGTATTTTGGGATTTCTGCCGTCCTTTGCCTTTAGACTTCGGTGGAGGGGCCCAAGGTCTGCAGATGATGTCTAACGCCCGTGATGGCTCAGACTGCCGAATAGAGAAGTCAACAAAATTTTTGCAAGTGTCAACATAGGGTTGGTCATAGTTCACACGAAACTCTTTGGCTCGCAGATTGCGCCCTAGTGCGGCTGATAGTCCTGGGATGGCGAGAGGGTTGTCATCTTTGATACTTCTTCCTGTGGCAGAGACAGGCTGAGTATGCCTCGCGATTGCCAGGAGGGCATATATTGCGTCAGGGGGTTCTGACGTGGCAAAAATAGATAGTCTGGAAACTAGATACTCAAGACTCAATAGATCTTCTTTTTGGCCATCGGCACGTCGGCGGAAGAGTGTATTAGTCGTCTCAATCAACAGTGTTGCACTCAGGACTGCGACATTCGCAAAGAAATCCGGGATAAAGCCAACGAATGCTTCTCGCCTCATGATTTCGGATAGCCGGTGCGTCGCTGTTTCTACCTCTACGAAGGATGATACGGCGTCGGAGAATTTCCTCCAGGATAATTGCTTTTGGCCGCAATAGATGGTGCCTTTCTTTGCCAGTGCGATCTCTTGGACAATCCATCGACGCGAAAACCAAGGCTTCATGATGAATCTCAGAAGTGCCGCCCAGTTTTTGGTTTCTTCGCGCGCCTCGCATAATGTATCGAGTTTCCAGATGTTTTGCATTATACGCTCGATGAAGGCAATAGCGTCATCGCTGTCTTTATCGGCTTCTCCGAGCCACACGCAGACTTGCGTCGCGTCGCCGTAAATGGAAGGCATCATCGGGATCTGGTGATTCTTTTCGTTGGGGTCGTCCTGATTCACACATATTGCGTCTGACCAAAGGTAACGGACTTCACCTTCAAGACGCAGCGCTTTCAAAGCCAGGAACAGATTATGAGAGATGTTGAGGACATTAGCCTTGCCTTTAACGTTGACTCTGATCGAGTCTGGTTTCTCTTTCGAGTCCCATGTCCAAGAGACGGCCTCATATTCAATGGTCTTCTTTTTATCTGGATCGACTTCAATCAGGTCGCAGATGATCGCAGATTGTTTGTCACCATGCTGAAGTGCAAGTAATCGAACCGACTTGTCATTCTCTAATGGCTGATAGTCGAATTTGGGTAGGATATTCCCGAGACCGACCATGGTTGCGGAGAAACGTGGTTAGTGAATTCTCCGAGGCCAACTGTGCGTTAGAACGCGAAAGGCGGACCAGAGAGGGATATTTCAATCGTCGAAGCTCCCATCGTGGGATGATATATATTTAAGTTGAGGGTATGGGGCGTGATATTCTGGTCTTCTCTCAGCCTTTCAGGAGCCGCAATATGGGCTTGCATTAGATCGTCACTAAAATTAAAATCGCCCCCATTTCCTGACCGAGATATCTGAATGAGGTCTAGACATCGAGAACACCGCCGATCCCTCAGCCTTTCGCACACCCTTCCTGCTTAGCCGGAGGCAGCATTGCCAAATCAGATCGCTAGCCTAGGGGTACGAACTGTCATCCCTGTAGCGCCTCGTCGCCTACGCGTAATACAATAAGATAAGACCACCATGTGATGCCGGTCTTGGAGCGCCAACGAATGTACAAAGTACTTGTGCTACGGGGAACTCATCGCAGTCCGCCATATGAGTCATTGATAGCCTGCTGACGTGCGCAGGGATCCGAGATTGATGTCAAGCGTACCGTATGCTTTGTATAGAGGCATAGGGAGAATCAAGTCGTGTCTCCCCCACTGTCATGTCACGCGCGACCCGTCACTATCTTAGGGTTGCTGCCGTAAGGTACCAAATGCTTGTTCTCCAGGTCTGGGCAGGGGCAGATAGTTCTAACCTTAGAGGAGCACTGGGCGGGCTGACTATAGGTTCCACTGCGCGAGAACATTCTTGGAGCTCTGTCATTATTGGCACGAAGTATGCCGCTTGTGTTGCGGAGCGACATGGAATACTTTTCGTAATGCACCATCTTCAAGCTACAGAACATATACCTATTGTCACCTCCTCATGCCCATTATCCAACATGGATAGCCAGCAGTTGCCCGCCCACCTTTTCGTACCCATTGACCGGAATCGCGATTCCACCTGCCGTCGTCACATACACAATCCCCTTTTGCCCCTTTCCTCTGCCAAAAGCCGCCCCTGTCGGCTGCGCGATTTCTGTACTATGAAAGTCTCCTGCCACCGTCCTCTGCCCTCCCGTTTCCGTATCCACCTCAGCTACTGTGTTACCACCCGTCGTCGTCAGAAATGCTCGTTTACCATCCGAACTCAGCGCAAAATCATCGTAAGCGATCCCTTTTCCTGTCAGACCTGTTGCAATGACGGTTGCCGGACCTAACGCAGCGCCCGTTGTAAGATCAATTGGGACACGGTTGAACGTGTTGAGGCCGCTGTTTGTGAAGTACAGGGTGTTGCCATGAAGTTTGAGTCCATTGATGCCGATAGGGTTACCGTTCGCAGGGAGTAACAGTGGATCATTGATTGCGACTGTGGAAGCCCCGGTGACGGTGTTGATGGCGAGAATGGTGCCATTATTGGATTCGGCGAGAAGTAGAGTCTGATTATTCAGGCTCAAGAGGCCATTTGGCAGACCGGTGTCGTCTGGAAGATGACTGGTGAGGCTCACATGTACGGGCCCATTAGGATGATGAGGATGACGAGGAAGGTCAACGCGGTAGATATTACCACTTCCTAATACGCCACTCACAGTGGCACTAGTGAAGTTGGTCGCAGCTACATAGTACGTGTGCGAGGAAGCTTCTGCAATTCCCAAAAGGGCAGTGTTGGAGGGAAGCTGGCAATCAGCTTGGGAGCTGGGTTCTTTGGATCGGGCTGGATGAGGAGGAGGTCCGGACTGGTAAGTACCGTTGCGAGGATGGAGCCATCAGCTCGCACCGCAAGGTTTTCGAGCCAAGTGCCGTTTGGCGCCTCGTATACCAGCTCAGTTGGATATTTGTCGGCCGAAACCACTGTGTGAATGAAGCTAAAGGAAAGCAGGATCAAAGGGACAAAGCTTGCGAACTGCATATTTTCGTTTGGACCCTTTGTCAGAGTGATCAAGCTATGGCAGGTTGCAAGAACTTTGGAGGTGACGGAGGGGACCCAGGGGGCTTTTATAACTGCTACCGAGTTCTAGCTCAACGTGGGAGGTCATTTTCAAAAGGAATGCCGGTCCGATGCCTGATAGATACCGCGTAAGCTGCTGATCCAAGGTTGAGTGCAAGGCGTGAATGAACGAGGTAGTCCGCGATGGTAGCGTAATATTGGATTAGTTGATCGCTCCTGGTTGGGCTGTGCGAAGTGTACGAGAAGACGTGATTGCAGACTCGTTAGTAATAACAGAGTCCGGTCTAGAGGTTTCCAGCCGCTTAGCAATCACACGCAAGATACGCATCACATTGGAACCTGAAGGACCCAGCGATGTCAGACACCTGCAGCGCTAGCGCAGATCTTCTCCCAACCTGTCATGTTCCGTTCTAACAGAAGGAAATATGGAGCCTTGCGACTACTGGCTGACAAATGCAGCGATCAAAGGGTCGATTGTGGAATGAAAGCGTGATTGCACGACAGAAGTCAGCATGCAACCTTGGGGGGAAAATAGACAGCTTCGGAAAGAGGCTTTTGAATATAAACCAGAGATCTTCTGGCAAGAATTGTTTTTAAGCAGAAAAGTCATCGAATGGCAGACGTTTGCGGGCAGAATATGCCGTTGGATTGAAGTCCACCAGTGAGATTGGATGCCAGGCCGAGGGGAGAGCACAACGATGGAATAGAGATAGCAATTCCAAGGTAGATGTAGACCATTCGTCGGTCCTGTTCCAATCATCCATTCTGGGAGTGAGCAGCGAGCTTGAAACCCAGCCGCTTGTCCACTTTGTCAAGATAGTATCTAAGAATTATCATAGATCTGCCCGCAAAATTAAGTGATGATTAAACAAAGTCCTTTATTGATATGAAATGTGGATCATTTACGCTAAAAGCAGCTCTTGGTCTACCGTAATTATTCCAGTTCCCTGACGGATGCACACTGAGTAACCTTCCATACGCAAAAAGTGCTTGTGATGCACGCGCGTTCTTGGCAATTCCTGGGATGTAGACGATATGTGTACGCTGGCATCGCCGGCACCAATGTTTATCCATCTAGATGCAGCACAATCTATAGAGGCAATCAAATCATCGACTTTATCGGCAACACAAGACGAGGCTCACCCATCGCTAAATTCGATGACTGTACGCATGTTCGACGAGGCTACCATACGCTCTCTAGTTCCGGTTCTACCATATATGCCCTCTCTACAGCACCCGGACGAGCTGCTATAGCCATCATTCGCGTCTCTGGGCCAGCCTGTCTCAGCGTCTACCATGCTTTGTGCCCAAACAAACCTCTTCCGAGACCTCGATACGCGGCCTTGAGAACCTTATGCAGCCCGTTCCATTCTACGTCTAAAGGCGAAGTGCTTGATGCGGGCGCCTTGGTTCTCTACTTCCCTGCGCCGGAAACGGTAACGGGGGAGGACCTGCTAGAATTCCATGTTCACGGTGGCACAGCTACCGTCAAGGCTATCCTCGAAGCTATACCCAAGACTAGGAGTGTCTCACAAGACGTGAAGCAAGACATTCGCTATGCTGACCCTGGCGAGTTCACGAAGCGCGCGTTCTACAATGATAGGCTTGACCTTACTCAAGTGGAGGCTTTGGGCGATACTTTATCTGCGGAGACCGAGCAGCAGAGGAGACTTGCTGTAAGAGGAAGTAAAAGTATACTTGCAGGGCGGTATGATGCCTGGAGGCAGAAATTACTTTATGCTCGAGGAGAGCTTGAGGCGTTGATCGATTTCTCGGAGGATCAACATTTCGAGGAGTCATCAGCTACATTATACGCGTCGGTGGCTAAGCAAGTCAGAGATTTGCAAGAAGAGCTACATGTCAGCATCGAAAACGCATGCCGAGGCGAGCTTCTTAGGAATGGGATCAATATTGCACTGGTCGGCGCACCAAACGCGGGCAAGAGTTCTCTGCTTAATCGCATTGTAGGTAGGGAGGCAGCCATCGTCAGCGACCAGGCTGGAACAACAAGAGATATAGTAGACGTAAATCTTGATATTGGTGGATATCTATGTCGCTTTGGGGATCTTGCCGGACTCAGAGAGAAAAGCCCTGGAGATACTGGAGGACTGAACAGCATCGAGGAAGAAGGGATTCGAAGAGCTAGAGATCGGGCGCTGAAAGCTGATGTGGTTATCGTCTTCCTATCTGTAGCCGCCGATAGATCTCCCACAAGCAGTGATGCAAGGTTGCCTGATGTCTCCCTCGGAGCGGGAGTCGAGGCTACACTCAACCGACTAGACCCAGCATCTCAAAGGGTTATCTGCGTGCTTAACAAAGCTGATTTGTTCCGCAACATGGCCGATATCAACCAGATGTGCTTGAGATTCTCGGAACATCCTGCTTTGCACCAATGGCTTGAGGCTTCAGGAGTGCCCATCCTTGCCATCTCCTGTAAAGATTCTGATACTGGTTCAGTTCAAGACTCTAAACCTTTCGGTGTTGCAAGCCTTCTGGATCATCTCACCAGAATGTTTGGATCTTTGACCGAAGCAGTTGCTCCATCGCCGTTGGCAGGGATTCCAAATACTTCGGCATGGAGTGAAGCACTGGGCGCAACCGAGCGCCAACGTGTGCTCCTACAGCAATGTCTTTTGGACCTGGATGATTTCCTAGCCGTGGTAAACAGCTGTACGGAACCTGGAAATGGTGACGTTGGTAGTAAGGATGATGATATTGACATCGTCTTAGCAGCCGAGCACCTACGCTCCGCCGCCTCCTGCCTTGCAAAGATTACTGGTAGGGGTGAAATGTCCGGAGACGTTGAGGAGGTATTGGGGGTCGTTTTTGAAAAATTCTGTGTTGGCAAGTAGCCTATCACCCACACGCCTCGCTCCGTTTGCTTCATTGCATACGCTTCGAAAATCCAACCCTCATCACATGCAGTCCTTTTCGTCATCACACACACACTGCATTCATCTCCGTCCCTGCCAGCCTCCCAGTCCCTCAGTAGCAGAGCTCCCAGGCCCTCCCCCTCCTCCACTATACCCTCCTTGCCCTCGCTGACTGCCCATCCTCGCCTTCAATCGATCGCGTCCGCTATTCGAACTGCTCGGCCTATCCTCTTCCCGGTATCCACCCGATCCTCCTCCTCCTCCACCACCACCTAACCCATACCGATTTCCCCCACCACCACCGCCACCACCACCAACCGCACCGGCATTCTGATAACTCCCTGCCCTCTGGCTAGGCAAAGGCCTCGCACTATACCCTCCACCCCCTCCCCCTGCATCCCCCAACCCCCCTTCACCACCACCCTGATTCCCCATCCCCACCCTCCTTGTATTGCTAGCCGCCGCCCTCCTCAAACTCGTCTCCTCCTTCGCCGGCGGTGTGGGGGCAGAATCCCAAATATCGCCCAGACCCCCTCCGCCCGCTCTCCCACCCCCACTGCTGGTGCCATAAGGATTCGAATTGGATTGGGAAGCCTGAGAGTCGTTCGTCCGTGATCGCAGAGAGTTCAGTGGACGGGAGGCTACAAAGGGGGTTGGTGCGTTTGCGGATGGAGGGGGTTTGTAGGGATCTGGGGGCAGCCAGGCGGGGAGCGGTCGGTGGGATTCGGTGTAGTAGGCGCGGAGGACGCGGGAGACGTGGGTGGCGTCTGGGTGGTCGATATTCTTAGGGTTTGGTCAGGGTGAGGGACGGCAGTTGGGGGAGGGGAACGTACAGTATCGTCTTCTGAACTGTTGGTGAGGATGTTTCGACGAATGGAGTTGTAGCGGGATGTGGTTGTGCTGAGGAGGGAGTTTAGGGTGGAGAGGTAGGATGTCATATTGGATGTATCTCACTCCCTTTCAGTGAACAGCGCAAGGTGGATGGAAATGCTAGGGTTTCTCTGAAAGGAAATGGTGTACCCCTCGACGGTCCATTTGAGTTTCGAGCTCAACGCTCAAAGATTCCACCGTAGTGATCTCGTTCAGGATCTGCCATCCAACATTTGACAAATTGAGGTCAATGTCACGCGTTTATGGCGAGACCATCGGTGGAATTCCGGTGTCAATGCTCACAAGACACCCTCAAGTAGTGAATGGAGAGGCAATCTAAGGGAAATGGGCTTTTGTTGTGGTCAGTACGCACCTTTTGATTGTCCATTTGCCATTGCAGTGCTACATTCGTGAGGTAAGATCAAAATAATGACTTTCAAAGCGTCTCACAAGTGATACGGAAGTCATAATTTATTCCTGTCATTTTACAGCAGCTGTTCTCAAGCAATTTTCGGAGTCGTCCGTTGTATTACTCCATTATACTACCACTGCGTTGGGCCTTGCAGGCCAGAGGGTTGTTGATGGTGTCAAAACCAGAGCGCTCTGCGATGTAAGAACCGGGGATACAGCTGGTATGGGACTTTCAGATGTACCCGATTGTCCCAGGCCCAGCGGCCGCTGCTTGCTACGAGTGTGGTCTGAGATGGTTTTCATCTGATGCACTCATGTCACCCTCTTCGCATACATCTCTGGCCCACTTAACTGTTGTACGAGCTCAAAGGAGTAAGCTTGGCTGTTAATAGTGTAATCCGGTTGCAAGATGTCGATTGGTGAGGAGAATTTTATCAAGAATGATGATCTGATCTGCAATGTCCATCTTTCGTACTTGATGGAATCATGTACAGTCTCCAAACTCTAGATGCCGGCTTCCTCTCCACAATCTAATATCTCAAACTTCATTGTCGCGAACTGCCTCCAACTTTCGGCTCATCACTTCTTCTCCTGAGACATCTCATTCATGACTCTCCTCACCTCTAGTGTCCCCTCTATTGTTGTCCGCCTCTATCGTGCCTTCTCTGCCAACCCACTCATCCATAGCCTGTAAACGATCACTGACACTGACAGCCGTCTGAACCATGCGATTATTAATTGATCTAAATTTCAACAAAACCAGGAGTTCCAAAGCCGATCGCTTGTGGTGAAATCTTATGATACTCACATATCTACCCGTCGCTTCCACAAATTGGCAGGCCCAGACATGTTGAGCCCGCTCTTCACCGCAGCAACAAAGGGCTGCTGCCTAGATGCCGCATCTGCAAAACACGTGTCTCGAGATGCAGGACTCCGATTCACTCGAAATGGCATACCTTGTCCCTGGTTAATGCGCGACCAGTGGTCCTGGGCCCAAAGATATCTCTATGCCTAGACTCGCTCGGGTCGTGGGGCTCTCCCAATATGTCCCGGAACAGTCAACCATACAGATATGGAGGCAAGTGAAGAATTTGTAGGGAGAACTTCCATCGTCGATTGTGGACAAATCTGGTGCTTCAAATACCCTGTAGGTAGATAAACATGAAGGAACAATAACAGTCAGAATATGGCACCTATTGAACATGTTTCAGACCAAATTTCAAACAAAGAATCGTTCGTCACGATCTAAAATTCAGTGCCTTACGACGACGACTAGCAGCTGACCTCTGAGCTATAAGACCCAGTGGCAGATCTGTTGTCATCGTCCATCATGAACATTATCACTCTACAAATGACAAAGTGCAATACAACTCCCAGACCGGTTTATACTCGCACTGCTCAAGGTATTTGATTTGCCCCCTCAAGATATATCGTCACCCAAAATTTCCGAAATCCTTTGGAAATTTTGACGCAATCCGACTTCACAGCATCGCCTGTTGCCCATGATTCTGTCCGTTCCCTGATTGCATTGGCATGCTGCCCCACGTAAGTACGTTTCAACGGTAGGTAAACGTCTTTCAATACATGAGAAGCCGTCGTAAGGGGCTCCGTACGTGGCATGACGATTGTAAAGACTATCAACATTGAACTCTGTTGAGTCGAATTATACGCAACAGGGCTATTGGGAGTCAGGCGTATCTACAGAAAAGGAGGTCCTGCCATGAGGGTCAGAGACGATGGCGTGATATAAGCTGGTACTTAGGTTGGCTCTGTGTCTCAGACGCAAGGATGGTCGGACGAAAGCATTATCGCTTGATTGCGACAAAGGAGATCAGACACCCAAGGAGAATTGAGAGATCTTGTCAGATATATGTATGTACAGACTGCACCTTGGAGAACCTTCCACTCAGACGATACAATAATGAACACAACCAAGTAACATCGTTTCCTAGATTTCACCTACCGCCTCTAGTAAAAGCTCATCAAACCATATCCGCACTACTAGTATCAGAATCACTCTCCAACCCCATCATCTTCGCATTCTTCGGCACACTCTTCGCCGTAATCGTCGTCTTAGTATTGATCTCCGGATGCGGAGGATGGAACGCCTTCTCATCAGCCACCGTGCCCTTCGCACTCCTATTCGACGAGAGCACCCGACTAGCTCTATCAAGCAAGCTGGTGGCCAGAGCACTGATCTTCGTATCTTTGAGGGCCCATTTGAGTAGTGGACGGAGCGAGGGGAGGGTGGCGGCGATCATGTAGACGCCCGGCTCGATGAGCGTCCAGGACATGGTTTCTACGGCGTCCCAGGTCACGTCTTCGAACATGTTGATTTTGAAGAAGTAGATTAGGCGGACTATTCCTGTTACGGTGCCACTTTACGGATTGGATGCGTTAGTGATAGTCCTAATTTGGGTCGGTGGGAAGCGTGGGGAGTGGCTGGCTTACATGCAACCTGTCAAAAATGTGATACTCAGGCCAATCTTCTGCATTGTCTTGGCGTGAAGATGCCAGATTCCGTAGAGAGGCAGCACGATGATGAAGATGTCTGCTAGCAAGCCTGGGACGCTGATATAGCGATACGCGGCTGGGATGTCTCCGCAATGGCCGCCCTTAATGCTTTTATCCCAGAAATAGGAGAAGGGGTGGCAGATGGAGAGGCCGACGATCTGACCGGCAACACAAGTGAGGATCACGAAAGCTCCGACCGCGTAGATCCATTGGCGATAAGTCTTCGTGGAGAAGACTCGGAGATAGAAGCAGAGGATCGACAGCTTGGGGAACAGGATGGAGAAGTTGTAGATGAATTCTTCGGCTTTGTCAAGCTTGATCCATCGGACGACGACGTTTGGCTGAAGCGCAAACATGTGCCGGCCTGCTCCAGCGTGTGCGACCATGACTGCAAGGACTTATCAATCTTCGGAAGCTCGTTGCTGTAGGCGCGACTTACCTGAGCCGACTACGATATGGCCCATGCAGAAAATGTACGCTGGTATCATGTGGTATACATCCCAGCCTTTTACGGTGTGATTCATGACACGAGAGGTGAAGAATAGGAGGATGAAGAAAGTCTCAAGGAAGCCAAACGCGATTAAGACATTGATCAATTCTCGACTCCTGTCTTCTGCCAGATACTGTGGTGGGAATTGCTTTGTTGGATCCATATTTTCTCGTTTGCAATGTGTGAGAAAGCACGTTTGCTTGCTTGCTGGAGCTTGCCAAAGGCTAATTGACGTGCAGAGGTACAGTTCCTGCCTCAGCGCAGTGACTCGCGTACGAAAGCACGACTGAAGAATTCTCTGGATCAACAAACAAAGATCGACGAGGAGCAGGTCAGGTCAGATCGCTGGCCTGGTCTCAGCTTGCGTTGTGCTCAGGACATGACGTTGTGACAAATGCAGCGCCATGATACTGCTGAGCCTAGCAGCTGTGTACAAACGCATACCTCATCTCGCATCAAGAGCGTGCATACGCCGTGTCGGTACAGAGTCCAATCCTGCACCCACTACGCCTTACTCTTGCCTAGAGGAGGACATTGGATCCGATCAGTGTCCTTTGGTTGGCGCTCGGTGGCAGTGAGACCTAGTGGTGGGTCTTTTCGTCGTCAGCACACGAGGAGGATGGACGCACGAGGTGCATTAGCTCGTCGAAGGATCTAGTAAGCGACGTTCGTTGCCGGATGTAGCGGCTAATTGGGAAAGAGTACCAAACGCTGATCTGCAGTGAGCATTTAAGTCTAAAATCATAGTGTTCGTGCTAGAGGCCACAGCCTACTCTGTGCCTCACCGCTCGAAACTGACTTTGGAAGGATGACACTGGCAAGGACCTTGTTTCAGACATCCTGGCTTCGAAGTGCCGATTCGTCTCGTCGTTCGCTTGGCTGGTATCTCTTAGCTAAAACCTGGGTCAGTCTCTCCGAGTGGACTATATTTCACGCTAAGCATTATGAACTCCGAAAATGTACACCGGTAAGAGTGAGTCCTCTGATCGATCTTATCTGCATGATCGAAGTCATGGTCTGTGAAAGCGACTGGTACTGATCCACTTGTGCTAAGCATTGTGACAACCTTCTTTCATGCAAAGTGTATAGATTGTGATAGCATCTCGTAGCCTTAATGCCACCCACACGTGCTATTCCAAATGGCTTTGGGACGACATGAAAGGTGGCTTGACTGACTCGTAATCATATGAGCTATGATGGTCGTTATCTTTCACCAGACTACGCTTAAGCTATCTCAAAGTTTCGACGCTTGGGAAGCCTTCTTCTTGAAGACCTCAGGCTTTGCGAAAGGGTCATGCTGCCAGATCAATCGGTCGATGGACCCAGAAGTCATCCCAGCAAATTGGATCTTGTGATATCCAGCAAATGGGAGTGGCCACATGCACTGCTTGACTTCCACGTCACGGTTCGCGGGCCAGTAAAAGGTGTCACCATCATATGGCAGCAGCTCATACTTGGTAAGAGGAAGATCTTGAACATTCATGATGAGACTTTGGCTCTGTCTTCGGATGACGAGCTTGAAATTGCCGGCGACATTGAAATAGTGCCCTTCGTAGGTGTCCAGCGGAAAAGTAGGAAGCTTTGTAGTCTTATGTTTCTGGAGCTGTTTGTTGAGCGCGCCATACGAGAGGATACTAGCAGAACGACCAAGCTTGCTGAGCTCTAGTAAGTTCGATGGCGGCTTTTGCCCCAGAAGCCTCGACAGGACAAGCTGGCCCACAAAGTCTGTTGGGTCCATCAATGGTAGGGCGTTGGTGAGGACAACGATAGCACTTTGAGAAGATGGTACTAAGAAAGCAGATGCCACAAATCCAGGGACATTGCCTGTGTGGTGGTACACCTGCAGGCCCGGCGATGTTGATTGAGCAACAGGCATTTTCTTCGGCCCTATTAGGATGTTGTTCATACTGGAATAGCCTATGTTGTTTGGCAACTTTGTCCGATACAACCCAAGACAGTAGGCTTTATTCTCTATGTCAGAGCCACCTATCGCGATATGAGGTGTGAAAATAGCTCTCGCCTGTTTCAAAGGGTTGAGTTTTGTGGATTCACAATCTCCCTGCGAGTACGCGGCCAACAATGCCCGGTAGAACGACAGGAGATTTCTGATACTGCTTCTGGCTGCAACTGTCCCAGCTAAGCCCGTCTCATCCGACAAGTTTGTGAGAGCTATGCGATGAGGTGTTGCATTATCGAGTAGCGCATACGGAAGCGCCACGTTGTCACCCTCCTCGGGATTGAAGGTAGTTCTATCCATACCTAAAGGATCCAATATCCTGTCTTTGACACACCGCCCAAAGGACTTACCCGTAACCTTTTCAACGATTTCGGTGACCAGGGCATAGTTCCATTGTGAATATACGAAAGAGTCACGCAGAGGCTTCATCGTTCCCATTTGACATATGGTCGGAATGATCTCGCTCCTTGGTAGCAAAAACTCGCCTTCTTTTTGCCCCCATAATGCATTCGACAATGCAAGACCTGTTCTGTTAGACAATAGGTCTTTCAAGGTACCATGACGGCCCAGTTCGTCATCTCGTTGGCCAAATTCTGGCACGTAGTGCCTTACTGGTAAGTCCCAATCTAGAGTGCCGCTATCGACCAGAGATGCAACAGTGCTCGCAGTAATGGCTTTTGTAAGTGATGCGACATGGTATACAGTGTCATCATTTGGAGCTTCGTCAGTGTCGATGTCTCGACGCCCGAAGTGTGCTGTGTGTACTATTCCACCTTGATGTAAGACTCCCAAGGACAGGCCGGGAGAGCCGCTAGTCTCGAGAATGGCCTCGATCTGAGGACTCAGCTCTGCAAGTCTCTCCCACAATGCTGCTGACATGACTCTGGAGCCACTGATGTCCAAAGGACCGAGTCTTCAGATTGCGTGGTCACTCATTATTTGAATTTACGGGTTTGTTCCACAATAGGGATGATGTCTCCGAGCTTGTGCTGCAAGGCGTAGGTATCCAGCAACAAGCGTATCCAATATCAGCTCCAACGCATTTGAGTGCTTTCTTCATACATGTGAGGCACAGCTTCTCAGCAAGGGGGCAGGAAGATCAACGATCAGTCCGATATTCCAAGTCCTTCCTCGCTATCACGACACCGCTAGTCTCTAGATGATTAGTCTCCACTTGCTGCCCCGCTGTCCAAGATTTGAGCCGAAGTCTGACTGGCGACAGATCCCTGCGTGATTAGTTGCGGAAGGATGACAGCCGCAATGACGCCGTCTCTAAGAGTCTAAGGTATTGAAACAGCGTCGGACGCTGTGCCTTGTACTCCGCCACACATTCTTTGCCATTCGAACGTCTGTGCAGCTCGAGGTGCAAGCGACCGTAAGCTTGCCCTACCGGAGACGGGGTAGCTCACTCCATTGGCTTCACCATGATCATGAGGCTCCATTCTGGCTTTCTGGTGCTTGAGAGGTTTGATACTTGCCATTCATCGCGTCCATATCCTGCATGGCTCTCCTCATGCGTTTCCATCTTGCATCATTTGGGCAGCCCGCTGCGTAATTGACGTTCTTCCTATCTTTTTTCTCCTGGCCCCGTTACTGCCAAGCCCTCTGCAGAGATCATCTTCAGCATGCATCTAAAGGTGAAGCCAGCAGAGTCACAGATTCTGAATGCAACCTCCACCGATTGGTTGGTGGTATTTGTGACGATCAATGTGTTATACGTATGATTCTTCGAAGAAGACAGTCAATATCATGAGTTCAAGCTAATCGTCGCTCTAGGTATCATTGCGTACCATCTATCACCTTTACTTCAACCCTTTAGCCAAATATCCTGGGCCCTTCTTAGCAAAGATATCTTCCCTGCCATCATTTTATCATGCCTGCAAAGGGGATCGCCATATCTGGCTCTGGCAATGCTTCCAGATTTATGGTACGCGTGCTCCTCATTTTTGATGCAGAAGATCCACTGATACGGCAAAAGGGAGCAAGATACGCACCACTCCAAATACTGTCCTATTCAACAGTCCGAAGGCTTATCAAGACATCTACAACATCAAAGCCAACGTGAAGAAGAACAAGACCTATGACGCATGGAGGAGGAACGAGGAAGATATCAATACATTGAATGTCACAAATGTTGCCGTACATGCCTACAAGAGACGATTGCTAAATACCGTCTTCACCGATAGCTCGGTCCGTTCTGCGGCGAGTTTCATCATTCGACACCTTGACCGGTGGAATGAGTTGTCGCTCAACCAAGAGACGCCAGGAGACTGGTCCAAGTCTATCGATATGGCGAAGTGGATGGATTGCATGGTCTTTGATGTCATGACGGATCTTTGCTTTGGGAAGTCGGCAAACATCAAAGAGCCCGGGCACAATCCATACAAAACCATACCAGAAGCCGTTATTTCATACATGCAATTCATGCATCCGGTAAGGGTACATCGATCTCGAAAGGAACAAAAGCTGACGGATGAAGATCTCCAAATCTCCCTTACTTGATGCATTATTGTGGCTGAAGCCCAGGGGCCTCAACTATTTACTTGACAAGATCACACCACCCGATATTAAGCGCTATTACGAATTCCTCGAATCCAGTGTGTCGGAACGCATTGAACTCGAAAGAAGCTTAGAGCAAGCAGGGCAGAAGCAGGGCAAAGAATTGCGGAAAGACATGCTGTATTACCTATACCGAGCCACAGATCCTGAAACCGGTCGTCCAGCCTATCCAAAGAACGAGCTTCTGGCCGAAACCAGCCTCCTCATCATCGCAGGCTCTGACACCACCTCCGTCAGCCTTTGTGGCTTCTTCTTCTACATCACACACTATCCGCGTGTCTACAAAAAACTTGTCGAGCACATTCGCAGCACCTTCTCAAGCGTCGATGAAATAAGCGAAGGCTCCAAACTTACGTCCTGCCACTACCTCCGCGCATGTATCGACGAAGCCATGCGTTTGACCCCAGCCGGGCCCAGCGAGCTTTCTCGTACAATCCTTCATGGTGGCCTTCAAGTCGACGGCGAGTATTTCCCCGAAGGCGCCAACGTTGGCACAGCCGGCTGGTCCAACGGCCACAACGATGACAACTACGGCGGCGACTCGGAAGTCTTCCGGCCAGAACGCTGGATCGTGGACCCAGAAAATGGCAACACGGCTGAACAAGTCGCGCACATCAAGTCTTGCTTTCATCCCTTTTCCTCCGGCCCAGGAAATTGCGCTGGTCAGAACCTAGCCAAGCTTGAGATGATGCTCGTGACCGCTCGGACGCTGTATCGAATGGACATCAGAATTGCGCCGGGATCTACGCTTGGAGAGGGCAGACCAGAACTTGGATGGGGCAGGAGAAACAGGAATTCTTTCCAATTGGAGGATGCGTATGTGGCTATCCGTCATGGACCTATGCTGCAGTTTCGGCAGAGAGAAGAGTGAAGCTGGCAGGCCCACTGCACAAGAACCTAAGATTTTGAAACGCCGGTGGAGCTAGAGCTTCGAGCTTTGAGCTCGACTTGGAGATGATCCTTCCTTCGCGTCCGCGAGTCTGCGTAGAATGCCCTGCCCTGTACGATTAGCTTCTGATAGACCTAGCGTCAAAGCAATTGCCAATAAACGACACCCTCGCATGATAAGATCTCGATCTCATCCATCCCCTTAGCTTGCAAATCCTGATACAAAACGAACTTACCTTAGCCCTGCCCACCTTTCGTGTCCGGAGCTAGATGATTGCGCTACTCATGCACGAAAGACCGGGCAGTCTTGCCGTATTTAGTGGCTGTGTGCATGCAGGGGGCACGGACCAGATTACTCGGTACCAGAGACGTGGGCTGCAATCGGTGCATGGCGCTTGCATGTGCGTTAGTCTCTCCGACGTTCAGGTAGGGGAGGGAGTGCGATACGTTGGCTATGAGTGCCGAGTAGAGGAAGCTGAGGTTCTTCTCTTAGTGACGGGGGAAAGGGGAGGGGGGAGCAGCTGAGAGGATTACGGCTGTGCCATGATGCATGGATGGCGCTAATGGGGTTTGCCTCGTGGAGTTTGATGTCAGATGGAGATGCGGGTTGTGTCATTGTAGCTTGCGAGTTTTCTGTTTTGCGGCTGAGGTTGATGGATGGGTGGTTTGATGTGCTGAAACACCACGAGTTTGCTGACCTTCCTTCATCGTCACGCAAATCTCTTGTAAGGCTGGCTATATGAAATTCTCGAATCAGGAAAAGTGGTAATGAGAGTGATGTGAAGTGCTGAGATTGGAGGGAAAGATGGAAACGCAACGGCAGAAGATGGAGACGCAAAACGGCAAAGTGAGAGGCTGGCCTTTGGCGAACGAGTATGCGGATATCTTCAATATGGAGACGCAGAAATTGGAGCTGAGGGATCCGCGTGTGGTCGAGAGGAATTGGGGAGGTTCGGAGAGTACGATGTATGAGAATAGAGGGAAAGACTGGCCGTTGGTCAGCCGTGATGAGGAGAGCGGCCAGAGTGAAAAGGGGCAGGAGGCGTCGAAATACATTGTTGGCTGGCGATTGCATCTGATAAGTTTCGCGTGAGTATTTCGCAAATGATACATTCTGGAAGGAACAGAGGCTGATGGGCGAAGACTGCTGTTGTCGCTTTTCATGTCGCAAATGGAATCGTCCATTGTGAGTACATCCGTGATAGCGATCACGAATGATCTTGGCGGCTATGAGAAAAGCTCCTGGGTGTTTTCTGCGTATCTCCTGACGTATAGTGGTAAGTCGATCGTCCGAGAAGATTGATATCTCGCGGGTTCTGAGCTGATGGATGTGGGCAGGTCTGCTCATCATATGCGCGAAGCTCAGCGACATCTTTGGCCGGAAGCCAGTCTTGGTGATCTCAATCGTGGTCTTTGTAGCATTCTCTGGTGCATGTGGTGGAAGTCAGACGTTCATTGAACTGTGAGTTGGTCCCCAGTAATTGTAGAAAAGATGATCAAACGATTGATGCCGGGCAGCATCATGTTTCGCTGGGTTCAAGGCTTGGGAGGAAGCGGTATCTACTCGATAGCAACGCTTCTGTTCTTCGAGTTGGTCCCTCCAGCAAAATGGCCAGATTATACGGCCCTCGTCAGTGCGGTCATCGCGCTCTCTCTGATCTGTGGACCTTTGTTTGGAGGAGCCATCAGTGCACATGGCGAATGGAGATGGGTTTTTTATATAAAGTGAGTCTTGAACCTTGCCTAGTGTGGAAAGATAGCTGATGAGTTGTATCGACAGTCTCCCGATTGGAGTCTTTGCTCTGGGCCTTGTACTGATAAGCATGCCCAAGCGACTGCAGACAGAGCCGGCCGCGTTGCGTGCGAAGCTGCCCTGGTGGCATGGCTTTCAGCTTAGTACTCTGGCAAGAGTAGACGTCCTCGGAGCTCTTCTCTTGCTTGGAGCTTGTCTGTTGCTCTCTACTGCTCTACAGCAAGCTACCGCTGGGGTATCCTTCACGGCTGCGAAAGTCTTGCCATTACTGGTACTGGCTGGGCCCGTCTGGATCGCATTCGTTGTTTGGCAATGGTTTGCTACAACTAAACGGACTTCTCCGGAACCAGTATTACCCTGGCGCCTATTCACAAACCGGGTCTTCGTGGGACTGATATTGTAAGAATTATTTGAGAAATACTTTGTTGTATCGTCGCTGAAATATATCAGAAACACTTATTTCGCGGGAACTATTCTGACAGTCTGTATCGTTCAGCTTCCACAACGGTTTACGACCGTCAATGGCCAGTCTGCATTCCAAGCCGGAGTCAGGCTGCTTCCATTTGGAGCGTTCATTCCAGCAGGCTCAGTCCTTGCAGCTATTCTAATAGGAAGGGCACGGATCTCACCATTGTACATCCTCCTGGCTGGAGGATTCTTGGAGGTCATAGGTACAGCACTCTTGTCACAATCTTCGGCTGAATACCATATCTCTGCCGCTCAGTACGGGTATCAGATCCTTGCAGGCACTGGAGTGGGGTTCTTCAACGCGACCCTGGTCCTGCTGGTACCGTATGTGGTAGACAAGAGAGACTTAGGTGAGTACTGATCAGACTGTTCAGGGTGTGAAACTAATATTCGAAGCTGTCGGAACCGCTGCGATAGCTCAATTCCGACTACTCGGAGGTGCCGTGGGTCTTGCAATTGTCACAACAGTAATGAATCGTTCGATCGCGCCACGATTGTCTGAATTCCTAGCACCTAAGCAGGTAGATATCCTGCTTGAATCTACGAGCGTCCTCGGCATGTTCTCAGAATCCATTCAGTCCGAAATAAGATCGGTATTTAGCTATGGTCACAACCTACAGATGAAAGCTCTGATAGGGTTTGCGGCCGCGCAAGTGCCTGCGACCCTTCTGATGTGGGGCAAAGAAGCATTGAGTGTACCAAAGATATAGAAAATCAAGATACTTCACAATGTAGCCCTTGTCACTGCTCGCCTGATCGCTTTCACTGCTCCACCAATAGCACCTTGTGTTCCCGTACTTGGGACTTCGTGCCCACCTTCATGCACAGATATGGATCTCAGATCATGATCTGCCATTTGATAGATGGCTTTGCTCTCAGGGTTACGACTATCTTGTTGACCCCAGATATGGGCTGTAGGAATACTGATGACCTGCCCATCTTTGGCTGGATCCATTGTCCTGACCTCGCCACGTTCGTACCATGTCACCGGATCATAGACAGAGAGACATGATATCAAGATGGCGACTTTGAATGGAGGAGCCCGATTCGGATCCTGGAGCAATTTGTGCACGATATACATGGCAGCTAAACCAGCCCCTTGGGAGAAAGCGAGGACGCCGTCGAAAGGCCCTTCTGCGTCAACGTATTGGCCCAGTAGCTCTACTGCCCGGATGTAGCTTGGCACCGAGGTTGAGTCGAAATAGGCGTAGTAGGTGTCGTCCGATGAAGCCATTGACGCTAGTTCTAGTGCTGAGGGATCAGCATCATTGAGTTGCCTTTTAAGGTAAAGACTTCAGCCGGACAACTAAGACTGCATCGCCTGGAAACGAAACGAAAAACAAGCTCCAATACTAGAGTACTAAGGTGGCACGGACTCCGAGAAGAATCTTACCGGGGGCCATCTCCTGACTTAATGTTCCTTCGACGAATTCATAGCTGTGGTTGTCTCCAAGCTCGTACCGTAGCGCCGCTGGGATACGTCAGCACTGCAGGATTCCGCGTGTTTGCTCGAGGGAGGAAGCTGCAGGCGTGCGGCGGGTCGGAGTACCTGTCTGAGCCTCGAAGACCTATGGATGGTCAACGATCGATTATCTATTGTATTTCGACCACTTGGTACCTTGCTATTGGTGCCTGAACCGTGCAGGCAGAGGAATCTCATGGTCACCAGCGCTGCAGGAGTTGACGAGCTAGATTCTGTTCGAGTGGATGAGACCGTTGAAACTGACCGAGAAAGCCTGTGGTAGCTAGGAATTTGCCGGCAGTGAATTCGCTCTAGGATCGATATTGAGTTCCTGTGCAGCTCTTTATACGGATATACCCTCCACCATGCTCCGCCCTTGCGCTAACGCGTCTCCGTGGTGTGGAACATCTGGGCGATCGTTCCAAATTCTCCGTTCAGCGCTATAGACCTGAGGCGAGACGCCTCATGTACTTAGCTCTATCGGAGCTGATGCCACGGTAGTCTCAGCTCTGCTGCCATTGGTAAGTGACAGCCCTACTGTGCCTTGGTCACCTTGTCGCTATGTGTATCCGCTCCATTCGGTGGCTACTTGTGCCATAGTGGCTTTGCACTCGTCATGATCTATCTTTGTATGCTGGACAGGGTAGCCTATTCACTCTGATCACGCTTAGTACCTGGCGTCACGTGGGCTGTATTGTTTGCACAGACTCTGCGTTACGTTCCAGATTCGCCATAGTTTTTATTCCATACCCAAGCTACACAAGTCTATGCGTTTGGTCAATTCATTAGACAATCTTCTTCCGGTGCTCATACTCATGTCGAAACCCTGGTGGTGACGCGCGCTGATGATGGAGTTCCTGAATGTCGTTGCTGGTGAAGTTGACCAGACCTCTACAGCGACTAGCGAAATTGGAGCATCATCAAGCGGGAGCGCAAGAGAGTCCGTCACCAGCTTAGAATCAGAGGGAGACTTATACCTTGTCGACGACCCCAGTACACACCCTGTTATTGGCAATGGAGCGGAGATCGGAGGCACATTGGAGCCCATTGCGGTAGTTGGTCTCGCCTTGAAATTCCCAGATGATGCTACAACCCCGGAGGCTTTCTGGCAGATGCTGCTGGACAAGAAGTGCGCGTCGAAAGACTACCCGGTGGATAGAATGAACGTCGATTCATTTTATCACCCTGATAGTAAGAAACTGGATACTGTACGTCGTCTGCTCCACATTCTATGACTTCCTTCAGAGATTGATTCCCGCAAGATTTCGACCCGAGGCGCTCATTTTATGACCGAAGATGTTCGAGCATTCGATGCTCCGTTTTTCTCTATTACCCCACAGGAAGCGGGCACAATGGATCCCCAGCATCGTGGTCTACTCGAAGCTACCTACCACGCCTTGGAAAATGGTAAGCTTAACTTCTTTTTTCATCCCGTAAATTCTTTCCTGTTTTTGATACCTGGCCAGCTGGAATCGCCATGGATGCTATCGCTGGCTCGGATACATCTGTGCACGTCGGTTGTTTCACTGCCGATTACACCACCATGAACTGGAGAGATGCGCAGCAGATTCCAAAATACAGCGCGACGGGAACCGCATCTTCAATTCTGTCTAACAGACTAAGCTGGTTCTACGACCTTCACGGCGCAAGCATGACAATTGATACTGCATGTTCCAGTGGTATGGTAGCTGTAGATTTGGCATGTAATGGCATCTGGTCCGGACAATCAAAAATGGTAAGGACTATTGGCGTCACAACATTATGTTCTAATAAGAGTAGGCAATCGCTGCCGGCGCCAACGTGATATTTACCCCGGAGCTTAACATCGCACTATCGAATATGAGCTTTCTCTCACCCGATGCCAAATGCTACAGCTTTGACCATCGTGCCAACGGGTATGCTCGAGGAGAGGGTTATGGTGTCCTAGTGCTCAAGCCTGTTTCTCAAGCCATACAGGATGGTGACACTATCCGAGCGTTGATCAGATCTACTGGCCTCAACCAAGACGGCCATACACATGGCGGTATCACGCAACCAAGCAAAGACTTACAAGCAAGCTTAATCAGAGAAACCTACCAGAAGGCGGGCCTTGATATGGAACGGACGAGGTTCTTCGAAGCCCATGGTAAGTAGCAAAAGCCAAGATCCGCAGACCGTTAATGTATGACAGGTACTGGGACTGCAATCGGCGATCCACTTGAGGCACGAGCAATCGGAGAGTGCTTCAGAAATTACCGCAAACCTTCCGAACCCCTATATGTGTACGCCTCCTCTAAACACCTATGGAGTTAGAAAACTTTGCTTATCCCAGTTTTAGGGGAGCTGTGAAGTCAAATATCGGACATCTTGAAGGTACCAGTGGCTTTGCCGGTATTATCAAAGCGATCCTAGCAGTCGAGCGAGGGTGTATACCGCCGAATACGAACTTTGAACGATTGAACCCCGAAATCGATGCAGAATTGTTCAATCTAGAGGTAGGTCGTAATCAAAGCTACTATTGAATAGGCGTTGATTGTTCAAGTTCCCCACTGAATGTCTACCGTGGCCATGTCAGGGCGCGAGACGAGCATCGGTCAACTCATTTGGTTTCGGAGGCACTAATGGGCACATCATCATAGACGACGCATTTCATTACATCCAATCAAGGAGAACTTTGGGGCAGTATCAGCTAGCTGCACCATCAACGAGAAGATTCGATCGTCTCTTGGCGGATCATTGTGATATAGAATCAGGAGCGCGAGAAAAGACAAAGCTTCAGCCAAGACTCTTGGTGTGGTCCGCTGCAGACAAAGCAGGCATCCAGCGCTTGTCCGACACGTACGGCGGGTATCTTAGGAAGCATGCCCAGGTAACGAATGCCACTTTCGTCGACAGGCTGGCTTACACATTGAACATGCGACGGACCTCACATGCCTGGAAAGCTTTCGCCGTGGTAGACTCGTTCGACTGCATGTCTCGTATAGAAGAAGCCATTTCCAGCCCCGTCCGCGCGAGCGTTGATGATCCTCGCCTGACGTTTGTCTTTACCGGGCAAGGAGCTCAATGGTATGGTATGGGGCGGGAATTGCTGACATACACGGTTTTCAAGGAGAGCTTACTCCAATCTCAAGTGTATCTGCGAGACTTAGGGTGTCAGTGGCTACTATTAGGTATGTCAAGATTCCTACATAGAGCTAAAACTAATGGTCCATCGAAGACGAACTTTCAAAAGACGAGCCAACAACTCGCGTCAATGAACCTGAATTCAGTCAGCCGCTTTGTTCTGCAATACAGGTTGCGCTTGTTGATTTGTATGCGTCATTCAATGTCAAGCCTAACGTAGTTGTTGGACACTCATCCGGAGAAATTGCAGCTGCGTAAGTTCTGGAGTCACTTTGGTTTGCAGATATACTGACCCGATGCAGTTACTGTGCAGGCCTATTATGTCAAAAATCGGCCATCAAAGTTGCTTACCACCGGGGCGTCTTGTCCTCTAGGCTAAGCAAAAGTGGCCAAAATTGCTCAATGATGTCGGTTGTGTTGTCACAGATTGAAGCGGAAACACAATTGATAGAATTGGAACAGCAGGACCCGACCTTCAAAGCTGCCGGAATTACCGTCAGCTGTGTCAACAGTCCATCGAACGTCACTGTTTCTGGTGATAAAGACCAGCTAAGGCTTCTTGCGGCACACTTGGAGGGTCAAAATGTGATCGCGAGACAACTCAAAATAGATGTGGCTTATCATTCCCCTCAGATGCAGCAAATCGCTTCAGAGTATCTGGCCGCCCTGGAAGGACTTGAGGGACGTGACTCACCGTCACGGATAACCATGGTATCATCGGTGACGGGAAAATTGATCGACGCTGAGATCGCCTGCCAGAGTGATTACTGGGTACGAAACATGGTCTCTCCAGTAAGCTTTGCAGAAGCTATGAGGATCACTTGCGTCCGCTCGCAGCAAGAAAATATTGTCAAGAAACTTGACAGAAGTCATGAAAGGGAAATTATTACGAATTTTATTCTGGAGTTGGGAGCTCATTCAGCGCTCAAAGGACCAATTCGTGACGTAGTAAAGTCTGTCGATCGGAGCAACGATGTAACATACGACTCTGCCCTCGTGAGGAACCGTTCTGCGACCATCACATTCCTACAGTCTATTGGCCGTTTGCACTGCCAGAACTTCGCAGTAGACCTTGCCAGATTGAGCAAGCCATATGAATCTTCCGCGAAGGCTTCGCTCGTACTTCCTGATCTGCCTCAGTATCCATTTGATCATTCTACGATATACTGGGAGGAAGCCCAAAGTGACAAGAACATGTTATTTAGAGAATATCCAAGTCACGATCTTCTCGGTGCTCAGGTCATCGATTGGAATCCGATGGAAGCTAAGTGGACTTTCTTCATCAAGGCTAGCGATCTACCATGGACTGTCGACCACAAAATCAATGGATCGATCTTGTATCCGGCCGCAGGTATGCTTGCAGCCGTCATCGAAGCTACCAAATTGCTCGTCAAAGACAAAAGTCCAGTGGGATATGAGATAAAGAATGCCGAATTCATCGCGCCGCTACTTCTGACGACCTCTCCCAATGGGACCGAGACTCAGATCAGCCTCACTTCTCCTACATCATCTAACACAAGAGACAGTACTAAGTACTATTTTCGAATTTTTGGGCGAAAATCAAATGACGCGTGGGAAGAAGTCTGCAACGGATCAGTTCAAGCAGACTATGGTAGAGTTGTCTCTGATGTGGACGAAGGCAAAGAGGCAGATGAGTCGTCCTCTCAATTCGAAAAGCTTCACTTAGAAGCTGCAGAGACGTGCACTCGCCCTGTGGACGAAACGAAGATATATCAGCAGCTAAAGGAGGACTCTGGCATAGATTACGGGCCAGCCTTTCAGGTCCTCGACAGCATGCGACATGACGACCAAAGTGCGGCTATTGCCAGTATTGAGGCTTTGCGAGGAGATCCTAAACACTCGTCTACCTCTTATGTGATACATCCAACGACTCTAGATGGCTTGTTCCAGCTCGTATTTGTTGCTTTGACCAGAGGAGGTACAGCATCACTGCAAACAATGGTCCCCAAGCGAGTTGACAGGGTTTGGGTCTCTGCGTTCGATGAGATGGACCCATCTCCTATTCCTCTGCAGGTCCACGCTGACGCCCGTTTAATGACTAGGCGGACTGCGAGGTCTCATATTTCGGCCCTAGAAGTCAGTAATCAGAAGCTGGGCGTTGACATCAACGGTCTAGAGCTTACTGCTGTTGCTGAAAAAATAGACTCACTAACGGAAAACCAAGACGCCAAAAAGATTTGCTATCATATGTCTTGGAAGCCAGATCTGGGATCTATGAACAACAAGCACATCCTCGACTACTGCAGAAACCTCTTGCAAGACGATCTAGACCCAAGCCAGTGGTTTCAAGACCTCGAGCTTCTACTTCTCTCATATGGGGCACAGGTTTCGATGAAAGGCAGTGTCTTAGAGCAAAATCAGTCCGAACACCTAAAAAAGTATGCATTCTGGCTTCAGAAGCAACTGAATCGATTCCTTTCGTCGGCGCCTGTAGAAAGCCGTGAGCAACTAGGAGGTATCCTGCTGGATAGGGCACATCACCAGGCACTAGTCAAGCGGGTCAGTGTCAACAAAAGAGGCCAACTCCACGTGATGATAGGGGAGCGACTTCAAGACATGTTGATAGGCGACGTCGATCCGCTACATCTCCTTGTGGGGGAGCATGACCACCTCACAGACTTCTACACTGAGATGATCACAAGCTCTCAGGCGTTTGATCGACTGGGGAGATACTTAGAGTGTCTCGTTCACAAGAATCCAGACCTAGAATTTCTCGAGGTCGGAGCTGGGACTGGTGCAACCACTGGAATATTACTAAAGACCCTAGGAGGTATGGCGACTCCATTTTTCCGACGTTATAACTTTACCGATATCAGCCCTGCATTCACCGAGAAGGCACGAGATGCGTTCAGCGAGCAAAAGCGAATGACATTTTGTGCACTAGATGTGGAGCAGCCTCTTGGTGATCAAGGCTTTTCTGAAGGTCAGTACGACGTAGTCGTTGGGTCACTAGTATTGCACGCCACGAAAGATCTTGGAAATACTCTTCAGAATGTTCGAAAACTTTTGAAACCTGGCGGCAAGCTGATTTTCATGGAGTTGACCATGCCCGAAAGCATCAGAACGGGCTTCATCTTTGGCCTTCTTTCGGGCTGGTGGCTAGGCTGTGAGCCATATAGACAGGAGAGTCCTTGTATTTCACTGGATCGGTGGAGCCAGTTATTACAATCGAATGGCTTCTCTGGGAACGACCTGGTGTTCAATGATTATCAGTCGGAAGATTGTCAAATGTGGAGCGTAATTGTCTCCACTGCCATTACGGAAGCTGCCACAGAGTTGCCCTCATTGCCTGCACCGAAATACATTTTGGACAAGGGAATCCAAGAGCAACGAGACTTGGCGGAGATACTAATAGAAACCTCAAGCGTTCCGGATCATTCTTCATCTATGCTCAGCTTAGAGGAAGCAGCCTCAGCTTCCGACCTGGACAAACAGCATTATGTAATGCTTCTCGATTTGTCCAGTGATGTTCTTTTCGACATGATGCCGACAGTTTTTACTGATGTGCAAAGGATCCTCACTTCCTCACAAAGCTTGCTATGGGTAACAAGAGGAGGCTCAAAGGCGCCGCCAAATCCCAACCACGGAATCTTTAAAGGCTTGAGCAGAACGTCTCGTAACGAGAATCCAAAGACGGCTATTGTCTCAGTCGACCTGGAATTTTCCAATGAGCAGTCAGCTACCCAGCGTGATGCAGCCTTGATCCACGACGTTTTCCAAAAAACTATTTGTGGACTAGCTCAGAGGCTTTTCGAACCAGAATATAGAGTACGTGACGGTCACTTGCAGATCAATAGACTGGTAGAAGCACCTGAGTCAAATGAACACATATTCCAGAGAACCACGCAACCAGTCCAATACCGCAAATTGGAAGGATCTCCGCCCCTCAAGCTCAATGTCAAGACACCTGGTCTCCTGGACTCTCTGGAGTTTACCACGGACACGTCTTTCGAAGAGCCACTTGCTCCGGACGAGATAGAAATCGATGTGCAAACAATCGGTGTGAATTTCAAAGAATGCTTGATTGTTCTCGGGCGAGTGCAAACGGACAAGTTAGGCAGCGAATGTGCTGGAATCGTTACTGCCGTGGGCTCGCAGTGTAAAAGTGTGCAAGAGGGTGATCGCGTGGCTCTATGTGACCTCAATTGCTACAAGACGCGAATACGAGTAAAAGAGATACAAGCCGTCAAGATTCCTGACACGATGTCATTCGTGGAAGCTGCGAGCATTCCCACTGCCTTTACGACCGCTTATTACAGTCTTGTCGAAGTAGCGCGCCTAGAAGAAGGGGAGTCAGTGCTTATTCATGCTGGTGCTGGCGGGACTGGTCAGGCAGCTATACAGGTTGCTAAGCATGTCGGTGCGGATATATTTGCAACTGTGGGGTCCCTGAAGAAGAAGAGCTTGTTGATGGATACGTACGACATTAAGGAGGATCATATCTTCTATAGCCGCGATACATCGTTTGCTGATGGTATTAAACGAGTGACTGGGGGTCGAGGGGTCGATGTGGTACTAAATTCCTTGTCTGACGAGGGCCTGAGAGAATCTTGGGAATGTGTGGCTGACTTCGGTCGCTTCATCGAGATTGGCCGCAAAGACATTGATGCTCGTGGCTCGCTGCCGATGCATCCATTCATCAAGAATCTGTCGTTCATTGGTGTCGATTTAGCTGGTATTGCCGAGCAACGACCAGCAGTCGGTCACAGAATTTTACAGAAGGCGATGGATCTTTTCGAGGCTGGGGTGTTTCGTACTCCATATCCGCTTCAAACATACGGGCTTGATGGCATTGAGAAGGCTTTCCGCTTCCTGCAAAGCGGGAAGGGCTCCGGAAAGGTCGTGCTGGAAATCAGACAGGACGCAGAGCTTCCAGTAAGGCAATCCACTGATACATTACCCCAGTCTAGTCTGCTCACGTAATGTGATAGATCGTGGCTCCTCCTACATCTGGCTACAGCTTCGAGCGTGATGCAACCTACCTTATTGCTGGTGGCCTAGGTGGGATTGGTCGAAGCATTGCACGCTGGCTGGTACAGCGAGGGGCACGACATCTGATCCTACTGTCTCGATCAGGTCCTCAGAACAACGAGCCCGCTTTAGCTCTACTGAAAGACCTGCGAGAATTAGACGTCAACATCGAGTGTCCAACGTGCGATATCAGTGACCTTCATGCCCTCCAAACCGTTATCCAGCAATATTCTCGCACAATGCCACCCATCAAGGGCTGTTTCCAAGCCTCCATGGTCCTCCGAGTGAGCCCTCCACCCCCTTCCCCTTCCCCCCAAACCCTCCACTAACTCTCACAGGACGCAACCTTCGCCCGCATGACCCACACCGAATGGACGCAAAGCACATCCCCCAAAATCCACGGCTCCTGGAACCTCCATCTTGCCCTCCCCACGGGCCTCGACTTCTTCATCCTCCTTTCCTCCGTCTGCGGTGTCTTCGGAAACGGCGGCCAATCCAACTACGCCGCGGGCAACACATTCCAAGACGCCCTAGCCGCCCACCGCGTCTCGTTGGGCGAGAAAGCCATCTCCCTCGACCTAGGCATCATCCTGGACCAAGGCTTTGTGGCGGAGAACACGCAGGTCATGGAGCATCTGCTGCGGCTGAGCTTGCTGATGCCGATATCCCAAGCTGAGCTGTTCGCATTGCTGGATTATTACTGCAACCCAGGCAGGGAGGTGGTGGACCCCGTGCAGAGTCAGGTCATCACAGGCTTGGAGTTACCAGCTGATCAGCGCGCGAAGGGGAAGGACGTCCTCGTCGCGATGCAGCAGCCGCTTTTCAGCCATATGGGCGCTATGGACGCTACCCTCGCCCCCTCCACCACCACAACCTCCTCTTCCTCCAGCTCCACGGCCCTCGACCTCCGCAAGCAATTCCAATCCGCAACCTCGCCCGCTGAAGCCGCAGACGTGGTTTCAGAAGCCCTGAAAGCGAAATTGAGCAGGATCCTGGGCGTGGATTATGATAGTATTACGTTGGATAGTAGGATTGAGAGTTTTGGGGTCGATAGCCTTGTTGCGGTCGAATTGAGGAATTGGTTGGCCAAGGAGGTGGATGCTGATGTGGCGGTCTTTGAGATCCTCGGGGCTGCGACGGTGAGGGGCGTGGGTGTCTGCGTGGCGGGTAAGAGTGGGTTGAGGGGTGGGAAGGGGGACGGGGGAGGGGAGGGGAAGGAGTGAGTGTCTAAGGAGTGAGTGTCTAGAGAGGGTAGGGTAGGAGAGGGGTGTATGTCTTGATTATTTGTGGGCGTTTATGAGAAGGGCAATGGGATGGATTCTTCTGCTCAATTCAGATCTGTCGGAATGGAAATTGTGTATTCTGAGCTGGGCATAAATTTTCTTTCATTCGTATGTCTGTCTGGTATTAGAAATACATACTCGATATCTCAAACCACTGTTTTCCTTCCCGCTTGCCTTGTCGCCAATCCTAAGAAAATCGTACGGTTCATTGTGTTTCCCACCTTCATACCATGAGTCTCACGCCTTCTTCGCCGCCTCAGCCCTCTGTCCGTAAGCCTTAGTAGCGTAATCTCCGTCCTTGACAATCAAATCCTCAGGCCTATAGTCGAATCTCCCCGAGAAATAACTGTCCAAGATATTCTTCGTGCCTACGGCATACCTCTTTTGGGCGTCGAGGCTAGTTCCGGACATGTGAGGCACCATGGCATTGCCACCACCAAACGTGTTCTTTGCGTAGCGGAGCGGGTGGTCTTTTGGTGCCGGTTGCGGGAACCAGACGTCGCCGCCATAGCCGCGGAGTTGACCAGAAGCCAAGGCATCGGCGACATCTTCTTTCACGACGATGGCACCGCGGGCGGTGTTGACGAGCCATGCGCCTATGTGTCAAGTCAGTACACGCTTCATTTTCTACGAATGGCATATTAGACGGAGAAGGAGAACCCACCCTTCTTCATCTTCCCAAGCAATTCCTTGTTGAACAGCCCTCTCGTCTTCTCATGCAATGGGCAATTGATTGTCACAACATCACACTGGCCCAGCATCTCCTCCAGACTCTCGACTCGCCTACACCCAATCTCTTTCTCCTTGGCCGCATCCAATGGCTGGTAATCGAAATACAACAGCTCTTTGCAATCGAACGGCTTTAGTCTCCTTAACACACGTTCCCCAATTCTCCCCACTGCCACTGTGCCCACAACTTTACCTTCGAGATCATACTCGTCTTTCGCGGCGCCAGCGACGTCCCACTCACCGGCTTGAATCTGCTCGTGGGCGGGCACGAAATTGCGCACCAGATTAAGGATGGTCATGATGACGTGCTCAGCGACAGAGACGACGTTGGAGCCCGTGACTTCGGCGACGGTGACCCCGCCATTTGTCTCGTTAGCGGCGTTCAGGTCGACGTGGTCGGAGCCGATACCGGCTGTGATGGCGAGTTTGAGCTTTTTGGCTTTTGCGAGGCGCTCAGCGGTTAGGTAGCCGGGATGGAAACTGTGGTTGGGCAAGACGTGCTTGTTAGTAGACGGTTGTTAAAAGCTTTGGGAATTTCGAGGTGACGCGAGAGGGAGGCAATGCTCACGGGGTGGTAATGATGACCTCTGCATCTACCAATTCTTGATCGAATTTCGAGTTTTCGCCTTCTTTGTCAGATGTAGTCACGAGAGTATGGCCCTGGTCCTCGAGCCATTTGCGAATTCCAAGCTCATTTTCGGTGGTTCCCAAAAGGCCTGGTTGCTCGTTTGCGTGGTGGCCACCCTACGTCATGGCTTTCATCAGCTTGTTTCTTGACGATAAGAAGGTTGTTGGGGTTCAATTGACGTACATCGTAGAGAACGAGGAGGACTTTGGACTAGTATGAGGTCAGTAAGTGATCTGAGGACGCAATGCGGACGGTGCATAGGTAAAAAACAACCTGCAGCGAGGAGGCCGCACTGAAAGCGCGGACCCCGCCAAAGGCCCCGGTAGCTGCGCGTGGTAGGGCTGTTCGCGAGGCTATGAGAGAGGACGCGGGGCGCGATAAGCGAGTGAGTGGGCGTGTAAATACCATTATGAACAAAGTTGAGTATACAATAGAGACTTAATGGACGTTGTGAAGCTGTTTTGAGAGCAAGACAATCCGCTTGTTGTTTTCTCAAGCAGTTGGTGCGGCGAACGTTACCCGGAGCTGCCGAGCCCCCAGGGTGCGGGGAGGGGGGAGGGTATGACGAAAGCGGATAAGGAGTCCGGGGAAATGGAGGGATAGTGGCGAGGGCCTGAGTTGGGTCTTTCAACAGTCAAATGAGAATGATGGTGACTGTGATCAGTGGGTGAGGGTGGTCTCGATGGAATGAGACGGTGTATATCATGGGGGAAGGACCAGAGGAGGAATGCTTCTCATTTTATATATCCAAGGCGGGGGACCCAGTGCTCCTCATTCACTGTGTTACCCCTCATTCACCTCGACGACTGATACTCCTTGTCTGTGGCCCTTGCCTCCATCTGGTAGTCACTGACATGGCTGGTGATGGCGCGTGACAGGTGCTGCTCCGTACTCAAATGCCATTCAGGGGCAAGCAGTCCTGTGCTGCCCCTGCCAAGCATTCAGGCCCAGGGCTGTCTGTGTGATTGCCATATCTATTCCAAATATAATACATATCGGTGTCTAATACATACACCTAAAGTTCTCCATGCTCTATCTTACCTGCCTTCGATAAAGGGGGCATATTCATAATCTTCACCACCAAGCTGGTCCATCCGGTGAAGTGCTGCGTTCGCTGACCCTCTCCGCTTTCTGGGTTATACTGCTCCCAAGCAAAGCCTGTTCTTTCCCACTCCTTGAACACAGTGTCCACTAGGTTCTTTCTCAGCTTAGTGTAGATTGTTGACGCTTGCGCTTTGTGAGGATTCTTTGCCGCAGACGCCGTTGCAACATCGTACAAGGCCTTGACAACAAGGTAATTCATATTCATCCAGACCGGCGACCGCCAGTAATTTTCATCCGTCCCGTACAGCTCGTCTTTCTTGCTCAGGCTACGGATGCCGTGATCACTCCACAGCTCCTCCGGGTCAGATATCAAGTCAAGTGTGGCTTTGAGCCGGGCGCTGTCAGGCGGTAACAGACCGGTGAGGAAAGGAAAGATGGACACGTAGCCTTTGTGGCAAACATGCACGCTTTCTTCATAGTCGTCGATCGTGGCATCGCAATAAGTTTGTGCTTGGTCGTCCCAGTGCAGGTCATCAATGTTGCGGATTATAGCACTTTCGTACCCTTCATATTCCTGGGCATCATCTGTCTCACCAATAGTCTCCGCAACACGTCGCATCGAGCGGCTCATCATCCCCATCCAACTGATCAAATCAGTATGCAGCTCCCCGGGATGTGGTGGCTGAGGACGTGGATAGTCGTCCAACCCAGATGTAAGTACATGCCGCTCGCTACGCCCTCGCCATCGATAGCCTTCTTTTGTAGAGTATGCCTCGCGATCATAAGACTTGATGTCGCCCCGCTGTGTCTTGCGAAACCAGAAATAATGCCGCTTTAGGAGCGGATACAGATCCTTGAGGTAATCGATGGCGGTGTCTTTGTTTCTCAAGTGAACATTACGTATCGAATCGTATTGATGTTGATGGGGTAATACAGTCGGTTGAGAATTGATCTTGTCGATAAGGGTCTCCAGGATCAGAAACAAGGTCGGTGGGTTCGCGTAGTGAGGATACTGCACAGTAAATTCTTGGGGCACTTTCGTCCTAGCTTCCGCCCCAAGAATCTGCTCGCGGCCAATCCAACCGTCGTCGTCCATCAGATTGAACCAGCTGCGGACAATCTCAAGCCTTGATGAACAGTGAGTATACATAGCAAGATACACAGGCAGACTTACGTCACATGCATGTCCCATTCTGCGATTGGGATCAGATGAAAACCCTCGTCCCACAGAAAACCTCTTGGGAAAAAAGGTCTTGAAGGTATGCTAGAGAACAATTCTAACGGACCTTCCAACCTCACGCCAGCCTGCCTAGCCCTTGCAGCAGCTGTCTCTTCCCAGAATCCTTCGTTGTCTTCATCATACTCTGGTGCGTATGATCTGTCAACAACGGAGTCACCATGGAAGTAACCAATACCGCCCAGAAGATTTGAAAACATTGACTTGGCAAAGCCATCGTATCTCTGGTCCCTGAAGGGGGACTTTGGAGCTAGTACCTCCGAGAAACGGTCCGAGAAAGAAGCCGTAGCATTGCCTATTGCAGTCTCAAGATCCTCAGAGGTCAAAGGTGTACCAGCAGATGCCGAAGAGTACATGATGTCAAACTCGAACTCGCCGTGGAAAACCTTCTGGATGACGTGAAAATTGCCTTCCTCGATTTTATTTGGCACTGTGTACACTGTCCAAGGTGGTGGCGCATGATCTTGGCCGTATTCTGCAATCAATGAATCAATTTCGCCCTTCATCAGACTGAACATGATCTGTTTCGACTGCCATAAATGCTCTTCGGGAACCTGCGTGCTTGCAACATAGGTTCTATCCAAAGGCTTCTTCTCAGAGCTAGGATGTGCATTCGGAGGGGTTTCGTTCGTATCTGGTCCAGTTGTGATTCGAACAGTGAAGTCTCCAAGCTCATTGCTGTTTCCCTCCAAGACAACGTCGCCTTCGATACCTAGATCGTCCGGCTCATTCTGTACGCCTAAGCTTCCGAAGCCTTCCATACCTGCATGAAACATGACTGTCGTGATAAGGCGAGCTGGGGCGTCATCTCGAGGTGTGCCTTTGACCCTAACACCCCAGCTACCGCCATTGTCACCTCCTGGGATTTTAACAAACTCGGTGGTGATGTCTATGTGGTTACCCGCGTCACGAATAGTTTGACGGCCTCCCAGTCTGACATCGTATTCATCCCAGCCGTAGCCTGCCATCCCTTCATTTTGCTCGCATGTGTGGCGGAAGCCTAGGAGTGGTGTATCATTAGCCTCTAGATCTCGCCATCGCAATAGCCCCAGAGCATTTGGGTGTCATAAGGGCGCCTACTCTGTTGCACGTCCTGAAAATTGTCAACCTTTGCCCAGAGTAGCCCGGTAGTCAAGCTTTTCGGTATACGCGGTCGAACGCCAAAGTAGAGGTTTGGTCGATAAGGGCCCCATAGCAGAGTTTCGTTCGAGAGATTGGCATTCTCAGCGAGGATTTCTTGCACGTCTTCTGCGATACTGGGCCGTATGACGAGGAGCGCGACGAATGGCGCTATTAAGCGCCAGGACCATTGAAGCATTTGTAGAGGAGGTTTCGGCCCATTCGCTGGGCATCCTCATCCCAATCTGTATGATCTGGCAACAAGATTATTTTACCCATGTGACGGATTTGACTCTCGTATACCCGACTGCCGGGCATCAAAGAAGGAAAAACAGCCACAGCAGCTTCTACGGTCGACCAACTCACTCTAGACGCAAGTACAATTAGGGTTTGTTGACGTATCGATCCAGCTGGCAGCCCGTTCACGAAGATTTGCTTCCCCTCGTTCCATACTGCCTATCCTCACGTCCAATCTTTTGGAAAAGGTCTGTTACTGAAGCAGAACTCTTCATTGTAACGGCAAGATGATTTGCCACGATCTAACTTCTTTCCATCATTTACCATTAGTTGCTTCCAATTACCTTCGCGATGCCTGTAAGATGGTGGAAGCTGTCAGCATCATGTCTGCTTGCGAGCCAGACTTGGGGCTTCTCATCCAAACAGATAGTGATTGATGTAGACCATGGAATTCAGGCGGCTTTTGAATCCCCAGAGCATGTTCGTGGCATACTTACATGAGCGATTACTTTCGCTAATATACCTGATCCCAGCAAAGCATTGGCAACTCGGTTCATTTGACATATTCCAATAGAACCATTTCAGGCTCGAGCTTTGACTATGTTGTTAACAATCACTCTCTTTCATTCGGCAATATCATCCTACTTGCAGGCGATTTCTTTTTTCACTGGCACGCTACTTATTGTGCGGAATCCATCAGTGATAGTTGGGACTTCAACCAAACGAGAAGCATCGAAGTAGCCAAGGATAATGCAAATCTACTAAGGCTTGACTCATCAGACCTTATCAGTTGCATTTTGCCTTTAGTAGAGGAGCAAGGAAACGTCACCGCGACTGCCATGCAGCACGGTCAAGATCCCGCTCAAGTAAGTTGCCAGAGGCTGGAAATACGAGTCAGTCTCACCAACCGCCAAATTAGATATACCAAGACCAAGCATATCATTATAACAAGAATTTCGCCCATTGCACCTGGGGCTATATTGGAATTGCTCTATGCAACCGTGATCATTTCGGCACGGTAAGGAAAGCGTATTCGTGCTTTTCCAGAAGGAAATTCTAAAACATTTTAGGATGCTGGCAAGGCATACAGTGCCGTCCATTCAGCTGCTCTCGAGAGGGCCCGTGATGCTGTCTCCGACTCTGATCTGAAGGAGGCCTACTTTCTTGAGGCTTTTGGACAGCACTTTTTAACTGACCTCTTTTCTGCTGGTCATATACGAACACCGCGTCGAGCCTTGCACAGTACCGGTCCGCTTTGTAGTACCTGTCTCTACGATCTTTGGCCTGCAGATCAAAGTGGGAAGAATCAGCATGATGAAGATTCTACTAACGGCTTATGGGTCACTAATGACATTGGCCAATCCTGGGCTGCGTATGGTGATATGCATCTCATGGACGGCCGTTCTGCCAAGAACCTTCAACATGTAATTGAAGCCTGCCAGTTGGGGATAGAGGAGATATGGTGGGCCTTTCGAACACATGAATTCCCTGCCCCTCTTGACTTTGTTGCGCTAAAAAAGGTACGACTCATCGCATTACCTATTATTAGCGTACAAGATGACTAAAATCAGTGTCAGGCACCTGTGCCAGAGTCTACGATTGGTGTAGGTAACTTTGTTCCATTATTCGAACGGTCTTCCAAAGACAGTGATTTTGTTCTTTTCAGAGAGGATGTGACCCAGCGTGCAATGAGTCATGATAGGCAGATGATCGCTATGAATCAAAGCAACTACGACTGGGATATTGTGACCAAATTATATGCAAGATCTGGCCCTTCCCTTAATATGTACGTTTTCACAAGAGCTTTCAATTCTGCAACAAACTTTATTCATTTCGGGGTAATTGGAAACCACTCAGACAAGCTCCTGGCTAGCGCTTACGGGAACGTTGAAGCTGGCAGTCATGGTGTGTACTGGAGTATGCAATCTCAGTCATCAAGTACTGTTGCAATTGGAACCAGCTGGACCTCTTGGAAAGATGCTAGCCTCGTCAGCAACGGTACCGTTTCTCTAGTTGCTCGTTCATTGACTGAATCAAATATCTCCGTTGCTCAACATCTCGGGTTGCACTTTTCACAAGGTAGAGATGGAAGGATGACGACAGAAGTGTGGTGGAACCAAGCAGTCGAAGATGGTAATGACGAGTATGAAACAGGCCAAGTACTCTATGGCATATTCGACGCAAACTCAAAAGCTGTATCAATGGTAAAGTACTTTGAGCACAACACCAGGTTATCAAAGGTCGAAATCTGGGCTGTACCCATGGAGAAGGGATCAATACCTACCATTTTGAACATGCAACTCGATACACCACAACTTAAGTATGTGCTCTATTACTCCGTACCTAAAGAAAATGAGTTAACGAAATCCAGCTTCCTCTTACTCCATAAGACAGCTATCACTGATGAGCATTCCACGCTGGTTGGCTACGGCTGCAACCTTACTACTGGATATTGGTACTTTGCAAACTGGAGAAAAGACTTCACTGAGAAGGTTGTCTCGCAGATCTTTGAACCCAATGCTTTCAAGGCCCAAGCACTTCTGTCTGATCCAGCTTCTGGGTGTCTCATTCGATTACGTTTTGGGAAATGGTATCCTGTCGCAACTGCATTGCGCATCGACAGAATCTGTGCCGTGCGTGACGACAGCACGGATAAAGTGTCTCTATCGAATCCGCCCCAGAGTCAAGTCTTCAACATATCTTGGCCTGCATATCTAGAAAAGGACTACCTGCTGTGGTTCCTTTGTGACGTTGACGGTGATGGCCATAAGGATCTTGTCACGTACACCTCTTTAGAAAATAACATCGTTCTCCATGTGGTAGTCTTCCCAGGGCGAACCGATGGAACCTTTGCTTCTCCGATTGTCAGTCCCATCACCATAGACCCGGAGGTCGGAAGATTGATGTCCGCGGAATTCATGACACCAATGAAGACCATCCAAGCAGATTTTACATATCCTGTGGATGGGAGTATTACAAGCGCAGGCATCATTTCGTTCTTCGACAATTATGGAATAGTAGGGGCAAGAATGATCGCTCCCAAGACAGCGAAAGGGACGTTCGAGTATGAGTTCAAGGGGCAGAACCCTTCAATCGCTGGGCAGCGATCGACCACATTAGGCAAAAGACCTGGAAATTGGATGGGCTTGGATAGAAGGGAGGAAGCGATTGGGCTATTAGCCTTCTAAGATAGAGTCAGACCTTATAAATCGTTATTATGAAGCACGCTCTATCTTCAATTTTGGCTCCGTGGCACAAAGTGCAACATTTTTGTACGCTTGGTCGTGCGTCTGATTCTTAGACACTCTTGTTACTCATGTCCGAGACGTATGAATGGTGGCTGTCAAGCGTTCTGCACTCAGCAAGTCGGTGGACTCAGATAGAGAGTGCCTTGTCACTTGCCCTCTAGTATCAACCATTCGAGATTCACCGATTGATTCTTCGCGTAGCACGGATATCAAATTCACCAGAACAGGCGCATGGGACAAGTACTACAGATCATCCATTACCACATGGGAATGGTAAACTTTTCCATGTCTCAGCTCCAGTCAGCAATCCACGCTACAATCCATATCACCTTGCGAGAACTCCGTCGCGCAATGGTGGCTCCATCTCCTGCTCATACTCAATTTCTAACTTTGGACCCTTTGCCTTTCGAGCCGTCGGTTTGACCGGAGCACGTTTCCGCTTGGACCCAGAAGCCGTTTTCTGTATATCATCACCCTCTCCTTCTTCACTGCCACTGTTTTCATCGCTGTCCTCATCTTCATCGTCGTCGTCATCCGTACCGCTCTCCGCATCCTCCCCACTATCCCCGCCCAGCCATTCTTCCAAGTCACCAAGATCTTCTTCATCTTCACCTTCTTCATCATCACTCACATACTCCACAGCTCCTACGCCATCCTCTTCCAATTCATACTCCTTCTCCATCTCCTCTTCTTCTTCTTCTTCCTCCTCTTCAATCCCTTTATCAAAATCTCTGTCTCTCTTGCCTTCGCCCTGCCTCTCAAGACCCTTCAACACTTTCTTCCATACCCCTTCCTCGACATTCAAGGGCCGATCCCCGTATGCGCCGCTTCGTAGCCTCTCAATCAATTCCCTCTCAATTGCCCTTTCGACCTTCGCAGCAGCCTCGGCCTTTCTCTCTCGTGTAGCCTCTCTCCTTCTTATCTTCGGCGCGAGCTTTGGCACAATCTTCTCTCCCAGTCTTTCCTCCTCTCGTGCAATCTTTCTTGTCGAAATTGCAACTTGTGTCAACCTCGTAAGCCTCTGCTTGCATTTGTGGATCATGTATTTCGGCCAATATATCAATCGCTCATCTATTTGCTCGAGCGCTTTTGCATAGTTGTTCGACAGTTTGATACGCTCCCACATTTTGCTAGGCATGTGTGCACGTTCAATGACTTTGATGCAGAGGTAGAGAACGCCGGTTTCAGGATTGGATCTAATGGTGGCATAGCGTGAATTGGCGAGCGGACAGGACTGGCGGTTACATAATCCGCTGTTGTTGTATTCATTCCGGCAGAAGTTTTGGGCTTTCGTCGTCCTGTGGATGTGAGCACAGACTTCGGCATAGAGAATTTTCCGAGTGGTAGATAGCCGCTACTTACTTCAGTTTAAAGGAGCAGAATTGCTGATTGATGATTTGCCAGACAATCTCGTCTGATGCCATGATTAGCGTGCTGCGCGAACAGTATAGGTCAACCTGTAAACTTGAAGAATATGAAAGTACTTTTGAGTTTAATGCCACCACATGAGGCTAGCGCAGCCCTAACGATATGCCTTCCATCTCCCGAATCTGTCAACCGACATCACCTCCCCCTTGTTACATCATAGGGATCTTCACGATGAGGGAACTTTGCATCTGTGACTCGATGTCCTCATTTCCCATAACCTCCTCCGTAATACTGATAAGTCAAGAAAGCAAAACGCTCAATTTCAGGACACAATGTCGATAGATCATGTCATCCTTGGCTGCTCTGCAAATAAGCTAGAGGCAGAGATCGCCTTTCTTAATGCAGCCCTTTCACCGCTTGGAATCAAAGAGCAATTCCGTGTTGTTCCACAAGTTGTAGCCTTTGGTAACGATGAAGATAAACGATTTTTCTGGGTGAGTGGATTGGACCGAAATCAGCAGCCAATTGAAGGCGACAAGCCGACACATATTGCGTTCAAAGCGCATGGTGGGTCCTCCAGATACATGGTGACCTGCGCTGGGTACAATGTTGATGTGACGTAGACAAAGATCAAATCGATGCCTTTCACAAGGCGGCGATGGAGACTGGTGGCAAGGACAATGGAGCTCCCGGCCCTAGAAAGCACTACCATGCCGGATACTATGGTGCATTTGCCATCAGTCCTGCTGGAAATAACATTGAGGCTGTGATCCATAATTTTGTCCAGTAGTCGTTCGATACGTATATCAATCTGATATATTTCATTGGCCGCCAACGAGGTCGACCACCATTGAGGCTTGATAGGGACATGTTTCTAGAGTATACGCGAGTTGTATGGAACCTTCATGCTTACTTTCCTCTTGAGAAAGGCAACCCAAATGACATAAAAACGCCACTGGCGGCTCAGAAACGTCTTACTCAAAATCATGCAGCCAAGCAATCATCTCATCAAACTTACAAACGGTTCTGGGGCGCCCACACAAGCTAAAATGCTGAGAATTAGTTCTTGACTGCATGAAGGTCTAGAACAGACGATCAGCTACTAATAATTCTTGAGTAATTTGATGTCCATAATCAACAGTTCAGCTTCGCTTTGCGGATATCACTCATGTCACTCATTCTCAAATCACCTCTTCGTGTGGCCTCGAAATAGGATCAGGCAAGTATTGTCAGTGACCCTTAATTTCTCAGCAACAATGCATTGGGTCTTAGCCAGCGCTATCGCCAGAATCCATCTGAACTTCTGAGTGCCTTGTCTGATAGGATGCATTAGTTCAACGTCAACAGTCCAAAACTCCTGGGCTCGTGCGCCTCCGGCGATGCTAAGCTTTCTTGTTGCTCATTCAAGAACGAGATGTATCATTTTCATGCCCAGCTTGATATATAAAAGCCCTCTCGCGTCTGCTTCTGAATATGTTTCCTTAAATATTTATTCAAGGCTCCATAAAAGAGCTCGTACTAGCCTATGAAATTCTGTGCCATACTCACTGCTCGTTCACAATGAGACAAGCGAGCCTGCTCTTGGGCTTGGTGTGCACCTCCATAGCCTACACACCCTTTCCCAGCTCCTCAGGCGAACTTGAGATACGCAACAAGCTTTCATTATAAGCTCTCGCAACTGACAGCAAGTAATTCAATCTCTACGATCAAATATCTACCCAGGACTTCTTCGCCGATTACCAGGGATAGACTTACACCGGTCTTAAAGCCTTCCAAACTTTCGAGACGGGGTCAATCGGCACCAGCATTCCGCAGCATGCTGTGAGCTCCACTGTCATCGACTACATTGATTGCAAGACACCGACTTTAACGACCTACGTGGTTGTCACTTATTTGGGTCAAGGCCGTCTGAGAGGGCAGGTCCTGTCATTCTACGCAAAGTACATGGAAAAATGGATTGATGAATATGGACAGTGGAAGATTGCTCGGAGACTCTTATGGCTTTTTGTAGGTCTTCTTACTGTTTCTGAGACCAAATCTATAAGACTAAGAACCATGCAGTCACCGGGTTTTCGTGGTAACCTCGCTATTCTGTCGTAAATTTATGTTATCAAGTGTCAAATCAAGCGATTCGTATTACTTCCCAGTTGACAATATGTTGAACGCAGACGAACTCAATTTTCTAGGCAAGTGTTTGTGGGAGTATTACCAACAGAAATCAAAAAGAACACCTGGTCCAACGGGACTGAAGTCTGCCATCATCGAAATCTCGCAAAGGTCGTTTGCATGTGTGGGCAACTCAGTCAATAGTCTGGAAACCCCACAGGAGTCTGTCTACGAATCTTCTTCTTCTCGCCTTTCTAAAACCTTTTAGCAACATTCATTCCACTCTCTACGAGACCATAACCAGTCCGGTGTTTACGTCTGAGATTTCTCATCTCCCATAAGCTGGCGGTACGCGCTTCTTCCAGGCCCCGGAAAGGCAAAACCTGGTTCCTAATCATCAGGCGATTGGATCCATGGCCAGACTTCAGTATCATGTCTCGGGTAAGGCACGCCGGACCACTGTCATGAAAAGCGCTATCTAGGAAGATCTTGACGCAAGGTCTTGGATTTTGGCGATCATCGTCCTTTGTTTCATCGTCTGAAGGCCACCACGCCATTCTGACCAAGCAAGTACAATTTGGCCATCCTGAGTGGAGCCATCGGCATCCACAAGATGTTGCCTCTCTCCACTTATCTGACAAACTGATATCTAATTGGTTCGAAACAATCTCGCATGGGATGCTTGTTCACATATTGGCACCTGCGGCTCTCGGGTTCGCGTACAACTCGCATTGCATGAGGACTCCCAACAAGCAATCCCACGCGGCGGCATATCGACTGCTCTGCGCCAGCACGTGGTTCCAAAAGACGGTAAGGCAACAAGCGAGGTACCAGGTCTATAGGTCTATTCATGGAACATCATCCGTCGACTCTCAAGAAACGAAACACTGATAGCGCATCCGTACCTGAACTTTGTACGCGCAACAAAGCTGGCGATTGGCACAAAGCGCAACGCTTAAAAAAGGAATCCCACGGTTTCACAATTCATTGCTGTGGACCCAGTAATTCCTGTCCTGCTTTATCGATCTGGATTTTCATAAGATATAATTTTCCGTTTCCGACGGTAAAGGCCTCTCTTTGCTAACAATGTAATCAGTCGCAACACAATCGAGATACCTCGAGGATTGAGGCTTGCGTGGCTTGCATCTGAATATGCCCGTACAGGCGATGACAGGTAAGAACAGTCGAATACGAGCCATGTAAGACACCAGCACAATGCAATTCAGGCCAAGGACGATTGATAAAAGGGAAAAAATGCATTCCCAAAATGCACGCGTCTTATAAGAAGAGCAAAGACAAATCCACTTCTCATTTCCTAATAACTCCCATCTCCACCTCACCTACCTTCAACCAATACTCCTCCCTACCAACAAAATGCTATCCCCACTCTACTCCCTCCCCCTCCTCCTCCTCTCCCTTCCCCCACCAACCCTCTCCGCAACCCTCCACCCCCCACCCCCCAACCCTGGCCCCGGGACCCTCTACACCGTCACCCCCGCCCTCGCCATAACCTACACCCCCCTCGCGACTAACGAAGACTGGCCCAGCATAGTCCACTGGCCCACGATGCTCCAATCCTTCATCGACAGCGAAAGTCAGGACCCAACGCCCGTCACAAAGAACTTCATCTCCTTCTCCGAGCCGGGTGTTGGGTACGACCCTGGCGCATATATCGCGCTCGTCAGCCTGGATGACCCGAAGCAGGCGTTTACCGGGGAGGTGTTGCTTGCGGTGTTGGAGAAGCTGAAGAGTGTTGAGAGGCCGGTGAGGGCGAATTTGACGATTGCCACGGCGGGTGCGAAGGGGGTGGAAGGGTCGGTGGTTGGGGTTGGGTGTATTAGTGGGGAGAGTGTGCCTTGTGAGTTAGATGTTGGGGTTGCGTCGGCGAGGTAATCGGACTGTTCAGGAGGCTATAACGCTGAGGACAGGTCTTTCATATAGAAGCGCGGGCGATCTCCGTATAGTGAATACAATATGCCTGCTTATACAATATGCCTGCTTATACAATATGCCTGCTTATACAATATGCCTGCTTATACAATATGCCTGCTTATACAATATGCCTGTTTGAGTGGTTGATACTCCCCCATCACTATGGACTCAATGAGGGAGGCCCCTGATTGTATTATCATTCCACAATCTGTCATTGCATATGTGATTTGACTCTTTGCACGCTCTTCATCTATTTCTTCGCCTTCCCCTTTCTTGTCAACTTTTTGATGGCGAATAGAGCCTCTCTTAATGTCATGAACACAAGCATGAAAACGAGTACAGCAAAGAAGACGAAGGCGGTGATGATAGAGTAAATACCAAACCAGCGACACACCCACGCGAACGTCATCCAATTGTGACTGTCGCCATCACCTTTGATCGTCTCAACAGTCAACACAACTTGCATAGCGCTAAGGACTACGGTGAAAAACGCAAATATGAATAGTAGCGGCCCGAAAAATCGAGAGAAGTATGTGCCGTATCCGTAATGTATCAGAACTTTTTGGAAGTAGAAGCGCCTCAGCAAAGGCTTTGCCCAGAAGTTCAATCGACCTAGTCGTAAGTCGCCGTAATAATATCGCGGCGACACCTCATCATCGGTAATATCGGCAAAGTGACTGAAGAATCGTAGGCATTGAGTATAAGTCACTGTCCTTGGAATCAGGTGATGTTCTTTGGCGATTCGGAAGTCCGAGGGATGCTTGACAAGGTAGAAGTATGTTCTCAACAGACCTGTTGCCGCATGTCTTAGATTACGACACCCAGGTTCATCATAAAGAGGATCATTGCCGAGAGGTAGCAGGAAACGGTGCCAAAAAGCCCATGAGAGTATGCACGGTGTAATGGGCTTCACGAAGAAGCGATCGTAGATCCACGTACAGTGCAGTTCGGGATTCTCAGTGACGGTTATTGTGCGTCCCTTGACAATTTGCTGGTGCAGGGAGGAAATGTGGCTACTTCTTGGAGTTGCGACAAGCCAGAGATAGGGTGCCATGCGGTCCAGATCCGGTGTCAGAAGTTCAGAGTTCAGGACATACGTGACTGAGTCAACGCTTTGCAAACAAGCTTGCTGGGATGAACATCCTGGGAGCAAATTGAAGTCCTCTTCTTGTTCATCTTCACGAAGAAATAATTGCTGCCTGTCTTCGCCTTTGTCCTTTACTGTTGTCTCTACAACAAGACTCTTCTCTAATTCAGCTTCTTGGGGGAAAGGATGTCGAAACATGATTACATGAAGTGGCTGGAGATCTACTCTAGAAGGGTTTGACCTGTTGTTAACCCTTTCCCAGGGACGAAAAGCTCAGCGGCAGAGGTAACGTTCCCCCTGCATCGATTGGCGCTACAGCTTCGACAACACCATCTCGTTCGAAACGAAACCTGGCGCCGCAAAGGATTACAAACGAAAATTGCAGCCTTACGCGCTTTGCACAAATGTGGGACCCCATGATGGTTGGTCTACTATTTGTGTGGCTCACTCTGATTGAGTGTAGTCTGATTTTACTTATATACTGAGGGCGATGATATGTATACTATGGAAAAAGACAAGTAGGCAACATAGAGCCTGTCTGGAGTCCTAACGACCAAGAAAACTCTGCAGCAGTCCCTTCTTACCTTTGGACGCTGTGTCTATCATATAATGCTTTGGATCAAGTGCCTCACAATTGGCACTTTTAGCTTCGCCTTCCAGAATCATTTCACTAATAACGAGACCAGTACCAGCTGAGTTATGGATCCCCCACTCGTCATGTCCAGTGGCAAGCCAGACACCTTCAACACCTGCCGGTCCAACGATGGGACCCACCTCTTCGTCTTCATCATGGGGGCGTATTTGAGGTTTGTAGCAGGCTTGTCGTGTGATCACTTCCCCGTCGCGAATTTCTCCTGAGATGCTAAGTCGAAAATTAGTCATGGAGGGTTGGGGAAATTCCCCCCCGAAACAACATCATGTGCTTCACAAGCTCCAAACATAAAACACTACGCAACGGACTTTCACAATGGCAAGCTGCACGACCACCATTGTATTTATTTTGCATCGAGTCTCCTTTGCAACATACTCGTCGACTTCTTTTGCAACCACATTCTCCTATTGCGAGCCGTGGTGAAAGTCGTGGTGAGGTTTGCATGACGCAAGTTGGGGGTAATACTTTACCAGAGAATATGGCAATAATAACTACCGGCAATGCAAAGCTGGTGGAAACCACGCTGGAACTGAATAACGTACCTTTGAATGGCCTTCCACACATCCTCCGTCTTCTGCTGATCAACTTCTACATGGCCGGTGTCGTCAGGGAGTGCAACTCCGTAGTCGTCAGGACCACAAGCATATACGGTATCGAAATCGTACAAGCCGTCTCCTGGCCGAGGATATATTTCAGGTGAAAGTATCTTTGATAATGAACCATCTTCCGGCGGTTTTATTTCAGGGAAAAGGACGTAGGGTGATAAGTCTCTTGAAGGCCGAACAACCACACTGTGGCCCCGAGGTGCTCCCAGCTGAATAGAAGGGAACAACCTTGGCGTCCACGGGCCGGCAGCGATTAAGACATCAGTAGCAGCAAGAGTGTGGCTACCAGCCTTCTCTTTGTCGGTGTATGTAACGGAATCAACGCCCTTCTGATCCTCCTTGTAATTCAGCTTATTCACAGAGCCCAGCAGTATCTTAGCTCCTTTTTCTTCGGCCAACCTGGCAAGAGTCGTCGTAAACATGAAAGGATTGACTTGCCCAGAGTTGTTCAGGTTGCCGACCTCATCGTAAGACTTGACTGTTCCAGGGAGCAGCCAGTCCAGTGCCGAGGGTATTGAGGTTCCATTGCTTTCCGTCTGGCTACCAGGAGTCTGTGCCTGTAACTTTACCTCTGCACAATGAACGTTTCGGTGACCCCAGATTTTATCTCCGCCATGTTGTTGAGCCAGCTGCGCATGCGTTCTAAAGCTCAGGGGTGCCAGACATTTTGGCGTTGCCCATTCAGCAAGTAACCCCCCAGCCTTCCCGGACGAGCCTCCGGCGATGCTACTAGCTTCCAACAGCGTGACCTTATGTATATCAGGATTGTAGAGGATGTGATGCGTAAGAAAGTATGCTGCTGAACATCCAATAGCGCCTCCACCTGTATATAGATCGATAAGTCTTTCATATCTCGAGGCAAATCTTCTGTCTTGGCTCACCAACGATCACGATGTCCCGAGGCTCTTGAGCTAGCTTTCGTAAGGTCATTGTGCGTGGCCAAAGAATAATGATAATATAAACGACCACGGCCAGAGGTAAAAGCTGTGTGCTAATTGCCCACCTCATACGAATCATGTATGAACGCAGGCCATTATGTGGCAAAAACCACGAGACTTGGACAAGGCTATGGCTGCCTAAGCACGAACATGGGTTGTTAGAGCTAAGCACGCCCTAATGCAGCTCATGCCAAATCTCGAAGTACGCGCCTCTGGGAGGACGATGATCTCTATTTCCGCGGCACGAAAACAGAAAGATGAGAGAATACTCTTGAGCTATCCATGGAGTGCGAATTGCCTTGCTGATCAACCAAATGATACTCCCAACGAACACGGCTGTCATCACAAATTTCAAGTATGAAAACGCTCACGGGAGTGACGGGACTCGCGATCAGTGACCCAGAGCGTCCCCGGAAATGAAACCCGCCGCCCCCGGCGGCAAGATTAGCGGGATTGCCCCTAAAGTTCATACGTTACGTACCCTTGATGTCTACCCTTCTTATAGATCTCCCCACAAATCACAGCATACTCTTCGGAAGTGGCCTTGACAACAGCCGTGTCAAATGCACAATAAAGCGCGAAGACGACTTCGGGGTGTATATACGTCTGTATGGCCCTCGGTCGGGTTTGTAGAGGTACAGCACAGCAGGATCAAGGCCGAGAAGCGGCTAGATCCTGGACGAGATACGAGATGATCACAGCGATGATCCAAATAATGAGCGGCTCGAGAACGAACGATCGCCCTTCACCAGGCTGGCGAATCTGTGCTCTATCGGAAATGAGAGGTGTCGACGTTCTCCTCCAGATTACGACGTCCAGCGCTATTGGTTGTAATAGCACAATTATTGTCGTTTCGAACACCACACCATCTGTAGTCATTTCGGGTCCACTGCCCCCTATGTTGCTCCATACCACCTTGAGATTTTACAGCACTCTTCGCTATTCAGATCGCCACCTCCATAGCCCTTGAAGCTTTGTTTGAGGATTCCATATGTTGTATTGTCAATTATCAGCTGCGGAAGCTGATTCTACTAAGATCCTGCATGTATCCCTGGCTTTTAGATGCAGATTTGCTCCTCGATTTCCAAGCTTTGAGATCAGCGCATTTGGTGCCCCGAGCTAAGCATGAGGCTCAAGACAAGGCTACACTCGTTGCTCTTACTTCGGACGCGTCTGCAATTTGGGAACTCTTCCTCTGACACATATGCTGGTAGCTTTGCAGCTATGTCCAGACTGTTGCCCATCATAGTACTTCATGATGAAAGTCAGTGAATTATCAGTTAACTAAGATGGCTCGTCCAAGTTCTGCCTGGACGGATATGGTTACAGAACAAGTTCGTCTTACTGGCTCCATGTGACCAACTCAATCTAATCCTTACAGCCGAGATATACCTACGGCCTTCGAGTTCTCTATGATGCTGGCCATAAAGAAAGCAACGATGCCCTAGTCGAGTCAGTCAAGGTGTCTCAACCCTCTGCGAGCGCAAGGCTGACATGCCGAAATTTTGGTCGCGGTTCACGGGATTGGTGTACACCCAAAGAGTGCATGGTCGAAAGCGGGCGTAGACTGGCTACGTGATGAACACATGTTACCGGATATCCTTCCTCAAATCAGAATTATCCAATTTGGCTATGAGTCGGAATGGTTCGGTCGTGATGCGATCCAACAAAGGCTTCCTCTCGTCGCAGATCAGTTGCTACGTGGACTGATGGGCCTCCGAAAAGTGGGTACCCTGGATGAAATTAAATGCCTGCAGTCGAACACTGACTATGAAGAAGTCCTGTCCACAGAGACCACTCGTCTTTATGGGTCATTGTTTTGGAGGCCTTGTGATTGAGAAGGTATGTATTGGGATCCGGAAACTCTGCCGATCTCGGCTGACGAACCATCAGGCCTTGATATCTGCAAAGCTTCATGACACCGATTTTCCTGGAGTTGTGCAGTCCACCGCCGGAGTCATATTTTTGGGCACGCCCCATCGCGGGTCGAAATCCCAGTCCAAAGCTGCTGTGATTGCAGCAATAGCCTCTGCCATGGGTTGCGGTGAAGATACCAGCCTTTTAAAAGCAGTGGAGAAGGATTCAGAAATGCTCCATGATCTTCTCTACGATTTCACACGGACTGTGAACACGGCTTCCATACCCCTTTTCTGCTTTTTTGAGCAGCATAAATCTGATATCTCCAAAATAGTGAAGCCCAGAGGTTCCTTTCTCCCGGCTTATAAGGTACGCCGTCCGACATTTCCAACATCCTTCTAATGTAGAACCAGGAATTGGTGGTTGATGAAAATTCCGGCTGCATAGATGGCTTTCCAAAGTTGGGTCTTGCTTGCGATCATTTTCAGATGTGCAAGTTTTCTGATCCAGAAAATCCAAACTTTCGTCTCATTTGTCAAGAAATCCGTTCGTTTGTAGATACTGCACCTGAAAGGGTTCGCAGTAGACTCAATCGTAAGTGCCATAATTTGACCTGGAGCCCTTGCAAATGCTTACAGAGCGTTAGCATCGGATATTGCACGACAGATGTCAGGTGAGTATTCAAAACATTCTAAGATGCTTCTTAACGCTTACAATGACTATCCTAGCCATTGAAGAAGAGCGTGACCTTGCATGCCTCCGTGCGCTTTTTATCACAGATCCTCTGGATGACATGGAGAAGATTCAGAACAAGCAGGATAAACTTTTAGAAGGGACTGGTGCTTGGGTGCTGAGCGACTCTACTTTCACCAGCTGGCTGAACTCAGATATTGGGCGTCTGCTCTGGCTCCATGGCGACCCAGGCAAAGGGAAAACTATGCTTGCCATCTCACTGGTGAAGGATCTCACTGAAAAAGTAAGACTTCAAGGATCTGCAACAACGTCAGCATTGGCATACTTCTTCTGCGACAATAAGGACTCAAGAAGGAAGACTTGCACATCTGTTCTACGTGGTTTGATCTATCAATTGATTTGTCAACGACCGGAGCTTTGTGTGCACCTTCGTGAACAATATGAAAAGCAAAAAGAGCATTTATTCTCTTCACCTAACGCTGCACAATCACTTTGGCGCATATTTCGTGACATTGTTAGCTCGGAAAGTCTTCAACAAATATACATCGTTATTGATGCCCTTGATGAATGCGAGATAGAATCCATAGATACTCTATTAACCCTAATTGATCCGGCATCCGAGCCTGAGCTTACAGATCTTGCTGATCATGCGCTTCCTCCATCAGGGCCTGGAGGCTCAACCAAAGTCAAATGGCTGGTGATAAGTCGCAATGATATCGCAATCAAGCAGACCCTGGCGGAAAGTTTAGGTATTAGCCTGGAAGATAATGAGACTTATGTGACCAAAGCCGTCAGGCAGTTCATCGTACTCAAGACAAATCATTTACAACATCGGAAGAATTACAACAGGGAGCTGAGGCACATAGTCGAAAGTCAGCTTCTTGAAAAAGCAGAGGGTACATTTCTGTGGGTAGCGTTAGCTTGTCGTGAGCTCGCAAAACCTCGAGTACTATCTGTCAACACGATGAAGGTACTTTCTCAACTCCCTTCAGGTCTGACTCCGATGTATGAGCGCATCATGGAACAAATCCTCGTCCCTGAAGACGAGGAGCTTGTCGAGATCGCAAAGTCTATTTTCCGCGCAATGGTAGTCGCTTTTAGGCCATTAAGTCTTGGTGAGTTGGGCTTGGTAGCAGATCTTCCAACAGAGCATCGACACAATATTCCTGTCATAAGTGAATATGTCAGCCAATGCGGCTCCATGGTGACGGTGAGGGATCACGTCGTCTACTTCGTTCACCTTTCGGCAAAGACCTTTATTCAGACCATGAGCAGCACCCAGATAGTATCAAGCGACATCAGTACAGACCACGAGTTCTTGGCATTGAAATGCTTTGCTTATATATGTAAGGAACTATCGAAAGACCACCACAGACTCTCGCATCTCCACGACATCGAAAGTGGTGAAACAGAAATTGAATATCCTATTCACTTTTGGCTCGATCATACAAGATCATCTTCTTTAGGGATCACTCGAAGCTTTGATCTGTGCGATCCGTTCTTTGATGGAGACTCAGTCCAAAGGCAATTGTGGTTCGAAATTTACTGGACTAAGGTCCATGCGAAGTGGGAGTCATGCCCTTCCTCATTCTCTGCGCTTCATTTAGCGGCGTACGCTACGCTTCCTTGGCTTGTCCAGGCTCTCCTTCAGGAGAAGGGTTCCACCGTCGTTCATGCTTTAGATTCATTAGGCAACACCCCGCTGCTATGGGCCGCCAAGAATGGATGTCGAAGCAGTGTTCAGATGTTACTTGAAGCTGGCTCAGATCGAAGTCACAAGAACCACGAAGGTATGAATGCCTTACAATGGGCTGCTGGCAATGGTCATGTTGAGGTACTTCAAGCTCTGTTCGACGGAAAGGAAAGCCTAGAGATTACAGACAAGAACGGCTGGACACCCTTGCATCGGGCTGCCTACAATGGTCATGTCCAAGTCGTCCGCCAGCTACTGGACTTTGAAGCCAACATAGAAAAGCTTGATGGATCTACATGGACAGCTCTAACGAGGAGCTCGAGCAGTGGACAAACGGAAGTCGTGAAACTATTACTTGACAAAGGCGCGTCAATTCATACATTAGACAGGGAGGGTATGACGCCTATGCTACATGCTGCGTGGGGTGGTCATACCCAAGTTGTTCGCATGCACTTGGAAAAAGGATGTGATGTAAATCATAATGATTTTAACGACTGGACCGCCTTACACAACGTTTCAAGCAACGGCCATGTCGATGCAGCCAAATTCCTGCTCAAGAAGGGAGCCAATGTACAAGCCAGAAATACTGATGGAAGTACGCCATTACATTTTGCGTCATGGTCTGGTCAACATGAAGTGGCTACGACGCTAATCGATGCTGGTGCACATGTTGATGCTGAAGATGATGAAGGGGAGACCCCTTTACAACAAGCAGCCTGGAGAGGTCACCGACTGACATCTAAGGCCATCATCGACGCAGGGGCTGACGTTGACAAAAAGAACGCCGTAGGACACACTGCTCTTCATCAGGCAGCAAGCAGTGGAGAAGAATTCATTGTCTCAATGTTGCTTGAAAGTGGAGCAGATCCAACACAAGTCGATAAATACGGGCAGAGTGCTCGTGCGCTCGCAGAAACCAATGAGCATGACAACACCGCCAACCTCATCAAAATTAGGGAGCGAGAATTGGTCATTTCTTCTGTCAGAACAGACACGCCTGTCGATAGACACCCGCTGGACGAGGCCGTTGCTGAAGCTTTGGGTATTCAAGCAATATCTTCTATCGCTGAGCCACACCAAGCCGCGGGTTTCTTTTTGCCGGAAAAGATCACTGCTTTGGTTGACGGAAAACGCAAATTGTTCTACATGAAGTCTGGCTCCAACAAAGAGATGTTCGAAAGTGAGATATAGTTTCCCCACAGTAAGCAAACACTGACCTGCTGGCTAGGTGAACATCTGTCACTTATGCTTCTACACAAAGCTGTACCTACTTTATCGCCAAAACCCCTCGCTTGGGGAAAATTCAAAGATTCGAACACTTGGTACCTAGTGACAGAATGGGTGGATCTCGAAGCCAATGAGGAAGACACAGGTATGGAATTTGGTCTGACCTTGGCCCAAAAGGTTGCAAAGCTGCACACAACCATCGCACCCGTACCTGAAGGGCACAAGACCCCCATGTTTGGTTTCCCCATTACAACATACTGTGGGTCAACCCCTGTCAACAACACTTATTGCGGCTCGTGGGCCAAATTCTACTCTGAATATCGCTTGCGTGCTCTTGCTCAGATCATAGAGGAGAATCATGGCACGGACAAGGAATTCACAGATGCTCTCAACATCCTCATTGATAATGTTGTACCTAAGCTATTGGGTAATGGCCACCTAGGCGGGAAGCAAGGAATCTCGCCTGTACTAATCCACGGCGATTTGTGGGAAGGTAACAAAGCCAAAGCCAAATTCGACGACAGGAATGGCCTTGAGCCCGTAACCTTCGATCCAGCTTGCAGTTACTCTCATTCAGAATTCGAATTGGGACTCATGCGAATGTTCGGGGGGTTCTCGGCTGGTTTCTTCAATGAATACCACCATTTGATTCCGAAGACGGAGCCGAAGAAGGAGTACGAAGATCGCATGCAATTGTATGAGCTGTGAGTAATTCCTGATCCTTTCGGCATTGAGGCTACGAATCTCCCGCTCACATCGAACTGCTAGATGGCATTATATGAACCACTACGCCATATATAGTGGCGGGTATCGAGAGGACGTCATGGATGCTGTGAAGAAGCTCTGCCGAAAATTTGCCAACGACGGATCGAAGTCATAAGACCACAATTCACCTAGACCGCTAGTTCTTTCATAGAGGTAGCTAAATTGAGCAGTAGACTAATGAACAGTTAGATATATTGATCGATCGTCTTATGTATTGAAAAGTTCAAAGACATTGGGGCAATGGTCGAGATGCCCATTTGTCGACAGATATGTGACATCTGACGTTTTCACCACCAAGATCAACTCGATTTAGGTTGATTCTAGATGATAGTCATCTCGTTATTTTCCCGTGACTCATCTCGCTGGCATGTCTTGTGAACGAAGCCTTTCTCCTGCAATGAACTCCATGTGTGCAGGTAATTCACTTGTCGCAACACTTCTGTGCGCCATCTCGATAGGCTTGTTGGACGTATCCATCTCTAACCTCATGTTCTCAACGGCGTTTAGCTCAGGCATGTGATGTTCAGGACTCGGTAGGGCAACTGTCACATCGGCACTGCGACGACGAAGTCGCACAAGGCAAAGGCTCAGGAAGACGATCAACGCTAGACCTAGAACACCGCCGACAGTGCCTCCAGCTATCGCACCTTTGTCAGTCCCCGAAGAGCTTGCCTCTGGTTGAGGAGCAGACTTGATGGTGGAGTTCGCATGATCTAAGTCAGTGGTGTGCATGAACCAACCCTTGACAACGTCATTGGACCAGATGGGCTCTCGCCCATTTCTTTGGTAATAATCTTTGACCGCATGTGGGGTAACATACCGCGCTGCATTTGCATCGTAGCCGTCCTTCCACTCCATAGCTGTCAAGTCGAAGACACCGATACCCTTTTCCCACGGATCTTGAATCCCTGTCTGTGAATTGATATCACTGCTTGCGTTCAAAACTGTCCCTCCTATGACAGCCATTTGCCTATTGCCGATCGCATTGCAACTGTGAGCCCATCGGCCCGTGGAAGGCGTGCCATTCTGTTTCTGCCAATTGAAGGATGGTAGAGAAAGCACGAAGACAGATCCTTGCGCCACAGTACTAACGATGTCTTCACCTACACGACCGCCGTACCAAAAGATCTTTTAATATTTCTTTAGCGTTCGAATCCATCGAGTCCGCGACGTGTCTTACCTCATAGGTACCATCATCGCCTGGGACACCGACAACACATGGATTCTTCGCAGCTTGAGGCTTTGTGCCAGTAGTCCTTTGGATCGACCATTGCTGCGAGATTGGATCAAAGACCGGGACACTTTCAGTACCAGCCAAAGCACCGTTGTCTACGGTGCCTCCAAAGATCAACAGAAGGCCGTGCATTCCAAACATAGGGACGAATTGGGCCGCGCCATCTAAAGCAACTCCACTAGCGCTATAGCCTACCGAAGAGATGTTGTACCAAGCTTGGGAAGACATATTATACATGACCAGTCCAGGCCTAAGTTGGATGTACCCAGCTGGATGTTGTGATAGATCTGAAGTGGTTGAAGCAGCCTCACAGCCACCCAGGGCAAAGCCCAAATCCAGTCCAGAAGCATACAGGCCGGTTGAAAGACGGACTAAAGTTGAAAAATTTGACGGAGGAACACTCTTGGACCAGATTCCAGCATTGCCGGAAGGTGCGAATGTCCATAGCAGATTTGATGGCGGGCTTGGGTGAGCTCCACCAGGCCCGTGGAAGCTGAGGGAGCCGTCATAGGCATAGAAGCAATGCCTCTGCTCATCGACCCATAATGCATGAAGGACCAGTGCTGGTCCCTGAGAAGGGATTGCATTTAACAGTACAGTACTATTATTCCACGAGGAAGATATGTCGATAGCGTAGGTGGTATTACCTGGACGCCTTAGCTAGACGTTTCACGACGAGATGTGTGGGACTCACTTGCTGCTGTACTCAAATTACCGCTACTATATGGCTCAGTCCCATTGATATCTCGTCTCGTCACCTCTCCACCATCTATATAAAGACGCTGGTCAAGGACGGCAGCTGGCAATTGGATGTTTAGATTCGTTCTTGAAGCTCGATCCGAACATTTTGCTTACAAGCTTGACCGTGCCAATGATGAAAGTTCGGAATGCTTGACTCAGTACCATCCGAAAAAAACGCTGTCTGGCAACGTGCTCTGAGTGGGACGAGTATGATTATGATGAGAGAGCCTTGAAACACCGTCCCCAAGAATGAGGCCCCCATGGTAGTCATACACTAAGAATGTCGTTACGGCTGATGAAAGCTGTATTGCCTATTCTCTTTAATGCTGCAAGGGGAAAGGTGACGAGGAGACGTGTCATTGTCGTTGCCTGATCATCTTCTATTAACAAAAGCAGGCTGGTCTGTGGGGGACAGTGTTTTTAATTCTGCGGTACGGAAGCACTGCCACACTCAAAGATCGATTAGAAAGCCAGTGATCGGACATGAATCTTCCTTGCTCTTTACCTATGGTCGTGTACGTCTTGCGTCTTCCCATCTCCCGCTTGGGCAGATGCATCACGACCACGTACGCTGATTGGCACCGGCCCATTTATCTACAGGATTGACATGTCACGATGTCAGTATTCATGCCTGTATAATTCAATTAACAACAGCTACTAAGGTTATCGGCCCTACTCTAAACACTCTTACGAACTCGGGACAAGGCTGAAAGCGCCCCTTTTCTGTGTTGTTGCGAGCAATAATCTTGCGAAGGCTTGGCAAAAACCATTGCGTGCCAGAAAATGTTCTAAAACCCCTTCAGAAGAACAGAAATTGGCATGAAAAGAGAAGTATACATAGCAGCTTGAGTTGTGACTAATTTTTACATTATTGAGAGCTTTGAATACCGATCAATTCAAGATTGGAGATTTGTTCATGATGCTCTTAGGGTCAGGTTCTAGTAGTAAGGTAGGCGGAGCACAATTGTTCTTGCCAAGCCTTCGCAAGATGACTGCTCTCAACAAAGGCAAGATCAGCACCAGTTTTAGTCCTTGTGTCCACGAGCCTGCATGTGATAATAATAGTAGTGAACATTGCTTGTCTCTTAGCCAGACACAGGCCTGCCTTCTAATCCAGCAGGTATCTCAAACTCAGCGGATACAGCTTTTGTGGTCAGGTGAAATCCAGAGTGCTGATTGTGAGGCAGTTGATAGGGATTTCCCTTGTGACCCAGCCTTAAAAGCCTTGCGGAGGCTCAAAGCTACGAGTTGTCACAAATCTTCTACTGCACGCTCAAGGGGACTTATTAGAATGAGGACACCGAAATCTACATTGATGAGCAAGTGGTTTCTGCAAACTGAGCTTATCGACCATACTTCCTTCAGTCATTCCGTGTCACCCGCTCTGCCCACTTCACTCAACGCGTTTCCTTGCGATCAAGAACAAATGCTTCTCCTCATCACACTTCGCCTCCTTTGGCGGGCTAAATAAATCCCTCTGTGTCTCCACAATTTCAAAACCCGCTCCCTCCAACAGTCTCTCCCACCCTTTTTTGGTAAAAAGTGTCAAGTACACCCTACTGCCCATGAACGTAAACGGAATACCACTAGCACACTCTCCATCCTCGTCATACATCTCCTCCCTTGTGCCCTCAACGTCCTCTGCGCCCATCGTCGCGATCAGTAAATACCCACCCGGCCTCAACCACCGAGCCCAATTCGCTACCATGGTCGTCAATTGAGCCCGCGTTAGCTCAAACAGCGATAGACTTGCTGTCGCGCCGCCAAAGCTTCCAGGAGGGGGTGAGTAAGAGAGCATATTGCACTGTTCGAATGTTGCAGTGGGGACTTGCTTGCGGCTCAACTCAATCATCGCCTCTGAAAGGTCGATACCGTGAACAGACCGATTGGCTGAAGCGATCATGTGGGCGACAGGCTTGCCTGTGCCAGATCCGCAATCGAGCACGCGGGCATCGGGTGAAAGGTAGCTGATGAAGCGCTCGACGACACGGAGGAGGCCGGCGTCATGACCGAAGACGTCTTCATAGTCTTTGCCGAGAGCGTTGAAAAGACTTTCGCTGCTGACGAATGGCTCACCTGGGAGGTAGGCTTGAGGCATCGACGCGGCTCACAGAGGGTTGTGTAAGAAGGATTGCACTTAGATGTTGGGCACCGTAAGACGTGCGGGGCTTCTGCATTAGCTTGGGAATGGGCGAAATTCTTATTTCCTCTCGTGCAGCGAATGCGTTGAAGGCTTTTCGAAATATGGGCCGTTTAAAGCAGTGCATCTCCTCAAGTTACGGGCCGTAGATGAAGTGGATAGTGCGACGGCTACACTGCTAGGGATTGCAAATGGTCCTCAAAAGCTATAACATGACCACCATCTCGCGTCACTGCTGGCTGTGGGTTAAGCAGCGATCTTAAGCCGCCCAAATCTAGGCTGTCGGTAGTGCCTCTTTGGTTACCACCATCTAGAGGATGCGGGAGTCTTGGCACTTCATGCTCTTCTGCACTCCCTACGCGAAGAGATTCTCCAAAAGAATCCTTGCTAGGTAGTTTCCTCCTCTTGTGAGAGTCTGTTCTCTGGCGTTGGTACGAGCTCGCATGATACGACTGGATTTTGAAGATCAATCTGTCGGGCATCAAAAACATGACGACGGGTTTGCAAGCAAACAAGCAGGCACAGAGTATTGTAACATTTGCCTCCGCAGTCGTCCAATTGATCAACCCGACGGTGTCCCCTGAGACGCCTTCAGCAATAGCAGGGAATGCTGCTCAAGTAGACTCACATGTGGGGTCCTCTAGGGAGAAGAACGCATGGCTATACCGTATACAGCTCACTATACAAGTCCTGAAACATGTCAATGGCTATGTAGTTTCATCGAAATAGAGACAGTAGATTACCAGGCTCCAACGAGAAAGAGTCCCGTCAAGGCAGCTTTATGACGGGTTGAGGTATGCAATTTCCAGACCATTGGTAGAGGTAGGACCAAAATGGCGAAATCGGTGATGATCCACGGTAGAGGGTCAAGAATGTCCAGAACGTATCGATTGCCACAGTGGCCGGGGACTTTTGGGTCCCAATTCGATTTGACAGGAAGGCAGATGAGCGCTCCAGCCACTGAAACAGAGATGAACCAGCCAATCACAACGAACATTAAGATCTTTGCAGTCAATCTGAAAGCTTTGGTGATGAAAACGCGATGCAGGAGGATGAGAACCGACATCTTCGCAGATCCCAAGACAACCGGTTGCGTTATTGAGGCGACATAGAACACCTGTAGACTTTATGAGGAGCGTCGTGATACACGGTGGTTGAGGTCAAACCTTTTCGTAATCCGAGACTTTCTTTGGTGGCAAAGACGCGTGGTGACGTCCTAATCCGGCATATTTGGCAGCTAAGGGGCTTCAGTCGACCGACTTTAGACAGACCCAAGGTTCATGAAGGCATACACCAGACGTGTGCAATTGTCTGTGAGAGACACAATGCCTATTGACGAATCAGCTAGCATCACTCTCTGAGCTTTGAATGACTGACAAAAGCCCAAATGAGTAGATAGTCATCGATCTGGAGAGTTTTGCGGACCATGACTTTGGATGTCAGGCGTGCAGCGAGACCGATAGCAGCGACGCCGAGACACAATCCAGCAACCCAAAAGACTTCAACTTCTCGGGTCTCATTTTGAGCTGACATGGCTCGAAGAACGACGAAACGCCCAAGAAAACCCAGCGTGAGAAATTGGGCTGGCTTTAATAGCCCAGGACGCTGGAGATTTGAAGTGGTTTGAGCCTCCTCTCGCGGGATGCTACATTTTCGGTGGCATTAGGAGTGATATTTTTTTCACCTGCTTCTCGCACAATCACACAATATTCTCCGAGCAGCTGCAAGCTACCACACAAATCGTATCACTGCTATTGGAGAATTCCTGGGTGACAGGGAAGCGAATCCTTCGGGGTTATAAGCAAAGCTCCAGAGGATTCTGACTGCATTAGTGCGAAAAGTCCCCCAGCGGTCGAGCTCGATGCAAGGGTGATCGAGAACGCCACGGTATTGATGCACTACGACCAAGAGTGCATTACCATGTGCTTGCTGGAAATGACCTATATTATGTTAAGGTGACAACTCGTTTCGGTCTTGATGATCGACATATTCCAAGAGAAAGAAAGACAGCGTAGGAACGGTCCGGGGCAAGTCCACGGAAGATCGCGAACTAAAGAACGTCATATGTATAGTGTCAGAACTAAGCAGCTATTTGTAAGTATTCCTGTTGATCCTATTCGCCTTTGGTCAGCCTCTTCTATGTGCCTCCCAATCCTTCACTCCACCATCAACACACCGAGACGTGGGGCAACTTACCTCCGAGATCTGGATGACGCACTCACGCACATAACGGATGGGTGGCTGCATGACCTGAACTTCACTGCCGGTGCTTCTTCCAATCCATTGCACGAGGGTCTTCTTGCAGTACAGAGTACATTCTCCGCCGCCAGCCTGCATTTTATCCCGATTGATTGCTCGTCACATTATCGATCGACACCAAGACAATTAAATGGCTTGCGCAATGGGGTTCGGAGCAAGCACTACTTACGGGTTCTTAGTAATAGCCTTGTGTGCATTACTTTCTCTCGCATTGCCTTCACCAATCGAAGAGCCAAGCCGATCAGTAGATCGTTCAACACACCTCAGACGGGATGATACAAGTTCTCTGACAATGAATGTCACCGACGCACACAATTTCGAGCAGTCGTACAGGGCTCACTCGTCTGTTTTGGATGACCCTTTCTATACTGTCCCCCCCGAATCCGCGTATGCTGCAGCGGGATCGTTGCTAAAGGTGGAAGTGTCGACAAACACTTCACTTTATACCTTACCACCGAACCTCTCTCTATCCCGCTTCATGTACCAGTCCAAGAAATCCAATGGAAGTCTGGTACCGGTATCGGGCTATATTCTGTGGCCTTATGCGGCAAAGTCGAATAACAATAAAGGGTATCCGATGGTTGCATGGGCCCACGGCACCAGTGGTAGCGCAGCCGAGTGTGCACCCTCCAACATACAATTCCTCTGGCACCAGTTTCAAGCCCCGTACCAGCTAGCTTTGAACGGCTACGTTGTCGTCGCCACAGACTATGCAGGCTTGGGAGTCTCCCGAGATGCTGCAGGGCAGCCAATCGTACACGAGTATCTCAACAGGGCTATACAAGCTACCGATCTTTATTATTCCATACCGGCAGCACAGCAGGCTTTTCCAGAACTTTCCCGGGAATTCATAGCTGCTGGCCAGTCTCAGGGAGGTGGTACTGTGTGGTCGTTCGCTCAGAAAGTCGTCTCAGAGCCACTGCCCGGTCATTTGGGCACTGTAGCCTTGTCCCCCGGCACAAGTCTGTTTGATTTGCCCACTGATCAGCCAATCATCAAAATAGTTCTGCTGTATTTGGTGCCTAATCTTAGGGCAAACTATCCAGACTTCAATCCTACAGACATCTTCACACCAGTAGGAATGCAGAGTCTCCAGACCTTGACCGAGCTGCAAGGCTGTTCTAACCTTGTCAGTCAACTCATTGAATCGGACATTCTCAAGCAAGGATGGCAAAACAACCTATCTATTCAGGAATTCAACAAAGTATCAACCACTGGAACACAGGCAATTGGAGGTCCAATGCTCGTTCTCCAAGGGGAAGCAGATCCAGTCGTCAATGCGCCGAAGGTGGAGGCCGCAATCAATGACACGATAACGAAATTCCCTGATTCTCAAATCGAGTTCCATCTAATGCCAAACGTGACTCATGCCCCTATCATGTACGCTGGATTACCTATCTACCTTCAGTGGATCTCGTCAAGATTTGCTGGAGAGCCTGTGAAGGCCGGCTTTCAAAACTTCACCGCAACCCTTGCCAGACCCACCGCAATCTATGAAGCAGATGCAAATTGGTTTATCCAGAAGCAATCAGAGTCTTATCAGGTGGCATAGAGTCTTGAGTAAGACTTCATAGCAATAGACATCTGGGGTGAAAGGGTGTTCCGTACTTCAAGGAATAATTGGGAGGACACGTAAGGCCACATCTAATTAGATGTGAATGTAATCATCAAAAGGACATGCCATGCACCGGTCGAAATTGTCAACAGCTGAGTCTGAATAGATCTAGGGGTCTTACAAGGGCACAATTTGCCGCTTACAGGGAGGAAGGATGGCAGGTGCTAGATGACATGTCTCTGTAGTTCATGGCAGCCCAGGGTCGGCTTTGATATTCTCAATCAGACGCATCACGGCAAGTAGAACAATGAACAGCGATTGTTTATGAAAGCACGTCGTCAGAGTAAGATTGTCGGCCTGGCGAGGATGATTCGATATTCAACGCAGCGTTGAGCTTTGAGCTGCTCCCCGAAGTCACGGAATTGAGTTTTAAATACGGCGCTAGATTAGCGCTCTGGTTCAGTCCTAAATGAATGCCGAGGATTCTTGAACGCTTCATGCCTCATCTCGCATTTTCGTTGCAGAGGGAAGATGTCTGCACCGGTCCTCCCGTTTCTATATCCTCACTTGTTTAAGCCTCTTTTACGTCGAAGACCCAGGCATCCTCTCAAGTCTTTACCTCGATGTCAAGACATCCCACAAAAAGCAGCCTTCAGCATTTCACATAAACACCGGCAAGAAACTTACGCCCAAAGATATGGCACGGCACAAGAACCGCAAATTCCGCCTCCTACTTCATCAGAACCTCCTAAACTTCCGGGAGATGACTCACTAGCAAGTGCCATCGAAAAGGAAGTAAAGCCGCCAGAATTGCAAGAGAAAAAGACAGAGGCGCAAGACAGTAAAGCTGTCGCGAAGCAAACGGTCGAAGGACCCTCCAAGCAAGACAAGGAAGATAAAAAAGAAGAGACAACTCCAATGGAAGATCGTGGCAAAGCAATAGAAGCTACAATGCAAGACCCCGGCGAGCGTGCCAAAGAATTGGTACCAGATCCTCCTCCCGAGCCAAACTCTCCCAAACAGGACGCTGCATCTCACGGATTGGCAACGGTCATGGCAATGCCGGCACCAACGGTTGAGAAAACAGTTGAAGAACACAAAACGCCGCACCTCGCCACGCCACCCTACGTACACAACTTCGACACCTACACGCTGGTCAAAGACCTCGAGCGCGGCGGCTTTCAATCCCGACAGAGCGAAACGACCATGAAGGGCGTGCGGGCGCTTCTCGGCGTGAATCTCGACGTTGCAAAAGACGGACTGGTCAGCAAGTCAGACGTGGAAAATGTAAGTCCTCCCAGCTTTCCCCCTCTTTTCACCTACCAATCTTCATCTCGCTCACACGCCTCTTCAAATAGGAAACCTACCTTTTCCGCGCCGCGTGCTCCGAACTCCGCACCGAGATCCTCAACCTCCGCAAATCCTCAACCCAAAAAGCCCACTCGAACCTCACCCACCTCCAACACACCTACGACATCCTCTCGCAGCGCACAACCAACGAGCTCGCCGCCCTGCGCGATGAGCTGAAAGGCATGCTAAACGATCGCCGCATGGACAACCAGTCCTCGAAGCAATCCCTAGATTCCAGCATCACGGAGCTGAATTACATGATCTCCACGGCGATTAGCAGCGATGCGAAGAGCGAGATTGAAGGGCTAAGATGGGTGCTTACGAGACGGGCGGCAATGACGTTGGGGGGAATGGTGGTCATGATTTTAGGGGGCTTGCAGTATGGGAGGTACAAGACCAGGGAGAGGCAGGCGGAGGAGAAGAGGAGGGAGAGTGCGAGGGGGGAGGGAAAGGAGATAGGGACGCAGACACAAGAGGCAGAGGTGGCTGTGGGAGCAAGTCGTCGAGATGGTGATGGTGATAGCGGTGGCAGCAGTAGTAGGGCAGAGGCAAGTGCACTTGAAGGGAAAGAAGGCGACGTTGGATTTGTGTCGCTGGGTTGAGCACACCCGGAGAGGGAGGCTTCAGATTTCGTCTGATACTTAGTTTGGCGGAGTTTTGGGATTATACCCCCTATTGCGCAATCGTCATCACATATCTATATTCAGCTATCAATCATCGTCGTTTTATGCCAACAGCCCAAAGAGCAAGCTCGTCCGCTTCCAGTACTCAGCTGCGCTCTTCCTGAGGCGATCAACTTCTCTCGTAGACAAGTCGATTTCTTGCCCACCGATTCGTTTTGGCAGATCGGTCAGCCGATATATTCCGGAACCTGCAGGCTCTTTTCGATCCACAACGACGGCTTCACCCAAATAGAACAAGTCGAAGAGAATTTGCACGCTGATATCCTTTGCTATGGATGCGTCCTGGGTCGCGTTATCGTTTATGGAGACACCATTCGCTTGGAGACTGGCTTCCGCATTCATCGAGCTATCGCCGCCTGTCAAATCGTCGTTGCGCACATTTGCGGTGTCATTTGCGTCAGCGGACTCTCCGTTCTCAACCGTAACATGTTCCTTCGTGTCGCCGTTGACAGCTCCATTGACCTGTCCCTCGCCCTTTTGAGACATGTCTTCCACCACTCCCGCAAGCTTGCTGTTCATAGCGTCTTTAACCCTCCTCACCGCAACTGGAGTCCATATATCCGCGCCTAAACTCGCCATTGCTTGCGTCACTTCCATTAGCAAGCGATATGCCCATGGCGAAGGCAGAAGAGGTAGCTCGGGGTCACCTTCCCAGAGAGCTCTTGCATGGAAACGCTTGCTTAGACTCAACTTCATTATTTGCTTAGATCCTTTCGCTAGAGGAGCTTCTGCAGCTGCATGTCCTATGATTCCGAGGAGATCATGCAGAACACCTTCTGCGAAGTTTGGATTCTGATAACTGATCGGCAGATGTTGGCGGATTTCGCGGCATGAGCGGAGAAGAAAGACAGCAGGCCGGCTATCTTCTACACGTTGCTGTTTCAATTGCGATGCGCATGACTTCAAGGTTCTTTCCAGGTTAGCAAAAACTTTCCGGAGATCATTGAAGAGGCTCTCGTCTAAAGATCTGGGATCGTCTTCGCTGAGGAGTATTTGATTATTGTCGAGCAGGTCATCTTCGTCGTCCATATCGTCAAGTTCATCTTCCCACTTGATCTTCTTCGCTTCTAGTATGATTTTTTCTATACTCTCGATAGCCTTAAACCATTCGTCATACTTTGAGCAAACACCAGCAATCGCATCATTCTTGCCGGCAAAGATGTTGATGAGTTTCTGGCGGAAGGCCTTCGCCCCATTGCTGGTCTCCATAGACGTCATTTCGGTAGACCAGAGAGACGGCAAGGAGTCAGTGACACCTGGCTCCCAAAGCTCCAAATTCTCGTCCACTTCCTGGGCTACTGTCTGAAGCTCCATAGCCCTTTCCTGCACTAGCACGGCAGCTCTCTCGTTGAAAACATCGCGTAGACCATCCAGTATGACAGCCGTATCGACACCAAGAGCGTACCTCCGCTGCCCTAACCAAAGCTCAAGTACCTCTCTCCGTAAAACCATCAGCTGCTCTAGTTCTTCCACGGTTTGCGCGCGAGCTCTCAAACTTGTAAGGAAGCCCTCGATTGCTGGCTTGGCCCAAGTTCTTAACAATTTTTCCGCCTGAGGCTTCACGAGCTCGTCGTATCTGGTGTATGGTGTAAAGTTTCTGACATCATTCCCAAGCCAGCGCTCATGCACGTCCAAGTTCAGCTCTATCAGATCCCGAACCTCAGGACTATTCATGATTTGCAAAGTCCTGTCTTCTTGTAGTGCTCTGGCGAGCTGCGAAGGAACTATGGACTGAGTGTCGCGCAGGGTCTTCACATAGAGCTGTAGCGCTTCCAGCATTCCCTTTTGACCTATTGCACCCTCGCCCATTCGCCCACGCATAGCCTCAGAGCGTATGTGATGGAAATGCTTGACAATATCTGATGGACCCGAGCTTGTCGCCAGGGAAAATGCACACATAGCCTCAGTCAACGCCGGTATGTCTGCATCTACAGACTTGAAGTGTCCATCAATCCTTCTCAGCAATTTTCTGCGTAAGATGGCTAATCGCTCGCGCAGCTTTTCGAGATATGGCAGAGGACTGGGGCGTTTCGAAAGCTTCGTGTGAAGCAGGCGAGAGAGAACCAAGACCTTTGCTACCAGTAATAAGGAGCCGCCTGTCCTAAACAGTGATGATATGACATCCGGACACGCTTTGAGGACAGCGAGCTGGGACGTGAAGGCTAATTTAATAGCGTCTGAGGGCATCAGGTCAACAGTTGTAAATATATGCCAGCTAACATTGACTGAGGCGAAAGGCATACCTTTTGCACCAATTGCTGCTGTCCAGGTCTGTAGATTCGTGACCTTCCGATCTATAAGCCGATTATTGCATTTGCGTCCCAGTCCGCCCATCAATGATTCAACCTGGTGCATTTTCTCGTCCATGGATATTATGGAATCAGCGGTGGTGAGGAGGTCGCGGTAGCTTGCTCTGCATCATTGACAGATGTTAGCAGACTTTCTCAAATAAATCGGATTGCACGTTATAGCCGAGAAGGCATGAGAGCAGGGCATCACGACTTGCCCTACCAGCGTCCGTAATTTCTCTCTGTTCGAGTCGACGTCTCGCCGCAGTTGCTTCTCCATGCCCCGCACCGTGGGGATGGGATATTGGAACGCATCTTCCCATGACGAGAAGCCTTTAGGATCAGGACCTTCTGGCGCCATGGGAGATCACCTAGAGTAGGCCAAGGTGGTGAGGAAGGAAGCAGGTAGGGTAGAAGCTAGTAATCTTGAAATTACCCATTTGGGACAAATGCAGTTTGAGGTGACCTAGGAGCAGGCAAAGTCTAGATCACAGCAAAACAATTTCCTTATCCATGGGGAAGCCTTTGACTTTTACAACTATGTAAATTCTTTGGCTCTTTTCTATATCCTATACGTCCAAAGTACCCTATGCTATAGACTCCGTCCATTAGTATACACCGCGCAAATGCCTCTGCAATTCGATGGGTATCACTCGCGCCGTTCCATAATCCAATCCGTACGCTCATTCATGTCCACCCAAAGATTTCGCTAATGCTATGCATGTTGAACCAAAAAGCCGGCCATGCAACCAAAATCACAATCAGGTCCAAAACCAAGAGTAGTCCGGCAGCGGTCATAAAGCGGGGACTGAAGATTCTATACAGCATCAAGTGCCTCCTTAGATGTCCAGCCCACATCGTTGTTGCTAGATTAATAGTAGCATGGTAGAGCAAGAATGTTCCCAATGCATTCGAGACATCGCCCAATAATCCGTTTCGGCGGGCGGGCCGCTTCCACACTGCAATCAGAGGCACAGCCGCCGCGGTGAGTATCTGGGCGCCGTAGGTATTGGCCACGACTAGGAGTGGGGAGAAAGGATATTGAATGACCGATAGAGGAATGAAAGCGGACTCCCACTGGATGCTGGAGAGGGTTGCTTGATGGCCTGTTTTGAAGAAGTGAAAGCTGCCTAATGCCGCTAGCACCACAGGTCCTATTGCGCTTTTCGATAAATCGTTCACGTGTATGATCTCCATCAGCGAAAGAATCTGGATTGTCAGGATTGTAAGGGAGCCAATGCCCATAGGCTTTTGAAGGAGGCTTAGCCCGATGAGCAGAGTGATCACAAGGAGAAAGTAGCGAGTTCCGTGAGCGTTCAAGGAGCCGTAAATTTGGACCTTCTTGGGCTCTGCAATACTGTCATCGTACTTTTGCTCAACCTGGATGCTGATGCATGGTTTCGCATATATCCAGGCAGATGCGCCTCCGACAAGGGAGACGCCAAGTACAAGTCTAGCCAGAACAATCTTGATGGTCTTCAGAGTCGCTGTGTCTAGTGTGAGCCAATTATTGTCGTCAGCAGCATCCAACAGCCAGAATATAGCGACCGCAAGTAGACCAATCCTCAACACGAAACCAATCCAGATTGTAGCAATGCCTTCGTAAGAGCTTGTTCGTTTATAATATGCCTTGACTACGGAAGGTAGTAGTGTTGCTGTTACAAGTGGAATCAACAGCTGCCACGGCGCTGAAGTGGAAGAAGTCGTGGACGCATAGTAGGTGGATCTGCAGTATGGCATCTGTTCTTCGCGGCAAAGACGCGAGAAGGAAGCCAATAACGTCAGCACCCCAAAAATGAGGGACTGCATGATTCCGTAAATACGCTCAGAAGTATTCGCTCTTCTAGCTGAACTCAATAGCGTCATGGCGGCAAAAGCGACCAGAAAGAAAAAGAGAATCTCGTCTTCCCAAATCGTGTAGGAATTCGAAGCAAAACCAATCGACTGACTAATCGTCATGACAACGGCCATCCACCCCCAGACGGTTGTGGGGGAAGGAACCTCCCAATCGTAGGGTAGACGCATAAAGGCGACGACAAAGCCTAGAATGCTTCCCACTGCTAGTCCTCCTAACGAAGCATCTAGCAGCTTGGTCCGCCAGATCAAAGCCTCACCTAATAGTGCAGCCACAAGAGTCGCGGCCCCAGTCTTTGCCATCGAAGGCAAATACTCTGAAGCTGACGGCGCACCTCGCATCGACTGACACCTAGCAAAATATGCCAGGATAAGGAGCGTGCCGGCCAAGATGAAGACACCTACAATCATATTTGGTATGTCGAACCGGGCCCAGAGACTCCGGCATATCTGTAGATTTTGTTGTTGGTACAAAGCAAAAGCTTCATATGCTTCTCCAAATTGTTTTGTATTTCTGCCTTGAAGAGCAGATTGAAATATCTCAAATCCCTTGATCCACGAGTCTTTAGGCAAGGAGAAGACAGCGTCACTCAATCCTCTTGCCTGCGAATATGCTCGCTGATACCGATTGATCTGCGCAGCAGCCAATGCATTCACTGTTGCTAAGTTCTCCCAGTTCGGTCTCCCGGCGCCCACGAACGCTTCAGCAATAGGGGCTCCCAGATTGTTGAAGGGAATTGGCATGCCAAGCAAAAGGCCCAATGTCGGAACCAAATCGATTTGACCTACAGGCCGGTCTTTGGCATTTGGAGGTGGAGTAAGAAAGCCGTTATGGCCTCTTCCAAAAACAGCCTTCTTTGAATACATCCATAGAGCAGCCTCGACTTCATCATCAGACTCCCCTCCGTGGTCACCTTTCACATCCATTCCGTGGTCGCCCATGACGACTAGCAACGTGTCTTCGTCCAGTGTGTCAACCATTCTGCGCACCACACTGTCCATCTCCTCCAATTTCGCTTTTGTGGCGGGGTGATCGGGACCATATCGATGCCCCGCATGATCGACGCCTAAGTAATGCCCAAATATCACGTCCCAGTTGCTCTTCTTTGTGCCCTCCAGAAGTGGAAACAAATGCTCCGTAACACCATTATCGACGGTAAACAGGTCCCATACATTGAAGCTATCGTAAGCCCGCGTCAGATTCGTGTCGAAATATCCTGGAAATAAGCTATGCCATGTATCGTCCCCGAGATGCACAATTCTTCTCCCAGCATCTTTGAGTTGCGCGACTAGATTATCCTCTTCAATTGCAGTTCCCGCGAAATTCGATCCAGCATCTATAAATGTAGGTAGTGTTCCAGTGGTCAAGCCTTTCAAGCGCTGCAAGGTAGTGGTGGGCGGATCGGCAATGAAGGGAAGTAGGAAAGCTTTCGCGGGATACTGGGTTGCGGTCTCGTGAAGGACATGCAGTGCATTGTGAAAGTGGTGCGTCGAGCCTGGTCGTGGGACAGTAAAGTCATACCGTAAAGCATCTATAATTATTACGACTGCTTTTGTAAATGTTTGCGGGTGCCAGCATCCCGGCTCAGCATGAGAGGGTAGAGAAAGTGGAGGAGAGGAGCAGTCGGACTTTTCATTCAAGACAAGTCGCGTGAGCAGAAATCCTTTGGTGAAGAGGAAAATGCCGAGACCGTGGAGGAGGCTGTTGAGCGTTCGTCAGTATTGTGAGTAAGAGTCAAAGATCAGGGTCCATGTGAGAGCTCAATGGCGTACGTGATATAAAAGAAGAAAGTAGCGAGAACCACTATTGTAGCCTTGAATTGAACGCCTTTCTCCTTGTTGACTTGGGCCAGCCTCTCTCGAGGAATTTCTTTGGCCTTCACCTCCTTGAACTTGTCGGTGATGTCCTCCATTGTTGATTCTTACACTGTGAAGGCATCTCTGAATAGAACAGGCTCTCGGGACGAGCTGCATAGCAAGCTTGCCAGGGCAGACTGCATGCTGTCCGTATTAAAATTGTGGTGTTGACGAAATGGCTCTTGGCGTCGCGAAAAACATGATTGTACCTGTGCTCTGCCGTACATCGCGCAAATATAAAAATATTTTTCAAACAAATTGATCCATCACCAATTCCACTTCTATTTTCAAATGAGAAAAAAAGCTATAGATCGTTAATGAATCGACCAATCAATCAGTAATTTGAATCACCTATCAACTAGCTATCACCCTCTTACTTGCCGACAGGTCTGTTTCTGCGGCTTCAATGCTACTTCGTGGAGTATATGCCGAAAAGGCTGTCATCGTCTAAACATGCCCGCATTATTCTTGTTGTAAACAATACGACCGCTTCAGATGCTCAAGAGTTGTATTGTTCTGTCTGATCTTTGAAGGGATATCCAGTCCAACATTGTGGCTTTGCACTAAGGTGTCAAAGCCCAAACGTCACCTTCGAGTGACCTAGGTGTGACGCTACAGAACATGGAAGAATACCGCTACGCGAAGCTCGGATCTTGATCACCGATGCAAAGTAGAGATCTCGCTGTCGCTTGCAACGACGTTACAACAGGTATAGATCTAGTGCATATTCTCTCAGAGAGATGAAGCCTAATGACAAGGCCAACCTGGACAGCGATGTTGTGCTGTGTGCAGAGTATGGTGCGTGTGATACGGTCGGTAAGTCTTTGGAGGCTGAAATTCGAGGATTGGAGGCCGCTCTAGCTGCGTCGGTCGAATATTATCGGGCGGCTTTGGGAGTTGTACGACAGAGCCGCAATCAGATACGGAGTACGAGGCTCAACGATCGATAGCTTGCGCTGGACGTGTAGCTTGATGATGAAGGGACGATGGACCAGATCGGCCCCTATATCGAACTCCATGGGGTCAGTGTTAGGGATGTTTCATCGCCACGCCGTCGAGCGTAATGTGAGCGCCGCCCCATGCTTGTGTGTTTCAGCCTTGCAGTAAGACGGCCTAGAGGCTGGAGCTGCCGCTTCATCGCTAGCCTTGCAACAACACGATACGTTTCTCTATGACTGTTATTCCTGTTTATCACATTTACAAGAGCGGCTTGTGTGAAAGCATGCTGATACTCCTGTAGATCAGGCACTGCGACGATTGATCCCCTCATGCCTATGACGAAGGGCCAATGGCACTGGCAAATACGCTAAACCATGGCCTTCGTCTGGAAAGTATATTAGATACCCTATCTTCCCTTTGTTTCCACGACCTCACGCTTCAGCGGTCTTTCGTTCATCCTTCTTTCCGTCTCGCTTTCATCAAGTCAAGATTCACACCAAGATTTTCACTGCACCGCCATCTATCATGCAGCTCACCCGTGCACTCTTCATTGCTACCATCCTGCTATTCGTCTATGTTGCCGCAGACTTCCACATCCTAGATACAGAGTCGAACCCCAAGGAGGGTGGAAATAGAGACCTCTATACCGGCAGCATTCTCATAGCGAGTAACAAGTACTACTGTGGAAACTATTTCGGCGGGCGCGGAAACGGATTCATCAATGCCCCAGTCGAGAGCACCAAGTGCGCGGCCAGCTCACCACCCACGACAATGACGTTCATGCAAGGCGTATGCGGCTCAGGAAAACTAGATTTCTATTTTGACGAGCAGACTTACACATATGACTACTTTGTCAGTGAGGGGAATGGGCAGTCTCAGGGTACTTGCTACAGGAATGATGGTGCGAAGGCGCAAACATGCATAACCGTGGGGTTTTCGGTCGTTTCGTAAGTTGAATCTCCATGGTAGAGCTTAAGCTCATGAAGTGGGGTTGCCGAAGATTGAGCTAACTATCTCTGCAATAGCCACGAGCAATGGGTGTGTTATGGGAGCTTGTGCGGCTGATTTCATGTACAATATATTGCAACATGATGGAAGGGTTCGTTCCGAGTCATTACAGCTTTTCTACATAGACCTTGTTATTGAGAGGGTCAATCTGCCTCGTCGAATATGGACAAGTAGCATTCTACAAAGGTCGGCTGGTCAGCCCAATTTATCTTACTGTATGCAATATATATTTGCAGCAGGGAGCGCTCGTAACGATTAAACTTTGAATTTTGACTTGAATCAAGTACATACTTGCTAATCTGGCAGGGGCAATATGGCATCAGCGCCTGTCTCGACAAACAAGTTTCAACGCCACATCTTTCGACAACATGCCATGGAGTTTTTTTAGACAGTGACGATCCTTGGTTGTGTTGGCCAAATACGCCCTCCTTCTGCCAGAGTTAGCACCATTTCATGAGCTACAGATGATGCCACCTGTAGAGCCACCAACTTTGGTACTGTTCGTGACCCATCTGAGAGCAAAGTGTGATACTCATATCAGAAAGAGTCGAGGCACCCCTTACTATTCACGGGAAGGATGATCAAGCACTCTACACGATATCAGCAGAAATTTGTAAGCATCTTGAATATCTATGATATCAATAGATGCACACTCAATCTTTCTTAGTACAGATTTCCATGGCATCATGAATGGCGACCAGATTGCAGTACAGAACCCATAAATCAAGAATTCCAAGTACGTTAAAAAGATCCCCGGTCTGTGTGTACCTCTGATCTGCGAAATTGACTACCAAATTCGTTCATAAAAATGAGCTTCGATTAGATGCGAGTTTTAGAATCATGAGGACGTCTGGAAGCAGACTTTTGGTAGAGAAGATTGCCAACAGTTTCTTTGCTAGTGAAGTTATCCTGCTTACGGAAGGCCATGTTCTGGGTCAACAAGTCTTAGCCATGGTTCATCTTCTTCAAGACGCCGCAGGAGAATTCCTCGCTTGTCTGGAGCGGCCCCAGCACAATAGAGCAGTGTGCTCTGACCATCCTTGATTAACGCGATGTCTCCGTAAAGGTTAATGGTCCACCCAATTGCCGCGACGAATCCTTTTGCTGGCCCCCTGCTTCCGAGGGTTCGCTTGTTCTCATTGCGAAAATATTGCTTACAGGAGGAGAACGCCCACGCTGGGATCCCTGGGATGAAGAGGACATCACAGACGCTGGGTATCCCGTCACTACTCATGAAAGCGACCTTGACAAGTAGCGGTGTCATCTCGCACGCCGCTATTCGTGTGTGAGGATGCAGCTTTATGCTTGTTCTCAGAGCCGCAGTAGTGATGACTGGACTCCATTTAAGGTCTCCTGATCTGGGATCTTCGATTGCGTAAGTGAACGACAGCTGGCAATCTTTGCCAAGGAAGAACACAAGCAGATAATTCGTCGATGCCATGGCCACGATCGCACTTTCTTTCAGCGCTCTGCTAATCTGCTGTCCAGCAGAGCCCTGCCACTGGATAAAGCACAGAGATGCTTCAGTCGACTCGCCGAGAATGACTTGCATAAAGAATAGATAGATCTTATTCTTGAAGAGTACAACATTCAGATTTGTGAATGGATGTAAGTCTCCAAGTGTGTCTGACTTTGCCCACTGGGCATCTACATCTGAGGACTTTTTTTGGACTCGTTTGTACGCCTGGATCTTGTTTCTGTTTGACAAGTAGAACAGCAGCGTTTCTGTCGGCGAGGTTCTGATAACATTGAAGCTACGCATGCGTCGAAGATCTCCTTTCGGAACCACAATTGATGGCGTAGACCACAGACTAATGGTCTGCAATGGATCGTGAGTGATCTCGCGCTTGACGCTCATGAAGATGCTTCCATCCTGCGCAATTGAATACAACTCCTGGTCCACGACGACAAGCGGAGCTTCGGGCTCGATTTTCTGCATAGGAATGACTTGCACTCCAGCCTCAGCGGTCTTGACACCTGACTTCTCGAAACTACTATACACAATCTGGCTAGGGCCAAGGGAGGCAAAACGAGGATCCGCCTGCGGATACCGAGGGTCACGTACGAGGCTGACATTGAAGTCGAATTGGGAGACCGTCCCTGGGATACCCTCCCCCACACTGGCTATTAATGAGTCCGTGTAGCCGCTAGTTTTACCTGTTAATGTGCATTGACGTCCAACAGGGAGAAAAAGAGACTTTCGAAGCACGATCGGGTACCTTTCGCTCATAAAGCGCTGATAGTTCGACGAAGAGCTACTTTGTTTTGGCTCAATAGGATTGGGATAGGCCTTGTCTCCTTTCACATTGGGCAAATCTCCGTCTCGAGTTTCGATAAGCCAAATGTACAGATCCGGAAGCTCTGAAAGAACATCGTTGAGATTTCCAGCTCGAATGTACAATCCAGCTCTCAGAGGCAGCCGGCCACTCGGTTGAGTGGCTTGGAGTTCAGCGAACAATGCCTTGTAATATGGCATCAGGATCTTTGTCGGACCATATTCGTTGTCGATATAGACAACCATTCCTGTGTTGTCCCCAGGTAGGCTTGACACGATCGCTGCGATATGTTTGGCTGCGGCGATACCACGTTGAACTTTAGTTGCTTCCCAGTCCTTCGGAATTTTGACATACTCTTGTGTAGTGTCGGAGAATCCTTGATATAATGGCCAGAGCCCCCACCCTTGCTGCTCAAATTGTGCCCAGTTCTGCGTCCACTTGTGATCCGTCCGGCTTGCTGATGTCACAAGTTTCGGGTCTGCATCCTTAGAATTCAGATAGATGCCGGTAAGGTAAAAATCGGAATTTCCCAAAAGCGAGCGATACCAGTCTCGAGCCCAAGCCAGTCGGACGTTCTGATCTGACCAGTTGTTCTTCAAAGGTCTTGCTTTTGGATGGCGATTGTACTCCGGATCAGGATCGAGTTGGAGGCGGTCAATCCCCGAGAACGGCGACATAAACCAGTCCTTTCGGGCATTTTGGACTGCCTGGGGCATGTTTTCCTGTCAAGAGAAAGTTGTCACCATTCTAAGGAAGTCTGTCTTGAGCGATTTCGCCTTTGCTGGTGGCGTTGGTCTACGAAGTTTCGCTTATCCTTATTATTGATACTCAACAACGCCATCGTCGCAGGCTTCGTATCCAGGAGATCGAGGTCTGAATGCCAAAACTTTTAAGATTGGGTCGATTGTATCAGAGGGGGCTGATTTCTTATTCAAGACACCTTGGCGCCACCGCGTCGGCCACTAGAGGATCATACGATTCTTAGGGGGCAGGCTAGTTCTAAGCTGAACAATGTGGCTTTGGCCAGACCACCAGTCCCAGACGAGAGACTTCTTATATTGCTTAAATCCTCCCTTTCAGCTGCAATCAGGCCATAAGTCACATACACTCCACTTAAAAAGGTGGACTTGATCCATCCGTCTCTAGCACACATCTTCGCACCATGGAGTTGAAAAATTCAACACGAAGTTTGCCCAAAGTCACACATGTACCTCTGACAGTGAACAAGGCAGTGAATATTCCCGGTCGTGCTTTACACAAAGCTACTTTCCTGAGATCGCTAGCACTCCAGCCTGGCGAAGTTGACCGTGCTCTCAACCATGGTGAAGCTCACCATGACCACACCGGAGGGCATCATTCTGATGAAGCCAAGGCTGCTGTGTCCTTTGAGGATAAAGCAGTAGAGCACCCAATGCGTCAAGAAGACATCAAATCGCTTCTTCGCTCGTTCGAAGGGAAGAAACTCCCCTTGGAATATCCGTCTCCAACTACTCTCGCGGACATCTCATCTTCTCAACTACTCGAATTTGGGAAGCGACTCTTGAGCGTACGCCAAGCAGCCCTGGAAAAGGCCAGAAGATCAACTCATGAACGTGTTGGAAAGGATCAAGTATCGCAACTCTTGGGTCATCATTACAACTTGGTGCAGTCGGCTCAGGTAGCTTCTGCCGCCTTCTCTTCCCATATCACGGTATCGCCGGTGGGTATGCTCAATCTTGAACGTCTAGAAATGGCTCCTGCGGGCATTGAGAAAGGTGAACTTCTTGCGACAATACCTTTGGCTCCCCGAGAGAAGACGATTGTGGTACAGCAGGAGTGGTCCTCCATCAGCCAAGAATTTACCTCAATTGTCACGGACTCGCTCGAGAACTTTAGTGAGACGGGCGTCACAGAAAACACCGAGCTTGCACAAGCTACAACTTCACAAAATTCGCACTCTAATCAATTTAATGTCACGTCAAGTGCATCCGGAGGTTGTGGATTTGTAACCGGCTCTGTGTCCGCTGGTTTTAGTGGTCAAGATTCAAACTCGACGTCTGCAACTGATAGCACGAAACATGCAATGAGTGTGACAAAGAAAGCATCTTCCCGCGTAACGCAGAGTCGTAAGGTCACAATCTCGACCAACACTGTCAGTGGCAGCTCGACATCGACAACTCGGACCTTGGAAAATCCAAGCGATACTTCAGCGATGACTATCAACTATTTCAGCATGATGCGAAAGTGGCACGTCGGTCTCTATCGTTATGGATTGCGGCTTACGTATGATCTTACGGTGCCAGAGCCCGGTGCCGCAATGCGAGAGCTCTACGCAGAGATGGACAAGATCCAGGAAAGTTTGATCGAGAAATTCAAGTTCCCACTTACCATGAATGATATCGATGAGAGCAACTACACTCAGAAAGCAGCTGACTATAACGTGACCCTGCCTCCTCCACCACCACCTGCTTCGCCCATTCCAATGCGAGTTGCTGGGGCCATCCCAAATCTCATCAAAGACAATGATTCAAGCTGGATCGAAAACGTGGTTGAGATCACCATCAAAGACGGCTATGAAGTTAGCAACATCAAGCTCGATCTGATTCTCTCCAATTATCATGTAACCACCCGCGTATTCTCCATCGTTGGTGTCGACCCAAGTATCAACACCAACGTCGTCGGCGATTCTCAGGACCGCCGCATCAACATTGACTTGGGAAGTTTCCTCGTCGGCCAACAAGGCACCATCCAGATCGTCTATTTCGCCCAATACTACGGCAACGGCATGTACGCCTTCAACGTCTCACAAGTGCCCACAGCCGCAACCCGCGACGTCTGGCGCGCCAGTGTCCTCACCAGCATCTACAACTCCGCCCTCGCGGACTTCACCGCCAACCAAACCCTCCGCCAATCCCAGCTCCAAGGGCTCCAAGACCAGCTCAGCGCCGTAGACACCCTAACCCTCCGCCGCGAAGAAAACGACGAAATCATGAAATGCGTCCTCCGCTGGCTTCTAGGCCCAGACTTCCAATTCGTCCCCGACGACGTCGCCCAAGCGTTCGAAAACCCACCCCCGGCGCCACCAGTCCCGACAGTGCCGGCGACAACGCCCACGGCATCCACTTCACCGGTAACAAATACGACCCCGGGCCCATCTGGTCCGTAATGCTGCAACACGGCCGGCTCACCACATTCCTCAACGAAGCCATCGAGTGGGAAAACGTCGTCTTCTTCCTCTACTCCTACTTCTGGGACGATCCGCTCGCGTGGCCTTTCATCCGGACCCTGACACATCCGGACGCCACGCGGCAGGCTTTTCTGCGGGCTGGCAGCGCTCGCGTGGTGCTCACGATACGGAAGGGGTTTGAAAAGGCATTCACGTGGTTTGCGGAACATGGGAGCTTGGATGATATGCCTGCGGAAGTTGGAGGGGAGTGGGAGGGGGAAAGTACCCGTATTTAAAGATCGCGGAGGATATTGCGAATTATGATAGTACGAATTATAAGGGATTCCGCCTGCTAATCCCACGGGAAGTGTTAATATAGGCGGTCAGCATGCTGGGACTGTGGGAGTCGGGAGGATAGATCCCGGGAGTGATGTTAAGGTGCTCGTTAAGGATACGTCCGGGTTCGTGGTGGGAGATGTTGTGTTGATTGATAGTGCGGACTCGGGTGTGCAGGAACGGCAGAAGATTACGATGATAGAGCAGGATCAGAGTGTTATTGTGGTGGAAAAGCTGGTCAATCGGCATGGAGCTAAGGCGAAAGAGGAATTGTATCCTATCATTCAGGTGGGCGAGGAGGGCGTGTTGATTGCGGAGTGGTTCGAGTACACGCCGTCGCATGGGACCGCGATTGAAGTCGACAGTGCGTTTGAGACCATGTCGTGATTGTTTAGATATAAAAAGTGTAAATATATGGGTAGGGAGAAATGAGAGGCTTGGGGTTGTACATATGTACAATATCTCTCCATGTAAGAAAACTCCATCGTGACAATCAGACAAACTATAGTCGGAGAACGCACAATTCATTATCTACCCTCAACGTTCGAAAAGTGGAAGCAACAACCCAGTTATCAATGGAAGCATGATGGCTTTCTTTCCACCATTGAGGCAAGAGGGTTCGGTTTCGCAACAATCTACCCCGAGATCGCTTACAGCTGAGATTTTGCTTGATGCACAATAAAGTGTGAAATAGATTATTACCAGTATAGTTCATGCTAATCCGCCATCGGGATGAGCATTCATGTGATGCACAATGCCCAATGTCCCGCCTGACTCGCTCAACCGCAAGACCTGACGGTATCGCTAACCGTCGAACTCATAGCCAACTCCAACACCAAAAACCCACAGTCGCTTCGGGGTATTAGAATCGAGTAAGGAAATACACAAGCCTGACCATCTACATCACCAGCCGCGGCGGTGGTAGAGATGACAGTAATAGAATACCCTATACAACCAGCCCGAATTCAAAGCCCTTGCTTCTCAAGCTCCCCGATATTAAAAATCTTAATGGACCGCCCACAACCGTCGCCCGTCTCTCATCAGTCGTCCAAGACAATCGGTCTTCCCGCCCGGCCCTCTACGTCCATCTTGGCCGGCGGCTCTGGGCTCGGAGGACTGATGACCGTCTTAGGCAGACCGCCCTCCTCGTCATGATCTTCGATGATGGTGCTATCGCCTTCTTCCTCGTCCTCCTTAATCGTGTCACCGCCACCAACATTGCCGCCGGCAGCGGACGACGGACGTATTTCTTCCTCAGCAGTAGCACCACTGGTACTCGAGCTCTCCCTTTGCCTCCGCCTCCTCCGATTCATGCGTTCCTCGTTAGCGCTTTCTCTCTTCCTTCTCACCCTCAGACTGCCACTGCCATCGCGACTGCCTGGTCGTCCGTTGGCGTCGACGTCATCAGGGGTCTTATTATCACGGAGCCCTTGCAGCATGTTGGCTGCTCGTTCAGCGATATCCTCGCCTTCAGAGATGGGATCCATACGTTCCCCATCTGCGTCGGGCGAGAGGGAAGGTGCCTCGCCGTTGGTGCCGTCATCTCTTGGCTTCGTAAGGTCGTGCAAATCAGGAATGGCCTGCCCGCTCGCTTTGCGGACTTCGTGCTTATCCTTCAATCTAGCCCTGCGCCTGCGATCTCGTTGGTCTTTGGCTTGTGGGGCCGCGGCGCGGAGTTTCTCCAGCAGTGAGTCCATGGCACCAGTGGAGGACGGAGACAGAGGGCTGTCTGTCGGGGACGCGATGCTGGCTGCAGCTGGGTTGACAGCTTTTTGGTGGGCGCGTTTGCGAGCCATAGACGCCTCGTTGCGGCGGCGGGTTTCTTCAATTGCCATGTTCTTGTCTTTGGATCGCTGAAATGGGATTAGCGGAGGGAACCAAAGAATGACATGAAGAATAGCTTACCTTCCATTCAAGAACAAAGTTGGCAAGCTTGGAGAAGAAATCCCTTCGCGCATTCTCATCTGTACTGTCTTCGCCGTAGAAAGTCATGATGTCGTCGTAAGTCCTGCTCATTTCCTCGAGGTATAATTGCATTTGTTCGGCTTTCCTTCTTGCATCCTTCATCGAGCGCTGGACGACTTGGCTGACTCGGTCTTGTGGATGGAATTTCTTGGGATCGCTTAGATTGCCCGAGTCAAGTGACGACTGTACGTTCTTGATATTGTCAATATACTTCTTGGCATCAACGCGCAGCTGTTCAATGTTGAGCTTTTGCGCCGTGACGACGCCGCCAATGTCCTCGATGAAGCCTTCCCATTCCGGATACTGATTGCGGACAATTCGCTCAACAAGATCTGCAAAGGTAGACTCATTCTTCTCGTCCTTGACCATGGCAAGCCGACCAAGTGAGCTCAGCTTAAACCCAGTGGCTTGTTTGTTAGAGTCGTTCATGTAGTTACCAATATCAAGAATAAGGCCAAGAATGTTCATGAGGGCCACAGAATCACGCAAAGATTCAGACACCTTGACAACCTCCCTCAATTGCTTTGAAATCACATCATATTCTGGCTCAAAAGTTCGAGTAAGCTGGAGACCTCGCATTCTCGACTTCCAATAGTGGCTGAGCTCAAACGCTGTAGCGAGGTATATTTGATCTTCTCTTGTCAGCTCGGCTGGATCTTGCTCTCGAGGTGTCTTGAGAGCGTCTGGGCCCGTCCAATCTTTGCTGTAAGAAGCCATAAGCTTAGCGGTGTTTTCAGGCACACTGCACATGTCATCTTTCTGGAGGAAATCCATGACCACATTATTATCAAGGATCTCTCGATCGCAATGGATGATCATGCGAATCACGTCGTCCGCATCGTTGGTTGAGAATTTTGCAAGCGAGATCAAGAATTTCTGCCGCAAGTCGCTTCCAATGATTTGTTTTTTGTCGGATTTCTTACCAGCAGTCGTGCCTATCTTTTTGATCTCTTTGGCCATGAACAACTTTTCGACTTCGTCCAAGACTCCCTTACGAGAGAGCTCTTGGTACTTCTCTTCCTTTTCTTGATGAGTTGGCGCATGTGAAGCCCAAACCGTGACTTGTGGAGTATCTACCTTGTCCCAATGGAGAGCCTTCAGCTTCTTCTTCGGCCTTAGCGTTGGAAGATGCAAGGTGGGAGCGTCTGGATATTGTAGTTGACCGTGGTAGCCACCCTTCTTCGGACTGGGGAGTGGTGGTGCACCAGGCGTGGGTGGCGGGCCCAAAGATGTACGATTGGATCCAGGAATAGAGCTAGGCGTGCCTGGCATGGTACCCGGCATAGGGGGCGGAGGAGGTGGCGGTGGAGCATTATTGGAGAAGCCCGGCATAGCAGGAGAAGAACTCATTGGAGGCGTAGGTGGCGGCGGAGGCGGTGGTGGAGGTGGAGGTGGAGGACCACCTTCGAAGCCGGTGATCTTTGGAGCCGACGGAGCATTGATAGAAACAGGTAGCGGCGGAGGAGGCATGTCCTTTCTATCGGCTTGATCTTTCGGTGAAGGCTCATCGATGGGTGTCTTTGGGGAATCCGACTCAAGACTCGGGTGCGAGGTGCCCGTCGTGATACCGTCGCCATCTTCGTCTTCGCTTGCGTCGACTCGTTTGACCTTGGCTGCTATCTCACCTAAGAGACCAGTTGCTTGTCGAGCGCTCATTTGAGGCCGCTTCATTTGGACAATTCTGGGCTTCTCATATATGACCGCATCATCACCCTCGCCATCGACTTTGTAGCTGCTATCAGTACTATTGCTCTCACGAGCAGCCAATGCTTCTGCAGCTGCGCGTCTGGGACCCTTCAAGATCTTGCTTCGAGTTGTTCTGCTGATTGGACCGCCGCTGAACTCTCGAGTAATTCGGGCGGCATAGTTCTCGCGCTCACCTGGCTCACCACCGTCCATTTGCTCACGCAATTCCCGTAGCCTTTCATTGGGGCTAGATTGCTGCCAGACCTTTCCTTCGAGCTTGCATTGGGTCTTTGCCCTTTCTAGCTGTGTTTCGAGACGAGCCATGAGCGCATCTCGATCGAGTATGCCTTGCATCTTCTTTGGATCCATTGAAGCCATAGCTTCGGGCACACCTTTCTTGGCGACGGAGGCGGCGAAATCTTGAGCGTCCCGTAACATTAGATAGAGCTCTCTGGTTTCCAGTTCGTTCCGTTGCAGCTCTTGAGCACGTATTCTTTGCAGGTCTGCTAATTCAGACTTCAGTGCATCATTCTGTCGCCCCTGGAGCTCAATGATCTGCGCTTGCTCTTCAAGTTGCTTTTGCAATTTGGCCACCAAGCCGTCAGCGCCCATGTCAATCCGAGCTTTCATCTCATCTCGTTCAGCAATGGCTGAGTCTGCCACTTGTCTTGCCTCAGTCGTTTCATCGATTGCCAGCCGTGCTTCCGAGTCTGTATGTAATCTATCCAGTAGATTCTGGACGGAGAAATTCAGACTCTGTTTGAGGTCCATGTCCGGCAGCCTACGGTCCATTGCAACGTAGCTGAGCATGGCGTCTACGAGTTGGAACATCCTAAGTCGATCCTCGCCGTCATTGTCTCTGATGAGGAGCATATGCTGCATAGCAGACAGGAAATAGTCTTGTGCTCTGCTTCCTTGCACTTTGTTCATGATCGCATTGACGACTTCTGTCGGATCTTGTAGATCTTTGACATCTGCTTCAAAGCTATCCTTCATACTGCTGGCGTCCCGTTGCATCAGATCCTCGTAGTCTATGGCCTCATTCTCCCGGTAACGCTCGATCTGCTTATCAATGACTTCGTACTGAAAATCCTCCATCTTGTGCAATATGCGCTTGATACCACACGAGGTAAATTGAGCTCTGATATGGCACCGCATCTGCAGATCATGTTCTGGTGCATCGATCATCATATTGATCAAGAAAAGCGTGGCCACAGCATATTCCATGAGCATGTTCTCCATGCCGATTCCACCGCTTCGTACTTCTTCACTAGCACCAACCATGCTGCCCATCTTGCCCCGCCCATCGATACTTACTTCGACTATTCGCATCCAGGCGTCAAAGCGGCCGTTCTCTCCCTGCTGATTCTTGACGTGGTCCATCGCCTGTAGTACCTTGAGATGTCCATCTCCATCTGCCCAATGGCACAGAAAAGTCAAGACCTCGCTGACAAGCTTCCTCGTCGTCAAACGTGGCGACGTGAGAGAGGTGGCCAAGGAAACAACAACCTGCTGATGGGCAAGAGCATCGTCAGCGCCGTATTTGTTATTCATGAGAGCCTTCAAGCACTTGATGATATCGTATTCTCTGTCCAGATCTTTTTCGCTCGTCGAACCTTGCACGGGTGCTGGTCCTTGACCTTGTTTCCGATTGATCTTTCCCAGTACATTTGACAAGGCGAGCTGACCCTGAGCTTCAACAAAAGCCTTCACCCAGCTGATTGGTTGCGTTCTCAGACTGACACTGAGACTCCCCAGTTGCTTCGCGGTGATAGTATCGTTCATGACCCGCTTAACGTACCATTCTGGACTGCCTTCTTCGTCTGCTCTCGAGATCATACTTGGCCCTCCATCGACGCTCATGATGGTATTCCTTGCAGCCTGCCGTCTTTTTTGCTCTCCTTGCCACTCCATCATTTTGTCTTGGTGCACTAACTGCCACTTCTTGCTCGCTGGGTAGGCCAGCATTTGTCTCTTTGCTTGCTCAGGCATTGCTTGAAAATTTCTCTTATTCATCATATCAACGAACTGCTGCTCAATGACTCGATCGTCGTTCGGTCGAGGAAAGTGAAAGCCGTCAGGGTTGAACGGAGTTGAGGAAGAGTAGCTCGGCTGTTGAGCGGTGTGAGAGCCATGAAAGTGCGAATGTTTCCCAGACGTCCCTGGCCGCTGATCCTGCACAGCGGTCCGTGATGAGTTGTCCGAGGAAAAGATGCTCGAGCGAGTGGCAGACGAAACAGAAGACATGACGCTCATCTGGTCAAAAGAATTGCGATGATTCGATGCCGAATCACCAGTTGATGTAGAATTGAACGTGGCGTGTGGATCCTGGATAGGAGCTGCCGCATCCCCAATTGCAAAATTGGGTGCAGGCCGCCTGCTACTATCACGCACTGGTAGTGTTGTAGATTGAGGTTTTAAAGAGGCTGCACTTGAGGAGTAGTGAGGTGGCGGTCGCGGCCCAGAAAGATGTGAGGCCGACCCATTTGTCGGCATAGGAGCACTTTGAGGGTCCCAGGCAGGATATTGATGAAAATCAGCGCCTCCTCTGTTCAGCTGATGAGGTAGCGGCTCTTTTCTTTTCGGCGTCGTACTCTCATTTTTAGGAAGGTAATCTACCGCGATCGGACTTTTGGGGTCTGCGGGGACGCTGTCGTAAGGAATGGAAGTAATTACACCAGCAGTCATGGAGAACCCCAAATTATCCGGCGGCTCTTGACCCATGTCTATCTGTATTGGCGGTCTTTGGGAGTGGCGTGAGGAGCGCGAGTTATTGGCGCTGTTGTTAGAGCCGCCGCTTGCAACTTGTAGTATTTCTCCGCCATCTTGCTCTAAATGCTCTTGATGGTTGGGCTTGTCTTTGAGCTTCCTTCCAAAGAATGACCTGCCGCCAGAGGATTGTCTTGACTTGCTGTCATGTGAGGATGTGGTCGATGGCATCTCTCTGATGTTACCCCCTCTCTACTCACCCCGGCCTCCTGCGCTGCGGTGAGTGCTCCAGTCTGCTGGGTCTGCCTATGTCCTGGTTCTCTCCTCGAGTTATCATATGTTTTTCCGTAGTAGTCTATCTATCATCATCAATCATAAGAGAGGGGTCACAGTCAGCGGCTCGCGCTGTCACTGTTGCATGTGGCGCGCCCCTGAAGCTCCTTTGGAAGCGTAGATTAGCCCACCACGGGGCCACAGAAGTGAATAGTAAGGAGTGAATACTTGTACGGCGGCGCACGATGATAACAGGTGGAGGTGATGTTTCAATGCGGCGAAGGGATTTGTCTATTTTGCAATCACCAATCCAACCGGAGGGGACAACAGCGGCCGAGGAACCCAAGGCTAAGGGGTCGCACGCATACCGGACTATGCCGCAAAGGGTCTGACTGCCCAGATAGTGCCAAGACCCCGACTGGACTTGTCGATGCTATTTCCACCTTCCACCAGTAAGACGGCCGAAATAGCATCTTCATGTCAAAGAGCTGCTTGATCTACCCTTCCTAACCTTAATGATGTTCGTCAGCCTCATGGGAGCCATCGAATAAACGTTGCGAACTCAGCAATTCGCCGGGAAATGTAGCCACATCCTCAAAACCTTCCACCTTTCAACGGTCACATTCACTTCCATCATACCCTACAGTCCAACTTGTTTCTACGTTCCCTCCACATCTAAGCCAAATCCCTAGCAAAATCAGAACCACAGCATGCCATCCGCACAGACCTCAGCTCTCCTCAAAGTACGCCTTTTACCCCTCTCCATCCTACCTCCCCATTCCTCCCCATCACTAACGCCCCCTGCGCCCCCAGACCCTTCTCATACCCCCCTAACAGCTTTATTCATCTATCTCCTCCTGACCCACCTGCTCCTCCCCTACTACCGCAAATACCGCGAGCGATCCAGCTACCACCTCCTCCCCTCATCCCTCAACTCCACGCTCACCCCCGCTGCCAACTCCGCCACAAGCCTCATCACGCGCCTGGTGCAGAGTCTCTCGGGCGCCATACTCCGCACGGTGGGAAACGTGAACGAGGGACAGTTCGGGGCCGGGGTATGGAGAAGGGATAGCGCTGATGGTGGTGGATTTGGGATTGGAGAAGGGGTAGGGGGGCGGGACTGGGGGTTTGGGGTGGGCGACGAGGAGTTGGTGGAAGGGATTGTGGGGCTAGAGGGGCAAAGAGATGTGGACGGGGAAGGAGGGAGGAGGTTAAGCAGGGAGTTGGAGAGCGGGTTTATTAGTGATAGTAGTGAGGAAGACGGGCGGTGAAGCTATGACTCGATGATGATATATGCTAGCGAAACGAAAGAGGTTCATGGGAGGGTCTACGGAAGAAGAGGAGGAGAAGGTGATGCGGTGACCGCGCAGTTCATCCGGTGCGTGTGTAACAGACATGAAAGAGGAGGAAGGCATCGAGTTCTCCGAGATTGGACATGGGGATTGCGCGCCTTTTGGCAATATCGCTGCTCATGTGAGGGATGAAACCCCTTTGAAGAGTACGGAGTGTGTGAGAGACGGCTTTCTTAGCCTGGGTAAAAACACTACGATCTCGATTCGCTTAGGCTGCGAGATCTCGCATAAAAGGGAGTGGCAATCATGAAAATCTCGTAGGTCTCAGAAATGAAAGAAATTGTGGGGAGGATAAGGGAAGAGGATTAGCAGCAATGGGGGGAGAAGCTAGAAGTCGGTGTGGGAAGGATCGATATTATTGGGTTCATGTTTGTACGCTGGCATGGAGCTTGGATAGAAGTAGAGCCAAAAGTGTTTCCTCTTGTCTTGATTAAAGTATCCCGTTATTGGTCCATTCAATGAGTGCGGGTCTGGGCGTGCATATAACGCAATCGCAACCCAGATGACACATAAGCATATGTAAGCAAGACTAGCTGAACGGTATGTTGTAAATGAGAAGGCATCAAGTACGCAAGGCTGAAACAATAGGTGCGCATTCAAAATGTTAGGATTTGCTCCTCATTCTTCCTATCTTCCGCTGAGCTTCTCAGGAATGTACACAACCACAACAGCCACCCCAGTCAATTACAGCAGCCGCTTCACTGCGGTTCTTCCTACACCAGAAGCCTCCATAAGCCATTACCACCCCTTTCCCCCTCCTTCGCAAGCTGCACTTTAAAATACAAAAGAGGGATGGGTATAATGCTTGCTCTCGGATCCTCATTTCAGCATTCGAAGCGTTTCAAACTAAGCGTAAGCGACATAACAGGTGGTGTGTGAGCGAGGGTATCGAATGATGTAAGCTTTTCTGGTCTATCGCCTAAGGTCGAGGCGCAACTGTTTTGATCTATAGTGAGGTAATTTACAGTACCAAAGCGGCGAGACCAACGAAACCAACAAGACCAGCGGCGGCGGTTTGACGGGCGCCAGCTCCGCCGGAGCTGCTGGAAGACGCACCACCAGCGGCTGATGAAGCTGAGTTGGCGGCTCCACTTGCTGACTCGCTAGCACCGGAGACTGCGCTGGAGGCTGAGGCTTCGACGCTGGATGCACCAGATGCCTATCACGATGTTAGTGGGTGTTACCATGTCTATTCTTGGGGAAGGATGTGGACGTACCAATGATGAGGAAGCGCCGCTGATGGCAGATGCTCCGGAAGAAGCAGCACCAGAGGCGCCGGACGCGAGGGATCCAGAGGCGCCAGAGGCGCCAGCGACGCCAGCGGTGCCATTGATACCAGAGAGACCAGAGAGGCCAGTTGTGGGTGCTGCGGTGGTGTAGCTTGAGCCGGCGCTGTCGGTGGTTGTTATGACACCAGCAGCTGCACCACTTGATCCAGACCCTGAAGAGGCAGTCACGGTGGTGGTGCCGCTGGAGGCTGTTGCTGTCACACTTCCGCTACCGGCACTTGCACTTCCACTTCCACTGAGAGCAGCTGTTCGCAAAGTCAACAATGGTCAATGGTGCGAAAGGAAGAGCTGAGTATGACATACCAGCACAGAATGAATTGCCGACGGAGATGATGGTGCTAGTGTCGGTGCCCTTTGGGCAAGACTCATTGGAGCAGTCTCGCACGCCATTACCGAAGTCCATATTTGTGCACAGGCAGGTGATGTTGTTTGGCTGGCAGCCTAGTGATGATGCCTTACCCAGCATGGAGTTGATGCAGTTTTTCTGGTGAAGAGTCAGTACAGCCCAAGAGGTCGATGGCTAGTGAGAACATACCCCGCAGTCTGGAAGGCCCTGGATGGCACTGAGGTCTTGGGCAGCAGCATAGCCGGCGAGGAGCACGGCGGCAAGAGCAGTGAGACGATACATTGTTGTGTGTAGGGTTGTTGATGTGAGGTTAAGATTGTTTACACGTGTGTAATGCGACGCGTTGAAGGAGTATGATGCAAGATTGATGAAGTACAATCGATGCTCTTGAGGTAAGCGGAGTGTAGATGAAGCAGCAGTAGTGAGGTTGTCTTGGTGGAAGAAGAAAGAAGAGGCGACGGTCGCAGATGATGGGGATTTATTTGTGGTAGAGGGCAGCCGCAACGCACCTGCAGCAAGCCGTTCCCGGGCACCAGACTCGCCAGGGCAATGAGATGAGCTCTCTTAGTGTTTGACCCTAAAGCTAATTTGTATGTGTATCTACGGGCAGCTTAACCCAACCTGGCATGGCTGAAAACCCTCACTCTTCTCATCTCCTCCATTTCCTGCAGCAATCTTGGAAGCGGCAACGTCTCTATGGCTACGATCAATGATTGCCACTCATTAACTACTACTGGTCCAGGGAAGGCGCTCTGTCGCGATACGGAATTACAGCGAATATGCCTCCGTTGGCCAATCGATCCTTCACTGCCACATCACTACCACCACCACTACGGCAAGCTCAGGCCCGCAGTAGAGCCGTGGCACATTTGTGAGCCCAGTCTCGATGGGGAGGAGCTATCGTGCGGAAACAGGGGCAAATCCAGCTCTAGTCATGCGTTCTAGACCGGCTTGTCTTTCCGACAGGCACAGAACCGGACATCTCCAGACTGAAACCTGCTTTCTGGGCAAGCATTTCAGCTGCAAAGACCTGGTAACGCCTCCTGCTATGCATCATGTCTTTGTGGCTATGGGAGCTGTTTGCCACGCTCCTCTGGTCTGTGACCGCTGGACCGTGAAATCATGGTCCGACTTCTCTGGTTTGAAGTCGCTCTCCTAGACTCCTGCAGAGTAGGTTTCACTGCTTGCACTACTGCGTTCTTCCCGTAGACTTGTGAAGCCCTTGACGAATCGAGCAATAATCCTGATCTTAAATGGTGAAGCTCACCAGCCACCTTGGATTTGCAATTTCGTTCGTGTTCTCGAATCTCGAGTCCCCGACACGCCATTATTTCTACCTTTTTATGAAGATCGCAAATTGCGCATTGTTATTATTCGAGGCTTGACATTACACGAGAAAGGTCCGAATGGTGTCTTGCAGTCAGAAGCCAATCTGGCGTCCCCGCATGGCGATCAGTCGCATGGCTGCTGACTTGCATCATAGCTGCGTCAGAAGGCTCCACTGTGAGAAGCTTACCTTCAATACATCTAGGCGATCCTCGAAAAACCTCGTGTTGCCGAATTCGATCAATTTGCACTGAATGATACGTGAAGCCTTGGGGATTCAAGCAGGCAGTCTCATGGACCAAGTTAAAAGATGGACATGTGTGATTTGAAATGCGCATCGTTCTCTTGACGCGGACTTCCATTTTCATTTCGGAATTTTGGCCTGTGGAACGGTGTGAGCCGTTAGTCTTTCTAAACGATCTCTGTTCCAATGCAGTACGTTGCTATCACGGGCTTTGATCTGACTGCGATCCTAAACAACTCTCCACGGTCTGCACTGGTAGCTTGACTGAAACAGAAACTGAGATCTATGATATTCAACTGACCGCAGCAGTCGATCCCTTCAGTTCGCCCGAGGGTACGGATGTTTCTCGACCTAGAACTATATAATCTTGGGGGCTAAGATATGCTTCACCCAAGCATTACAACAATCACATTAATCGAAATGCGTTACTAGACAGGCTGGAATCCCAGGAATCGCGGGGCTGAAAGTTGCCTAGTGCGGCTCGTGCCTTAAATCCGAGGTCCGGCGCTTGGAACATGTAATACTGATGAGAGTCATGACCGATGGGGAATTTATGAGAGCTTCAACCTTAGTCAATCAAACACCGACTGTGTGAAACCTTCCTGGTCAAACAACGTACTTAAACAATATGCCTATCGCTGAAGCTGACATCCTTGACAACGGGGAAACCCGTCCGCTTGTCGAGCTTCCTTTTCCACCTCTGACTAGGAAACACATCATAAACTGCTCCTACCATGAATGGTACAAAAGGTATTTCAGTTGCTAATGTTCTTGTCAAGCTTTGACTGAGGCTAGTAGATATCGGTCGATAACACCAAAAACTCGCATGATAGCGCTTCCCGCCCCCTTCCTCTCCTATTTACGTGCAGATGGCATCGTCCTCCCTCCAGAGCCTTCTCGACGCCGGCGAATACCAGAGCCTCTGACTCCACCTCCTACAGATGACGACTCAGATAATGATAGCTGGGACGATGACAGCCCTGATCCGTCAGAACCGTGGGCCAGTACACATACAGCAATTCAGGATCTCATCAAAGGACTGGGGGGCTCGGTAATGCCGAAATTGAATTGGTCGGCTCCAAAGGATGCCGTGTGGATCTCTGCTACGAATTCGATGGAGTGCCTTACCGCTAATGACATCTACATTTTACTCAAAAGCAGCGACTTTGTGACTCATGACCTGGAGCAGGTGTGGGATGGCTGTGAAGACGATCTCTCCTCGGATGAAAATGATTATACGTCAACGCAAAAGGAAGAACCAATAGCTCCTTATTGCTTGGTCTTGCGTAAAACCGTACCTGCCTTCAACCCAGCCCTCGAATTTCGCGTCTTCGTCCGCTCTCGAACTATACTATGTATGTGCCAGCGCGAGTTGAATCATTTTGATTTCCTGAAAGCCTTAGTGTCAAAGCTACGGGGATTGATCCAATCGTTCTATTTGAACAACTTGCAACGTACTTTCCCAGACCAAGACTTTGTGTTCGACGTCTATGTCCCGCCACCGTATGATCGTGTTTGGCTGATTGATATCAACCCGTGGGCCATAAGAACCGATACACTGCTCTTCTCTTGGCTTGAGATCCTGACTTGGCCGTCACCTGAGAGAATGAGTGCCTTCTCCGTGCAGGATGCTGTGAATAGCGACAGTCAAACAGACGAAGAGGAGGATGAAGAGTTCGGAGAGGAGGAGAATCTCTACACGCCGGAGTTCAGGCTGGTCAACAAAGACGATCCTGAAGCGTATGCGTTCAATACGTCAAAGTATAGCGCACACAAGCTACCGAAAGATGTAGTTGACGCAAGCAACAATGGACCAGGTGGTTTGCAGGATTTCTTGGGCGTTTGGAGGGAGATAAACAAGCGGCAAGAAGCTGAGGATGATGCTGGCGAAGTTGACGATAATGTTCAAGCCAGCTGATACGATTATGGAAGAAGATAAACATCCCAATGACAATATCAAGCGATGTTAAGATAGACATCCTGCACACTTGGTTCCTCCCATATTTGCTCTACACACCAGATTGTCAGCCTTGATTCTTCCAGAACGGCTGACAAGAGTAACCTACCCATGAAACTATCCAGGGATTCCGCCTTCCCTTCACCTGCATTCACTATCATGTCCTCCTTCGCTTCCCAGAAAATTTCCACTCTCTCCCTCTTCAGATTCAACTTTTCCTCTATCTCCTCCACCACAACCACGGTCTCCTTCGGCTCCGTTCTTACCTCTATCTTCCCCACTTCGTTCTCTTCTGTTACCTCAATGTCACTCGCCCCGGCCTCCACTGCGACATCAAAGATGTCCTCCTCCTTCAAACCCCCTGGATTCGCAAACACTACCCGCCCTTTCTTCTCGAACATATGACTCGTGGGCATCGCCACACCTCCATGTTTCTTCACCAAAAGCTTCAGGTCCATAATCGTCTTCGCCTTTGAGTCTGTTTGGCATTCTATGATGGCCGCCACTGAATTGTCTCCTTTTCTCAATGGTATCATTGCCTCAATTACAACACTCTCCAATACATTTCCACTGGGCGAGACGCCTTGCCCGCGTGCTATAGCATTCTGAATGAGGTGCTTGGGAAATCCGGTTTTCTTTGCGGAAGCGAGGATGGTGAAGAGGGAAGGGTTGAAGCGTGGGTCGGGACCGTGGAGGCGGGATGCTGTGGCTATCTCATGAGAAAGCGCTGAGCGCTGTCGGTTGATGGAGGCATCGGCTTTGGCTTTGTCATGCTTGATTTTTGACCAGCGGTTGTGGCCGGATGCGAAGCGGGAGGATTGAGAGAAGCATCGGCTTGGAAGCTCGGACCTGATGATCGAGAAAGAAGTATTCCGTCGCGGTAGTGACGCTCTGGAGGGAGTCCTACATAGTCTTGGGGCGTGCATATGCAGGAGGCAGCTCAATAATTCTCCCAATCTCAGGGCGGACGTCGAGATTTCTTGCGGGGCCTAATTTAGCTTAGCTTGAGGGCCTATCTTGAGACCGAAGATTGTAATTGTTATTGACAGGCGGTATTTCATGAACATCTTGCATGATGTTTCCAGGATAAGATCTGCTCATGTCAGACTCTCAGACGACCGACTCCACCCCAAATGGCAAAATCAATGGAAATTTGCCGGAAGCAGGACCGGCAATCCCTCGCCTTAACGTCGAGAAGCTCCACTCCTTACCTTCAGAACAACAAGACCTCTACCTGTTCACATTTGCGGTCGAGTTCGAACGATACGTCACACGCCTTGATTATGAGGTGCTCTCCACCCAGCAATCGCCTTTGAACGAGCAAATCCTCCAGATCATCAACCTTCCTTCTCCATATCCGTCGAAAGCGGTACGGAGCAACATTGGACGGGCTTTAGCATGCATCCTTGGCAATGGAAATAGAAGAACCCTTTTCGAGTCTGTCAATCAATTGATAGGCATCGTAAATGCGGGCAAAAATGATAGGACCTTGGCAAACAAGCATGCGGCAGTTTATTGCCTAGGGGAAGTCTACAAGGCGGCTGGAGATAGCGCCATCAACCTTTCGAGTCTGGCATGCTCGAGTCTTCTGAAGCTTCTCAAGCCGGCGCAGTACCACGCGGGCTTACGAGCAGCAATATTCCAGGCACTAGCTAAAGCCGTCAAAGCAGTTGAGAAAGCCCTCGACGAGTCAGTTGCCAGAGATATCTGGAAGCAGGCTCGAAAAGCTGCTGGAGATGACAAAGCTGCCCTTGTACAAGCCAGGGCTTGTGGTTGCCTTGAGGCTCTGATCAAGAACACGAGATTCTTCGACACCACTAGTCATTTCGAAGATGTTCGAATGGCAATATACAAGGCGAGCGAGACTCATATACCAACAACACGCCATGCTGCCGCCTCCTGCCTAGCAGCTGCTTTGGTTAAAGCATACTCCGGTAGTATACTACCAAAATCAGTATCGAAGCCTAAGAAGAAGAAGACCGCAGTGCAAGCTCAAGATGAAGTCATTGAAAATGGGATTAGCGAAGATGTACGGCCCAGCTCTCCTCCGGCCAACAAAAAGATTGTGGAAAGGCTAGAGTTATCTTTGTATGACATTCTGAAGCATCTTTCGAACAAGTATACTTTTCCAACAACAAGCAATAGAATGCGGGCCACCATGGTTCACTGCTATCTTAAGGTGCTTTCTAGCCTTGGTCCTTCGAATGTTGAGCCAGCCTCTAATTTGGTCATTGATCATCTGTTGTCAGAATTGCTTGGGAACCCATCCATTACCCATGACCGTTACAAGTTACTCCTGACTCGACAGTACGTGCAACGAATCTTGGTCGACTGCGTAGGTCTCAAGGTACTCGGAGAGGCCGGTCGCATGAACATTGCAAGGTCATTGATCAATGGTGTGCTGAAGAATTTCCCACAAGTTGTCAAAGAAATACCAGCGCCGTCGAAACACGCGCTGGTCAGTGCTCTCGAAGCATTAGCCACTCTGATTAGATCACTGGGATCTGCTTTTCGACCACAAGCTGACCCATGCAGGGAAGCACTTGTACAAGTCCTAGAGCATCCAAGTTACACAGTGCAGGTCTACGCTACACACTGTCTACGTGCCCTTGTGCGTACATGCCCGCAACAGCTTATCTTATGTGCTTCGATATGTATGAATAATGTAGTGCGAGAACTTGGGCTTCTTGAGTCTGGGTCACCCGGAAGGAATGGTCATCGTCGGTGTGTGGGATATGCCAATGGATTGGCAGCAGTCATCAGCGTTTCTCCGTCACAGCCACTCTATGGCTCGCTTGAGATTAGTTCTCGAGTTTTGGGTATTGCAACGAAGCTTCTGAAATCAAGCAGTCAGGCAGATCTACGAATAGCAGACACCCAAGTACAAGTCGCCTGGATACTCATAGGTGGTCTCATGGCCCTCGGTCCCAACTTTGTCAAAATTCATCTTGCCCAATTCCTGCTACTATGGAAGAACGCTTTGCCAAAGCCCCTGACCAAAGACAATACGAAGCAACGGCAGCCTGCTGAGCTTCATTACTTGACCTCTATTCGGGAGTGCACTCTCGGATCGATACTCCTTTTTCTTGAATTCAACAGCAAGTTGATCACAACTGATGTTGCTAGACGCCTGACGACACTGTTACATAACACAGTGGAATTCCTGAATAGTCTACCCGCGCGAAAGCTCATTGACGATGGTACTCATAGATCGACGTCTTCTCTCACGATCCAAGATCTGATATTAATGGTAAGACGAAGAGTCTTGCAATGCCATTCTAAATTAGTCATCGTTAGCCCTCACATTAGTGCTGAAATTCTATCCCAATCCAGCCTTCTCACCTTCGCAACTACAATCATTGCTGATCCCGAGAGTTATACACCAGGGTCTTTGAGCTCTTCGATTGCAAACACTTCCGGAACATTCGATTCCATATGGGATGTGACTGATAATTCAGGATTTGGTATCAGCGGTTTGGTCAGTCCGCATAACTTACGACCAATCGCAGGAGAAGTGCCTTGTCAAGCTGACAACTTGACCACGGCCACAAGCGTTGATCAGAAGGTATGTTCACTCATTTGATGCCGGAGACGTTAGCTTACGTTGGTAGCTTACAAGTCCGATTTGCGGAGGTAGAGAGCATGATTCTGTCTTCCTGCATATAACGCCGCTGGATGCTTCAGCAAACCTGCCTGATCCTCCAGCAACTGAAGTGGTCAACGCAGCAATCTCTCTCTTCGCCGTAGCTTTTCCTCTGCAGACTCCGAAAATACAGGAAGGTATTCTTGAGCAGATCGCTTTGTTTTTAGCTTCACCATCATTGCAGAAGGATCCAGGCAGGAGGGCTGCTATCACTGTTAATGCTGCAATGGCTTTGCTCGCTACTATAAAAGTGACAGTCGGCGAAACATTGGCAGAGAAAGGTGACACCAAGAGTCAAACGGTCGAAAGGGCGATGGAAGAGCTCATGCGCGTAGGTGTTCCACATCAAGTTGCAAATTCTGGAACGGAAACTAATCAATTGAAAGACGCTGCTTCTCAACCCAGACAACACGATTCGGAAGATCGCATATGAAAGCATTGGTAGACTTTGCAATAGCGCTGGCAATGCTTTCACTTCTGCCGAAGTTGACAGCCTCATCGAGACCATAGTAGCAAACCGGGATCCAAGCGCGCGCGCGGGCTGCTCCATGGCACTTGGATCCATTCATGAGCAAGTCGGTGGCCTAGCAGCTGGTTTACATATGAAAAAAATTCATGGTATTCTCATGTCACTGTGCAGCGATCCGAATTCCGTGGTACATTCATGTGCCATCAAAGCTTTGTCACAGGTCGCAGAATCCGCGGGTCTGACCTTTTCTGGGAACGTCCCAAGTACTTTAGGACTTCTTGCCCAATTGTGGACATCCGACAGCCATAATGAGCAGTCCGAGTCAGCTACGACCTCAAATCTTGAAGTCGAAGGCCCAACAGCAATAGTCATAGCGCATTGTCTCGACGCTTTAATCAATGTGCTGGGTCCAGATATTCAAGATATGAGCAAAGTCAGAGAGCTCATGCTTACTCTCATGAGACAGTTTGAGGCTGATGAAGTTTCCGAGGTACAAATCAAGAATTTGAAAGCGTGGGAACACATGAATCTCTACGACTCGGTCAATGTAGATCTCTCGACTTACGTATTTCGGCTACAGAGAAACCTTGATTCTTCAAGTAGAGGCGTAAGAAATTCAGCAATAGATGGGCTCTACAATCTGATGCGACGAGATGCGGAAATGATCATCGGTATAGGCAATCAGAAGCTCGAAGATCAAATATGGATGGCGCTCAATGAGGAGCCGCAACACGAAGGCTTGCAGAATATTATTGCGGTCTGGCTAAGTCAATCTGGCACCACTGAGACGGACAAATGGATCACACGGTGTCAGCAAGTACTCACTAAGATCTCAAAGGAGCCAGTGGAGAGCAATCATGTCCCAGAGCCAAAATCTGCAGCTCCAGATCTTCAAGATGAAGAAGTAGCCGGCTTCAATGTGGGCGAAAGCAAAGACCAAGTACCAGGTGTACCTGAAGCAGCACAAGAATTACTTCGATGGCAAGTGCGTACGTTCGCAATGCAATGCCTTAATAACATGGTTGGGCTTGTTGGTAAGGACATAGAAGGCAACCCTGATTCTCCGGCGGGTCTAGTGCTACAGAATAGAGTAGCTGATGTAATACGCTTGGGATTTCTCGCCTCGACAGCGAATGTCGTCGAGCTCCAGGTTGGTGGACTTAAGCTGATTGATCAGATATTGAAGGTAAGTCGACTTCATATGCAACTCCAACACGATCACTTACAAAATCAGATCTTTGGTTCTATTCCTGATCCAGATTTTTCAGAAGCTCTACTGCTTGAGCAATATCAGGCTCAAATCAGTTCTGCTCTGACGCCCGCTTTTGCAGCCGACTCTTCCCCAGACCTTGCCTCAGCGGCTGTCAACGTCTGCGCCACCTTTCTCTCTGCAGGCCTTGTCACTGATGTTGAGCGTATGGGTCGAATCTTGAAGCTGCTCGTAACGGCTTTGGAAAGCTTCACAGGTAAGAGCTCGAGACTATCATATTCCGATCTAGATTCTGACGGGAAACAGATGACGCACAGGACTCTGCAGTCGGTGATCTAAGGGGGCTGAGTACTAATGCACAAACAATGATTAAGCTCTCGGTGCTGTCAGCTTGGGCAGAATTGCAAGTGGCGAGTACACATCACGAATACCTCGTGAAAGTAGTGCAAGGCCACGTCGCGCAATTAACGCCACTATGGCTTTCTTCTCTTCAAGAATTTGCTCGGCTACGATTTGAGCCCGACATTTCTAGTACCACCGGGCCGGCTAGACCAGACGAGGCTCTTGATGTTGTGTACGCTGCCCTCAATCGGCAGACACTACTGAAGGCAAGTCGCTGTCTCCTTCACATGGAGAGACAGATGATTGACGTCTCTGCAGTTCTACCAAGATGCTTGGTTAAAGCTTGTCGAAGCAATTGCCAGTCTGATAGACCAAGATAGCGACTTCGTTTTCAATGCCTTGGATGGCAAGGTAGGCGACTCACAGCCAACATACAACAAAGCTGAACGAGATGATATTAATTATCGCGATGAACCTGCTGCGTTCTTCTTTGTACTATTTGGCATTGTTATAGAAGCATTGACAATCAGACCAGGAAGTGATACTCAGCAAGGAAGTGCACATACTATTGAAATTCTTTCGGCGCTCGGGAGAATCCTCAAGCCTTCTGTGGCAGGTAACGCCATCTTTCAAGATACAGTTTTCTCCGAGACTATGGAGCTGTTCGATCGACTAGCCTTGACTGAAGGCCTGGAAGTACAGCTTACTATAGTAGGCATTGTCAAAGACATGTGTATTATGCATCCATCGGCAAAAAGCGACCACGAGAGCGAAGAACATCTTTCCGAAGACATAGAGCAGCTTTTTGAGTTGACTCGAATCATCGTTCTGGTCATTGCTGGTGTTCTGCCAAATCTATCAGAACAAAACCCTTCAGCACGTCCCCAACTTCCAGAGGAAAGCGTTACCGTGATTCAGAAATCACTCGAAGCCCTCGTTGACGCGGCCGAGATCTTTCCCTCAGTCATCAAGAACGATCTCCACGCCAGCATTCTGCATATCTTCGCCACAATCCTGGGCACTGGCGCCTGCCAAGCCACCGTTGTACCCCAAGCCCTCCCTGTCTTCAAACGCTTCCTTCAACGAATATGCGCATCAGACCGCATCAGCTCATCTAGCTGTGACCTTGTCCGGGGATGTCTCCACCGCTTCCTCTTCATCCTTTCTCACGCCCAGCGCCGAGAAAGCGAAAGCTCCCTGCCATGCGCAAAGAATACTATGCTGGCATGCACTATCCTGCTAACCACGGCATCGCGCGCCTTTGAAACCAACGATCCTCTCATTGAGCGTACCTTGGACGCCATTCGCGACTGCTTACAAGACGTTGGGTTGGCGAAGGTAGCTGCCAACTGTCTTCGCTCGCTGATTCTTGTCAGCCCAAAGAATGCAACGGACGAAGCTATTGCGCAGAGACTCATTCCGCACCTAATTCATTTCACCGTCGACACTGAGCTCAAAGATCCGGAAGGAGCAAGGTCAACAACGGCGCAAGCGTTGACGTCCTTTGTGGGGATATACGATGAAGAAAAAGCGGCACCTGCAATGTGCCTCGTTCTACCGGTGCTACTCACGCGGGCGGCAAGCGAGGGCAAGGAAGTGTACCCGCAGATAGCGACAAGATTGCTGGAGCTAGCGGGAGGTAAGTTGACGAGTGTATTCAGAGCAGTTGTGGGGAAGATGAGCGTGGAGCAGAGAGGGTTCATGGAGCGAGTCATCAGAGAGGGGGAGGTGTGAGTTTTGGGAGTGCGAGAGGAAGAGACGGGCTCGCGGGGAAAGAGGAACCGAGCATTAAGCTTACCATGAAGTTTGGTTGATTTGGATACTTCTCGGGGAGAGTAGGGAGGTTTGTATAGAGTACAGGGCACTAGAGGCAGCGACCGTGGTGTTTTATTAGCGGCATATCGAAATCACGAACGGCGCTATCATTTCCTGTACGCAACAACAGACATCGCACTCGATGTCGAAATCTTCTCCACCACCATCATCACACCTCGATGGCAGCCATCAACAAACACGTCAACCCCGCTACGCGCAATCGCGCAGCCACGCTATGATTTGTCGCGCTCTCCGAGTAATTTCGCACCCCCACACAATGACACTTCACTATTTTCATTCACTTACACGTTCCCCCCTTCATTTCCCTGATTGCTCTTTCCCCTGTTACATTGCTTTGCCAACATCAGGTAAACTTGGCAAATATTGGCAGGTGCTCTATTGCCTACATCAAAGAGCTTCTAAGCATAGCTTCAACATTTTGAGGGACAATTCTGATTGGAAAGAGGAAGTCAAGTGAGGTTTGCCCAGTCAAGTGGTGATTTGAGTCCTGTTTTCGTGTACCTCGACACTTCAATTTGAAAATCTCTGTTTTGCTTCATTTCTTTAGTTGCAATACGGTCCAGGATTCTAACAGTTGCTCGTGCCAGTCTTGCTTCAGAGGTACAATGTCTATCGCGGTTGAGCATACCATGAAGTCGGCTTGTGACAAACTTGCCATCGAAGGCGGCAACGCCAGTGGTGTGTCAAGCTCAACAAATGCCTTCCCAGAGCAAGAGGACGGCGATGATCAGCTTGAGCTGCTCACTAGGCCGAACTCCCATGGCCATAAGATGACAGACATGGCCGAGATCGATGGAGTCTCAAAGTTGCACTCTGGAGAGAAAGTGTCGGACAAGCCGTTGCCAGTTTTGCCGAGAGAGTTGCTTAGGAAGATCGTGAAGCTTGCGATGACCGCGAATACTAACGAGCATATCATTTCAATGCCATGCTTTACGTCAATGGCTTTTCAACCCGGTCTCAATCTGTCATGTCTTTTGCTTGAGTAAGTCAAATGGCAATGTCCAGAATAGCTTTAGCTAACAAATCACAGCCACGATTTGTATCATGTTGCGCGCGACGCTCTGTACAATATCAACACCTTCGCCTTCAATTTCTTTGGTACGGACATGAAGACGGTACATAACTCTGTGGGACTTTACCGGTGCCGCAAAGAAGGATGTCTGAAGGCCGGTGGTCATCCAACGCTTGATAAAGTCATCTTCAATCTGGGTCATTCTTCTGACCCTGACGCAGCAAGACACATGATGGTCGCCTTCGAACGTGCGCTAAAATGTCTTCGCTCCCCTTTGACCACAAACCATCTCTTGTTGCATCCGCTGAACTATTCCTGGCGAACTGATGGCCAGCTAGCCAGCTTCTGTCGAGTTCTGAAAGAGAAGGTCAAAGTGCAGAAGAGCCTCGTGGTCTCCGCTATGGACGTGCTTCTGGAGCTCGACATACGAGCAATACCCAAGGCCTTGAACTTGGATATTCAGCCTAATTCGTACAAAATCCGATACCGAGGATCAGAGTCGCATGATCTTGGATACTTCGTTACCATATACCTACCACGCATGCCTGGCTCGACCATCAATCTGACGGACATCGATGACACGATTTCTTCTTATCAAAAGTGGAAGAAGACTGCTAAACAGGACTGCATTGTCAATGGATTAGATTACGTTACCGACTTTGAGGACGTGCAGATGTTCCCTGTTCTTCGCATGCCTCCTACTAATTCTCTAGTGACTGTTACCTTTCCTGCAGCAATTACAACTGGCACTGGATCTGCCAGTAACAACTACTAACATAGTCACGACGACGTGTGATATGCAAGGGTGAAGTTTTCGCTTGACTGGCTATACAAACTACAAGGACCTCTGGCAGGGCCGATTCATTCATGTATCAACGATCTCACAGAGATTCTCAATGTTTTGCTTCCACTAGCTATACAGATTACAAAACCTTCGTCACAAGGTCGATTATATCATAGAACACCTCCCGGTTAGCTTCAAACTTGCTGAGACCTAATCCAAGAAGTATTGTTCTCTTTTCGTCCTGATGTCTTGTGAGAATCGCGGATGCAATTTGTGTTGCGTAAAGCTGTCCAATAGTCTCACGATCAGTGTTTGAACCCCCAAGCAGTGTTCTAGGAGTTAGATGAGCTGCTGGCAGGAGACTGTCTTCATCGCTGCTTGGAAACTGCTGTGCCGAGAAGTCCGCGTTGAATGATTCCAAGGGTACTTGAATCTACTCTATTTTAGCCCAGCCTATGCAAAACTTTGAGAACTTTCTAATCTACCCATTGGGCCAGTCGCCCTTGCTGACTGATCGTGATGACGATTTTGTCGGAGAAAGAATTCGAAGTTACTTCTGTCGCTACCCCATCGACCTGCCCAACTGCTTGGCGGAAAAGTGCAGGGTAAGGAAGGCCAGGGGCGTCGTGCTCCTTTGGCTCCGTCATCATCTGTAGGGGCATGATGTCACAATCACTTCACAGGAACCTTCCTCATCAAGACCCGCGTGCGATTGAAACTCGTCGATTTTTGGCGTACAGCGTAGGGGACGCCTTCGCCGGGCACCGAATGTTTCTACTAATCAAGCCTAGTGAGAGTCGACATATTCATCCACAAGCCATCTCAACCGTCTGAAAATTACAAAATAATAAGTCCTAGCCATCTGGTGTCAAAGAATGCCCAAATTTGTACCCAGAGTGCGTAAACAAAAGGCATTACTAAATGCTAAGCAGCAAAATGGTGGCAGCAACTCGAACAATGCAGATACAAATGCGGACGAGATCTTGCCCGACGTGTTGGCGGAAAGACAGAAAGAAAAGCAAAAGATGAAGGCTGCGATCAAAGCAGAGCAGCCACAAATGTCGAGCAAGAAGAAGAAAAGGCTTGACAAGTATATCGTAAGTGTCTACTACTTGCATCCTACTTGTCAACTTGCCAATCTTTTCTAGGATAAAAAATTAAGAAAAGAGGAAAATCTTGATTTGATTAAGACACTTGCAGACACCAAAGTGGACACTGCCTTGCTGCAGAGCTCACGAAGTCTGGGTGTGACCAAAGCATCGAAGCGAGAAGTATTCAAAAAAGCTCTAGCAGAGACTAAGGCCGGTATCAATGTTGAGAAGAATCAGAATATTCTCCTCGAGTCGCGGCCGCGAAAGAAGGCAGAACTTACTATTGCAGATGATAATATAGGTGATGAAAGTAGTGGCGATAGAGACTTCAAGCCAACACCAGCTCTTAAGGTAGCCCAGGGCAGTGGGCTAAAACGGCCACTTGAGCTAGGTCCGGGCGGCAATCCAATTTTGACTAGAAGAAAACGCCGGAAGGTAGAGTCAGTTATATTTGATACGGACGCAAAGAATGGCGAAGAATCATGGGAAGGCTTCTCTGAGGCTGCTTGGGAAGAGTCTCCGCCTTCTGCAAGTGACAGCGAGACATTTACTGACAGCGAGACCGGCGATAACCGCAGAGACACGTCTTCCGCAAGTGAAAGCGAGACATTTACCAACAGAGAGATCTATGATGATCGCAGAAACAAGTCTTCCGCATTCAAGATATGGGCGACTGGTCAAGTGAACGAAGCGGTTGGCTTTACGCCTTCGTCTGCCATCACAGATAACCTGACCAGTAATGGCAACTTCAAGTCAGCGTCTGCTGACTACAGACCACCTTCCCCAGATATTGAACCGTTACCGCCAGAATTGGCTCTTGAAAGCAAAAACGTAGACCGCAAGGCATTTGGCATCACTGTAGATCGGACTGACACTGTGCAGTCTGCTAGATTGCAGCTCCCTATCGCCGGAGAAGAACAGCGTATTATGGAAGCAGTCCACAACCATCCCACCGTCATAATCTGTGGTGAAACTGGAAGCGGGAAGACGACTCAGGTTCCTCAATTTCTGTATGAAGCAGGCTTTGGCCACATGGAGAGCCCGAATCCGGGATTGATTGGTGTTACTCAGCCTCGGAGGGTCGCTGCTGTCAGTATGGCGAATCGGGTTGCAACAGAATTGGCAGGAACCCATGCAGAGAAGGTCGCATATCAGGTCCGATACGACACATCTGTGTCAAAAGATACCGCAATCAAATTTATGACAGACGGTATACTACTAAGGGAAATCGCGAGTGATTTCCCACTTTCAAAGTATTCTGCTATCATTATAGACGAAGCCCACGAGAGAAGTCTTAATACAGACATTCTTATTGGACTGCTTAGCCGAATTGTGGATCTACGAGCGACTATGAGCAAGGAACAAACCAATATTAAGTCGTTAAAACTGATCATCATGTCAGCTACGCTTAGAACACAAGACTTTTTAGGCAACAAAGTGCTATTTCGAAGTGGACAGCTACCTCTTATCCAGGTGGAAGGCCGGCAGCATTCAGTCACGATGCATTTCGCACGTCGAACTCAGTCAGATTATGCCCAGCAGGCTTTTGAGAAAATCTGCAAGGGGCACAATCTGTTACCTCCAGGAGGTATTTTGGTCTTCCTAACAGCGCAGGACGAGATTGTCGCCTTGATTCAGCGATTGAAGGAGCGTTTCGAGCCAACAAAATATGGCAATATGGTGATGATTGACCAGGATGATTACGAATCAGCTTCAGATTCGGATGCAAAAGAATTTGAGGTAGATGAGCTTGCCCCGTCGAACAAGACGCCAAATATCCATGTGTTGCCTTTGTATGCTCAACTAGACGCGCAAAGTCAGTTGCGAGTTTTTGAGCCCCCACCTAATGGCTCGCGACTCATAGTAGTGGCAACAAATGTGGCAGAAACGAGCATAACTATACCAGGCATTCGGTACGTATTTGACTGCGGGCGAAGCAAGGAGAAAACGTATGACAGTGTCTCAGGGGTTCAATCATTTGAAGTTGGCTGGATTAGCAAAGCAGCCGCAAGCCAAAGAGCTGGTCGAGCGGGACGTATAGGTCCTGGTCACTGCTACAGGCTCTACTCTTCAGCGGTGTATGAACGGGATTTTGAGGAGCACACCGAGCCAGAGATCCTCCGCATGCCTCTTGACGGTGTGGTATTGCAATTGAAGAATATGGAGCTGCATAATGTCGTCAACTTCCCCTTTCCCACTCCCCCAGATCGTACAGCTCTTGCCAAAGCGGAGAGGTTATTGAAATATCTGGGGGCCTTATCAGGAGATGGGCGCATTACTTCTCCTGGCCGCAACCTTACCAAGTTTCCTGTCTCAACTCGATATGCAAAGATTCTTGATATTGGACAGGGGTACGAGAGCATGGCATTTACAATTCTACTTGTCGCCGCTGTGGCAACACCCAATCTTTTCATACCTGAGCATCTGCTTGGACTCAATGAGTCAGTCGACGGCGAACCGTACAGCATAGAGAATCGTGCCGAAGAAGAGGCACGATTGCAACGAAAGATAGCCTATAATCGAGCTCATTATCATTGCAGCAAATACTCATCAAAGTCGGATGGATTGAAGGCTTTCGTCGCTCTGCAAGGCTACATGAAGGCCAAAGATAAAGAGCAATATTGCAGAGATACATATGTATCACTGAAGTCTGCACGCGAAGCAAGCAGTCTTGCTGATCAGCTCACCTCAATAATCCGGAAAATCGCGCCACTAGCTCTCTCTACCAGCAGCTCTGGCCTGTCCTCGCTCTCTGATGATCAAATAGCAGCTTTACAGCGATTCGTCGCGGCAGGCTTTATTGACCAGCTTGCAATCCTGGCGTCAGAAGCACCCTCACTCCCATATCTTGGAAGAAATCCGAAACGAGCGATCGATGTTCCCTATTTACCCCTTTTCCCAATCAGCACAGACAAGAGGACGGCGGGCTCGGACATTCGGGATATTGCGGTGTATATCCATCCATCATCAATTCTCGCGAAGCTCTCAACCAGAGAGATGCCAAAGTATATCGTTTACAGCCATCTTCAACGCGCGCAACCGCAGACTATTGAAGCTTCAAGGAAACCGAAAACACGCATGCATGCATTGACAATTACGACCGAGAAGGTTATCTTCGCGTGGGCCCAGGGTACGCCTTTGCTCGAATACGGCAAGCCGCTATCCATCTTGGAAGAGAAGGTTAGCGCAAAAGGTAAGACGAGGACTTGTATCGTACAGCCTAGTCTGGTGGGTGAGAAAGGGACGATGGCGTGGCCGTTGCCAGCAAGGAAGGTCGATCAGGTGCGAAACTCGAGAGGAGAGTGGATCGTAGAGAAAACATACTCATGAACCTCTCATTCATTCAAGATGTACACCATCCAGAAACGTCCGGCTAAAGCATCGCTTTCGTATTGCTTTCTACTCGCCTCTCGCCCATCGCTCAATGGCACCTTTCCCAAACCCCCGATCTTCCATCCGTCTTCTTTCCACCTCTCTACTTTCGACAGCCTGCTCAACGTGCTCTTCTTCCTTGTCCTGCACTCGTGTCTTTCCCACTCTATCACTCGCCTCCGCAACCTCCCTGACAGCTTCCTCAGGGACGATAATTCCCTCCAACTCCAACCGTCGCCTCCTCTTCTCAAGCCTGCTCTCCCTCAGCTTCTGCGCCAATAATCGCTGTTCGTCCCTATCGAAAGGGATTTTATGCGTTTCGCCCTCCTTCGGCCAGAAATCTGGGATTGTGAAGCGGTTCTCGAGATTGGTGCCGAAATACCACATCCAGCCAATGGGGAACATGATGTAGAGGCCGAACTATGTTCGTGAGTATCAGTTACCGAGAACTCACCAAGATGGAAGTGGTATTGAGAGATAATCGCATACCTTGAAGACTTCGAGGTTGATCGGGTCGATGGAGCGGGAATGGTGGGTGGCGCGCAGAGGTGGAGGGATGTTGGCATAGCGGCAGACACGGGATAAGCAGCGAGGGAGCATATTGAAGGCTTTGATGGTGTATGTCAGAGGTGAAAGGGTGTGCTTCGGGGTGTGGAGGTCAGCTTGATGTTGAAGTTGTCGAAATTCCTCAATCGGCAGGCTCGAGTTGGACCTCGGCTTGTTTTCACTTCACTTTTCTCCTCTTGGTCTTGCTGACGATTACGTTGGGGATATGCTGGGCGCATGAGGATGATTGTCTCTTGCTTGAACCTCTTCGCCATTATACACATGGTTTGTATCATACCCATTGAGCCTCCGTAAACCCATCCAGCTTCACCACCAACGACTACAGCCAGCATGTCATCCTCCCCAGATGCCCCAATAATCCTCTCCACCCAAGGCAAAATCGCCATCATAACCCTCAACCTCCCCAAAAAGCTCAATGCCTTGACTCAAGACCTCTACTACGAATTGGCGATGATCCTCCGGACCGTCGCCGAGAAGCCCGAAATCTACATCACGATCCTCACTGGCCGAGGGCGCTTTTTCTCAGCGTACACCCTCTTCCCTCCCAATAAGTGCTTCCTTAATGTACTGACGGACATGCCAGCGGCGCAGACGTCACCCAATCCACCGTCGGCACCGGCACCGACATCCGGCGCTCCTCCCTCCAAACCTTCGTCGCCAACAACCTCGACGTCACGAACGCCTTCTATACACACCCGAAGATCCTGATCACGGCGCTCAACGGGCCCGTGGTCGGCCTCTCCGCCGCCTTAATCGCCTACTCAGACTTCATCTACGCGCACCCCTCTACTTTTCTCCTCACGCCATTCACGAGCTTAGGCCTCGTGGCTGAAGGCGGGGCAAGTTATGAATTCGTCCGCAGACTTGGGGTGGCGAAGGCGAACGAGGCGCTCATCATGAGTAAGAGACTTAGTGTGGAGGAGTTGGTTGGGGTGGGGTTTGTGAATAAGGTGTTTGATGCTGAAGTGGGGACGGGGACCGGGGGTGGGGAGGGGCAGTTTTTGGGGAAGGTGATGGAGGAGGTGGAGGATAGGTTGGGGGCGCATCTGAATGATGAGAGTTTAGTGAGAGTGAAGGAGTTGATTCGACGGCCGCATCGGGAGATTCTCGATAAGGCGAATTTTGAGGAGGTTATGGGGGGTTTGAGACGGTTTAGTGAGGGGGTGCCGCAGGAGGAGCTGGCGAGGACGGGGAGGGGGGAGAAGAGGCACAAATTGTGATGATGGTGGTGTTCTGCAGGAGGGGGTTTGGGTGGAGATGGAAGAGAGGTGTGGATGGCGATGTACACGTACGATTTACACGAGTAATGAGGAGAAGGTCGGACGAACTTTCTGAAAATTGGTTTAGAATTTATCTAATACATTTTGCATGAGTCTTGAAATTCATGATGTCTCTTTCGGAACGCCTCGCTAAATTACAAATGTCAGTCGTCCTTTCCATCATCTCCTCTCCCCACCCCCCAACGCATCCCTCAACCGCCCCTCCCTCCCCTTCCAATGACTCCCCTCCTCATAATCCTCCCGTATCCCAAACGCCTTCCTCGCCCTCTCCGTCTCCTTGATCTTCGCCTCCGCAGCCTCATGCACCTGATGCAGCTTAAACTGCCTATTCCCACCACTTTTGTCACCATCTCCCCCTTTCTTTCCCCCTTTCCATCCTTCAGCTTCCTCCAATAACACCCCCCTCAGCCTCTCCGTCCTCTCCTCAATCTCGCTCTCCTCAACCTCCTCATCTTCCAGTTTATCGCGTAGCTCGAACACACGCACTTCGATCTCGCGCAGCCGGTCGTGGTTCAGGATATCTTTGTCTGGTTTGCGGATTTTCTGGTGCGCGGGGCTGTCAGAGGGGTTGGGGTACGGGGCGTATGTGTCGCGGGGTTTGAGGTGCGAGAGATTGCGTTGGACGTAGCCGGAGGTTCCCGAACCGCGGGGGGTGGAGAGGCCAACGTTGGAGGACATGATTGTGTGGGTGGTTTGAAGTATGGTGAGGGTCCAATGGCGGAGGGTATAGTGGTGCAAGTGGTTGTGCAAGGTAAGGTATAACATGGAAGAGTGGCGCGTTTGCAATATGGACGACAAGGCTTGGCAGAAATTTTCATACTGTGAGTGGTTTATGAGTTGACATATCAGCACTATCTGATCTACACTTGCGATATATCAGATATGGTATCAATATCCTTCCAGGTCTGTCAAACAACTTCTGTCTTCATTCTTTACATGACTAGACAGCGTTCCCCCTTCGATTGTGGTGGACGTGGCTCCGTCGTACTCACGCTAGCCCCATCACGCGTCTTGCGCTACCTTAAATGATAAATACCATTGTTCTGGCGCAACAAAAAGCTCGCACACAGTCTTACATTTTCGAATTGGTTGATGGAGCAATGGTCAACCCTGCGATAGGACCGTAATCCACCGCACGATGTCCTCGAACATCTCCCACGTGAGAAAAGCAGTAGTCATCCGCCATGTGTCCGTCGGAGTAGCCCATTTATATCTCACGTATTGATGGTCCGTAGATATGGATCTCGAAGACTCGCTATCTTTTCGAGACTTTCGCACGGTGGAGACATTGGATTGTCAGCGAGGCTGAGCAGTGGATTATGGCCGTAGGGGGGGGCAGAATCTCGATCGTGAAAGGTAGACCCTAGCTGCTTTGGTCGCTCGATCTGGAATCCGTTGACTTCAGTCAAGGCTAGTGTTGAAACTCAGGCTGAAAATGGTTACACTGTCACTGTGCATTGCCCGACATATTGCCTGGTTTGCAGCTGAAGAGGTTAGACACTAACCATTACTGCGCTCAAGTATCATCCTCAACTAGAAGTCGTAGCACGACTCGAAACTTTTTCCTTGTGTGCTCAAGCATTGCTTTGTTCAGTTGTGAATCCGTTCAGTTGAGCTAGACTGCTCAATCAGAGTTGTCTCCATTGAAAACTTTGCCGTCTTCGACATCATTTCTTGACCGGATTCAGCCGATCAAACAAGGACTTTTTCTTATCCGCATACACATACTGCGGGCTCGTCTCGGGGCCGCATCGATCATCACATTGGATCACGGGATTTATGCTCATGTCGTTGGTAATACCGCGGTAACGCTTGGGCTTCTGGAGTTTAGCGCAAGCCGCAGTTGCCTTTCTAGTTGTCTTGAATTCAACAATGCACTCTTGTGGATATACCGCATCGTTGAAGTATAAGTGCTTGAAACCCGATTGAGCAGAGAACAGGGCACGTAGATCCTCTAATTTGGTGTCAGGAGGCAAGAGGCTGACACCCAATGTAGGCCAAAGGGCCTCGACCGGTGCGCATGAGACCTCCTGAGAGAGGTTGACAGCGAACTGCAGCCATCTCCGCCAACTTTCACGTTCCTCGGGGCTCTGCGTTTTCAAGGTGATCTCAACCGAGCGATTCAGAAAGGGTTTCGCTCTGTTGAATCGGGATATAGCTCTTACTCTTATTTCTAGATCCAGTCCGTTCGATAAGTGATGGGCAGTCATCGCTTCGGCTTGGATCTTGTACTCGTAATTGGCAGCGTTCAAATAGAAGATATCCCGCGTTTTGCGTCGAGGTCCTGCTTGGTCGTGGCATATAAGGAACGGCCCGACGAGTTCATAATAGCCTCTCAAATCGCCCCCTTGAGTTCGGCTGACTTGATTTAGATATCCCTCCTTTAGGACTTTCCTCCGGATCCGTCTTCCGCGATCCCAGACTCCTGTTGATTCAACCCTGAAAGATATTGTGGGCAAAGTGGCGGCCTCTCCGCCATCTCTGAGTATCGATCTTTCCTCTATCCAGGTCATTTTGGACATACTGACACCCCCTGCAAGATTCTCGAAAATAGGTGAGGATTTGTCCAGGCCGGCGCAGGGACCTGAATCCAAGGCTATCATACCCCCAGCTCTTGCAAATGCGTGTCGAAAAGCGGTCGCGTGCACGGAATCCCAAGTAGCAAAGAATCGTGAGTGCCCTGGAAGGTCTACTGCGAAGAGCAAGCTTTCGAGATTGTTGCAACACCAAATGACAGCTCCTCTTATCGATTCGCTGTTAATTGGCTGATCATTTACAGTTGAGACAAGCTGAGAGGCTTGTATTTGGACAGTATAAGAGCTTTGGTGCCAGTAGATACCACGACTGTCGTCGCATGCCCAAAGGTGTCCGTCCTTTGATTTTACGATGCATTTTTGCACCGACTCAGTTTTAGGTCGTGACATTACCGCGCTCGTATCATTGTTGTATCTGGCGATGAATGCTTGACATCTATCAGCAGGCTCCTGCCAATGGACGCTATCAGAGGGCCTGCTAGAACGCCTGCAGAGGAGAGCTTCCATCCAGTCGAAGTCACCTTCAGCGCTACCTGAGCATAGACAGATCTTTCCTCCATTCGATTGGGTAATAAAGAACCCAAGATCTGTGACTTTTGTAGCGGTTGCAGCATTCAGATCTGATGGGGTAACAGCAGCTGATGTGAACTGCCTTTCTGCGTACCCCATGACAGACCCTGATAGGGGAACTGAGCCGGCCAGATGCCCATCTGAGAGATTAAAATAAAAAAGATGACCTCGGAAGAGCTTGAAATGCGATCTTCTTCCTAACTCGCTATCCCCTGGTATCAAGATATAGAGCCAGCCGGTCTTCAGAGGCTTTTGATGTTCGAGAGGAGAATAAATCGCCTTTGCCTTCTCAACAAGGTCCTGTTGCAAACTTGCTTGGATTATTGGGTACGTGACGCCTTCGCATTTTGCTAAAGAGTCAATCCAACTGGATTTTTCAATTTCACTTGGGGCTTCGAACACGTGAGCCAGAGCATTCCCTACTGCTAAAATTCTGAAGCGACGTTCGGGATGCTGTCCAGCTTGCTCGGTTAATATCTCGGCTTTCTCGATATCGATGGCGCCAAGTGGATATAAAAGCTTATTATTTACGAGCCTGAAGGAGTGGGTTTCCGAATTGCCGCTCCCGGGTTTAAACATCATCAGATCTCCTGATTTGACCGATGTTGTAATATTTGTCTTTACGGCCTGCTTGATCCCTGACGAAGATAAGATTGAGGTCTCGTTACCTGATGTAGCGGTATCCGCTTGCTGGCGACCATCCCTAAGTGGCAAACCCTTTTCAAGATCAGGAACCTGTTTTGACCTCAATTGCAGATCTCGTATGCTTGCCTCATCGAACAACTCTGACGGGCCTTCGTTCTCCGATTGTGTAGGTCGGAGAGGGCTTTTAGGGCGATCATCAGGTTCATTTGGAAATATGGGCAGATCACTCCAGGATCCTGGCATTCGGTAAGTAGCAGGCTCGTCATGAAAATGCCCAGAAGACGTGACTGCAGTCGGAGCATCTAGTGGAAGCCGAGGTGGAAATGACGTTGGCAACTCCTCAGCTCGTGGGCTCTCTTGACCTTTGGATTCGTCGCGCTTCGCTCTGGGCGTACTCTGATCAACATCTCCCCTTCTATGCTCACGTTCACCCTGAGCGTCAGAGCCTCTTGTATCATGATGAATATCGATAAGATTGCTTTCTGATGGTAATCTATTTGCTATCATGGTTTGGGAGTCCGACCTGTCAGGCTTCGGCGTCTCGCCAGCGCCCAACGGAGCTTCGGGTGGACTATTTATTTGCTCCATGGACGCTGCTCGCGCCATGATCTCTTGACTTTGGGAGCTTGAAACATCATCAATGTGAATCACAGGAATTGAATTTCCGCTTGCTTCTTTCCGTGCAGAAGAGGGGGCACCCAGGAGGGATTCTTCCAGTGGGTAGCCATGTGCTGCTTGGGTAAGTTTAGAGTACGGCCGTTGCTCTGCTGTTTTCCCAATGTCGTGCAATGCGTACCTAGCATCGACTTTCGGTAAAGGGTCTGAATTGTTGGTGGGGGATACCATCCTATCGCTGGCATTTGTACTAAATCCGAGTTTTGCGTTCCCAACGTCGTGAGTAGCAGGGCTCCTATCAGCTAATTCTATGGCCTTGGTTTCCCGACTGAGAGGTACCCCAGATGGCGGGGCTGACCCCCGGATAAATTCAAAATCGTTACCTTGTAGACGTGATTCTAGCGGGCTCGCTTCTTGTAGCTCGTTTGCTGATGTATTAGGGTGTGCTAGTTCTTCCGAAGCAATCGCTCTTGGTGCGTCCTTGGAGTCCGGAGACTCTAAATATCGAGGCTTTTCTAGTGCCCTGAGCTCAGCTTGGATCTTTTGGCTGGTCCTTGTATCGCTCTCTGAAGTTGGCGTTCGACTTGGTGTTGGGCCTTGTAGCTGCGTTGAGATTGTCACAGCTTCAGACGATACTTGACTCTGGTGGGTCGAGGTATCAGCCATCGGCGTCGACGGTGAAAGCTGTGCAAGGTCTGTTCCTTCAAGTGTTAAAGGTGGTGTGATTGGGGCGAATTGAGCCTGAGACATGGTGGCCTTCTCATAAATAGAAAATTGATCATTTTGCTCTTCACGTGTTAGGTCGCTGTGCTGCAGTGAGTCAATCGACCGTCGCTGATCACTTATATGATCCTCTGCTTGAGCAGCCCATGGGAGTTGAAGGGCTGTTTGGGCTGACATTCGTTGAGAGGGATGTGGTTCGAGCAAAGCCTGGATATATTCAATACCACTGGTACTCGCATCATTCTTTTCCAGTGCTGATTTTGGGAACTTTTGGTGCTTAGCGCGGCAATATGATTTCAATTTCCTCCTATTTGCGAATGGAAGTTCGAGAGTCATGATCTGGTAAAGGACACATCCAAGACTCCACATGTCAACGGCGACCGTGTACGTTTCATCGTCTTCACCACTACTGTTATCGTCGTCTTCCTCGTCAAGAAGGTGTAGAACCTCCGGCGCTATATAATCAGGTGTACCAATAGTTGTGTGAAATCTTGTCATGCCATCGTGAATACGTTTACTGATCCCAAAATCACCAATCTTGACCCACCAAGGACGTTTCTCAACCACAAAGATGTTCTGAGGCTTCAGGTCGCGATGGGCCCATTCTTGAGAATGGAGCAGCGTGAGGCCCTCCAACAACTGTTTGGCTATGATTCTCGCATCAGGTTCTGCTATCTTGGCGTCAAGGTTTTGGGCAAGATCGCCATGCTCGAAGTATTCCATGGCAAGATACACGGCATCCAAACTCTCGTACCAGCCGAAGAAGTTGACGAACACATCATCGTTCTACATTCAAGTGCTAATATCAGCTCGGCAGCACAAAGACTTGGAGAGCGGCCTTGCGCGCCGGTACCTTTGACAACCTCCCTAGAGCTACCAATTCCTTCCTGTAGTCTATGGGCAGAGGAACTGATCTGGTCCCTTTCACAATCTCTTTCACGGCGCGGCAATTCGCCGACCTGCCGTCCTCACTCTGCAGCCAAACCGTCCCAGAGGCACCTCGTCCGATGCATTTCGTGTTCTTCCATTTCGTGGTCTTAATCGCATTGCGAACTTTGCGCACGCGATCTGCATATTTTCTGGTCTCGAGGACTAGGCCCTGAGAATGGTCAAAGCTGACATTCAGCCTGAAGAATTCTTCGAGGTCTGAAGCCGAAGGTTCTGCTGACATCCCGAGCCGACCACCGAACTTTCATCGACAGCAATATGACATATTTGTCCTCGGTTCCGTTGCCAGAGGGTCTGCAGTATCATCTTCGAGGATCATACTCAGGACATGGGGTCGAGGATTGATCTTCAGCTCCAACGGCTCCTACGCTAAAGCTGCCGACCCCTGCACCAGGCGTCATCGCTTTCTTGATTCATGCACTGCACCGAGTCTTTGGCTAGACTCGCTAGACTCTGGTTAGATCGCCATTATTGTACTTCATGTTTGCCTTCCCATGCGATTGATGCAGATCTACTGGAGTGATTTGTATACTGCTTGTGATGGAGCCAGTGGGAGCGGCGTTTGCCGCCCTCAGCGTCATCGATCTTTGCACCAAGTCAGTAAGAATTCTTGACCTTTCTCAGTTCCGGCTTGTCAACATAGCAGCCAATTTGAATGAAGAATGAAGAATCTATGTTCAGATGACATGCCACCATAAGTCTTTGCAGCCAGCTGGAGAGAGGCAACCAATGATTGCTAACCTGGATTCTTTAAAGGTATGGGAATGAGCTTATTAAACGGTACCGGTCATACAAACATGCCGAAGGTAGAGTTTATGAGCTAGTCCTGCGCATTGAGGACCGATGGCTCAAGATGAACGTCCAAATCGACTTTCTCCGCACGGTATGGGAGTAAGTTTTGCGCATTCCTCCTCCCAATTCCAACGAAGTGGTATGACTAATGCCCTTGCAGTACGATGGATGGAGCTCTTCAGAACCACCAGAATCGTGTACTTGAGGTCCTCTACGAGAAATTGCAGCGCGCGTTCACCACCCTCGAGCGCGCAACTGACTCCACAGGCTCTGCAAAGGCTGACAATAGTGGCGTCAAAGTCAACAAGCTCAAGTTTGCTGTATTCATGGAGAGCCATCTCTCCAAAACGGTAGAGGATCTAGAGATGTGGCATGCTACTTTTGACCCGTCCTGGTGGATTATCACCCGCATTTCGAACCGAAAGATTGATCAACAGCTTACGTCTGGTGCCTCTCAGTCTCTGCAAAAACTCAAAGAACTAAGACACGCAATGGAAGACGGCTCTGACGCCACTCAGATGGAGAAGAAGTCGATTTTTCTGTCTAAGGACGTGACCTTCGACAAGCGGGCATCAATTTCGCATTCTTCATCATACAGCGCACAAACACCTGGGTCTCCAGCTTGGACAATCATTGACCAGATTAGATTCAAAAACCCTGACAAGCCTTTGACGTCCACCAAAGATGTCAGGGATCTTGCCCGGATTTTGGCAAAGGTTGACCCATCCATATTCGGCCTGCTTTGCTGCGAAGGCGTCATCAAAGCCCAAGATGCTTCAGAAAAGGTCATTGGCTTTGATTTCGTTTTCACTGTACCATCTCACTACCGCGACCCTCGAAGTCTGCGTGACATACTCACATCGCCAACTTCAGATGTCCCGTTGAACGAACGATTTGCACTTGGTTCACAGCTTGCACGCTCTGTCTTCTTTATTCATGCTTCGAGCTTCGTCCACAAAAATATCCGACCAGAAACCATCATTGTATTCAAAGAAGGCTTATCTAGGCTTGGTAGACCTTTTCTGGTAGGGTTTGAGCGATTCAGGGTTGACTCTGCACGAACCTTTCGATCCGGCGATGATCTCTGGTGGCGAAACATCTACCGACATCCAGAGCGTCAGGGTCTGATGCCTGAAAAAGACTACAGTATGCAGCACGATATCTATTCTTTGGGCGTCGTACTACTCGAAGTCGGACTAGGGACCTCCTTCGTCAAATCCACAAGAGACGAACAAGGAAATGCTTCTTCTTCACCGGATTATGACTCGGGGGTAGTCGGATCAATGAAAAGCGAATCCCATGGATGGGCTAACTCTCTCAAAAAGCATTTTGTGGAGCAAGCAGAGTCCAAATTACCCGCCATCATGGGTCGGAAGTACACACAGGTTGTGATGTCATGTCTTACGTGTCTTGACAAAGATAACGAAGCTTTTGGTGATGAAAGCGAACTTGAAGACGAAGACGGAATTTTGGTAGGAGTGAGGTTCATCGAGAAGGTACGAACACCTCTCGAGCATGATAGAAGTACTTAATAACTTTTCAGATCTTGATGCAACTAGATGAGATCTCCGTGTGATGAAGTCCAAGTCGCCGACCAAAATATTGCCCGTTTCGTTGAATCGGCGACTCAGAAATCAGCTACAAGTTAATGATGCCTCCTAAATTCGAAACTGTTCCTGCCAACTTGACGGCAACTGACTGCCCGCCCACAACCTCATGGTCATTGACCGGAAAGAATAAGCCACCACCAATGGTCACGAAAATGATACCCTCCTTTCCATTTCTCCCAAATGCTATGGAAGCACGCCATGTTGAGTCGTGTTTTCAACTCGACTTGTGGCACTACGAGTAGCATAGTGTACCGCACCAAGCAAGAAGTCTAGATGCACGCGCTGGCGGAGGCAGCTTTACATGAGTTCTCCTGGATTCAAGACGAGCTTCAGATCATTCTTACATCTACTAGAAACGACAGCGTCATAGACCACGCCGCACTCACGATCTCTTGGCTTTCTCACTCCATTTACTCGATCCGGCATTGCCGTCTCTCCACGAAGTCGCCCAAACTCAAGCGTACCAACCAGACCCCACCGTGTACGATCTTGAATCTCGACGTAACTCTCGTGGCTGAAAGCACTTATCGGAACTCGTACTAATCAAGCCTGACTATATCACTTGGCAGCAATACTTCTGGAGATCAAGAGGAATAATGTGGCGTCCATCTTCACTTTAGGCTCGTCGCCAAGCTGGCTATGTTAGATTATCTAGGTAGATCTGTAAACGAAGCACGGGACAGCGAGGAACACCAGATCCAATGGAGCGGCTCATGTGTCGTACGACCTTAATATTAAGGTGGTATTACTCCTGCAGTAGCATGGGTGTTTATGGGGCTAGAGAGATCCAGGCTCTGAAAGCATTCATGCTAGGTGCACCAGGGGTGTGACGGAAGTGGTCACGACTTGGGAGCTATTGGACTGGTCTGGCATTCGTCCATGACATACTCTCCTGGCGTGGCCTAGATACTCACCAGACCACCACCAGGCACCATCCAAAGACCTACTCCTTTACCAACACCTTCTCAGGCGGTGTCACCTCAACCTGCTCAGTGGAGCTCCCCCTCGTCTCCGGACTCCCCGTCCCCACCACCTCCCCTTTCACCTTCCTTAACCCCTCCCTCTCTCATCACCGCTGCAAAGACAGCTCTAAACTGCCTATGCCCATCAATCAACGGAAAGAACCCAGCCACAAACAACGTCCCCCAAATCCAAATAATCGCCACCACAAGCCACGCAGTAAAGAATGTCTTGCTGAAAATGTACTTCGCCGCATACATTGGTAGCGGCCACAGCACCCAATGACCCACGAACGTCGCGATACTCCAATAAGCCGCAATTCTCGCCCAGCGCTTAAGATGCGGCTGCGAGCCCGCCCCAGTTTCATTAAGCTCTTGCTCGATGACAGGATCCACGGTCGCAACAACATCATCCCCCGTGTCAAAAGCAAGTTTCTCCTTGCGAAAGTCCGCCCAATCGAAATTCTGCGGATTGAACAAGGAGAGGATGATCGTGTAGGGCAAGGGGCTGAATGCGGAGGCGACGGTGCCGTACACGCAGGGCAAGATCTGTCCCGTCGTTGCGACATTCACGCCGCCGTACAGCGCGGAGGCGGAGCCGAGCCAGACTGCGAGACCGGTTGCCATACCCAGGAGCGGAGAGAGGATGGCGGCGATGCGGGATTGGCGACGCCAGAGGATCGTGAAGGCTGTGGGGAAGATGCCGGGGCAGGTGAGGACGCCTTAGGGGTGTGTTAGCTTGTAAGTTCTGAGCGCTGTGGGTGCTTTGGGATGGGCTGGGCCGGGTTGGGTTGGGATGCGGATCGAGGGGGGTAATACGTACCCAGCATGTACAGTGTCCAGCCTAGATCCACGCCGACGTAATGCAGCAGCGTGCTGAAAGCGGCGGCAAAGACTCCGAAGAAAAGCACGCCGTAATGGCTCCAGCGGATGACGTCGGCATCTTTAGCGCGTCGATTGAAGTATTGTCTGTATATGTCGAAGCTGATGATCGAGCTTACAGCAATAACTTGCGCTGATAAGGTCGATGTGACTGCCATGAAGGTGATCAATAAGATCCCGGCTGCTCCGCCTTTGCCGGCGATGGTGATTGCGGCGTATGGTAATACCAGGCCACCACTGACTTCGGTGGCTGACATACGCTGAACAGTATCAGTATGGTTTTCTGGCGTGTCGAACCTGGATACATACTCTTGGGTAAGTCGGGAACCGAGGCTGGCCTTCAAGGCCAATGGCAACGAAGCTCATGGTGGTACCGAGACACCAAGGAACAGCGAAATATGCGATACCTCCAATCACATATCCAGGTACCACGGCAGAAGGCGAGGCGGAAAATGCTTTCACGAAGAAGCTAGTGTCCATCTGCAAGAATGAGTTTGGCAATACTGGGTTTTATTTGAAAATGACTTACGATGACAAGTCCGAAATTGGCGAGAATATGCAGTATACCAAAGTAGATGCCCTGTTGGCACCTTAAGTCAATGATCCGCTAATTAGAGGTGATTTGATGTTCATGCTTACCCCTTTGGATGTCATGGTCAGGTAGCTGCCCGCGTGATTACCTTCCACAGGGTGCGCTGTTGAGGCCGTTCGGACCAGCTCGTACAGATGCCCAATTGAGCCGATCTCTGGAATTGTGAATGCTTTGACGGTGAAGAAACAGCAGATGATAAGGATAGTGAAGGTATGGAAATAGTCCGTCAAGAAGCTGCGAAGATTAGTGTTGGCTTGTGAGCGATATTATGAGGACTTACGTCGCTTTGATACCACCAACAAAAGTGTACAAGACTACACCAACCGGAAGGAGAAAAGTGGCGGCGATGATATGGATACCGGTCCTGGACAACAATCTATTAGAGAAGACACGCACAGGACTCTATTGACTCACAAGGCCGTTATTGCCGCGGATGCTCCAAGTAGCATATTGGCGACAGCGATGATATTGTTGATGAGGCACAAGCCCATGTACACGATGTGTGCAGTCGTGCCTGACTTATCAGCTCTTCGCTCCAATGATTCATGACAGAGACTTACCATATCGTATGCGGACAATCTCGAGCAGCGTGTGTGCTTCCGGAATCTTGAGCTTGCAGGAGATTCCGAGAAGTGCAAAAAAGACAATCATCGGACTACACCCTGCAGCAAACCAAAATGGCCCAGCGAGTCCAAAGTTGTAGCCGACGAGGGTAGAGCCGAGCATAGCAGTACTCCAGAGCCATGACTACATCACGCGGGTGAGTTACGGCCAACCAGCTCCGTAGGTCTTGTACTTACTGATATTACGGCAGAGGCAGTCAATCCAGTACGAACATTTCGGTTTGCTGTCATGAACCTGCAAACGAGATTCAGTCAGATGCATCAAGGGGTTTGCTTCGTGACTCTTACATTTCTGTCTTTTTGTTGTCTTCTCCAACTGTCCTCTTTAAAAGTCGGGTCACAAACATCATAACTAAGTGCGAAGTCAGTGTCCATTTGCCGGGTGTCAATATGAACTAGCTTACCAAAAGCGATAATCAGGCCTATCAACACGACGACGATATATCCAACCGCTTGAGAAAGAGCCGGTTTAACTACCTCAGACGCAGCAGCGTCCGCAGACGCTCGAACTTGAAGTGACATCCTCAATCCTCAGCGACGATGAACAATGAAGCTTTCTCAGCACACGAATGAAAAAGACTTCAGTTGGCTTTTGATGGCGGGACTTGCACGAAGACAGAAGAACAGGCTTTTAAGATCTCCAAGATCCAGCCCAGCAGAATCACATCATTGTCTGGAACCAGCGATCGTACTGCACAGGCCAAGATAAGCGAAGTCAACGTGGTCTAGGTACACTAAACCTTGAACTCGGATCTCTTGTAATTAGCCCGTGTGTTTTGGCAAAGAAGACACGGCACACAAGCCGAGTCCATGGTCCCGGATATCAGTCCATGCGATGTCGGAAGGATAGCGACATCGATATTGGACGACATTGTGGGGGTTTTTCTCCACACTGTGACCGTTGATGTAGATCCTTGGGCCTCAAAGCATGCAATTGACTTTGACCATACTGATTGGCGAACAAGCCGGACAGGTTAGGGTCATACAGTTGTTAGTAATGAAAGCTTCGACAATTGCGTGGGATGCAAGTACCACAGATCTTGAATCTCGAGTTCGCCAGCATGTGCTGCACCGGAATGTCCCAGGTGTGAGTGAAGAGGGATGGGTCTATTCGACGCTGCTGCAGAGTACGGATGTCGTGCTACGATAGCGCATGGTGTGATATGCATGATGTCGCATTAAGGCTGAGAATTGCGTGAACCAAGCTAGTCGTGCCTAGTCAAAAGCTTTTGGTTCGTCCCATTTCTCAAGACCTTCTCGAAGGCCTGGGGCCTGGTCTCGACGTATGTGAGAGAGGGGCTTTCAGATTTGATCATCAGCTGAATTGACGTAGATGGTCCAAAGTTTGTCGCGTCCGCGGCCGTTGCAATGTTTACTCCTACACCCACTTGTGCTTTCGCCATTGCGATCGCTCATATTATATGATTCACGATTCAAGTCATAGCCAGTCTGAGATACACGGAATCCTGCAAGAGCCACAATGACAGCAGTCAATGGACTTTCAAATGCGAAACCGGGCAAGAAAAGCCTCGTGCTCAATGCCTTCGTCGAAAGCTGTAAGCGCCTTCTAACGTCCGAAAGCAGGTTGTTGACGAAGAGACAGGCAGCGGCCATCAGTCGCCCGGCCTATGGCGTCATCCAGACGATCACTCGGCAGACTTTAACGACGTAGACCACTGGATGAACTTGGCGAAGTTGCTTGAGAAGGGAAAATTCCACGGCATTTTCATCGCTGACGTGCTTGGTTAGTCCGCGCTTATGCATTCTTGGCCGCGAAAGCATTCATTGATCTTATGTAGGCGGATACGACGTCTATAATGGTCCTCGTAATCTTGATCCGGCAATCCGCTCCGGCGCTCAATGGCCTGTGAATGAACCCCTTGCTATTGTTCCACCCATGGCGGCAGTGACGAAGAACCTCGGATTTGGTGTGACGGTGGCCACAACTTATGAGCAGCCATACCATCTTGCGCGTAGGTTGTCCACGGTGGATCACTTGACCAAAGGCCGGTGAGTGGGTGAAGGAAGACACTCGGGAACGACCAAGCGCCAATGCTAATACCATCTGTTGCATTTTAAGATTAGGCTGGAACGTATGTGACAAGAAGAATATTAAATGGTCGATGGAGCATTACTGAGCCTCTTCAGATTGTCACTGGCTACCTCGATTCCGCGGCTAGGAACTTGGGTCATACTGAACAGCCCGAAGTAGGTTCACTCCCTGCTCCAACTATCCGTACTTTCTTGCTCTGGTGGTTTTATTCACGTGGTCGGTGGCTGATCAGCCTTGAATATTTAGCATGACGAAAGGTACGCAATCGCAGAGGAATATCTCGAGGTCATGTACAAGCTTTTCGAATCATCCTGGAGGGAAGACGCAGTGGTTTTAGATGCGAAAAGAGCTGTCTACACAGATCCAACGCGTGTCCGTGAGATCAATCACGTTGGAAAACACTATACCGTTCCAGGGCCACATATCTGCCAACCCAGCCGCCAACGGACGCCAGTGCTGATGCAGGCCGGAACCTCAAAGGCCGGGAAAACATTTGCCGCCAAACATGCTGAAGCCATCTTCGTTGCTGGCCATAGCCCATCCGTGATCGCAAAGAATGTGGCAGAGGTACGAGCGCTGGCAAAGGAACTTGGAAGAGCTCCTCAGAACATCAAGTTCCTGGCATTGATATGTCCCATACTAGGCAAGACGGAAGAGGAGGCGCAGAAGAAGTTTGATGAGTACAGCGCTTTTGGTTCTATCGAAGGTGCGTTGGCTCTGTTTGGCGGATGGACTGGAATCGATTTGGCCAAGTATGATGACGATGAGGAGCTTCGGCATGTTGAGAGCAACGCTATTCGGTCAGTCCCTCGCTACTGAAAGCGTAAATATGACTGATGAGAGGAAGATCTGCCGTGGAAGCATGGTCAAAGTCATCTCCGGGCGTGGCTAAGTGGACCAAGCTCACCGTTGCCAAGCATATTACTGTTGGAGGCTTAGGCGCGACCGTGGTCGGAACTGCTGCTCAGGTTGCCGACGAATTTGAAAGATGGATCGATGAAGCAGATGTAGATGGCTTCAACATCGTAGGTCTTGCTCAGAGTGACCGATCCCTCCGACTAATTGATATCAGGCCTATGCTATCAAACCTGGCACGTTTGAAGATGTGATCGAGCTACTGCTCCCAGAGTTGCGAGCGCGAGATCTCTTCTGGGATGATTATGCAGTGGAGGGTGGGACATATAGAGAAAATATATATAAACAGAAAGGTCAGAGCGGGTTGCTACCTGACCATCCAGCTTCGGGATATCGCTGGAAAGCCGAATGAGGCAAGGATCAGGGAAGAAACAGATGAAGTCTAGCGGATGTACCAACCCACAGGAATCACCTGCAGAAGCTGTGATCGGGTAGATACAGACGTGTGGGTAGAAATTGATGCTCTTGAAGTGCTGAGTCAGCAGTGAACTCTTGGCAGAACAGATGGCGAACCTAACGACAAGCAATATTACCAGACCTGTCTTACATCGGCATGACGTTCAGAACTCGTTCTCGTAGTAGAACGTTCCTTTAGAAGCATAATGATTGTAGCTGAGGCCCTAGCATCATACGAGGCCAGCCCGTGGAAGCGGCCGAATTGCTCAGATTCCTCCTCGATTGCACCATCACGCTAGTTCGCCAAGCGTCTTTCTTTACCTCACAACTATGCCTGCGTTCCTGGTCTCTGACTGATACAATTCTGTTCTTCCTACGTACCCCCACGTACTAGAAGATGCTTGTTCCAGGTCTCCCGTCGCTTGTGGAGATCGGGATAGTTGCATCTGATGGTGGAGTATGATGTGCTTTGCTTTGCTGAAATATCCGAACCTTATCCGCACTACTGGTTGCCCAACCGCTGCTTAACAGTTGCACCTCATTAGTCGTCAACGCCTCGTGCCCGTTGGCACTAATACTTAGTTGCGGTGGTCAGAGGATCGATAGCCTCTAGACTCGTCATGGTGGAGCAATTGCGCCATCTAAGATCGACGTGCGAACGGCTGCTCAAGAGCTACCGACATATGCACGCCGATATCGCCTGCGTCTAGACCTTTGTCGCACGTTAAGACTCTCGTAGCCGAGCATACCACGTCATTACCGAAGTCCGACTTTATTTGCTCCTTGACCAATTGCTGGATTTCTTACGGTGCTAAAATCCGTCGTCCTTTGGGCATGTTAAGGACGTCATCTGCAGCCTGATTCACGCCATTGTGAGAGGAGATCGTTGTCATGGAAATCATCGTTGCTGGGTTTCTCGTAGCCATCATCTTCATTACGGTGCTTCTCTACAGACAACACTCTCGCGGGGCCGCTCCTGCGGATGATTCATTATCCGAATATCCAGTGCCCAAGAAGCCAGCCAGAGCAGCTCTCCTTCTGTCAAAGAAGGGCCCCTACACACTTGTCCACGACTGGCCGCGCCCACAGATCTCGTCAAAAGAAGTACTGATCAGAAACCGAGCCATTGGCTTAAACCCCATAGACTGGAAATGCGTAACATACGGCTTCGGCGTATACTCGATCCCTTGGATCAGTGGAAGGGAAGCAGCGGGCGTGATAGAGGAGATCGGCGCAGAAGTGCGTAATTTTCGGAAAGGCGACAGAGTGTGGGTGACAAGTACCAACTATCGTGATAACAGGACGTCAACATTTCAGGAGGTAAAGGCCTCCATTGTTTGACGTAGGTGTGCGAATAAGCTGATCGCCCGCGTAGTTCATAGCAGCGTCGCCTTTCAACGTAGGTCACCTCCCAGATTTCATCTCCTTCGATGAAGGCGCCACACTCGGCGTCGGAATCGTAGCGGCAGCCGGAGCTCTCTTTGATAGCCTTCATATTCCATGGCCTCAACAGTTTGAAGCATCTCCGCCAATCGGAACACTATCTCCAACTTCACCACAACCTTCCATTTCAGACCAGGACGGAAAGCCCCATGGTAACCCCGACTCCCGACCCTGGATTCTCATATGGGGCGCCTCCTGCGTGACCGGCATGATGGCCACCCAGCTCGCCCACCAGAGCAATCTCCGCGTGCTAGGAGTTGCTAGCCTCCACAACACGAGCCAACTCCTCGGACTCGGTGCTGAGAAGGTCCTTGATCGTCATCGTCCCGAGGAAGTCATTGCCGAAGCTCAAGAATTGCGGATTAGCTTGGCAATCGATTGCGTAGGGCAAGAAACAGCTACCTATGCGGCTCGAGCGTTGCTTACTGGAGGTAAGCTGGCTTATCTAGTGAAGAAGCCGAAAGTGGAGGTCATTGAGAAGAAAGGGCTGAGTGTTACGGATATTCTGATTAAGCGGTTTCATGAGGATGAGAGGTATGGGAGTGCGCTCGTGGCCTTTGTGGAACGGGCTTTAGTGAAGAGGACTTTGCGGCCGGTGAAGTATGAGATTATTGAAGGGGGGCTTGAAGCTGTAGAGGAAGGATTGAGAAAGTTGAGCGAAGGAGGTGTCAGTGGAGAAAAATTAGTCGTTAAAGTTGTATAGGACGTTCATACGCGCCTGGAATTGCCGTAGAAAACTCGTTCGTGAGTCTCATAAACGAATTGGGTTTGTAGGATCGGGAGCCCTTGTATCTGTGGCATCGTCTGGCAGGACTCCAAGGTATCAAGAGTGGGATGCCTCACAGGATCAGTCGTCTGAAACTGAGTATCAGGCATCATTCAGTGGTGTTCTCTGGTAACAATAGTGCAAGGCATCTCAGCAACCCAACTCCTCCTACTTTCACTTCCCAGCGAGACGTCAAGATCACCAGTCTTTGCCCTTTTCCTCCCTCCACTCCCTACATCTCGACTTATTCCATTATCTGATGATATTTCTTCAATGCTAGCACCCCACTCGTAGACGCCCTTTACCAAAGCTACAAAACCTGTTTCTTGACGGACTTCGCCGCCAGCAGGTATAGGCGGTAACGATCGCTGCAACAATCCGTTCACAAAAAGCTTCTGAGCTAGGTCTAGTGCTGTTTCCTGTGGTTGATTTGACAGGCTTGGTTGCAGTCGCAAAATGGAGGGAGCTATAGATGTTTCCGAACGGTTCTTGACGGTCGTAGAGAGGTTTAAGAATGTCTGTGTGGGGATCTCGAATAGGCCAGAGCCGAGTCTCGAGAGTTGCTGAGATCCTTCTATATCGTCCCCTCCAAAGGCTGGCTGAGGTACGAGTTGTATGTCCATCGAGATCTCTATTTCAGGCAGTCTGTACGCCGCAATCATGTCAGGTGTAACATGGAAGTTCTGACGGAGATCTATAGAGCCACTACGCCCGGTAACCTCATCTTTCCATGTTGCCGAGAGCTGTTTCAAGAGGGTTTCACGAAACCAGAAACCTTCCCTGGCCTCGCGCTCTGCTTGTGGGGAGGCATCAGTCGAAGACACGACATATTGTCGTTGATTTGCTGGATTTAGAGATGGTATTGCAGCATGGATCTTGGAATTCTGCAAGAAAATGCGAGGTATCCGGATGGGTAGGCGAATTGTAGTATTTGGGTGGAAGTGGCATGTCGTTGTGGTGGGACTTCCCTGTGTCGAATTGGTAGGGGAGTGATGTTGCAAGTCGAGAGTAAGGGTCGAGGAATGAAGATTATGAAAGTCAAGCAGTAATAGACAGGTTGACTGGGACAAGCTTGATGATACCTTGGGCACGTTGTAATGAGATGAATCCAGAGTAGGGGCATGGTTTGCTTGATCTTCAATGACGCCCGATGAAGAGAAGCTACGCGGCCAAAGAGGCTCGTCTAGCTTTACGAGATCAATTCCTCTAAGCTCAAGACTAGGGGCCACGGTCACAGTCAAGGGAATCTTGATCTGCCTCGTGAAAAACCTTTCGTCGTTATCAGGCTTTTGAGTCCCAAGAAAACAGTAGTCTACCTGCATGATGCCGCTGGATAGACCAGGCTTTCCCGTTATCTCAACCTGCAATGCCATCTGTTCTGCCGGCGCAACTTGAAGACTTCCCAAATCAGTCGACTTATGTAAACGTAGGGCAGATTTCTGTGATATGCTCAACTCAAGCTCGTATAGAGCTTCTGCTGATAAGTCCTTGAGCGCAAGCTTCTCCTGCATTGCCGTTGACACGGAATCGATGAATGAGATGAGAACCAGATCAGCAGTCGCTGTGTGAGAGACATTAGAAAGCGTGAAACTCAAGCTCTTCACTTCCCCGTCTTGTAGTACTACAGCAGACTGAGCCAGAGATGATGCTTTACAAATAAGTAACGGCTGACTATCTATTACCCTCAAGGACAAGGTAGTCGCCTGTGGGGTTGCATACGGCCAGCTAGATTTAGATCTGCTATTCTGCGTGTGCTTCTTCGACGGGTCCGATGAGTGTTTTGGATCAAGAATCTGCATATTTCTGCCCTTTACGTCGGGTTGGAGGGCCCAAGGCGCACTGAAGGTTGAGAAGGTCCGGTCTTGACAGCCTCTAATTTTGACTCTGCAACCTGAGATCGTCAAGGTTCCGCGATTGAGAGGTATCGCAGGCACAAGCATAGTCTGTGTTCGGTAGGGACCAAGAATCACCGTCTGAGGGCGACAATGTAGGGGTACGATATCCGAGATTAAGACAATTTCGTCAATAATTACTTCGAAGTCGAAGAGATTCTGCAGAAGTACCTGAAATACAGCCTCCTCTCCAGCCACGAGGACTAGCGACTTCGCTGTTTGCTTTGGCTTAAGGAAAGGATTGAAAATGAATGGATCCTTTTCTTTCTTCACCTCTATGCTTTCTACCAAGTCTATCTCGGATTTTGCATGTGAAGTAAGCTGATGAGCTTGATTTGCTTCCGCCAGCTCTATGCCTCGTACAAGGAAATCGTCCCAGTAATCTACCTCTGCGTCCTCCAGGCCAAGGTGCTGCACGGCGCCAAGGGTACGGGCGAGATTATTGGAAAGACGTATCTGGTCCTCGATTGCTAGGTTGGGGGATCCATTACTACTTCCAGGGGCTGGTGCTACACAGCTACTAGTGATTCGTAAGAGCATCGTTGTGTGCTTAAGGACGCCTGGAAGATCTGGAAGTGCCTCACAAACATTTATACACGCCCTCAGCATGTCGACTTGCAGTTGAGATGGTCCATAGGTATTAAGAAGAGCTTGGCGTAGAATAGCAGCCACTGCTTCCGTTGTGTCACATCTTGATGAATGATCCCTTGTAGTATTGTCATGTTCAGTCTTCTCCTTACGTTCTGACAGGTGGAGAATGCCAAAATTCCGGCATGTAAGGTCCAAGAAGGCTTGAAGGCCGTGATCCGTGCTATCATGGGTCGAATCACTTGGACTGGAAGAAGTTGTGGCGTTTAGTGAAGCTAAGTCGGTCGCAGGATGGACGCCCATTTCTGCGGCTCCGTCCTTTCTCGCCTGAATAAGTGAAGGGAGCAAGGTCACAACAATATCGCGCAAAATCAATGCCATTTTTCTGTACTGGCCAAGATCTGAAAGAACAGCCGAGATGGCAGCCAATGCTATCATGCGATCTGGCGTGGTTAGAGATGATTCAGAAGCTGAGCCAGGATATGCTTTCAAAAGAAGCCCGACTATTTCTGGTTTTGGGAGGATACCGTCATATCCCAGAGTGAGCATGGGCTGTAATTGACCGCTGCCTGTCACAAGATAGCGCAGCACATCATCGCTCAATTGTGCGGGGAGTGAATCGCCACCAATAGCTTAGACAAGCGTATTGTTGAATGTGTCCACGAAAGAGCGGGTATTTTGTCATCGGTAAAGGTGTAAGCTCTAGTGTATAGATTAAGTATGTTGTGCACGAGGTCAGGAAGCAAGTCCACGAGCGACTTCAGAGTAGCGGCTTGTTTATCCGAATCAACAGACCTCGAGAGTGTGATTTCATGCTGACTGTTGGATGGTGAATGCTTAGAGGATTTGCTAGAGCTGGTACTTAAGTGTTCAGAAGATGGGCGCAAAACATTAGGTATCTGGGCTCATAGTCAGGCAATCTTCAATGGGCATCACGACAAAATCTGCTGAATGTTCGACTTACGCGAAAATCCATTCCAGCAAATGCGCACATCAAGAGACACACCACCAGATAGTCTAGAGCCTTTGCCTGCCACGCGTAGTCGCTGCTTAATCTTGCCTTTGTTACACTGTTGGAAAGTTCTCTTGTAGCATCTGGCCAACGCCCGGCAAGGAGATACATTGCGCCAACGACAACACCTACGCGTGCTTTACCTCTCGTCTTCTCACGCTCATCAACGCTTCGTCTGCTTGATTTATCGAACGAATTCCGTGGTAGAGAAGTAGCTGAATTTGTATTCACGCCTCCACTTGGAGGAGTTTGAGCGCGTACCGGGGGTGACCTTGAACGACTTTGTGGAGTCGAAGCCCGAAACTCCGGATTGGAGAGCATGTGTGCTGGCATGGACATGCGATAATGTTGTTTTGCATCAGTCGATGGGGAAGCTGAGCGTGGCCGCCCCGTAACGGACATTGGGCGATTGGTTCTATGCATATGAGACGGTACAGAAGATACGATTCCATTCGAGAGTGTAGATGGCCCAGCTCTAGGAGTCTCAATGGTATTGCCGTCCTGCAGGGATTTGGCATATGGTGCCATTTCTGCAAGCATATTTGAGGTCATGTCACACATGATGGTCTTGATAGTAGTCGTTCTTGATTTAGCAACAGGTGGAACAATAGCGACGGCTTCAGGTAGTCCCTTCAGCTTCTCAGCATAGTCAAAGATCAATATCTGGTGCGTCAGAGCCAGAGGGTACTCTTCTCGAAGCTGCCTTAGATCTTCCACCAGTCCGTCTATCAATTCGGCATTCTCCTTGGTATCTTCATCTGCACCATGTGGGTCGCCAATCTGCTCCAAGGGCAACTCATCTCCATCTATAATGCCTATTATGAGAAGGGGAAGTCGATATATTTCAAAGGGCACCAGGTCGAGATGGGGTGGGGAGGGAAACGAAGCTGATAGGTCGTAATACACGAGACCATCTGGAAAGGCGAGAGGTGAGAACATAGCTGTGTCTTGCATCAGTGAGATCTCGTGGAAGGCCGCGCACCGGGCTTACTCCTGTTGGGCCTGCCATCAGGACTGACATCTCCAAGCCGTACAATATTGTCACGCTGTAAGCGCCGTACAAAACCGGAGAACCTGGACGTTTTGACCGGACCAATAGGCAGTACAAGAGCTCTCACGCGTGCAGGAGCAAGAGGTGAGAAGGCATCAAGATTCATGGTGGCATTGACACCCTCGTCGAGGAATCAATGTCGAAGAACAGCCTAGGCTCCAGAGCTCCATGGCCGCAGGATATACGGTGGATGAGCGATCCCGGGCATAGAGCATCACCTGCAGCTTTGTCCCACGTCTCTGTTGATCCAGAAGCTGTATGATTGCTGTGTGGGCGCGGTATGTACCTTGCAGAGTGTCAGGATCACTAGCTGCATGATGACGCGCTTCTTCGAGCCTCCGCCTTTTGCTCCGCAAGCTCCGCAAGACTAGAACTACTGTTTGTTTGCCACGTTCACATAACTTTCAGGAAGGGTTGATATACGTTGCATTTGTCATAGCATCTGGCAGGCGTTTAAATAATATTGCATTTCAATTCTTCCCTTCTCCTTTTCTCTTCACTTTACCTTCGACTTGCCCAAATACGTCCCTCTCAGCCTTGGCCCCCAGCACCCTCTGTCAGAATGGGAGCCTTGACGGAACAATAAGAGCTATTCTTTGGTAGTCATCGAAAGGAAGGTGGAGTTAATATGGCGTCCAGAATAGATTTCGATGCTCTCAGAAGGCAAACCCTCGGGGCAGGAAACGATGAGGCAGTCACGGTCAATACTCGTGCCTTGATAGACAAGGTTCTGGCTCGATACTCAGGTGAATGGACGACACTACGGGAACTCCTACAGAACGCAGCAGATGCTTCGAGTAAGCACGTCAAGATCAGCTTGGAAACCCTACCCTCTGCTACCATTCCTGTCCCTCAGACCGCCGACTCTTCAACAAGGCTGAAACATGTTTTGCTACATCATAAGATCAAGTCTACTAGAGTAGAGAATGACGGAGAGGTTTTTCACACAAATGACTGGGCTCGCCTCAAGAAAATAGCGGAAGGCAACCCCGATGAGACGAAAATTGGAGCATTTGGAGTTGGCTTCTACAGCGTATTTGCGGACAGCGAGGAGCCATTTGTGTCCAGCGGGAAGGAAGCTCTAGCATTCTACTGGAAAGGTGATGCTCTGTTTACCAAATCCCTGCAGCTGCCAAATGGACAGGTCAGCAAGACAACATTCATGTTGCCTAACCGAAGTCGGGACTCCCCCGTCCCAAATCTCCTCTCGCTTTGCCGATTCCTCGCTAGCAGTTTGACATTCGTCGGGTTGGAAGAAATCGAGTTGTTGCTCGATGAGTGGAAGATTATGACGTTGAGAAAGAAGAGTGCTCCAAGCTTCGAGGTACAAATACCGAAAGAAGTCAACAGGAAGACAAAGGACGGCATAATGCAAGTGGGTGGCGTCTCTAGAGAGGCTTCTCAGCTTGATGCACAATGGCTGAAAGCTGTGGAATGGAACGTCAAGGCTCATGCGAAGAGCCCCACAGATCCATCAGGAAACGCCGTGAAAGGTGCACCATCAACACAATCTTTGAGAGGATTTTTCTCTCGACTTGCTCCCGGGACCTCAAACAAAGAGACTTTAGAGCGACAAGCTACAGAAGAGCGTGAATCCCAGACACGAATTGCAGAAGACATCTTAGGTATAGCTACCGCAACTATATTTGTGCACGTAAATCGTGCGAGTGTGCGTACGCTTGTCAGCCCAACTTTCAGTGCAGAGTTAGAGCGAGCCACCAAGAAACCACCACCAAAGCAGACCACTATATCCCTCCTCAGCGCTTCCTTTGACGAAACTGAGGCGTCTTCATCCGATTCAGCCACTCAGACACCCGGTAGCTTCAAGATATTCGAGTCTTTCGTACCTACAAACGGGAAAGGGCGCATTTTCATTGGGTTCACGACCAATCAAACAACAGGTCTTAATGTTCACATCAGTACCCCTTCTGTCATACCCACAGTCGAACGAGAATCGATCGATCTCAACAATAGATACATCAGAACTTGGAATGTCGAGCTTTTGCGCGTTGCGGGTATTATTGCGAGGATCGCTTGGGGCGGTGAAATGCAACAAATTCAGGACAAATTGTCTAGAACGATTCAAGGAGCGGGAAGGCAAAAAGTTATCAAGGAGGACATTACAGCTGTCTCTCAAGAGACGGTCTTCTTACACAAAGCTTACAGTTTCGAGGAGACAACTCCGGCTGCCGAGGTTGGTACTTTAATGGAGGAGGCATTCTGGACTTGTAATCAAAAGGTAGCCATATCAACCTTATCGACCAGTGGCGTTCTACCAGCTTCTCAAGTGCGTCTTGAACCCGAAGAGCTCAGCTTTGTCGAGGGAATCCCCTCATTGCCTGCGCAATTGTTAAAAACTGGTCTTGTTAAGAAGCTCATCGATTATGGTGTGATCACTGAGGTTACTGTGTCTGACATCAAGTCCGAGCTAGAGAGGAAAGCAATCAATGCCGCTCAATTGAAGCAATTCCTGGGATGGGTTTTGCAAAAAGTTCGGGTCAGCGAGATGGATGTAGCGATGGCCCAGTCTCTACTTAGTGCTGCCGTCGCAAATGATGACGAAGATGGTACACCAAAACTGATCATTCTTGGCGAGATGAAGAGTTTTCTCAATCCCAATCGCATCCCAGCAGAGATGCCCATTCCTCCTTCCGTCCTACCTTTCAAATTCACAAAGGACATCAATAAACCCGTTCTGGAGCTCCTTTTCGACGACCTGCAGATCGTGCCATGGCTTCGCTGGCTTGTCGAAAACACTGGTGGCCGTGGAGATCTAACAGCTGCACACAATATCACGCAGAACGCCAAGTTTGCAACTTCTGTCTTGCCTATCATTTCAAAGCAGTGGGACGGCTTAAGTCAATCATCCAAAGCTACCGTTGTTGATCTGCTCTCGTCTCGAACCACTATGCCCACAATGCTAGGCATGAAGAAGCCAGCGGAAGCATACTTTCCTCATGTCAAATTATTTGATGATCTGCCTGTAGTGACTGGCTTGCACTCTGTAAAAGACAAATTTTTGGCATCCCTAGGCGTGAGAAAGACCATTGAAATTGGCGTAATCTTCGAACGTCTCATGAACGCGTCAAATAAGGAGTCGCAAATACCTAATTCATCCCACAAGTGGAATCACGTAGATCTCATCAAATACCTGGCGTCAATTCGACAAGATATCCCTTCAGCAGATATCAAGATATTACGGAGCACCAAAATCTGTCCGGCAGAGACTGAAACGCTTCAGCCGACCAAAGAGCGCTACATGGTCTCCGAACTATACCAGCCAGATCAGTCTTTGCGTAAACTCAAGCTACGAACATTGCAATGGCCCGGAGTCTATCGACCAGAAAGTTCTGAAGGAAAGTTCCTCACATATCTCGGTCTACAAACGCATCCGACCCACCAGGAGTTGATAAAACTGACCTGGGAAGCTGGCGTCGATGGGAATATTGCATTGCGAGATCAAGCTCTGAAGTTTTTCATTGATCACCACCAGACCAAGGGCTATGCATCAGTGGACTCAAAGACCGTAACGCTGCCTTTCCTTCCCATTCAAGGGTCTGAGAAGAAGGTTGCAGCTCCTGGAGATGTCTTTGTCAACGAGAAGTCGGCTATTTTGGGATTTGATATCTTGAGAAGGGATCTTCAAGTCCACGCATTGAAATTTGGGGTTAGCCAGGATCCTCCCATCGAACAGTGCATCGATCGCCTACTCAAGAACCCGCCAAAAACCAAGCGCGACGCGAGAGAAGTCTTCAGCTATTTTGCTGGCCGAATCTCTGATATTAGCAATCAAAACGCAGAATCACTTGGCGGCGCCAAGGTAGTCCCTACACTGAAGAGAAGAAGATCACAGGTCAGCCCGCAGACTGAGAAGACAGGAGAACGAGTCATTCATGTGCCTCCCCGTGCTTGCTTTCTAGGACACGGAGACTCCAAATATGCCGACATATTTGACTACGTCGATTTTGGCCAAGAGGCAAACAGCTTTTTACTTCGCGTCGGTTCAAAGCATGAGCCAAGTATTACTGAGCTCGCGAAGCGCCTCGTCGTTGAACCAGCCAAGCTCTTTTCCATCCTGGGGGATGCGCGGTACCTTGAACTGCTGCGAAACATCGCGGATTCGTGGTCGATCTTGAAGAAGGACAAAGCAATCGTGAAAGACATGAAATCTTCCAAGTGTCTCCTTGCATATCGGGAGATACCAACAGGCCCCTCGAATTCTGACGTAGATGACGACTACGGCTCAGCGATTAAATCTTGGGAACTTGTCAGGGCAAGTGAAATTGTAGTAATTGACGACATCAATGTGTATGCCATGTTTCGAGAGGTTTTGTTGGCCGCTCCCATGGAAGAATCACTAGAGGCCTTATACCACAGCCTGGGAGCCTCTCAGGTCGGATCGCTGCTGGAGGAACGACTGGTCTTGGGAAATCTCGAAGCTGACCAAACGCCAGCTCTTCAATTGCAACGACTAATACACGAGCGATCTCGCCTATATCTTCACGACTATAGATCAGATGCAATTAAGCATGACCACAACTGGATTCAGAAGAACCTCAAGGTTGAATGCGTGAAATCCATTGTAATGACTGCGACGTTGAAAGGTTACAATCTTCGCAAGAAGGAAAAGAAGAATGCTGTTCGAATTAATGACAAGCCAGTACTTTATGTCACCTCAAACTACGAGAAGCTGGAAGTCAGTCAAGCAGTGGCTCCTTTGCTGCTCCATCGTGTAAAGCCTCAGTCAATATTCATGTTGGAGATGATGCTAGGGTATACCTTGACTCAGCTTGGGCGACGAGGGTGAGTATTCGGCTGACTCCATTTCTCTGAACTGGCTTGCTAACAATGGCGCAGGTACAACGTGCAACGTATTCTGAACGAAAAGGCGAGAGAAGCCAAGATCGCTGAGGATCGACGAAAAGAACTCGAGGTTGAGGAACGGAAGCGAATCAAAGATCAAGAGGCAGAATGGGAGAAGACTCAGGCTGCCAAAGTACACGAACAACAACAGATGCAAGGTCTTCCAGGTATCTTCCCTGACTCACCCGACCGCCAGTCTTCCCAAAACAACACCGTCCCCGTTTATGGCGAACCTCAACTGCCGAGGCCAGGTCTATTCTCCGGCATCAGCAAGCAATTCGATCAAGTCAAGAAATCATTTAACCAAACCCAAACACCAGTTCGAACACGAGCTATAGAATCACCTCAACCCTCTGAGGATGCACCACCGCCATACAGCCCCCAAGCCGGCCCTCGACCCACTCCTCCCCAAGCAGAAAGCGTCACCGCCCCGCACCATGTACAGCAAAACCTCATGAACCTAATTCAAGCCTCTCGCCCCCACAACTCCAACAGCATCTCAAGCGAGACAATCTACAACGACGTCAAAGAAACAAACACCTACTGCGACGCCAAGCCCGCCCACAACCTCTCTTACATTGGCGAATCCTCCGGCCTTCGCATCTTCCTCGACAAAGACGCCCAATCCAAAGGCCTCACCCCCCAAAAATTCATGGAAGCCAACGCCTCCGCGCTCAACCTCTTCGCCTCCATCCTCTTCGACTGCGCAGACATCTTCACCCTAAAACGCGATGCCTTACACATCTTCTACGATGACAGCGGCAGCACCATCGCATTCAATAGGGCCAAAGCCCTATTCTTCAACTATCGCTACTTTGACAATCTGCACTTGGCGGCCTTGCAGCAGGGCAAGGGCCGGATGGATGCTGTGATTTATTGGAGTGTCACCATGGCGCATGAGTTGGCGCATAATATCGTCTCTGACCACTCGAGCCAGCATAGCTATTACACTGAGAGTCTGATCGCGCAGTATTTTGGGAAGATTGCGATAAAGACGGCGCAGGGGAGTCAAGCTGGGGTTGCTGCGCAGGGGAGGAGGGAGGGGAGTAGAAATCTCATCGAGGTGGATTGATATCTTCCGCGTTCATGTTTACGGTATCATGAGGTTTATGCGTGACACGAATTTTTCATAGCGATGGAAAGACAGGATAGAGCTTTCGCAGGGCAGGTATTCGGGGCGGGGCGTAGATAGATACTGAGCGCTTCACGATAGATAATTGTATGCGGCATTCAACTCTTCACACCTCACCTCGCCTTCTCATCTTCACTCATCTCACACCCACGCTCTTTTTCTTTCTAGGTCAGCTGTAGTATAAAGAAGCTTCTGGATGTCTCAAGCATTTCCCCCACCCCGTTGCAAGGCCCTAGTCTATATGGCACCGGAGAAAAAAGTACGGGAGGTAGAAGGGTAGTGTAATATGGTATTCATATGGGCATGCGTGCTATCTTGATGCTAACAGCTCCGATAGTGATATGCCATGTCTTAAACAGACTCTGGTAGTCCATTCCACCGTCGGTGTGGGTTGTAGACTTGCCATGCCCAGCCATGAGCGCTTCTTCTTTCCCTCATTCCCTCCACTCTGTCCTTTCTTCCTTTTGTTCTTTTACCCTCGAAATCCGTGTCATGTGATAATCGCCTCTTCTAGCACATGCATGCACATGCGCATTTCATCCTCTCACATGATTCCCAGTCATCATTTGGCCAGACCATGACTCAATTTTACCACACCCAGGCTCTTACTCTTGCCTATACTTCCCCCTCCCTTCCGATAGCCCAGTCACTTGACGACCTTCCATCCCCTCCCTCCCCTAAAATACCCCACCCCACTACTCACAGTCGTAGCGCCCACAACCCACCAACTCGCCTCTAGCACCATCTCCATCACTCCACCATATCCCGCCAACACTTCTTCCCCTCCGAGCCCCTCAACTCCCCCTCAACCAACCCCAAAACCCCCATTGTCGTCCCAATGAGCCCGAGTTGCAGAAACGTATTCACCTTCGACAATTGCGTGGGCTTCACCTCTGCAGACGGGATGCTGAAGTCCCAGTACCGGCTCAGCGTGCGAGGAGCGGGGAGGGTCGAGTAGCGGATGTAGAAAGCCCAGAGGGAGAGGATGACGTCGCGCGAGAGGATTGTGAGAGCTAGAGGAACTATGTGAGGTAGAGGTCAGCAGAGGCCTTCTTTTCATGAGGAGGTGGGTTGTGCTGTGGGATTTGTCATGACTGTCTGCTTGCTCCACAGGAGTATGGTAGGGTTTGTATTGTATCTCTGCTGTCGCATTCGGGATTGTAGTCATGCGGAACGTGTTTTATGCGAGGGAGAGGGGGGAGGGGGGGGAAGGGGTGCGTACCTGGCAAAGCTCCCAACCACCCCAGACAGATTGTACAACAAGTCATCAACGCCTTATCACCCGCCGGATCCAACACGCTCCCTACCACGCTCTCCTGCTTCCATCTCCTCGCCAACCATCCGTCGATGAGATCTGTAGCGCCGGCGTAGACGAAGAGGCCGAGGGCGAGGGTGGGCTGGTGGGTGAGAAGGAGGTAGCCGATTGCTGGGGCGGAGAGGAGGCGCGAGAGGGTGAGGGCGTTGGGGAGGGTGTAGATGTTTTCATGTTTGAAGGCGTTGATGGGGGAGGATGTGGTTGGAAGGGAAGGTTGCGAGCTAGATAGAGGAGGAAGGTTAGCTGGGATGTGAAGGGGAGGGGGTAGAAGTAGAGGAAATGGTGGTGGAGCTGGGCATAGCGAGCGGGTGCGGAGGAAGCCACTTTATGTGCCTGTAAGAGAGACGAAGATGTGGTGATGGGTCTTACCTCTCGTGCGCGTTCTTGTCAAGCCGTGGATCCTTCTGGTCGCTGAAGGGTCGCCATTGTATTCGTGGAGAGAAGAGAGCGCTCCTAAGTGATGCATTAGCTATAGGTCAATAGGATGACAAGCAGGGCTCACCGCTTTGGTGCGCATGCCTGGGCTATCCGTTCATGATTCGTCCTGATATTGAGGTCTCGTCGCGTAGAGCTTTGCAGAGGAGCTATTACCGTGGTATTGCATGACCTAGGCAAAACGCCGTGTAACAAAGGGCAGCATCTTGAGGTCAGTGGCCGCGTTCGGGCCAATGCAGCAGCCATAGCATCTTGCACCGGCCACAAGCCTTGCCTTCTCCGCTGGTCAAGTCGTGAGCTTAGTTATTGGCGCTAAGCCTGCTCGCTGTCGGCCAAGGCTCCTCCTTCAATTAGTGCCGGTACTTGAGCAATCTAGAATGTTGGACACGAAGGTAGAGTATGCCGACGAGAAGCTAAGAGAAGCTCCAGGCTCTCTCACGCCGGTGCTTCTTGTTGTTTCAGAGCCACACTTGTCGAAGTTGGCGTGCGGCTGAGATGCCACGCCTTCTCTAAGTTCTCTCCTTCCACGTCTTCTTGATTTCTTCGGGAAGCGGGAAGGAGGAGCAAGCACCCTGCTAGATGCTAGCTCTAGCCCAAGCACTGCTAGCAAGGATCCTGCCAATCCTGCCAAATGCCAATCCCTATTTTGGCAAAACACTCAGCCTGCAGGAGATGAAGGGCTGAGCTAGTGCTATTGGGATTTGCACAGCTGAGAACTTGGCTTGTTGGACTTCGTACTCACCAGCCACATGGGAACTCGTCGCCTACATGCAGACTGTACGGACTACCTACGCGAACCGAATTTCTCGCGAGCAGAGCATGAAAGGAGAAGGTGGAGGATACGGCGATTATTGCCGGCTTAGGCTTGCTCATCCATCCCAACCTCTTCTCCTTTCCTGCCTTCTTGCTCTACTATTGGGAGGCTTAGATAAACGTCAAGCTTATGCAAATTACAATACTTGCGAGATATCCGTTTCAAGCGTCGCCGCCTTGAATGAGTCCTCAGCAATTGCATCGAGACCGTCGAGGTGGGCTTGCCGGTGCTGTCGAGCCACCGTAGTGGCCCATTATCTCAAGAGACATTGATTGGGAGTTACCATGGAGACGTTCCTATGGCTTGAATGAACCATTTTTGTACTACTCATACTTATATACTGTACTGTTGGAGAGTGCCGCCCTGTCATTTCCTATCGTCCATTCCGTTGAGCCCTTTGCCCCCATAACGATGTCACCCATCATCGAAGCCCGCTTCCATGTACATACCAAGTCAAGATCCTGATCCATGCGTCCTATCAATGCAACGATCGGTGCCAAGCCTTTTCTGCTCCTCTTGTGTAGAGATGATCTCCCTGCTGATCTAAACGCTATGCATGAAGCGTCACATTTTGTACGCCGTTCCATGCAGCAGCAAGAAACTGCACACCTCAAGCACGCTTGTGCAGAGGCATTTTTGCTGAATTCCATCCTTGCGCCATCATTAGGAATGAGCAGATCGTCAGGTCTAGATCCCTAAGGACTGGTCCATTTCTGAATAAGGCTTAGCTGGCTGCCCTAGGCTGAATGTTCGGTCTTATTCCCGAAGATCTGCAACGGCCATATGAAAGCTAACGATCGCGATGCAAGAAGGGGACGGTGCAGGCGGTGAGGTCAAATCTGTTGAATCGAAGTGTCGAGTGTGTAAGTCGTGTCCCAGGCCGAACGAGAATGTTACGCCGCCTTGAAGGATGAAGGATGGGGTCGAGATGCATATCCCAGTCGGAAATGTGCAACTGAGAAGATGCTGAACGTCCATGTGTGGTCACTCGGGCGACGTGAAAGCCGTCAGTATACATGTTGCAAAGGTCAAACACTAGATCAAATCATACACGTCAAGTAACAATAACAAAATACATAATCCGACTTCGGTAATTACCCTGGGTGATGGAAGGTCCAGGTCCTGTCTATTTGCTTTTATTGTAATCAGGCAGATGGGCGATACGCCGGATAGCTTGGTCCTTCCGGTCGTCCAGGCCATTGCTGGTTGTAATTCTGTATAGGCCATGTTTGAGATTGACCAGGCTGAGTAGTCGCGGGAACCACATTTTCATCCTCAGGCGCGGCACTTGAGCCGTTGGGTTGATGCCCGGCATACACGTCGTTAAGAGGCGCAACCGGGGCGCTTGTATTGTAATTGTATTGTGGAGTTGCGCTTGAACCAGCTTCTTGTTTCACAGGTGTCACCGGAGGCTGCGCTGGGTTATGATGCCCTTGATAATGCTGCGTGTAAGCTGGATGATATTGTGGAGCATTCTGGACGTGTTGCGGGTAGTATTGCTGCTGGTGATATTGGCTATACGATGGTGCCGCAGCAGGAGCATACATCGAGCTTGATGGTGGCAGCGAGCCGTAATGCTGTGGTGGAGGATGACTTGGGGCATACGCCGCCGGATGCTGGTACGACATCGATGCTGGGTAGGAATACGGATGCTGATAATAATGGCTTGCCTGTGGTTGATAGTACGCCCCATAGTGTTGCTGTTCTTGACCCTCGAACGCGCCGTCGCCAGCATCATCGATATTCAGAAATTTGAATTTTGCTTGCTTCAAGAGCTCGGGCTGGATTGTGAGGTCTTTGACTCGGGGATCTTCGCGTGGGGTTCTTAGGTTCTTCTTCGCATCCTCCAGGTTGTAATAAGAAACCAAATGATGGTGAACATTGCGGACGACCACGGTCATGGTCTTCTTCAGTAGGCCGCCTTCTTTGAATTCGTAGGAGTCGACCAATGAGCCCACCAACCCGCGATTGGAATCCTTCTCCGGGCTCTCCTCGTCACCTTGTCTCGCCAAAGGGCTATCTTGCATTGGCGGGGCGGGGAATGGTTTGTGGTCATCAGCTGTTGGGGTATTGCCAGACGAGGTGGGCGTCGAATATGGCTCGCCAGGTCGTGATACCCTGGCTGTCCGTTTTGTCGCGCGCTTCTTCTCGCCTGGGGGAAAAGGGCTGTTGAGTTGACGATAGATCAGAAAATTAGTTAGGATGCGGCTGGGTGACCAAGGAATACCGTCCGTCCATCGCTTAATGCCTGAGGTAGCTTCCTCGTAGACAAATACATTGCCGCTGGTGATCAGTGAGTTGCGCTCCCTATCGTGAGGGCGACGCGAGCAGTGAGACAGAGTGCCATCGAAGCAGCCCTGGAAGATCAGAAGGGCATCCCTGGTGGTCTCAATATGTCCATGCCAAGTGGGAACACAAGCAGGGGGACGCCCTGGGGTCGGATTGCTCATATCACGTTCGATTACCGGTCACAGTAGGATCCACGTGTCGAAGGGGCAATAAGACGTGTTGGGGGAGGGGCGAGCAATTGCCCCGACGGCAAGGTTGCTGAGGAGCAAGAGAAGGAAACGTCCTGGAGGTCAATTGCCTGTTGTTGTTTATTAGGCAAGAGCCCAGCCAGCGGCGGCCACAGGAGAGCACTGAAGGGTGAAAGTGTAATCGAACGGCCCTAAATACGTTTGAATGATCGGCAGCGCAGAGATGCCTCAAGCGCAAAAGCTTGCGTCAAGTAAATTTTGGCTTGCAGGCCTATGAAGCAATAGACTTTCGGCTCCTGGCGGCTCACAGAAAATGACAAGAAAAGGTCGGAGGCTTTCGTGATTAGGGTATTAATGTCTAGATGTCTCGAGCAAATGAATGTCTTTCACCGGCGAGGGTACTGCTGAAATACTTCCGAGGCAGGTGTCGAAGCGGACATGCGTGTTGACACTTATGAGTTGGAAATTGGCCGGATGAGATAGATGTGTTGGATTGAAAATTTCGATAGGGCAACAACACGTTACCCTTGTTGATCTTTGGCTTGGGCTGAAAAGAGCTCCTTCCCGGTTAGGTATGAATCGTTGCTGGCACGACGTTGGTTGGGCCTGGGATCCAGTCACTGATACCGAGGTGGAAAGCTGTGCTGTGTGATGAGAGAGAATGCGACCGCGACGTTCTTGGGTAGATGGGCGTACTGATCGATGCCTGACTGCCGCTGAGTGGTTGTCAATGAATCATGCACGTCCCAGATCTTGCACCTGGCAGTAGAGTGTAAGCTAATCGATGATACTAGAAAACAATAAGGCAGCCAACCTTCGCACTCAAAAGTAGCTCGCATGCAAGTCAAGCAATAATAGTGTTGGAGGGTGAAAGATGGAAATTAGAGGTGGAAGTGTAAAGGGAGGACCTATAAGAATAAATCAAAGATCAGTGCCAGGAAAGTATCGAATTTGAGCAAATCAAGAGCGGAGTCGCGCCTCTTAACTTTGGGAGGTATTCTATGGCACAAGCACCAAGCCTTCCCTCTCCTCAACTCTGGTCATTAAATAAAATTACACAACTACGGAAGGACGCCTCTACCGAGTCATGTCCAGAGGGCGTTGGGGAGCTCTCCAAATTTTCACGACTTTAGCGATTATAGCAGCGAATACAGCCCATCCAGTCCTTCTTCATGCTACGATTGTGGTATCTGCCGCCGACTTTAGCCTACCTAGTGCCCCCTTCAGCCTATAATCCGCCTTGGCCCTGCTGACTGCTCCCCATTCGTTGTTTGGTACGCCAACCAGAAGTGAACAAGCGGTCTTGAGAGACCACAGGCGCCTCGGGATACTGTGGAGTTCGTTAATAATAATGAATACGGGCTACGGAGGGATCCATTTCGACTCCTCTCGAGTTCTCTCAACAAGAGTTAGCTTGAGGATCTGTGCGCCTACCTATCCGAAGGCAAAGCCGCGCATGTAGCTTCTGGACCCTGAGTAGTAGCCACCATCTGCAGTTGGTTCTCCACAGATCTCTCCCAGGATCAAGGGCCTTGTTTTGCGTTCCGGCATCGTGCAGACGTTTGCCTGCATGAGAGCAGCCAGGCGGAACACTGCATGGCGGCTACCAAAGGGGGCTATGAATAGGAGCGCATGTGGATGGTGGCAAGCGATGCGTATTATTGCCCAAGAGCGTGAGATTCATGGTCAAATACAGTACTGCGTCAGCGGCTGTTTGACATGCAATATCTGCCGATGCGGTCGAAACAAGACTGCAGCACCAGCAGCACACGCCATGCCATTATTAACAGCCTGAAAGTAGTAATCCGGTCACTTCGTCCAACGAACAAACGGTACTAACTCGCCGTGCCTCAGCGCCATCACACGGTCGCATTTGTCCACAGTAAGCCATGGGACAGCCATGACCACATGCCCTCCACCATCATGGGCCACCAACTCTGCAGCCATGTGGCTGTGCCGTTACAAGAAATATCGCAACTCATGTGTGACCGGCAACTTCCTGTGGGTAAGGATGAGTTACATGATTGATGCAAGACAGTGACTCTGTCAATTGTCCCGACGTTACAGCAGCAAGCCAATAATGAAGCCAAAGGCACTTCCGGTTTCCGAAAACAATAATGGAACTTGGGTTGTTGGGTTGTATCAGATCCAGAAAAGTAGAGGACACCTTTTGAAGAGCTTTATTTGCGTGATCGTCATTGCATTACTGGATTTAGTTCCGGAAGCCTTGCATTGCATGCCCTTAATTTTCGCTGGGGCGGGTGTGGCTTTTACTACCAAATGGGTCGATTCTCTCCAGATCGATCCGAGGCAGCTCCTAACTGCTTAAGAGCTCCAACTACCTAGCGCTGTGCCAGGCAAGCCGCCTCCTACATCGGCCTGCTGGGCTGAAAACAAGACTCTCTCCTTTAGGGTTGGCGGTGCTCTGGGCCCAACGTTCGGCTCTTAGTTATGGTTTTACTACTACGCAGAGACATCGCTTAGAAGCACCCCAAGCCATACATACCACATCATCACATGATTACAGGAAAGTGATTGCCTCCTCCACCCCCTTTCACGAATTCCCAATATCCTGGAAGATCTGGACGAATACAGAACGGAGGCGAATGAGCAGCATCGACTTGGCTCCCTCTAATGTCAGCGGATGCGGTCAGCTTCCCAATGGTGCGTTACTGCAATGTTCCGGGATCCTCAATCGGCTTCACTAGGCCGGGCATGACAGCTTGAAATTCTCCCCAATTTTTCACTTGCTGACGGGAGACCTTCCCTGCTCATGGTTGCTAATCGTGTTGTATGGTACGCAAGAGTAACGAATGTCGGCGAACGAACACATGCTACTACAGCACCGATGATGATGCAGCTGATCATTTATGAGCGATTTATCGTGATGTAACTCGCGCTGGCTCGACCATCTGCGTCTGTCTCAACTCTACGTCTGCACACGAGAATTGAGGGATGATCCCTAAGCGAAATATGCCCATTGCGCCTGTCAAACAGCTCGCTTAAGCAGCTGGCTGTTTCATACGTGCAGGAGCTATGATGATCGTCGGCTCTCCCGTTGCTGAACCCTGACGGCCGTGGGCGAAAGTCAATCAATATCAGATACGGGACGGACAAAAGAAATGTGATAATACTTTGACTCCAGATTATTTGCTGGGCAGACTTTTCCTTTCAAGCCACGACTTGAATTCTAGCGCAACATCTTCCAGGATTTGGGCATCGGCATGCTGCATTATTCAACGTGCATAAAAGACATCCTTTGGTGCAGGGCCAGTCCCACGCTGATCATTAATTCTGTGGCTTCCAAGGGGCTTGCGGATTGGATCGTCCCGTTTTGCCAATGCTCGCTCACCATCCAAGAACGAAGCGAATCCTAGCAAGATCCATTTCGGCGGCCTAACAATGGCTGGGCCGTGACCCGAGACGCCAGACCAGCGCGAAATCGGCTAGTGGCTGCTTGTCAGATGACTTGTCCAGACCAAAAGAGGTCGAAAGGGATGCTAGCATTCCCATTGAAGTTAGCAATTTGCTATACTCTATACCCTTGAAGCCTTCGGCACTTTCATAAACATGTTTCACCTGTCAGTGAAAGCCGGAAGCGTGGCCGGACAGGGTGTCTGAAACTTCATTCTCGCCTCTAGAATTACGAAGACCGCGTGACACACACATACACCTAACGAAGGCATCCATCAGGGCAGCAATGGTGTTGCCGTATGTACCTTGTCTCGTATTCGTGCTGCTAATAATGTCATTGCTGCCAGCTTGAGAGCAACCTCCATTTCTCCGCAGCCGTAATAGCCTTATTGCTGCTGCTCAGACGGGCAGCCAAGCTGCGACGAGCATCAACAATCACACCCATTATGCCCAGTCCTATCAGAATCCTAGCGTCCATCCAATCCCTCCTCTTTGCTCTAATCATTTCAACTCACGATCAGACAGTATGCCGCAGTGTCTACCACAGTCGCACCCGGAGAATCACATTCAAACCCTAGATCCCAGTCTACCGCCCACCTCCAAGCACGTAAGATTGCTACGTACGACGGCACGAACCAAAGGACTTCCATTTTCATCCCTCCCAAAGACCACAACCCTCGCACTCTGTCAGCGACGCTGTCCGCGCTCTACTATACGCGATGATTCCAAATATCTCCATCTCCCGATGCCATTCTTACCAGAATGTGGCTTCCAAAGCGGTTGGAGGTGTCAGATACGGTAGAGGATGCAGCATCCGGCCATCCAGAATGCCGACATCCGTTAGTCATCTAAGCCTTCATGATAGACACAAGGAAGACATACGTACGTAGATTCCCGTCCTGCGATAGCAACTATATGCCTATAAGCCGTAGACAAGACGCAGGAATGCCCCGTAATAGACCCATACCGTGCTTCTGACTACGAATCCCAATCCCACGTAAAGTCTCTCCCCCGTGAAGTTATCCCTCCGATCCAGACCATCCACGTAGGGAAAGCTTCATCAACCATCCCTCCATTCATGCATTCACTTGGTTCGTATAATGTGCTGTAGAGAGTCTGACGTCATTTCAATATGCATACTTTCTCTCAACCTTCTGTCGAGAAATTCAATGAGAGAGTTTAAGCTTTGAGGCCTAAAGTCACTGTATTTCTCACCCAAGGCCTCCCTATAAGGAGTCCCTTGACAGCAAAGATTCCAGGGCGTCGCTCCGGGGGCTGTTGACCGAATGAAGCCCAAAAACCTCTTAGCCCAGAACAGAACCCCCTTTACGCATACCTTAGCTTCTTATTGAGTGGATACCATGGCTGTTCACGACAATACTGGAGGCGCTCACACCCCACGAACTTAATTACCATCGCTTCGAAAACAAAAGCCTCATCCCCATCAAAGCCTCAATTATATCCTAGGTCTCGGAATGACGACCAGGTAGCCTCACCACCAGGATACCCTTTAGGCACTAAGGCCGCATTTCCCCTTCCATCCCTTCATGCTCCTATCTCAGTCTAACTCTGCATTTGTGTCATTTAGATCTTAGATCTTAGATGCAATACGCCACCAAAATACCCTTTAGACGTCACATGCGTCACCGCCACCACCTCCCTGGCCTCTTTCTCCACCCCTTGACCCACCCCTATCCACTGTCTCAACAAGCTTCTGCAATCCACTGACCTCACACTCGCCACCACCATCGTCCTGGCGTCCTTAGCGTGCGCCACCACCACCGCCATCGAATCAGAGGCGTGTTCGGAGGCGTCTGATGCTGAGTGGGTCCTCCACGACTCGAGCATCCGAGATCACACCGACAATAAGCGTGAGGACGTATGTACGTCTGAAAATGTTGCTGCTTTAAGAGGGAGGAAGGGTGGGGCCCTGTCCGTGGGGGCAGGGTATCGATTGAGTCGGGTTGGAGGTGGAGTGGGGAGGGATGGGGGAATACCGGGCTACTGGTTTTGCTGAGTCCTGTGATATGAGTGGATATGGTGACGGTGGTATGCTCGGCGCTATTTTGTCGGTGCTGTACGCTTTGGGCGAAATGAGGTCTGTTTTTGGACGTGGGGGTTTGGTGGCCCATAGGATGGGCAGGTGAGGTGGTAAATTACCGGATGCGGTGGGGATCTCGATCAGATTGCAGGAAGTCCTCTTACGTTAAGGCGTGGGTCCGGTAGCGAACTCGATTGTGTCGATACGATTGACCCGATATTGGTCCAGGCGGAGAGGAGCTCGTTGAGTACGGCACTAGTCGTCACAATTCTCGGAGTTGTGTTGACCACTTCGGACTTAGGACGTTTGACGGGCGCTGTATCACTGAGGTCTTCATCACTCATACTCCAGCGTCTCTTGTGTGTGGTCCTGACTGGTGGTGCCTCGCGATCATAACTCGCCCTCAACATTGGCTCCGCGCCGAAGTCAACGTGCGGGTCCGAGTACTCAACCTCTGTAAACCCATTTTCCTCGTAATGAGTATCTTTGCTGCACCAATTGTCTTTCGTTCCAGACCAACTAGTTACATCAGTTGAACCCTGTTTCAATTCTTTGCTTTGTGGTTCAGTGACTGTTCCAGCGTGGTTTGCAGAGGCCGGTCTTAGCCTTGCCTTGCTCTCGACCGATTTTGTGTCTGTTCGCGGATTCTCATTGCTAGTCTCAATCGGTGGAGTGTGTACTGTCCTGCTCCAACTGCCGCTTCTACTATAGCTGCTGTAGCTTGAGTATTTGGGACTCCTTCCTGACCTTCTCCTCGGTGAGCTAGATATTTTCCGTCTGCGTCCTTGGTAGCGCCTTCGAGCTGGTGGTGGAGTTCTTGAGGAACGTCTTCTAAGGCATCTAGAATAGGAGGGTGGCCGAATATCATATAACAATGTCTTTGTCCGATCTTCAATCGAAGCACCCATAGCCGAAGTCTTTTTGCCGAGCTCTTTTCTGGGCGACACAACTCTCTTCCCTTCAGTGAAACAAGGATCGCTCTCCGGATCATTGAACTTTTCTCTCTCGAGGCTCAAGTCTGCCCAAAGCGTGTACTTGGACGCTCCATCGTTTTGCTCCACCGTTAGGGTTTCTTCTGACAATGGATCTGGTGAACCCAGCGAAGGGACGAACTTTTTGAATATGGGCACCTTTGACTCCTTTTGCATTGGCTGATCTAGTTGGGTGACCATCGACGCGATCTGGGCCGGCGTTTGGAGCATGTGCTGTGGGGCCTGGTATGAATCTGTGGTAATAGCTGAATCTCCAGCCGCTTCCTCTGCTTCACAGTCAATGAATTCAGAATGAGGCTTCAGTTGGTCGGTCATGTCGTCCATGTCAGGACTTGGAGAGGACCGCATATAGCGTTCTGGTCTCAGAATGTCTCCAAATTCGAGACGACTTCGCTCCCATTCTTGCATTTGTTGGATAGATGGTAAAGAGCTGTCATACTCGCGGCTGTATTCGTATGTCATGGTCTCCATTTTTTTATTCAGAGCACCAAGATTCGAAGCCTCTGGTTCAACCTCTATTCTACGTGACGCTCTCAAACGGGGATGGAGCGTCGTGACTTTCGGATACCAAGTAGTGTCTTGTTGTGCTTTCGGTAGACTGTCTGTCAACGACGTCGGCGATGTAGCCTCCACATATTCTTCCACTCGGCCAATGACATGGCCTTCATCATCCCAGATCTCACCACGTTGGTCAACATTCCTACCTGCGAGCTTTTCACGATCGCCTTCCACAACAACTCCAATTATCGTGCAGTACTCGTCAAGGATTTTGCCAGCCCTATTTACGATTTTGCCTTCAAGCGATGGTACATCGGCGACTACTTCTTCAGGCTCGTCATCTTCCTCAGCGGCTTGCCTGTCTTCTTGCGTCTTGGCCAAATGCCTACTCTCGGCCGGCATCTCTTTCGGCTTCTCCTTTCCTCCAAGAGTGGCTTGTGTTCCACCAACTCCTGCTGCATCTTCAAGGTCGATTAGAGATTGATCGTCCGAATATCCGTCGTCAGATATTACAGCAGTGCGGAAACATCGGGGATACGGCATTGAGTGTATCCTAGCAGGCTTGCGTCGTCCTACTAGTTTTTTATCATCCTCCTCATTTTCTGTGTCAGACTGATTTGCCGGTCTGCAAGGATATTCCCATTCCATATCGGAACCAGCTTTGGGCAGTAGCACCTGCCGAGGCATCTCAAATCTTTCTTTCACGCGCTCATTCTCGGCATGATGTGCAGAGACGATCTTGTCGACGAAACATGATCTAGTTTCCGCCTCAATTTGATATTCTATAGAATACGTTTCGCTTATCAGGTTGCTCTTGAGTCGGGTAAACTCTGACAGGAGTTGATCCAGTCTTTTCGGCTCTGTACTTCTACTGAACCCTTTTTGAAAACCGCTGCCAGATTGAGTAGGGGTTATAGTAAGCGCCGAGATCGCGGGAATGCTTGGCTGAGGAGCAGTACGTTGCGGCTGAACGAATGGTCTTGGTCGGGATTCGCTCTGACATAAAGTACGCTGAAGAGCATGATACTCTTGTTTTCTTTCTTCATTTGCGCGAGCCAAGTCTTCGATCATCTGTTGCTGTTGTGCCAGCACGTCAGGCGCTTCGACTCTGTGAATCTATATTAGTTGTGCCGGCATGTGGTATACACCCCTTTACCTTCTTGAAGAGGCTTGTCGAGCATAGATGATCACCATGAGCATAAGTGTCAACGTGCTTTTGATCCTGTCCAGATTGCAATTCAAAAGCTCTATTTTGTCCTTGATCATAGGCCATCGCAAGCGCTCGAGGACGATCTTGGATCGAGAAGCTTTGTCCACATTGCCTCCTTGTAAAATTGGCACTTTTTTCAGCAACATATCATCCATCTCTTGAAATACACTTGAGCACTCCCGCGCAGCGCCCTCCGCAGTACGGATAGCATTGTCGGAACGTACGCGATCCGCGTCCTCGTTGAACGTTTGACCTAGCTCTTTGAGTACGGAGGATGTTAGTGAGACATCTTTCGATATTGCAAGAATCGAGCGGTCTGCGCTTGCCACTGTCTCCCCAAATGCATAGAGGCGGAGACTCAACCGAACACCAATATCAGCAACCTGGACGATGGACGCAACGAGAGCAAGTTCAGCCATGTCCAATGCAGTGAATCAAGTCAACCATGGTCAAGGGAAAGAGAGATATCATTCGGGGAAGCGAGCATAGCAATCCAGCTTGCAGGAGGTGGCAGCCTTCATGCGGACAAGGCTGTGTTTTTCCTCAGCTCAAGTCTTGGAAGATGTGGCAATGCAGCTATCTTTAGCGCAACTGAGAAAGATGCCGAGTGCAAGCAGCGCACAAAGACAAGCTGAAGCGAGGATCTGATGGACATAGTTTCTGGAAACTGCTCTACTCGTAGTAAACAATGGGCAAAAACAAGAGTCTGCTTATGGGGACCTTGGCAGCGTCCGAAAAGCGTAATTTAGGCGTGGGCATATCAATGCCCAGCGTATTGGGAACTCCATTCTAAGGTACTACTGATGCATGTGTAATTGTAACCTTGCACGTTCCACTATCTGTATCTTAGGCCAGGAAGCACCATATTCTAATGCAAATGCCATCAGCATACAATGCAAGCATTCCAACAAACAAATATTGAGAGAGATCAACGAGTCATCAATCCTTTCCATACCACAACCTTGCCGGTGCCATTTCCTTCTCGACCCCTTGTCCAGATGTATCTTCCTTGCATTGAACACGCTTCAACCACCATGATCAGGCTCAGCTTCAGGTTGTGGACGTTGCGGATTGTTTGAACGCCGCGGCTTGTGCCCCTCACGCTTTCTACTCATGTATCGTCGCCCTTTTGCGTCAATACCTAGCTTCTTATTCTTCAACCAGGGGACTTTATTCTGGAAATCTTGGAATTCCGGGGGTAGAATCATCTGCTCCACATCGTAATTTATAATTTTCGGCGAGCGCCCCAAGTCATTAGGACGGCGAATATGTTCGCGCATCTTGTGGCCTGTCGGGCTACGATATTCCTTCCTCCACCAAGGCGATTTCACATCCTGCTAGATGTCAGCCATTAGAAATGATCAAGAGCACGTTCGCTTTTGCTGACCTGCCGGGGATCATTGGTCTGTTGACCATGTCCATCTGAACTAATGTCAGCCATTTCAAGATCAGCGTCATAAAATCGTTACATACTTTGGGCATCCGAATAAGAATTGACTTGACTTCCGCGGAACTCGATCGTGGACCTATCCAGGTAAGGATGGCTTGGACGATGAGCTGGACGACGTGAAGCAGTCGAAAGATTCCGATCTGCGGCCTATGATAATTTTAGCTTCAGCATAAAGGATTCAAATGACATCGAGTAAGACTAGATAGACTGCTGAAGAGTCTGTTGAGATAGAATCATCAGGTAATGAAGTACTGAACGGACATCGATAAGCGAGCAGAATGCCTTTAGACCATCACGCAAGTACGACTGGTCAAGTATTTCGACATGCAGCAGACTTACATCAAAAGCAGCGAAGGAATTCCGACCGTTCACCGACGTACCGTGCCTATCGCTTCCACGGTTCTCACCCCGTTGAGGAGCAAAAGGGGTTCCTTTTGAGCCCCTAATGCTTCCGAGAATCTCTTCGGTAGTAGGAAGCTTAGCGAAGGGTAAGTGTGCGTACTTATCCCGTGGGTCAGCAGTACGACCTGCGCCAGCCATCGCAGACCCATCTCTGCCGGACGCGCTAGCGGGTACTTGAGCGTATTGGCGAGGCATCATGGATGATTTAAGGCAGTGAGTAGAGCAAGATAGTGTGTGCTGTGAAGAGGAAGTGTAGCTGATGAAGAGAAGGAAAATGGTAACAGGGAGATAGATTATATAGATCTACATGTGGTCGGACAGAGAGGCTGGTCTTGCAATTCGTTCCAGGCTCAAGATGACTCTTGCAGGTCGTGCAATGATGACTGATGATTTACAGATTTTGGGGTTCGCCAGGTGGATCAGCTGCCTACAATCTATGTTCACGGTACGACGAGTCTAGCGAGGCGTACAAGGAGCCTGCTCTACACAACATTCGGTCAGATTGATGTGCGCAAAATGGGAATGAGTGATTCAGTACACGAGATACCGAATATCAGCCTAGTAAGCAAGTTTATCTCTGCATCAGGATTTTCTCTACTGACCGCTCATATCTGGGTCTGTACCACCGTTTGTAATAAGAATCCTCAATAAGGCGATGCAGAAGCTCATCATTGCCAAATCAAACTCCTGCCCATAATTTCGTAAGAATCTCTCAACCCTGATAAAAACTGAATAAACGTCACTTCTTTCTCTTCACAATCAGCCCTTTCTGCCCGGTCTTCGTCCTTCCCACACTCGCCCCTTTTTGTCCGGCCAGAAAGGATACAAACCCTGAAAGCGGCTGACCGTTTTGGCTTGATTTACCAGCTGGACTTTGGCTTCTCGCCGATCTATACTCTGTGGCACGAGAACAGTGGTCTGATGTGAAGTGTTAGTCTTGTACAATTCCTAAATTCCTGGTATTTTACCTGAATCATAAGCTGGATCGTCTTCCATAGAATATCCGCTTTGGCAATGCGTTTGGCTTCTTGCTCGACTACCCCTGCTTGAATATCGACTGTATGCATCCTCGTCTCTTCTAGAGTGCTGCATCGAGGGTCTCATCTCAACATATACAGGTTCGAGGCATTTCTCCTGATCAAAATCTGGGCGCTGAGAGCGATTTCGTTGGTACCGAGAATTGCAATGTGATCGGCTCTGGGTCGAATCCGAGCTCCCGCGAGAATGAGGGCGGCGAGACGACCGACTGTGATCGCTCCTGTCGCCGTGTTGAGACACAGGGATCATATGTCGAGAGACTGACCCGTCGTGGTCAGAATAAGAAGCCTCTCGACGCTGTGATCTAGAAGGGCGATATCTGCTAGACGAGGAGCCGGAGCGAATGCCGGATCGATAATATGAACTAAATCTGGATCTTTGGTCATCTTGTGCTATAGAGTATGACTCATGGCTGCCTCGCCTGCGAGAGCGGTCTCTTGGTCTGTTGGTGCTCTACTCGAATGATACAGGGGATTAGCTTTCATGAGGTGCGATGTCTGCAAAGAGTAAAATAATCGGCTGCAAAGACCGCTCACGTGCAAGAACATAGGAAAGTCATGAGCATATCCAAGTAGCACCTCGCTGGCCTTTTCATGTTATTGAGAATGAAAAGTCACGCTGTAACGTCCCTTGCGCACGTGTTCTCAATGGTCAATCATATCTATCTTCCACGATGCAGTTCTAGCAAGATGATATCGAAGGAAAATGACAAAACTGACCCTACTAGGACTTTGAAACCCCATGTTGTACAGTTGAGCAAGGTTCCTGCACCCTAGACGCTTTTTGTATGAGTAAAGAAGAGACTTTCGCAGGGAAATGAGGTTGAGGACCTTGTCGTGGTGGTGACAAAGGATTACCCCTATTCCGATAGTGAATTTCTCTTAGCTAATCCTTTCAGTATCTCTTTACTCTCGATCCGCAAGCGGTCAAAGAGCCGCACCACCTATCTTGCTATCCATTATCTCAATACAGAACCGCACGCTTCTCCACCTCCATGTTCTGTCAACCGATGCCGTTATTCCAAAAGCCATCAATCTTTCTATCCAGGGTTCAGCACGCCAAATTCCTTCAGTCATCGACCTTCCTCCAGCCAGTCACATCCACCCACCGCCTCGCCACCTATTCTCACTTCAACCCTAATACATTCCGCTCGGCTTCCACAGCACCATCTACAACCCCCTGAACTGCTCACAAATATCGTTCTCCAAGTTCGCATTCGTAATCCTACATTCATCCTCGCCCCTCCACTGCATCCTTCTATTATCCGGCATCCTCTCCAGGTCATCCACCGGCATTTCCACTGGCGGCCGCGACCGCCGCCTCAACCTCGCCAAATACTCATCCCTTGATCGCTCCCGGATATGACGGGGCCGGTAGTCTCTCTCTTCGTGGATGAGCTGGATACCCTCGCTAGGGTCGTCCCACCATCGTACTCGTTGGTTGCGAGGGGCGTGGTACTCTCGTATACGGCCGTCGTCATACCCGCGAGATCGTTGACGTCGAGGTGAGGGGCCGTGGTAGGAGGGAGGTTGGTAGTACTCTCGTACACGCCCGTCGTCATACCCGCGGGATCGTCGATGCCGTGAGGGACTGCGATGGGGGGAGGGTGGGCCGTTATCGTAGTTGTACCGCCGGATGTAAGTATGTTTGTGAAGGTTCCTGGAGGAGCCGTCGCTAGAGCGGTGGGAGCTGCGGTGGTAGCTGCGGTGGCAGTATGTGTAACGGCCGTCTGATTGCTCATGGCGGTAGACTGAGTTACCTTTGCGATCGTAATCGTAAGGGTTGTTGTGGTGGCGATGGCCTGGCATGTTGCTTTGAGCTTCTCTGAAGTTTGGATTTGAGTAAAGATGGAATCTGAATGTCAGTAGCAAGAAGGTAGAGGGAAGTATGCATCTTTTGTAGTGGAAGATTGCTTTGGTATCACAGTAGAAAGGGAGTACAACATTTCCTATCCGGTGGTCTCGGTGAGTCTTGGTTGTGCAATAGTCACTAACAGTACCCTCTGGCTTCTGCGGTGATCTGCTGACGGAGAAGATGTAGGACAGAAAGTATCCCATAACGTCGTACTTACACAACCATCGCTGCCATTCAACGGTGAAGAATGCTGGTCCTGACGCAGACACGCACAAAGCACAGGCTAAATGAAACGAAGAAGATATATGAAGATGTTTTGAAAAGACCGCAACCAATTTCAGAAAGTTTCAGCAGGTTAAGGTAAAGATGATGACATCGGCTTTCTCATTAAGTACGTGATACAATCAAGGCTATATCCAAAATATAGAACATGTGTATATTGATGTTTGCAAAAAAAAAAACACCCGCTCAGGCCTTTGCAAGCGCCTTTTGCCATGTTCTCTCAGATACTTACTTTCTTAGATACTCCAATTGAAATCGCCGTTCGTCAGTCCTTGACCTTCATATGGGATTGACCCTCAGAGCACCCTCGCAACCTGCCACGTACCGCCATCATACAGCCAGATCAGATCGCCTTGCTCGCACACAGTTGGTCGATGCAATGCAAGAGCTGGCTGACAGTGATGCCAGTATGGTGGCGGATGGAAGACCTCACGATATAGTGGCAGATCCTCGTTCGGATCCGATGCAGCGGGCGTGAGCTGCTTGAACGAAGCGTTGCTGCGATTATGTGGGGTTTCGATATCGTCGTGAGAGGTGAAGGATTCCATCGCTGCAGCATATGCATGTTCCAGGAAGGTAAGCCGCGCGCTGTCATCAGTGAAAGTATGTTGCTGTTCTGCTTGCTGCAAAGCCTGGCGTGCGTGCAGACGAGCATGACGTTCCTTCCCTCGGACAAGGCTTTCTTTTCCTGCCTCTTTATGGCGTTGCTCTGTTTCCTCTTCTTGCTGTCGACGTGCTTCCCTCTTCAGTCGTTTGTGCTCCACACGTTTGGCCCTCCTATCTTTCTGTGGTTGTTCACGGCCTGGTCGATGGTCCCAGAGCCGACTAACAACTTCGAAGCACGATACCCCACCTCCGCCGTGGTAACCGTGGGAAAGCACACCCATGTGCGCTGACTGCATTTCGCTCAATGGCATTGTGCTGCGTATATCCAGGAAACAGTCCTTCGCTGTCTTTCATAATTTGGCTGTAAGATTCTTGAAGGGCTTCCAGAAGGGTGTGACGACGTTGAAAACCTTTGCTCACTATGCAGATGCAGAAAGAAATGGAGGGCAGATAAATGCAGGTATATATTTATAGAGGTACGGATTAGTGGCGACGATTGTGTTACCTCGGACTCATTGTTCGCGTGACTGAATGGGTGTGCTGACTCTTGTGTACAGAGAAAACAGTATCGTAGGACAAGAAGAGAGGCTTTGTAATCCATGACTGGCTGCCTTGTCTGTCTCCTTTTACGTGAGTGGCCTCTGCCTGCCGTTGCCCGCTGTGCCTGACGAATGGGAAGTGATCTCTCACCGAGATCGCTTGCCTTGAATGGACACCTGCGAGGTACAGTGAGTCAGAGCTCTGAACAGTGAGGCATTGCAACGATAATGCGTACCAAGGGAGTACAGTAAATAACCGGCAATATAGCTTCGTTTGTCACGCCTTTTTTTTCTACGTAACCAAATCTAGCCAAATCGACTTGAACACAAATATGCAAAACCAGCTGTACTGCCTTTGGAGTCAATGAGATAGGTCATGAGCTAAAGAATTAAAGACTGGATACTAATGATAAATTTGATCCGATGTTAGCAAAAGTTTGATCTTTGAAGTGGGGAAACGAAGGGATATGAGAAAGAGCTCAAAACGATTCAAAGTCTCTTATACGTCGAGAACGAACACTATCGTACAGTCTATATCACACAGAAAATCCTGCTGGCGTTTTGGCATTTGCAACTGTTTCCCCTCGTCCCCCCCAAACCCCAATTGAACTATGTTCCTACCCACCCTGCGCCTACAGTACGTCCTATACATCACAATCATGACCGAGTAGTATCTTGGCGCAAGATCAGCTTCATCTATCCCAACTGCAAGCCAGGGCAGAAGTCCTATACTTACGAGATTTGACATCTTTTCACAAATGAGCTATCCAAGTATCTCTATACGTGGTTCCGAAGTCTACCTTCCCTCGAAGTCAGCCTCACCAACCCGAAACTCGAGTAAAAGTAGAGGATGGTTACTTACAAGCTTTAACATCACTGCATACTTCAGTCTCCCAAGCAACGTCACGAGGGCCGGCGCGTGTGCACGAGGCGACAAGCTCCTGGCAATTGGGGATTTGGTTTGCGCATGCCTGCGCAGCATCGCAGTCCGGGGCTGTAGGGGTGTAGTAGGAGGAATATGCAGACCACCATGGTGATGGGGGTGCTGCTAAGGTGGACAGAGGCGACAGGACGAGGCAGAGGGTTGCGGCGAGGGTCATGGACTTCATGATTGCTTGTGGTGTGCGTTTGGTGGATGTTGGTAGAAGGAGTTGTATGGTTTAGAGTGCTTAGATTTGGATTTGAAAAGGTGAGGTATTTAGATTGATTTTGTGTTATAGAATTGATACTGTGAGCAGGAGTTGGCAGGCCAGTTGACTCTTCTTATAGCAGAATCATGAGCGTACTACTACCTACGCATCATAAAGTCTGAAACCGTCACAGATGCAGACGACCATGACTAGAAGCGCCGAGTCTGCCAGTTCGGAATCATATGGCTGACTTTGAGATCCTGTAGGGTAAGGGATTCATGGGCTTCGTGCCCATCCCGACGGGCGTGGTCAGCCTCACTTTACGAGTACCTACAATTCTGGATTGCCCCCTGTTTCGGGAGGATCGGTACGAATGTGCCTTGCATGACGGTCAGACTCTGGGGGCGATCTTTAAAAGTTATGTACAGCCATTTTAGTATGGTGTAGCTGTGTTTGAGCCGATAAAATGGATAGATTCCTATCTTAGGAAGCTTTTTACTGGCAAGACTTGATATGTACTTATCAGATCAACGCTGCTGCTATTTCACCATGGGACACTGGATTCGCAACCTACAGAAGACCAGAGATTCACCAGAAAACGGTTTGATGCCACGATCTGTTGAAAGTGAGCCTGGTAAGCCACTTGCAGTCACAGTCTTCCGTTGGCGAGACACATGAGGCATGGCCTTCAGTCCCTTCAATCTCCACACGTGGAGGCTCGTCATTTGCAATGAGGAAGGCGGCAAGAGACAGCCTTGTCATCGTTTCGGAGACCTGAGGGAATAATGAAACAGGGGGAGATGTTCAAGAATAGTGCGCTTGTAGTGAGACGGCCCCTGAAATTTCTACCGACTGAGACGGCATGGAACTTTTCTGCCAAGACGGTGGGATATGGTCAAGAAGGCTTTCTTTTGCTAGAAGAGTCTATCGGCAAATGTTCGTGATGAAAACGCGAGGCGAATTAGAAGTAAGGTACAGGACATGCAATGGATGTGGCCGGTTTCACTGTGGTCAGACGACTAAATTGGCTGGCCTGATGTCCCTCCATATTTGTCCACCTCCATCCCTTGACCATCCTCCCTTTCTCAACCGTACGTCGACTCCTCATGTCGATCGTACACGTTCTGTAATGTCACATTCGACAGGTCCCCATATAGGGCTAAGCACTCACAGCAAAGCTCTTCTCCATCCCTCCTATCATGAATCTCTCCTTGACACCAGCCTATCAACTCGTGCTTTTTGCGTTGCAAGGACTGGACTGCTGCAATGGTCGCTTTTAGGAGAAAGGTGCCATCGGGGTGATTTGTGGTATTAGCTTGACCTGACATTGTGTGCGAAATTTCGAGTAGGGGTTCATGTTCTTCACAAAAAACCTAAGATGAACGACTGGCAGGATGCATTAAGATCAGCAAGAGAAATATCAGGTAAACGCTCTTTTGCATGATCCGACAATGCATTGTTTAATTTTTGTTCTTAGGACGCCAACCGCTCTGTTCTTCTTTTGTCTTCTTTTCGGGTTTTACACCTTATGAATTTACTGAGCTCGACTTCTACCCCCAAATTTCTGTGTATGAAAATCACCACGTCTTGGAATGATATGGCTTCGCAAATTTTCACCTGCAGATAAGCAGGCTCTTCAGCCTTGATGGCTCTAATGGATCATTTAGCGCTCCGTTAAATTCCCGTCAGAGTCACAGAGTCAGACTTGGACCGAGATCTTTGATTCAGAACAACCAACGTAAAGATCTATTTCCAAAGGGACTTTTGTCTTTGTTTCAAGAACAATGCGAGCGCCGATGTCGGACGACAGCCTGATCGGACATGGTAGATGAATGAACCTGGTCTGTATCACGGTACAGACCCGAGACAAAACACTGACTTAGACTACTGTTGGCTGTGAGTTCATTAACCAACTCGTAAATCGAGGCGCGTAAAGGCTTTTGAATAGTTTTTTCGTCCCAGATTTATGTCTCAAGTCGTACGAGACACCCGCAGAAACATCAATGATTCTATAAAATAGAACATCATCAGTGAAATCTAAGCTCGATTTACCAGCGCTGTCGTATCACACGAGCCTCTACAATTCCTTCAAGCGTCCATCTCAAGATGCGAGGATCAGCACAACTTCTCACAGCAGCCATCACAGCGACACTGTACATCACCAGCGTGAAAGCTGCCTCAATTAAACGCGATCTTATCTTGCCGGAACAAACTAACCTTACGACCTTACCAAGATGTGACATCGGTAGCGAGAACATACCTGAGTTCCCAGTAATTGGGGAAACAAACCTCTTCTGGACCATATGCGTTGCAATACCAGTCACGCCGCTGAGCTCGCGCACTGTCGCTACCATCCTCGACGAGCTCATCTACAACATAAGACGATATCTTCCCCCTGATGGATCGCTGAATCGCTATCGATACCGTCATTCTCGGAATAAAGACGTAGAGGTCGGTATAGGTCCCTCGCAGATTGGGACGGGTCCGCACCAGCGTACTGATCCTGGATGGGTGATCCCGAATCGCCTCGCTAGGACGATCATGAGCCAGCTAAGGGATTATGTGAGGATGCAATTCTCGGACCAAATCTATGCCCTGCACATTTTCGTCTATGAAAAGAATACGCCTGCGAAGCGGAGTCGAGGCACGGTGGCCGGTGCGAATGTTGAGCTCCGTCCACGGATCCCTGTAGGTGATGATGAGTTAGGGCCTTTGGGCAATGTCACGGCTACTTTGAAGTAGTGTCCACAATGCTACGCAAGATCTGTTAAGTTGAGAAAATTAAAGGATAGTAGAGACATACAGTGGACGTTGTTTTAAGTGAGATTTGTACACTCACTCAAAAAATTGAATTGTCTTTCTCTTTGTTTTTAAAGTGACTGCTAGTTCAAGGCGACGTCGTCTCTTTCACTTCCACCCTTTCATCCTAGAATTCGAGTGCAGCCGCTGAAGCGCAATTTTCAGTGGAAACCATTCTAATTTGTCCAAAGGATGCCACTAACATTGCCCTACTACCATGGCCACTACCTATATATATTCTGACCATCGTTAATCAGCTAATTAACTGTTTCTGGCATCGGATCTTGAATACTTGACAAACACTTCGTCAAAAAGGCTTTGATGAATCTTTTCGTGAATGACCGAGCAGTCTTCGCAAAGCCGGTCGGCATCTGATGCGGAGTGAATCCGACTTTGACAAAGCTTCATACGTTCCTGCTTGGCACGTGATGATTTCAGGGAGGCGATTGAGCTGGCGCGGTGGAATGCAGCTTGAGCGTTCATGTGGTTAGCGTCCATTTTGGGGTGAGATTTTCTGAAGATAGTGAGAGTCAGGAGAGTCGTATGGGGTGCAAAGATGTGGATTGTTTTCTAATATTCCGCGGTCTTGACATATTATATAAGCGATTGGCATTGGTTGAACAATGCATTGTTCTCCATTCAGGAACGGTCGTCTTTGTTCTGAGCATAATATGCTCCTCTGGATACTTCCATGCTCAGCATCTCATCATGATGTTCAGATGAGATTGATGTGTTGTTTGCCGACCCGCGGATAGCCATATATCATTATAGTTTTGCCACTGTCCCAAAACGGCAATTTCACCTCCGTCGCCGAGTGTCGACGACGACACTTCACAGCACTTTACCCTTTTCAGATTCAAGGTCTACCATTGAACCCCGATTCCTTGGCGAGAGGTCTGGGTTTCCTATTTGAGCATGGTGTATTTGTTGTTGATGCAAGCTTGAATTGATCCGCCACCCATCTGGTAGACGAAACTAGTGTCCCCTCCACCTCACAGCAGCAAACCCAAACGGATCGCTTGGAGATGGGGTTCCTAACGCCAAAGACATCGTATCGGGGTAAACAAATATAGAAGTATTGCAGCACTGGTGTTGGATCATCTTGCTGTCGCCACTGTGTACGACCTCTGTCTTAAAGTTTTTGATGGATGCATGACGCGAGATGTGAAAAAGTCACGAGATGACTATCATTGTTGCATTCTATGAGATTTTATTCATAGCAAATTATGACTTACAAGCTATGAAATAGGCTCACTCTACAATCAATTCGGGACATGATCACCACCCGGATCAATCTCACAATATGCAGTAGGTTATCTATCCTTCTATACCTTGCAATCACTATTTCCACCACTTCTTGGCAGTACTCTTTTCGTTGGCTTTGGATTCCTCGAGATCCTCCATACCAATCTTCACCCAGTCATCATCATTCTCGGGCTTCTTCTCTTGGGCCTTCTCTGCCTGGGGCTTCTTCTCGTGGGGCTTCTCCTCCCAGGGCTTCTCCTCGTCAACAAGCTCCATAGACTGGCCGTACACTCGGTATATCCTCTGGAAAAACACACGGACCCAGGCCTCATAGTTCTTTGTACAGCGAGGGCACATGGGGGCTGTCGAGTCATGAAGGTGTACTTGGAATTTGCATGAATTGACGAAACGGTCGCGGCCGCGGGATGCCGATTCGCGCGCAGTCAGCTTTGCTCCCTCAAAGGATAGCTTGTGTGAAAAAGCTGTTGGCTGAGGTGCGGTCGTCGCTTTTGTTGTTTTCGTGGGATTCATGCTGATGGTCGGAACTCTGTTGATGAGGCCGGAGATTGTAGATGATAGGGATGGGTGAGAAAGGAAGTCAAATGGAGACATGATAGAGATTTTATCATTTATCATAAGGTGTCGTGAGATGTGTGAGTTGGGAAGGTGTGGAGAAATATTGATGGTACCCGGTGTGACCGGAACCCTGTGTTACTTGGGGCAGCCTTCACGTCACACAGCACACTATATGACACGAATTCTAACAGCAAAGACTTCACGTATAGCACAAATGAATTTTGCAAAGAATGTGTTGGAGACATACGAGCTTTGCCTTCAGGAAGATTCTCACTTCCGATAAATTCAGAACAGGGAAAATCAGATGTATCATAAGATAGAAGACTAGATGTCACTTGAAGATCGCTAGTTTTCCAAGGCAATTCAGATTGTACGACAAATAATGAAATTCATTCTTACTAGTGTAAAGAAACAAGGCGTACAGGGGAAACCATCAATGTTGGGCTGATGAAGTTCTAATAAATATACTAGCGGAGCGCTCTTGTGCACGATAAATCAGATGAATGATCAAAGACGCTGGGCCGCAAGATAGAGCGCTTGAATGATTGATGTCCTTTTGGCGTTCAGGGTTGTCCTGGAAGTAAATGGAGATGCAGCGTGGAAATTAAAAATGATTGCTATGATTGACCGACGCTAGGGATGTACTTGGCCTAATCAAGCCTAGCGGAGTATCGCAAATAGTCATTCGAATGCGTTCTGTCTCTGAACTTTGATACACGTCTTGGACCTTTTCACTGCGATGACTGGTCTGATGAAGGTACCAATAGAACAATGATGACAGATCGTCCAGCCAAACGTCCGCGTCGAGACGAAAGTCCCGCCCGGTATGATCGACATGCAAAAGCGCCCAGATATGAAGATCGGAATGGGAGGCCACCGCGCGAAACCGAGCGTCCAAGGTCACGGTCTCGGGAGAGAAGAAGAGATCGCAGAGATTACAGCAGATCGCGATCACGAGAGCGGGGATACAGTAAGCGGGATCATCAAAAACCTAGAAGCTATTCTCGAGAGCGGACAGCAAGGCGACAAAAGGATCGAAGTCGCAGTAGAGAAAGACATAGACCTGTTCGAGGTACAACGCGCAAATCCCCTTTAATGCTGCTACATGAACTGATACTGAACACAGATCACCGTTCGCGTTCGCGCTCAAGATCTCCACATCCTCGAGACCGTGACGAAACACGCCGTCGACAACACTCTCCACCCCGCCGAGCTCGTTCTCCAAATGCACGACCTTCGCGATCACCACAACCTCCCATAGGCCCCCGCGGTCGAAGACCCGATCCTCAACGACCTGAACCGGGGCCTCATAAAAACACTCCTCCAAACCCTAAACCCAATGGTACATCTACCAAGGTGCCCAACCCGCAGGAAGTTAAAACGCACCCAAATGGGGACATGGAAATAGATGAAAACCCCGAAGAAGCGGAAATGAGACGGATGCTGGGTTTTGGCGGCTTCAAGACAACGAAGAATACCAAAGTGAAGGGCAACAATGTATATGGGGTCAGGAAAGAGAATAAGATCGAATACAGGCAATACATGAACCGTGTCGGAGGATTCAACCGGCCATTGAGTCCGTCTAGACAACAGTAGAAATTTGAGGAATGGGACGACTAGCCCTACTTGGATAAGCTACGCCTTGTTGCTATCATTGGGAGGCTGCCTTTGTTACTGAGATCGGGAAGATATCATATCAGAAGTCATATCAGCGTCTGAAATTGTGGGCGAGGTTCTTAGATGAGGAGTAAGTCAAACGCAATGTGGTAGGTGCTTGTGGGCTAACACAACGAGAAGAGCGCCTTTAATGGAGGAGTGATCTGCCCGTGAAGTCCGCTTTGCTATAACGCATAGTCGATACACCGGCGAGGCAAGAGCCGAAAAATGCCATTACAGAAGCCATATCTCGAATGAGGATTTATAGTATTCCGGATCGATATCATCAATATCATCAGATTTCATCCTCCTCCTCATCAAAATCATCTTCAACACCCATCTCGTACACAATCCTCCCGCCTTCTCCCTGACCCCCCTCCCCCTCTTCCCCCCTTCCTCCCCTCCTCTGCGCATCAAAATAAGGCAACACGACCCCCTCACGATCCCGTCTCTGTTTCTCCGTCAACCCCAACTCAAATGTCCCATCTTCCCCCGCTTGCTCTTCCCTTGCACCTCTCTCCCCACCCCCTTTCTGACCATATCCCGGAAACTCCTCCAGCAACCCAAACCCGAAACCTCCTTCAACTCCCTTGCCCGTCCCCACTGTTGGCGAAAGTGGCAGCACAAATACCTCCTCCACCTCCCGTCCCGAGCGCCGTCGATGTCGCATTTCTAGCACGTATCCCTCCCTATCGCTTCCCTGCCCCAACCCCTTCGGCGCCAAACCAACAAGCACGCCCTCCCTTCCCTCGTCAAGCCCAAATACTGGTTCCGGCCTCCCGTGGTCCGTGGCGTGTTTTCTGGCTAGGACTTGAGGGAGGGAATGCGTGGTTAGGATCGTGGTGGCGAGGTAATGCAGGGTTTGCAGGGGGGAGGGAGCGTAGGGGTTGTCTTGCGCGTGGGTGGGGAGGGGAAGGGGGATATCAGTGTGGTAGATGCCCACGAGGGTGATTGTGGGGGTTATGAGGGAGGAGAGGAAGGAGGAGAGTGGGAGAGAGGGGGTGCTGCAGAGAGGGTGGAGGGTGTCGATTATTAAGAGCGTTCGCGGAGGGGTGGCGGCGGCGGCGGCGGTGGTGGCGGTGGTAGTTGGGGGGAGAAGGGCGTTGATTGAGGAGCTAAGGGCGGTGATGGGGGTTCGGTAGGCGGGGAGGAAGTGTGTGATGTCTTTGGGTGGCGTGGGGGTGAGGAAGGAGATGTAGATTGTTGTTATTTTGGAGATCTAGGGTTGTTAGAGGTGGATCTTGCGGAGGTACAGGGGAGGACCTTTGCATTATGGATCAAGCTGTCAATCAGAGGGTGTGCAGGCTGCTCGATTGTGTCCTGTATTAGAGTGAATGGAGAGGCGCCTTCTCGTAAGGATAAGAGTCTTTGAAGGAGGAGAAGGTTGTGGACTCGTCGGTGGTTGTGGGTTTTATTTGGCATTCTAGCTCTTCTGGAAGGCACAGTATGTAAGTGGAAAGATGTTGTGCTTGTCGATCCAGTCTTTGCTGTCGACCTTGACACTTGAAATACGCAAACACGAATAGCGTGGAAGTTGTATCCAATTCATATTTAAGAAGGAATCATATTGCATTCGGAATTGAGTCTTAAATTTCTTACTATGACATGGACCGGATACATCCTCTTCAGTTCTTGCGATTAATGAAATCGCAGGCAACGCTTCTTTGGATTTGGTGACAAGACTTAGAGACGTACATCCTCAGGGGTTACCTATCTTCTCGTACAATCGTAAGAATATTCAACTTCCAAGGCAATACCAGAGCGCTGCAGGTCTCAATCTCAGTAATATTGAGATGACTTATGTTCCATGAACAGGCTGCACAGGCTGCACACGAGCTGCATAAGCCTCGGATCGGATCATCATTTCTGCGAAAGAATGGATGGAAGATTGCATCGCGCGTGGTCAGCTTTCCAACCCTGCTATTAATCCTCATCATCACAGCCAACTTAACATCCACAAATACAACGTTTCACTCTGTAACACTATCCAAAGGTGCGACATTGGCGATGCCGTCTTGGCAGCTGGCGGGTGACGACGACAACGGCCACTTATGCGACCCAATCCGCCATGGTGGGCACCTTGTTTATACTTTAAATATCGTGCAGCAAAGCCACATTGTCGGCGCGTCAGTCGTCGCAACTCATTCCAAGACAACCTGTCGGCTATGATGCCGTACTGAGCATGTTTCTGACAATAATGGTGATACACGGCGTTATATGGACAGCCTGAATCAGTGGAACCTACCTTGAATAATAGCAGCGGAATTATGTTATTCTGAGGACCTGACATGTTGTGTTGCTAAACCTTCAATCATGATACAGACACGGCTTGTACCCATGACAGTCACTGATCTCCGCTATCAGCTTCTCTTGCATATTATTTCTACAAACCTTTGATTTCCCTGGATACAACCAGAAGTCCTGTGATATGACATACATTTAGCATGAAGATTCGCTGAATGCCTTGTCATGTCTAAGTTCTTATGCCATCATATGTCTGACTCTTCTGCTCATTCAGTCCTATAATCTTATACCAGTCGTTCCTCCGAACCTCCAGTCATGATTGCATTCGCCTCAACTAAGTCTAGCAAGTCCCACGGGCTGTCTTATGTCGGTCTTGCCTTGATATTCATCATTCTATGTCTCTATACATTTCCCAATATCAGGCAGGAGCGTCTCCTACCACTATCACATAGGAAGCAAAGACCCGCGAAGGAGCATGGCAGTTCGACAACTTTCAATCGAAAGACTCATTCAACCACCAAGATCGTCGAATTGCCGCCAGATGAGAGGCCTGCCTTCCGATACGGCAACATCGAGACATCTCCAATGAATCTCGAAGGTGATCGGTTACGGAAGACCACAATCATAACACCGCCCACCCAGCAATCGCCCAAAGAACAAATAGCTCGACAGCTATCCCCGTCGGCTCTTCTCAGTCGACCACTCCCAACCTCCCAGACCACCGTACCGAAGCTCATCCACCAGAGCTGGTCAGACACCCGCCTCCCTGAGAAATTCCGCCATTGGAGCTATACATGCCGCGCCCAACACCCGGATTGGGAATGGGTATTATGGACCGACGCAGACAACCTGCGATTAGTGGAGAAATACGCCCCCTGGTTTCTTGACACCTACAACGCTCTAACAGTGGAGATTGAGCGCGTAGACGCAGCGCGAAATATCTACATGCACGTTTTTGGCGGGTAAGCAGGCCTCAACCTAGCAGTCCTCTTTCCACCCCAACCTTTGCCTCCACCAAAGCTATTACTCACAATACCGTATAATTTGCTAACCTCTCCCACACAGCCTCTACTTAGACCTCGACGTTGAATGCCTCCGCCCAACCTCCGCCCTCCTCTCCACTTTCGGCCCCTCCACACCAACCCGCACAGCCTACGTCGGCCGTATGGGCACAATCAACGAGTCCGTCCACTCCATCCCCAACGCCTGGATGATGTCCACCCCCGCCCACCCATTCTGGCTGCTCCCACTCGAATACATCGCGGACACGCTCGCCGAGGTGGCCGCAGAGGAAGAAAGCGAGCGCTTCCTCGAGGAGCCAAGAATGAAGATCCAGGCGGAAGCCATCACCGGGCCTGGCGCTTTATACGACATCATTGGAAGATATAATGGTGATGGAGGGGTCGTGGGGGCATACAATTGGGAGAATAGGGATACACAGAATTTGGATGAGCATTACGCGCTTTCGGGCTGGGGCGTTGGCGAAGGCGGACCGGGTGGCGGTGTGCTGTATAAGACCGACGCGTCTGTGAGGCAAGAGGTGCAGGTTCTACCCGACTGGGCGATCTATCCGTATAGCTGGGGGCCGGATGGGGAGGATGTGCGCGAGATTTGCTCGACGTGGATTAAGAGTGAGGATTTCAACCCGGAGTTGTGTAAGGAGAGGTTAGGGGTTGCGGGGGAGGAGGACGATGATGGGACGGTGACAAGGGAGGGCAGTTTTGCTATTACGTATTGGAGTCATAGTTGGTCGCGTGGAGAGGGGACGGCGCATGATGAGTCCAGGGTGGCGTTGTTGAATGGAGAGGGGCATGCTGAGGAGGGTGGTGATGAGGGTGGTGGGGATGGGAAGGAAGGGGGTGAGAAGGAAGGGGAGGGTGAGAGTGATGGGGGGGAAGTGCAGCAGGAAGGAGCGGATGATGGGTTAAGTGATGAGGAGAAGGAGAATGCGAAGAAGAAGCAGGAGCATGGGCTGAGGTTCGAGCAGGAACCCGGGCTGAGGGATCATCGTGAGGATAGGTTAGAGGAGGTGGAGGTCAAGGATCAGCTTCGTGCTGTGTGAAGAGTCCTGCAATATCGTCGTTCGTTGGAAGATACCCACATCGTGATTTTTGGCGGAAGATAAGCGTCAGTCTGGGACAGATGCTCAGGTAAATGATTGGATCGAATCGGCTTGTGGATAGCCTCAACTACCACCCTCTCTATTTCGGAGGAAATAACCTATACTGCCCATTGGCATATCAATACAACGACGCTTTGCAACACCGATGCAGGGCGCAGGCAGAGCGGAGATTCTTCGGGGCGAAAGCCGAAAACAGAGCGCACAAGCGCTGAGAAGGAGTCCGTGAGATGGTGTATATATACCTTATATTGGATACCCCCATATAGACAAATATCAACAAAAAAAATAAAACAAACTATCCAAAGGCTCCAAAACATCCTTCGCTCTCTCCTCCAGAGGAAACCAAGACCACGAGTTCAGACAAGATCATCGACAAACCGACCAAAAGCCATGTCCTCACACCAAGCCAGCCTCTGCCAACCCAAGCCATAGACTCACACCCTCAATCCCCCTTCTCCCCACCCTTCTTCTTATACATCTTCCCATGACTAATCAACAAATACTTCTGAAACAGATCCTCCGCGAATGCATCGAAAACCGTATATTCAGCCCCAAGTCTCCACGCGGCCGCAATGCCACTGACACACGCCATCTCATGCATATTAACCAGCGTCCAGCTCCCCGCATACCACGTCCGGCGCTTCCCCTGCAACCACATCATATTCGGCACGACCCTGATATAATGCTGCCATCGATGCCCCAGCTGATGCCACCACTTCCGCAATATAATCTTCTCAGGGTCGATCTGGTCGATCGTCCACTTGTCACGATGGTCTTCGTCCAGGAAGATCGATTGGAATACGTGCTGCGTGTGTGGCTGGCCTGGCTTCTCACCCGTCACGGAATCGGGGCTGTCTTGCCGGAATTGGTGCTGGTAGTTCGTGCAGTCGAAGGCCATTTCGATCTTTGCCATGTCCTCCTTGTAACTGTGCGTGTAATACATGGGTCGATAACCAGCGGGTTCGCCATCCCCTTCGCGCCGAGTGATCTGATTCTTCGCGAACGCGACTTGCTCCTCTTGCTGCTTGTTCTTCGGCTTGGCGCACAGGTCGTCTGAGAAGTGCGTCTCGAAGTTGTTGGAGAAATAGTCGCTGTCGGAGTGCGTGATCGTGATGTCGTTGTAGAAGTAGGCGCCGCCGAGGACGAAGCGTTCGAAGAAGGAGGAGGTTTTACCCAGGAGCTTTTTCGCGTCGTCAGCGAGCACGGCGAGGACCATGTCGTCGAACGTTTCAGTCACGGAGGTGGGGCCTGTGTGTCCGCCTGCGCGCTGGCCACCCTTGGGGTCTGTTTTGCCTTTTTCGGGGTCGAAGGGGGCGGTCTCGAGGACGACGCCTTTCTTGGTGCGGGATTTGATGGCGGTGACGTCGGTGTTTGTGCGGATGTCGACGCCCTTGGACCGTAGATCCGCGGCCCAGTCTTTGTAGAATTTGTCGCAGCTGGGGAAGGTGACCATGTCGGGGAGGTTGGGGAGGAGGGTATCCGGGTCGTAGTTCCAGAGTTTCATGTTGGGGTCGTCAAAGAGGCGTTCGAGGATTGCGCAGGCGACGTTGGCGGTTTGGTTTCCTAGGTAGGGTGTTAGTGGTGAGGGTTCTATAGGGAGATGCAGCTTACCGGTGCCGAGGAAGAGCGCGATCAGAGGGTAGACCATCTTGTCACCGAAATCTTTAGAAAAGAAGAACAGCCGTAGCATGATCCGAATGGGCACTAAGCCTAGGACTGGCATGGTGTATTTGATCAACTTCAGCACCTTTCCGAATTTCTTAATGTCTTTGGAGAATTGGTCGACAAGTGGACTCGGGAAACAATTAGTCCAGAAGCTGTCTTTCCCTTGCCCAAACGCGACTTGTAGCTTGACGCCTTGTGGATGGTGACCGTAACGTTCCATGAATCTAAAGGTGTGCTTGAAGATGGGCGATCCTCCCTGAACGCCATCATTCATCCATGTGGTCCCGTACTTCTCTTTGTCCAGCGCGATTGAGGTGGCCTGGCCTCCAAGAACGGACATACGCTCTATGATGGTAATGTCGAACTTCTCTGGGTGCTGGGCGAGTGTAGCTGCGCAAGACTGGGCGGGTCAGTGACCATTTCGACAAGCAGACACGATATTTGCTCACCATTCCTGCTGCCCCACCTCCGACAATGACAACCTTCTTTTTCCCATTCTTAGAGGCATCACCTACAGCCATCTTGTGTATGCTAGAGGGAATTTTTAGCTGGAAAGGATTTCTTGCTGCGAGTCGGATACTTGACGCGTCTCTGTCGGAGAAGTGAGCTTGAAGTACAAATGGGACTCGTGAAAATGCCCCAGCGCGACGCCACCCGGACGCGTTTGTTCCGGTACTTCATGATGGAATGTAGATGTCATCGAGTAAGCCTAGGCCCCCTGCTAGCCTTGGGCTAGGCAAGCCAAGACGGCCTAATCTACAACCCTAAATTTCATGCCAGATCTCTAGATCAGATCTTACACACGCGACATGCTATTCTTGCAACATTCCCATGCCTTTCCGAGGGGTCTCCATGTACCACAACCTCCGTCATATTGAGACTTACCGGCTGAGTTTCGGGATTAAATGTCATCAGATGCGGGGAGGAAACACATCATGATATGGCAAACGCATATAGCAATGGAAAGGATGTTCATTTGAACTTCTGTCTTTGCTACCTAAGAAAGCTTTTTGTTCAAGTTGCTATCATAGGTGCATGTTATAGAAATAGTCGCGTCATATATGCAGGTTGCGCGGGTCGCAAGATCTGTGTACAATAATTGACAAATGAAATAGCTGCAGATGTGCTGTCGTTGGTTTCAGTAAAGATGCATGAAGCTTCGAATGATCGAGTGCCATAAGGATAAAGTACCATACTGATTTGATGGTCGTTAATCCTGTCAAGTGGCGAGAAGAATATGCAATAATGGTGCATTACAAAGGAGATATTCGTGCAGAAGTGCTGTGAGTTCCCAAACGAAACCGCAATCGGTAGCTGATCTGGCGTATTCGGGTATCGAAAATCGCATTTATCGAGGATATGATTAGTAGTCGGCGACAATTCAGAATCCAAGTCATGTTCCAGAGGCTTGCTGCCACCAGATATTAAAGCATAGGCTTCGTTGCCTATGTTAGGATTGATCGGAGAGAATCGTCACGTCCGAGTTTCCGTAGAGCCTGCTGAATAATAAACAATTATGCAGGCGTATGAGTTGATGTGAGAAGTGAGTTAAACGCAAGGCTATTTAATAGTCATGGGGCTAGGTTCGGGCAACCCCGTCGAGATCGTGTCCACTCAACGCCGTAGATTTCTTAGGTTCCCGTCCGAAGTTTATGCAAGTAAAACGCCTTCGCTAAAGAACATTAATCTTCAACATTCGACGTAAATCATCCTCGATGTTCTTCGTACTGTATTCATTACTTTTCATGGAAGTGGCTGACTGCCTAGTGTTGCCGGCAGGCACGGCAGGCACGGCAGGAGATGCAGTAGATGTTTGGTGAGCTGAGGCAGGTTGCCTCCTTGTGGTAGGTCGGTGTTTCTCCTTTCTGTTCGAGGGTGTAGGAGTGGAGGGAGGTTCAAGGTCGCGGTCACCAACTGGAGACATGGGAGCTTTGAACTCCCGACTGAGGCTCGAGGAAGGGGGCGTTGATTTGTAGGAATATTGGGTGACGCAATCTGCTTCTCTGCTAACGCGAGTAGAGCTTGTCGTCGTTCGTCGGGTGTCGTGCCCTCCATACCATTTGGAAACACGGGTAGCGTTCCAGACAAACGAGCAGATGTCCGATTTTTGGGCTTTTGTGTCGGAGTTGTGAAGTTTGTAGAAGGTACTTCAGAGGTCTGAGCAGGAGAGGAGTGGTCTGGATAGCTGGGAAAATTCAGCAGCTGTTTCAGTGCTCTAGTCTTAGCGAGTAGTGGGTCCTCATTGGTCGCATCGGCGGCAGGTTCCTCTTCCTTGGATTGAAGAGCCTGCCCATTAGAGTCGCTGTCCATCTCCATACGAAAGACACTACCCGCGTTGCCATCAGTATGGTGCCTTGCATGATGACGCGATGACGGCGCTGCTAAAGACGGGCCGCTGGGTCGTGGAGCATCAGAGTTGGTTGAAATCCGCGTATCATCAGTCTTCAGCCCTGAGGATGTTCGCGAAAGCTTCGCTTTGGCTGCCCTGTCCGCGCGGAAGAGCATGTCTAGGGGCGATTCCTCGCGTGAAAGGCGAATTCGATCTGGCGTGTATGCGTAGCTTGACTGCAGATCTTCTTTCTCTGAAGCTGAGTCTTCAGGAGTATTCTCCATCATACTCTTGAGACTAGTCGTCTTGTTTACATTAGGTACAGATTTTGAGAAATATTGAGGAAGTTTCAGGGTCGACGCATCAGGTGAATTGTGGAACCCAGGGCCAGCATATGGTCGTGGAGTGGTTCCAGTAGCCTTCGAAGGAGTGGCAAGCTTCGCTTTTGGTGTGCTGTTCAGATGTGGCGCAGGGATCGAATTGGTTCTGGCCGAAACTGGTTGAGAATCCCGAGCTTCATTTCTAGAGTGTGTGGGTTTCTTTCCCGGTGGATTGTTCCCTTGGCCCGTCTGACTTTTTGGCTTCTTCCCTCCCCGCGCTTGTCGTGGCCCTGCTTGTTGATTCTTTGTCTCAACGGTGCGAGCATTTGCGTCTTGATGCCCCTCTACACCCCTCCGCGCATTTTCTGCGATACCAGCGCTCTCCTCTGGCTGCAGTTCCTCATGAACACCATTGTTGCCATTTGGCAGGTGTCGCAGACTCCTCCTTGGCTCGCGCCGATTGTTTGATCGGTCGGACATCGAATATATGGTTTGGCTTAAAAATATGCAGCCGTTCTTGCGAAATGACAAACGATAAAGCAAATGGAAGTATTCAGAGTCGTAGGTGAGATGAGTTAGATCGTTGTGGAGGCTCTCCAGATGAGTGAAGCCTTACGAGGAGCAGGGTGGTCGAGGTCGAACTTAGGTCAGGAATCTGGCGGCTTGTAGAATCTTGATGATGATTTCAGTGTCGCTGAGAGTTCATGGGTCTGGCAGTCATGGACATTGGAAAGTCTCATTGTCATGTGAAAGGAGAGTAATGGGAGTTGATAAGGTGGATGAGTGAAGAAACAATGGTCGTCTCGGGTGGTGGCTGAGGTGTTCGCAGGGCAGTGTTTCTGAGTCTTGGCGCCGACTAGCCTGACGGATTGACGGGAAACCTCACCTTCTCGACCAGCCACATCGAGCTCCATCGTCGAATTACTGCAGCAACCAGATACAATGAGTCCCCTCGTGGTCTGCTAGACCTTCGGAACGACTACCGACATTCAGCTTCCTCGGCATACCCCATCAAATCTCGCCACTTGCCTATCTTCAACGAACAATATCTTCTACGTTGTTCTAGGCTCCTAGCAAACATACGCCCCGCAAGATGGCAGCCGGCCTGAAGACCATCATTGCTTTGTCATTCGTGAGTACAAAAGTTATAAACCGTAGTCGAAAAGGTCTAATGCGCTCATAGGTTCTCGCAATTGGCTTCCTCCTCGTCATCCTCTCCTCGGCGCTCTTTCACAGCTACCTCACCCTACTCGTCGTCGCTACATATGTCATTGCACCGCTCCCTAACTGGATATGCGGAAGATGCGCGAATCCAGATGATTTCATGGAAAGCGCTGGAAGTGCTGCAATAGACTTTGGACGGTTCTGCACCGGGTTTCTAGTGGTGATGGGCATAGGTATGATAGCTCCTGAACACTCTCAAACACCACGATCTACGACACCACTTCATTGGATCATGCTGAAAATTGGATGAATATAGCTCTACCGGTCCTGCTGGCGCATTGCGGGCTGATCCAACCTGCTGCAATGGCCATGTCGATCATAGGAGGCTTGCTGATTTATGGCACGATAATAAGCTTTACAATGTTCTTTCAGGAAGAGCAGGACTTTTGAACATAACGACGTGGGCATCAGCGGGGCGTCAAAACTGACATATATGGATGTATTTATGGACCGTCGGGATCGGAGGAAACGCAATACAACAATTTCCAGCTTCCAAGATTTCTTCAGAGCGAAGAGCAATGCTTTATTATTGTGGAAGAGCTTTCGCTGATTACTTCTAGCAAGGATCTTCGTCACTGAGAATTTTTAGCCAGCTTTCATATTTTGCGCAATGGATGATTTTGGCTACCGGAATATTCTAAGTTGCGCGCTTCGAATCTTCCCTTACGCGTCAATGACTCGATCGATGATCATGAAGTCTCACTCAGACCGAGGCGAGTACGAGCATGGTCCGCGTGACTGGCACTACATTCAGAAGCCCATGATCAAATCACTCGTGCCATGATGACGAACGAATTGACATGGCAAGCATATGGACCGGCAGTATTGCCCTGCCTGCTCAACTCGCCGACATCAGTGAGAGCTCGCAGCGTTCCTTGAGCGTTATTGGACCCTGACATTGACTTTGTGCAGCTATATCAATCGACTCCTCTCACAGCCAACACAAGCCGTGGATTACCGCCAATTCAAAGCTTCACTTCCTCTCTCTGGTTGAAGTCCAACTCATTCCACTATGTCTTGCTATCGGACCGTCATCAGATGTCCAATCACTTGATCAGGGTACACATGACTGGTTTACCCAAGCAATATGGCCACAAGAAGTTGGGGCGGTCGAGGCTGGAAGTTTTGTCGAGCCCTGGTGGCGAAACCCTTGCAGACAGTCAGATCGGGGACTCCTGTTGAAAGTTCAGGGTGAAAGGGAGCCTCAAAAGAAGCTTACAAAAGTCACTGAAGTACTGATATATGCCACCGTTGGATCACACAATGCCTCTGATCTAACGGTGCGCACATCCCCCTCGCCTGGACCAGTCGACAGAGTCCGCCAACCACTGTTCTCTACGAGTCTTCCACCTATCAAGTTGCTTGCTTTACCACTATGTTCCGCCATATTACAGCGTATACCATCAAATCTACCTTCGCCGGAAGTGCTAGAGGAGGGACAAGCCCACTTCCTACCAGACAAGGAAAAGGTCTACGATGGCCACGCCAAGCGGCGGAATATCTCATTGCTATTCGAGGACGCTACAAAAAAGAGGCGAAATATTAAGCATAAGGGTGGCGAGAGTGTGGCTAAGTTCATGGCAATGGACCGGCCTGCTTCACAGCAAGGGCTTTCCCAACCACAAATCGAGGTAGAAGAAGCAGATCCTGCCTTGAAAACGCATTTAGGGCATCGGAAGACACTATCCCGGGCAAAAAGCGACGGGTTGCTCTCGAACAGGGCATCTACTGTCAGGCCCTTATCAAGTGGCAAACGATCATCTTTACACCGAGTAGAGAGCGCTTATACACCTCGAGAGGACGCTCAATCGCCGCAGACTGCCAACGATATCCTGGAACAAAACAAAGCTGCTCTCTCGAAGATGGTCATGGCAGGCATGCGTTTGCATGGCTTGCAGCAACGACAGAGAACAACCAAAGTTGCGCGTTCGAGAAGCTCCTCGGTGATTGGCGGGCTCCCGACAGATGAGAACGAAGATCGTGAGTACAAGTTAGTGTACCATCAGACTTTTAAAGCTGTAATGTTTGCATTCCGGATGCACTGCGACACCCGAACTCTCAATCAGGAAGCAATGCGCGAAATGGTAGACAAGCTGCTTGACACGTTTTGTACAGATCCGATGTCCACAAGACCAGGTATTAGTGGATTTTCGCCAGATCACAACGGGCAAGACGTAGTAGCTGAGAATCCCTTTGATCTGCCAAGCTCGTCCGCACAAGCTGCTGATCAGATTAATGAATGGTCGGCCCCTCCAACGAAGAAGAGAAAACCTGTGGCAAGCTTTGAACCCCCCGGGTGATTCGAGTACGGCCTGTCTCGCGACGGCATGCTACAGGCAGGCTCTCATTTTAACAGTAACACCAACATCAGCGAAAGCCACGGATTCATTCGCAATGACGAGCCTTGGCTTCCTTCCACAGCTTCACACGAGTCACTATGGACGTGCATTACTTGCAAGACCGCACAGACCAACCAGGTGCGCAGCTTGATAACACGATTTTTGAGCGACATACGTGAAGGGTGAGTGGTGTGTGCATGGTCATTGATTTCTCATATCTTACATTCATATATACGGTGCCTTTACATTGGACGCTCTCTATTCCAATCCATTCAACGCAGCTTCCGCCTTTTTCACTGACCCTCTATCAAAGTAGTCCACTAATACCACCGAGGGCTTGTTTCCACCATGTAGCTTCTCACACAACCTGACATGCGTCATGATAGAGCTCGGATTCCCATCAGCCGCATTAGTCTTGCCAGCATCTCTCCGATCTGGCACCTCTACTCCCGCGAACTTCGTATCAAGATAGTGATTCACGATATACATCCTCTGCTCGACACCCGCCTTATACCACGCCGGCGTACTCGGCAGGATCCTCGGCCGATCAATCGTACACTGCTGAAAGTTGGGATCCGTCGTATCAAACGGCGTTTCCCAGAAATACCCAAACTCATCTAAGATATACGGCACCCTTTGCGGCTGTGACGCATAGTCCATGAACACCACCAGCCTTTGTTTATTGGCAATCATTTCGCCCAGAGTCGGCCAGTCCCCAGGATTACCCCCCGCCGTCTCCTTTTTGCCGGTGTCGGCACGTACGCAATGTCCGTCAATCCAGTCTTCGCAAATACTCTGTCAAACATGCCAACGTCGAGGTAATCGCCATTCACTAACAGGAGCGTAACGACTTCCTTTGGGTGTGCATCAAGCCACCGCTTGACTTTTATCAGATAGTCTTCTACCGTCCCAGCATCCTCGATCAGGCAGTTCGTATGACACATCTTCAGCTCCCCAAATATAGGGCTTTTCCTCGTCTGCGCTTGCAGGAATCTGATGCCCGCATCTAATTGCATTTCTATCCCTATTGCCTGGTTGTGCGAAGGGAGGATGCCCCAGAAGGGAGAACCGTGGGTGCCGATCTGGGAGATGTTGTTGTATGGTCGACTGCAGTACTCTTCGCGGCCGTTACAACCACGAGAAGTCTGCTGCGTTGGCGGCCTGTGCGTCAGAGGGTAAGTGGTCGTGGCGATGTTGATTATGGAGGTTATGAGGAGCCAACAGAGGAGAATTGCACCGAGAGTAGAGTGGAAGAGCACAGTGGAGCGAATTTCGGTCCTGCCGATTTTTACCATGCTTTTCAAGGATATACAATGGCTTCGTGGGAGTGATGCATAGGTCGACGTGCGGTTCTATGGCCAAGGCAGACAACTGTACGACGTGCCGGGCGCCGGTGGCTAGGGGGGCATACTTGCAAGAGGGAAAAGACAAAAGACATTGTGGGTGGTGCAGAACAAACGGGCTTTGCAGTGGGAGACAGGATGAGACAAGTCGGGCTTTGTATTCTTTGTGCGCGAGGTGAGTGCTTTGTTTGGGCACAAGAGTATTGAGGGAGTGGTCTGGACCTGTTGAAACGTGGTCTGTGAGCTGCAAAGCTTTTGTACAACGCGATTGTCAGAGTAAGATGGGTATTGTGAGTCTGCAGTGTTTCAAGATGTTCCTCAGTGAATTTCAAAAGATTCGCTTACTCGGCGACGTATTAACACGTCGGACGCACAATTTGAGCCACTTTTTGATACTTCGTTCCATTGGCAGTTGGCGTGATCCTTCTCCCCTACATGTTGGTCGGGGCTTTTGCAAACTCAATGGTAATACCCAATGGCAACATCCAATGGCAGTCATCCAAGGCTTAGAGTTTGCTGACAGGTATCCACCTGCAATAAACTTCTAAAAGTTAACAAGGGTCATCCGACGGTTTATAAAGATATCCGCAACTTCGTTCGAACCTTTTTTACGCAAAGCATTGTGTATAAATGGTTAGTGTAATGTATATGGTAGGTTAGTCAAGCCGCGTTCGCTAAAGAAGGTACCTTTTGTGGGATGCTATAAGATTGTGTATTAAGGTGCCCGCCCCTTTTATCTATACTTTTAAATCTTTCTACCTTCTTTTACGCAGAGTATTCTGTATGAATAGTCAGTATAGTATACACGGTAGGTTAGTCAAGCCACGTTACGCCTTAGAAGGTATCTTTTATGGGATGTCATAAATTTATGTATTAAGGTGCCCGCCCCTTTTTTCTATGCTTTCGAATTTTTCTGCCTTCTTTCACGTAGGGCATTCTGTATACATGGTCGGTGTAGTATAAACGGTAGGTTAGTCAAGCTATGTTGGGCCTAAGAAGGTATCTTTGGTGGGATGCTATAAAATTATGTATTGAGATGCCTGGTGCTTTTGTCTATGCTTTTGAACCTTTCTGCCTCCCAATCCCCACTTCCCTTCGATACAAGCTACATTTGGCTCCTGCATAAAGCTTAAAGGGCGGATCTTTGGCTGGAGACTGGATTCATAGGTCTTGGCAGGTGGTATATAAGAACTTCTTCCCCCATTCCTATTCTTCTTTCCTTGGGCACGTCTGAGACCTCTACCCACCAGCAACTAATCGGCACAATTCAATATACAAAACTACAATTGAACCAAAACTGCTAACAGCAACTGACTAAAAATTGCCCCAAACTAACCAAACCCGACCAAAAGCAACCTCATCTTACATACCAATCGACTCTAAACCGCCGCCATAATGAAACTCCACACGCGCCTCCGACAATGGCGCGATAAAGTAGGGCAGGTCACCGCCTTAGCCAAGGTTCATAAGACTGTCAACGAACGGCCACGACCTGGCAACATCTATCTTCAACCCAACAAACCGCTCGCTATCCCTCCTCCTACCGTCTCTCGTATCGAAAAATGGATACTAGAGTGTCGTGAGTCAGATATAATTGAAATGAAAATCCGCAGGGAAGCCCGGAAGCCTCGACATACACCTCCTCCGCAACCTTCTAGAGAAGGTGTGCATTCTCAGAAGACCCAGGAACCATCTCTCGATGGCCTAGGCATACTAGGCGTTTGTTTTACTCTGTTTCTTTTGTTGAACGTGATTTTGTCATTTTTGAAGTTCGCTTCTGTCGTTTGTGGGCTTTGGGTTTTGTATAAGATGTTAAAAGACGAGTTTTGCTGGTTGTCAAGGCCTATCCCTCCCACAGCTCAGTCTCTGTTTGATGTTAATGATGATTTTTATGATGGAGAAGACAGTCTGGATGACGACGATTTTCTGTGATGACAGGCATGGTGTTGACGACATGTAATGATGATGATGATGACGATAAAAGCACTGCATTTTTCAAGTCTATAGAAGACGAATTTTGGAGCATAGCTGGTTCCATGGGAGGAAAAAGTTGAAGTTCATGAACTAAGGGCACAAGCCTGACTGATCGGGCAGGCTGGATTGTTTTAGAGATTCTTTTCCACGAAAATTTATTGAATTACCCAGATTTTCTCGATTACCCTCATCAAATAGCCCGTATAGGCTTTCTCAAAGCAGAACAGGGGACACCTCACTCTCGTCTCGATGAACAGAACACATGTTTAGTCAGCCATGCACAGTTCTTTCGGCGGTCTCGTTATCCCCGTCAGATAGTCTCCATTGAGCGTCTTCATGACTTTCCCTAACCCTTCATGGCTATAATCTTTGTGATTCCACATGTCTTTGTGATATTTTACTTTGCCGTCGCCATCCAGAGTCAGTGTCACCAGACTGTTCACAGCCTTCGAGAAATGTACCACCCGTGGCGTATACTCTTGCTTCATCTTGAAAGCCAGCTGTGTATCTGTGTTGGAGACGACTTCTGTTGCGAGTGTCTTGGAGGATGCCATAACTTTGGGGATTCCTGGTAAATCGAGAGCACCCTTGGTCAGCGAGAGCTCAAGAGTAGATCTTGGGCAGGCGGAGGTCGAGAGTGGAAGGGAGGAAGAAGCTCACCGTACCATTGTCCAGCAATCTTGTACCGTGTATCACAATAACTCCACGGGTCGTCGTAGATCGCCTCTCCAGCGTAGACTTGCATATCTTCTTCGCTTGCACTGCCGCTGTAGAGTTTGGTGATGCAGTCTATGATGTTTTGACGCTCTGGAGTTATTTGAATGGATTGGTCGGGGTGAGGTTCGTAGTCGACATTTGTGGACGAATTCTGAGATGGATCCTTGTTTGCTGTGAGGGATTGCGGGTCAGGGCGGGGCTCGTAATTGTCCTGGAGGTTCTGCGCTCGAGATGCCATGGCGTTTCTTTGAAGTAGTCTCCAATCGAGAAATGGAGCAATTGAAGAGCAACATCGTGAGGGAAATCGCAGGGCCCTGGAGATGATGTGGTGAGGTCATTCATGGTCAGAGATGTTCGGGATATGCCCACTTGTCCGAATCGAGCTTAGTGCACTGAAACACGTTTGGTAGAATCAGATTGTAAACACTGTGAACAATCCCGCCAGACTCTACCAGCTGATGATAGCTCTGGAGGCAGACTTGTGGGAGCAGACTTCTGCATATGCCCTTCCAACCAGTCCTTCAAGGGAGAAATTGCTATTCATTTCTGGCTATAGAGGTTTCACATGGATCTCAGGCTTACTGACCGGCCAAAGTTGTCTTCAAAGTGAATGTCTGCTCCATAGCGGACGAGGAGCTCAACTAGATCCCATCTTCTTCCCAGCACTGCGACCTATATTCAACATTATTGATCAGCTATCAAACAAATTGTAGGAATAGTAGCCTTACATGCAGAAGTGTGAAGCCTTTTGCAGTCATATCTCGAATTGATATTTAGTTTGCTTTGAGCTGACGATGGCATTCAGCCAAGATCCCTTCATTCCGTCCCATTCCTAAGATATGAAAAATGTGCGCGTCTTCATCTCGAATTCTCATAATTTTGATGAGTAACTCAGGACCGCGAATGCTTTGCAATGAGACTGTCATCGTTACGGCTGCTCGAATTAACCGTAAAGGAAAAACATGAGCGCACAGAATACCTTTCTTTTGGCGTTGAACAACATTTTGCGTTATTGCAAGTGCCGTATATTCGTAAAATTGAAGGATGTTTGAATAGCAGGGAACCGATCACGGAGCTCAAAATATCGGGGCTTTTGAAACGGGTCAGACTGTGGCAGTCACAATAGCAACTATATAAGCGGGAGTACTGAGTGAGCTTGATGGCGGCAGTATGATTTCGAGACAAGGGTTCGGTGGAATAAATGGCTTTATGGGGTCCTCACTATCTGATGATTCAGGGCAGGGCCTATTTCGATGATGTTGCCAGTCCGTGTGAGGCGACTGTGGATCGTTAGAGCGTTGGAATTGATAGGGTGCATTTTCTACACACCTGGAACTGGAAGGAACATCCCCTCAAACTACCTGATGGTGGCTCCAGGAGTCTTACGGGTTCGTCAGAAGTGCCCTGGAGCCGGCGGATGATTTTCTCGGACTGGTGAAGCGATTGCTTGGTCTCTTGCGAAAGTGCCAGTCCCCCAAGCGAGATCAATCTGGGGCATCTTAATACGGGCATGCATAGAGCCTTGAATCTATGAACAGAGACTCACAAGACCAGAAGGCTTATCGAAGCAGCCAAGGCAGCTTTATTCTCACGAAGATTATCTTTGTATGTCGAGAATCGATGCTCTAGTTGAGCCCAGGCGATTTTGTCGACTTTCTGAAAGGAATCATCCTTAGACACAGTAGTCAGGCCATAGACTACAAACTTTTCAAGACCTAGCAGGGTAGACTTGACGCGCTCGAGCGCATTGACGGTGCTCTTCAACGGTGCTATTTGATGCTCCTCTACCGTCCTCAAGATATCGTGCACGTCGCTTACTACCAACTGAAGGTCCGATATTTCATTGTTCAAGGCAAGTAGCACTGAAGGCGCATGTCTGAGGCCCAACACTTTTCGCAGTCCTTTGGCAATCTTCCCGACAGCGCCCAGGATTGCGAGCACGCTCGCGGTAGCTGAAAATGGGTCCATATCTTGCACACAGCTCCCTTGAAAGACACAAATAAAGCACGTTAGATTTCTAGTGAGCGTTGAGGAATGTATATCAGAACTACATGTCGCACGCAGTATCGATACGAACGATGATGTGACAAGAAGAAGCTCTCCTCAGTTACTTATGAATTTCAGCCTTGTCCACCAGCGCTAATGCAGACTGGAAGGCACTTAAGCATCCATCAGCGAGACCGGCAAGCCATTGTCCGATAAAATAGCCAGCAAATTCTTGAGATATTTGGAACGAAGAGAATATTGCTGAATAGCCGCCGCTGGCACGTAAAAGCGAGTCGATCCTCATTCCTACGATTACGGTCCCTTCTCCGTTCGAGCTCCGAAGGTGTACAGAGCCCCAGACATGTCGTCGTTCTGTTTCCAAGTCTGGTCCAACCTCAGTGGTCTGTACCCCTGGAAATTTGCCCTTCCAGTCGTTCCTCTACCTGCGGTCAGCGCTGCCACCTACTCTATTCCTCAATATGCACACACTTGTAATTGAAGAGGAAATTAGGCCCGCACGCAACAGGGTTTTGGTGGCACTCTGCCTCTGTCGGCGGCTGAGCCCTGATAACTGCTCGTGGCACGGATCCCGAATCCTTAGTAGGAGCCTCAGAACATGGAGCGTACTTTCGGACGACGTGGACGTAAACCACCCCCCAAATAGAAGAGCGAGATAGAGCGGTCAACAACGACGGTTGTGAAAAAGATTTCAGGGTAGTCACATCCTCCTGATTCCCACCCCATGTCATGCCAAGGAACTTCCTCTCCGAAAGGTCGCCCGCCACAGAGTTCGCCGGATCATCTCTCCCAGCCAATCAAATGCATTGAATTGTAACCTAGGCCGACTGCCGCTGGCTGGAGCTGAAAAGATGCAAATTACCGAGGGTGAGACGAAGACAAATCATTAACCAGCTAAGTATTGCTTCTATCGCATAGAATAGACTGGCGGAGTCTGATATCTTCGGTGTATGAGTCAACAAGGATCTGAATCCTTCGCCGAGTCCACGGACTGTTCTAGCGTCCCCGCCCCCAAAATATCTGCAATCGACCTCATATTTTGATATCAATTTTTCATAGACGGCATTGCCAACCAGCAGGATAGCGCCCTTGACCCGGAAGCGCCGACCACAAGCACTCGAACATCGTGGTTAGGTCCCCATCGCGCGACTCATTACAAGGATGAATACTCAGCAACAGAACGCGTACAGACCGTATCAACAAGTGACGCCACTGGCGCAATTAGATGCTTATCCCACATTCATCGATTGTCCATACTGTAGAAAATACACCTGGACGAAAGTAAGAAAGGCCGTCTTCGGCCAAAGAAAGTAAGTTGAAAGAAATCCTCATCTGACGAATACCTGACAAGCCGCCAAGCAATCCTCTATCAGAATGCTGGTGGGCCTTCAAGGGCGCCTGCATCTTCGACAAAAACAACCTCAAGCACATATGCTCTGAGTGCAATAAATGCGTAGCTGTCCAGCACGCCTCCCTTATGGCGCAAAATGGGAGCAAGCAATTGTAGTTGCGTATCCGAAGAAGGACGGTAAGGAAGCAAAGCCACCCGTGCCAGCGCCGCCGGAACCACCAAAGGTCTTTGTCAATGCTCCGCAGACTGCGCCGTATGAGCTTCAGGCTTCGTTTCATCCGCCTAGGACGCCGGAGTTGGAAGCTGCCGAGAGACCAGTGGAACTGGAAGCTCCCCAGGGGAGGCCAAGGGCGATTTCGGAGGTTTCGGCGCTGAGTGACTATTCACAGGAGAAGGAGGCCGTGCCTGGTCCGCGGCAGAATCATCAATCTTATGCCAGGCGTTGATGGTTGGCGTGATGGCCCAATGGAAGGGTAGTTAATTTGCGCAGGTCATGGGTCGGCTTCACCTTGGACTTCCGCCATGCTCCTCTAATGATTCGAATCCTCCTCTCAGCAACCAAAACCGCATTTTGATGCCCTTGGGATTCTCCACCAGTCGAGTGGCCACCTTCAAATACTTGGCTCCATTTATATCAGCCACCATCCGGTTCGCGAAAAGTAAAAGCTGGTAATCACACATTAGCTCGATCTTTGAGAAATCTAAATACAACGCTCTGATAAGACCACAACACTCTTTCCACAATTATTGTAACACCCCAAGGTTGCCATGGAAAGGGAACCATATTGATGCGTGGCTCTGTGAAGGACATTCCTTTTGAGGCATGGTGAAACTTTGCCGACGGCAACCCCTTGAACAATGAACCCGTGAGAGTCGCTTCACACAACGCGTGTGACCTAGGCTTCGGATCACACAATACCAAGAACAATATAACAACAGACACGGTAAAAGACAAGTGACAATAGTTTCGACACCTTCCAATCTCATCACATGACTTCTGGACCTTCTTGTTCGCATCTAAAACTTTCTTCCTTTTCACTACCATATCGTTGTTGCTTCAAACCTCTTGCTCAAGCTGCTTACCAACGATGTCGTCGTTCGGTATGCTTGCTCCATTGCCAAGGGAGGTCAGGGACCTAATCTACCGCAACGTAAGACCCCAGAAAAGGCTACAGGTCTCCTTGTCTCTAACACACGATACATGTATAGGTCTTTGAGTCGGAGCAGAGAGATTACCCCTCTCAAACCCACTTCGAATCTCCAGGCCGCAAGAACCCGATCTTCCTCGCGTCCAAAGCGATTCGAACCGAGGCTTCCGACATGTTCTTCAGCACGGCAACATTTTTCCTTCGTATAACACCAGCTGAGAATCCTGAGGTCGCTGCCAAGCTCGCAAATACAGAGCGGGATCCTGAAAACGTGTCACTTGGCCTGTACATAACGCCGTCAGATACTAACTCTACCAAAGAAACGTCCCACGAGCGCGCCGTGATTCGCTGGCTAAACGATCGCTTCGGCTGCATGAGATTGGCCCCTCACACCCTGTATTTCCGATTTGATGGACGACACGCCAAAGTGATCAAGCCTCTGATTGAACGTATGCTGCTTGCGCTCATCCCTGGCTTCTCAAGCTTTGAAGACCGGACTGTTGTTATTCCGGATAAAGTGGGACGTGAGACATGTTGGGCTGAAATCAACGAGGGATCTGATCAAGTATTACTTTTTATGAAGGAGAAATTGGTGTCCCGTCAGAGTGGTCACATGCCTTCTGGGGTGGAATTTAAGAGGCTTCAGAATTGTGTGCAGGTCACGTTCTAATGATACGTGTAAGATTCGGCTAAGTTTACAGGAGACAGCATGCAGACATTGAGAAATTGAACACAGAAATGCTGGGGTCTTTCAGAACAGGGGCGATTATTGGTGGCCAAAATTGGCAAATTGACATAGTGTCTGCTGAGATTTGATAATCTATTTTCTCCGAGTCCCCTTTCGTTAGTCCCTTCCTTCACTTTGACACTGTTCAATCCGAAGTGTGTAACCTGAAGAAACCCCGCTACGAATCTCACTTGTCTCATACCTAATCATGTCCTTGCTTCTCCCTCATACTCTTCAAAAAATCATAGCATCTCATTCAAGCTCCGTGGGCATGTCGGACTCCTTAGGCAGCTTTGGCATTCTTCCACCCGAGATCAGGGACAAAGTCTATGGGCACGTAAGTTTACCACCTACCCTATCCGTACAACCCACGACGCCATACTAACATCACATCTACGCATAATAGATTTTTTTACCACGTTATCTGATTTTTGACCGGCGCTATGCAAGAGAGTGGACCGAGAGCCCGACACTGGCGATCCTACGCGTGTCCAAAGCCATTTACCATGCAGCCCTTAAGATCCTCTTTTCGGAATCAACATTCCATCTCCACTTTGTTTGGGACGAAAAGCACTTTCTCATTCATGAGATAAAGCCACCAATGATCGGCAGAGAACTGCTAGACATCGACGTTGACACATTCCACAAGATGAAAAACGTCGCTCTCACAGTGGAAATAAATTCATACAACTTCGATTTTAATGCATCTCATAAAGTGACAGACTTCGAAATTTCTACATTCCGCTGGTTGAGGCAGCGGTATGGAGATCAAAGTCCACTTCGCAACCACATGACCATCACGCTCATTGATATGGAGCATGACGTAAGCGAATGGATCGCAGGCTATGCTAAACAATTGGTCTCTAGCTCGTGCCATTCCAAGACAGTCGAACTTGTGGTACGGCAAGGTTGGCCTGAGAGTCTCCCCGACTGGGCTTCGGCTTCGCACATGGAAAGTGATTGCGATTTCGCTCTGGACTACATCATGGCGTATTTGGAGCCTACGCTGGGGATGTGTGGTGTTGTTGGAGAGTTTAGGATATTGCAAGCTCAGTTCGTTGAGAAGATGGTGACTTTTCGTCGAAATAAAATGTTAGGAGTACGAGCCAGGGAAGCTCACTGCCATAGCTGAGGCTGAATGATGCGATTTTGAAAGGGTGACTTACACGCTGGCAAGAATGAAGGAGATAAAATTGTGACAGAGGGGACAATGCGGCCAGGATTGTGTTGAGATCCCGTGCGAAGGAAAAGGGAAAAGAATGAAGGTCCCGGATTGTGTAAAGAGTATCAAGATATGGCAGGTTTTCAATGCTAGAGAATCTTTATGTCCGGGATTGCACTCATGTTGCCCCTGTATCGAAAGTAAAGCATCTAGTCTTCTCCAATCCTCCGTCGTCCACCGATTATCATTCAGCCTTTCTCCGTATTCTGGCGTAGATTGTATTTCTCTCTCCTCTCATTCGTCGTTGGGGTTGGCGTAGCCTTCGCCTACTTTGAGCTCGGATAATTTGCCTGGGTGAAATGTGATTCTGCTCTCCGGAATTCGGCTTTTGGTATTCGAAGGGCCTCTCTCCATGAGACCGGGTCCGAGTCGAGGCTCCAGCTTAGCTTTGATGATCCTAAGTGCCGGATCGCAATGCTCGTCGATTTGCCATCCTTTAAGTTGTGACCTCAAAGAGTAGGCTCCGCTGAACCCCCAGCTAACTATGACGATCGTCCGAAATTGGAAGCAATCAGGTACGAAATCAAGATCAGACGCTTGGATCCTTTTCTTAGATCTACGAGACCAGTCATCATGGAACGTGATCTTCACACGAGCGCCAGGCAAGACCTTGTGTGCAAATCTCTCTTTGAACCATTTATGCGCAGAAGTCTTATATGTCGCCCCCCTTTCTCCATCGAAGTTTTCTGGATGGTCCTCTGACAGAACATCCACATGTAGAGCCACATTGCTCATTCTTTGGAATGTAAAAGCGTCAAACTTTGACAGTTTCTCCTGGCCAAGATTTCCTTCGCGCACATACTTATCGGTGGCAAAGTCCTCCCACTTGATACAAATTTCAAACGTTGGCTTGAGATAAAGTATTTCAACTGCTTCGTACTACACCGCTTTAGACACGTAAAGTATTGCTAGAGTTGCGGCCTGCCCTTTTATTGACCAAAGAAGCCAGTCACAGAAGTCATACTTAGGCAAGAATACCTGAATATCATATATCTCATATTAGTGACTAGCCTTAGAGAGTAGAATAAGCAGACTCTAAGCTCACGTGACGGTAGATCTCATTCCTAACCTCGCCTGGGAATCTATTGAGGCTACCTAATGAGTTCGACATACTTGTGATGCTTAGTTTTGATGTGAGCTGACATGTGTAAAGAGAAAGAGCGGGGTTCTTTCAAAATTGTGATTGGTCAAACCTGGAGTTGTGAAAGTGAATGAATCAAAATAGGAAGCTCAACTGACGGGGCGTGACTGGAAGGGATGTAATCGGATGTAGCAAAGACGAGAACGAAAGTGGCCACGATCATAATCTTCGCGCGAGGTCCCTCGAGAACACTTGGTGGAGGTGTCAAAACAAACTGTTCTTCTGGAACAATGAGCGCTCTCTTGCGGGGAATGCGGCTAGGATTGCTGGAAGTGAACGTGTAAAGGGGGAGGGAAAGATCGCATGAGGTACAGTGTCTAAACACACTTCATCACTTCAAGCGATGGTGTCGTTAAGGGAACCCCCGCGACACTTACCTTTGCGATCATTCTAGTTCTAAGTCTTGACCACAAGCTTCTATCTCCCACTCAAGCTACACAAGTATGTCAAACTCCCTTGGTAGGCTCGGTGTCCTGCCATGCGAGATTAGAAACGAAATATATCAGCAGGTAAGTACATAATGCTCGATAATAATTGCTGCATATGACTGACAGAACGGCTTCCCATTCAAGGTCTTCGAGCCTACATTCCAGGTCTACGACTGGCGCGTTCCTTCCGTGAACCTTCAAGACTCGACTGGGGCAATTCTTTTGGTCTCTAAAATTGTGTATCATGAAGCAAGCGGCGTACTCTACAACATATCGATACGCAAGTCATTGTTCAAGTTTCGTCTCCATTGGGACGAGACTTGGCTTGCAAAATTCAGGACAGACCAGGATGATCATCAACGCTATCCTGAGGTAAAGACACAAGCTGTGACTCGATACGAGTGGCCAAACATCGACATCCCGACGATGCTAAGAATGAAGAAAGTGGCCATTCAGGTGGACATATCATCCTTGCCCGTCCAATCAGACTTACAAAGATCACTGCGATTCAAATACGCGGATGCTGCCCGCGCATGGTGTATGGATAGATTTCTCGATAGATCTAATCTTGGCGATTGCATGATTATCACATTTAATCACGACGGGATTGACTTCAGGCAGTGGATCTACCGTCGTGCCAGGTTCTTCCTCTACAACTTCTGTCTATTCAAAGTTGTGGTAATGGTAATACAACGGCCACATCTCCAAGAGCCTCCAGGGTCGATCGTCACCGAGGCATACGATGCAGCTCTGAAAGACCTCCAAAGGGACGTGGAGGGTTTACTAGGACCGGGCAACATCGACGAAATACCACCCAATGACCAATTTGCCGCAACGCAAATCACATTTCATCCAATCAAGTATTACTCGTCTGAACGAAGCAATCTGAACACCAATACCAATGCCTAGCATGAAAGGAGAAACGATGGTGTTCATGCCCATGGCAGTGGTATCGATATTATCCACGGAGGCCTTAAGGTAGATATGAGACTCGTTACACTCGCGGCTCACAGCAGGCAGGATATGCGGCAGCATCAAGCAACCTAGATGCAAAACATTTCGGAAAAAGTAAGGAGATAAAATGACGTCCTTTCCTAGTTCTTGCGCCTCCTATGTGGGACAATTCTTCGTACTTCTGAGCCTTGCACACTCCACCTTTCCCCTATAAATCCTCATTAGAGTTGTTCGAGAGAAACTATGCGAATATGTCATGCCCATTCGACCATGACGAGAAAGCTAACCACTCTCTATATCTTACTAATCGGCACACAGTAACATCTCTAAATCTCCCCGCCCTTCAGTTTCATCGCATGACATGCACCCCCTCGGCTACTCGCTCAATGAATCAGGCGGCCAAACAAAGGGCGAAGGATAGCAGATAGAAGCCTTTGGTATGTGAGATGATTAATGATTCCAACTGGACGATCATACGTGTCCAAAAGTCCTGTATGAATTGAGTTCTTCACCCATAAACCAACCGACCTATCTTACAACCAACAAACTCTCCTTACCTCTCAGACTCGAGCTCCCACTACTGCCTTCCCAGCATTCATCACCCTGCGTATCGTCTCCCCATCATCCTCCCAGTCCTTCTTCAACACCATCTTCCCCCTCCGAGCAAGCCCTGCATCATGATTCCGATACCCACTATCGATCAACCGCACATCTCTCGGGCTCACGAGCCACCGCTTCTCCCCAGCTTCGAATTCCTGATAGGTCATCCCATCACCATGTTCAGTTCGCACGTTCCGCTCCAAAGTACTCTTCAGCTGTGCCTTGACCTCTCTATCCGTATTCCCGTGGATGGATTTGACGTGAAATTTTTGGAGCGTCTCAGATAGAGCAGCTGCGCTCGCAATACGGTTGAGCACGCTCACGCTCATGGCCGTTGTGTCGAGCTGCAGCATCTTGACGCGGCTTTGTCGGATGAATGTGATTAAGCTTTCTTCGACGCTGTCGGTGAGGTAGTTGTAGCGCATCCCTAGATCTTCGGTCGCGAAGTGCTGCCCGAGGCACAATGTCATTAGACTCGGATGGTCACGCAGCGCATCGAGCACTGCTGCAGCACCGTCTGAATTGATCCCGCCGGACGTGATGCTCAGGCGCTGTAGTGACTTGTTTCGCTTCAGCCCCTGGGCAAGGACGATGGCGTCTGCGTCGCCGATGGGGTTGAGGCTCATGTAGAGACTTTCGAGGGCGCAATTTGGTGTGGAGAGGAATGCGGTGATTTTTTCGCTAGCGTTGGTGGATATGCCGTTGCCGTTTAGGTAGATATTGCGGAGTGCTACGGGCTCAGATTTGAGTTGGGCAAAGATGAGGTTGTTGAAGAGCCTGGCGACTCCAACGTCACCGAGTTCAGTCTGATCGAGGTCGAGAGTGCGGAGGTTTGGCGCTGACGTGATGAGCTCATACAAGTTCAATGCAGCTGCTGGGCCGAGAGGGTTTCGTTTCAGCCAGATGTTCGTGATACTATCGCTTTTCGCGAATGCTGCGCTGAGCTGGCTGAACCCCTCGCTATCGATGCAATTTCCGGCGAGATACCAGGTCTCGATCTTGTTGGGATAGCGGTGGACGAAATCTGCGATTGCTTGGGCGCCTACGGGGCCGATCACGTTGTTTCCGAGGAGGAAGTGGTGTACTGAAGTATTTGTCGAAAGAGACTGCATCAATGCAGTGATGTTGAGAGGACCGAGGACCCTAGTTGCGGTATCAGTGGTGAACCAATTAGGCGGAGATAGATCGGCTCATCGATGTGATTGATGTGGATACATACTGTTTGCACAGATCCATGCGTCCATCAACGTAGAGCATCCCTTTGTCCCAGATGCCTACATCAACATGATAGTATTCCTCTTTTCCTTTCGATGGTGCATCATCCCAGCTCTTTTCTCCTTCACTCAGGTGCTGAAAGAACGGACGTAAGCTCTCCTCGTCTGAAATCTCGACTGGCATTGGCAGTGACGAAACACCAGTAAGCGGTAGAGGATCCTCGGTCTCATTCCACGGACCCTGAGCACTGATGCGGCTTTTCCAGGTGTCCCCATGGGTGTCGTCGTTCAGTTGAGCAGCATGATGAGCTTCGATTATGGCTCGACGAAGGGTGACTATGTCTCTTTCTGCTAATTTGTCAGTCCCGTTAACTGCAACGTGGGAGACTTGGTTCGGCGGAAGCGATAGACAATGCTTTATGAGGGTAACTCACCATATTTGATCAGCTGAGGCAGGCTGGAATCTGTGGGTGCCGGATAGAGTAATGCTGCAATTTCGGACGCACATTGTTGGCTCTGGATATTGGCATGTCCTCGCCGTGGAAAGAGAGTACAGTATTCAACCCCCAAGCCCAGCGGTTTGGAGCCAGTTGGATCAAAGAGAGCCGTAAATGCAGACTTCAGGGTTTGGAGCCAATTGTGGATGGTATTACCATGCCACGTAAGTGTTTGTGGAGATGGTGCGGCATCTCTCAGTTGGACCAAATTACTTGAAATGTCCGGTCGGTCGGTTGGCGATAAGACGTCCATTGAATGTTGGAGATTCATGACCGCTGCTGATGCAATCGCTGCGTAATTGCAATGCACTATCGATGATGACGACGAAGATAAAGAAGACGAAGTTGAAGAAGAAGTCGAAGGATAGAAATTAAAAGAAGAATATATACTGGATCCATAGATGGAAGAGATGTGCTTGCTGCTTGAAATAGAGTCATGCAGCTTGTGAGTCATGTGGAGGAGACGGAAGCTCCGGCTCGTGGCGGTGGACATGCTAGCCCCCGACCTGGAGTCGTCTCCCAGGTAACTTGCTTCTAGGGTTCGAAACCTAATTACATCAAATTATCGTGAGCACTCTAGTAAGTGAGAGTGACGAGTACGGTAGTGATTCTAATGAGCATCATACACTACCAACGGTGGTTTCGGACAAGGAAGTACCATGAAAGCGAGAAATTACCGGGCATGATGGCACATGCAGGGACAGATTCTGAGGTGCAGTTTGATTGGGTTGCTGTCTGGCGAGTATCGAGTGTCGAATGACTGGCGGAGTGGCAAAAAGTGTCGTCGTTGACTGTGGCGATTATTAATGCCTTATTTACTTCACCTTCAACACTTGCGTAACGACCTCCTTGGCACTACATCTTAATGCAATGCACTGGATACATGGTATTGAATTCTTATCCGAGGCTTTGACGCATTGTTCTAGAGAAGATAGATGACTGTGACTGATGTGATATCCGCTAGCAAATGTCTTCTTCCGTGTTAAGTAGGGTGCAAATGTCTTGACCAGTGATATTCGGCCGATTTTGATGTAGAAAATCCATGCTCATGAAAAGATCCCGGTGGCAAACCATTTTCAAATATCTTCCCAGTCACAATATCCCTTCGATCTCGACTTCGAATTCTCTTTCGCCGTTGAAATGGCGGTGTCCGCCGCTGCTATAGATGATCTGCTTGTAGATACGGTCTGCATCGCCTGAGCATGGTGCGGATTGAATACGCAGTAGACGGCGATTATGTTATGTTGGAGAAATTGGTAATGTTTCTCACTTGGTCCGAGATCTGGAAGAAGAATCCTTCTGAATTGACTCATAGCGACAGTACAGTCTCTCAGGAGTTTTTGTGGATCACTATCATCTATATCTGCATCATCGATGTTGCAACTAATAGTGACGCGTTTAAATCTACTAAAGTCTTGAATAGTTTGCAGGATAATGGCCATGAATGCGTCGCGTTTGGCGGTATTTCTGTTGCGGAAAAGCATACGTAGGGTGTCACGACGCCATCTCCGAAGAGATAGCTTCAGCTCGATCCCAGCTTGACAACTACCAAGCTTGGAGAGAGTTTGCATCACTATTACTGTCATCTCTGGTTTTGGGTCCGTCGTGATGTCGATGTCTTCCAGCCCGAACAGGAGGCCAGCATCCACGTGAAGATCCACATGTTTCATCTGAAGAAGGTGCGCGCCAATTGGCATCGGGCAAGGAACCGTTAAAACGTATTGAATGTTGCTGTGAAATAGGAGGTGGAAGGTCGTATGAGCAAACATAATACGTGACATGTCCGCGTTCATGGCTTTAGAGACGGTCATGAAGCCAAGTTGAGGAGTATAATCAGGTGCAAGCTCAATAAATGGGACTTTGCTCCAATTTGTAGTTCTGGCCCACAGATTGTAAAGCTGTTCAGGGATAGCCTGCAAATGTCAGCTTGAATTTCATTGGGAGTATTCGTGACCGACAAGCCGGTAGATTTCATCGCGAATCTCCTGTGGTAGTATGCCCAGCTGGCCTAAAGGTTTGTTCGAGACCATGGTCTGTCGACTGTTGTGACCCACGCGCTGAGTATCAACAGCGATCGCGGAACCGTTGATGTGTTTAAAGCCTAGAGAAAACTCGTCCAATCACGAGAACGGATCAAAAGCACAATGATGTCATTGCTTTAGATGTCTGGGAGACACCAATTACGCTTGTTTACTCTGATAAGAGCTAGGTCTATGACTTAGAAAGTAAATTGCTAACATTCAACTATAATACTTCAAGACGACATGCAGACCCTTTGAGTATTGACCTCCTCCCTTACCGTCAAAAACCTCAAATCCTCCATTCAATGGCATTGGTTCTGAAACTCAGTCCTGCAACCTTTCATGTCGTAGAGATGTTAGACTGTAGGGCGAAGTGCTGTCGAGGAGTGAATGTGAGACTGGTGTGGAGATGCTCGCTGTCATTGACGAAGACTTGAGTCTTATATGGTCCTAACATCGGTTCCACAAGATATTCCATCACTCCAACGGCATACTTACAGGCCCCCAAGCGCCTTTTAAGTTCGTGCGGTTGTATTAATGGTTTGCGACTCGTAAAGAAGTGAACACAGACCTTTTTGTAGCCTTGCAAAAGTCCAAAACAATCGAGGAACCGTGCCAGTATTCCACTAGTGAGGATTTCGGGGATATCCATTATAGTGTCTCTGATATCGATCACAATGCTATTGATTCGCTTGCTGCGTAACTCGGAAAGAAGGCCAATAGCTAGAGATGCAGCAGGCCCAGGACGAATGTGTTTGAGTTTTGTGTCGTAATCGTAAAATCGATGGGGGTCAATTTCGAGCTTGATGTTTTGAATTCTGCCCCATAACGGTTCTGATGTACTAGTGTCGTCTGAAGCCCGCGTTTGTAGTTTAACGTACTGTCTTAATGGCGAATCTGGTATGATTTGGACGTTGAACGTGCACTTATGGTAGAATAGAATCGAAGCCTCCTCATAAAAGGCCTTGGAAACAAAGAGACATTGGACTTGGAAAGCATCATATGGTCCGATCACGTGGACTTTGCGTGACTCTGTCCAGAGTACGTGGATCATAAGTGGTACCGCCTTTAAGAGTCAGTAACCGACCATGTTGATTGAGAACACCGGTCATGACGCACCAATTCATAGATCTTGTCACGTATCTCGCGAGGAAATATTGCCAACGCCCCAAGCGAGGTAGTAAGCCCCATTGTACCGAAAAGTGAGGATGATTGTAGAAGTTTGCGTTTGCTTATGGTGACAGAAAACTATTTACGAGAGGTGTTGAGGGGCAGAGTGGCAAATTCATGCGGGGCGACCAAATCAATAGCCTATCAAAGTGTCTATATCTCCAATTTCGGCCCATATGCTGAATGCAGACACCACTGGCTTACGTGTTCGATCATGACTCACTTGCAGCCATGCTTCTTTTGAACGCCCAGCAGTCGACTCTGGTCAGTAGTCATTCTAGGAACGCGTTGAAATATTAAAGTTGATCAAGGGCACTGTGTGGGCCAGGGGCATATGCAATTGAGAAGCTACGGCAATCAATCTAATACCTCTCAAACCTTGATGATGCAAGTCCGTCTCCGCTTCGACGGGGTTGTGCCAGCAGCTTCTTCGATTGCATCCTCCCATCAAAGCGACCGCCAACGAGACCTGACTTATGCACTTGCTACAGCTTGTCTCATCTCTTTGCCCGTGATCATATTCTCTCAAGCTGAAACAATTCCATGAATCCCCATCCTGCTCTCCTAGTCCCGTCGGCTCTGACTGACTCTGCTATGCCTTCGTCATCTCAGCGCGCTTGACTTGATACGCATGAGGGCGAAAAGTGCAGCTATAGAAAATGTGCCTATTTATATCCTCCAGAGGTCCACAGATCTCAGATGGCCCTAATGTAGTTCCACATACACTTTGGAAGTTCTTCAACACCTTCACACACTCATCGGGGTCTGTAATCTCTCCCCGACCGTGGTATCCAGGTTGGTCTGAGTAGCCGTCGTAATCGTAGAATACATAGCCGAATTCATCTTTTTCATCACTTTGAACCTCCAAATAGATTTGTATTTCTTTCAGAAGCGTCAGACTGCTGATAGCGCTTGTAATATCTTCGAACGTTTCGTGATATCGCTCGATTCGCTCCTCGTCAATAAAGTCGTGGACCTGACTCCAACCTCGAAAAATGAGTTGAAGATCCTGTACATCCATGGATGGTATGGAAAGTTGGTGGAGCGTTTTGAGGACAAGCTTTGACAGGGAGATATATGGTATGCCGGAAGTCTGGGTTTTTATGGTGAAGAGTGTTCCTGCCCCGATCTGCACGTTTATCTGCTTCATTTGAGCAAGCGCCACGGACGGAGGGAAACCATGTATTAGGGTAGTCCAATTCCGGAGAGAACTGGGCATCAGGATATGAAACTTCGTCCGGAGGAGATACTGAAGAGATATTTCCTCGTGAAATACCTTTGAGACTTGCATAAAACCGAATTGTGCAGAGGATACTCCAGTTGAGTCAGTATAGCGCTGCATAGAATGTCTGTTTGAGGTCACTATTTTGTTGTAGACGCTTGTAGGTACCGCCTACATTCGTCAGTCGGAAAAGTCTGGGTGCACCTCAAAGCGTACTCACATAGCTGTAGATCTTGTCGCGAATCTCACGTGGAAACACACTCAGCGTGCCCAAGGACTGCTTCGTCCCTTCCATTGTCGCAGTCGCGCTTCAATGTCAATACACACAGGTAAGAGGCTGTGTTGGTAGATCTCAAGGGGATGCAGGAAAGGCGGTGAGAGGGAGGAGTGACAACACAACCACGCGATGATAAGAAAGGGGAATGACGTAGTCATCCCCCCTTCACTTTCTCAACCTTTTGTGAATTTGAAAATAGAATTTTGAATGGATAAAGATTCGTATTTGTAGTACGAGAACCGTCTTGCAAGATTTGCTCCAAATAGTCGTCTTTGAGGTAGGTGCCCCTGGCGTCGGCTGGTGTCGGCGACACTTGACGCATTCAAAGGCACCTGAACATCTTGTACATCTGTCTCTGCATTCTCCAAATACGTATATGACCAGTCATGAATATCTGCTATGCCAAGGACGTGGCCCATGCCCTTTGGTTTACTGCAGGGGCTGGAATCCACCCATCTCCATGACAAGCGACTCATTTGGGGATCTCAAAAGATGGCGAGAATTGATTACTTTGCTTGAGTTCACGACTGTTAGTCTTGTCCCGCAGCCTCAGAACTGCCCAACGACCTGGTTCTTGCCCTCGAGTCTTACTTTCTCTCTCCTGCCTCGATTCCACCCAGTTTTTGCTGAAGCGCATGTGCCTGCGGGAAGAACTGTATCTCGAGTGTAAAGTCCTGCCACATCCTGCCCTCGACGGGCACGAATGCTTGCTGAGACTTGCAGTCCCCGAGGGAAGCTCTACAAAATCTGGCAAGGCGCCGTCCTGCTATCATGAAGAACGTCACATGATTTTGGAATTTATATCTATCTTCTCCAGAGACTGAGAATCGCATGGTAACCTTCTTGAAGTTATTAAGGCGACTGATGGCGCCGAACACTTCGACCACCTTAGGATGGCTCAAGTATTCACGTTGTGAATGATCATCATAAGTCTTCCGTAGAAGCCACGGATAAATTATGATATTAATCGATTCTCGCACAGAATTCCCCTTTGCAAATTCGGAGAGCAAGATGAGGAAAACTTTCGAAGCCTCTGCTTCACGATCAGGATTATCTAGCTCAGGAAGATCCCACCCCCATAGATTGTCGGCCGGAATAGCCAGCTCCAGATGTTGCAAGAAGTGGGCGCTGGAAAATGAAAGTATTCTTTCCATCGTTCCATTAATCATGAAGAATGATTGGTTGATGTTGGCCTTGAACAAGCATTTCGAGAATAGTATAGCGGACGCTTCTGTATTCAGTCTTCTAGAAGCAAGTAAGATCCCAAGATTTCGGGTGCGACCGCCAGGTTTGGTCACGCCTAATGGATCATGCAGGATATTCGGTAAAGCCTGTTGATAGTCAGCAATCCTTCTGGTATAGCAGACTCAGGACTTACGAGACGATAGATTTGGTTGCGAATCTCAGCCGGGAAAGCCCTGAAATTGCCTAAGGAGTCAGCCGACGCCATGTTTGATCGATTCATAGCTGTTGTCTCTGCATAAAATCTGAGTCTCGATTATGAATTTGCTGAACTGACAGGAGTATGTGCGCTGAAAGGATGGCAATGATGTTGGAGACAAAGATGATGAAATGTGGATCGTTCATGAATCGCCGAAGTGAACAGATGAAGGAGTACTATTACCTTGCAGAAGCACAGACACATTGAAAGTAATCTGTCCGACGTGGTACGACCGATTCCACATCGGAAAACACAGCAGAGCACACTCGAGGTATTACAACAAAGAGAGCGAGTTGACTTCACAGTTAATTTTGCAGACGAGCAGGCTTTTGCTAGATATTGATGCCTCTATGTGTGGCCTATCATACCCTGCGATCAATAATTCTGATGTGAGATGGTGCCATAGCATCTCAATCATATGTACTGGGCAGTTTATATTTCCCAGTGTACTAGGACGCCTCCATCAGAGTTCATCGTTATCTTGAGTGATGATGATGATGATGATGGGAGAAGCAACGGCATTTCCTGATCAATGACTTTCTAGTACCCCTAGAGTCGTAGTTGATATCTGTAGTAGCTATTTGCTCATTCCAACCCTTTTACCGTCGTGAAATGATATTCAATGGTATTTGATCTTGTCCCTTATCGCCAACAGCCTGTGATAAACAGTTTGGACCTAGAAATCCGTCTAGATCTCTCCCTCGTTCTCCAGGTTGTCTTCATTCTCATCAGCGAGTTCTTGGAGGGGATCCATCACATTATCTTCGTCTTCGACGTCGTCACTATCACCATCATTATCGTCCTTGTCGGCGTCTTCGTCATCCCCCGAATCTTCCTTGTCTCCTCCATCTTCGTCATCTTCCTCTACTTCAGCTTCAGTTTCTCCATCTCCCTCCCCTTGTATTACCCTTTCCCCCTTTGCATTGGGAACAAATTGTATGTTGTTTGAGAATTCGTCACGACCAGTCTCCTTAAAGTACAATTTTGCTTCATGCGCTGTACAGACTCCAAGGGTTGCTTCGCAGCCTTTGATAAGGCGCTTCCCGACATCCTGACAGAGTTTAATTCGCATTTCATCCTCTTCTTCATCGTCGCTCTCCACAATGAACCGAACTCTGACCTCCTTGAAGTGCACAAGTCGACTCACGCCTCTGATCAACCGGGATACTTTTGGATGGTGAAGAAGGCGGCGATACTCGCCGATTTCGTTCAGCTCCCATGCCGTGAACCAGAAATCTATCTTGATCTCGACTGTTTTACCTGGACCTTCGACATTTGCCAGATGAGCTAGAAATGCCATGAAGGTAACTGCATATCCTGCAAAACGAGCATCGTCAATATCCGAAGGCTCTTCTTCAAACAGAAGTTCGCTGGACATCTTCACTTTCAAGTGTCGGAGACGATGCAGATTCGCAATTGTTGCCACCCCATTCATTTCATGTGTATTAAGACCTAGACCAGGTTGGAAGGAGATCTTAAAGTTGCAGTGGGAGAAGAGAACAGCGGATGCTTCTGCATTCAGTCCCTTAGATGCCAGCAAGATGCGGAGATTCGGGCTGCGCATCATTGATGGTATCTTGTTAATATCTTCTGACACAACCAGGGAGCCATACAACATGTACGGCAAAGCCTGCAAACAGTCAAACTACTACTTCAGTATATCGTGAAAGAGACTCACCAAACGATAGATTTGATTGCGTACCTCAGGAGCTAGAAGGCTCAGAGACCCTAAAGAAGCATGATGAGCCATGGCGAGCTTGATTCGTTCAATACGTGGAATCAAGACGATGTATGTATGGTTCTGGGATTGTAGAAGATTCTGTGGTGGATAGCTGATGAAAGACTGATGAAAGAATGTAGAAGAGTGGTCGAAGAAATGAGGGGGTTTGAGTTCAGAGCAGTGAAGTCAATGATTGACTTCCTAGGCTAATCTATTGTTTGCAACAACAGAGAAGAACCATCTGACGCAAGTCATTGAAGATGTTTTGATTCATTGACCATGTAGTGCCTTACTACGCTTTGTCACTTTCGTAGACTTGTTCTTGCTTGCCACTATTGATCGACACAAAGTGATGCCTTGGGTGAAATGCGCAACGCCCTTGATATTGTACCTCCTTGCCCTTTGCGCTCAACTCCACAAGACGAAAATCTCCCAGGTGAGGTGAGAGCTCTGCACAAGCCATTTCAAAAAGCTTCTGGCAATGCCTTAGAAAGCTTGGCATATCAGCGTCGTCTATGCGTACTTTCTTGGCCACAAGCTCGAATGTGACTTCTCCAGAATCTATCATTCCTTGGAAGGAGTCTTTGATATCTGCATGCAATAGACTCAATGTCTGAGGGATATTGTGCGGAGGTGGAAGTCCAGGTGGGAGCTGCCAGTCCCATAACCAGAAAGTGAAATTCTCAATGATGTACTCAATGTGTAATGTAGTGTCCCTAACGCTGTTCAACACAGAGACTGTATAGCGTACACGCTGCTCTATCCATGCCTTGAAATGCTGCAATACTGATGCAATTTCGGGTTCATTATCGTTCACCCCTACGGGTGGGAGTCTCTCAGGCCGGATCAATAACGTCACGCTGTGTTTTCCGCCAATGCATGGTATTTCAGGAACGTGTGGCAAGGGCAGTGGCGGAAAGGTTGGCAGTCCACACATCTCCTGCGAAAGAAAAGTGTCGATGATGAAAGTACCATATCTGTTGAATATTGGCAACGCCTCTCGATGGACTCTTTTTGAGACTCGTAGAACCCCTGGGCAAGCCGCTGGAACATATTGTTTAGAGGTTTCTGGCCTGTAAGTCCCTACGAGAACCTAGAGCGCCTTAGTACATGATGTGAGACGAGTAGATTTGTTTTACCAGGCTATAAATTTCGTCACGAATCTCGCGTGGAAGCACGATAAGCCTCCCAAGGGAAACACGATCGGTTGCCATGTCGATCAGAACTGCGCAAAAGATTGAGTCTTGATGATGTCGAGGTGTGTAGCAGAGGAACACAGTTGAGGGATTATCTAGTACTCGAAGGTAGTACTGAGGAAAGCCAGATTCCTGACGAGTCAAAAGCTTGCAAGCTTGCTCATCCACTCGCAGCCGTGAATCTGTGTCGGTGAAGCCCTTGGCAATAAAAGAAAATAGTAACAATCGATAGCGTGGTACAAGCCGCGAGACTTTTCCCTTGAACCTTCAAGACTTAATATTGGCTAACAATTGAATTCAAGCCTACTTTGACAATCTGAAAGGCAGGAGATCCTATCAAATATTCCCCATCTTCCTTTCCGCTTCAACTCTATCGATGCAAAGAGTCAACATCGATCAGCAGCTGCTTCAAGTGAGGTATACCATTTTGTTCTTTATTCACCATCACAAAGCCCGCGTGACCTCATCCCTCCTTAGTTGCTTCTGATGCTCTACTGGGTGGAACTCCAAGTAACTCACGCCGAACATAGTCGGCAAACGTGTGGATTTCCACAAGGATTTCCCCAGCAATGGCTCCATTACTGTTTGTATTTCCTCTAACACATAGCGGGCGCAACAGAAATTGCCAAATTCCTGGTGCATTTCCCTTAGGTCAATCCTCTCTGGTTCATCGTGCATTTCTGTACGCCAGAATTGGATATCAGAGTTCCCAAAGCACAGCTTATAACAACTAACACTGACGATGAGGTCTGTGTAGCTCATCCAGTTCATGAACAGAGACTGAAGCAGAGTGGACATGACCTCCGGTCCAGATGGATCCCAAATAACACGTCTAGTCTCCGGACGGAATACAAAGCTGAAGACAACCTTGTTCCTTGTAGTTCTGTTGCTGGTGAACAATGACATCAGTGTCTTGACTTTCTTGCTTTGGGCTTTATCTTCATCCAAAAACTCATCAAAATCTTTCCAGCTTCCTGTGGTTATTTGGAAGCAGATATTCGTCATGAGGTTGCAATTGGTCAGGGTCAGTGCTGGGTACTGAACGTTATCTGTCGCACAGAGAGACACCTTTAATTTGAATGCCGAAGCCTCGTAGAAGACAATGATTGCTTCCTCATGTAGCTGCTTCGACGTAAAAAGCAAGGCTAGGTGCGGACTCTGAGCGAGCTCGCCGGCGTTGTCAGAATTCTCACCGCTTTTGCGTATTTTCAGTGTGTAGACACCACAGAGAACCTGGATACGTTAACTTATTTTTCTTAGTGACGAAAAGGAGAAGGAATTTACCATATGGTAGATTTCGTCCCTGATCTCCCGTGGGAGGCATCCAAAGGTACCCATACTCGTAGGGGTTTGCATCTTGGGCAGAATGTTGCAAAAGTCAAGCTAGAGATACCAGATCTTCACCTGTGTACGACCCTTTAGTAATGATTGTGAAAGGTGAGCAAACGCCAGCCAGCAGGTCACATGCGAAAAGAGCAAGCTGAAGTAAACACACACATACGTACAAACAGATGACGCATGTCACACAAGCTAAATGTGTTTACACCCCAAAAGGCATGTGACGTTCACGAGTATTTCCTCACGTGCGGTGAATAATTTCACACCACAATTTAGTCGCTTAACATTGCTTCAGGAACAAAAGGTAGGAGGTTGCAATGTATATCGCTCCAGAGCTTTCAACCTCCACCACACAACTTGGTACTCCGCTATGACTATGCATCCAGAGACAGCTTATGGCATGCTTGGAAAGCTCCCTAGAGAAGTCAGGGATCAAATCTACTGCTACGTAAGTCCACACATTCCCTCCACTCAATCGCTGAACAAAATCACTGAAAACTTTTAACAGGCCATACCCAAGAGATGCCACTCAAATTATCACAGATTTGAAGGGCGAGGCTGTTCCTCCTCATCTTGTAGCGACTGCAACGTAGCGTTCCGCTCCGGACTGGGCCTGTTGTTCACATCCAGAAACATACACAACGAATCCGTCGAGATACTCTACGCCGAGTCCAGCTTCTGCATCCCATACAAACTCATCGATACACTCTCAGCACGCACTGGCCCGCCTCTGACATGGAAGAACGTCAAGAAGATGCGCATTCTGACCATCAGCATCGAGGCTCGTATGCGCAATACCAACGGAGTCCATGCGTATCCAGCTCCATTCAACGAGCTTGACGAAAGATACATCGTTCCCTTATTCGACTTTCTTGCAAAAGGGGATACTGCCGTTCAAACTCTGACGCTTGAGATGGAAGACTGCACGCCTGACTTCCTGACCTGCGTCATCTATGCTCGAGACCTCTTCGAGTGGCTGGAACCACATGTTCAGAAGTTTGTGAAGATACCAGAGCTGGTGATAGCCTTTCATACAGACGCATATCCAAACGAGAGATGGGCGTGGATCAAGGCATTCGATTTCAACCCTCCGGCAAAGGGCTTCCTGGATACCCATGGAGCTGGAACTTGGAGGAGCATGTGGTCCCTGCAGTATGATTGTCTGATGATTGGTCTGGCAGAAGCTCTAAGAGATGAATTTGGCCCTATTGAAGCCGAGGACCAGAGTGAGGATGATTGGAGATACAGTCGTCGGATGAAATTTCGTCCTGCTGATCACTCGAGGACTGAATTGGGAGACGTCGTGGAGGAGCAATAAAGTATTCGCCGTCATGGACCGATTGAGTGATCGCTGAGTACCTGGGCTCGTTGAACTATCAGTGGAAAGGTCGGTTAGACTTTGTTGAAAGACAGACAGAATGACTATTCATATTGACGAAATTTGAATTATAGCAGATGGTATCTATCAGATAATTCAGTCGGCAATTGGAAAATTATGCCTGTGCAGTTGTCGGCTCAGTCATTCTAAGATACGTGATATTGCATTGCACATACTAGGCTAGGCTATAGGCTGTCGTCCTCACCTACAGTTTTGAAAGTGCATTCCCATCTTGACTGCAAATCTTGCAGTGCATACAGATTTGGTTCCCGAGGTCTCTCGTAATGCATCTTTGTTTTTAACGGATAGTGCCTGACTATGTTGACGAACTCTGGATTGGAAAAATCCTTTATTGTCTGCTTATTTCGTTCCCTGTACGATTACCTGATTCGTTGGCTTGTTGAGACGTGCTAACCCTTGTGCTCGATGTGGCACAGACATTGAGGCCAGGCTCGTTCAATAAGACATATAAGCCCTAGGTGAGGCCGTCCAGATCGTCTCTTCCTTCCCTTCCTTCATTCGCAAAGCGCAATCAGGGACCGCTCAAGCACCATTTCATTTGAGTCACTCGTTGAGCGTCCCAAACCTGCAGCCATGCAAAGAAAAACTTGCCTTTTTGAAGCGGAATCTGTGTACTGTTAGCAACGATGAGCCTCACAAGGCCGGTACTCAGCATCAATCACAATTGTACTTGAACCCTCTCTCTACAATCTTCTCAATCTGCTTTGGCCGGAGTGTACACCCGCACCGCCTCTGTGTTAAGTCCGCAAGACCAAACCGGCTTCCATGAGCTAAATGATCTATGGTCTGCTCGACGGTCGGAGAAGAAATATTGCTGCAGACAATGATCCGATCTTGTCTTCCATCACTTCGAGCACCATTATCAGCACAGCTGATGCATCCCAGCTTAAACCTGAACTGCGTGATTTGTGAAATGTTTGGCAGGACTGCCACGGTCTTGTGGATTTTTCGAAAAAGGTGCAGAGCCCAGCATTGACGAAGGACAATATCGCTGAATAATAGATCGATGCAGATCTTCTTGAGGTTTGGGCAATTTGCTACAGTCTGTTGGAATTCCCAAGTCAGCTCAAGTATGCGTGCCGAAAGCTTTCATCGAGGAAGCCGAGAATTAGACCAAGGTAAGGATAGACCCTTACCTTATTGAGCCAAATTAGAGGCGATAGTTCTCTCCTCCAGAATCCCGATCGCGGCAATTCGAGGTCTAGTTTCGCAAGCATTGGTCTGATATCATATGTCCCAATGCGTTGCAAGGATCGTTCATTGCTATCAATGAACTCCCCCAGATCATAGATCCACATTCGGAATGTATTTTGACCAAAATATTCATAGCGAGTCTCTTTGGCAATCTCCGCATTGGAGGCTTTGAGGGACAGTATGGTCAAGTTGACGGCACTGGAGTGCAGTAGTTCTCCCTTGAAAGACCGCTTATGAGGCAAGATATGGAAGTCATAAGTAATCGGCCCATCATGCCAAAGGCAAAGCTTATAAATGGCGGTGCGGATCTCAGCAGGGAGTGTGGTGAAGTTTACTACCGACATCATATGAATGATGGAGATATCAATTTAAGGAGGATCTAATGAAAGCTATGTGACGAGGGTAAGGTTGTACTCCAGGCAAAATTTTGCTCTCGGCCGCGTTTAAAATTGTGCAATACTTACTTAAAATCATATGGAAGAGTATGCGTTGGTGTTTACAAAATGAAATGTCTCCAGAGGCTCACAAAGTTTGGGTCACGGGGGAGCCAAATCTGGTTCCTCTGTCAACCCTTAAGGAAAGCGAATTGTGAGATAGATGGGGGCAGAACGACTATCAACGGAAGCAGATACCTGCATCAGAATGTTTGGCCCCGCTCGCCTTGACTGCATGCAATCAATGGTGTGCACCAAATTCACTAGAAGGCGAAATATTTCAGGCCCTGCTCCCTTGCTTCAATCCGTATTTAAACAACGGGCTCTGCTTCAACTTCTCCCAATCGACCATCATCATCGAGTTTTCCGTCGACGACACAACCGCTGCGTACCCTCGCTCCACAACCTCTTTCTCATACACATCGATGGCCTCTTCGAGCGGCTTGTCCTCGTAACAAACAGAATTGAGCGCTCTGCCGAGGTACGCCGCGTCGTGGACGGCGTTGTTGAGACCTTGTCCGCGATCTGGTTGGTGAGAAGGTCAGTCCCAAGACACAGTACGGGAGATAGAGACAATCATCCGGGGACTGTGGCTGGGAGGAGAAGCTTACGATAAGTCATCGGATGGGCAGCATCGCCCGCCAACGTCACGCTGCCACCCCAATTATCCCAAGTGACGGTAGGCCAGTCGCCAAGCCGGTCAGTCAGGAGGGTTGATCGCTCCGCCGCGGACAGAAACGCGTCTTGAAGAGGCGATGCCAACTTGTGGCTGAAGTCGTCCCATATCTTCCGAATCTCGATAGCGTCAGTGAGGGACTCTCTATTCGCGTCATATGGATATGTCAGGTGAAATAGCCAGACCCATGTCTCTGGGCGGTTTTCGTCTGGAATATCGTGGACTACGTGTGAGTTGTCAGAATAATCTCGCTATTGTCATGACAAGCTCGCTTACCAGCGATGAAAGCCACGAGCCCAACGGGATGAACGGTGACGACCAAGTCTGCATTGATTCGGTTCTTCAATTCTAGTGCAATCTTAGCTGGCAGGGTACCCAATGCTCTAAGGCCCATCAGTGGCAGCGTTTGCAAGCCTCCCCTTTCGGCACCCAGCAGGGCCTGTCGTACTCGAGACTTTGCACCGTCTGCCCCAACGAGCAAGTTGCCTGATGCAGTGGTCCCGTCTTCAAAGGTTGCAATGACCCCTTTGCCGTCGTCCCCCTTCTCGACGCTTTTGAGCCGTTTGCCATACTACGTGATCAGGGTCATCAAATCTTTGTGGAAGGTCGGCGTCCTTTCTCAGAGGCTGAGGACTATGTCAACGGTAGGAAACTGTATCTGCGTACCTTCACATCGATTGCCTGAGCAAGCACCTCCCTCAACCTCGCTCGATTTAACCTAAGCACATTCGGCGTCGGCGCTCTCATCAATACTTCTCCCGTTTCGGCATTCAAGATTGGCATAGTTGCCCCTTCATCAATCTTCGCATGTGGCTTCACTTGCGCTTTTGAGATGGCATCCTGGACGGGTTGTGGCAAGCATTCTGCGAGAGGTGCCTGCGCCCAATAGATGCCAAAATTCCAATTACGGCCTCGGGCGTTGAGATGCACTTCGCGTTCATAGACCGTACAGGGAATGTCAAGCACCTTGAGGCGTTGTGCTAGTAGAAGGCCTACCGAGCCTATGTGAGGCGTTCTCTGTCAGGCACAAATCTCAACGAAGCAGTTCACAACACATTACGGACCTGCGCCAATGATCAAGACGTGAAAGCCAGCGGCTTTGCCGCCCTGCGCTACCATAATGCTCCAGAGAATTTGTTCAAAGCCTACACTTGGTGGAGCAAATGTCAAAAACAGCTTGGAATGTATGTTTTCCTTTGTTGGCAAGCTGCGCAAGGCGAGAAGTGCGGGGATGAATGTGGCCCTACTTTGGCGTCGCTGGGCATATTTTCATAGTCTGCGCGACCGCCCTAATTTGAAAGCGCGCCAATCGTGTCAGTGACGTGCCATACTATCGATTTGACTTTGAGCCCTGGCGTGGCACGCCTGAGATTCTAGACCCGAGTGATCGACTCATACAAGAGTCAGACTTCTCGGAGCCTTTCTATGACGTGAATTGACGACTGTTCTGCATGATAGACCGTCAATGGAACAATCACCAGCAAAGGTATGGGCTACGTGATAGCTTAGAGAAAGCTCAAGCAGGTGTCGAATGTTGAACCTAGAAGAGTTTTGCAATTAGCTCATCTATTCTCTCGCCTGCCAGCGGAACAGCATCAGTTCGGACATTCAGAGTGCCAATTTCATTCACACCAGCTGTTTCTTTAGCTTGATACAGATATCATGTGCCTAGAGAATGCATCGATTCCCTCTGGCTCGGTGATTGCGAAGGTCTGACGAGTGCTGTAAATTCGATGCATCTCGCAATATCAAACAGTGCAACATCTCTGAGTTATTGGCACTTGTATCTATTATTTGCCTTTAATAGCTTGATAGTTGGGCCTGGTAGAGTGCTTCGAGCTTTGAATGTATCTTTGGTACAACAAAAGCCCCTCCAGTGGTTAGTAGGTCAAGTCATACTCCTCATTATAGGAGCGATGTGATTGAGAAATTTGGTCGCAGTCCAGCTTGGAAGAGACACATTCGTGGCATTAGCCTTGAATGAGCGATAGTATGAATATGCTACAACTGATTGAGCATATCGACGGGATGATACGCAAAACATAACGTTCCCGGCCGTGCTGGGTCCCACGAGAATCCATGATATGTTTCGAAGACAGCAAGTCAGGTTTGAAGTGATGTCATTTCATAATATGAGCATTAGAAGCGCTGTAGCTAATAGACCTTGTTGATATGCTCAATGAACAGCTTGAGGCAACCTGAGCATGTCTTCGTCTATGAGGAGCGAATGCTTCATGGGAGGGGCCTCGCAAGTGAACTGTGCCGTTAAGCAGACTTCGAGCTACCAAATTGATTGAACATATTCAGAAGCTCAAGGGCGCCCTTCTATTTCTCGCTCGTTGGTCAAGAAAGCCTCATGATTCAAACCGGCTGATTCATTTGGGTTGATGAAAAACTAGATCGGGCCGTCTATAATTCCGGAAACCCACCTTCGGTTCTTAGTAGTGCCTTGGCAAGCTTGGCAGACTCATAGGGCTGCGATGAAATTGGAATTCAAATGTATGTCAGTAACAAAATTGAAAGCAGTCATCTGTGTATGGGCCCGTCAACGATCAGTCAGTGGACCAATGGGATATCTTCATTTGAAGTACTCGACGACAGCTCCGCTCAGAGTCGTGTGCGCTGATCTGGACGGCTTATAGCTACACCACTAGCTAGACCCTCTTCTCCGCCTATAATTCCCCCCGCGAGGATAGCCGCATTTTTACTAAATCAAATCGTGCCAGCAAGAACCCAGCCTTGTCTGTACACTCTGCAAGATGACTCTGTCGGAACGCGTCCAAGCAGGTATACGTGCTGTACGTGATGAAAGAGCCTACTATTTCTATCTACACTGATATTCGCCGCTTATCGGGGTCGATTGCGCTGTCTCCCGAACAAGCCTGTACACCTTGATCACCACCATTGGCAGGCTGCTGTATCATGAATCATGAGCGGATTAGACTTGTTTGCTGGCATTGGTGAGAGACCAGTCACCTCTTCTGCTTTCGTGACGCTGATCTTCAATGAAGCCGCCGCTGTCGGCGTGATTCACCTCGTCGTTCAGTCTATCGAAAAATACCATGAAGCGAACGAGGAGTTGGAAGAGACTGAACAAGCTCGTCTTGCCGCGACTTTTCAGACCTCCACGCTGCGCGTTGTCTTTAAAGGGTTGTCGTCTAATCTGAAGAAATACAACAAAGACGTCGCAAGCAAGTTGGAAAAAGATGACAAAGTTGCCATGCAGGAAATACTTGACGAGATTGATCGGGTCACCGACACATGCAAGGGTACGATGCGGAAGCTCAGACATGAGATCCGAAACCGGAGTCGAAACAAGAAAGAGCTGGACAAATGCCGGAACGAACTGGGCACTACTCTGTCTTTAATTCAGAGCCTACAAACATCATGGATAAGGTTTGTGGATGAGTTGGTTGGAAGTAGCTTTGGATCGAGCTCACCCTCTTTAGTTACATTGCGATGGAGACCTTGGTGGCCACCAAACCGGATTCAGACAAAGGGAAAACCACCAGTCCCGGTGTCACAAAAAGACGAGAACGCAAGCCAGAGCCTGGGTACATCGAACGCATATCAACAGGCATATCAGGCGAGACATTGGTTCGAACCGATACAATACGCACAGGAAGCTCCAGTACGAGTGCTGGCTCAAGCTTCAAGTCGACCAGCAAAGCAAGCAGTGCTTCTACAGTCTCCCTGAAAAGTCTCACGTTCACCAACGATAAGACACTCAGGGAAGCCGTCCAGAGGGCAGACCTTGAACGGGTCAAGCGCATCCTCAAAGCCACCACAGACGAGGAAGAAGTAAGTCTGACGCAACGTCCATCGTGACTTTGCCTGTCACCTCGAAAGAATCGTCTAACATTACCTCATCAGCTTCGATCATATACAGCCTCTGCCCTTCTCCATGCCTGCCACTCCCGTTGTAAGTCCATGGTGGAAGAACTACTCACCGCTGGAGCCTCGACCGATATCACTGACAATCATGGACTGGGAGTGATGCATGCCGCAATTTCCACATCGGAATGTTTGGACAAAGCTACAATGATTAGGGTCACAGACATACTGCGCCTGCTCGTCCAGCACCGAGCTTCGGTATCCGCGATTGACCAGACCAAAGAAAAATTGCGGCCTCTTCATTATTGTGCACAAACAGGCAACTACGAAGGTGCAAAATATATCTTGGGCAGAGATCAAAGCTGCGTGAACAAGCCGGATGCAAGGGATCAAACAGCGCTGTACCATGCTTGCGTGCACCATAGCCCAAATGAGCAACTAGTGAAAATACTGTTGAAACAAGGAGCCAACTTTGGAAGGAGGACAAGACCAAAAATGGACACACCCAGTCATGTTGCTGCAAGGAAAATGATAAAGAATGCGGGGATGTAAGAGCCCTACCAGAGATGACGGAAGTACATACAGAGCACGACTACGAACCTAAGGGTCATGATATAAGGATGACTGGGGGCACGGCACTAGGTCCCCTTCTACTACAAACACCACAACAGTGTGGTCGACAAAGGCGACGAGCTGTCACCGGTTAGTCTGGCTGATGAGATACCGATGACATGCGATGAGAATAACGGGATGCGATATGCGACATTGATTATCACACTTCAACCCCTTTCTGCTTCTACGTATTTTCTTTCACAACGAGCACATACGGGCGTACTCGGTGTTAATCTCAGGACCATAGCGGAGGCCTTCAATACCCCCGCTTTCCAACTGTTCGGCGCAAGGTGTGGCGATGTGGCATCAGGCCGGCCTCCTATAATCTGGATGCCCTTAGGCGTCCTGGATAGGTCATTCATCGTCCTTTCTTACTCCTGTCACATAGGTGTACCTGGTTTGATATATCACATAGCCTTGTATAATTCGATGTAAATATACAGCGTCGAGTGATGGCGTTGTGCCTCTGTCAGTAGCACTTTCTCGATCATATCTTGCTAAACTACTACCCAGTGGGGTGAGAGGTACAAGGCTGCAAGCTATCGCTAGCCAGCCTTCTCCACTAATACCCCTCCCTATACTCAAAGAGCCCGTCACCACGACTGATCGATGCTATGACCAAATGACTCCGTTCGAGAGTGCCTAAGCCAGCACCATAACAGATAGCGCCTTTACGTCCCTCCACAGTACCTTCCATTGTGCAATCTCTTTGCCTCTTACACCGATCACCTACCCTATCCCACCCCTCGAACACGAGCAATGAGCTAAAGCGACTACTTCGCCACCATCCGTTCGCTCCACCCCCAACCCTCCCTCTAAAACCCAAACCTCTCCATCACTACACACCACATATCTCCACTGACAACCTCATAAAGCCCCCTCCACCGCCCTGACCAATCTGGTCCTCCACGAACCATCCAAAAACCACACCACCTGTTGCCACCAAGGAAAAGCTCGACAAAGCCGAGCGAGTGCGTCTGGCTACCCTCTTGAAACTCGATCAACTCAAAGCAATATTCAAGATTGTCCCTTTGTTGTTGAGAGAATCCAGCAGCATGTCAAGGAGAGGAAGCTGACCGACAGAGAATAAGCAATCTCTGGGGAGAGTATGATCGGGTAGCTCATAATTGCACTGGGACCTTGCAGAAGCTAAGACACGAGGTGAGGAGGAAGAATAAGGATGAGGTGGCGATGCAGAGGCTTAAGAGGGAGGTGCGGCGTACTTTGGATGTTGTTTAAGCTTTGATGACATCTATGAGTTGGTTTGTTACTCGTTCTTACTCTGTGTGGGGAGGGAGGCGCTGATTGTTGAGTAACAAGTATTGTAAACTTGAGCATTCTCGCAGAGCTCACTAGCAATCCGAGCGGAAGCGTCAAGACTCCAGCACAGATAGGGACGAACGCGAGCAGTCTTCCGCATTAGATTACGAGAAAAAAAGCGGAGGAATGTGTCGCTGTGGGAGTTAATTAAAATCTATCGCACAAATGAGAGTCATAAATAACAACTTCGCTCCCCTTCATTATCATTATCCTTCATGTCCCGTTTCTCATACCTCATACAGCGCTCGTGATTCCGTCGCCATCATTTACCACCCCTACTTTGGCGTCGGCAGCACCTCAATGACATCCGCATTCGCCCCTTCCGCAGCGCTCTTTCTCCTCTCAAACCTCAGCTCTCGGATATACGGTGCCTTCTCCCCAGTTCTTTCCACGTCTACCTTCTTCCCATCACCACTCTTCGAGCCACCGTCTTCGGGACCCACGGTCTCCTTTTCATCAAGTGGTCCCACCTCGTGGTGCCTCCTCTCCCAAGCTACCCTCATTCTCACCCTCTAACACCCTTCTCGTGTGATTCATCCGCGCAACTTCGACCGTACTGACACTACCCGCCCCACTCTGTGCAGTCAACCACTGAATCTTTGCGCCGGTGACATGGCCATAGGGATTGAGTCTTTTGAGTTGCGCTTTGGCGTGCTGCCGCAGTTTGCGCCCGAAGATGTAGGACATGTCTTCCAGCGTTGCCGTTTGGTTTGTGGAGGGGACTAGGAACCAGACCTGGATGTTGTTAGGATGGAATGGGTTGTGGGAAGAAGGGAGGGGAAAGGGAAAGTTGCCCTACTAGGATGAAAGCTACGGCGTTGAACCCGCTAAATTGGCGCGTTAGTTGGAGTTTCTAGGGGAGCAGAGTCTGGAAAGAGACCGTGCGAATGGGGAAGGAGACTTACGAGAACAGGCCGAGCAGCTTGCCATGCCCCCAGTTGATACCAAATGGGACAAATAGGGCGAGTGTCCCGGCGCCACTGAAATTCCAGAAAGTTGACCAGCTCATGCCGATTTCTTAATAGAGATGTCAGCGAATTTGATGGCAAAGGAGACCAGCGGCGGGTCCAAGGAGGAGAGATCAACTCACCACGTCCTTCATTCGGGAACACCTCCGCGCAGTACAAAAATGCTATCGCCCCTGCTCCCAAAGAGTAAAAGACAGTAAAGATCATAATGAACAACGCTACTAGGGGCAAGCGTGCCGAATTGCCCTCTGGTATGTTGAAGCAGAGTGCGGTGATGAGGAGAGTAAAGACACCGCCAAAAAGAGACAGGAGAAGAAGGAAACGGCGACCGCGAAATTGATGCGTCTTTTCTGTTGTATAGAGCTGCGTATCGTCGCTTTCGCTGAGTTCGACGTCGGATAAGGAGGATGTTTCCGATAGGACTCGAGAGTCTCGTTGTAGTGTGTCCAGAGGGAGGCCATGATGCTGACCGTCAATTGAGGAATCGCCGTCGTTTATAATCTCTTCGTCATCCTGAAACCTTACAGAAGCACCAGCTGCTGAGAAGCGATTGCTAAAGTCGTTCCTAGTGTCTCCTACTTCTTCCTCTTCCGAAGTGCTAGGCCGATGTAATCCATTGTCATGCATACTCTCCTTATCATCGCAGTATTCAGACTCAATCTCAGTCACAGCTCTAGGCTCCTCTTTATTCTCGACCAAGAAATAAGCCCACGCTGAAGCCAGAGCATTAACAGCACCAAATCCAATGGCGAGCTTGTAGGAATCTAGCTTTGCCTCTTCTGGTGTCGACTTACGAAGCTGCGCAGAAGAAAAGAAGTTGGTAGCAAGGAAAGCTATCACATTAATTCCTAGAAAGGCACCAGAGCGCGTAAGTACAGATAAGTAGTGGGAAAATAAAGGAAAATAATCACCTGAAAGCTGCTGACTGAGCATGACTACCATGGCCGCAATGGCAGCTCTACGAATCCTTGGAAAGGTGTAATGGTTGATGAGACGCCGCCAATAGCTGGTTCGAGGCAACTCAGGTTCGAATGGATTCAGACCTTCGGTTTCATCGGAGTTGGTGGCCTCGAGATCTGCAGCTACCTTGACTTCGGGCGCAGAAAATAGCCATCTCTCGGCTTGAATCTGATAGTAGATAGAGCACAGTTCTTTGGCGGCGATGACTCGTTCTTTCCGAAGCCTGACAAGAGTGGTGAATGCTTTTTCGTATTTTCCTTGGATGATGAGCCAGCGAGGACTTTCGCATGAGACCCAGGTCAAAAGTAAAAGAGCAAAGGCTGGAATTGCGCCACTAAGGAGCTGATGGCGCCAGCTATCTCTCAGTATGTATGTTGCTGTAAAACCGGCGAAAAGCCCCTGAGTAGATTTCTGAATCAGCTGTGTCCCACTTATGACAGTGTCTATGATGTGCACTCACAGTGGCGACGAAGACCTGCCAACCTACAAGCAATCGCCCTCTAGAAAGACAAAGCGTTAGCAAGTGCCACAATCTCTCCACGCACTCATCATGAAGCTGAACACAAAGTATTAGTGGTGCCAAGGATAATGACCCAATCGAAACTAGCGCCATAATTCTCCAGGAATGTCTTCAACTCGCAATGAGGAAAGTTGCCCACCTTTTCGACGTTGGCGTGACTTCGGCCTCCAAAATAGGAACAACGCTGGCCTTTCCGCCCACACCAAGCTTTGGAAGAGTCAGATGTCGTGTCACTTGTCATAGAAAGGGACATTTACGCCAAGCACGATCCTGCACGCAAAGAGCGCTTGCCTAGGGAATGCGTAAGACTCTCAGACATCCTAGGCATGGTGAAAGGTAAGGGGGTCAATGCTCACCAACTATGAGTTCGTGAGGCTCCGATAACAGACGTAAAGCTGCAAATCGCGGCGCAGAATAGCGCACCACGCCTTCCTATGTATTCCTAGTCAGACAGCGTCAGCACCTAGTCCACGTAGAAGAGAAGCCTCTGAGAAGAAGCCTGAACTGCAGTGATATAAGACTCGCTGACACGTAAAGGCAGCACAGGTGGCGCTGGATAAGTCTAGAAATTGGGACTTACGCTGATAGGATCTGATATGTATGATCCAAGTATAGCCTGGTTGGTAACGAATATCAGTACAGACCTTGAGCCAATGGCAATCTGGGATAGCCCAAGACTTATGTCACAAAGCTGGGTTGGGACGTCTTCACTCACTGCTGAAAACCACATGATGCCTTGAATGCCACCAAAGATCCACATATCTCTCCCTGACGGATGATGAGGGTCTATATTGAGCCCAAACTCTTGCGGCCAACCGAGGTTCCCGGTGCAGGCTTGGTCCCTGACGCATATTCCGAGTCAGCGTTCTCAAAATGACAAAATATCGCATATGGATGGTCTCACCAGCCCTGAGTTAGACTCGCGAGAGAGCACGCGAATAGAGTCAGTAACAGGTCCTTGGGTTCCTCCCAAAAGGCAGACGATCTTTGGATGCGGAGAGCCTCCCGCTCTGCATCCGACAAGGGTATTGCAACTTCCTTTCCAACATCAAGCAGATGCCCAACTATTGCTCGTCATGCATCATTCAAGAAATGAGGCGAGAATTCAGTACCTTTGGCTAACTGCGCGCCTTTGTATAATTCGTCATCAGTCACGACTCCATGGCATTTGAATATCAATGGTTCCAGTGACTTGCGCAACGCGTAGTCTTCGATATATCTCAATGGAAAGTCGACTACACCGCCTTTGTTGTCTTTCATCAGCTTGTCGAACCGCTTTATGAGATCGCCCCTGGTGGCCTTTGGTTATTTCAGAGTCAGTATCGACCATGGATATCAAAGACTGGGACCTACCCGCCGCGGACCTCTAGAACGAACAAATCCTGCAGGTCTGATGCGAGGCATTCCGGGAAGTAAGTGTGATACAGCTGGAGGTGGAGAGGAATAATTTCAGGAGGTCGTAGGAGCACATACTAATAGATCGTCCTCCGTGACAAGGCTGGACGTTCCGGCAGCGACATTCTCATGGAAAGACTAGCTCAACCGAGGGCGGAAGCAGTGGAAACACAAGGGATCTCCTACTGGCTGAAGTCCCTAGAAGTCGAGTCTGCCTTGCCACGGCAAAGCGTAGGTCTGGCGGCATCACTGCGTGGGGTCAATAGCCCCGCACCATCATGATTTGACACTAGTCCTCAGCCTGCTTTGTAGCGTTGCATTGGGCTCTTGGCAATAAGCGATCGACGTAAGCTGTATACCAGTTCGCCGAGAGGGGGAAAGACAAGCAGCGAATGGCCTTATCGAAGAGGTGCTATTTGCAGGCGTGTATGCGTTGCATGAATGGCAAGATTGATCGTCAAAGCTGATGAGCCCAGGAGTCTGGGCCCGATGTCACGAACCTAACGGCAAAGCCAAGTCAAAGTCCACGACGTCGGGCTATTATCATTAGCCTGCTAAACTATCCGACTTTGCGAAGCTAGTCAGCACAAGGTTGATTCCATGTAGCATGATGAGTGAGACGGTTTACATTGTAAACGTTTTTTCGATTGCCACGAATGCCAAGCATTTTTGGCCCCGAAGCCGGACTCAATATACCCAGGCGTGATGCAATATGTCTACTGACTTTTCCATGGACAGTAAGAGGTGAAATTGTGCAATCATGTCGTTGCAAGAGAGCAACAAGTGTCTCACATGAAACATGACTCTAGAGTCGACAGCTATTTTGCCGTTCGTAAGCCTCTCAGACGGAGAGGGAGGCCCTCACTCGCCTTATGGAATCGCCGAGAAAGATCAACAGACCCTGACGAATACTCAGGCTCCAGAAACCTGCGAACGAAGATGGGCTTGACGGCGAGAGCCAAGTGAACCAAGCGCGCAGCGGCTTCGGTTGCATATTGCACATCGACTGCAATTGTCCCTCTCGTCATTGATCTTTTGCTCAGCAGGCAGTCCGGAGAGATATGAAGAAATCGCTCAACGCGATAGATTTGAATGCGCTTTACGCGTTACTATGCATGCTGATATTGGTGTGGTGTGTGAGAAATCAACCAGGATGAACGAGACCTGTTCAGTCAAAGGGCTGCGATCGAGATCAGGCTGGAGAGGAGCGCGGCAAGTGAACGTGCTTTCTGTCCATAATCGATACAATTCGCTTTTACCCCTACGTGGCAGTACTGAGGAGATATAGGTCATTGCCGAATACGTCGCGTAGATCCACATCACTTGCATATTTCCACTGATCGACTGATTGGCCTCAACCTAGTCAGTACTGCTTGCGACGAGCATGACGCCCCCGTCCCTAAGACATTTGGAACTTCTGGCCTCTCGCAAGGCAGATCGTAGACGGTGCATCATGAGCTCAAAAGACAGAGGCTACGTACTGTCTATCAATATACAACTGGACTTGGCATACTGAGGAGAGGAATTCACTTCACGAAATCCGATGTGGGCAAATTACGGAGGTCCGCCCGACATGTCCGCTTTGAAGTGAATGATCTGTTCGGTGATGTGTCACGCCTCGCAAATTCTACAGCTTCGCTCGTCTCACTCCGAACATCATTACCACATACAGGGTTTTGCGTAAAGCGATCACTGAATACTTCTTTCGTCAAGCGTAATGCGCAGTGCTCCGGTGGACTGATAATCGATTGACATACTCTACGCAGAAGCTGCCACGCTGTCTCTAGCTTTTCGATTGACCCACCATTGTAAAAGAGATTGAACCGACTGGTCGAAATGTGACTGTTACCCCAATATGCTACCGCAGATTTTGTTCAGCAGCTATCAGAGGTACAAAGAAGACACCAACGTCTTTACGACTTGGCTTTCTCAATCCGCTCGAGCCTGCGGTTACTATCTTTCCACAGCTGAGTCATGTGAAGCCGCGACCCAGAAGCCGGCAAATCCGGTAGCTTCGACGCCGCGTCTGAAAGGCAGAGCAAGGAAATTGGCCAAATTGGCTCAGGATGATCGTGGTTCAGAGACTGATTTCCATGTCATCAAGCACAACGTGACCTCAAGAACGCTCCTTGAACAAGCGGAAACGGTAGCGAGATCGCAAAAAAAGATGCCAAAAGAGGTCTTGAGTGTCGTAAAGCGTTCAATCAATGCCCGCAAACGCTGCTCGAAATGGTTTAGGCAGAGCGCCTCTGATGATCTTGACTCCAATAGTAGCCACGAGCAATTCATTGAAGTCTTAGAAAAGGCGCTCAAGATTCTCGAACCTTGTATTGACACCCACACCGAGAAACGTGCTCAAAGCTCGGAGACACCGGGCTCAGCTCAACCCCCGAATGCTGGCTTATGTAATCGATTCGGCATGCTCAACGTGGAGGATGTTGACGAGACTTTCGATGTCTCAGCCGCAAGCGTCAATATGACAGCGAAGTCACCGTCAAGCGCTCCATCCAAAGATCGCGAGGAATACGAGTTCGAGGAGAAGCTGAGCTTTGCTCTTGCATTCATAGTCTTTTGCTTCTTCGAGGACCTTCATGGAATTGAGGATCTGCTCAAAGATAGTTGGCAACAATACAAGGAGGGAAAGCTTGATTTAGAGACCTGTGCAATGACAACCAACCTTGCGTTGGACCTCGTTCGGCGAGCTGAAGAAGATCTTTTGACAAAGATTCCTGGTGAGCCCATTGAAAAGGGCAGCTCATACTTTGACATGGTGAACCTACTTCTTTTCAAGAGACCCGTGCGTCCAGAACAAGGGCCTGCTCCACAGGAAGTGGCTATTCCGCAGGATATGGTTGTTCCACCAGAAAAGATCGTCCCGCAAGAAGAGATCGCTCCGAAGGAAAGATCTCACCGGGAAACGACTGAAGGATTGCTTGAACAGCTGGGTTTGGACCCCTTGGATCACTTTATTTACCTACCAACTCTTCGGATTCTTACAAAATTCCAACAATCGGCAGACTTATCGAGCTTCTTCGTCCAAACAGTGCCCCTCATTACCTACTCGCTTACTTCAGAACCATGGTTGTATGACTTGCCCCATATCAAAGAATGGGAAGATGAGGATACATTTCTGACGCAATTCTTGATGGACCAGGCCTTCGAAAAGTACATACCAAAAGTGGAAAGTATCTGCCAGGCTGATGAATACTGGAAGGTTCGAGATGAGACAATGATCAACGGTTTCTCGATTGCATTCTGCCAGATGAAAAAGGAAAAGATACCAAGCGTTTGGATTGTCTTCGCCGCTCGTATTCTCCTCGATATCAGAGGCATCCTTAAGACAGCAATCGATCAGACCTATCATAGCCAAGTCGAGTACGGGGACAGTGCAATCAAACTTTTGAAATCTTATGAGGGCAAACTCATGGCCTTAAGTGCGAGTCTTCGTCCCAAAGAGGACGAGAATCATTTCCGGGGTCTCTATCGACTGCTTCATTGCCGAGTCGTTCAAAACCCTATACCATGGATGAAAACGAGGCTTGGAGAGAGTCCCGCAAAGGAGCTTCTCAAGCCAATCAAATTTCTATCGCTCAAGAACAGCCCCTCGGGTCCCAGGAGCTTATTCTCGAAAGAACTAAGACTAATAGGAGGGATTGGTGACAAATTGACTGACGAGAAAATAGACGAGGCAGACTGGGAAGAGGTTCGAAGTATTAGGCCTGCTGCCAGTTCTGACTTTCTTCTAAAGCACAATCCACTGGCCTGTGGAACTGTGATGTTCAACGCCTCTCTCGAAATGGAACATGTAGGTATCATAATTGCAAATCAACACCAGTCTATCTTCGCTATTTCTCACTTATATAACGCTGTTCGACAGACTGGGCACTTAGAGGCGTCCTGGAAGGAACTAGATCATGTTATAGAGCTCCAAATCAAACAATTGTTCCAGGGCCAATTGCCAACGACACCGCAAGATATGTTCAGGCGTTGGGTGATTAGATTAGGCATTCCATCATACCACTTTGCCCACGACGCAAAATTACGGGCTCCGAACTGGAAAAGAAAAAACAAAAAGTATTTTGGACCTGAGTTGTCCGAAACACGTATGACAAAAACTCTTTTGGACTTCATACACTCTCAAGAAGCGAATGAGCATGGCATGCGCAAACTTCAGCTTTTGATTCAGGAGAAGCAGACTGAAGCTGAGAAGCGAGGTGGCAAGAGGAATGGCCAGAAACAGTTGACGCCAATTGAAGTTCTTCAACAAGTCCGTGAATGGCTACCACGGACTTTAGAGACCATGAAAACAAGATACATTCAGCTAACACACATATGCAACGATCTGCTGGAAAAGATCTACTGCCGCATCGAGGAAACTCTTGGAATGCCACCCTTGATGGACGGCATGAAAGATCACGTTGTTTCTAGGAATATGACGATGGTCTTGGGGATTCTTTCAGAGACGATGCACTGCAGTGAAGGAACGAAGAAGGGTGATAAGAATCGTAGCCTTCAGCTCTCCATCGGCGCAAGGGTTTTGCACGATTTTCTGGAGCAAGCCACGACATGATATTTGGCCCACCTTTTCAGGATCATCTTCAGCCAAAAAAGCTATGCCATAGAGCATAGAAACGGCAGTCACAAAGGATTCGAGATCTTCAATTGCCCTCTTTAGATCTGTCAACTCAGTCATCAAGACTGCAGCGCTTCAGAACGAGGCAGCCGAAAAGAATGATTCGACGGTCTGTAGTTTGCGGGACGACTTTGCGTGCCTCTATCTATGGATATAAATTGCCAAATCTAAATCATTAGCATCTGCTTTGCTTGGACAGTACTGTTGGTCTACGTGAAATGGACAAGACACTGGACCTAGCCCACAACCCTGCGGTAACTCTAATGGTGAATACGCAGAATCAATACCGCAAAATCTCCCACCTTATCTTCAAGCTGACAATCGAGTACCGTGCCCAATCCTCTTGTTTTAGATCTAGTCTCATGGACATATGCTGCCTGCCGGTCTCAGCATACAACTTCTCGAAAACCAAGTCTATTCTTCGACACTTCCGCACCTAACTTTCTGCCACGAATCTGATACCCATTCAATCCCAAAATCCCTCATGCTTTCTCACGAGTCATCTCTCGCACTCACGCCCTGATCGTCCCCCAGAAAACCACCGCCGGTCGCTGCCCACTTACTTCCACACCAACAGCAGGCCGAAACACAATCCTCCTCCCATAATAAAACTCCCCCCAGCCCCCCTCCACCACCCCCACCTCATCTTCGGTCTCAAAAGCGCCTACCTTTCCCCCAACATTCTTACCGAAACAAGACAGTTGCACATCGAAATGCCCACGCGCCAACCCCGTCCACGACGCCTGCTGATCAGCGAAACAAAGGTACAATCTTGACGAATGGCTGTAGACGCGTCTGAAGTGATCCTGCACGTTAGGCATCGCGTCGGACTTGATGCCCACCGATACCTTGGCCACGTTCGTGAGTTGGAGGACGTAGTCTTCGAGCAGCGTGAGGGACTTCGTGGGTGTAGTTGACACCCTTTTCGTAGTCCTGGTTGTGGTCTATTATTTCGATGACTACCATTTTTCTGCTGATTCCCACCCCCACCCCCCTCCCAACGACCGTCTGAAGCACAGTCCGGACCGACCCAACAGCGCTCTTGTCATACCGCCCCCCGAGCTCCGCACCATCCCCCACCTCGGACGGAAATGCTTCAATCCTGACAGTCACCCGCTGCATCTTCTCCACCACCTCAGCCGTAACGGGCGGATGGCTGACAGCTGTCGATAACCCTCCCAAGGGAATGGTGATGCGGAAGGTGGACTCGCTGTAAGCTATGTCGACCACATCGTCCTGCATGGCGAGAGATGTGCAGAGGATGGCAAGACGCGAGCGGAAAGGTGGGGCGCACGCGGGGCAGCAGCAGCGCCGGACGCAGAGGAGGTGGTGCGCGTTGTGGTATTTGCTGATGACGACCTAGTTTCGTTAGTTATTGGGCGGGCTTGCGCGGAGGGATGAGGTGGAGGCTTACATTGCGGTAGATTTGATCTCTTAGCTCCCTGGGGAGCTTGCTGAAGAGGCCGAGCGGTGTGGGTGAGGCCATGATGGTGGGAATCTGGGGTGGGAGAGGAAAAATGGGAGATAGTATATGGTGGCGAGGAGGGGTTTAGGCGTGTTGAACGACGGGACCCCGCTGTGTTGTTGAAAGATATTCAGTGCACTGCGGGGTAAAAAGGACGTCGACCTCATTTTTGGGATTTCTAAATAATGGCTACCTAATTTATTCAGAGATCGATGTGGAGGGGTAAAGGACGTGTTGGGTGACCCCGCTGTGTCAATAAAAGAGATTCTGCGCACTGAGGGGTCAAAACAGCGTCGACCTCATTTTTGGAAATTATGGAATGCCTCTTTAACATTTTGACCTAATATGGAGGTTCATGTGGTGGGGTAATATGTGACCCCGCTGTGTTATCAAAAGATATTCTGTGCACTGAGGGGTGAAAACGGCCTCGACCTCATTTTTGAAATTTCCAGACTTGCTCTATCCAGTTTTCAATTTCAGTCATATCTTGACGGACGCATTCCCTCAATCTACGCTGCGTCGTAGCTTACTTCTAATCGTAGGCAACGGTTTCCTCGCTTTTGTTCCGCTTCTTACAACTTGTTCGTCGATACTTCGTCGTGAGGGGCGGATAAGCAAATTTGGAACCGAAAGATATTGCAAGTGGAGTAACGCTAATCTAGGGCGATTTTGCCGTCAGTGAGTGTTCTAGTCTTACTCTTGCTAGACCTTCATAAATCCATGGCCATTCTATGTTGCTCATCGTCAATACATCTTCCTCGATGTTGTGATCATTACTAAGGATCTGGAACTTCATTCTGTCGCCGTCGACATCATGGCCCCCACATCTTTTGCCACTCTTCCTCCCGAAATCCGCAATACCATCCTTGAGTTGTCCCTTAAACATGACGGTTTGGTGGTGTATAACGCCTATCCAGCATGGTTGAATTGTAACTTCGATGACGGGTATTTGGGTTATTTGGGTATGAATTTCTCGTTGCTCTCGGTGAAAGCTTCCAATGCGCAGATTGCTGAACACGCTCGCTGTATCTGTTTCGGTCAGAACACCTTCAAAGTACGAATCGAAAATATACCCAGGTTTCTTGATGCAGAGATTCAATGTGTGCAGTACGACGATGCCCCAATAGTCTACGGATTACATGAAAGCTACGATATTCGACCAATGCTTACGAGCCTCCATCTTGAGGCGCCTGACTCTGGATGGTGGAGAAAAGACATGCCATTTCTAAGTGAACTTAGCAGGGTATGTGAAAATTGAAAGAAATTCCCGTTGATACCTTGTTTCATGATGTCTGAAAGGACGATAAGATCAAAGGCTGATCTTAAATTATGACAGGCGGTAGCAGACTGTCCAAACCTCAAAAAAAATCGCAATCTGTCTCAAGTTCTACGGCTCCTTACGCCAATGCTGGGCTTTTTACCTTCTTCGCGAAGTCCGCAGAATAATCAAAGCACAGCCAGGAATTGCAGATATTACACACTTCGTATTCGAATTCGACTGCATCAGCTGCAACCCGAGCATTCCTGAGCCTGTACCCATCCCAATGCGTAGCGACGGTTCAGAACCCACTATTCAGGAAATCATTAAACAGCTGGCTTACGATCGTCGACCAGGACTGTCAAAGATTGCGTCAAAGAAGTGCGAGTGCAAGTGCTCGGCAGAGGAGATCGAAGCTGCTGTAGAGACCAGGCTTAATGCGAAAGTTTGTGAGTGATGTGCCCGCCCTAGTGTGGTGCAGTCTCTTACAACCATGAATTGCAGATTCTGGGACGGATTGGCCCACCTTTTCCCGCCAGTGTGTATGGCTTGGAGTGAATGCAAGAGAGGGAAAAATGGCTGTGGAATTGGTGAGATCTTTAACTCAACTTTGTCCATGGCGATGACAGTTCGTGGAACAAGCTCTCCAGCACATGATGATGTGTCGACAGAAAAGGAATTAATGAAGACAGAATGCAACGGCAGTACGAGAGCTTAGCAATAGAAACAGGCCAGGGACTATCCAGGTCAACAAAACTGTTGGCGAAGCTTTCAACCACTGTAGGCTGGTTGAATATGCACTCTTTACGCGATGATCAAAGCAAAGGAAAAGGGAAAGGACTTGCACCAAATATATGCAATTGCCCAGAATGCATTACGTCTTCTTTTCCTATGTCAACATGTGTCAGGATCCTTCGCATACCTCCTTTCTCCGTCGAATTACACCGCAATCAATAGTACCACTGTTTAGTTAGCCCTACTCGTCGCAATTGTCCACGTGAGCCTTCATACACTGGTCATTGAGACACAAGGATTGTCTCCACCGCCCATGTTACTGGAACTTTTCCGAGTCGGCTGATTTAGACTTTCAGTATTTGAAATTTTCAACCTGGAGATTGTCTGAGCGGTAGGCAAAATCTCTGCTAAAGATACGCGGAAGAATGGCGGCAGGTGCCTTGTGGCTTAGAGCGGAGCCTCTTGGTGGGTCGCACGTCTGTGGATACCCACTTTATGTTGGCAGAGCAACCGAGATGGCTGAACTTTCTGCGTTTGGCGTTCTTGGCAGCAGGTATATAAGTTCCCTCCTTCTCTCTCTCTTCTTTTCTCTTCGCCTTCGGGTAATTACTTGAGACAGACAATTTTCTTCTCACCAAACCACTTCTATCAAGTGAGTCCTATCAAATCTACCTAGTTGAGACACTCAATGATCAATCAAGATACAAAAGGAACGGGTGAGATGGATAGTGTTTGGAAATCACTGAGTGAGTCAGCGCCGCTATGAGCATTGCGAACCCTACTGATCAGTGCGATACCAATGACAACATTCGAGCATAAATCCTTTTCGGTAGAGAAACAATAAGCACATCTATCAAGTGAGTTCTATCGAACCTATCTAATCAAAACATTCGATGATCAATCGAGGTGCCAGGGAGCCGGTGTGATGGACATTGTTCTCAATACACGGCGTAAGTCAGCACCGCTATGATCATAAGGAACTTTACTGATCACTTCGATGATAATGACAACAACAACCGAGCATATATGCCACTTGATAGAAGCAACAACAGGCACTCTGGAGACAGAGAACATCTTACAAAGATTCATTTAAATACGACCACATCAAGCCAACTACTCATTCTCATTAAATCATTCTCTCATATCATTTTTACTACCCACCCTGCATATCATCTTTGTTGCCCCCATCCTGACCACCGCCAACCCAGATCGATCGAGTACCAGGAAAAGGGTGTGGTGGGGTGTGTTTCCCATACGCAGCGTGGGTTTGCACCACTCCAAGCATAGTAAAACCCCATTAACGCATCTCTCGAATCACATCCACTTGAAGACATTCATATATTGCATCAGATCTGTTCTTTTGATCATTTTCATTGGACTCTATGTGCGCCGTGGGTCTGCATTACCCCAAGCATATTTAACTCTACTGACTCATCAATTAATTACATCCACCCGAACACATCCATCCATTACATCATATCTATTCTTCTGATTCTTTTCATGGCATCTATTTCAGTATATCGTTTCCGTCGGATCTGTAGACGAATGATTTTCTGGGATCTATTCTATTTTATTTCTTTCAGGAGATGCATATTTCAATTGTTCTATTTCAGCTAATTCAATCTATCAAACCAATTGCATTTCAACCCATTTTGCAATCTGCCGCCCAACGTCGATCGGATACCAGGAAATGGGTGTGGTGGATAGAACTTCACATACACGGCGTGAGTTAGCACCACCATGACCACGGTGAACTCAGCTGATCCATCAAACATGACCGTTATTTTGAATCTGGAACTCTCAACCCATTACGACCAAGCCAGTCGTCTCCAGAAACTGTCCCATCGATCGATCGAGAATAAAGGATAAGGAATGGTGGATAGTGTGTCCAACACACGAAGTGGGTTTATACCACTTTTACCATTATGAATCTATACTGACTTATCTCTCTAATAACAATATCTTAAAGACAATCTCGACGCACCAAAGTACATTTTTGGCATCTGGTTAGTCACATTCGACCTATCAAATCAGAGTTTTCTAACCACCTCCATCAAACCAATTCCACCGAGCCACCATCCCAACGATTGATCGAGACTAGGACATGGGTGTGGTGGATAGTGTGTTCAGCACACGGAGTAGGTTTACACCACCGTCCTCGTTATAAGTACCTGCTGACTTATCCCTCTAATAACAACATCTCGAAGACATGTATCTACTCCAAAGAGTCTATTTGTAACATCTGGTTAGTCATATTCATTCCATCAGACCAAAGCGATCTGACTTTTTTATTAAACTATTTCCACCCAACCACCTTTTCAAGCCAGTCTTCCTAATCACCATCCCAATGATCGATCAAGTACCAGGAAAAGGGTGTGGTGGCTTCAGTTCTCCTTGCACAGTGTGGGTATACACCACCATTATCATTATGAACCCCTGCTAACTCAACTCGACAAACTCCACGTTCTCACACTCAATTTCCCCTCGTTAGTTGACACGGATGTACGCACCGGATCGCGTCCCCTTCTCGTTATGAGCAACACAGGAGATGTCCACCAAGTTCTTCATGCCGTGCAGGGGTGAAATCAGGCTGCTGTCGCGGTGGAGCTGGTTGAGCCGCTCGATATCGATCACTAGTATTGGGGCTTCGTTATGCGGGATGAAATACTGTCAGTATTGCTCCACCCTTCCGTAAAACTTCCATGACTGATGCCAACAAGCAGCGGGTTTAGGGATGGTCAGACTCAAGCTGGGGAATTGAGTGTGTTATTGCGAGCATGACACGACAAAGATATGGTTGAACGGAACACACAATGTCAACAGAAGATGAAGCGTTGGAATTAGGAACGAAAGGAATCAGAGGGATCAATGTGGGGGACAAAGGGATGCTAGTTGACAAGATCATGGCGTCCCTCTTACCTCACAAACGAAGGCTTGCGCTCTGACAAAGGGAGCACGGCTTACCTCTTGAATGTCCGACCTACTAGATTGTCCCTGATATATTTGCCTAATGGTTACTAAGACATCACCTTCTACTTGCCCCGTTGAGGTCCTTAGGCTACAAAGCGCCTGCTGCTCTGACTATCTCTCCAATGATACTATGGCTATGGCCAGAGACTCCGTCAACTTTCCAATGATTTGGCCTCCCACGTAAAACCCAAGTTTTCTATGTACTATCCTCCTTCTCGAATATTTTCACATTTGTGAAATACAATACTCGAGTAAGTCCCAACAAATTTTTCCAATGTGACCCACTATCATCCCTCTCCTCGAACTTTTAAAAGCCGAGTAAGTCGCAACAAGTCCCTGCTATGAATTCCGATATCCTCCCTCTTCTCGAACATCTGCACACTTGTTTGATTGCAATAGCTGGGTGAGTTCCAACGAATTCCTTCCATAGTGACTTGTCTGTCTGTCTGTCGTGATCCATGTTGCAGGCATGATGATCGAAAACTCAATTAAGGCGCGAACCTCTTCTTGTAGTAAACGAAGGCAAGTGTAGTGTCAAAAACAATGTAAGTCGCATAGAATCTGCACGTGCCACTAAAGAGTATCCAAGCAACGATCCGATTGTGGCGTGTCCATCCACCATTTAGGAGGCACTCCCTGGTCAAGATGTGTTGCCTGGTGTAGAAACGTCGAAAATTCGGGTGGTGAATACATCATTTCATCTACTGGTGGCTCCTCTTGCATAAAGCAATAAATCTGACTATCATAATCTTGGAAGAAACGCTCGCGAGCTTTCTTGGCCGCCTTCTCTCTCCGCATCTGACTCTTCCTGTGTCTCCAGGGGTCAAAGTCCTTGGCGTTCCCGTCCCCAATCCCTGGGGGGCTTGCGTATGGGAACTCGCCAAGGTGAAGTTTATATTTAGGAGTTATCTTCCTGGATACTTCCATCGGACTGATGTAATCTGCAGGTAACGTTTTTGCTGTCCAGTTGACATATCTGGGAGAAAAATCACTAGGCAACGATCGATTTGGGCTTACTTTGTCCCATGCCTAAAGACCCTTCAGCGTTTTGTTCGAGACAGGAGTGAAAATTAAATCAGGATACATACATAATATTTACTGTAAGTAGAATACGAAGTGATGATATACTCGTCTTTGCTATGTGGCCATATGGCGATGCGGCCACGGGTTGGAGCCAAGGCAATCGGCTCAATATGCATGGATCGAGTGACCATTCGTCTTGGTGCCTTTCTTGAAGGCAAAGGTGTTCCTCTGTTCATTTTGCTTGCGTAAGCAGTCTCTTGACTAAAACTGGATAATCACGGCTTTGTGTTTCGGATTAAGGACTTCTTCGTCATCATTCAAGGAGTCTCTCTTTCTCTTTCGCATTGACGTCAAGCTACACTCAGCAGCTATGTCTGTTGTAGAAGACGGATATCTCGTCTCACTAGTGGTTTGAAAGACGTGGTCCATTTTGTCAGGAAAGTATATTCAGAGAGAAGCCTTTGGACTGAGACTTATTTCTTGTCGATAGATTCACGAACTCGGTGTCACAGTTCAAGAGATTTGCGTTTCGTGAAAACCGTTGGGAGTTTTATGTGTAATGAGAAAGACGATCACACTAGGAGGATGCTGTTGAAACTTGAAGCTTAATGCTATATCTTCGAAGAATGAAAATTCGTAAAGAGATGGAAGTATGAACGTTGATGAAGAAGACAACGCCTGCATTTAAATATGTCATGTATGACACTAGGCCGTTTAGAAAAATGACACACATGGTACCCTTGTCAGACACACGTCTGTAATGCCGCCACATTGGAACCTTTCCACGTCTTACTTTGTCAAATAAGAGATCAGTCTGGCTATACGTGTGATGGTGTCAAACCTCCTACGCCTTATTGCTCAGATAGTCACGAGTGTCATGCAGATGTTCCGGATAAGCGCCGATTTCACTGCGTGACATGACAAGACTTGACATATCTCATTGATTAATTAGATATCGTAATCTTGAGTGTCGAGGTTGGATGACGCGTGTGACGGATATTTTTGAATGTGTTGCTCTCTGGTGGCACAGGAGAGAAGGATGGTCGATTATTTAAAGCGGTACATGTCGCTCGAAATCTATTGTTTCTTCTACTTTCATCTTACAACGTCTTATTCCTTACCAACTAAGCCTGGCCTTAAAGACTCACATATATATATTTAATCTTTGAACAAATGTCGATTGGTACCTCTAAGCCCGAGGCCCGAACATCAGGGAAATTGCAAAACTCCACAGCAGGAGCAGGACAGCTGTTCATGCCTCGGATTGAGCCTGACAACTTAGTAGAAGTATTCAACTCCGATAGGACGACAGAACAGAGACTCTCAAATCTGCGCAATGAGCAGGCGTCAGCAGTCGCAGCGAAAGATGAAGTCCAGGAAGCTTCGCAATTCTCGAGACGAGACCCCAAGCTGGATCGGAATCCAGAATTCCATCCCTATCATAGTGATATTATTAGACTTTACCCAATGAATGAGTCTGCGATAGTGGCTTTCCACTTCTTGCTTGAATCTCACGATAAGGGCGAATTATGTCAACATCATGCCTCTTATGTCGTCAAGACAGGCACAACGAACGTCAAGTTGTCCAATGATGTACGTCGACTTCGAAACTTTCGAGGGAAACAAAACGAAAATATCAAGACAGGATATTACCGCATTTTGTTTGACAGCCCCAACGTTCTCGCGAAACCAGCATGGGTCCTAGGACCAGGAAACAATGATGTCCAAGATGAAGCTCGCGGTGTCGACATGTTGCTAGCAGCGCCTTCTTTGCCAATGGACCCGCATCCACTCCAAGCTATCCTTGGCATCCACCCGAAGTCGGGGGCTTGGATGATTGAAGGTGATAGCTTTACGAAGTGTGATTTCACGACACTCAGGAAAGGTAAATTGCAGGCTCTCGACCGTCCAAGAATTCGACTTCAGCTAGATCATATGCAATACTGTCTAGAGTTCCAGATTGCCAACACTACCGACGAACAGACATACATGAGGACGCGGAACCAAATCTTCAACCATGAACAACCGCCACCCCGGACTAGGATATCTGGCATTCCTTTCTTGTCCGATATTCACCTGGAAAGAGCGATATTCAGGAATCATGTCGGCGAGGGTTATCGAGATCGTCAAACCTGGTTCGAAGGTTACGATCCGAGGAGCGGCTGCCCGAGATTAATTAAAAAATGGGCCATAAGCAAAGAGTCTCAGTCTGAGGTAACGGAGCGAATAGAAACCATACAAAATTTGAGCAAGACCTGTCGGGTGTTCCAATCCGGGAACTCGTACATTGGCCAGGGCGGAAGCGATATCCGCGGAGCAGAGACTCCCTTCGATTGTTATGTTGTTTTAGAGAAAGGTGTTCTTCTCGCTGATTATAGGTGGTCTGACTCAGGATCCCAGCTTACCACCGCAAGGAAATCAGTGATCTACCAATTGCTGATCGGTCTCGCCAAAATGCATGCTCTGGGAATCCACCACCGCGCGATATTGCCGTCAACAATTCAGCTGCTTTTTTCACGCTCGAAGCCATCGCGAGCTGTATTTTTTGACTTAGACTCTATATCGACAAAGTCTGATGGCCATTCTATTCAGGAACCCCAGCTAGTCGAACAATATCCTGCAGAAGTACCTGATGAAGGGACAATCGTGTACACTGAGAAGATGGATATATACATGTTGGCCCTGACACTCGCCCAGTCATGGTATCCGTCGTACTTCGTTGACAAGCACACTCGGAATAATGGTCACCACGTTATGATCATTTTGTCCTTGACGACAAGTCAAGACCCACTGTGCCATTTGCTGGCGAGAATGCTAGCACTCGTTCCAGATAGCCGACCTTCAGCTTCAGAGGCACTGCAGGACGGTGCACTTTCACCAGGTCAAGTCGAGGAAGGGGGGCGAAAGCGCGGGGCCGTTTCGTCTGAGATGAACGACCAAGTTGACAAACGACAGAGGAAGACCGTTGTCATTCTTGACTCCCAGTGAAGTGACTCAGATGAACATACTTTGGGAATTGAACGGACAAGGGGGCGTGCTGCATCCAATGCTAGGTGGGATGGGAGGGGCGCAGAAACGACATCATATCGCTGGGAGTAGAATCGATTATCAAGGTAGTGAGCTCTTTGATGGTGGTTGAAGTTCATTATGGTATGTACTGGGCTCAAAGTCGAGTTTGCTCGTATGTACAGTACTAGATATGATGATTGTCAAAGGAAAACTCAATGGTTGGCGGCTTGAAAATTTAATTAATCGACAGATGCACATTCGATGCCCGGCCCTGGATTCTTCTCTGGCGTGCGAATGACAGATCTATCGTTTACGCTTTCCGAGGGTGCAAGACAGAAATCAAAGTAGTATGATTTGGCTTTTTCAAGTTACTGATTGCTGATACATTAATTTGCTGACTTCTCAAACATGAGATGAGCGAACGCTCTTGGTCGCATAATCGGCACCAACCACCTTCTTGCTGAGTACGGTTTTATCGAAGCAGCACTCCTTATGTTTCCCAATCCGTCACAGATGCTTTGATCCTTCAGAACCTTTCGTAGACGGCGAAATTACCCTCAATGGCACCCATTTCGGATTGTAGCACGTGGGTTTTTGATGCGAGTTGCATGAACAACTGGCTTTCTGAATGACTATAGCCCAACAAATCATCGTGGTCCACTGGTCTGTCTCACGCATTCCCACTCCGCATGAGTTTAGCAAAACCAAAACCGATGGATCAGCAGGTGAAGGCTCGATTTATGTCCTTTCCGATCAGTATAGTGTCATTCCTTCATTGTCTAAGGCTGAATGAAAAGGGCATATCTGAGTCGTCAAGTCAAGAACGTCTGAGTCTACATCGCCTTGTAACATTTCAATGAGCTCTTTGATAGACCAAGGAGTAGAACTGAATATCCTTCTCGAAGGTGCCCATGAAGTACAGCCTTCATGGCAGAATTCTGTAGCGAACGTGTACACATCTGGACAATCGCTGTGTCTAACTAATAGCCGATGCATTTTCGTGAAGAAATTCAGTGCCTGGCATTGATACATCTTCCTAGATGGGAAAGCGAGATGTACATTGACAGTTTTTATGTTTGGACAAGAGTTGATCGCCTGTTGATGTGTAATATTAGCCTAGTTCTTCCCGACAGCAATCTGTCCTCCTTGCCATAGAGGTTTGATGTCATTCGTGAGCCTCAGGTTTGACAGCTGTACCAGGCGAAGCTTTTCCATCTTACGTACCTTGACAACCTGGCGCATTTCCGGCAGTTCATCAGTCCACATGTTTGGAGCTGCATGATATTTGATTATGAGATCTCTAATTGCAAGCTTAATATCGTAGGTGTTGACGCTGGCAGAAAGCCTACAGCACACGAGTGAGTTCCAGTCGCTCCCAAGTGCAGATGGAATTTGTCTAGGTGTCAGATTGAGGGTCGTCTGCTGGAAAAAGATGTCGCGTGCTTCCCCAGCGATCTGTGCGCCAACTACAGACTGATCCAGTAGATTCAGGGAAAAGTCGTCCAAACTGAGTACTTTCATGTCGTGAATTGTACGTAGGTCATGGTTGATTACGACTGTGTGACGGAGACTTAAGGAAAGCTTGTAGATCTTCTCTCGAAGCTCGTATGGCAAGGATTTGAAAGTGACGGGACCCATGTTCTAGGACGCCACGGGGCATGTGATAGTGGTTTGTAGTTACCAGGGGTATGCACGGAGATGTATTTGATGAAGTGTACACAATGGGGAGAGATGAAGTGTCGTAGTCGTAGTCGTAACCTGTCTCGGAAGTGTCACGTATTTATGACGTCTCCGCGCTGCGAATGAAGTGGCAAATATACGGCTTACGAAAATAACTCAAGACATTGGGACAACGTCTCTCGCTCGCCTTTTGAGCCTTGTGAGCCTTTTGTAGGTGAATAGTACGTACTTGTATTATTTAGGTCTGATACTGCTATGGTCCAACAGTAAGCCCGAAACAGGAATCTTCGCTCACCATTTCGTTAACAGCATCCCGAACAAGCAGAACCTCTTCTCTTAGCCTCTTCTCCCTTCAACCAGCTTCACTGCGGACCGAACTCCAACCTCGTAACCCCCCAAACCTTCCCAGCCCCAGAGTTCACGACCTTTCCCCTCCTCTTCAAATCCATCTCCACCCACCTCTCCAACCGCCTCCTCTCCCCCTTCGCCCACTCGCCTTCAAATCCTTCCATTCCACCCCCTCCCCCTCCCCTTCCCCTTCCCCTCTCCAAAGACCCCACTTCCTTCCCCCCTCCAAAGACCCCACTTCCTTCCCCCGAACAAAACCCCGCACCCCCTCCCCTCCTCCCACGTAACAAGAAGCGGCTGCACACGGCTAAATATCTGGACTCTAAAGGCCTTACTATCCAGCACCCTTTGCACCCCCTCCGCACCGTCCAGCAAAACATCAATCCGCACCTTCCTCCCCCGATACACATCTCCAACATCACTAAGCTCGCACCTCCACCCCGTCCTCCCCTCCCTCACCCTCCACTCCCACGCCAACTCCATCCTCCTCACCAATCTCGCATACTACGGCCTCAGCACGCCCATGAACCTCCTCAACGCCCGTGCATCCTGAAACACAAACGTACTATTGTGGTAGAGCGCATAGGTGCCGGCCAAACACGACTCCCTGCACGTGCTCAAGACGGCTAAGTGAGGCCGTTCAGTAAGATGGCCAGGACGACAACCTTTATGAAACACCCTCTCTCCCTTCCCCTCCTTCCTTTCCTGATCACCAACACCAACGCGCCTTCGCCGCCGTATCCCACAACGATCCATCCACCGATCCAACTTCTTCTCAAACTCATCTTTTTCAACTATCCCACCGTTGCAGATCCACGTGCGAAACTCCGCCACATTATTACCAGGGCAGTCGGCGCCGCCGGGACACCGATCTCGAGAGGGGCCCTTTCTCATCAAAAGCTTGGACTAGGAGAGTGCTGGGTGAAGATCTGGTGGAACATGAATTGACAAGGCCAGTGAATGAGCATGATATCAGTTGTCTGCAAGATGCAGCTCCAGCCTCTATGTAGGGTTTTTGACTCCGTCCTGTACATATCGGAGTACATCTCAAAATCTTTTATAGCAGCAACCATCTTCCCCGCATGCTGTGGGGACCTGCATGCGCGGGTCACATCACACACAGCCGATTTGCTGACCCTGCAGCGTGTGCGTTGTCGTCATGCGCAGCGATGTCATAGTCTGTACAAACTCACTTGCGCTTCCTTTATGAATCACCCCGCTAGATTCGCAGAAACTACATTCCAATACTGAGTCTTTTGCTACCTAGCAACATTAGAGATGGAAAAGAATCCAGTGACTCAAAATGTCAATGGTGATGGGGGAGACCACCCGCCGGCAAAGGTACAAAATCGTAGATTCCATACCTCATACTAGCTTACTGAACAATTTACACAGTACCCTCAGTATCTTCCCACTTGGGATCCGAAGATGAACTGCCCAATCCTCGGGCCATTCAAGCATCACGAGCGTGCCCAACATGCCGACCCCGCGATGCCTGACTTGACCTCCCATCCAAACGCAAAAGTCAAGCACCTCACACCTACGACGGGAACAGAGATCGACGGTGATTCCCTCTTTGTATTCCTCTGAAGCCCTTGACTTCTCTCTTCGCAGCTCCAAGGCGCCACTAACACCCCTCGTCTACCAGGAATCCAACTCACCGCCCTCACAGCCTCCGGCCTAGACCAGCTCTCTCTCCTCTGCGCCCAACGCAAAGTCCTCGCCTTCCGGAACCAAGACCTCAAAGATTTCCCCATGAAGAAGATCGTCGACTGGTGCAGCTACTTCGGCCGCCCCTCCATCCACCCTACTGGTCCCACTCCCGCCGGCGAGTCAAGACCGGAGATCCATATTGCGCATTCGGGAGGTCCAGATGCTAGGCTGGCCGTAAGTGTCACACCCTATTCTTCTCTGCGGTCTAAATTGATGGCCTGGATGAAAAGATGCTGATACTGGATTGAAACAGTCAGCATGGTCATCGCGCACGAATAGCATGAATTGGCATATTGATGGGAGTGTGGATGCACAGCCACCTGGCTTGGTCTTTTTGTACCTTCTTGAAGCACCTGAGACGGGCGGTGATACAACGTTTTGCAATACGGCAGAGTTGTATAAGCGTTTCTCGGAGGGATTCAAGGAGAGGCTGCATGGGTTGAAGGCGGAACACAGTGATGTCGATCTAGTGGACAGGACGAGGAGGTGAGTGGATCCAGGTCTTACTGGAAAGGAAGGGAATGTGTGAAAGTAGGATGTGCGGATAAAGTAAGCTGACTAGTACAGTGGTAATGGGGTGGTGAAGAGGGACGGAGTTTGTAGCGTGCATCCGCTAGTGAGGACGCATCCGGTCACGGGAGAGAAGGCGATTTTTGTGAATCCGATCTGTAAGACCCCAGTTTCCCCATTCCATACTCTCCCATCAAAGAAAAAAACAGTAAAGATGACACTGGTGCTAACGCGGGATTCTCTCTGCCAGATACGACGAAGATCGTGGGATACAAGAAGGAAGAATCTGACAACCTGCTCAAGTTCCTTTATGATCAGATTGCACTATCGCAGGATTGTCAGGTCAGGATGAAGTGGGAGGAGGGCACAGTAGTGATTTTTGATGTGAGCATGTACCACAAATAATTCTGAGGAGCCAAGGCTGATTTCAGTAGAATCGAGCTGTATGTCACTCGGCGATATTTGACTTCCTGGATGTGAGTATCCTACTATACCCCTTTGATGCATTCTTGCGAGTTTTGGGCGTGATTGACAATGCAAAGAGTCGCCGCCGCCATGTCGCTCGCGTCACTCTGTCTGCTGAGAAGCCGTATGAAACCGCGCTGGAGAAGGTGAGCGGGTGAGACAATCTTGGAAAAAAGATCGCAGCGAAAGAGACCATCCCGAGATTGCAGCATTAAAACGAAGTGTGAATTATCGAAGGAGATCATTGAATAATGATCGTCTAGGCAGATTGTCATGAGCCATGGAAACTCCTCAACAATATTGATGAATATGGAAATGCTGGACACGAAGAGTTCCCAAAACTATGACGAAAACTGTCTTGCCTTCAAATTATTTCCTATTGGGATCCCTCCATACAATTATGCCAATGACTTAAGTCGTAGCTTTCGAAGCTTCGGTAGGCGCTCAAGAAATAAGCCATCCACACGGGATCTCTTTTTGACATGCGTCTGACTTTTTGGCTGACTCCGCGTTACACATTTTTCTGAAAGTTGTCAAAAGTCTTCCCGCATACTTTTCATCCTCCATGCTCGAGTCCACCAAGAGCAATTCTACTCAAAGATTTATTGATACCTTATCGACCCACCGTCATTCTAAATATATACACCCAACCGCATCGATCCCTTACCACCACCACCCACCACCCCTTACACCATCCCATCAACCCACTCCCTCAAAATGCCCAAACGCAAACGTCCTCAACCTCCCCATCTCGCAGCCCTCAACCACATCCCCCGCTACCGCTCCATAATCCACCGCCTCGCCAAAACGCCCTCGCGCCCACAACCTTAAAGCCCCCTCCCAGCCCTCCTCGCCCTCCCCCAGAATTAAAGACCCTCATCTTCACGCAACTCTTCGGCTCCACGATCCAACTCCGCTGCCAGCACACCGCCCTACCCTCGTCCACATGGACGTCTTGCACCTGCCCAGCCTCTGCATGTCTCACCTCACCAATCTGTAATGACATCCCATCGGATTCACAAAGCCAGTGATTGTGCAAACTTCAGCGTGACATCGACAACACGATTGTCTTTGGCCCCTGACTTCACATTATATTTCACAAAGACCATGCATTACTCTAATAAGAACCCTCCGATTACCGGTCCATAAGCGTCGTGGCTCGAAGCGTAAGGTTAGATTAACTTTCGAGAATTCACCCATCAGCCTAATGCTTGAGATCTCAGCGGTCTTGAATTCACAGACATCACCAAAGCCTAGCCTCGGCTTACCCCCGTCACTTTTCACAGCTATGGACATTGAGCATCTTCACTTCCCTCGCCCCAAATACCAAGTCTCACACGCCCAACTTCACGCCACTTGATGGCAGGAAATCTTCACTATATGAGCAAGAAAATACGAGACATTAATCGTGAATGTGACACTGTCTGGGATGAACGCATGATCTTTGCCACGCTCTAGCGCCTGCTCGTAAATATATAAAGGCCCCCCTCCCCCTTCTACTTTTCCTTCTTCATCCGACTTCCATCTCTCGAACTTCGACCCTCTCCCTTCTGGGCTTTTGAAGTCGGTTCAATACATATATATATATATTCTCACCACAGTTGCCGCGCGAAACCTCCTTTCAAGAACACCATCTCTGTGAGCAGATGAAGGAGGGAATGGACATGTTCGCGGACCGGCTGAAAAAGGAGTATCTCTATAAGACAGAACTGATCGAGGAGCCTTTTCTTGTCATCCAAGGGAAGGATGCGGAGAAAGTCAGAAACGCCTTTGAGGAGTTACAAACTAAGAAGCGTACGGACCTCAACACCCCGGCAAATGAGCAGACTTCTCAGAAATCTAAGCATGCAAAGACGATCGAGAAAATGGTGGCAGACGATACGATCGGACATCACTTCAAGAGCACCAGCGTGGCTCCGCCGGAAACCATCTCGGCAGCTGCTATACGATATAAATATATATACGATATCTATCGTGAGGAATTCGATCCCGAGACATCGATGACGAACGCCCAGTTCACCTTACTCCACGATCTATGGAGAAAGCCAGCACGAACAGGGCCTCGTCCCTTATTAGAAGGGCTCATCGCACCCGAAGACTCCCCAGCTTTGAAAACGTGCGCGATTTGCGACCTGTCACCACCTATGATGGCGATATACGAGGCGACTATGGCAGCTGCGAAACAATCGAATGGAGATAAGCCACTCCCACTCAATCCCAGACTCACTCACACACAACTTTCTACTATTGATGGTTGGCTTCTAGATGAAGTCATAAATATATATATCGATGCGGTGGGGGAAGCATGCTTCCCCCGGAAAGTCGTCAACTTCACAACCTATGCTCTGAGAACAGATCTCGATAAGCCCTCAAGAGTCTTGAAATCCAAATTTTTGGCCCTTTCACAAGTCGAAATTGGACTCTTACCGGTGAATGTGAACTACACACATTGGGTTCTCCTTGTCGTAGAGCCTGCTACGAGACTCATCTACTACTTCAATTCCATAGGAGACCAGCCGATAGCCTCGTCTACTCAGGTTCAGACGTTGGTCAGGGATCTGCAGGCTCAAGACCCAGGTTCGGGGCGAGAGGAGTATCAGGTCAAAAAGGGTCGGTCTCAACAGCAGACTGACGGGAGTGCCTGTGGCGTTTTCACTTGCATCACTGCTTGCTGCCTATGCATCAACTTCAATCCGAGACGCAGTTTTCACCAAGGTCATATCGAGCAGCTCCGCCGACACATTGCCGCTGTCGTTATCGAAGACAGTTTTTTTGGAAATGTCGGCTGGACAGATGAACATTTTCACGATGAGAAAAAGTCATTGGAGGAGATCCTGGGTGCTTAGGTAACTGCCATTGCCTACGTATCGACCAGTCCACTCACAAGAGAAGATGTGGCCTGGGATGTAGGGATGGGGTTTTCATTGTCGAGAATTGCTTACTTGGCCAAAATGGCGAGTTGCCAGAAGTTCGACATCTTTTACAATAGCTGCAGACCTCACCGAGATCCAAGACCGGTGCTGATGGAGGGGATTCCCATACATACTTGCACCTTAACAAAGCCAGTAGTGCGGACTAGAGTATCTCGCGAGCAGCTGACAAGGCAGACACCATCCCATGATCTTATCCATCTATGACATACCTATGACACAATTCCCTCAACGCTTCTCAAAGGTAAGCCCCTTGTCTGATGATTTGATATCATGAAAAGAACAATCAGGTGAGAACAAAGAGTCGCCAGTCGTCGCTAAAGATATTCAGGCTGGCTCTTGCAGAGAACCATTCAAAAAGTGAGCTACTACCTCCCTAGCCTAACTATCACTCGCATTACCACAATGAGCCATCGACTCTGTGGAATTTCCCCGGGATAGCTTATCAATAGCAACCGTCAACTGCATCTACAGCTCCAGATATCTTAAAAGTCGATTATTGTGCAAACTTTAGTGTCACATCGACAATACCATGCATGCCTTTGCTTGACTCAATGTCATATCCGACAAACACCATACTATGCTTCAAAGAGACTTTGCCATGTCCCTTGCGTGTGCGTCTCGGTTCGAAAGAGAGAATTAGGTTAAGCTTCGAGAAGTTGCCAGCGACTCTGATATCTTTGATAGTGCTGTGCTCGAGTCTAAAGCAATCCCCAAATTTGGTCAGATCAGGTTCAGTTGTGTCGCCTTTGCTGGGCATGCCCATAAGTAATTGCTTTAATTTTTTGTAGTCAGTCAAGTCATGGCGTCTGTGATTCTCCTTAGCGATTATGTAGTCATTCTTTTGCTCAACAATGTCAAGCCAAGTGTATCTACCAACGCCATGTCTTGTGATGCTGCTGAAGCCACCGGGAACGCCTGACGCGATCATCACGCAGTCTTCTAAGCCCACGTCTTTAAGCAATAGCGTCTTGCGGACGTTCCCACCAAAACAAGTGGCATAGTCAGCTGTCATGGTGATTGAAGTGAGAGATGGTAATTGAGTACAATGGAACAGAGTCGAAAGAGACACGCTTGATATGTCGGTTTTGTCCTTTGGAAGCACCACTAACTTTGTTAGGAAGCCTAGTTCTAAACGGGACGATGAGGAAGGGTATTGTGATGGCTCAGGGACGTTAGCAAGCCAGTCGTCTTTGTGCCGCTTGATTTCTGTATTGTTGCGTGGCGATACCCAGCCGGCCAGATACTCTAGAAAAGACTGTAATTTCTGAGGCGCGATCGAAAGGATGACTAGCCCTGGAAAGAAGCTAAGCGGTATCCATTGAATAAACTCTAAAGAGCGCCCTGGAACCGACTCCGAGAACCATGCCTCGTACGATTCTTGCATAGACATGGAAGGCCGCCTACCGTCAGAGTGGTGTGTCGGGAGCGAAGAGATGGCGTATACAAGCTGCACCCAGTTGAGGAGAGTCAATGTGTCGAGATATGCAATATCATGCCGCGCATTCTCGGATGAGGCATAAGAGGCGCCCTTGGGTGGAGAAGCTGCCGTCAGAGGCTTCATCCTAATAGCCTCGATAGTGATGGACCGAATGCATGGCATTACTCTCTTTCTATGCTCGGAGAGTTGTAGCAAACCCAGGGAAACTATGGTGCGAAGTAATCCTTCTTCGCCTTGTAAAGTAATATCTCTGTACTTATGATACCTGCTCTTAGGGCTTGAGGCAGCTCGATTAAGCTTCTGGCAACAAAGAAACATCCTGCGGTAGTCATGGATATCGAGGTAATCGAAGACGTCAAGTAGAAGCTCCTGAGGTAGAGAAAGGATTGTTGGTTCGCGTCCAGAGTGAAGTAATCTCTAACATCAAATTCATTAGTCAGAAGATCTGAGCATGAGACCACAGATAGGATACCCCCAGTCGCTTGACAAAATCTGTAGGCTGAGCTTTCTCCTCTGCTCTTCCTCCACGTAGCGATACTGAAAGTGTTGGAGAACCCAAAATGCCTACAGGTGAAGACGCTAGTATCAATGCTGATGTCGCATTCGCTGTTGAGCTGTGCTTGGGAGTCTCAGGCGGTTTGATCAGGTCTTCAGATCCTTCTTGCATATCAGTCTTTTGTTTACCAGCCGACACAGCTTGCCTCGTTGAACTTGTGGTGTCCTTGGGCGCTGGCACCGGTGTCATCACCAACCCCGTATTTGCCGTGGCTTGCGCCTTAGTAGTCTCCTCCATCTTGACCGATGGATTCGCGATTGACGTCGGAGTCACGTTGACTAACGAGAGAAAGACGCGACTCCAAACGAGCTTCCAAGGTATCAAACCGTTCCAGCGTGATGACCTTGAACCTTCGCAGCTCTTTAAGACTCTCCTATTCGAATGACAGCGTGGTTTGGGGGATGGGCGATTCTCTTTGACATCCGCTAGATGCTGATGAAACGATGAGGATGACCGCGATGCATCTTTCGTCGACTCGAATGGGTCTGGAGATGGGAGAGGACTTGTCGAAGGGGGTTGTTGTTATGCGAGTAAGAGGCGGTTGCGTAGAAAATGAATGCTCCAAGTGTCGGAATTACCCCTCTATGTTGAAGTGTGTTGTGATGACGTACGGACCAAGGAGTGAATAGAGGATGCAATAAGCCTTGTGGAGTCCATTCATGGGCTGGGAAGACTGAGATTCAAGCAGCACCCGTCTAAAAAGGTCGGAATGAACAAATTGAATCGATTCTTGAGCTACAGCACTGTGTCGATTGGTGATTGACGCGATCTGGCAGGACTTGCCATTTCAGAACGGGGTAAGCTATGCACGCTTGTAGACGATATCAGCAGCTCTTTGCAATCGTTCTTTTCACCGCGATGCGAAGCAGAAATCCGAATACAATTCTCACGAGTCAATTCGGCCTAGCGAAAGCAAAGCCCAACATTACCAGTGCCATCTTCACAACGCCTTGCTGCGCCCTCCTCACAACCGCTGCCTTTAATATCGTCTCCCTCTGTGATTCACCTCCTTGAATGCTAGCATTTTCTCGCGGAACAGCTTGAGGGTGACATCAACAACTGTATTCTGCTCATCCCCATCTCGTAGATCGTAGCCTACGAATGCCGTGGCATGTTTTCCGCTGACTTTTCCGGAGCGCTTGACCCGCGGGTCGAAAAGTAGAGTGAGGCAAATCTTCGAGAAGCTGCCAGTGACACAAAGATGATGCGCTGTCCCTGTTTTTGTCTTGAAATGGTGCGCATAAGGGTGTAGAGATGGGATGCACGGCTCGTCAGAGGTGTCCCTCGACAGTACTGTGTGCTTTACTGTATCGTAGGTCGTCATCTGTTGGACCATTCGCTGGTGCACTGCTTTGCTGTATGCATCCGGCGTAGGACGAAAGTCGATTTGGCGAAACCCATTACTCAACGGTTCAATGACGACCGTACCAATGGAGCCTTCGCAAGGAGGAATTAATACAGCATACTGCTTCAGAAAGACCTCGTCAAGTCGCCACTGGGAAACTTTTGACACGGATTTAGGTTGACAAGTGCTGTGCACGATGATCTTGGTGAGCCGTGGTAATTCAGCGAATGTTATGAATGTTGCAAGGCTCTCTTCCAAATTTTCGTCGTTTGTGGTCGCTTGCATCTCAATCCTTGTCAAGTTCTCCATCCTTAATGATAAGGTCCCAGTAGGATATTGATCTCGTGCTGATGCCGGACGGGTGATGTGCTTGTAGGTGGTGCGTTTCGAAGGTCTAGACTTCCATACTTTCTCATTCGATGGGATGACATGACACTGAACGAAACCAGAGAATGAAGCAAACTCTTTGTTAGGCATTGCAATTGTGAGTAGTCCACGAAATAGGCACAACGTCGTCCACTGGATTCGGGCGGGATTCCACTCATCATCAAGTAAACTGTAGAAATGCAGTGCATTTGTTCTTTCAACCCAAGCTCTCAAGACTTCCCCAAAGGTGCAAACATTTGTACGAGCTTCATCGAGGCTGGAGCCAGGTACCTTGAAATAGAAGAGATCAGTGAGGTCTTCCTTGTCTTTTGGGTTGAATGTCTTGGCTTTCTCGACAAGTTGCTGAATCAAGCTTTGCTGTGAATTGGGCGGCGGAAGGTCTCTACGTCGACCTGGGTTGAGGGCCTTCCAGTCGTAGTCCGTTATAATGACGTGACGCGTGTAGTCCGCAAGGCCAATATCCTTTGAAAGCAAGCGGAGAAATACCAAAGGACTCCATGCGCTGTCATCATTTCCGAAGACTTGCATTCTGATGAACTCAAACGCCTGCTTGCGCACACTGTGGTAAGTGAGTGGATCCATCGCAGCGTGGCGTAATGCTCTGCAACAGCACTGGACATTGTAATAATCAGCTGGATCAATGTGCTCGAAGATGTTGATGAGTGTCTCCTGGGGCATCGCAGTAAGTGTCGGCACAATTTTCGTGAGGCTGGTCGCTGTCAGGGTCTTCGTCTGTGTCTTAGAAGCATTAGTGTAATCCAAGAACAGTGCCATTTGGAACCTACTACCGTCGTATTATTCACCACCTCAGCGCCGGTCCGTCCTATCTCCCCGAGATGAGGAGCTGTGGCCGCAGAAGATTGCTGCTCTGGTTTTGAAGATGGGGGATTAAAGGGATCACCACATTGAGCCCGTCCGCCACTTACTGGGTCGCCTTCAGGAGTCGACTTTCGGCGACTGTCCAGAGAGCTTGACTGGCTCATCATAGCTTGAAACTTATGGCGTATTCTCGATAAGCTTTGCGCATCCATGGTGGCGGTGGCAATAATGAAAGGAGAAGTTAGATGAGTTGACGTTGGGTGGTGGAGGAAGTCAAACCCCTTACGAGACCGCCAAGAACGTGCACCGTCACATCGTGATGAAGAGTGAATACGCGTTTGTAGAGAGGCACAATTCAAATCATTCAGCCTTGCTCCATGGAGTACCAAGGCTTCCTACCACTATACTCCGCCCCAGGATACTGGATAGGCACTGGAATTTTGCCCCTAAAGCTATCCAAGCCTGTATCAGCACCACTTTTACCTTCGATCATCGCCGCAGGTAACAGTACTCCACACTCCCAATTCCTGCAATTGATCTTTGGGCCCTTCGTAGCCTTGTCTTTGACCACTTTGTTACCCCAGGCGCTTTCAGAGCAATTAGCCGAGCCAATGTATGCCCAAGAACGCGCGTTTTCCGGTCTCACGAAGAGGATCTTGTGGTGCATCAATAGCCCATCGCGTAGGCTTTTGGCGTCTCGTAAAAGCTGCTTTGGAAACTTCGGGTTCTCATAGTACTTGGATTGCATACAAATAGTACCAGCGAAGCCGGCATAGGAACTTTTGACTGTTTCATGCGTTGGGAAATAGATGCGAAAGCCGAGATTGATAGCGTTTTGGATATTAGTCACCGACGCGGAATGACCTAATGGAGAGGATCTGGCTCTTGGGTTCTTTTCCGCGTATCCAGCAAGCCCATCGTCACCTTGGCATGCCTTGTAGAGCCTTCCAAGAAAGTCCATATCCAGTGAGCCGACAGATGAAGTAACGAAATCGATTTTTAGTGCCTCTTTTGTTTCTAAATTAAGCTTAGAAACGGCAGTCCCCAATCCTGGCCAACCTGTTCGCTGCCAGTCGCTGTCAATGTGAGCGCCGCCGATGGTATGCACGAAGGCGAAATCTCTGGTAGCACTGAAGTCGAATGAGCATATGCTGTCTACGATATGCCGATCTACACCCTTGGCAGTAAGAAAATGCACCAGTTCTTGTCCAAAGAATGAAAGGTCCTAATGGCAAAAGTCAGAAATAGTCCAATGCTTGCCACAAAGTTCCCAGGTATGTCTCATGACTAACCTCTCCTTTCGCCTTCTCATCACTTTCAAGCCGCGGCAGATCAATAAGAAAGACCATGTTCTCCATCGTACCATCCTCGCCCCAATCATACGGGACCAAATTTGCAGTAGGCACCACGATTCTCAGATGTGAAGGATAGCTTAGTAGCATTAATTTTGAATGCATGCAATTGATCTGACCCTCCATATTCGGGAAGCAAAGCCTCAAATTCTTCACGTCTTGCGTCTCCCTCCCATACTGCTCACGTACACTCTGCTCTTTCGCCTGCATCACAAGAGTAACTTTGGTCTTCGCTAGATCCATTTTGCCAAAGAGCCATTCGGTGTCCCACTGAAAGGAGCTAAGGACTGCAAGCTGTAGATCGGTTTTCTGGAGGACCTCCTCGAGCTTGATATCCTTGCCATCGCGGCCGTGACCGTATGCCCAGGTCTTTTTGACGGCGCCTTGAGGGTATTGCAATGTAGGTGGAGGTCGGGTGATGGTTTCAGGCGGCGATTTATGGGATATTTTAAGGATTTTGTTTGTAGAACACGCCAATGTTGGCGACGCCTTTCGTTTCCGAGCTAGTCTCTCTTCCTCCATCTGCTTCCGATCAAGGCCATGGAGACCAGCCGACGCAGGCTGTACGGGTGCTATTTCACCAGCTTTTTGTGACCTCGCGTCTTTGCCATGGTTTGAACCTGTTCCTCCAATCTCCTCATCATTATCGCTCTCAATGTAGGTGAAATTTCCATCCTGCGTAGTGGTGGGGTCCGGCTTGCCTAGGGAGAGGGCAATGGCTCGTTTGACGTCCTCATCGTCCGAGGAAGTCATCTAGAACCTATTCATCGAGAGAAACATTCTTCACGACGGAGATCTATCATTGGCGTAATGCCATTCGTGACAGGTTGTAAAAACTCCACTCACGTTATATCCCTTCCTTCAATGCCATAACGAAGGGAGCTATTTGCCGTAAACACAGGTTTATTCAATATATTTTTCGCTTCAATACCGCGCTAACGCGAGTTTTATTACGTCCGCCAACATTCTTTTCACAATATTTCCAGAGCACCGAGAGATACTCGAAAATGTAATTGCGCCCTTCTACTCCTTAGATACTCTTCAGACATGCCACGTTCCCGATCCTCCGTCTCTACAGCTCCCCCTTCCGCCTCCACCACCGCTCCGCATCCGCCCTCCACAAACGCGCCCTCATCAGCTCCTTTGCTCCCAGCACCAACCTTCCCCCCTCACACCCTTCCGCGCACCTGGCTCATCACCTCCGCTCTCACCCCAATCGGCCAATCCGTCGCACGCCACGCCCTGCGCCATGGTGACAACGTTGTCGGCTGCGTGCCCAATTATCTCCCCAGTGTTGACATCCCAGGAGTGGAGGAGCTCTTGGGAGGCTGGGAGAAGTTTGAGGAAGACATTGAACGGGGAGGTCTAGAAGGGAAGGGGGAGGGGCGCGGCAGTGGGGCTGGGATTGAGGGCATAGAGCATGGGGAGAGAAATGCTGGTGGGGAAGAGATGGTAGGGGAAGGCGAGGAGGATGCGGAGGGAGAAGAAGATGATGGAGGCGAGGAGAACTGCGAGGACGTAGAGTCGGAAGCGGAGAAAACAAAAGGTGCTGCTGCGGGACAAAGGAATGGGGTGGGTAAGGGGAAGGTGATGAAGCCTTGGAAGGAGAGGTGGAAGAAGGTTGGGTTGGATGGGAGGTAGGTGAGTGCTAGTAATACAATTTGTGCGGCGCGGAGGGTGGATTTATAGGCAAGAGTTGAGACTGATGATGGGGATGCGAATAGGTCTGTCGGGCAATGCCAGGCTGCTGTTGCGGAAGCCCAAGCCAGCTTTGGGGGCGGCGGAGCGGACATATTGTTTTGCTGTGATGGTGAAGGTGAGTCGACCCATTCTGATGTCATTGTGCAAGGAGATCAAGAGCTGATATACGATTGACAGCACTATTTGGTACTGTGGAAGAGCTTGCAGCTTCAGTGCGAACGCAGTCTCTTGTCAGAGAGCAGTTTGAGACAAATTTCTATGGGCCCGTGAATTGTATCAGGGCTGTGCTACCAAGTATGAGGAAGAAAGGTAGTGGGCATATTGTCTTGCTCTCAAGCATCAGTAAGCGTTCATTCATATCACCAGCTTTCTTTGGCTTGCAATCGCTGATACATCTCCAGTAAACCACCTCGGTACCCCTGGTCTCGCAACCACTTGCGCATCTGGATGGGCTCTCGACGGCTTCTGCGATAGCCTCGCATACGAAGTTGCGCCCTTCAACATCAAAATCAGCATCGTACAGCCAAGCATGGAAGTCAATCTATTGACGCACAAGATTACCGCTGTTCCGCCGTCAGAGCACTATAGCCCAGATCTGAACTCAATACCTACGAGTAGAGAGATGATTGGTGGCCTGTTGGACAGGATCGAAGGATCTGGCAGTAGAAGGGATCCTAGGAAGCTCACGGGAGAACATACTGAATGTCTGTACCCACGTCTACCGGCTGAGATGGTGGAGTCTCTCATAGCAGAAACGGTGCACGCGGTGCTCGCAATCGGTGGGCATGACAATCCGCCGGCTAGACACATTGTAGGATTTGAAGGGGTGGCAACTGTCAAAGAGAAGCTGAAGACCGTCAGCGAAGAGCTGGAGGAATTCGTTGCCGTGAGCTGCGCTGTGGATATCGACCAAGAGGGCCAAGCTGTGAATGGCCAGGATGAGAGTCTTGACGAGGATACTTGAAGGCATACGATTTTCAATTTCATATGTCCATCCTGCCACCGGAATCTCACCCAACTGAGTACTTGTTGTTTCAATTTGCTTCACCCTGCAGCTGGTGTACTTGGCTTCGACGCCGCCTCTTTTGGTGTTGCTATGCCAGCCGCCTTGCTCTTTCTCCGCGCTTTCTTCTCTTTGGCAGTCCCAGGTGTGATTGGGCTTTTTGCAGTGCCTGGCGTGCTTTTCTTTTCCTTTTCCGGTGGGAGATCTGTCTTGATGGGCGGCGCTTTCTTAGGCGCGGGTTTGAATGGCTGTGGAGCGGGTGTAGCGCTGGTGATTGATGGGAGAGCAAGGTCTTTCACCTTGGCGAGCTTGAATGCGCCCGGCTCGCCTGTCATAGGAGTTTCATCCATGAAATCATTTCCATAGCGTATAGCAAGATCCCAAGCTTCGGCAAACATCCGCGCATCGCGCTGATTGCTATTTTCCTGTGGCTTTGGTCCAGTGGAAGTTCTCGCCTTTTGGCCCTCCTGTGTGTCAACAGGTAGAGGAGTGCTTTCTTTGCTTGTCTGAGTATTGTGAAAGCTAGCGGGGAGGGTTGGTTGTTTGGAGATCGGGGGTATATACGAATACCCAGAGGAGGGGGTGAAGGAGGGCAGGCTGGTCGCTGTTGTTACAAGCTGATTGATTGACGTGGCGGCGGATAACTGTGAAGGTCAGCCTGACTTCAAACTTCAACACCTGTCACTGACGATTCTGCTACTTATTATATTTGCAAGCGTGGGAGCCATGTAAACGTTTTCTCCAACCACGTAGTATGAAGAAAGCCCTGTCACCTCGCCTTTTCGTCGTATCTGCTTTCGTATCACCCAGACGCCACTATGGACAAGCTTCGTGTCCCCTTCGGATGGATCATGTGTGACCATGAACTCTAGACCTTGCATAGCTCGGAGTCTTCCTTCGAATGCAACCCTGGTAGAAAGTAGATGACCCAAGCTCGGGTTGGACATGGCCTGAGTAGTCAGAACGGCATTATTGGAGGTTTGGTCGAAGAAGGGAGATCCAGCGAAATAATGTAGGACTGCAGACTTGATCAGCATTAGGAAAAATTGTTGCCGAACAGCAGTACTTGCCAGTGTTCGTATGAATTCCACCTGGCATCTGTTGGACCATCTCTGGAGATCTCCATTGAATCTCATCCATTGGGGTCTCTTTCGAGGCTTCCATGTTCGATCCGAGAAGCCTCTAGTATTAAGAAACGTTCAAGCGTATCGGATTATTCATAATGCACCGTGGTAGATCTCGCCCAAAACGGGTTGCACGAGCTCCTTCACTTGGCGAAGTCCCCACGTGAACTGCCCGGTGCTCGGGTGACACGGAGATAAACCTGACTCGTGCTGTTGCATCGCATCTTTTTCACGGTCATGCTTGCAGTCACATTACATGTCGGTTATGTGTCTAACGGAGATGCAAGAATCCTTCGTTGATGATCTAAGTACTGCATGAGTCTTGGCTCTGCCACTTCTCTGGCCTTACTCGTTCACCATGTTCTTCAGCAACGGTTTCAAGTTCAGCTCGCAAGATCAGCGCTATCTAGCCCCCACATTTCAGTATGAATACTCCGTGGCCGAAGTTCAGCCTCATCTTCATTCCTCTGTACTAATAGCTCGCTCATGGCTCTAAAGACTTCTCATTATGATATCTGCTCAATACATAGACTATGGGTGTTTTCAAGTCCTCCAAGGATTACCAGTACGAAACCCTAAAGGGCATAAAGCTTGTTAGAGTGTTGGATCTGCATCCAAGTTTAGAAAAATCGAACCAAATCAAATGTGATTTACGACATGTTCGAGTGGACTCCGACGTCGACTTCGAAGCCTTGTCGTATACCTGGGGCGATGGCAAGCCTACAAGCGAAATCCAATGCAACGGAGCCCGACTTTTCATCCGGCCCAGTTTGGAGATAGCGCTTCGTCATTTGAGGAAGACGGACGATGTGCGGACGATGTGGATTGATGCAATATGCATTAATCAGAGCAATACTCGTGAGCGAGAGCAGCAAGTCCCATTGATGGCTGATGTTTACAGCAAGGCCTCGCAAGTTGTTGCTTGGATTGGTGAGGTGAAACTCTCCGATGTCCAAGCACTTGACATTGAAAGACTACAATTCGAGGTGATAGATCCTGATCACAAGGAAGTTACCTGGAAGCTCGAGAATTACATTACTGCTTTGCTCAAAACAATGATGGCCGCTGTAACACTGATGCGCCGTCCGTGGTTCTCGCGTACCTGGATTATTCAAGAAGTTGCTTTATCCCGCAAGCTTATCATCCAGTGCTCAGACAGAATCATCAGGTGGAGTAACTTCTTGGCTCTGTTGGATCTGATACCATTGATCACAGACAAGGAAGGTATGCAAGTCTACTTCGGAGAAGTTTTCCTTGAGAGAGCGCATTTCGTCGCCTCAGTCAGGAGCAAAATCGCGGAGCGCATCGCCGAACATGAGCGACAGGAGACAGACGTTGTGATCCGCCACGTATCTTCACATCAGTACGACGTTTGGGAAGATCTGCAATTACTCGTTTCGCAAGCGAGAGCTTTCGGTGCCACTGAAGAGTCAGACCGCATTTTCGCGCTTCTTGGGCTCGTAGACCAGAAGCTGAGGAAAGGGATTCCAGTGGATTATGGGACACCATTTCAAGCCATGTACAAAGATTTTGCCCGCCATCTCATCGCCACGACTGGAAGTCTGTCCATGTTAAGCCAGGTGGGACCTGAGCAAGACGACAAACTAGAATCCTGGGTCGCAAATTGGGCACGAGAGCTGCCTGTCGAGCCATTGGGCGCAAATAAAGACGGCTACTACTCGGCCACCGGAGCTTCCAAGCCTGAAATAATTCCCCATAAAGATGCAAAAGTCTTAGCACTCTCCGGCATATTTTTAGACGAAATTGATCAAGTGAAACTTGGCCCTTCCTCCGATGGGATGGAAGCACTCAATCGTGCTCAAAGAACAATCGCCAGAGGCACTCAATTTGGTCTTGCCGAGTCGACACCTCTCTTGCCTTACAAATCCATTGCAGATCTCTTGTCGAAAGAGCCGGAACGGGTTTCCGGACCTGGTGGCGGTCAAGCGTCTGAGTATCAAATCTCGAGGAAGCCAGTCGATCCCGGGACAGACCCACTAACAGAGAAGTTGATAGAGGAGTTCAGCAGCCTTTCCATGACATCAACACGGTCATCGCAAGGCACATCAGTTACGTCAGAGTCGCAAAGCCCCACTCAAAGTAAGTCGGAGACGATCGCGGATGTGCTTGCGCGAGGAATATTCACCGGGCTGCCACGCAATCCCCGTGTACGTCAGTATCATCACATATGGGGCGCCATCCATCCCGTAAATGGTGTGTACATGAGCTCAAGGTCTGAGGCTGCATGGAACGAGATACTACCTAAAGACAAAGCTTACCCTACGGGCGAGACTGTGGAAGAAGCATATTGGCGGACCTTAATTGGTGACAAACGAACAACTTTGGATTTGCGTATCAGTCAACCTCCCAATTTTTGGCAGACTGGGTTTCATATATGGCAAGCCGAATTGCTGAAGAAGCAAGGGCATGTGTCCCGTGTCGCCAATGAAGCAGGCTCTAGAGTTCTCAGCAGGAATCGCTCGGACGGGTCACTTGCGCTCGAGCGACGAGACTCCATGTTGAATCAAGAGCTTCGCGACTATGTTCAGGCAGAGAATGCGAAGAAAGAAGTGAATAATCGCCTTCAACAACTCAAAGTACCAGCCTTTCGCAATATCATCTCTACCTTGATCAAGGTTCACAACAAGAGCCGCCCTGACTCAGAAATTGCACCAGGCTACTCCAACACTGAACTTATTGGCTACCTCGACGGCTATGACAGTCTCACCGAGGACCAAGTTGCAAGGCTCCGACGAAGTCTTTCGACCATACCACCTGCACGCCTGACAGATACCGAGTTGCGGAATCAAATTGACAAAGCATTTTGGTACGACTTCGTCCGCGTGGCTCGTAATCGAAGATTTTGTGTCACCAAACAGGGGTATATTGGTTGGGTGCCGTCTTCAGCAAAAGAAGGCGATCGGATATGCCTGCTTCTTGGTGGACAGGTTCCTTATGTTGTTCGTCCGCACAAGAAAAGAAAGGGGGAGTGGCAATTTCTGGGTGAAGCCTACGTGCATGGGATCATGAGGGGTGAAGCTATGCAGCGAGAGGGTTTGAACGTGGAAACAATTCTTTTGAGGTGATCTGAAACGTCTCACAGCAGAGCGAAAATGGCATCTTTGAGGGATTAATTCCTTCTCAGTTGGCTTGACCTGTGTTACGGCTAGGCGAATATAGAATTTTCCAGGGATAGACTTCTTGAAGGGTGACCTGAAATGTATCACAGTCGGGCCAACATGGCAACTTCGAGTGATTGGTTCGGAGTACAAACCTCCAACGGACTGAATGCATATCTGCGGTGGCTACCCTACGTCTTGTCATACCTGTCACTCGACTGCTGTTCGACAAGCTCGGAAGATCTGGCTATGCGACGCTGCATACACTGTGCGACCCAACCTGGTAGCTACGTCAAAGTCGTACACTACTGATATTTCTGTCCATATGCTGTGCAAACTAGCGTCCCTTTTCTGGCGTCGTACTTCAAGGCTGCCATTGTTCCCGGTCATTGTCTTACTTTATACTACATATACTTCCCTCTGCTACTTCTTCTCTTTCCCTCATTAAAATCAAAACTTCCAAATAATCAATTGTATTCTTGACACAGCTCTTTACGTTTCCATGAATCATGGCCAATCAAGATCCTTCTTATGGCATCATCGGGAGACTGCCGCTTGAGATTCGAATCAAAATCTATCGCTTCGCTGATGTCTGTGGTGACTTTATGCTCATACCATTAGCCAAAGCGGATGTCAGTATGTTCGACAGTTGGACGGGAACTCGCTCTCGACCGCCAAGCCCTAGTATAATGCGAGCCTCCAAAGCGATTTTTGTGGAAGCTTTGAGAACACGCTATCGATTCAGCACTTTCGTCATCTATCTGTACATCGACGTGAGACGGAGGCCAGAAACTTATTTCGGTCTAAGTGCAAGATCCCCCATTGACCTTGCACAGATTCAGCATCTCAAAATAGTATATTACCAAACGCTAGATAGAGACATGATGGAGGAATATTTGTCGAGGCAGAATGCGCGTATCTTGCAGTGGTGGGATAGGACAATCGGCAATCTCATACATCGACTGCCCAGAAGAAAGACGTGCGCTATCACAAGCGCTGGATTCCGTGCGTGGAGAATCGATAAGAGGATTCTATTTTGTCCAAATATGATACCAGGATCAGCGCTTCTCAGCAAAGTAAGAGAGATGACAGGCTTCAAATCTATTAGCCTTGAGATGACTTCCTACCTCTCCTACGGCATTAGTCAAAAAAAAAGCCCTTTCGGAGGTGCCTCGCATGACCAACATTCTGACGACTCAGACGATTCGGACGATTCTGGGGGCTCTGGCAACTCATTTTTAATATTCGACAAAGATCGTCATTCAGGACCTGCTATATGTCAGTCACTCTTTGAAGCGGTCGCTCAAGAGTGCGGCTATTCCAAGCACCAGGCAAAGAAGGCGACGCAGGTGACGCTGCTCAAAAAACACTTCAAATTTCAGGGGAAGATCGAGCTTCAACCTAGGCTCAATCAAGCTATTGGGAAGCCTCCACGTGCCCAGGCTATCGGTTTGTGGCATCAGGCTGGGTCTGAAATCGAGCATGTGCTCACCAAAAAACCCTGGAACTGGTCATGGTCTATTTACTATCGTACCCTTATGAGATTGGCGGTGAAAAATCTTGGCGAAGAGGCTTTTCGAAAATGGGATGACCCTGACAACTGATATCGCGCGCACGAGCAGGCTCCACACATTCTGAGCTGCCCCAAGTGGATTACCTCAAGTGAATTATGAGCCTTGGGCCTGGGAGGATGGATAGAGTCGGCTCATCTCAACGAATGCTTAGTTGGTCAGTCATCAGATTGAAGTCAGCGAACTGCTCCATTGAAGACATTGGGAATGCTAAGGAAAGCGTATCCGGTGCACGATGAACATGCACATTGTCAAGATGCTTACTAGACTTACTCGGATATGCAGATTTCATATTTCAATCACATTCATTACAAGTCATTTTGCAGCTTCCCTCGTCATCTCGTCATTGTTATGCACCGCGTCTGACGCCTCTGCAGCTTTCTCGGACATGCCTTTCACTGATAAATGAGCAGTTAACAAGTGGAACCTGACACCAAGATAACTTAGGACGTTGCGTCTGGCTGGCATGTGAAGTCAGTTCGTCCTGGGGCTGCGCCGTGGTCATTTGTTTGCACGTGTCTATTTGAACACGGCCCAGTGAAATTCTACCGCCTGAGCTTAAGGGGCGGGAATCGGCACAGCGTCCCTGGAGTCCCCTGGGCATTGGCCCCTATTAGAGTGTCTGTAGGGTTGGCGTGGCCCTGTTCACACGAACTTCGCGCCCGTGTTGAATAACGTCAGCCACCACATTTCATGACACTCTCCTTGTAACACCTGAATATTTTTCCAACCTGCAAGAATGCCCCTCCCATCTCCCAAGCACCTTCGAACCCTCAAATGACCCCTCAAATGGAAGGTAAAAGTACCTGCGCCATGGATCATCAACCTGGAGCAGCAAGGGAGGCAACATCCTACGGCTCTCTTTGCAGACTTCCCCTCGAGGTGCGCCGTCTCATCTACGGACACTTGGACCTTGGTGGCAAATTCATCGCGATACAGCCTAGTACAGCTTATGATATTACTCTGCCTCTAAGGGAACCTCCTGCTATTCTCTGCACATCTCAAGCGATTCGAGCCGAGGCCGAAGAGGTCCAGTACCAACGCAGTACCTTCAGCTGTCAACTTCGGATTCAGGGGTCAACATAGCCATCAACGACTACATGTGAACAACCAAGTCTCCCCAGGCTGGTATCAGACGTCGATTTAGCAAAGGTTCAGAATTTCAAAATCGAGATAGCCATACTTGGAAACGCTCGCGGAAATCCCGTCATCAACAGCAACGCCATCTCACAGGATTGGAACACTCTAGTTCGCCCGACGATCGACCAAATCAAAGACGGAAGGAGCTGTACGATCAACTTGTCTCTCCGTTCACATGACTTCTCGAGTGTTCATCTTAAGCTCATCTATGGTACATTCTTGCTTCAGAAGGCCAAACAATTGACAAATTTCACATCTGTGCGGCTCCCATTAGAATTCGATGGTTTCTATGGTCCACCTATTCAAACGCCGCAGGGCCAACGCCCAGTGCACAAAGCAATTTGCCAATACATATTTGATTCAATGGTAAGTGAGATGGAATCAATCCTGGAGACCAAGCATGCCTGTGAATTCATCGGTTCCTCGATTGTGACGTTCCAATTTCGTGGGACCATAGAACTCAAACCTGAGCCTGCCAACAAGACACAGCCCCATACAGCTGCCAACCGCCTTGCGGCGTGGAACAAGTTAGCCACAAATCTCGAAAGCCTCCTGATTCAGCTGCCGAACTCCTATGACTCTTGGGCTTTCCAACATGAGCCTTTCTACGATCACAAATACCTTGAGGCTTTGGCTATCGACGCGCTTGGTGAAGAAGCTCGTAGGAACTTCAAACATATTGAGGAAATGCGGATCGGTCTTCATGATTTCGATCTGGGGCCAGATCATGGAGGTATGAGGACATGATGAGAGCCAGGGCAGGAATCAAGATCGCTTCTGCATGTAAAAACTGAAAGATCAGCCGTTGGGAAGCCAAGGCAAGGGTCTGATCAGCTTCAGTGGTAATTACGTAGCCAATTTTCTCGGCCTCGTGTCATGGCTCCTATGTCCAACACAAAATATGCAAAGCGATAGTCGACACTCAAGATATGCACTCGAGCGATGCTTGGTGAATTACAAGTCTCATTCTCGTAGCTTCTCGTATAAACGTCTTGTGAATTTTCTGACAATAGCGGTCTTAGACTGTGTTGAAAAGAATAGAACGAGAGCCATAGCAGGATAATCTTTTCGAAAGCTACGCTTTTAACAGCTTCACTCGCCTCGCCCCTGCAGCATGAATTCTCCGTGCCTCACTCTGATTAGACTCCGCTCTTTCTTAGCTGAAGAGTAGATTGTTACTTGGAGTGTTACCCCCCAAAAATGACGTAATCTTATTTTCCCTGTCTACACAATTTCACATGACTCTTCCTCACCCTTCAACAAGCTCGGGTTTTTTCAGTGGCTTCCTGAGCATCATCAAAGCCAAAGCAATTGATCATCGACAACCTTGCTTTTTCAGCATGACCTCCTACAGTATGTCGTACGGCGAGCTGGAAAAGCTTCCTCTCGAAATACGCTACAAGATCTACCTCTACAGTGAAGTCTGGGGTGAGTATCTTGTGGGGAAGACCAAGCGATTTGGAGTAGCAATCAGGGACGACGAGGTTGAGGATGATGAATTGAACAGCAGTATAACAAGTAAGTGAGGTACCACTGCTCAGTCATCTCTGGGAAAGACACTGAGCAACGAGATAGCCAGTGGTGGTGCAGCTAGTACAGTCTATCATAGTTATTCTCACCGAATCAGGTGTCCCGGTCTGCTTCAGCTATCCAAAGCGCTCACTGCCGAAGTCGAAGTTGTTCGATTCGAACGAAGTACGTTCGTCTACGAAATTGACGTATTCACCGAGCAAGGCGCCCCGCCGCATCTTCAAATCGCGTTCCCCAATCTTATAATGTCTTGTGTAGATCATACTAAGATTCAACACGTGCAGCTTCGTATAACACCGCCTGAGAGCAAGTGGGAGAATGATTCCCAGCTAACAGAGCTTTTTGATGTCGAGATGAGAGGATTGGACATGGAAATTGGCCTCATATTAAGCCGATTGGAACAGCCAAAGACATTGGCAGTCAGTATCAGGCCTCGTGTCTACGATACTACCCAAAGCGCTCTTGACATGCTTCAGACTTATACCGCTCTTGAGAAGTCAGGACAAATGAACAAGTTCCACTCCATTGAACTCAGCATGGAAGCGACCTCGTTTAGCCAAAGTATGGATGTTTTGGACGATGAAATAGCACATGCCATCGCTCGATATCGATTCGACTCACTATGCAATGAAATCGGCAATACATGTATCTCAAGCCGAGTATTCAGATATGATTCCTTTTGGGGTCAGTCAACGAGCACAGCAAGGCTTGTCTTCAATCCTGGAGCCCGGACCGCGGCCTCCGTCAACCAGAAAGTCGAGCGTTGGCATCAGCTAGCTTCTGAGATCAAGATCTTCTTCAACAGTCCTCGCATGAAAGAGATTGGTGGGATGGCGTCTTGGAGAGCCTTGAAGCGTTGGCAGTACATAACCTTGGGGATCGTGCGATAATGCAGGATGAAGAGACATGGGAGCAAGAAATGACGCGCACGCTAGTCTCGAACTCAAGGCAGGCCAGGAAAATGCTACTTGTAGATATCAAGGGTGGCCAAGTGCTGAACCCGAACATCGTGCAGCGCACTTGGAGGAAAAGGGGCCATATGCTATGCACATGGGCAATACGCGATGTCATGAGGTCAGTGACAATAGCGCGGATTTGTTGAAAGAACGTCATTGAAGTCATAGATGGAACTGCCTGCCTTAGCAAAATCATTTCATTAGATAAATCATGCTCGAAGAAATTACTTGCAGCTCCTGAGCCTTTAGCACTTGAGCATAAATGTTATCTCCCATGATGTCGAAAATTCATTCAGCCATTACCTCACACATTTCACCAAAGCCCGTAATTATCGCCCCAGACCGGGCAGCTTTGTAATCAAAGTAACTGATCCCATGTGCGCTCGTTGGCCCTGGATCTTAGGACAACGCTGGGTCGTATCTATAAATTCAAATACATCCCGTCACCACAGCTATCAAGAGCTTTTCTACCCCTTAACAGTCTCTACTTCAATTACGATCGATGTGAAGAATTTCCAATTGTTGCTAAGGTCTATAGACAAGGGATGGTGGTCTAATCTATAATATACCCCTGTACTATCCACGCCACGTCGAATTGCCGCCTGATGCCACAGTCAGTTGATGCTGCGAAAAATGATTTTGTCTTGCATGTTGTTGCTTCTCAAAAGTCTTGTCATAGCAATATGATGGCTTGTCTCCTTCTATATCGCTCCATCTTTTAAGCTGAAAGTCCACTTCCGAGCCTTGATTGCCTGAGTCGGTACCGATTTGATCCTTAGGCTATAATATGGTCGCAAGAGAGATGCTACTCCACCCCTCCTAAATGTAGGCATCCGGCGATAGTGGCGCCGCACCCTTATCGACCGATGACGGCTGTGCTGCTCTCGGCTATTTGTCGCATCGTCGTCTGTTACGAGCCCAGGCTCCAAGTCGGCAGGGGACGTAGTCATCTGCCTTTGCAAACGAGTTGACCTTGAATGGCGGACTCTGGTAGGAACTTCCCCAGCGCTACTTTCCGAGATAGTATCCACCTCTGGTTGTTGGTTCGGGTCATCTGGCAGTGTTTTACCCACTCAGTGGGGATTTGTCAACAACCTAATTAGGTTTGCCACTCAACAAAGAGTTTTTTTTCAATAGTCAGCTCTGAAATAGGTCATATCTGCTTGACATCGGTCCCGTACCCCAAGTAACGTTGCTCGCTGATCTGTTCTCAACCTCAGTATTTGGACGCTTTTGTATTTGCGTAATTCTTGTCTCCAGTCGGGCTGTTGTCTCCCTTTGACGTTTAAGGTCTCCAGTGAGTCTAATACTGATGGCTTTCTCATTATCACACTCATTTGTCAGTCTCCTTAAAACGTCTTCCCGATTTCTCGTGGCTACATGTTATACTTCGTTGTTGTGCGATTGAGCGGCACTGTATTCTTTTCGTAACTTCTCTAATTGGACTCTAAGACTGTCGATTGTCGTTTTGTATTTCTTGCAGTCGCTGCGGCATTTAACCAAGTCGTCTTCAACAATCATTAAATTCATTTCTTTCTCTTTCATCTCTTGCAGCTTCGCCTCTGCCACTAACGATTTGAGATTTGCCTCCTGGGATTGGGACAGGTGGCGGTGAATTTCCTTCTGGAGCTGACGTTGGAAGTCCAACAGGACCTTGCGTTCTGAATTCAGGGCATCTTCTCGTCCCTCAAGATTTGTGACCTTGACATTCAATCTGTGATTGTCCGCTGCTAGGGCGTTTATCTTCCTGTCCTAGGTAGCCACCGTTCTCCCATGGGCTGATCTAGCTTCAGCTAACTTCAATTGCGACGCGCTAAGCCGAGTCTGATCTTTGTAGATGTTAGAAAAAGCCGAGACAGTCTCTTGTGTGAATTTCTGGTGCTGTTATTCCAATTCGCGAACACTCTCTTCTCGCTGGCGATTAGCTTCCGTACGGTTCTCTGCGATACGTGTAAGATTTTCCAGCTCGGTCTGTCTCATCTCAATGACTGCTACCAGTGACCTTTCTTGGGACTCCAACGAGACTATTCGCTTTTGGAGGTCTTGCACGTCACTGTGCCAGCTCTGTTGGTCCTCAGCCGTCTTTTCGTATGCAACGTGCAAATCGTGGACATTGTAGTACACGTCAGCCAAATGCTGCGTGAATTCTCTGATTTTCTGTGAGTTCAATTCGTCGATGGAAGCCGAGAGTTTCTTCGCGGTTGCTTTGGCTCGACTCAGCCCGGTCTCAATTTCCTCGGCAGGTAGATTATGACATTAAGACATGGTTTCTACATGCACAGACTACAACGGGGGTTGAGCCCTAGGCCAAGTGAGGGTCAGGGTCTTTTCCGGTGACCTAGCGATAACTCACTATTTTCGGTCAAAAGGTATATATATTTATAGACAATGTCTCCTGCTCGAACCCCTCAAGAGAAAAAGGAGAAAGATCTTGTTGGAGACAGGAGACCGAAGTCTGTGAAGAAGAAGGGGGATATGTAGGAGGGGGCTGGGGGCTCTTGTATACCCACAACCATCCTTACACATCGTGAATGGAAGCTTGTCTCACACAGCTGCATTCACGATATGTCTGAGACATCAAGATTCACCAAACTTGCAAAATCTATCACATTACTCATTGAGCATGAGGTGAGGAATGTTTGTTTCACTTCCCTTCACTTTCTCCAGCCTAGACTATTTCATTTCCACTATTCAGATTCTCAACTCATCACTTCCACCATCATCTGTCGACAGGTGATCTGTCTTTGCTTCCATCTGTTCATTCTTCTTTCTTGTTATAGCTCAATCTCCACTGCTACTGTCTTTGACTGCTATATAAATAAATACAATCATATCGCAGAGGGTATCAAGGCCCGGATTTGGCGACATCATTGCTGAAGAGAGACTCAGAAGTCAATGTACATTGAGAAACGACACTTTCAGTGATACACCAAGCGAGTCAGTAATCTGATCAGAGCTCTCCACTATCTTCTATCACGTAGAACATCTCCTGCTGGGTAATAACAAACGATCCAGAAGGCTGTGAAAGCCCGGTCGGCCAGTGCACGGTAATCATCATGTTTGCTGACAATAACCGACTGAGCGACCGACTCTTCACTAGACACCACTAGACGACAAGACAAGCAAGGAACATGGGACGATCACCATTCTATCGTCACCGCGTGAGATCATGCTTGATGTCATGGATCCACTACCCATCCGAAACTATCAGAATTGCTTCCTCGTATGTCGCGGATTTCATCATTTGGTATCAAGCCTATGTGGAAGATAGGCCCCTACAACTCTTATATAAATAAATAATTACAATCAATCAGCCAAAAAGGAAACTGTGGAGTGATCGGTGGATACGCCAAAACCTTTACCATCCATCTGGACTGCCAAATCTTTTTCCAGCATCTATGTACGATTGTTCCGTGCTCGATCGTCTATCCCAGGATCTGACAACCGGGATTGCCAATTATGATGACCTGAAACTCGATTCCAAGGTTCGGCTTCAGAGAACTATTGCTCCCACGCCAACATACAACCTGCAAAAGATCGAGCGATACATGGTGGTCATCAAGGTGAAGTACAGTGAGTGGCAAATGACATCCAAGAGAACTCGCTGTCTGGAGATATTTCAATGGCTCCCGGTCTGTTTTCTTCCAGGTCTTGTCTCAATCGAGATATCCCATCGCCGCTTCGGTGCATTCAGGCGATTCCTCATGGATCTGGTTATCCCGCGGAACAAATCCGAGTTAACTTCTCAGGGTGGGAAATGGATCTCGTTGTCTGCCCTCGCCATCTCACTATCCTGCATCAAAGTCAGGAATGCTACTGGGATTCTTGAAAACCATTGCGATCGACTCCAGCATAAGTGAAACTAAAAGCCCGCCATTGTGTCTTGCTTCTCTACTCCAATGCTCTCTGCTACCATCACTCACTACCATCTCTGCGGCAAGTGCATATGAGAGACCGACGAACAAAAATGATTTACGGTACTGGCAGCTATCAAATACGAATTTGATTGACTGCGTATACCCTGCGGCATATACTCAGGGCTGTCTTAGACTGTGCTCTGACGGTCAGAAAAGTGGGAAATCCTGCTTGATTTTTGGTGACTGCAAAGCATCAAACGCACGGAGTCCGCTTCAGGTACTTCGAGATCCCAGGCTTTACAAGAAGGCACTTATGTCTCTTGCTCTTTCAGCCAATGCGCCACTGGGAAGTTCGACACTGGAAGCTAATGCACTTGATTTCAAACATGGGGTGGCAGAAGGGATGCAAGTGCATGGCGCATTTTCTACTGTCAGGTTGACGGTTCTCTTCGAACCTCGGCGTATGCGAAAGGGATCTGGAAAGCTCTCCATGAAGCATTGTATTGTCTTCGTTGGTAATGCCTTTGATTCTGGCGACGGAGATGATCGCATCGTCAATGATACGCTGAAATTCGCGCGATAATTGATAGAAGGAGGAATGCCGACGAGGCACGTATGTCCGCGAATCGAACGTTGAATGCCTCAAGACAATACGAAACAGATCAGGAACATCGCTATGAAGAGGTGGAAGGAAAGTTCGGCGACTTGCAAACCAAGCATGAAGAAGAGTACGCAAAGTCAAGGCACCGCGGACGTAGGCTCTGGCGCACTTTGATAGACGGAGTCGTGCAGCAATATCGATTGAAGAAGTCGAGGGCGTTCAGGAAGTTGCTGCTTTTCAAGAACCGCGAAATCGTTCAAATGATTTGTAGCGAGTCTCAGGTCGCAATGAGCGAACGGCAATCTCACCTTGAGCGTCAACAAAGTACATCGAAGATCTAAACGCGGCCCATGACAGCCAGCTTCGGACCACTCAAGAGGAAATCCGGCCGTTGCGACAAGAAACTGGAACTTATAAATCGATTGTTGGATCCAAAGCAATGGAAATCCAGGCATGGCGCTTGATGACGAATTTTT